CTCTTCATCATCAAGGTCAGATTCTGGAGCGATACCATCGCTCTGACTTTCACTGCCACTATCATCTTCTTCATTCTCATCCTCATCCTCATTTATGAGTTCATCAGCTTCTTCGTTCTCCTCCTCCTCGCTGTCTAGTTCAAGAACATTTTTCCTCGAAGCCTTCTTTCCTTTATATTTTGGGTCATCCATTAAGAAGTTTTTAGACCGTAGTTGACTCTTTCTATGATGGACAAAACGAGAAAGCTTGTATATCAGCTTGTGTTGCTGCTCTCAATAGAATGCAATGTTTTTTGTAGCCACACTTCTCGCTTAACGTACCCAACCGAGACATAGTGCTCACGGCCTGTATAATCTCTATCGAGACCATCATCGTCGCTGCCAATATTGTCATCATTGTTGAGCTTATTGTTAAACGAGTCATCTCCCATATCTTCAGGATCGTAATCTAGATCATTTTAGATAAACCAATAAAGATTAAAACAAGCAAAAAAAAAAAAAAAAAAAAAAAAAAAAAAAAAGAAAGAAAGAAAAAAGAAAAGCATGTAAGCATTAGGTCCAGTGTGACAGGATCAACAGCAGGTAGATTAATTAATGAATGTCTAGTGGTGACTACTTGCGTAAATATCATACCCTTTGGAGTGGTAGTGGACAGATCTGCTAACTGCTCTGCCAATGACTTCTTTATTTTAACTATAGTGATATTGAAGAGTTAGACTGGTATATTATTCATCGGTATTCATGGTCATAGATGGCATTCAATACAAACATGTAATGCTTCCTGTACCCATGCTAAAAAACTAGGTGAAAATGTGGATGAAATTTGAAGATGGCAACGCTAGCATTGTAGCCTTTTCTTTATTTTTTTTTTTTTTTTTGTTTTTTCTTTTTTAATATACCAGTCACAATGTTGAGTCACGTTGCTCCCGAGTCTGTGAAGCCCACCAGACTGGGATCCCTCACCGGATCACCGGATGATTCTGGGTGGCCACAATTGGGCGAAACTCCCTCGTCAGATGCGGTTGAAGCCCTCAAGCCCCGTCGAATTGGGTCCTCTCATTGCAGTGGATAGGAATCTAAGGAAAGAGAATAGAAGGAAAAAACGCACAGTTGGAATATTTTTGACCAGAGCACAACAGACCAACATCTTGGTATACAATCAAACATGGTATATATTACACAATTCCACACTTAAGTGGATGCAACTGCCAGCTAGGAATAAAATAATCATTACTGGCCAAAATAGACGCTTGTGATCACTGCTATAACGAGACATCTTGCCACACAGGTATGACTTTTTTAAAAAAAATAAGAAAAGTTGGAAAGCCATAGAGCCTTTGCTAATAAACGACTGCCATTTGACACGCTTGGGTCAAAGCACGAGGACACTTCGCTGTAGGAGCGCACGAATTTTACACCAGCGCCCGCTGTCCCCGACCCCTCTGCGATAGCTTTTTAGAGGCGGTGTACCCTCGCTCTAAATATTGCCGGACATGTAAGGTATTCTTCGACCGTGACGCAGTAGGGGCGGAAAACATCGCAAGAATCGGTCTTGCTCAAATTGAGAGGCAAGAGAGGCCTGCAAAGTACAAGCCCACGGAAGAGTCGCCTGCTCCGGCTGCAAAGCGCGCACGACGCTAGACACAAGTATTTGGGTGCTGGCACACCCACAAAAAATTTGTAAGTTCTGTTTATTTTCGTCTCCTGTATCCATCCTCTCTAATCTTTTGCCCCTGAATTTCTGGACTAACTTTAAAAACCGTACAGATCAACAGATAAAGAATCTGCTGCATCGCCCCACATGACGGTTCGAAAAGATTGATGTTGATACACAGCCTAAATCGGCTATTATTCAGACCTTGATGCATTGTACAAGGTCCCAAATTAATTTGTTGGTTTGCTCTAATGATGTTGAAGGTTTATTTAGTCTATTCTACTTTAAGCCCTTATTCATATTAATTCTAATGCAGTGACAAGTGCAGAGTAGCTAAAAGTGAAAAAATATATTTTACCTCTTTTCTCCTCAAGGCTCAAGCCCAATAATGAATTCATAATAGAATTAAATTCTTTGTTCCTATTAGACTTGGACAAGGGACAGAACGAGGCTCCAATGAGATGCTTTATGACTGACACAGTTTAGACGTGGTAACGCACAAAAAGAGACTTTTTTTTTTTTGATAACAAGGACCCACGAGGTCATGTAGGTAACGCACAAAAAGAGACGAGGAGCCGAATATGTGTGCCACAATACGTTACTCATTGCCTAAAGGATTTCTTTGTTACACCGCATGCAGAGGGAGCAATCGCTCAAAAACAGTGTGGTTCGTGCCCCAATTGTTTGTTGACAATTTGTTGTGTGATCTGCTTGATTTCATCTTTATCTTCACCCATTGGGAAATGAGAAATAACAGATGATATCCTTCTATACAGCTACCAATTTTCCTTCTTGTGCTTGACAAGGCACCATGATGCTTCCTTTGCCGCCGTTTTTACAAATTGGTTTCATTTTAGATTGTACAAAATAAAAGGTATTTGATACACATATTACCCAATCAATGCTTTGGAATCACGTCCTTCTGACCGCTTTCAATGCCGCTCTTCCCTTTGTCCCTTCATCCCCTCATCCCTTCTTGGAAAGTGCCTTCGAAAACAAATATAAAAAGGGCGGATCCTAGTTTCTTCCTTTTCCTCTTTGATCTCTTCGACCATCAGTCTCCTCAAACAAGATGAAAAGTAAGCAACACTCCCAAACATTCATTTCTACTAAAGCCCCCAGCTCCCTCGCTAACCTTAGGTTGTAAACGGCACGAATCCCTCCCTAAACCAAGCGGAGTATGATGGGTTGCGCCAGCTCCATGAGCAATGGTACACCTATGGATAGTGACGCCTGACTTAATAGAGCGCGATCTGCCAGACCACCCCGTGGTATGCTCCGGACAACATCTTAGGGGAGTGTTATTGATGATAAAGGAATAGCACTCCCCAAGTTAGCTAAGAGTCTGACTTCTTGTAGCTTAGGATGTAGTTTGGTAAGCTAGGCAGCCAACAAATAAAAGTTCTTAATAAAAATAGTAGAACAATATATATAATAGTAGTGATGCTTCGATTCAAAGGACAAGTACCACATCCCTCATCAGATCCTTCAATAAGTGTAAGTGAATGGAATGATAATAGTTGGAAAAAAAGATCGTGAATTCGAACCGGGTGACTTTTGTGCAATGCAAACTGAAATTGTTACTTGTGTGTGTAAATTGCATTAGTGGGAGGAATGAAGACGGCCGTGATGAAAAGGCTCACGATAAAACATGGGACGAGTATTCGGTAGCATGGTGCTTGCTTGAGCTCTTTTTCGACTTTGAAAGTGGTGGGCTATCGAAGCTACTTTAAAATAAAAAGAGGGCGATGTGTACAACGTAGGAAAACTTTGATCTTAGCGAGATCTCAATGAGCGTAAACGTTGATCTCAGTGACCACTGTAAAAAATTTTTTTGCGGGGAACACCTTTTTAGGAAGAAACGAAATGTCTCAAGATCTTTTTCTTTCCCACTTCTCATTCTTTCAGCTGTCATACATTCTCACATAATGTCCTGCAAAGTAGTTCTCGCTCAGTCAATCTCGGCTTCGTACAGGTGCGTCAATAGAAAGGCCTTGAGTTATGTTATAGGCTCAATAAAAAGGAATGATTGTCGATCGCCCCAAAAATTCATGCAGGCTCATTGCATCACCATTTATGTTGAATCATTATTACAGAGAAGAACTCAAGAATATTATCAAGAGCCGCAACATCCGACCAAAACTTGTGGGATTTCTGGCCAATGATGATCCTGCTGCTGTAATGTACGCTGAGTGGACTGCAAAGACTTGTGCCGAGACGGGCGTTGAATTTGAACTGAGAAAATGCTCCAGAAACGTTCTTGAAGAAAAAATTATTGAGGCTAATCAGGATGTCAATGTCCACGGAATCATGGTTTATTATCCTGTTTTTGGCGATCGTCAGGTGAGGAAGAAGACATAGACGCACACATGCAGACACGCACATATTCGAATCAACGCTTTAAATAATGTGATCTGACTGAGATATTTTGTAATCTATATTCTTTTCTTTCCTTTTTTAGGATCAATATTTGCAAAATGTTGTTGATGTGAGTAAAGATGTCGAAGGTCTCCATCACAAATACGTCTACAACATGTATCATAACATTCGTTTCTTAGACGAAGCCAAGACAAAGAAATGTATCATTCCTTGCACGCCCTTGGGTTTGGTCAAAGTTATGGAGTATGTCGGAGTTTACAACGGAATCCTTCCTTACGGTAATCGCCTTCACGGAAGAATCGTCACTGTTATCAATCGCTCTGAGATTGTTGGCCGTCCCCTAGCGGCCTTGCTTGCCAACGACGGTGCCAAAGTCTATTCCGTCGACATCAATGGCATTCAGGAGTTCCATCGTGGTGTTGGTCTTCAGCTGAAGAAACACGAGGTAACGTGCCATGACCTTTCAGCTCTACAATCTTTGAGTCATTATTTCGTTGCTATAGGGTACAGACCCAATAACATGTCTATAGACAATGACTCATGAATTGGGCTGTTTATCTGTCATAACCATCTTTTTGTTTTTATCTTTGATACATGTAATTGAATGTACTGTGCGTAATGAATAGGTCAGTGAAACGACGTTGAAACTTGAGGACGTCCTCCCTCTTTCTGATGTAGTCATCACTGGTGTCCCTTCACCTGCATACAAAGTTCCTTCACACTTGATCCGTGATGGTGCTGTTTGTATCAACTTCTCTACCTTCAAGAATTTTGACGGTGATGAGATCAAGAAAAAGGCTGCTATTTACGTCCCATCTGTGGGCAAGGTTACTGTAGCCATGTTGGAACGTAACCTTGTCCGCCTTTACGACTATCAAACCCAAAGCCAAGCCGCCAATGCCTAATTTCTTTACCCCTAGGCCGTATCATATCATTATATCATATCATATCATGTCATATTATCTGCATGCACTAGAATGTAATAAAATATATTAAATTCCAGTGAGTTATCTTGGATAAATTAATCTAAATATTTGTCATTGTTTCTCTAGGATACTCCATAATAGTGCTTAATGTATCTTTTAGACAGTATATCTTATAAACTATCCTGATCAAAGTCCTCTGTATTATCTGTGGGACTGCAAATAGTATCGAGGCTTTCGTGCCTCATAGCAGCATGTTCGAAGCAACCTTACATGGTTTCAACTTTCAACCTGTCCTGTCTTTAAGCACCACTTCAGCTCATAATTTCCAAAACCCCCGCTCTTCTTGGGCTAGAACGCATCAACTGATACCCTTTCTGTAGAATTGATAAAGCAATTATTATATGTCTATAAGAAAGAAAGCAATTTTTTTTTCTTTTCACCCGGAGGCTACCCCCCCCCCCGAGTGAGGGCCTCCAGCTCGGTTACGTCGTACGCAGGGCATGACGAATATCGCTGGTTCGACGATGACTTAAACTGATTGGGATGAGGGTATGGGTGAGGCGAATGGGGAATAAGGTAGAGGGAGAACAGACATTTATATTTTCAATGTATAGTGCGGGCTTGAACGCTTCCTTATTTAAAAAGCATGCCTTACCAATGTGAAATGGCTACTTATTCCATTTACTCTAGCAAGTCAAAGGGTACTCTACTGAATGGACTGAGACGATCAGGCGTTGCATTTGAGTATCATAGGATGGAAGGTGAGAGCTCTTGATAGCGCCTTCCTTCGAAGGAATACTTGATGCCTTCCACGTTGCTTTGGCATACCACCAAGGAATATTCGTGCAACCCCCATTTCATAGTAAAATGACGAGAGTGGCGATTTGCTTGGAGGCAATGGTCCTTGATACCCTCTTTGCATTATAGTTGTAAGGTTCGTTCTCTTGGGATCGGTACCAACACGCGGGCTGGCTATTTGTACACTAAGAAGTTGAAATCACTTTGTCTCCACAGTGTGCTAGAAGGATGTGTAGAAATTTGTGATGTCTCAAATGAACACGTGCATACTGTCCATCCAAGTAGGTCCTTTAAAATAAAAAAATTGCTCACATCCGTGAATGATGGTAGTGGAGTTCTCACGTTTGAGTAGCAGTCGTCCAGACCTTCCTAGGTTTTTGTTGCAGTGCCATGATTGTATGGTATGTCTAGAGCAGCATTCCCTTTGGTGGAAGCCACGCCATGAAGACAGTGCATGTACTCTTTTTACACCATAAAATATAGGACCGAAGTTGTGTTGTTAAAGCTTGTCCCCTAATACTTTCGTATGAAATCGTAACTCGAAAGCTGTTGTTGACCTTGTTGATGTTGTTGTTATTACGATACCCTTCAGTCCTGAGGTAGTGCTTTATGACAGTGTTATAGATGAAGATGCCTTTAGCTGAAGAAGTATTGGTAGGATCTATACTAGAGGAGGTGGGGGCGCTGGTGAGATAGGATTTGGTAGGAGCAGCAGCAGAAGAAAAACAGTTTGGCTTTCTTAACAACGGTGGGTGTTGTGGTGTGCACCATGATGAGAAGAACATGGTGAACGCCCAAGCGCGTTTGATACTATGGAGAGTATTTCACAGGCACTAGACAATCAACTATTCATGATTGGCCAATGGTAATTATCCTTTTCTCAGACAAGTTCCAACTTGAAAATTAGGAACTAAATGAGAAGACTCTATATCGTCTGCTCCATTGAGGATCTTTTTCCCACAGCACAATCCTTACTAGTTACTTGTAGCGATTGTCATCCAAACTATATGCATGGGACAGGTGCTTAGAGTAGGGGATGGGTTAATATATTCATAAGGAAAGCTATCATAATTTTTTTGCCAGAATGATCACATTAGAGCCAGACTTTCACTCAAAGAAAAAAAGCCATCATCAACTGGACTTAAAACTAATAATCAAGTGTCTACAATTTCTTTGCAAGCCTTCAATCATGTTGTATTGATTTGAATGAAAGCGTCTACTAACGAATTGCTATGTATTCGAGCAATTGCGAATGCCAAATTAAACTATAAGTGCAACTCTTTTTTTTTTTTTAGGCGTCCATACCATCAATGCCTATAGCATTCTGCAAAAGCGAATCTCCTCATAATAACAGGCACCCTGAATGGTATAACTATATCAAAGATATGCACTGCGTGAGCTTGTCTAACTCTATTTTGCAAAACATTCATTTTATTCTCTCTACTTCTTCAGTCTGTCAGTTGCTGTTCCGTGTTTGTAGGGTCATGATCCTTAGTATTTAATCTATAGTGTGATGTGTTGATCCTTAATCCTCGTATCCAGATGGGGGATTGCGAGCACGCCTAGGCACTACCGGAATAAATAGAGAAGTACACAGTTAGTCCCAGTATATGCACGACATGATCCAGATACAAGTCTCCTCTTCTTAGGATTAACCGCCATGACATAGTATTTCTTACATGGATAAGTCTCAGGAATACGAGCTGGACTGACATAACCCATACTCTTACGGATCGGTGGGACACCGACGACAAGAGCCGGACCTATTGTTTGTGTAAAATGTATCAAGGTCAAGGGAATGTCAGCAAAAATTGAAAAAGAACAAAATTTGATTTTCTTCAAACTACGGCTATTCATTACTTACCAATGGCAGCAATGACGAAGCTGACAAAGATGTAAGGGTTTTTGTCGGCAGAGCGTTTCTAGTTTAAAAGAAAGTGCAACACTATAAGTCTTTCCGATCGAGGGGGTTGGACACACAGAAAACACTAAAAATAGCCGCCTATGACCGCCGTCGAATGGTTTGATCAAGCTGAGATGGATTTCCAGCTTCCATCAATCCAGCACAATTCTTATTCTTTTATTCTGTCCTATCCTTAGTGACTTACAAGGTATTGAAGAACCATGGCAATAGAGGTGATGGAGCAGAAAAAAATAATGGTATTGTCTGGAATTTGATCGGAGCTTTCATGTCCGATATTTCCTTGCAAAACCTATTGAAACGTCATGCTTGGAAATACAGAATGCCAAAAATATGACCCTGCATTCCATCTACCCAACATCAACCCAGAAAGTCCTTCAAAAGCTATGGATCCATCACGAAAGCGTTCGTCCGCCGCGGAGCTACCAACACTTATTGCGAAAGCAAAGAGAAAACGCCCCAATGACAATCAAATCTCTTCAAAGGCAATGCTCAGTTCAATACGAATGGAATGGATTTTGCTTGACAATACGTCTTTCCTGAATGAAAATTACTAAAACTAATCTCTCTAACTTTGCAATTTTTGATACAACATGGGCAATAAAAATCAGATTGAAGCTATTGTTCCTGAATCAAAGCTTTATTCAGAGCTCTTGCAATTTGAAAAAAAACTGGATGCCACTATTATGAGGAAGCGTTTGGACCTGCAAGAAACCCTCAATAAACCTGTTAAGGTAAAGGCATCATACTCTAAACCCATAGTGCTGAATTGTCAACATCAGCCTGTAAGATTGATACTAATCGATGGGTTGAATGGCTCTTTTCTTTCTTTTAAACACAATTAGATCAAGCGCACACTTCGCATTTTTATATCCAACCTCTCGCATGATCAAGACGCGTTAGAGTCGGAAGATGAAGAACCACAGTTGGACAAAGGGCCAACACCTTCATGGACCCTTAAAGTTGAAGGCCGACTAGTTGATGTATGTCTTTTTCCTAGCCCGCTGTTGCTTCATTGGGAGTTATTTAGACTTGCTATTTCCTGGAATAGTATCGCTTATTGTCAATGCCCATAATTTACGAATAATAGGAGGTCAATGCTTCGGCGTACAAGAACCGCCAGACAAGCAGGAAATTCTCAAGTTTTTTCAAGTCAGTAATGATTGAACTGGATCGAGATTCCAATTTGTATCCCAACGGTAATTTTGTAGAGTGGCATAAATCACCAAATCAGGCTGATGTTGACGGTTTCGAAATCAAGCGACATGGTGATGAGAACGTCAAAGTGAGGGTGATTCTGCACCTTGATAATTCGCCTGAACGCTTCAAACTTAGCCCCGAATTGGCAGATGTCCTGGCAATTGATGTCGAGACACGGCCTGGTATCATGATGGCATTATGGCAATATATCAAGTTTCACCAACTGCAGGACCCCGAGGATAAGAGGAATATCAACTGTGACCATAAATTAGCTGCTGTAAGTGGAATGAGACTTGTTACCAGGATAGCTGTCACATGGATTAACAGCAGTTACTGATTAATTAATTTGTAACTGATCCGTATCATGTAGCTTTTCAACCAACCCAAAATCTCTTTTCCAGCACTCCCAGAATTGATTGGACGTTTCCTCTCACCTCCAGATCCAATTGTACTGGAATATACCGTTCGTGTAGATAAACCCTATCACCTTTCTCCACACTGCTACGATCTGGACGTGGAAGTTGACGACCCATTGTTCAAAAGCAAGATTTCATCATTACTTTCTTCAACATCACCAAGCAATTCAGCTACCGCCATCAACAGTACGGTTTCCAATACCGCAGCGGCAACCATTACAAACTCTCTTCCAAAACAGATTCATACACAGGATGAACAGATAATGCAATATATCCAAAGTATGCACAACTCTAAAACGAAGCGTGATTTCTTGCTTCGATTCGCAAACGACCCTGTAGATTTTTTGGATCGGTGGGTGGCCTCGCAGAGCAGGGATCTCGAAGTCATCCTAGGAGAGTCTCACGTGAACTTGGAAGAACAAAGACGCGCAGAATTTTACAATCAGCAGTGGGTTAATGAGGCAGTATTCCATTATATGACTGCTAAAAACCAAAAGAAATTGCAAGAACTTCTGAGCGGACATCCACAGGTGGTACCTGCGCCAGGTCCAGCTCCTGGTCCCGGTAGCAATCAGCAACCACTGTTGCAAGGAATCGTACCGAGTGCACCAGGACACCCTTCACAGCAGCAGTTCCAACAGAGTATGCCCCCTGGACACGCAGGCGGACGATTTTAAATCAATCTATTACTCGCATGCTTTTCCACTATTCTTTTTGGTTATCTTTTTTTTTTTTTTTTTTTTTTTTTCTTTTTTTCGATAAATCAGTTCATTACGCCTTTAAAGCTACTTGTACTTATCTAGTTGTTGTTATTGTTGTTAAGGTTTTTTTAAATGCTAATTTGAGGCAGTCTAGGCCATTTCTTCATCTTCATCTTCATTGTACTCGATCTCGCCACCTTCAGGCTCCTCTTGCTCTATTTCTGGACCAATAAGATTTGTGATGGTTTCCAGCAACTCCTGTGTATGTTGCAATAAAGGCTCATCTGTTGAACCCGTTGCATGCCACAACTAACAGATTCACATAAAAGATTTAGTTAAGGAACATTGTGTAGAAAGTCAACTCAATCCAATTCAATCCACTCCAAAAAAAAAAAAAAAAAAAAAAAAAAAAAAAGTAAAGTCTCGCTGCATAGAAGAACAACTTTACCTTTGTACATGCATTTAACGCCTCGCGAGCATTCTCCAGTTGTTCCTTCTTCTCCTCGTCGGCATTGGGCGATTCTGGATCTACTTCTTCTGCAGCAATATAGTTGGCCCATCCAAAGAGATAAAGGGTATCCGGGACCTGGTCGTTCTCTTCAATTAAACCGTTTAACACCGTAAATGCTTCGTCATACATGGCGGTTTCCAAAAGCAGCTTGACAAGGGCAAGACGAGTCTCATAATCTGGCGTTGGTCCATCTTCATCAGTGGGATCTGATCCCAGCCATAGTGCTAAGCCCTGAGCTAATGCCACCTTGGCTTCATCTCCTCGCTGTTGACTCAATCTTACTGAAGCTAGAGTCTGATATACTTCAGGTGTTACAGGCTCGATCTGCATTGCCTGTGCCAAGTAGGCTTCACATTGTGATTCTGCATCGGGCTCAAAGCTATAAGTAACATATTTGAATTCTTAACGAATAAGTAAAATGTTGTATTCTCGTCCTAGCTAGCTTATTATCTGCTGATGATGATTACATAAAAATAAAAAAGGCATTTACCAACAGTCCGTCAAATAGATATCAGTCATCGAGCAAAGTGCAGACGAAATTTTGCTCGATAGCTTCAGATAATCACTTCCTTTAGTGATATCAACTGGCATTTTGGCTCTTTCATCTATCATAAGATTAACGCCTTGTTGAAAATATGAAATCGCCTCAAGTTGCTCCGACATTTGGCCGAGATACATAAACTTTGAATAGCCTGTATCAGGTTGCAGTCTGACACACTCCAAGAAATGCTTAGCAGCAATAACCAGAAATTTTTGGATAAGTTAGCCTTTGAGTATATTGCTTTGATGTTGGTATCTAAAATAATATCGCTCGATCTTTGAGGGGTCAGTACCTCTTTGGCTTCATTAAATAGCTCAAGCTCGACCTCAATGGATCCTGCAGCCTCAAGTGCATTCACATTTTTGGGTTCCATAGACAAAGCCCGCATAGCAAATTGGTGAGCGAGCTCAAACTCGAAGCGGTCAACGGCTTGGTTGGCCTGAGCGAGTAAGTCGTTTACTGTGTAAGTTGGCGCTGATCCGCCTGTTGACCGTGCTGTAGCCTTGGAGCGCTGGAATTTGCCCATTCTTAAAAGTTTGTGAAGAGTGTAGAGGGAGAAACAAATGCCATGCAGCCGTGAATGCAGAGGCAGAACACAACCAGCAATGTTGAGGAGGAAGGACAGTTTTTTTTTTTTTTTTTTTTAAGTAATTGGATAATAAACTAAGCCACTTAAATTTTGCCTAGATTGTAAACTTCATACACCTTGAGAAGTCATACAATAAAATAAAAGTTACGAGGTTAATAATAATAATAATAATAATAATAATAATAACAACAACAATAATAAAAACGTTACAGACATGTCGGATCAAGCAATTTCTTACCTAGTATCTTCATGGGTTCTTAGGCATTTGAGATCACAGTAGCGCATGCCGCATCGATTGCATCGATACCTGCCTTTCCAGCCGCAGACTGAACAAAATTGTCGATCTGGATATCGACTGGGTCCCATTGCTGCTGTTACATACGTGGGAATACTATTATTAAGGCTATCTGTCAAAAGCCCTGATTCTTCTAGAAGCTGGCTCAATGGTTTGCGTGATAATAATGGTTTCCGGCTACCAACCATTGGACTCGAACTAGAAGCAGAACTATTGTTGAGAATGCTACTGCTATTACCGTGGTTTGCCGTGTTACTGCTTGACGTATGAATGTTATGTTTTTTGGATCGACTTCCAGATAATGTTCCTGAGGGTTTATTCCCCGCCGCCACAGCCCCTAGCCCAATAGTACCGACAACGCCTCCAACAATGGAACCAACTGATGAGCCAAGGGGTGGTAAAATCCCTAGAGGGTCGAGGTTGGTGTGGGTAAGACTGATGGGTCCTTGAGCCGTGGCAGCAGCAGCGGCAGTAGCGATGATAGCCTCGTATTCATTCAGAGCTACGAAGTTATCGCGCTCTAAAGAATCAAGGTGGTGTCGGACTTGACGCTTTCGCGCCTCCGCATCTAGCACTTTTGGCGGCGCTATATTTTAATATGGATTGCAGAATGGTAATGAAGTGATTGATGAGAATAGGTCGAGATGAGTTATTAAATGGGCACCATGCTGACACAATGTTTTTTTTTTTACCTGTTTTCGTGCCACGATCTGGTTTCCTAGACATCACTGAAGGTTTTTAATGCCAGTCTAGTTGAATAAAGTAGAGTGTTACAAAATTCTGCAACTCTTCCATTTAACATTAATAAGTCCCTCACCAAATTGTTACCCACAGTATTAATCAGCAGCTCCAACCAAAAGTTGCAGTTTTGTTTTTTTACTCATTCCATCCAAGAATCTTTCTACGTCCAATATGGCCCCGACACTAATGAAGGTATTCACCTCTGGGCTGTGCACCACCATGCACACACCTCAGTATGAATTTCTATCTGGTGCTGAAACACACTATTTCGGTAGGCAATGGCATATTTGCAAGCTCCTTGCACGCTCCTTTGTGCTTTTGGTACATGGTATTCGCCGTACTGATATAGCCTTCCTTTTTTTTTTTTTTTTTTTTTTTTTTTTCCTTCGCTTTTACTACGCAGAGAGCCCTGAACGTCGTGAAGCCATTCTCAACTTTCTGAGATCGCATCCAGATATGTTCGAGGTCACCGAATATTTCGAAGATTTTGGTTACCAGCCTATCAAGCGTGTACATAAGAAAGACTTTTTAGAGTATCTCGAGACCGCCTATGAGGAATGGATCGCAGAGGGAGGCCATCCCAATGGAGTTTTGCCTGCAACCATTCCACACCATAAGCTTGCGCGCTTGGGTAGGCTCAAAGCTTCAAACTGCCTCGCAAAATCAGGTCAATACTGTTTCGATCTATCCGCCGTAATTACTAAAAGTAACGTCTTACAATAACTCACCTGAAGATGATACGTTATTTTATTCGATTGTAATTTTTTTTTTTTTTTTTTTTTTTTTTTTTTTGCCGATAGACACGTTCAAATCTGCCTGGAATGCAGCACAGATTACATTAACTGCGGCCAAGGAACTCGTTCGTATTGGAGAAGAGTATGAGATGAACGTCACCGATGGCTCCTCGAGAGAAAATCCTCCTGGTTTGTACGCTCTAGTACGTCCCCCGGGACATCATGCGCAATCTGATCTCTGTGGCGGTTATTGTTTCCTTAACAATGTTGCGATCGCTACCCAGTGGCTGATTGACCAGCCTGAGCTAAAGCGTAAAGATGGCGGACTCAAGAAAATTGTAATCCTTGATATCGACTTCCATCAGTAAGTGATCATGAACGATTACTTTAAGACACATTGATGTCTTTTGATTCTATTTAAGATGAAGGATCTATGTTAATATTTTCATCTTTACGATAGTGGAAACGGAACGCAAGAGATCTTTTATACCACTTCCAATCCTCTTTACATCTCTCTCCATTCAGATGATGACTATCCTTATTTTACCGGATCAGAAATCGAAAGAGGCGAAGGTGAAGGTTTGGGTTTCAATATCAACCTTCCTCTACCTAAGGCAACCACCGACGATGATTATGTAGAGGCGCTTGAGAAGCTTATTCAAGAACATATCATCCCATATAAGGCAGATTATGTTATTGTGTCACTGGGTGTCGATACCTTCAAGGATGATCCCATTGCAGGATTCTTAGTTACATCCGAAGGATATCCTAGAATTGGGAACGCAATCCGAAAAATCGGCCTACCCACGTTGTTCGTGCAAGAAGGAGGATACTGCATCGAGATGCTTGGCATTAATGTAGGCGGCATTTTGTCAGGGTTTTTAGGTCGAGCTTAAAGAGATATGTAGAATGGATGATCTTCATTTGAAGCTTTTAGAAGGAAGAGCACCATAAGATAAAGCATTGGAACCAAATTCATCATTTAGATCCTACGTTGGGTAGGCGCTCAATACTTCAATTCGAATTTTGGTTTACAATTATTCTCACTGAACCATAGCTTTCTCATAATCATAATGATTGACTATCGAAATATAACTTTAAAGAATTGTACAATGCTGAATGAAAAAGGACTAGCTATTACTTTATAGACATGATCCATCTATATGTTTACAGTTGCTTGGAAGGAAGCTGAGTCAACAAAATACCGAAACGTTTCTTGAGAGTAACACGATGACGGGAGTACTTGTCATCAGGTGAAAAGCGAGCGGGATGGGCGGATTTAGTAACCTTGCCAGCAGGGGTGAGTTTCTATATTACAACAGCCAAGAAAACAGAGAAGAGTTTAGAATCCATGAATGATAAAATCATAAAAAGCGATGGTTATAACACAGCTGTTTTGTTACCTTGAGGGTGTAGATACGCTTGCCCTCAGGCGACAAAGTGTACATAAGATGCATCTGAAGAACAAAAAAATTGGTATTTTGCTGTTAATTTCCAGTGTTGATAAGTATTCTAGACACATGCTTATTTGTTTCCTGTAAGGTGCCATTCGATTCAAATGCTCGTCGTAGATAGAAGCCACTCTGATCGCTGAAGTTGAAATAGTCTGATTGTACTCAAGATCTTTTTGTATAGATGCATTCATGATGCTCCTCTAGCTCGAGTCCATACCTTTTTGTAATGAATGAAGAAATGTGGTTTACTGGTTTTTTTTTTTTTTTTTTTTTTTCTTAATGTTTAGAGTGGCTTGGAAGCATATTTTGTTGGACTTGAACGCAGATCCTGGCATCATGTCTAATGTAATGTTCATGTTCACTACATCACGTGGGGTTCATTTAATTCTGGTATCGCAACAGATCAGTTTTTTGTACTCCTCAGCTTACTGAATTGCATTACTTTGAAGTGATGCTGTCCGCAAATCCAATTAATCATGTCTCATACCCCACTCTGCGATCCGTATTTTGGGCTATAAAGCAGGCATCTACAGCCATACGCACGACACACTCCGGGACTTTCACGCATCTGCCTACGAAGACAAAGAATGTCCATGGCAACCACAAAGTAATATCTCAATGGGACTAGACATAGGCAATTGTGAATCGTGCCAAAGCCTTATTTGGTGAATAATCTGGTTCACATAATGTATTTTGCACCTGCATATCTTGTATATCTCCAATTGATACTACAGATCAAGACATACATCTCCACATTAAACGATCCCTGGACAAACCTTGCGTTCGAAGAATGGTAACGATCAGTGGAAGCAATTTGTATAATCCATTAGATATAAAATGACCCGATATTCATCGAACTTTTTTTTAAATAATAATAATAATAATAATAATAATAATAATAATAATAATAATAATAATAATAATAATAATAATAATAAATAAATAAGGCTCTTTAGAAACTCGGATCCGGAGACATATATTTTGTTTCTATATCGGAATTCAAGATCAGTTATAATTGGTCGAAACCAGGTAAAACCAGAGGACATGGACGATTATGGCGATGTTAATGCATTGGCAAAGTTAGTGTTGACTTCAAAAAAATTCTACATTTCTAGAACCCATGGAAAGAGTGTAATTTAAAACTTCTAGCAAGGGATGGCGTACCATTTGTGCGACGTAAGAGCGGAGGAGGAACCGTTTATCATGTAAGAATCCTTGTCTGTAGTGGGCGATTGACAAACATTGCCAGCCAATGCCATCTAATTTAGCATCGCTTAATGACGCTGTCGGTACTACAGGATATGGGAAATACCAATTACTCTATCATGATGCCTAGAGAGGCCTTCGATCGTCGGACTAATGTGGAGCTAGTTTGTCGTGCTCTTCAAGAACTGGACATACCAGCCGTTGTGAATGAGCGCCACGATATTACCCTGGATGGCAAAAAGATACTGCCCTTTTTTTTTTTTTTTTTTTTTTTTTTAATTTATGGTGATTGCCACTTTTAAATCCCACATCAAATGAGTTAACGAAAACTTTTTTTTTCAATTTTGCGGATTACACATTTCAGGTTCTGCATTCAAGTTGATCCAAAAGCGAGCTTATCATCATGGAACCATGCTCATTGATACCGATCTTGGATCATTAGGACAATATCTTAAAGTAGACAGATCCAACCTCACTACCAAAGGTGTTGCTTCTATCCGATCACCTGTAACACGTTTACGTGAGTACTCGTTCACGATTGATCACTTATCATTCTGCGAAGCAACGAAGGCAGAGTTTTTAAAGAAATATGCGTTTGAACAATGGCGACAAAACCTGGAGGAAGACTTCATCGTGGTGGACGATGTAATGATCAATGAAATAGAAGACGTCAAGCTGATCCGCGATGATATGAAGACGTGGGAGTGGATGTTCGGGCAAACGCCCGAATTTACGTATCGTCTTGAACATGTCTTTTCCTGGGGAATTGTTGTAAGCTTTTGAGTAAAAAGAAGAAAATATACTGAAGTTCTTAATTGATACTTGATTAACCTTTTTTTTTTTTTTTTTTTTTTTTTTTTTAATTGGCATTTATACCATAGAATATTGTGATTACATCCAAAGAAGGATTAATTTGTAAAGTCAATATTGATTCTATGGACGACAGCATTGGAGCACAGTCATTATCACTCACAGCACTAAGCGTCGGGATGGAAGGCCAGCGATACGATAGACAGGGACTGGATTTAGCAGTCGAGAGAATCAAGAATGAAGCACCAGAAGTCTTTTCACAGCATAGCGCTATAGAAATGATCAGAGACGTTGTCAATTGGCTTAAAGAACAACTTTAGAACTTTAGATTGCTATTAGATCTTTACAGCCTGTGATAATCTCTTTCAAAATAAATGCTTTAGACAAGAATAAAACAAAGGTTATACACTTTTTTTCTTCTTTGTTCTTCTTTCTTTCCTACTCTACTTTTCTATGACAGAAAAACTGCTCATAGAGCGGATTGTTTGTTTCCTCTACCCAATGATAATTCAGATTCGCCAGATATTTTGCAAACTCTTCATTGTCCTCTTTTGGTACTTGCAATCCGGCTAGTACCTTGCCCATATCTAGTAGTAAATAATCAAGACCGTGTTAGAACACAATATTCCAGGTTAGGCAATAGACAGCGGCATATATCTATCAAATGTCAATATATACCTGAGCCATGATTACGATAATGAAAGAGTGACACATTCCATCCAGCTCTCAATCCCTCTAAGAATTGCAACAATGCACCAGGTCTCTCTGGAAATTCGAAGCGGATCATCCTCTCATTAGCAGCGTCCGATCTACCACCGATCATGTAGCGTGCATGGCTCTTTGCCATCTCATCCTCACTGATATCCCAAGCCTGCATATCCTCTCTGTTTAGAGTCTCCATGATCACGGGTACCTCCCTCCGTCGATCCTGACATAGGAATGACATAAAGATCTGCGCTCTCCTGTTAGCCGCGTATCTGTATGAGAATTCAGTGACCATCAGGGGATGAATGTGCTTGTAGAGTTTCAAGAAGGCCCCTGGTTGTTCAGGTATAACAACTGATAACAATGCCTCCTTCTGCTCACCAAGCAAGGCTCGCTCTGCTACAAAGCGGAGTCTTTCAAAATTCATATTTGCACCAGAGGTCACAGCCACACAAGTCTTGCTCGTTAGATTGTGTTCCCGCAAGTATTTTTTACATCCTGCTACTGCTAATCCTCCTGCAGGCTCAACGATTGAGCGCGTATCTTCAAAGATGTCTTTGATAGCGGCGCAGATCTATGTTATGAATAGTAAAAGGCATTTTATAAGTTTTTTTTTTTTTTTTTTTTTTTTTTTTTTTAAAAAAAAAAAAAAAAAAAAAGAGCTAAGTGTAGCACTATGTTAGTGATTTACTCAAATATATAAAGCATGCCCTTACCTCGTCGTTTGTCACCTCAACCATTTCATCAACTAAAGTTTGGCACAACCTGAAAGGCTCTTCTCCTACTACTTTGACTGCTGCTCCATCTGCAAAGAGACCCACATCTGTGAGTTGCACTCTCTTGCCTTGTTTAAGACTCTGTGTCATCGCGTTGGCATCAGCAGTCTCACAGCCTACGATCTTGATATGAGGGGCTACTCTCTTCACATAGGCTGCAATACCAGCAATCAGTCCTCCGCCGCCGACACAACAAAATATGGCATCAATTTCTTGCAGATTGTGCTGTCGCAAGATTTCGGCTCCGATGGTTCCTTGACCGGCAATTACATATGGATCATCAAAAGGTGGAATATTGGTGTAATTTTCTAAAGCAGTCAACCGTTCGCATTCGGCTTTAGCTTCATCAAAGTTCTTTCCATGTAAGATTACGGTGGAGCCTAGCCGCAACACATTTCTTGACTTGATTTCGGGTGTTGGAGTGGGCATCACAATGGTCGCCTTGACCCCCATGGTTTTGGCGGCTGATGCAACTCCTTGTGCATGATTGCCAGCAGAACAGGCGATCACACCCCGACGGCGCTCTTCCTCTGAGAGATGTGCCATTTTATTATATGCCCCACGAATCTTGAATGAAAATACATCTTGAAGATCCTCTCGCTTTAAGTAAATATTATTCTCAGTGCGGCTGGAGAGGTTGATGGCATGCGTTAAAGGTGATTGTTTGACTATATCGTAGCATCGAGCAGTGAGGATAAGGCGAAGATAATCTGGCTGATCCTGTTGCTGTTGGCCGTTGCAACCATCAAAGTTGTAGTCGACAGCAGAGGACGACTTCAAGGGGCTGCTTGGAGACGACTGTGTGCGGCTATATGGAGGCACATAGGTGGATCGGATCGGTTGTTGTTGGTTTTCTGATACTGTCGAAGGCATGGGGGCCATGGCTATAAAATATCGTAGGGGCAGTGAGGAAAGGAAGAAAGAAAATGTTTAACTTGTTGGAAGGAAAAGCACTATTTAAGGATTGACCAATGATATTGATTATTCAATACATCCATATGAGTATACATATTTTTTAGAACAGTCACCTGAGTCATATGTGTATATAATACTTGGCTAAAGGTAGAACAGTATGGCTCTATCAGATGGCTTGGCGAGGCGCTCCAGACTGGGGCACCTAAAGCATGTTAGTTACCGTATGATGGAGAGAGGGACACTCAGACAACCCACATAGGGAGGTAAAGCGGTAATGTGGTGCTGAAGTGCCTATTCCATACACGAAAACCGAAGGAATACTCTACTTGTTGCGAGAGCTCTTCCTTACCAATAACGCTTTCCTTTCCCCCAATTTAGCCTTTTAATGGCTCTGCTTCCATAAAAATCGTCCAGCATCCTGATTAGACGGAACGTCGTCCTAAGTGACTGTTCAGTACTAATGGACTTGATAGCCATCTACCAACAAGGAACATAGTCTTGTGTTATTTGCTCTTTATCAATTCGATATCCCAATGCAGGTAGATATAGTGGCAACCATTTCAGATGATTTCACATTTGATTTGGCTTGCATAGACCATGCTATAAAATGAAGCCTTAGTGAGAACCCTTGTTCTTACTTCAGTATAAACTTCGTATTTTTCCAAAAGAGAAATCTGGTATCTTAAGGAATTGTCTTATTAGAAAGGGCGTTAGAGAATGTCCAGCTAGACTGTTACAGCTTGTTCATTTTGATGAAGCGACTTTATTGACTACTAATCCTTACTACCTATACCTGTTTGTTAATTAATCTTTTCTCGTACCCGACTACAATTATAGCAGAACTATCACAGGGACGCAAGACCCCTTCCTTTATTCGATGCTCTTTGTATTGGACAGCTTTACTTTGTTTTGCTTGCTACACCTTGCTTGAGGAAAGATGACAAATCAATATATTCTAGACACAGAATAGTAAAAGCAGTGCATGCATCCAACATCTATGCGACATGTCTTCCTTGAGTTAAGCACTTAATCATGATAACATGAGGTTATTTTTATTATTATTTGAACCTTGAAAATAGAGGGGACAAAGGCACTGAACAACATGCTTGTGAGGTGCCATGAATATGTAATTTACATCTATCCTGACCCTTACTACAGTGCCCTTCCGAGATTGAACAAAGCATTTCAGGTAGCCCAGGCAGTTTTAAGATCATAATGTTATGGGAGCCAAGGATATTGCGAGTGTGTGAAGATAATCTATATAGGTTGCAAGATCCATGAATTACGTACCCCAGGCTCCCAATACATCTACCGCCTCGTCAGTTCAAGTAACAAAGATCAATAGCCAAGAGAAGTGAGGAATAATGACGAAGCAAAAAAGACAAGAGGAAGATTTAAAAACCCGAAGTGATGTAGAGCCAAGTTGATCAAGAGTAGGGATGGAGGATCAATTGGAGCAGGCGTAGGATCAAGTGGGTTAAGGGTAGGACCAAGGTACTGAGTACAGTGTTAATCATTATGAGGAGGATAATAATGACTATTCAGAGTCGTGGTGCTGCTGTAGATCTCGCTGCAATGTCATGTGAACTTAGTCAGTGGTAGGAGCCGCTTTGCTTAAAAAATCTGTAATTTGTTACTTCAACCTCAAATGTTACCATGGAGTACAAATTAACTGTCGTTGTTGCACAAAATTATGGATTTTTTATTAATGCTGAAAGAAGCTTTTGTAAAAATGATATGTGCAAACCTCAGAGGTGACATTAAGGAGCTAGATATATATAGAGTTGGCCTTGGAAGTGGTACAAAGAAGCTTCATGGTACGGTATTAAACTTTATTGAAGCTGAATGAGAGGACAATTTGGTAAGTGTCCACGGTGTGTCAAGAAATTAGCCACCCGCTGCTTCTTTTCCTTGGGCTCACAATCTTTCCAGGTAATTACAATACGCTCCTCTTGGGCCGGTGGTGATAGAGCTGAAATAGATTTTTCGTTTACAGCCAGGTCGTCGACGACGTCTTGTTCACGAGCCACTGCTTCTCGTTCGTCATAATCCTTCCTGGATTGAACAAACGATGCCGCACGTACTTGATATCTCAGGAGGATGGGCAAGAGCTTCCAGAATGTAAATTCAGGCCAGTAACAGTCAGTAAACTCGATATGACATGCTCTTGAGCTCTGCCACAACATGAAGTCGCTCAGACGGATTTCGCCAGAGGTTCGGATTAATAAATCCATTGGAGGGCAAGAGCGAGTGTAAAGACTGCTCTCCAATGTGCTGGTCGTAACGTCGCTAACAAATATCAGAAAAACAACGAATAGTTTCTCTTTAGTTAAGAAAGCGAAGGATAAAAGACCTGAGTGTTCTTTTTCTTTTTCTTTTTCTTTTTTTTTTTTTTTTTTTTTTTTTTTTAATACCTTGGATCAAGTTCATGAGCCTCAACACCACTCACTAACGACCGGGATGCCATAGTGAGCTCTTCCCGTGATGTATAAGGAAAGCACATGTTTAAGACAGCTCTGTTATTATGCTTTGTCGAATCTACAGCACGATGGACTGCAGCACGGACATCTTCTGGCAGCAGGGAAACATCTCCCAAAACGCGTACACTGACACCATACTGTCGGACGAGCTCACTACCGAATAGGAAAAAAAAATAAATTAAATAGTTGGTATCAGCAGTTTGCAATGTCCAGTCAAGATAATAATAAAATTGTAGTAAAGTTAATAGTGAATGGTTGAACAATATTTAATGACGCGTGATTCTACTGTTGGCATGCATTGAATTGAAATGGCGAAAGTAGTACATGCAGGCGCTGCAGACAACAACTGCTGTGTCTGTTCTGTATAGAGCCCAGCTTTTCCCGTGCATAAACTCAAACTAAACTAAGGGTCAACGCAGTATTTGGATCACTTTCATGTGCCTAATACAGCAAAATGCGTTTGCAGCATGCAGGTCCGGGAAGAGACATGGAGAGGTGGTATGGATAAGATAGGGGATATACTATACCTGTTTTCAGCTAGCTCGGTCAGCTTATCCTTTGCAAGCTCCATTAAAAGTTCTACCTGTTCACGAGGACGCTTGAAGTTTTCGATACTGAAGGCATATACGGTAACAACCTTGACACCAAGTTCCATGCAAACAGCAAGAGTCTGAGATGAAAGAAGAGAAACAATTATTAATGGGCTTGAAATCGATAAAGCACAAAAAAAATTAATTGATTCTAAATAAAGCTTGTGTTAAGATTAATGTACCTCTGCCAGGGCATCGTATCCAAGGTAGTAGCCCTTATTGCCGACATTAACTTTTTTTCCATAGCGACGATTGCCATCCATAATGAATCCGACATGTTGAGGGATGGCACCCTGTTGCATTGCCTTAATTGCAAGCGTGCGCAAGAAAATGCGTGACATTAGTGTAGATCAATTGAACAAATAAAGAAAAAGAATCAAAGGGATCAATGCACTAGTGAAGGAAAAGTGGTTGATATGCTATACGGGTAAGGTGAAGAGGGAAGTGAGGAAGAGTGAAAGAGAACGCAAGAGTGGAGGAAAGAAAGATAAAAACAGATAAGAGTTTGCTTTAATTTAAATCGATGTTTTACATGCCATTGTCGTTGGGGTGCCTGGCTGGTGTACCACAAAACATTGATCATCAATTGTGCCACATCCATAGATCATCTGATATAATTAAGGCAACTTAATTACTAAATTATAATTATTAATATTTGTATCTTAGTAGTTTAATATGGAGCTTAGTGCACATTAGGGAGATGCTTAATGAAACAAGTGCTCTCCCTCGCCTCCCCCTTTTTTCCCTTCCATTCAATTATTAATTTCATCAAATTCTCATCCTTTCTTTCTTTCTTTCGTTCTTTCTTTCTTTCTTTTTTTTTTTACCTGTTCGAACAATTTGACTGGTGAGTGATCCATCTCTTAATTCTTTCACTTACTTTCTCGTTTGTGCTTTTCTCTCCCTCTTTCTATTTTTTTTTACATTGTGGACAGACAGCATTTCGTCTTGCGCGTGACTGACCTGAGTGGCAAAAAAAAAAAAAAAAAAAAAAAAAACTGACCTGGCTTTCTATTGCGGGGGCAATCATGGTTATTTTTTGATAATTGAATATAGATGGCGGACCCACGTAATTATCGCCCCGGTCCATACGGGCCAGGATATTCACCACAGCAGAACCAACAGCATCAGCAACACCAGCAACAGCATCAACAGCATCAACACGGCTACAACACTGGATTTTATCCCCAACAGCCTCGCCCTGGGCCTCCAGGAGTAGGGGGCATGCCTATTCCTCCTCAATCTCATTTCAATTCTGGGCCACATCAGCCTCCATATCCGCCTGTGTTCAATGGAAGCAATCACAACGTGGGATACCCTCACCCGACGCGTCCGGGCCCAGGACCAGGACCAGGACCAGGATTCAACTATGGTCCCAGTGGAAATAATTTTGGAGGTACCATGCCAGGGGGAGGAGGGAGACCTTCAGCACAAAGCTATAGACCTGGAACACCGCCACCTCAGCATACTTTACCCTCGCCTATGATGACACCACAGATGCACTCTCTACGGCATCAAGAATGGCCTGTTGCAGGCAGGCCTCCATCAAATATGCCAGCGTTCCCACCCAACGTCAATTCAGGCTTTGGCCCCATCTCCAATCCTCATGGGCAGGGACATGAAGCTTCAGGATATATACCCAAGCCATACGCCCCCCCAATATCTCACTCGAATCCACCTTCGCATAGCGGGCCTGGAGCGCCGCCACATCCGTCTTTTAGCCCAAGCGTGAGTACTGCCGCTACATCTCCTTCGGCAGCCATGCCAAAGCATTCAGACCCATCCTCATTTCCTAACCTGAGGCCGCCGACAAACTCAAATCCACTGACCATGCCACAGCCTTCAACATATCGCCCAAAGACTAGCTACCAACCTACATCGTCGTTCTCTCCAAAGAAGGAGTCGAAAAAGCCTCTTTCTGTACCATCCCCTAGCCTATCGTGGCAGTCAGCAACCTCTGGTACTTCAATTCAAAATCACCATGGATACCAGTCATCACAGAGCCAGCATCGTCCACCCTTGCATCCCAGCGAATCGTTTGATGCAGATGACAGACCCACGGAACTGATTCCCATCCTTGACGATCACAGCCCCGGTCATGCTCATCTAAGCGCTCAGCATCCACCGTCCACATCTTCCACTGTACCTCCCTCACCTACTTTGGTAGCTGTCTCACCATCGCCCTCTTTCACTACCATTTCTTATCTTCCAGCATCACCTGGTCCATCTGACTTAGAGAACCGTCCGACAGAATTACCAGTACAGGATGTCTTTCAGCAGCATGAGTCATCCAGAAAAGCGAACACTGTCCCAATGACCCAGCCTATGCCGCTCGCTCCATCTACGCCACTGTCTGCTCCTATTACAAAGTTTCCGACGGCAACTACTTTTGTACCATCTACCACCTACAAATCCACCAAGAAGGAGGCATTCAAAGCCCCACCGCCGCCTCAGCCATCAAATACCAATAACTTCGATACCACTGTCAAGGTGGAGGTTTCCAGCGTCAAGGTGGAGGTTACTGATGTCAAGATAAGTAGCAACCAGCAGCAGTACAGCAATTCTTATAAGGTTAGTCTCAATAATCCGCCTGTACGGCAACAAAGCAACGCATCCTTGGATAGCCCAATTTCCCTTGATGGTTTGATGGATAGTATTGAGGCAATGGCACGGCCCTCATCGTCTCCTCTAGTGGCTTCTACCCATCAAGGTCCTACCTCACAACAGCTTGGTAGTGCTGACTACTTCAAACCTCTCCCAGTTATCAAAGGAAACGAGGCAGAGCAGAAGCGTTACTCTTTATCGGATGCCCCCGTCGCATCAACTTCCTCACCAGGCGTCTCGCGGCTCGTTCCAAAATCGCATGCCAGTTCACACTTACCACCATTTCCCGAGGACCAAGGCGATTTATCAAATACCAGTAATCCAAATGTATCTAACACGGCTACGCGAACTACACAGCCCTCTGCGGGTGGACAGTCTAACGTTACTTTATCTCATGGGAGAAATCAAGGCGAATTAGAACAGGCCTCATTCCAACACAATTCAACGGTGCAATCTCATCCACCACATAACCACAATCATATTGGAGGCAATGCAATGATGCTCTTTAGTCAGCCAGAGTTTGTTCACAACCCAATCACTTCCATGGCGGCACTTGCCGATCGCCCAGAACAGAAAGCGCCTTCGATGGTACGTCGAGGAAAGACTCTCCGGAGAGCGGCCGGAGTAACCGGGGCAAATCACCAAGTGGAACAAACCCTTGTACCTCCGCCGCCACCAACAAAGGTGACATCTGAAGAACTTTATCCTTATCTGCTCAGACTCGTTCTTTTGGCTCAAGAGGACGAAGCGCCGCCGCCTACACCAGCTTTGCCTGTCACTAACAAGGACACCCATAAGGATCTCGTAAAAGTATTGAGGTCCAAAGTGAAGGATATTCTGTCAGGCAAGGATCAGAATCCAGCATATCAGGATTCAGTTGTAAAAAAGGCCCTCAGCAACATGGAGCCAAAGCAGTTCAAGGCTTCTACCAATGCGGAGGAGCTTATGCTTGGGTTTTCCATAGAAATGTCCAGGATTCAACAGACTATGAACATACCTACCAACAATCGAGACGCCCAAATCAGCATTATGGTTAATTTGCTACGCGAAGCTATACAACAAGATCCATTTGTTGGCCATGAGGCGATTTTACAACGGTTAGATAAGCAAGTGAAGACGACCGCTACAAAGCCAAATAACTCTACAGCGCAAGCGGAAGAGCATACAAAGGTGATTAAGGAGCTGTTTAAGCATCTGGAAGCTGTAAGACATCAGCGTATGAATGACCTCCGTCGAAACTCGACTAGACAGGTATGCCTTTTATTATAACTTCCTCCTTTTATGTTTGCTTAACCACTTTTGTGAAAGCTGTAGTTCTGCTATTGGCGCTTTCTAAACTTTTTTTTTTTTTTTTTTTTTTTTTGACAAGGCTGCGATTGAGGACTTGAAAAAGTGTCTCTCCAATCTTGAACTTGATTCATTCCCGTACCCCGGCATGGCAGACTACCATCATAGAGAACATCATGAAGAATTCAAGACGCGCGAGCGCAGTGCACTCAATGGCTTCATTCGTGGTCTTTCTGCTGGTCGTCCCAACTTGATGTCAATCAATACCCCATCAAGGCTATATCATCCTGTAAGTAAAACAGTACCACGTGCACGTAAGCTCTAAACGGACTTTCTGAAATATATTGCAGAATATCTGCTAACATCTTTAATGCCGTTTAGAATGAGTTTACTTTCATTCCAGAGAATCCTAAAGCATACTACCATGTGCTCTTAGAGATGTGTGTAGATCATGCTATAGCATCGCGTAAGGAGGATGATCCCGCAGCAAACCTTCTTTCCACTCCAACACGGGCTCTTTTGATTGATTGTGGTGTTCGTTGGCGATTAACTTCCAGTTGGAGAGAAATCATGTATATGGAAATCATTAAAGAACGATATAGAGAAGGCAAAGTTTCTGTCCACTTTCTCTTGGACTTCCTTCAAACAAAGTTTTACAAGGATTCTGAAGTGCATCAATGGCATATTTCTGAGGTAGGGAAAAAAAAAAAAAAAAAAAAAAAAAAAAAAAAGGATCTAGTCATAACTGCTTTATTTAGTGATTGCTGCTTTGTCACAGCTTAACAGTTACAAATCTTGTTTCTCAACAGGTCAATATGTTAGGAGATGTATATGGTGGCCTGAACCATATGATATTTGACAATATCAATCACGATATTAAGGACTTGGAGTCAGTCAGCGCAGCATATTTCAGGCCAATGATGGATATTCTTGACCGCGTGCATCAGCAAGAAGTATATCAGCGATTGAACATCGATTTGACACCTTTTTTTGAGGATATAAAGGAGACTGTATTATTGGAGTCGATTCGTAGCTATAACGCCAAAGATGCTGAGGTTCAAAAGGAAGGATATGAAAATGAAACCGTTCCCTTAACAAAAATGGCTCTTTATATTGTGTCTGAGCATGGAATAATGAAAAAAAGGTTCCCACAGCCACTGTTCGGGTAAGTATGCAAGCATTTTTATGCCTTGTCCTCCACCCCACCCCTCTTTTTTTTATATTAATGCTTTTACTATCTTTCATAGTGCTGTCGATGTTGCTGCTATCGTAGTAGAAAACAATCTTCGAAATTTTGTTCCTCTGATGCAGAATATGGCCAATATGGATGCAAAGAAGCTACCTATGGCTGATGTGTTTCCATTATACCAGCTTTGCCGCGAGCTTGTTACCCTTTTTGAGCTGTATGCGCCAAGGTATGTTACTTAATGGGTTTCGATCGATTTAAGTGATCGGTAGCGATACATTACGAATCCTCATATTTTTATTCATTCTTGTACTATATAGCTCAAGTGCTCATTTTAATATCTCCACCTGGTTTAAGCCTTATGTTCATAAATACCTGGAGATGCTTGACGCATCTATTACCGAATGGGTCACAGCTGCTATCAAGCAAGATCAAGTATGACCATGTTGTTTTTGTACAATGGCGAAGTATTTTATTTTTTGTACCGTGAATGGCTGGAGATAATACCAGCGCCAAACATCATACTTACTCTTTTCCCACTATTATTAATATTAAACGCTCATCACTAGTTTGAGGAAGTGAGTGTTGGCGCAGGCCATTCTTCCTCCGCAAGCGACCTCTTTGCTTTCTTTTATGAGCCTTTGACCTGGGTCAAGGGATTGAATTGGCCAGATGACTATCAAAGAGCAATATTTATCTCCAGTCTTGCTAAAGTATTTTGCAAGGCTGTGGATTTATATGCGCAATACATGGAAACAATGTTCCACGGCTGTATGCCTTCCTCGGTCTCATCCGTGGCATCAACAGAATCCAAGACTCTTACTGAGCAGCTTGCGTCGTTTACCTTCAGATCAGAAAGCACAGAGGCAAAGAAAGCGGCGCAATTTGTATTCACACCTAAGGTATTCGAAGGATAAGGACTGTGGTGTCGCTGATGTATGTGTGCTTCATTAGTATTTACCTTGGTAATATTTCGTGGTTAACTAGATGTGCGTTCTTGTGAACAACATTGAAGCCGTGCGACAACGGCTAGATGAGCTCTACCGCAACATGGATGTAGACAATACTGTTCAAACACTTCGAGATCATCAAGGTGATATTGAATCCGATCCAAATGCCCCGCAACAGTTTGAAATTATTTTTGTCTGCGCGGAAAGACTGCAACCAATGGATTCAAACGAGGCTAGCGACCCCTTTATTGTGATGTCGCATGAAAATAAGGAAGTCTTCCGATCCAAAACCATTTACGCAAACATCAATCCACGCTGGAATGAGGTCTATCAGGTGACTTTGACTAAAGAAATCACTTACCATATCCAAATCTTTGACGCGGACAAGATGCATAAAGATCGATTGTGCGGATCACAGTACTTAATCATCAATCCTGAGGACTACGAGGACTATATGGCACATGATGTATGGCTAGATTTGATACAAATCGGCCGCCTTTTGTTACGAATCACGATGAAGGGCGAACGTGATGATGTCCAGTTCTTTTTTGGTAGAACTTTCCGGTCTTTAAAGCGCAAAGAAGCTGATATGAGCGGCATGATTGTAGATGCTGTAAGTCTGGGGAATTGGGTCTTCACGTATTTCTTTATATGTATATGTTGATTTTGAAGGCTTATGATAGGCTAACGCTGTCCAAAAATCCTGCAGATGGTACCATGTGCACAAGCTTGCTTGACAGAAAAGGTCCTTTTTAGCAACTTCCGGTCCAAGGCTCTATTTCCTTTCTTTAGCAGCTCTGTTTCATCTGCTAAAGTCACAAAGGTGTCAGATGAGGATTGCGATAATGCACTTGGTCAGCTAATTGATTATCTCGAAGCATCTTTGCCGGTTCTCTATGACTATCTCACAACTGAAGGAATGACACTTGTGATCACAAGGCTTTGGAAGGAGATCTTGATTACTATTGAATCGCTGCTAATGCCACCACTTTCAAACACTGTATCTGATCGGACGCCATTGACTGAAATAGAAATGCATGTTGTCTTCAAAATTGTAGAGGTAAAATATTTACAAACAAACGATGTGAACAAACATTGACGTGCAAGTCTCTGCGTTTGATAAATAGACATTTTTCTTTTTCTGTGTTCTGCTTGCCCATATTTGTCAAAGCGCTCGAGACTAACATAAAGTTCTACGTTTCCATATAAAAATATTATCTGAAATGGTTAGTTTATCAAACTCTATCTGAATGGTGGAGATGCAGGAGATGGTTTCCCATTGAAGGTTCTTGAGATTCCAAAGTATAGGGATCTGCTGACAGTTCGACCCATCTATGACGCGTCAACTGAAGAATTGATTGCAGAGTATAATCGGGCTCTAACTGTGCCGGGACGCGGGCGCCTAGCCAGGCAACAGAGCGATTATGATCGTCGGGCAGGGGGTGTAGCCAAACGACCCAGTGCCGATTCAATGACGCCAAACCCTGAAACAATTTTGAGGATTTTGCGAATGAGGCATGACGAGAATGTTGAACCCTTTTTGAAACAAGCCATCGAAACACAGTCCAAGATTCGTGAGGAACGAGCACAGGCCAAGCGAAAGCAACTCGTGTACCAAAGGCAAATTCAACGTGATCAACTTTAAAAAAAAATAGACTTTCTCCATATATCCATATTCTTTTTCTTGTTGCCTTTTATTATATTATAACAAACAAAAAAAAAAAAAAAAAAAAATTACTGGAGGTTTGCAGATGCGAGTACTTGTCGTGCGATTCGTCGCTGATCAATGCGGCGCTCACCAAATTGTAAAGATCCTTTCAAGATCATAGTGGCTAATGTCTGTCGCTTCTGAATACCCTCTGCATTCTTCCAGCGGACCAATAAGCTCAGGACCTGGTTCCTATTGACGCTCTCTGTTACACGATAACACACGTCCATGGCATGCTCTAGCGACGCTTGTTCCGACATACTATTGTCAACCAAATAAAAAAAAAAAAGTTGGATAAATACTCTTACTTGCTCTAAAAAATAAAGTAAAATAAAAAAAATAAAATAAAATTTTACCTCAGATCTGTATCAAGTAACACTTTCACACAGTGGTACCTAAGCCTGATGGCTGCTTCTGCCAAGGCATTATTCTCCTGACAGCGAATGTTAGGGTCTGCTCCATAGTCTAGCAATGTCTCAACCATTAAAGCATTATCATTCAGAATGAACGCAGTCATCAATGGAGTCCTACGTTCGCTATCTTGTGCGTTAGGGTTAGCACCCATCTTCAGCATATATTCAAGAAGCTCGTCGCAATCCCGCCCGTACTGCGTTAATAAATGAAGTGGCGTTTGAGAACTGTCGTCGAGCTCATTGAGATTGAGATTAGAGCCCGCAGATTCGCACAGGAGCTTCATAACTTCATAGCTATCGCTCATGGCTGCAGCATGAAGCGGAGTTCTGCCTGACATGTTATAATATGGCTCCATAACATTAGCGCCATGGTCGAGATGCCATTTTACGGCTTCAAGGTTGCCATTTCGGCAAGCTCCGAAAAAGTCTTTGATCTTGGTTTTGCCATCCAGTGGTATCCAAACGTTATTCGTGGGAGCGGTTTTTATACATCCACCGAACCCAGGTCCACTCCTTGGCGTCGATGTCACAGAAGGAATTGCTGGTGTGAAATTTTGGAGAGGGTTGGGCATGACACTATAGTTTGGGCCTTGCGGTATCGTGTCTGATGAGGGTAAACGGAGCGCCATGATATTGTTTGTAGGTGGAGGAGGATATTGCACTGGTGAGCCAAATCCACGATGCTGAAGTTGAGATGGTGGTTCATCCATTTCCCACCCTTTTTCTTCAATGGGTTGTTGTGCCGATATCTCCGGTAGCACTGTGGACATACTGGTGTTCTTTGGACTTCGTCTTCCCATATCATGAGTTACGATTGGGTGGTGTAGTCCAGTATTAGTATTGGCTTGATTAGTCTGATGAGATACGCCACGCGTCTTTTGCGAAACTGGGGCCTGAATCCAATTAGGACGAACAAAAGCCACGGCTGAGTCCGGCATACCAAGTCTCTTGTTCACGGCATCTTTATAAAATACAAGTGTTGAAGTCAGTTGCATGTGTTGTCCGTCACTTGAAAATAATCATATGGCATTCCAAGCAATATAAAACATACTCACCATCAGATATTTTGATTTCCTTGATACGTCCAGTCAGAGCCGTCTCTAATGAGTGCTGTGAGTTGCCCATATTGGCATTATTCCTAGAAGGCTTGGGAACCAGGCGCGAGACGTTGGCAATGGACTTTGTGCGGGATCCTCCTCCTACTGAAACCATGTGATTGAGTGAATTGACTTGCGTTACAGGCGCCGAATTTCGCTGCGATTCCATTATAACTGGAACAGCGTGGGTCTCGGTGGGTAACGAGCGAAGTCCACATAAGTCTTCAGGAGCAGCAGTTTGTATGGTACCATTTTCTTCTGCCTGCATCCCATTATGATCTGAAAGCATTTTGTCCAGAGTTTTCAAAATGACAGGAAGTGGTGGTCGTTTTGATGGCTCTCCGTCCCAGCATTGCTGATAAAGATTTGAGTATTCAATGGGTGTTCCCGGTACTATTTTTTCTCGCCTTCCCCTCATGATCTGAAAAGGCAGCAGAAAGTTTTCGCCATCATGATCAAATGGCGGGTATCCTGAAGTCAGTTCCCACATGATGACTCCTAGACTGTAAACATCTGAGCTGTGATCGAAATGTGCGTTTTTAAGACGCTCCGGAGAGATATAGGGGACCACACCCCGGACTCCATTATTAGAATTAGCATGATTGACGTATCTTGAGAGACCAAAGTCAGTTATGAGAGCTCTTCCAGATTGATCAATCAGAACATTTCTGGAGTGAAGGTCATGATGACAAATATTGTCTTCATGAATGAAACTGATGCCAGCTGCAACGTCTCTAGCAAGTCTCATCTTGTTTGCCCAATTGAGCGAGTCGAAGTGACGAGAAAGATAATCACGAAGACTTCCTTTCCCTGCAAACTGTAGGACCATTCCATAATCGCCTGTGTTCTTCATGCGAGTAATTCCATAGAATTTCACAATATTTTCAGAGTCTTGTACTAGTTTGTGGATTCCAACCTGTATCCATATAAGAAAAACAGTTAGGGTCAAAGTCGGCTCTTAGGAACAATTAAAGGGTATCATCGGATTTTGATCTAGGGGTTGCCTCTGGAGACCAGTTACCGACAATAACTGAGCATCCAGGAGTGTGAACAACTCACCCAAATGCCCAAATATTCAATATGTGGTCACTTTTGGCCTTATAAACGAGTGTTTTCCTTTTCTAATATCTGTTCGATATAGAAACACCGCCTCTCCGGAACCTGACGAATATCATTAGAGGAATAAAAAATGTCTCAAGCATTCAATGCTTTGATAATTCCCCCTCGTCTATTAAGCATTTTTTATTCGGTCAATCTCCTCATGGAGAGTTGGACCAAGTTTTTTTTTTTTTTTTTTTGTACAAGAAAGAAAGGAAGAAAACATACCTCTTGAATAAAATCTGCAGGATTGAAGAGAACCTTGACAGCGACACGCATGCCGCGCCACGTTCCAGCGTGGATCATGCCAAAGCCTCCACTTGCGACGCCCATTTGCAAGTCTTGGATATGATTGAAGTCGATTTGACGAAGTAGTTTATCCTTTACGGCCCCTTCGAGCCATTGTTGTTCCTTATCATTGAGCAGCACGACGGGCGCAGTATTGTCGGCCATGCGAATTTGCTGATGTTAGCAAGAATGATAACAATAATTATGATGAGAATATGCTGAATATTAAAAGGAAAGGGAATATGAAGGGTTCAGGGGAACAGGTAGTAGTAGGGTTGCGAGATGGAGAGAAGGCGAAATGAGACACAGATGGATGGTAACTTTGCCGCAGCGTATGTTAGGTGGTGTGGGCGCATGAACTAGAACATGGTCGAGCTACTACGTACAAATAACAGTTTGATGTCATGTACACATGTACACCTTGTCACACGTGCGAAATCTATAATAATCTGTATGGCACGTGCTAACGTTGCGGAATTCCTTTCAACCACGTAGAGACAAAACACGGAGCTGGAGAGTACGTATTAAGGACTCATTATAATAGTTAGTCTGTTGTGCGCCATTATCCGCCCTATGGCAGCAACTCTTTCTTGTGGAACCAGTCTTTTATTGGTGCCTGAGATTCCAGAACCAAAGCAAGGTAAATGAATAGCGTGCGATACCCTAATTTCTTTTTCGATACAGTAGAAAAATGAGGGCGAGTGTGGGACAGGAGAGAGTTACTAGCTCAAGTAGTGGGCTAAAAGATGCTTTTTAGCACCTTAGGAGGCGCGCTGCCCACGTGCACGCATGATGAACGATTATTCCAGATGCAAGGCATGTAAGGAACACAAACCACAATACGCGTTGAGCGAATTGTACCAATGCACATGTCTCCACTATTCGCTTTATTGTTGCTAGATAGAAATCATTTCCTTTCTTGTTAAGCTATATATTCAGTGGAGTCGCTTGGATAGCGGACATAGACCTTGATCAAAGTGTCACTGCTACTATAAGCGTACGAATCCCAGGTGAGGTCAGATCAACTCGATTTAAAGCATCAAAAAGCATACCAGGAACACTAATGAGACAGTCCACAATCTAGCTATCAAACAAAATATGAGCCGATTGCCACCCTCACGCCTTTTCAAGTTTTAACGGTCATCGCATCACCAATCTTAGGACGTTGTAAGTCAGGCGAGTGCATCTTATGCTTTTATCGTCCAGCTTCTTTTAGTCTACATTTATGAGAGTAGATTAGCATACTCTAAATATCGCGTGGTGTGGCGCGAATTGAAGGTAAAAGGTTGACACAGTGCGCTGCGGGAAAATATGAGTGGCGGGAGGCAGAGCAGGACAATGGGAGTTCATATAAATATCATCCGTGAGCTCAGGTTTCGTTTCTTCTTCTCTTTCTTTTTATCCACCCGCTCCTTCACCTCCCTCTCAACTCTCGAATCTTTTATGCCCAGAAGGGCACTTACTATTTTGACTCATATTGGTTTCGAAAAGCATCCCATCTTAACAATTGTATTTATATACTTATGGACCCCATGATAGCCGCAGATATCCTCCCATTGACTATCGAGACCAACTCCTTAAACCCTTCTATGGCCAATACATCTTTACATGACCCCATTTTCCCTTCAAAAGATAATATTCAGATTACACCTCAAGCTGACAAGTTCGGAGAAGATGCTGTTCTGACCGACCCCTTATCCACCATTACCAGTGCCCCCTCATCAGATGATTGCCCAGACGATCATCAAGAGCGCTCAGAAGATGTTGCAAATGTTGTTAGCTCACCTCATGGCCACACCGCCAACAACATTGATATCCGCAGCTCGCATCAACAAAGCACTGTCCTATCTGACTCCACTATGACTTTTAATACAGCTGAAACAGCAGAAGAACGATCAATAAAGGATCTCTCAAGTACTAACGTAAAGGAGGAGCAAAAGAGCCAGGATAAAGTCGAAGATTTAAGCAAGATGAGTGACGAATCCAGCTTGAAAACATCATTTGACCAAGGCGAAGAGCTTATTGATGACAAAGAGCAAGCCCAAGAAGAACCTCGCGAGTCTCTGAGTCGTCCTCTGAGTCGTCAGGAACTACGCCGCAAAAGTAGCTTTTTTAATTCAAAAGACATTGCTGTTTCTGATAAGCGATACGGGACATGGTCCGGTTCTTCCTCTATTTCAGCCTCCATGCGGCCTATCACAGATCCACGTTTCAAAAGTCGTTTTCAAAGTCTGCTGTCGCAGTGGAAAGCTAGGGAAGGCAACTGAGTCGTCTTAAAAAGACTATGCTTTCTGTCTACTCTACGTATACGGATGTGCCATTCAAGTGTTGTTATTCCAAACCACCAGACTCATTGTTCACTTGAAAGTGCTACAAATATGCATGGGAGAGCTCTGAGCATTCTTAAAAAAAAAAAAAAAAAAAGTGTGGGCTTTTATTCAAAATGTGCTTTTTTCGCTGCTCATTCAACATTTACCTAAACACAATCACCCTCCCAGGTTCTTTGTTTGTTATATATATTTATAATTTAATACCTTACTATCATTATTTAAGCGCTTAGCAATCTAACAAAGCTTTAAACGTGTACACCACAAAATGTCTGATAATATGCAAATTATAGAATAAGTTACACAGAGACTAACCCTGCTCCAAATGGCCAGGAATGTGGGTTAGAAGAACTTTTAAGGTTGTCAAACAATGTCTGCTCAGTCCTGTTGAAAATGCCACTCCTAAAATAGCCTAGGAGAGCCGTCAGAGTAGACTACATACATGTATATTGGGTTTGCTGAACTTTTAGCCAGATTCAGTTAGCGCACCAGGATATCCTTGCATATCACAAGCTTTTTAGGCAATTAGGGCAGTAGGTACAGAGCACATGTAGTAGCATGGCATTCGCCGTTTTTTGTTTTTTGATGAATCAATCAGAGTCCTTCATGAGGCTGCAATACATCAACGACTACAATGTACCGAAGGGATGTCTCCGACAGAAATGACAAGACAGGAAAGCAATAAACCTATGGAAATACAAGTTTGACAAACAAGTGCCTACTTAAAGATTAGCCTTCAAGGAAAAGTTCCAAGTGCAGAGTTGAATCCAATCGCCTCTGCTCTCATCGATGCAGCCTATTCTTTAACCAATCTTTGTTTGTACATAAACTGGGTTACACTACTACCAGTTGGAGAAATTTGTTTTATTCTATTATAGTATGAGGGAGTGAATGAGCAATGTGAAAGGAGGATGACTTCGATAACCGAGCCATTAGTGTCTGAGCTCCTCCTAATGATAAAGAGTCACACAATATAGTCCTTCATAATAGATCCAGGGCCATATCATTGTCCTTCTTTAACAACTCAAGCATGCCTGGTGGCAATAATGGCTGAGGTAACTTTGGCTTTCTAGATTTCTTTTCAGTTTCGTTCACTTTTGATGACCCTCCTTCGGATGACGCTATTGATGATGTTTCCGTAGAGGACAGGGCGATGTAGCGAAAAGGCATGGTCACAGTTTCATTCTTGCGCAGCTTGATCTCAGGATGATCGATAAATGGGATTTCATCTAAAGAAACTGGATAGTAGTTAACCAAGAGATGAATTGAGTTTAATTGGTCGAGTCCCTAAACACTTTGCAGAAAGATGGACGCATTACATCAATTTTATACCTTGGCCTTCAACAATTCTGCGGGTGACATTGACAGCAGTATCTGTTGTCATTTGAACCGCGCCCAAGTGACGGGTAGCGAAGCCTAGCTTCCTTAGCTCGCCAGTACGATCTAGGGTGATGAACAGGTGATAAGTCGGAAGACTGATCGTGAGCCACTATGACAAACTACTTGAGTTCAGTCATCAAGAATTTCTCCTAACTTCTGAATTACCTCTTGGTGGATCATCCCCCAAAATGCCTCCAAAAAGAAAGAAATCAAATTCCTTAGCATCTCCAGGGCTCAGGACATGTGGCGAAGCTGGATCAAGAAGGCACACTCTTTGATGAGGTATGCGGTCACTCATAGCCATAATGTCTTCAGTATGACAATGGGCCTTTGCCAGAGTTTCAGGCATATCTGCCAAGGTTTTGGGAGTCAGAGCTGTAAAGTAAATATGCTCTGGGCCACAGACTGAGACCATGTGTTCATACTCGAGCTTGCACCAGTCATGCATGCCTATTTTACCAATACTAATTGTTTAGTTTCCTATTACCATCGCCTTTTGGAAATTTATAGACTTCCCGTGCAAAGCGCAAATACCCTCTTCCATGTGCTCGATAATGTAATTTTTTGCCATCTTGTTTGATTTAATGATTCAGTAATTTTTTGATCGGAAATGAAGTATTAACATGTATGGTATACATGTGGCTTAAGTGCTTGACAAATTCAAATTCAAAAGAATTCAACCCTTCTTCCTGTTCTCTTCACGTAAACCCACTAATTCAAAGCAGATCATGCCACCAAGCATCCTCCAGAAAATGCGTACAGCTGGGCATGGCCTCAGACGAGTTCAGAGACAGAAATGGATAAACACAACACCCTCGTGTTTCCGTGCAACTTTTGTTACTTTTCCTTCTCCCTGTGCGTAGCTCACTACAAGTGCCCATACAGATTATATATCAATTGGATCTCCTGTCCTACTGCTTTGACATCACTATAATCACTATACACTGATATATCGTGAATTGTACATGTATGGTACTAGTACAGCCTAGGACGAAAGAGCTTTATAAAGGACACATCCCAATTTCACCTCTTCAGCGAACTATTCTTGCCTTTGGTTCCGCGTTTACAGCACTCTACAATCCTTTACGAGGAGGTATCCTAAATGCTTTTAGTTCTTATCCGTCGAATGACAGGTGGTAGGGTTTTTTTTCATAATACTAATTTTTTATATACATGTAAAAAAAATAGATATGGTTGCTGCCTTAGGGGAAACAACAGGAAGTATATTTTTAGCTAGAATTCGCGATCAGATGTTGCAGGATCCAGAAGGACGAAGAATCTTGCTAGAGCGACCAAAGATCACTTCTGAGACCATGCAACTTGATAATCTGCGCCAATTATCCGATGGCACGTTTGGACGGGAATACGTACGCTTCTTGGATGATCAGCAAGTATCGCCCGATACCCGTGAACCTGTATGTTATTTATTTTCTAACTTCTACATTGGAGAGATCTACCGTTCTCTCACGTTTAGAAATGCCTTTAACTTTCGCAAAACTTTATTTTACACAGGTCCACTTTGTAGACTCTGAGGAGCTCGCGTATGTAATGCAGCGATATCGTGAGACACACGACTTTTATCATACGCTAACAGGACTTCCAGTAACCGTTGATGGCGAGATTGCACTCAAATGGTTTGAGATGGCTCAGACAGGGTTACCTATGACAGTACTCTCCTCACTTTTCGGGCCTCTGAGGCTTACCAGCCAAGAGCGAACGAGGCTCTTTGATGTGTACATTCCCTGGGCACTCGAGAATGGAAGTAATTCCAAGTTGCTCATGAACGTACGCTGGGAAGACTGGATGGACCGACCAGTCGAGAAAGTCCGGCAGGAACTGGGAGTGAGACCATGTCCTCAGGTGTAGAACGAAGCATTTTATGAATAAAGCCGTCCTTCCAGAATCAAAAATACGTGGGTATGCGGAGTTGATTCTGACAGATATTTCCTTGAAAATAAGGAAGGAGTGTAGCTAGAACCTGTACCCTTATCGGCCTTGCTATAATTTCTCATTTTCTCATTAAGAATGCCATGTTGGTTTTTTTGAATTCGGCATCACTAACAAAATCCTTTTGGTTTCATGAAGAACTACGCTACAGCTTATGAATATGAATATGAAATTTTTGGAACTGAATTGACTGCCATACGAATCAAATGATAGGACAACATCATTATTCTTTTATTACAATAATGCGCCTTGATATCCATTAGAATACTTCATCGCCTTGCTTGGTCTCTGTTAGACTTAACATCTCTAGCTGTCCTTTCCCTTTCGTCTCTGACTGTAATAGCTCATTGATCGGTCTAAATTGTCCAGGGTCAATTAGGCAAACCTTTATATAAAAACCATGATAAACGTTATTATAAGATAATGGTCAGCAGTATTTACAATGAAAAGGAAAACCGCCGTTATTAATATTAGTTCAAGCAAAAGATAGTATTACCCATTCATAGTTCTCATCCAAATCTTCCTCTTCCTTTGAGGCGACCATAGACAAAAGCTTCTCTTTTATCCTTTTGCCGTCCTTTGATGGAACAATGATCCTGATTCTCATCTGAGCTCTCGCTATTGGGATTGTCTTCTTCTCCAAAAGCTGCTTGATGACATCTAATGCTTGTGACTTTGCAGAACGGGAGGGATTGACAGAAAGATGTAGGTCCGCCATAGCCTTCTCGATCATCGTCACAGTGTAAGGTCGCTTAGTCTCTGGGTTGACGCATTTTTCTGCAACGGTTGTGGCAATATCGCGGTACATGCCATCCAGCATGCTTGAGCGCTCCTTTTCGCCAACCTGCAGCTCGCCTTTTTTCAGAATCTACACATTGATAAAGAAAAGATCCACAATACCGCATGTAATGGTATCAGCATGGCGGTCTATCTCTGCATATATTCTGTTTGAGACAAAAACTATCAATAAATACTTTAATATACCTCCAGAATTATAGCATTGCGATCATCTGTCTTGAAGCACTTCAGGAGATCTTCCTTATTCGCAGCCTGGCCTTTTGATACGTTTAAGAATACGTTGTCAATCTGCATAACCTCCCCCAGATCCTTCTCACTATTTAGAATATAATTGAGGATGCAGGTTATCAAAAGCAATGGTTAGCAGCCGGCGGCCAGTGACCAGTGAATAGCGGTGACCCATGGAATACAAATCCTTCCTACTAGCTTACACTCCATTTCTCCATTCTAGTACTTTGTTCTTGTAGCAAGCTATCTCGAATCTTTTGCCTCCTTTGCGGTAGCGAACAATTGAGACGTTTGTCAACCTATTAGCATATAACCAGTTAGTATTCTTTTGGTGTACTGCTAGTGTAATGTTTATACTGAAATAAAGAGACGTACTTGATTTGCGTATTTGGCTGCAAACATTTATTAATAATAAGAGTTAGTCAATAAGATGTATTGGTACTAGCTTTGCGACTCAACTGCCCATTTCTATGAGCCTTGAATATTTGTCTACCTGAGTGATAACCATGGCAAATAGGTGAGGATGCAATAATTGTGAAGAATTTAATGAACAAAATGACTTTTTGCTGCGGCTGATTCTTTTTAGATCTTTGCATCTGAGTGCACGTGGTCACTCGTTTAATTGCCTACTGCACAATGATAATGGGATCTGAATGAGTTTTCATCTCTATGATTCTGCAACGTATCTTGACTCAGTCGCGAATCTCGCGTACTTCCCACTTCTCATCCTTTTTCATTAAGAAAAACACCTTTTCCTTCATGCCACCATCTCAACGTCAAAAACTTATTGTAACACGAACTCTACCTCAAGCATCTCAAGCACGACTTGATGCGGGGTTAGAAGGAGTGGACATTGTTCAATGGAAGGAAGACCGAGCGATCCCTCGAGCAGAGTTCCTTAAAATGGTGAACGGCGCTGAAGGTATCCTCTGTCTCTTAACTGATACAGTGGATGCTGAAGTACTAGACGCAGCAGGTAATTTTTTTTTCTTTTGCTTAAAAAAAGGAGCATTTTGAAGGGAGAGATTGATTATCTTATGAATCACGCAGGACCCCAGCTTAAAGTCGTCTCCACGATGTCTGTCGGATATGACCATGTCAATGTGTCGGAGCTTCAGTCTCGCAAGATCGCCCTTGGTATCACACCTGGTGTGCTAACAGAGGCGACAGCAGACACGACTGTACTTTTGGTTCTTGCTGCAACACGTCGCCTGCGTGAGGGTGTTGACGCTGTCATTCAAGGGAAATGGGGTGCATGGAGCCCAACCTGGCTGCTAGGTTCCCAGCTTACTGGTAAAACAGTTGGAATTGTGGGTCTTGGACGTATTGGGGTTGCTGTAGCCAAACGGTTGAAGGCATTTGGAGTGCAGAAGTTTATTTATCAGGGAACACGACGCAAAGAGGAAGTAGAACAAGATATTGGCGGCGATATTGAGTTTGTTGAAGCCGAAAGGCTGTTTAAAGAGTCGGATGTGATCTGTGTCTGCTGTGCCTTAAACAACGAGACCAAGAATATGTTTAGCTATAATGCCTTTTCGATGATGAAGAACAGTGTAGTAAGTCTTTTTACTTCCTTCTGAAAAGATTATCCACTTTTTTAACATTTAACATGAAAACTTGACAATACAAACTTACATGTGTAGGTATTTGTGAACACTGCTCGTGGGGGGATTGTTGATCAAGATGCGTTAATTCAAGCTCTCAAGGAAGGAAAAGTGGGATCTGTGGGACTAGATGTTACTGTCCCAGAGCCCTTACCTAAGGACTCGGAGCTGCTGACTTTCCCCAACTGCATTGTGCTTCCCCATATCGGGAGTGGGACACTGGAGACTCGAACAGCCATGTCTGAGATTGCCATAGACAATGTACTCTGTGGGATGAGAGGTAAACCTCTTCCTCATCCTTATGATGCCTAGATCTAAGATAGATAGGACGTCTATTAGTAAATACGTACATATTAAAGTAGATACATGGATCGACTTTATCCAAAATAACATTATTGCTCAAGCCCAAGCCCAAGCCCAAGCCAAGCCCAAAAGTCGAAATTGAGAGACGGCGTTTGCATCTCTTGTCACAACTTCCCCATTTAAAAACGAGGCTCTTAACCTATTCCATTCCCCATTCCTTATCCTCGTACACCCAACCCTCTTGCCCTTTCTTCGGACCTACTTCAACCATATCAACCTCATTAACATTTCCCTCATATAGGCTGCTCTTATTTTTCACCTTGCTATTCTCTTCTTTCTGTGGTTTTTTTTGCGTTTGTCTGCACAGGTGTATTCACAAAGAAACAGCAAAACTGCTATTCCATATTTGCAATCAACCTTGTTCTTTATTACTCTACCCACTACCAACAATTTGTTGATTAGCAAGCGAGAATAACCACCATAATAACCCCAGACACCTCCCCTCTCACCTGAACAAAACCATCATCGAAGTGGCATTCAAAGGATGGACATTATCAAAGCTAGTCGTAAGCCTACGGCAATAGATCATTTTCGAACTATGGTCGCACATAATTTCAAAGTAACTCTCCGCGACCCAACTGTCTTCATCTTTGGTGCAGTAATACCTTTTATTATGATTGGGATAGCTATTGGCATCGTAAGTTTGTTCCACATTAATTACTCATACAGGAGGGCATAAGCTTTCCTTATTCGCCAAGTACACGCTGGAATAAGAGCTTTTACACTAAAGTCTCTATCTTACTTCTACCATTTCAGTCCCTCGGAATCCAAAGTAACATCCCAAAAATTACAGCAGGTTCTGTCGATACGTGAGTATATTTTATTTCACATAATGCCTCCCTTATTTGCATATCAGTGCAAAGGGATCCAAATTGACCAGCATTCATCAATTATTGCCACTGTAATTGCTAGTCGAACGTTCAATGCACTTGAAACTGGAATTCAAGGCCGATCATCATATGTGAATGTACCAGTTGTCTATTTCCCGGTTATCAAAAGCGTCCCCATTCTCAACAACTTGACAGATTCTATCACTAGGAATCTGGGCAGAGTTTACAGCCAATTTAATCCGATCTTCGTAGACTATGCATCTATGGATGAAGTGGCTGCGTATGAGCACCAGAATGCAAAGGACATGCTCAAGAACAGAACACTAAAGGATTTTGCACCTCAGCTTGGATTTGAGCTTAATGCTTTGGGCCCTTCAAGTAGTAATGAAGGTTCACTCGATCTTGGATTTACACTTGCAACTAAAGTGAATGATTCGATACCATTTCTGCTGAGTACTTTGAATGTTATGACTCAGAACATTGATTCCAGTAGCATCAGCAATGGTACGACCATAGGACATGGTTTAGAGTTCTTACCCACCCTCAAGACATTCGGAGCTCAAGGCGATGAGAATGTTGACATTCCTAGTTTTATTGTGCCTGCATTCATGACTTTTGGTAAATGCGAAAACATCTTACAATTACATTTGTTACATCTTACTGTGCTATTTTTTAAATTTTTTTTTTTTTTTTTTTTTTTTTTTTGTTTCAAAATAGCGTTTTCGTTTTTCTCAACATTTGTCGCGTCTAATCTCGTTGCCGAAAAGGAAAATGGTCAAAAGTCTCATCTACAGAACATGGGTATCAAGCCGGCAACCTATTATCTTGCACGTTTCGTCATCGATTGGATCTGCTATCTTGTTCCTGTCGTTGCCTGCTTCGTACTCATGGGTGCAACACGCCTCCAGATGATTACTTCTGGCTCTTGGGTGCCTTACTTTCTCCTGCTTCTTGTTTCGGGACTACCTTTCATCACTTTTGGCTACCTACTCTCGCTTTTTTTTCAAAAGTCTCAGTCGGTGGGTCAGGTCCTAGGCGTGGGTCTCAGTTTGATTGTTTTTGTACCATATTTCTTTGTCCAGTTCGTCTTCGAAGGCGCTTCACTCCTAGCTATCATTCTTATTGGCTTAATATCACCTGCTTTTGCGTTAGAGCGCTCCATCTCTGCTATAGCTCTAGCGCAGACTTCGGGCTCACCTTACTCTGTCAAGGATACGTTCGATATTAACAAGGCACCATTTTGTAGTATGATCCTCTTTGTCTTCCAGTCAATTGTCTATTTAATACTCGTTTTCTGGATTGAGAACCTTATCCAAACTCGCCGTTCGCCCATCGACTTTTTCTTGCACAAAAAAACTAATAATTATGTCGACAACAAGGCTACCAAGGATAAAGATGTCTCTCGGGATATGCAGCGGCGAGATACAGCAATATTGGTGGACGGCAAGTTTCGCGAACGCGATGCCGAAGTAATCGAGGAAACGTTACGTCTCAAGGGAAAAAGAGGCTCTCCTGACGAAAATGATGCCGTCCGACTTTTTGGGCTCTCGAAATCTTACCATCTCAAGAGCAAGAAACGCGACGCTACGATTCTCGACAACATTTATCTTTCTTTCAAGAAGAATGAGTGCTTTGGATACTTGGGCCCAAATGGCGCGGGAAAGACTACAACCATCAAGATACTGACAGGAGCTGAAGACCCTACCTCGGGAAATGGCACTATTCAGGGGCTATCTATTGCGCCTTACCATGAAGATTTGCGCTCCATGATCGGTATATGCCCTCAATTCGATGTTCTTTGGCCTAAGTTGACTTGTCGTGATCACTTAGAGCTCTTTGCCAAAATCAAAGGCGTTGCACCTGAGGACATGAATGCTGCAGTAGCTCAGATGATCGATGAGATGGGACTTGTAGGACTAGGTGATAAACGAGCAAAGACATTCTCTGGAGGAAATAAGCGGCGGCTGAGCTTGGCTATGGCAATCATAGGATGTCCTAAAGTCGTTTTTTTGGATGAACCAACGACTGGCGTGGATGTCTCGATCCGCCAGATGATTTGGAATTCTATTCGCAAGCTGAAGCGTACGTCCTGTGTCATCCTGACGACTCATTCGATGGAGGAGGCTGATGCTCTTTGTGATCGCATAGGCATTATTACCAATGGGCACATCCAGGCCCTAGGGACTTCTCAGCGACTCAAGAATACTTATGGCGCGGGTTATAAAGTCATTGTCAAATCACACAACCATGCCGATGCAGTGACTACGGCATTGGAAGAGAGTGTCGGGGCTGGAAGAGTAACGCTTGTTCAGGCTCTTGGCGCGAGTTTGGAGTATGAGATCACACGCGTCGAAAGCGAGCGCACAACAGAGATGTTGGCCAAACTATTCAGATTGTTTGAACAAAAGAGACGGGAATTGGGTATTGATGACTATTCTGTGAGTCAGACCACTCTTGGGCAAGTATTTATTGAGTTTGCGAAGGAGCAAGCGGCGCCTGGAGACAGCAAATAGATGTCTGAAAGAATCCTAGAGAAAACTATCTCATATACACAAATCCTACATATTAAATTGATAGCTTCCCCTTGATTTGAGTCTTGGTCTCAATTAAAAAAAATTACTTTTTATTTAACGAAGATTCCGGATCATAATAAACACATCTTTCTTTCTCGTTGCTTACTATGATCCTGGCATATTTCAGTGTCAATAAGTGGGCCAAATCTTTTAAGGTGGAGCGACTATAGATAATTCAAACACATCAGTTCATTCTGACAAAGATTTCTAGTAGCCTTCACGTGCACATGTCCAGCAACCGCAGTTGATTGGAATGTTGGAACGATAGATTGATAGTTAAAAAGGTAGCCATTGCCCTGCATCAATCTTAGCTCATTCTTCCCTTTTTCCTTATGGAGCCTATTTCAGAGCAGAATTACGTATCCACGCTTACGTTCAGTGTTGTTTGTTCTCAGTTCGAGAGCAGCTCTTTAGCCGTAAGGCCGCTGCCAGTCCAGACCATCGTCCGTACTTTTGATAAAGCCTCCACCAACTTGAGCTTAAATGGACGCTGGCATTGCGTTTTCGAGGAGACTAAGCGGCATTATCAAAACACTACTCAGCTCTCATTATCACTCAAGTGGATACCAATCAAATACCTTGGTGGGATCTCAGAAGAAGGAACTTACAGCACCGATAATGACAATATAATGACACTCAATCCTGCGTGTGAGCTTATACGCCGTATTAGAAGCATCAAAGTCCGTTCAGACTCAACACTATCCGAGCTCCTTTTTGCCCAGATGGATGGCGATTGCATCTTGAATGGTGAATTCATCAAAGGTACGGTGTGTTCGGTGTGTTGAAAGGAGTCTAGCGTAGAAGATACGCAGAGGAGTAACTCAGAGCCCAGATATTAACGATCCAAGCGTAGTCCGACTACAGCCAAACCGTGTGCTTAGAAATGACCGGTACAAGTTCAGGATTAGCTTCTATACTCAAGATATATCCTACGCACGTTTCCTGGGACGTCCCATTTTTTTTACATTCATGGATATTGACACATTCTTTGATCCAGTTCAGTATTTACCTAACGACCTCCCTGATATTTTCTTTCAGTTCCCAGCATACGAATCCCATGAAGAGATCATCACTATCCAAGCTCACTCTTCAATGATTTGTAGAAGTCAATATTTTGCGCAGCGCTTGGCGGAGGTAGCAGGAAATAGTTGGCGTGGTTCCACAGCCTTTCGTGTCATCAACTGTATGATAACAGAGTTTAGACCACCAGTATTTCGCGTCATGCTTCGATTCATATATACTGGACGTTTATTAATCGAAAAGCATTCACGAAGAAATAAGCAAATCGTATCATCTCTGCATTCCACAATATCAACCCAACAAGCTCAGGGACCTGTGGCTATCGGAAAGGTAAAAACAAATGAGGGGCATCAACAGAAAGGACGTCAATCCGATGTGGTGTATTTTGAAGACTTGTATCGGATATCCGAGCGGTACGAGATACCTGAGTTGAGGGCTCTTTCATTAAAAGCAATTCAATGTACACTAAACATGTCGATTGCTATTGCAATGATTGCGAAGCAATCATCTGATCCAAGAAAAGCTGATGTATCAAAAGATGATGGCAATTACGTCCATTATCAACAGCAGAAATCAACAGAGGATGAAGCGGAAGAGATGAAACCAGCTGTTCGACAAGAGTATTACATGAAAATTCAGAAGGAGCTCGTTAAGAATATGGTGAAAGAGTATATTCAGTTCTTCGCAACAGAAGCTTCAAGGTTGACAATCAAAGACATGACTTCAACACCTGTTCTCTCTGCGCAAGAAGGCTTACAGATGGTTCGTGTGGTTGGGGACCTTGTGCTAGAGAATGCCTATCGCCTGTGGGAATAGCTTATGCGCTACCAGCCTCTAGCATAATGCTGGATCATAGCGCGCGATGACTTTAGTAATATTGCAAAACACGCTATTCATACCAAAATAAAAGGCAAACTGAGGGATGAATTAGCCAAAATATTTTCTTGCTCAATCATTTCTGGCATAAAATTCGGTAAACTACAAAATTTATCTTGGCCGACTTCTAATGTTTTAATTTGCCAACATTTCACTCGCTTGTGAATTTTAACAGCATCAGGCATCGATTCATTACTTTCTCTGTAAGCAAGGACATTCACAAAACGAAATAAGCAATAGACCGTGGACAAAAGCTTTCGCGACGCCTAGCACCATATACACAATGTTTGGGCAAAGAAATGGCGCTGCCCGCTCGCAAGCTGCCTCTGCCCCTCAAAAGCAAAGTACCTGCAGACCAACCGAAGCTGATAGCATCACGACTCCGATTCGTTGGAGAACTTCATCCGAATCTATTTCTTCAATTGATTCAAATAATGTTCAAGCCAAGGCATCGGCTGCATCACACCAATTTCAGCATTCATTTACACACCGCATCAATGGACAAAATCATCAACAAACTAATTCTACAGCTAATAAGGAACTCAACATTCAGGTAGTCGTTAGAATAAGGTATGAGTACATCATATCCTCATTGGATTTTATATACGACCCAAAGTGCTAAAAAGCATATGTTTTTATTTTTTATTTTGGCATGAATCAGATCACGCAATGAACGAGAGGTCAGGGAGAATTCACCAATAGCAGTACAAGCCCAAAACAAAGAGATCTTGGTACCATCGACACTTGGCGATAGAGCACCGTCAAAATCATACAGCTTTGATCGCGTCTTCTTGTACTCTGACCAAGAATGCATCTATAGCGAAGTTGTGACGCCTATCCTTGAGGAAGTACTTACTGGCTACAACTGTACGATTTTTGCTTATGGACAAACCGGCACTGGAAAGACATTTACTATGGAAGGTGATCTCCGTGACAACTTTGGAGAATGCTCAAGGGATGCTGGTATCATCCCCAGAACACTTTATAGCTTGTTTGCAGCCCTGGAAAATAAGGATACGGAATTTTCGGTTCGCGTGTCATTTCTAGAGCTCTACAATGAGGAAGTCAAAGACCTTTTGGCACCAGATGATGACCGAAAAGTGGTCAAGATCTTTGATAACATCAAAAAGCAAGGTCCTCTTATTCAAGGTCTCGAGGAAGTATCCGTGTTTACTCCAGCGCAGGGTATTGATGCGTTGAGGAAGGGTAGTGCCAAACGCACTGTTGCTTCCACAAAGAGCAACGATAAGTCTAGTCGATCCCACGGAGTGTTTTCAATCACTGTGCACGTCAAAGAGGCCACAGATGATGGCGAGGAGCTTTTAAAGATTGGGAAACTAAACCTGGTTGACCTTGCAGGCTCTGAGAATATCGCACGGTCGGGAGCGGAAGCAATTCAAGCAAAGGAAGCAGGACGGATTAATCAAAGCTTATTAACTTTAGGGCGGGTTATTAATTCTCTAGTAGAGAGATCACAGCACATTCCATACAGGTGAGAGATTCAGTACTGAGCCCATGCATTCAATATGAAAAGCAACTGCTTACGTCTCTTTTTTCTTTTTTTTTATAAAAAAAAAAAAAAAAAAAAAAAAGAGAGAGCAAATTGACCAGGCTTCTTGAGGATTCGCTTGGAGGCAAGACAAAAACATGTATCATCGCCACTATATCACCCGCCAAATCATGTCTGGAGGAGACAATTAGCACCCTAAACTATGCAAACAGAGCCAAAAACATTAAGAACACCCCTGAAGTCAATCAGAAAATGTCAAAGAAGACACTTATCAAGGAATACCTTCTCGAAATCGACCGCTTAAAAGCCGATTTGAACGTAAGCCGCATACACCGAGTATTTTTTTTAAAAAAAAAAAGATGTATGCTAAATGCTCTGGTATATGCCTCTCTATTTTGAAAATCTTTAGGCAACTCGAGAAAAAAATGGAGTTTTCATGACGCAGGAGTCCTATCAGGCGCTTCTCGATGAAAATACTAGTAACAAGGATTTAGTAGGCGAGACACAGAAGCAAGCAGACATGGTCGCGAAGGAGCTTGCTCGCATAGAGGAGAAGTATAGGGAAAATATGAAGGCGCTTTCGGCAACAGAACTCAAGCTTAGTATATCAAAATCAGAACTAAAATCCAAACGCATTGAATTACAGGAGGTACAGAACGAGCTGACTAAAACCAAACAGGTCTTGGAGGAGGAGGTAATATTGCACCAAGCCCATGCTCACACCGAGAATGAGCTCAATACTGTTGCTGCAGAGCTTCGTGCAACTATTATTGAAAGTGTTAAGGATATCGATGATCTTTATAAGGCACTGGATAGGAAGGATGTGATTGAGCATGAGAACCAATTAGCATTAAAAGGGTTTCAGAAGAAGCTAATAGGTCTCTCTGGAGAGCTCAAGGAGCGTGTTCAGAGCTTTGGTATAGGCCAAGTTGATCTCTTAGCCTCGGTTAAATGCAAAGTAGACAAGGCGTCCCAAGATACGGTGGCCGAAGCAGAGAGCATGCAGTCATTTTTGAGTGTACAAATGGAGCGCATTTCAAACGCTGTAGAGTCCTTCGATGCCCAGGAAAACAGTATGTTGGAAAAGGTTCAGGCACTCAAGCAGGAGTTTGTCACTCTACGATCGGAAGTGATTGAATTTTTGAGCTCACGGATTGAAATTTTGAAGTTGAATGCTCAAGAGGGCTTCGAGGACTTGAAAAAGACTTTCATAGAATTTACTGAATTCGTCGAACAACACCAAGAAGTCACGAAGAGGCAGGCCCTAAAAGTGATTGATGATTCGACAAGGCTTTCCAAGGAGAGCTTCGAGGCTCATCAACATGCGCTTGATAAGTACGATAAAGTCACCCGCAGCGAGATTGAGCACATGATGCTTCAGAATCGAGCATTACGACAGCAGCTGAAGGAGCAAGAGGCCGCGAAGGATGAGATTAAAAGGCATCTACTGACGAAGATTGGGGATCTGGTAGATGAATTCCTAGATAGTCAGGCCAATACCCTGATGGGATATTTCTCTAATACACATAATAAGCTGGAAGACTCCGCCTTGAGATTGGCAGACACTCACTCACAGCAGCGGACATGGTTGACTGAATTCGAGCGGACAGGGATCAAAAATATACAGGCTCTCACCGATTCAAGAAGTGCTCTTGGACAAGAAAGCGATAAAGCAATGTCCAGGATTACCGACAATAAACATGAATTTGTCGCCCAAGCACACGCCTTGGGTTCACATATCAGGAGTGATTTGCAGTCACAGCAGGCGACCGTGCAAACGCGAATGCTCGACGTGGGTACGAGAGTTTTGAAGGGTTACGATGAGCTGCAGTCGCAACGAGCCGCTACTGCCAAGGTCTTTTCGCAGACCTCGGACCACACCATCGCTGCGCTGCAGGATTTAAAAACACGTACTTCAACGTCCACTACAAACGCAGAGTCAGTGTATAATACAACTTCCCGCGAAGTAAGGCCTCATCATATGAATGATAATCTGCCCCTTGTATCACTTTTCATAACGATAAATGCTGAATTTTATCCTGAATTGCTCCATCCATTTTAGGTGGTGACTGCAATAGAACAACTTCAGAAATTTCGTGAAAATGCTAATCAGAGTCTGGGAACAACTCAAAAAGAGACGGAAGAGCTTGTGCTCCATAAATTCAAAGTGGATAATTCGAGAGAGAGAACTCCTGCACGTAGAGAATATCAATATCCTCGCACATGGGGCCGTACTAGGCCGTCACAGGAATTGTTGAAAGAATTTCGCGAACTAGGTTGCGTCAAGACTTATACGACGGACCAGGGCACTTATCCCAAGGGACTTTCTGATCTAGGCAATAACATAATGACCTCATTTGTACAAGACCAAGGACCAAGGAATGTGTATGCTTCACAGATAGCGGGCCCTGAGGTCGATGCAACATCAAAAACTAGCACGACCGACAATGACAGTTACGTCCATGTTATGAAAACCATTCATTCCACTGGCATACAAACAAAGTCGCCGTCTAAAAGCTCTTCACAGTCGCCATTTGGACAGGAAATTGAGAAAGAGGATAATACGAGCACACAGTTAACAACAGTCAACCAAGGCAGCTACATGAAACGGGACTCGACTAGTCTTAGCCATGTGGTGACAGGAGTGCAAGCTATACGTGTCAAGAGATCTGCGTCAGACATGGACAACGAGTGTGGAGATGAGACCATCTCCCATCATACAGATGACAAAAACAATAACTTGAATGATATCGACAACAGTGCGCAAGCTTCTTCGGCAGGGCTTTTGAAGACGCAAACAATATCTAATCAAAAAGACCCATTATTCTCAGATGTCGACACTACTGCGCACTTTATCCCAGTAGTGGCCGCGACCTCTGGAGTTGCGGGGTTCGGTATGGGCAAATCAGGGTTGATGAACGGGGTTGAAGGCCCTCGTAAAGTCAGCCGATCAATGGCAGGAGGAAAGCCTGTGAGGCGTGGTTTTCTTTCTGGGAATAATAGGTCATGAAGGGACTTCCCAGGGCTTATTTATATACCATTGTTATTTAAAATACTAGCACCAATGCTACTCAAAATGATGACCTTTATCAGATTCATAATAAATAGGTTGGTCTCAACATGTATATTTCTATATCTATACATTATCCTGACAAAACAGAAAGACGTTGTTTAGTTGAAGCTGTGATGGTGTTGAATTCTTCAGAAGAAATCCAGGCTGCATAGCCTGGACGGCTGTCAAGGACTTGTTTGAGTTTGAACAGACCCGGGGTAGCTAACGAGAACATATTACGTTCACTATTGGTTTGAGGATTGCACTCTGGAATTGCCATGAATCGTTCCAGACAAATCACGGAGCGTATATCTGCAAGTGAAAGCTGTATAATATACGCGAGTTAACGCTACTGCTATCATTGTCTTGAATACAATCTCGTGGGATTTTTTTGTTATCTATACGAACCTGATCGCCAACATAATGTCCATTATTTCCGTTTTTGGCTAGCCATTTCTCATGTTGCGAGATCCATACAGGTAAGTCTTTAGTCAGGAATTTCTCCAATTCGCGCTGTTTTATATCTGGAAATGCAAGAAGAACCTTATTTATGTAAAATGACATGATGGCGTTCGAAGAGGAGTAGAATACATTGATAGCAGTTTCTTCCCATTCATCTTGTCCCAACAGACCAAACTTTCTCGCCAGATAGCGCTCTATAGCCTCCGACTCCGGAATTTCGAGGACAAGGCCAGGGTTAGTAGAGGGTAAGGATGGACTGGAACGATGGATTTCGTAAAGAATGGGCATTACTCCAAGTGGGGTATGAGGCTTTTCGGACACCCAATCCTGACAGAGCAAAAGTAGGCAACATCATTGTAAGAGATATAGCCGAATATCAAATATAAAAAGATGATAATAAATGGTGTGCCGGAATCATTCAATAAAATACTCGTTTTTTTTTTTTTTTTTTTTGCACTCTTACACTAGGATAGATGTTCTCCCATTTCACACCAGAAACCGCAAGGATAGCGCGCGTGGTCGCAGCCATGCCGTGAAGCTTCAGATATAGAACCTTGTATGAAACATTATTGTTTGCTGAATTTACTTCATGCGTGGCTGCCGCTGCTTCAGCAAGCTCGCGACGTGTTCTTGTTGTGAATGCTGAGCCTGGTAGTCCAGTGCTTGGAGAATGGGCCATGGCGAGTTGTGGAGAAATGTCAGATCAGTGAAATTGGAAATAAAGATATTGAAAAGAAAGGGATCTAGCGTTTTAAGAACTACACATTATATAGCTATGAGGAATGAGCCACTTCTAACGCATTTTGTGTCACAATGATTCATTGTGCGATGAAAGATTGTAGATCAACATTGGTTTTAATAGATTATCCAGCATATTTTGGATTGCAACACAGGCAAACACGCATGTCTGTAATTCATAGTTATTCTCCACCTCTGGTCCTGTCCTCCCACTTGACCTCAACCTCAACCTCAACCTCGACCTCGACCTCGACCTCGTCCTCGTCCTCGTCCTCGCCATAGTGCCCACGGCTTCTTTGAACTGGATTTCTCTTTAGGTCTACCCCTCCCAGGAACAAAGGTCTGAGTGGGTTTGCTGCGAATTGCCATACTTCCATTAGCTGTCGTAGCATGGCTTCCAAAGAGGACTGACCTCGCGCCATATCGGTCCTGATCAACAGTATTAGTAGAGGTTGCTCGTCTCGATATTCCATGGGCGGGTAATCCAGCCTGAGGACTTGCGGATTCCGAACAAGAAACGGTATTCATTGCAATGGGCATCGGGCCAACTCCAGGCCCAAAAGTTACTCCTTTCTTCTTGCCTGCTGTAGAAGATCGTGTCCGTTTACTATTACCGCGAGCTCTAGTATGGACGGCACCTTCATCGAATTGTGCAAAGTACATTGCCATGGCTGGATCATCGCGTCGCTTCCTCAAGTCCACAAAATCCTCAAGAACAGAATCAAGTCCCTCGCATTGATCATGTCCTTCAGCCTCCGTGATTTCAGCGTGGTCCAATGTATTGCCAAGCCCTACGTATTGTCTTAATCTATCATTTTCATGTGAATGTCTCCCCTTATCCGACCAGTCTTGACTTTGAAACCCATAGCTGCCTAGCGAAGACAAGCTCCCTTCTTGCAAAATGGCATTCGGATTTAAAGTTTCTATTGAAGAGGAGGAATTAAACGATGTTTGCACTTGCGCTGGACTCCCTTCGGAGCTAGTCTCAAACAGCTTCTTTAATGTCGTCGCGGCTACCTTAGCGGTCTTGGATATGGTGAGTGAACCAGGGATAGCACCGATGCCACCAACGACACCACCTAGTCCTACTCCTTTAACTTGGCGTTGGTCTAGATGCTCCAACATAAGTAGATCATTTTCTTGACTCCAAAGGTTTCCTGTCATCGGATGCCGACGCCCAATTTCAATATCGTCATCTTCATCAAGTGTAGTTGTGCGGGAGCGACCGTGGTTCCGCTTGAGTAACTGCTGACGCCGCTCACGGGCTGATATTGGGAGTAGATCATCTAGTACTGACGACTTTGGTTTTGATCCTTTCTTCGATCTCATTGTTCCACGAGTTGGATTATCATCACCAACACGCTGTTCCTCATCAGAATCATCGAGTAGCACCATTGACTTGGATGACCTCTTCTTAATAGGGCTCCTCGTCTTGGATCGAGATTTGGTCCTAGTTGATATGTCCGAATACTTGGTCGTTGCAGGCGCTTTGTTGGAAGACTTAAAAGAGCGATTCACCATGGAGGATGGCTCGGGCATGTCTAAGAAGTCCTCCAGGTCATTATCGCCGTTCTGAGAGACTTCGCCAGAAGTCATGGTTGGCACTGGCAGGCTGTTACTGGTCTCGTCTTTGCTTAATGGTTGTGGTGTGATCGGTTCTGATTTTTGAGTATAAGTGGACTTTCTCCAGCGAAAAGGGCTCTCTGATGCTGATGGTAAAGACTCAGGAAGGACCTGACCAGGTTGGATTTTAAATGCGCTTTGACTCGACTGACTTTCATATTCAGACATGTAGGCGGTTTCGGCCTCTGTCAGAGGCCTTTCACTCAAGATCGCAGAATCATCTTCGCCTGCCTTTTGAATGAATGCTTTCGAAGTATCCGTGCTCCTAAGACGACTGTGATCATTGAATTTTGATCCTTGACGAGGCGATTCGAGAGTAAGACTGTCCACTTTTTGAGTAGGCGTCTCCAGTGAAACTACAGCGTTTTGCGGAGCTTTGACGGGCGTCCTAGGAGAGTTTGAATCCAGACAATCGCTAGACGTTGGTCTATTTGCAGCATCAGGAGAAACAGAGTTGATATGGGGCAGCCCATACACAAGGCGGTTATGTGATGGTGTGCCTTCGCAGACATCTATATCCTGCCCCTGGCTTCGGTCTTGGTAACTTTTCTCCAAAGCGAGAGCAATGGCTTCATCTCGTTTCACCATATCATCATTCTTCTGCTTCTCCATAGCAAGCAACTCTGCATCGACATGTTCGTTCAACTCCTCAATGGGTACCATAGTATCGCAGATAGGACACTTATTCATCGGCTCTTGGGATAGGGTAGGTGAGATCCCTTCAAAACTGTAGCTCTCCTGCTCTTGTTCCAATTTCTCGTGAATTCTATGAGCCTGCCCTTTCTGTTGAGTTCTATAATCTGGTTTCCCCTGTCGCTGAAATAAATAGGCTTGAGACCTGTCATAGCTCGCCGGTAGGTTCGTCCCTGAGTCTTTGAAAGGAAGCGCTAGATCTCGACGAGCTAGGAGTCTCAAGCCATTATATCGCCGCGCTCTGTGCCTTACTTGCTCACGCTCCGCTCTCTGTGTCCTTTGATCATCTGAAAAGTCTTCAATGTCCTCACTTTGAGAGATGGTGAACTGTGTACTGGGGTGAAACTGTGTCAGCAATTGCGGTGATTCGGAGTGGGTTGAGAATGACTCAATAGTTTCAAGTGTATGTACATTGTTGACTTCATCCTGCTGGCATGTGTACGCTGCTGCTGCTCTCAATGCCGATTCCATGGCTGAAACATCAGGCGTAATCTCTGAAAGCTTAATCTTCTTAGGAGATGAAGCCATATAGTGTCGTTCGGATCGCCGTCTCGTACGCGGGCCTGCCAAGGGTGCATCATCATTTCTGTCCTCGAAGGACACATTGCTCGCTGATTGCGCCGTTTCATTATTTCTGCTGTATGTCCAGTCTGAAGCTAGCGCTTGTTTTATATTCCGACGTTGAGAGGCATGTCCTGTCCTCAATGAAGACCTTGCATTTTGCTCAAGTGTTGGATGGTTGGAAGATGATTTCAATATATGGTTTTCCTTTACTGTATCACGGTCTGCATCGCAGTACGGCGATAATTCTGGTGAGAGTGACAACAGTACCTCTCCTAAAGTTTCTTTGGTCCTTGGTATTTGCTCTAACTTCCTCTGTTTTTTTTTAGTATCTGCTAGGCCACCATGCTTTGGTTTCTTCCTTAGGTCCGTGGCAAGGTCCTCATCAGAAGGAATATTCAATATTAGAGGTCGAGGTTTAGTCAGCTTGGTGATTGGATGTGATGTTTGTGTGTTCAAGTCCTGTGAAGCGAGGTATCTTCTTGAAATAATGCAAGACTCTTGGCTTTCAATGAGATACTCCTGCGTACATGCTTCATCACGCTCTTTAAATTGTGACCTTGAGGCAGAGAAAACATGGCTTCGTCCCGATGAGGCTACATCAGATGAATCCATTTCAGCTTCAGAATCAGAAATAACAAAACGCGAGACACTCTTTCTTTCATCCCCTTCAAGAACATAATCAGTCCGAGGCAGATCCAAATGAGCTGAGTGGGCAGAAGCTCTTATCTCCCTGGACAGCCATAGATCTGACGTGGTTTCAGTCTCGGAGTATTCATCTTCGGAATCAAGGACTATGTTATATTGACGGATCCTTTGCTTTGAAGTTGGTGTCGAGAGCACGATGTCTTTGTCAGGACCTTCTGTGATTGACCATGGCATCTTATTTGCAGACCCCAAAGGCTCGGTTAAAGATGGTGTCCTTGAGGGTGCAAGTGGCTGTGGTATAATGTCATCCGCGGTTGGATGGCGGACAGACCTCGGGATGCGCGAAATCTGCCTGAATATGCTCTTGCCGGTCTCCATGGAAAGTTCATCAAGATCATCCTCGCTCAAGTCCAAAGCTTCCTTAGATGTTATATGATGGATGACGGGCGAATCCATCAGTTGATCATTGTCGTCATCACTGCTGGATATGATATTAATAGGAAGCTGGAAGGCTTTTGATCGCACCTAAATGATATTTCATACAGTCTTCCGGTCTAAGAAATCTTTGAAGCCCACTCAGACTTAAAACTTTCGATACAAGTACAGACGCTCTTACCAAAGTCTTCCTTGTGGCTCTACTCCTTGAAGTTAAGGAAACCTTTTTATTGTCTTTGGTCCTAAAATCTGACTCTCTATGGGTCATACATAGCGGCTCAAGTTGTGAATCACCAAGGATTGTCTCCTCCTGATCTGAGCAAACGACTTCAACTACTTCGTCACGACGTTTTTTCGGCGAAGCCAGTCTGAATCCTGGGCTCTCGCTTCGCGTACAATCAAGTGTTGATGCAGAAGTCGACATGAGGATCATGGGCTCAAGGTCAAACCTCGACTTCCCAAAGGAGGCTCTTCGCAGCTTATTGTGGATGTTCGAATGCTGAGGTTGGCTGTCACTTCGATTTTTCGCAATATCTGTAGATATCAGTTCATGTTTTGCTTCTGCGGTGTTGGTAGAGAGCCATGGGTCGATCAGTAGTTGACCTTTGTTGCCACCAATTTTGCACAACCGACCTCTGCCCCTGGTTTTTTCAGATTTCTGATCATTCCTTCCACTGACTTGGCCAGGAGAATTATTGCTGCCATTTCTATTCCCATATTTACCACTGCTAGCGTTAGAATCAGCGGCCATAATACGGTTAAGATTTAATTCATAGCCAGAATATCTTCTATTATCCTCTTTGAGTGCCGACCGGCCGAATGCTTCCTCGGCGTGGTTTTCCATCCCAATATGTTGTTGCTTCAGCAATAGATTCAGATGCAATAACCACCACAGCTTCAGATACCTTAAAAAAATATACAAATCAATTCTGGTTTAGGACATGTGCGAACAGAAAGCGGCAAGTAGCAATCGACTAAACACAAGCATATTTACGAATTGTGGGGCCTGCATCTCAAATTAGCTCTAATGATTACCTATAATTCAAATGCCCGGATGCTGATTTATAAAAAAAAAGACAATGCCGACCAGACAAGAGAGATCTTTGTGAGAAAAAGGAAGCAAACACATGTTCTTTAGCATTTTGCAGTTTTTTGACCATTAACCTTTACCTTCTCATAAGTGCAAGATGGGCCCTTTTGAAAATGCAAGGACTCTAAAACTGCAAGGCCATCCCTTTCTCGACATTTCTTTGTCTTCTAAAATGAAGTAAGAACGGATATCAACCTATGACCTGTGCAGGATAGTGGCTAACACCTACAAGCAAGAGCAAGCAAGGTCAAAAAACAATGCACTCTTAGATATCTGGAGCAGGTCTTTGAGGACATATTGCCTCCTAGTCCCAAAAATATACTCACGAAGCTCGTTAAGACATCATCAAAGATACCACCCATACTACCCTGCTCACCCTTTTGTTCATTCTTAGTACTCCTTAATGCATTGTAAGCGTCCTTTGACATGTTTCCTTATGGGAGCTGGTCTCTTCACACGTTTCTTCGCGATCAAACCGGCCTTTCGAAACAGCATTAGATTATCGGAGCAGATGCGGTTTTGTGAAAGAAGCTGGTTGACCTTGCTCTTAGCATCAACGCCAGTCTTAAGAGCATCCCATTTCAAATTGTTTTTGAGATACTCCGGTCTTGACTGGAGGTCTTTCTAAGACGCTCTCTTATTGACGAGTATGCTTTCTCTTTTGGCAGAAAATGTTCAGCTGGCAATAGCAGCAGCTTTTTCGAGTGGTAAACGCCGCTCGACATTAACTCTATGGCTTTTTTAGCAGCCGTTTGTGGAATTGATTTTACAAATGGGAAAAAGTACTGAGCAAACTCACATTCCAGAAAATTAATTGTGCTACAATACCGGAAGCGAGCAATATTGTAACTGGATAGGAAAGCTCATTCGAGGTCATGTCTCTATCAATGACCCCACGAGAGGCTATGGAGAAGATAATAAAAGAGACACAAAGTACAACTCTTGAGATACACTTCTCCATGAATCCTAATATTATTATATCCCCACTCGTGAAGGCTGTAAAATTTCATTCAATAACGCTAAGAGTTCTCGAGAATATTTATTGCAGCTGTATAATGTATCCTGAGAGTTACATTCCTTTTGTAGATGGCCTGAGAGACTTTACTGAAACGATATATTGTCTTGACTGGTCCTGGATATCTTGCTTAAAGACAATAAGAATAACAATGTTTCAAAAAGATATTACTTCACCTCAAAGAATCCGGTTACCTTACTGCACAAATTCCAAGGTAATGCTGTTTACAATGCTGTAGAGTGGCACGACGTGCAATTGCATGGAGTAATAGAGAGACGACACACTTGTTGGACATATTAGGTTCGTTATTGTGTACAAGTTTTTCCCTTTTTTTTTAATCTTCTATTTGTATTCGCTTTTCTTGACCAAGTTCCTTGCCATGGTCGAATTAAGAGCATTTATGTGTCACTACAATGCCTATATCGCCCTTCATTGCCTTAATCTGGTCAATAGCTACTGCGCAAAGAAGCCCAGCTTCCGCGCAGGGTCACCCTGCAATCTCTTTGTTAAGTCGCTCTCTGCCTCTTCTTTAATTTTTGCATCAAGATTTTTGATTAAAGCTTGTCCCATTGTTTTACCGACCTTTTTTTTTTTTTTTTTTTTTTTTTTTTTTTTTCGAGAAAGAGGGCGAAAAAAAAAAAAAAAAAAAAAAAGTAAGATGATAGGTTCACATGATTACATTGTAAGATCATAACTTGGAGACCATCATACCTGAATCATCTCTAGTAGTAAACTGGGCTCAATGCTTCCGTCGTGGTTCTTCTGTAATCCGCAGATCTCCCCAGCTCGATTTACGGCAACCACAAGCTTTGCTTCCGTGCAGAGCTCTTCTAATAGTGTTGCATCTACAATATGCCGTGTGCCAATCTAGGAAATTAAGCGAAGTTGGCAGTTGAGAAATCATACATCTGTTTAAGAGTCTCTGATATCAAGTAAATATATAACTCTAAAGAGATTGCTTGCTCCTGGTTTTTGTCTTCAATATCGATTTACCTTATTAAGCGTAATACAAATGGGCATATCTTCCCTGCCGTGCACGAAATCTATATCCTCTTCATCATCCAGAACCTCGAACTCAAACTGCCCATCTCCTAGATCCTGAACTTCGGTTTTTGGAATTTTGGTGTCATAAATAGCAGCACGTACACCCATGAAGATCGCATCCATAAGATTACCACCATAGTCCAAAACCAAAGCGTCGACGAAAAGAATCCAGCATTGTTGCCCAGGGATAATGCAGAGTTTGGATAAATCAATACCTCCAGATCCTGAACATGTGGGCGATAAAGATGAAATAGCTGTATTATTAGAGCAGAGGAATCGAGACATCATCTGCGTGAGTTCGTTATTGAGATCGTCAGCCCCTCGTCCTTCGAATTGCTGTGATGCGCTTGGAGCACTAAAAAAAGTCAAATTCGAGCAAAATGCTTCGTTTTAATATACTGCATGCTGTAAACCGTTTTAAACAAAGAAGAGCTCCTGCATTGACTGAAAAGCCGCTACTCCTAATGGCTGATTTGCCTCGTTTAAGTTGAAGTGACTTGCCATTCTATACTGCATATTATTTGGCCTTTATCCGCACCATCGCCTGTCTCTGGGTCAACTTGGACAGGTCCAATTTCTGCTTTTACACTGATAAGAACATCAGAGCCTCCCGCAATACGGACACGAGCAGAGCCACTAGTTTGTGAAACTACGCTTGTCTCGAGTGTGATCTCACGAAAGTCAGACCTTTGGCGACCATCTGCTCTAATATTGCACTCGATGCCTTTAAGAATATAATCACGCTCAGCGGGGGAAATTAGACTAGGCATGGTCTTTGACTGTACAATGAGAATGTTCATGAGAAAAAAAAAAAAAAAAAAAAAAAAGCATTTGACTGAGGCACTGGTGGCTTGTTTTCTGTTATGCTGTTGCAAATTTCCCACTATCATTTTTCAATTTTGCAAAGTATTTTAGCATTTATTGAGATACACATTCATTTTCAAAGACGTGAAACTGTCAGTTTGGCATCGTGGGAACGGAGACGGTCCACCAAAACTTGTCCAAATGCGTAGGCAGGCGTCAATACTCCTCCCTGAACTCTGTTCTCGGATCTAATCCGCTCCTCATCCTGAACAAGACATAGTGCACTCTCTGCCAGATATTTGCATGTTTCACTATAGCCGGGCTCGCCGCCCTGAACAACAGCCATGACTTTGACAGGAGCATGCGATTCGGCAGAGGTACCTGAAACATCGGCTGGGACATCGCTTTCACCTATAACCTTGATGGTGAAGTGCCCTTTAGCAATGTCTTCATCTGATGGACCAGTTCCTGGGGCAGGAAGGAATCGCTTCTGGACGAAACGACGGATCGGGCCTACTGCAAGAGCTGCACCGCCAATACCTACACCAATTGTAGCGATAGTGGCAGCAAAAAGCCCTGAGGTTGACATAGACTCGCTTGATATTCATATAGATGAGTAAAACAGCAGAATAATGAGTCAAAAGTTGATATAGAATTGCTGACATTCAGCCTCCAAATAATAACCTATATTTACCTGTAGCTGAAATTGGGACCATACCCTACACCATCAGCCTCAAGGGCGAGTCCATGGCTGCGCTTAACTATTTTTTCGTTCGATGACGACATGAAAAAATAGGCCTGCCACTGCTGGAAGTCATGATCGTAAAAGATTGTTGGCGCAGAAACCTTTGCTGGAGTGATCTTCGAGGCGACCTCCTCTGGTACTAACAAGTTTTGGTCCATCGTAGGTCCGAGCCCTTCGTTCGTACTCTCTATTACCTCACAGACGGAAGCTAGCGTACCGCCGGATGCTATTTATTTGTGCCATAATATGTCATGGATTCGTCATATTAGTTTCAATATAAAACACATATATCTGTGTCTCATTTAAAAAATATCGTGCTCAATGCTCACCTGCTCCGCGTGCTTTTACTAAAGAGAGCTTTACAGACTTAGTGGTAAGGTTGTATTCCTTGCGAAGATAATCTACAACCCTGTGGAATGGTATGATCAATCAACAGCCACCAAATAAACCTGAGGTCCGTTTTGAATATCATTTCACCTTACTTACATCTTTGTACCGATTTCGGAGGGAACCGAGTCGAAACCACATTGGGGGACCAGAATAGTCTTGTTATCTCGAGCATCTTTATGGTATTTCCGAATGATGTTCTACACAAATAAAAAAAAATTAATAACCTTTCCCTCCTTTTTTTCTCAGTGTTATCGTATTAGTCTACAATTGCTTACATGAACGAAAGGGCTTTCGCCAGTCGAGTCAACATAATGTGTCTTCTGTTTAACACATGCTTCAACTAAAGGCTCTCCATGTTTCATAAAGGGTCCAACGGTGCTAATCACGACCTTAGTGCGGGCGGCCATAGCCCCTAGTGATTCAACATTGGATGCATCAGCTTTAATGATGACCATGTTCTATCGATGAAATTAAATAAATAAAAAAATACCGAGCTGTTAGGTGGAGTAGACGAACAAGTATAGTATCAGAAGTCTATTCTGCAGTCTCTGGAATTCGGAAACTGTGAACTTATTTACCTGGAGCGCTGGATCAATGGCAGTGAGCTTTTGGCGGGCTTCTTCCAGTTTGGGAATACTGCGACCTGCAATAGCCCAGCGCACGCCTTGCTTGTAGTTTTGAGCCAAGTACTATATCACGCGTAAGTTTGGGTCAATGGCTTAATTAATATGAGTGATAATAGATATGCTATCGCACATTTCTCTGCTGTCAATGTTGAACATGGAAATACCTGGCAGGTTCGAAGACCTGTAAATCCAGTGGCACCATAGAGAACAATATCGAACTCTCTAGCGGTCATAGCTGCTTTATTTTGTCTTTGTGTTTTATGTTGCTGCGAAATGAACAATGGATGAATGAAGTGGAAATGGATGTTTAGTGAAAAAAAAAAAAAATAGTGTTAGACGTTCATTTTTATTATCAAAAATTCGGTTCGGTGGAGTGATCGGAATGAACGCATGGGCCAATTGCTCACTTGCAACTTGCATATGTCTGACGTGCGTGATGATGACATGTGGAAAAAGTGATCGAAAAACAAACCAGGTGGGCTCCTTGGTATATACGTATATATATATATATATACTATCTAGTATATACTTAGTTAAGTAGTTTCATTTGCAGAGTGGACAAACCCGTTATCCTAAATACTACATATTATTACGATGGGACAACCACTGATTCATGAGTGCATTCGGCAACTATCCCCATTTTTAGAATCAACTTGCAAGAATGTATGCAAGAAAAGTATTGTTACCAATGGGAGTTATCATTGTAAAAGCATATGTATATTTCTCGGAACAACCAAAACACTTTATAGTGTTTTGAGCGTTAGAAGTCTCAATCCCACCTATTTTTATATCTCTTTGATTACCGATAACTCTCTCTACCTCTGCTCCTTGATCGATCCCTTGATTTACTTCTCGATATGTTTCTGCTCTCGCTTCTATCTCGATTCCTACTCCGACTGAACTTTCGGTTACGTGAACGATAAGGCGGTGATCTACTCCATGATCGAGTCCTAGATCTGCCTCGAGAAAGAGATCGAGAGTATGAGTGTAAACTAGAACGCCTTCTTGACCTAGATCTGCTTCTGGACCTTGAGCGTGCATATGTCCGCATCCGGCTATTCGATTCGCTTCCCCTGCTATGTCTCCCACGGCGCTCAGAGTCTTTCTGACTTTTAACAGGTTCTTTAGAATAGGCGCATCTTCGTTTCACTGCCACAGATTTATAGAAATCATCTAAACAACCGTCACCCCAGCCTTCATTCTTAATGCTGTTCGCATTGTTTCTATTGTCTTCAGTGATTTCACTTCCGTTCCCAACACAAGGAGAGTTTGAAAGGAACTTTGCTAAATGTTCCAGAACAGTACTAGAGATGGCATCACTTTTCATCGGTATGGAGACATATGCTGGGAGAGGCTCATAATATTCAGCGTCAGGCTATACAAAGATATGCCAAATAAGTCAGTCTCGATATTGAATAAGTTGCTAGGTATACTTCGTTAAAAGAATAAAAATAAAAAGATTTACCTCAATTTTTGACATCATTAATCCAGCAGGTAGATCGCGGGTGAGCACGTCTCTATGAGTAGGTTCAGGTGCCAGCTGAGGTTGTGCTGAGACGAAGTTTGGACCTGGAGCTTGAGTTGAGCTTAGAGCTGGAGGTGAGTGGGAAGAATGATACATTCCTGGGGTAGGAGTCAACGGTTGCTGATAAGCCAGCATGACCTGTGGATGCTGTGGATGCTGTGGTTGCTGCTGGTAAGATAAATGCTGGAATCCGGGTTGCATAACTTGCTGTGGGGGTTGATGGATGGGTGAGGCGCTGTTTTGTGCAAACTGTTGTTGAGGCGTTGGGAGAAAAGGGAGTGGAGTGTAAGAATGAGGCGGTGGATTGTAGGGATGGGGCTGTGTAGGTAATAAAGAAACAGATGCAGACGGCCATGGAGCAGGATGAGGAGATGGCAACTGTTGGTGCATTTGAAGAGCGTATGGAGGTTGCTGAGCTTGAGTAGGATGATGACTCTGTTGATGCTGTGGAGGGAACTGAGGTGGAGATTGCATCTGTTGAGGGACCTGTGGGTACGTGTATGACGCTACAGAAGGCATTACAGGGACAGAGGTGTTGCCAGTAGTCGGTGGCTGTAGAAAGGGAGGCCGTCTTACATTTGCCTCCAGAGTATCGACCACATGCGTTGGAAAAAACTCCTTATTTCTCCAGATCTCCAGGACCTAATGCATAGACCATAATAGAATGCTAAATACACATCGAAAACAATACCAAAAATATAATAGCCATCCATGCCCTTAGATTCCGAGTACGATTGTAGTCCCACCTTCATGATGCGCTGCCTTTGAGAATCATCAATACCAGGGAAAAAGTAAGCAACACGTAAGATAGGTACAAGATGTGGATAGATCGCATCCATGATCCACCTTTGTTGTTTTCGCTCACTATGCGCTCAATCATGGCACGCAGTAAAGATTGTTAAAAAACGAAGATCAGTAGAATAATGTCGCAGTATTACAGCCAGTCTTTTGCCACCCAGCTCACCTATGCGAGAGAATGTCGTTTGTGAGATACACAATGTGAAGTTTCTCATTGAAGCTTGCGCGGGATATGGCTATGGCCACCATGGCACGCGAAAGCAGGTCGTATTGCATGGGTGTCTGACAATGGTGAACTATCCAATTTTTACCAGCCTAGTGTTTACTGTACCTATTAGTTTTAATCCAACAAGATCGGTTGTCACAGGCAAAAGCAGAGAACGAGAGTCTTCAAATACTGATGATATACCTGAATATTCGCCTGTGAGCAATCTCTCATAAGCAGCTCGAGGTGATCTACAAGGTCTTTTACATCTGCCTTCGTCATCCCTTTACTTTGCTGAACTAAGGCGTCGAGCGCCAGTTGTACCCCAGCAGCACTAGCATCAGCATGTAAGAGATGATGCGCATTTGGTTGTCTAGGCAGGTAAGAATCCATATCACTTAGAAACCTTCAAACACTGTAGAGATGCTATTTATTGTGTATAAATGTCTCCGCGTTGTCTGCAGTCCTGCAAATGTTCTAGATTCCAAATGAATTTATTCAACAAAACCGATCATCCAAGGCATCGAGTCTGTACAGTCGGAGGCAATTGTCAATTTATATATTGGAGCCCTAAATTGCACGTGGCCATGGCTCTTTCCTAAATTTTGCTACTTATATTATTAAAAATCTTCTTAAAATTCATTGAAGCGTGGTTGGTTTAGTGGTATAATTACCGCCTGCCACGCGGTAGACCCGGGTTCGATTCCCGGACCACGCATTTTTACCAGCTAAATAAATGGTTTTTTTTAACTTTTGTTTTTCATTCCATCTTTGCCGCCATTACTTGCTTAGTCTTTACTTTTCTCTCTTGAATTAGATTCCAAAAAAAAAAAAAAAAGATTGTAAAGGTTGTACATCATGACATCTACAAGACGGACCCCAGTTTATGTTAATGTCTACGACATGGTGCGTATGGATTGTCGAAATGAAAAAAAAAAAAAAAAAAAAAAAAAACCCCTTTGCTTAAAACAATTTGGCTTTTCTCATATCCTCACCTACAATAAAGTTATCAATTCGACTAAACACTGGTTTTCTATATCTTCTCTTTTTTTGATACTCAATGATTCATGGTGTTTGTCGTACATAGATTCCCTCTAATGTTCTGACAGCGATCGGCTACTTCATGGGTCTGGGTACGGCGACACTCAATTTGGAGTATGTTTATAGGATGTTCCTTTTCTTCTTCCTCGTTCAACAGTCACTCATCCAACACTGTTCCTCATTTTCATTGATCCCACCACAGGAGTTTTTCACTCTGGGGTAGAAATTCTTGATAAAGGTTAGCAATCGTGCTCCAATGTTTCACTAATTGCTTTCGAGTGACTACCAGTTTCCTAACAGTCAATTATCTCTCCACAACATGTTCCAGAGTTTAGCTTTGGAGGACATGAAGAAAATACCACAGGGGTCTTTTGTGTGCAACCTCGTGTAGGGCCTGAAGGAGTAGTTTACAAGTATGCTAAGTTTTCTTTTGTTCTCCTCATTTGGAAAAAAAAAAAAAAAAAAAAAAAAAAAAAAAGGTCTTTAAAAGATCTCAGTCATGTACTCTTATTTAACGAATGAATGAATGATAGAGAAACCATTCTGGTCGGCTTTACAACAAAAACAGATGCTGAGATTAATCAAGTCATTCAGATATTATCCAAGGAATTCACAGGTAAAAGAAATCTGTAGGGACAAAGCAAAGAATGTCCATAGGACCATTTCCGTCGCAACCTTATTTACAGAAAAAGGATCTTACCTGTTAATAGGAGATTCGTACGTATTGTTGTCCAGGTGAGCCCCCATGCAGCTTTCGAGTTTTCGAGTCTCTTTTTTCTTTTTCTTTTTTCTTTTATTTACTATCCCACGGCACTCACGCGATATTTATTCATTATATACTTGCCAGAAACTGTAATCACTTTTCATCAGAAATGGCGTACCGTCTTACTGGATCGAGGCCTCCAGGCAAGTTAAAAATTCGATGGGACAGCTGCTTGTCCTGAAATGCACATAATTTAATGGCGTTTTTTTTTTTTTATAGCCTGGATTAATCGTGCAGCTAAACTAGGGACCATGTTTCCATGTGTTGTACCACAGGGCTGGATTGAACCACCGTTGGCGGAAGAGGAGATTATTCGCGATAGAGAGACACTCTTGCCTAGAGCATGAATATGAGAAAATATGGCATTTGGCTTTTTTTTTTTTTTTTAAAAAAAAAAAAGAAGCTTAAGAATTATAAAATACACACTCATAAACAGATCAGATTAATGAATCGGGCTATTGTTGCACATTTTTTACCTTTTTTACAAATGTATGTGAGGGCGTCTTATTTGCAATAGCAGATCATGATAGACTCATTATTCCACATCCAGTCTCATTACATTTACTCAAGGCTTTCCTTATTCATCGATTTCTCCCATTGTTTTTCCTAAGAGAAATAATCTCCTACACTCGTGCCTCTTTTTTTATTTAATTTTTTATATATAAAGGAATTAAATGAACAATCAAGATGCTACAGATGGCACAAATCTGAGAAGGGAACATCATCCTCAGTGGGAAGAGTCTGGACAACGACCTAATCAACAATCTTCTAGCCAGAGTCCCATAGTAGTCCAGCAGTCCGCGTTGATTAACCCCTTCACAGCAACATCGCGAGTTACACGGCAGAGTGCAAGGCTGTCAAGTCAGACCCCACCACCTACAGCCATAGAAACCAGTGGGCAAGAGAGAGCTCACTATGAATTAGGATCACTACATCGTTCAAAACGGTTTCGTCTTCACGGACAGCCAGCTTTATGGTCAGAGAACCCTTTTAATCTGAATGCGTCTCCTATTAGGCCATGGAATTCAAGTTTTGAGACACTTAGTGCTTCGGGATCCTCAACTTCAGCCCACCGAGCTCAACCAAACCCGATGACCACAGCAAGCGACAGGGGGATTTCAGGCTCTAATTTGTCGAGTTCCATACCTATGAAAGAGGAGTCAACGATGGAGAGGGATATTGCAGACATCATGGTTGACGAACAATCGCCATTATGGATTATTGCTGGTCGGAAAGCTCTTTTGAAACTCAAACATGGTGTTGGTCATGTGCAGGACATGGATTCTTCAGGTGGGACTACTGAACCGTTTAGAAGAGGAGCAAATCAGACTCACACATTGAGAGAAGATTTCAGCGCTCACTCAAGTTCGGGATCAAGGCAAAACGACTATGAAAAACCTGTATCGTCAAGTCCAAATGAACCATCTGATGTGAGAGATAAAAACTACGAGGGAAAGGACGACGACAACAGCAACGCCCACCTTAGCAACAACATTGTTGATATTGGTACCGACTACAGCTATGATTATAATCAAAGTCAAAGCCAAAACCAAAACCAAGATGTGGCAATAAATGTTGATGAGGAGTTACAGAGCATGGAAGAGCGTGTCCAACAAAAGCTCCGAAAGCTGATGGCGAACTCTGGGAAAACCAAAGCAAGTTGGAGCAGCAGCACTAGCGCAGGACAAATTAGTCGCGATGGACGTGAAGGCGAAACATTTTTCCAATATAGAAGCATTGGGGGCGGCGAGTCATCATTATCATCAATATCATCCCCTCTACTCACTTCATCATCTCGAGGACATCAATATCGACGACGGTACCTGGAGGATCAAGAGGCCGCGCCTGAGTTGATGGCTGTGGATGATCTTGAAGTAACAGACAGCATGCAGGAGCCAGAAAAAGAGGGAGACCTAGAACCAGAGCAGAAATCGAAAATAGAGCAAGAGGCGAGGTTTTCAGAAATTTGGGAGCGGTCTGAGTCTGAGGATACGCTGATCAAGCGAACCCTAGAGGCCGAGTTAGAGGTTGAATTGGAAGTCGAATTGGACTCTGAACGCGCTGGATACAAAGGTAAAAGAAAGTATGATTTGGCTTATTATATGACAGAATGATTCTTCTAGATTTGATTATTAATGCTTTTGTTTTTATTTATTCATTTCTTTTTTCTTTTAAACATAGCTGAACATTCCAAGGTTAGCAGGCAAATATCGAATAATGAACTTAATCTAGACTCTGCATTGGAGCTGCCCATAAACTTACCTGAGGTGTTGGTCACACGAGACGAGTTAGAGTCTCGGTTTTGGATGTATGGGCCAAGAATTGCCAAACCACAGCGCATGTTCCTGTGAATCTTTTTTTGTTTAAATCTCAAAATTGTACCATAGTCTATGTACCCAATCGTCAATAACAAACACTATCATTTTGATGACATCTTAATTGTGTCAGTGTTGCCTGGTCTGTGTGTTAGGCTGTGCCAACAGGGATGAAACTCACAATTGCTTGCATCAAATTCTTTTTTCTTATACCATTTTGACATTCACACTCATTTCGCTCGCTCGTTCATTCACTTATTCACACGTTCATTTTTTTATTTCTTATCCACACCATGGAATCAGCACGGTCTCCGTCGTCTTATTATGCCACAGCTGATATCCAGCCTGGTATGCAGGACATGGCGCTCGAGCACCCACATGAACCTGTCAGTAAGAAGCAACAAGAGGGATTCCATATTAATACAAGTACCACAACAAATAGGTCTATTGTACCTTTGACAGCTGAGGCCTTGGCTGCTCAAGGCAGTAGGAAGGCTAATAGTAATTTCCATTCAAGTGCCTCAATTGCAGCTGCCACACAGTATATTCCTGAATTGCATCTACAAAGGCGATCACCTGCCCCTTCGGATCAATACGTACTCTCGGAGCGTCCTTCTTCTATAATGCCAACAACCACTGCTGCAATACAGCCTCGAGGCACATGGTCTCATGTTCTAGAAGAGATCCCTTCTGCAAAAGACAACTTTGAAAGCTCAGACAATCATCATATTGGCTCAACTGCGCGATCCCACAAAAGCCATTCAGTGGCCTCGTCTAATTCAGACACAGCTCAATCCTCAGGGCACTCTTCTGAGAACGAATGTAAAGATCGTTTTGAAAGACTACCCAATGGTGGACATCGACATCATCTTTCAGCACCAAAAAGGCATCAGCACCTTGTAACACAGATTCGTCGCCTGAAGGGATTGTTAGATGGCGGTAAGAAGGACAGAGAAAAAGATAGGGCAGAAAAAGATGAAAAAAAGGAAAGGCATAGCCATAGGAATGGGCACGGCGTTCTTCGAGAGGCACTGGAACACCCGTTATCACTACTGAATGAAAAGATTGAAGATTTTGAGAAAGAGCGAGGTCATCACCATCATGCAAACAAGCACAGTATCAAGGAGGAATTTGCAGCCAAATACGGCGATTTACAACAAGTTGTTGGCCGAGGTTTGTAGCTGTGTATGAAGCGGAAACTGAACCTTCAATTGATTAGCCACTTCAGTGTTTAATGACGAAAAAAATTTCTGAATGAAACATGAATTTAGGCGCATTTGGCATTGTGAGACTGTCTGTGAAGAAGGACCCTGAGACTGGTGAGGAAACTACATATGCAGTCAAGGTAATAAAAAAGACAAACATGTATAGCCTTTAATTGACAATAGAATCACTCGCTTAGAGGATATGTCTTTTTTTTTTTGACCATAGGAATTCAGACATGATCACAATGAAGCACAGAGAACGTATATGCGTCGTTTGACAAGCGAGTTCTGTATTGCATCGTCGCTCAGGCATATCAATGTGATCCAGACTCTAGACTTACTGCAGCTTCATGGTGACGCTTTTAGCGAAGTGATGGAATATTGTCCAGGAGGGGATGTCCATTCCCTGATCGCAAGTTCTGGGACTTTGAGTGAGACTGAATCAAGTTGTTTCTTTGCACAGTTAATCAACGGGGTTGCATTCTTGCATTCCATAGGGGTTGTGCACAGGGATCTCAAACCCGAAAACCTATTGTTGACAGCGGATGGTTGCATCAAGATTGCAGATTTCGGAAACAGTGAAGTATTCAGGATGCCATGGGAAAAGAAGATTCGGTCATCTACTTCCATCCGTGGTAGCGGGCCTTTCATTGCACCCGAAGAGTTCACAACCAAAACTTTTGACGGCCGGTAAAGAGATAATGAGTGTCTTTGTTATATATCATATGGATATTAATCAGATTACGATATATAGTAGCTCATATACATTTACTCTTTGTTCCATACTTCTGCCTTTGGACATACAATAGCAAAGTAGATATGTGGGCTTGTGGGATCATCTACATGTGCATGAGACGCGGCCGCTATAGTTGGGCGGAGGCATCTAAAGGCGATCCTAACTGGGATGGCGTTCTTTACAAAATCGAGCGATGGCAGCAAATGCAAGAAGCCTTGCCTGAAGTTGATCAGAATAAGCAGGCCCATGGCCATGCGCCTAAACACATTCATCTGGATGCGATCGAGCAGACGCTGCATATATCGCTAGGATGGCCCAATCATATTTCAGAAGTTCTCAACCATCTTTTGGACCCAAATCCAAAGACTCGCTGGCAAGCTGGACATGTCCTCGATAGTGAGTGGATGGAGAAAGTCGACAACTGTCATCCAGCGGAAAGACCTGCGGACCAAGTCCTTAACGAGAGTGATTTCGATCCTGCTCCAAGTCAGCGTGTTGGATCCAAAGTCTGGGAGAATGATAATGGAGTGATGGGCGACCAAATCATGAATGAAGTTAAAAATCGATGTGATAAGGGATCTCAAGTTAACGACTCGAATGGTGCAAATGCTAATCCTTTAAGACACTCAGCTGTTTACGATAAAGATGCCGTGCTTTCGCCTTCTATCTCTCCCTCTTCATCTCCTCCATCTCCTACCGCTCGCGTCCCTTCCTCCGTTCCTTCTGCTGATCAACACCATAAGATTGTTCTTTAAAAAGATCTTTTAGCTATTTATGTCATCAGGACCTTTCTTGCATATAACTGTACAAAATAAAAGAATCCTGAAATATCTGTAGACAATAATCGAGCTATTTAAGATAACCTGCAAGCGAGTACCTTGTCTTATTCATGTAGCTCTATGTCTTTACCCATAGGCCCTCGCCTTAACCCTCCAGGCCCCCGTCAGTATTTTCACCTTCGTTTGCAATGCCACTGCTAATCCAGTCATCACCTCCGCTAGTGTAACGGGCAGATTCTGGCCTCTGGGGGCGCTGGTATCCGTATCAATCTCGTTGTTATCCATGTATTGTCCGTCCACAGATCTTTGAAAGCTTCTGCTCTTCTATCGTAGAGCGCTCGGAATCGGCGACAAATGCAGATGTGCACAACGTCAAGTACAGCTTACACGGCAACTTCAATTGGGATTGGACCATCATAGACATTAATATCACAGGTGTTGATATTCAGTGGTTCATTTGGCTGGAAGACTGGTTATTTGTCTGAGTGGTTGTGGCAGGTTGTACCAGACACCCACTCCGTGTTCCCGATACTTTCCTCCGAATTGTCATTCTCGGCATCATCGTCATTCACATCATTTTTAGACTAGGTCCGTTGTCTCTACTATTATCATCGTTACGGTCATCACTTATATACACCTTCTGAATCTTCATTCTGGATTGTTCCTAATCGTAGTTAATAACGTTCCAACCCATCTCAGTAACACTGTGTCATCCACACAGCAGTCCTGATGATCTGTTGTATGACCTCATAACTAACTAGCCTGGCCAATACCTGCTTGCATCACCTGTATTAATGACAGGGCAGCACCATTATTAGTTCTGACAATCTGTGCACTAAGTGACCCAAAATATTGCTATCCATGAGTTTTAGGCAATGGCATAAAATTTGGAGTGTCAAGGTGTGAAGGCGAGAAGAGGAAGGTGACGGGTGGGTGAGGGTTGCTGTGTCTGTATTGGTAACGAGAGGATAGAAATCGGTGACGTCGCTGGCATCGTAAGCAGATGTCAAGGAGATATATGGATGAAAGAAGGAAGTGAACGCCTACTGAAAGCAGTAGGGAAGAGCCGACTGTAATGCTCGTACCTGACGTCGAAACCTTGTAACTTGTAAGGACACATAGTCCTCGACAACTCGAGTAGACAATGAAGATAGTGACGATAAAGGCTTGTAAGGGGCCGGGTGTCTGGACGTAGAAGCAATGGTACAGATATTGTCAATCCCAATGAAGCGACTGAAGGGAAGTTCATGATGGCATTAAGGCTCTTTTTTTTTTGCTCTTCAGCCATCTGTAGCCTGCCGGATTGTGGGATAAGAAGGTTTGATGATAAAAAAATCACTTGTCGTCCTTTACCATCTATGTGAGAAAAGATCTACCTGAGATCGATTAATACTTAATGACTTGGAAGGTGCCTACCGAGAAAGTAAGATCCATTGCCATATGTGTATACATTTATATATATCAATATGACATTGCTTAGTCTGTTTTGAGGCTAGAACAATTGAGCGATCTGGAGCTGTTAAACTTAATTTCAACATGCATGAAAGTCCAATGTCATTGCCTAGACCAAGTTTTCTTTCCACTTGTTAAAATGGGAAAGTTCAATAAAATCTGTCACTCTCGCCTCTTTCTTTTTTCCTTGATTGTTAATCGCGCCCACCTTCACTTTCTCCCCTCTTATACCTTCGTTCACGCTTCAGCAGCATATCACAGTGGAATGGGGGCTGTTGGTATTCAACGACTCAGAATATTGATCCTGCTCCTCACCATTACCGCGTTCACTCTGGCATGCGTGTGTTTCTCTGAGTGCTACAGGAACCTAGACGAAGGAGGGGCCCCCGTCACCCTTTCCGTCGTCATATTTTTCTCATACTCTTATTCTCTCAAGGGAAAACCAATTGTCGGAAGATCCGTTCGTGCTTTCTGTATTTTTGTATTGTCGGCACTCACTGTAGTCAGCTGTCTAGCTTTAGATCCAACCAACTCGAGGTCGAATGCCGACTACTTTGGATATCCACTCCTTGTTCCTGGGTTCTTTATGCTCATCGATATGGGTTGGACTCTGTGGGACACACGGCCAAAGCAACCTAATGGAAGTCAAGAGTCCAAAGAGAGTCCTGATATTATCATTATCAGCCCTGAGATACCTCATCGTAATGGTACTGCAGTGTCACCAACACAATATGTTTATCCTCCTCTTCCACAGCACCTACAGTCACAACCTCAGGAATTAATGCCAAATACACACTATTTCGCCGTGGACCCACCACCACTAGAAGTCAAAGGAGGACCTCAGCCGCACCCCGAAGAAGCCTCGCCACATCTACTGCAAAACCGAGAGGTACCTCAATTATCTAGATCACCACAACCAACAGCACTTCCGTCATCGCAAGCGCCACAGCTCCTGCCTCAGGCGCCTCAATTGTATGGGACACTTCAATCCCAACCTGAAATGGTTACTCCGCATTTGTTGCAAGATCGAGTGATGTCCCAACACTTTCAACCTCAAACATCACAACCAACAAAACTTCTATCACCGCAAGCACCACAACTCCTACCTCAAGCACCGCAATTCTATGAGATACTTCAGCCTCAACCTGAAATGACCTTTTCATATTTACAACAAGGACAGGGGATGCAACGATCGCCACAGTTCTATGAAACGTCTTAATAAGGCGAGCTCTGGCCACATGCACCGCATGTCACAAACCTGTCCATAATTAAACAAAAAAATATAATGCTTTTTCAATCTTTATTCTGAAGCCCTTAAAACTGTCCCTTAATCAAGTTAATTCTGAGACCAATGACAAGAAACGGAAAGCGATCGGACAGGGAAATGTATCAAACTTGAAAGACCTTGCGCTCAGCCATGAACGCCTCAAAAGTGAAACTTGCCAAAATGTTTAAATATATACAGTCGACTCCCTCTAGGTGCAACGCTTTGGGCGGTCCTTTTGCGTTGCACTTAGACAGTGGTTGCACTTATGAAGAGTCACGTGAAGTGAACTGTATGGGGCATATCAATAAAGACACATCTCATATTCATGAAGCAACAATGCTTCACAAGCCCCCAGAACCCTAGCCACTTTGACAAAGGCCTCAAATCATTAATGCTTGCAAGAAAAATCAAGAAAATCTTATTATGAACTTGCAGCAATTATGTGATTAGATCAGTGAGACTGAAAACGTTCAAGTTCAAAGTCTTCAGTATCCAGGTTACTCAGTCAATCCGAAAAGTTGACTAGCGATGATGCGCTGCTCTAGTAATTCCAGGATCACAGCACAAATGGACTCTGTTCGATGACAAAAAAAGCATTGCAGTCTGCAAAGGATTTACAGAAGTGCCTTCAACAGTCCACACTTGACATTTTTTTTTCCTGGTTCCTTGATCGTATTAAATTAATACATAAAATAAAATAAATATATATATATATTTTGTCTTCTCTCTGTAAGTGCAAAAATCATATAGTAAACCTTAAATGTGGGCGGAGGAGGTCGTTGCACCTAGCACTTAGACAGATTTTGCACTTCGCAATAAGTCCCAGCCTCGGGACCAAAAAAATCGTTGACTGTATACTATACAATGCAAGATCGAAAGGAGTTTTAAAATTCTTTATGATGAATAAATTTCCGGTGAATGTGGTACATAAAAAACCCTTGCATATGGTAAGCAAAATAAATAATTTAGAAATCTCTTTTGCTTAAATCTTTAGTTTAAATCAATGAAACTGCCAATCTTTCGGATGATCCCCTCAATACCGCTGGCAATTTGCCCAATCTATATGGAGTTATGTGAGGTACAAAAAAATAATATTTGTAAGCGAAACTATTCTGTCGACATAAGGATATTCATGTTTGCATTTTTTTTAAAAAATAAAATAAAAAACTTACATCAGTTGGACAGGCAAAACTAGTCGATTGATTCTTGAGCGATGGTGATATTGTGATTCCAATGATCTTTAGTTTAGCTTTAACGTCATAGTTGATGGTGATCTGCCCATTGGTTGATCCTAAAAGCCCACATCTCGAAAGAATATTCTGTACAACTGTGAATCCGGGGTCCTGGCGACGATTATATCTGGCAGAAACAGGGAACTGGATCGTCTTAGTTGATTTACTAGGAAACTCGACATGAGTAATGTTACCACCTCCAATCGATGGTTCGTATCCAGGATAATAAGCCTTTAGATAGGTCAAACCATATACAACAGAATAATAAATTGTTAGATTTGTGCGTTTTCAATCCTTCGGATATTTCCTCTTTTTTGGGAACATGGAAATTCATTCTCTGGAATTAGCCTGCAACACTGAATAAAAGAGCTTTTTAATTCCAACACCTACTGTTACAACAATCGACTCAAAGTTGAAGCTAATAGGATTGGGATTCTTGACCTGAATGTTCGCCACCATATCTAAGCCAAGGGTGGTATTTCCTTGATTGAACGTGAATATCGGGTCTCCCTCAGGTCCTAAATAATCAACGGTCGGCATCTTGAACACTGCAAAGACCAAGATCACAATTACGATAATGACAAGCAGCAACAGAATGCACAGACAGCATGTCACCCGCCCACACGTTGTCCGGATACAAGGAAAACACGGCAAATATTTAGATCGCTTCTTGGAAGGTTTAATGAGTTTGACGTCTTGATCCTCGAATCCATTATAGTAGCGTGGTTGGTTGTTGGGCTCAGCAGCAGGAGCAGCAGCGGGAGCAGCAGCAGTTTCATCATAGTTTTGATTGTAATAATCGTTGTTGTAGTAGTCTTTGTTACTGGTGTTATTATTATTGTTGTTGTAGACATGTTGATAAGGTAAGCTGTAGCTACCTTGCTGTTGCGTCATGTCGCGCATTGCATAGCTTTGTTGACCTCGATCGTAGCTATTATACCTGTTTTCCATGACGTCGTTTCGGAGACTAATGATTGGTTTTTCGCCCAGGGCTGTTGAACAAAAATAAATGCAATTTACACTTGTAGTGGGATTTTTTTGTTTTTTTGTTTGGCTTCGCTGTTGTTTGAACGATATACTTTTATGCTTTATCGCCTGCTAATTTCCTGTAACTGTTGTAGCTGTCGTTACCACTTTTTTTTTTTTTGTATCAAGTATTTGGTAGAAGGATAGGGGCAGTACAAGTATTTAAAGTACAATAATATTAAGTATAGCAAGAATGTAAGAATGAGAATGAGAATAAGTGAATGAATGAATGAATAAATGAATAAATGATTGAGCAAATGAGTTAATGAGTTTATGTGTGGAGAAAGTTTTTGCCGAATAAGAAAGCAGAAGAAAGGAGCAATAAGACTGAAAGTGTATAGGAAAGCCAGTCAAATGGGTCAGATAAAAAGGACAAAAGAGCAAGAAAAGAGAGAGATGAAAGAGAGGAGAGAGAAACAGTGTGAGTAGATAAAGACAGCAGCCCATTGATGATCATCGATCAGATAGACTTGACGCTGTCAATGTCCATTTCATTCTTCTTTATTGCACAGTGTATGCATGCAGCAAAGAGGGAAGCTCTGACATAAGCTGCAAGGGTGCAAACTTGTATTACATGAACATGTTTATTATTCTCATGTCTTGTCACAGTTTTTTTTTTTATTTCATCTTGCTATGCTGCAATGCTCAATGTCATCATGTTAAATTTATTGAACCTTGCCCAAATGCTATAACAGTGATTCCTTTGGTTGTACAAAAAAAAAACTTGAAAAAGGAATCTATTTTACTTCATGCCTCGTTGTTTATTACATTAGGATTGATTTTTACTAAAACGGCGTGATGGAGTCGCCTGCTTTGACCCGTGCAACATTCATATCATTATACCGGTTGACGACTGGGAAGAGATTACCCTCCCAATAATGATTGACTCGCACTCGGTACCAATATGGCCATTTAGAGTAGCAATAATCCGCTAAAGCATCCAGTAAGGCCGAATTGGTCTGCACTGCCAATGGACCAATGCATAGCTGCGGGATCTTGCCTTCCTTCAATGATCTCAGAATATCATCCTTCAAAATACCAAGACTAAGTAAATGGTAAACATTAAAATGAAGTACATGTAAGCGAATCGAGCAAGAGTTCTGTATCAAGCAACCAGATTTGTGATTGTAGTAATTTGCTTACTTGATATCCATCTGTTGCCACAGTACATACGACCCATCGGTGGGTGGACCCTTCGTGCACCAGTTATAATATGACTGATTCAGCTCTGCTGGCTGTGAATCCTCGCTCGTATATCTGAAGCCATCCAGCTTCCATGTGTCTTTATGATTTGCCCACTCTGGCTTCGGGTCTGGGATGGACCAGTATGTATCCCCCATGAAGATCATGATCCGCTGGTTTGACAAGATCATATCACGAAGTTTTGGCCATGGATCTGAAAGACTTTTGCGTGGCCACATCATCAGTTGACCTGTCGGTAGTGTAAAGTATTGGAGTATTTTGGCCACAATGAATTTGGACATGACGCCAGCGTCACCGTCATTCTGGTTGAATTCGATTGTCAGGACCTCGTACGGGTTTGCGAGCATGAACTCAAGAATTTGACTCATGACAGAATCAAGTGTTACTCCGATAGCACGGGTTGCTCCATAGCCATGACACATGACGATCTGAGTACCATTGTTGATCAGGCACGTTCCTAGATCCAGGAACCGAATGCCTAAAAAGATATATATAAACATAAGTATCTAGACATATCACATGGTGGACACCATAAAGTAAAAAAAAAAAAAAAAAAAAAAAAAAAAAAAAAACTTCCTTACCATCATTAAGTTGTTGTAAAATTGGATGTCCCGGTTGGTTGTCCCATAGACATGGGACGGCCCAGTTGGGGATTACATCCAAGCATGCAGAACCCCATAGCGTACAGACCTCGAGACTACTGGTACAGATCTGTTCCCAACCCAGACAAAACTGCTCTGTGGACTCACATACAGATGAGAAGGCACCACAAAGCCAATGCATCCATTTTGGGAGACGATCCTGACAACTGTTTGACATCTTGGTGCATCGTGTCTCCCATCCTTTCGTGCAGTTCTGTGCCTGTGCAGTACAAACGGTCTTAGTCTGAAGACATGTTTCAGTGGCTAGTGCGCAATCGTATTTGAGGTCGTATGCAGCACTGTTGTGAGTTGCTGGGTATGTCTGATAAGAAGAGTAAAAATAAAAAAAAATAAAAAAAATAAATAAAAGGATTAATCGTTGCGAAGGTGCGTTTGATGAACATTTAAAATAATAGGGAGTTTTCCATCCGTCGTGATATCCTACGTACCACCTGGTTGTAACGCAAATCACACAAGTCAGCTCGACCGTTGCAGCGCATATCGGGACTGTCGACTGCTGCTAATGCTTGGAATGATGAGATTGGCTGTGTGATATTATCCATGACGGCCATGGACATGTTCCAGGGCATAACTTTGCCTCCTTCGCCTCGCTTATGCAGTACTGTCTTTGTTGTACTAGCACTGACGCTACTACTCTCAGACCCACCATATATTTGTTCCTGCCGTAGAAGACACTCTGTATTCCATCGAGGATGCTGCTCTTGCGCAAGGCGTGACTCTATTTTGGGCCTCTGTTCTTTCTGAATTGAGAGAGAGGGGATGGTTGGCAGTGGTCCCCGATATTTTATTGTTGTTGGTGTTGATGCCGTTGCTGCCATCACTTGCACTGGTTGCCAGAGACATGATAACAGTATTGCTACCGACATCAGCATCATTACCATTCCATAAGACGAAGAAGAAGAGTTGATAATATGACGACTCGTCTTCATTTTCTTTGCGATTGTCTGGTTGGTATTCTTTGATTGAACGATAAATTTTTTCGATAGGTTCCCAGTTGTATTCGGAGATTTATGAGAACCAGATCGCAGATTTTGTACACTAACTCCCGCGATGGCCACTGCTAGGAAAATCGATCTGTCTGCCTTCTTTTTTTCCTCTTTCTGCGACCGTTGCTGCATATTTACAGTGATCAAACTCTGTCGAACATATTCTGCTTCAGAGCTATAAACTTGACATTGGCCATATTCCATCGACATTGTTGGTGCTGATGGCTGTTGGCTCCAAACGTCTGTTGATAGACCATAGTTTCTCCTCTGGCCATCCTCTTGGTGAGAATTTGTAGATCCGTAGGGCCTCCGTCGTCCTCGGTGTGTCTTTAATGACATGGTAATAGTAGTGATATTGAATTATATCAGGATATCAGAGTATCAGAGTATCAGAGTATCAGGGTATCAGGGTATCAGGGTATCAGGGTATCAGGGTATGAAGGTATCAAGGTATTGGGTGGGGAGGATAATTAGCGAAGTACAAAGGTTGAATAAATGCGAGCTGAGAACAGTGAGGAAAGAAGAGATTGCAAAGTTGAAAATGAAGAAAAGGGTTGATAGAAAATAAAAAAAATAAAAAGAGAGATTATGAGGATGAAAAAGAAGAGAAAGAAGAAGTGAGAATGTCAATTGCAAAATAGTCCCTTCCTACCTGCCCATGGCCTGCTGAAAAAGAAAAAAGAGCATTTGGTTTTTGTTTACGTTGGATGAACACAACGCAGGGGTCAAGAAAGAGCTAATGCAAACACAACTCAAAACATTTGGGAAGATGTCAGGTGGGATACAACTGTGCCTGAGTTTTTTTTTTGCAACTCCATCCCGCCATCTCCACGATTCGTCCAATCGACAACGGAAATTCTCCTGCTCTGCATCTTTCTCACCATCGTTTTTTAGTAAGTGCGCTTGGGTAATTTGGCTATCGGAGGCTCTGGGAAATGTTTGGTCTTAATCATCCTTAAATTGCACTTTATGAAAGCAACACAAATTAACGGCACATCATTGGACGCAAACGTAAGCGATCAAGCAAATCGGGAAAAAGTAAGCAGCAAATCAAATACATATACACATTTGTAAATACTTTGCACATGTTCATAACGCGTTCCTTTACCTAGCAACCTAGACATGCCTCGAACGAAAAGAATTGAACGGTGAGATGATCTCTTGGACTTTGTTCTCATAAAAGGATAAAACATACCGTTCGCTTGGATGGCATTGATCTTTTCAATCTCTTCTCCTTTTTTTTTTTTTTTTTTTTTTCCCTTACTCAATACTCCCATAGCAAACAATGTGTCGCCGGATATTCTTGTTCCGTCTACATTCCGTACCCCTTCCCTCTTTCCGCATGATGTAAGCCTATCTTACCAATGCTGCTATCGTAAAAAAGAAAATGCGCTATCGAGAACAACCCTTGTTTTTAGCGCCACAGCTGACAGACAGTGCGTTGGCAGAAGGAAGCACAAAATATCTCAAATAGGCAATTACTTGATTGGTTTTTTATTTTTCAATTTATTATACTCTCAAACCATCCGAAGGAAAAAAAACCCCCTTCAATGGTATTTATTAATCCTTCTCAGAGCAGCTTTGCAAGGAGAGGAAAAAGTGCTCCTTCATCTTTAATCAATTTTCACATTGCGGTATATCCTCATGATGAGCTTATTGGCTGCAAAATGACCCACAGACCCCAACATTAAAAAGATAGCCATGCATGCCAGACCTGTGTTACCAAAGTAAAAACTGGTTTGAAAGAGGCCATACATCCTAATAGCACACAAAGAGTAAATCATTAAGATTACAAACAAAGACAACACATTCACATGCAACAAAAAAAAAAAAAGACATCCTTACTTGGTCTTTTGCAAATAATAGTAAACTGCATATATGTAAACATATGCTGCTGTAGATCCGCAGGTCGCCATACTCATCCAGTGCCATCTATAATCTTCGGTATTGAGCACAAAATATGTGCTCACCACCGTAACACATGCCGTGACCAGCATCACAATACAGAACACTAGTAATCCGAATCCATATACATAGTAGACCTTATATGACCAGAAGGACGTGAACAAAAAATAGATCTCGATGAAGATGGACGCAAATGGTAGGATGCCTCCCAGAGCGATCACCACAATCGGCTCTGCGTACCAGATTTTTTCCGGGATTGGGCGAGGGATCGGATGGACTCTACACGGGAAATCCGCCTTGCCAGCCCAGTTCTTACCCAAAATTGTACCCACAAACGTCAGAGGCAAAACGATCAGCAGCCAGATCACGAAGAGAGCAACCTGAAGAGGTCAAGAGGGAGAAATAAAACTGAGTTATTCTAAAAATCAACAGATATGGTTTCCTAACATTGATACCGCAACTACACCACATGACTGTAATAATATTAAAAAAAAAAAAAAAAAAAAAAAAAAAAAAATTACCATGGTGCCGAACGCGATGGCTCGTGAACTGGTATAATAGATTGCGATTGCATTGTTTAAGCCTGTGACTATGGCCACCGAGGCGGGCCAAAATACAGCTGTCAAGAACATAAGGCGGACCCAATCTCGCCCTCCGTACTGAGTATACTGACTAGCACTGGAATATCCAGAAATTATCGAGGTGAAAGCATATATAAAAATAGTGGCTGTCATGATGCTGGCACGTTCAGTCCATTCCTGCCCAAAAATCGTATATAGTATCACAAAGAATGATGTCCATACAAGCTGATGTCCCGTTCCCACAAATGCCGCAAAAGTCATAGGGTTAGTTGGAGGTCTGAATACATCGCCATGGATCTGCTTCCAACCGTAATCGTCGCCCAAATCATGATCCTAGATTAGAAAGGTGGTATAAAAATTGTTCAGCAGAAAAGCCAACAAGAAGTTTAAGTATAGATAAAAAATAAAAATAAAGTATCATCACCTCAAACCTCATTTACCGCTGCAACACTTACAAAATCATTCAACCCTGCTTCTTTATCATAACGTGCAAAATCACGACGGAGGTACCGAATCCACATTGCACTGACGAATCCTGTAAGAAACAATACCATCATCAATGAATTGAAAATAGAGAACCAGTGAATCTAAGAAAATGCCAATTAAACGTATTAGCCCTTAATCTGTCAAAAAATTTTGCTTTTTTTTTTTTTTTTTTTTTTTTTTTATATCGTTGTTGTTCCTATTTTACTGTCATCTGTATCGACCTGCAGTCGCTTTACCTTGTTTTCAAAAAAATCCGAGTCCAAATAGCGTTCGAATCGCGACTTAAATTCCTTGTCGGTCGCAATCCAGGTAACAGAGTATGTAAAATCTACATGCATTCCTGTCTGTGAACTGATCAGTGCAACAGGGTGCTCTGGTGTAACTTGTGCAGAAATGATCTGCTCGCCATTATACTCAAATTCAAATCTTTGGTGTGTATACAGCGACGTTTGCTCTGATTCTTTTTCCCGTTTCCCAACCATTCCTACAGCGAGCCAAAAAAAAAAAAAAAAAAAAAAAAAAAGACATTGCTTTTAGTATTATTTGTCTTATTTTTTTTTTTTTTTTTTTTTTTTTTTTTTTCCATCATATTACTAGTTGTTGATAGCAATGAAATTACCCCAAACAGGAAGATCATCGATAAAGTACTGAAACCAATAATCGTGTGATATTGCGTATTGAAACGTCTTGACATCCTGCGGCGTCAATTGCTTCTGAGAACAGATTGGTGTGATATCCTTGTTCTCTATACAAGCCAAAAGTAGAGAAGCGAGTAGAACAACAGAGAACAACAAGTAGACAACAGCAAATAAATCAGATATATAAGCATTTGGTGTGCGCAAATATTTGGTCATAAAAAAAAGTTGATAAATCAAAAAAGTCAACTCACGGCCAAAACGGATGGAAATGCCAGAGTTGACCAGTTCCATGCCCAATAGCGCTTCTCCTAAAGTCTCGTGGCGGTGTTCGATCTTCCCATCTCCTTTGCAGTATGGCAGCTGGAAATACTCATATGTTTCCTGTCGATTACTAAGAAAAAAAAAAAAAAAAAAAAAAAAAGATATTAAATTATTAATAAAGACCTATTTGAAAACGTTTATTCGATCGGAAATAAAAAATCTGTTCATCATCTTCAACGCACCTCAAGGGTCCAACTGAGTTAGCCCAAACGACGACTTCCTCATAGTCTGTATACTAATGGTATATTTGAGAATGGATATATTTCATTAGGTACCATCATTGAAGCATAACATATTTGTGCATTGCAAAGATTATCTGAGAATTGAGCGCGGACCTTGTGTGAATGTTCATCGGCATGGACCAGATTGATTGCCAGCGCGAAGAATATTAGAAATCCATAAATGGTTTTGCCTGCCCAGGTCATTTGAGCTACCATGGCAGGTATATGACAAGGCGTTTTTTGGTGATGGTAACTGTCTTGCCGTGTCCTTCCAAAGATTGTCTTCAAGTTCCATAAAACCCTTGCTTGAATGCCGCCAACTTGAATCGTCTAGAACAATTTGAATGAATGCGATGAGAAGTGATTGACAGGTAAAGAGATGGGTGAGAGTGTTCTGGTGTGACAACAGGCACGTTTTTTATGAAATTTGTTTTTATTAAATTTTGGAAAAAGTAAAGTACAAAGCTATTGAAATGCAAGGGAAAAACAAAGGAGTGAACTAGTAACCATGGCCAAACTTCATGCGGATCAGGTAGCGCATTTTAATCTGGCTTGTGTTGTATACAATGTATTCGTTGTACTGCAAGCAATATAGACCGGTTCCGGCTTTCTTGCGCTTGAGCGGACCTACTGGCACGAGGAGATTGTCTTCAATAAACACATCATGTTTCTCATCTGGATAGGCTAAACCCAAGCCCTTTGTACTTTGCTTGCCGGCCTTCTGGGAGTTAGCCTTCGCATTGTAGTCCGATTGCTCAAGTTCATACATGTCACCAAGTGCGACTTCGCAAAGCAGCATTAGACCCGTGTTGTTAGTGCGAGAGTCCACAAAGCAGTAGTTGGCAGACTTGGAAACGCAGTCCGCGAAATAGGCCCCCTTATCGAACATGTAGCCGCTGACAGGAGCCTCGGGTGGAGCAATGCGAAGACCTTGACTCAGAATACCGACATAGTTAGTGAGGCGACTTCCGTGCCAGAGCAGGCGACGGTTGTGAAGCTTACTGAAGCCAGATTCATCGAATCGTTCGTCTTCACCTTGGCGCGAGAGATCAAAGACTTCATCGATGGCAAGCTTGGTGTAGTGAGTGGATCCATGTGTGTTCTTGACGTATTGCTCAATGAGCTTGTAGCGTTCGCTCTCCTTATCCATAGGCTCCAGTTTATTCAGCTTCAAAGATATGAACTGTTGGTCGAGTGGGTTCATTGTCAGAGCTTCTTCCGCTTTCTTATTCTCCTTCATCAACTTCTGAGCAATCTCAATTTCGCCCAGTGCCTCAAGCATCTCCAACTTCTTCTTCAGTGTCTGTGCGTCTTTGATAATAGGTGGGATTGCAAACCCAAAGTTGTGGGGAATAACAGTATAAAATTCACTAGAGAGCTCACTGAGTTCAGACTCATTGGGTTTTTTAGCGTTAAGAGCAACGCTGATCTTCTTGAGAACTTCATATCCATGAAGAATGGTGGCCTTGGCAAGCTTTCCCAACGGCATCTTGTCCGCATCATAATCTAGCTCCTTCATCTGTCGATTCATCATGCTTGTATTGAAAATGAGGCCCATCAGTTCTTGAACCTTTGGATGAAGCTTAGACTCCGGTACAGGCTTCTCTTCCTTCTCCTCCTTCTTGGTCTTTTTCGCCTTCGCGCCATCCTCATCCTCGTCATCCGAGTCGCCATCATCTGGAGGGAGCAAATGGTATTTCCCTAAATATGATATGGAGCCGTAAAAAAAAAAGAAAGAAAAGCAAATGAAATGCGTCAGTTTTTTCTTTTTCTTTTTTTTTTTTTTTTTTTTTTTTTTTTTACAAGGAATGTGAGCTCGACTTCTCATATTGTTTAATTACCAGGATGCTTCACAAAATTATCGCGGCCACTCCAGGAATTCTTAGTCTTTCCTCTGAATTTCCTATCAAATTCCCTCTTTGCCGATTCGAGATCGAAGAACATGTCTGTTGAGGACTGACCATTGGAACCGACGCGTCCCCAATGACAAAAGACGGCATATTGATTAGTGCTTCGCAGAAGCTGAATAAAGTAAAATTTGTTGTTGTTCGCACCAATATTGGTCTGATTCAAACGGGCGTTCCATGCAACTTCGCTATCGACATAAACTGAGTACGTGGCTGGAAGGGTACAGGCCCTGTCGACCGGGGGTTGGCGGATCTGAGCAGTACCACTAGAATTGGTTACTTTGGCTTTGAGTGTCTTGATCTTTTTATCAACATGATCTCCTTCCTCGTCTGAATCAGCAGCAGCCTTGCGCTTTTGATTGCGCTTTTTAGGATTGGTAGGGATGGACTTGCCATCCTTGCTAGCTTTGGAATCGACTGCTTTCATATCCACGTCGGTCTTGGAATCGGTATTTGCGGTAGTGCCGTTGGTGCTGGAAGAAGTTGAAGTAGCAGCGGCCGAACCGAGTGTATAGGGCGCAATGTCAAGCTTCTTCTTCTTGTCAAGTGATTCGGTGATCCAATCAAGGCTCACTAGAGTGATATTATCCATCGAGGCAGCCTTGGTAACCTTGGATGTTTTCTTATCGATCTCTTCCTGGTTAGTGATGAGATGAGTGGTCTTTTTGGTGACAGTAGAGGTAACTTGTGCGCCTGCATTAGCAGTAACGAGCAAGGCATTAATATCGCCGTGGGTCTGGCCTGGGAATGATCCAGCGATAGAAAACACACAGTCTGCAAAGATGGGCGTGGAAGGAATCGCCTTAATAGCGCGTTTAGGAGGCATAGTAACTGTACAATCGGTGCCAATGAAGAGGGCAGGGAAAGGAAAAAAAAAACAAAAACAAAAAACAAAAACAAAAACAAAAAACAAAAACAAAAACAAAATAGAAATGAAAAAGAAAAAGATTCTGAAGAAAGGTGATGATGAAAAATAATGAGAAAGGAATGAAGAAATGTGAAGGAGCTCTCACTCTTTTTATATGCGAGTCTCACACTTTTTATATGCGAGTCTCACACTTTCTTTTTTGCCACCACTGTCACTAAGAAACCTAATTCGACATTCGAATATCCTTTCTATCTGGTGGCAAAACGTGGGACGCCTATTTCGGCGGAAGCCACTCCAATTTCGTGGGCTCATCTTGCTCATTTTGAACAAAACAAAAGGAAACGCGCAATGAGCGCTCCATTGTCCAATTTCATCATCGCCTGCAAAGCAATATTCAGTTCTTAACATCAATTTTTTTTTTTTTTTTTTTTTTTTTTTTTGTTACAGGTACTGGAGAGTTGGCCTACTGGTTTTCACAATCAGTGAGGAAGTTTACAATTATTATGGTCCACTATGACAACACAGTCTTTTTATGAAGAAGAACAGTCGTTTTTATTCGGACATATCATCATCGCTCCACAACATACGCTCACTTAAGTCTGGATTTTTCAGCTTTGAAAATTCAATTTCATCCATCTTACGCCGTTTACTATGGTGCCATGCTGCTTGTGCATCTGATGGTCGGCCTACTCGTTCCAGTCTTGGTTTTTTGGCGGGCGGCTGGATACTGATACTGTAGATATCATCGAATTGTGGGTCAATTAAATCATTGTCACCAGTATCATTAGTTGGGTTCCATGGATCGCGTCTCAATCTTCCTTTTGATCCGCCAATGCCCTGGGTCCGAAACAGTCTACGGAATCCTGCAATCCAACGATGCTGATCTTCACTGCGACCACTATTATTTTTAGTTAATTGAGGCTCTCCTCTTCCTATAGACAAAATTTCTGGGTTTTGGGCTGCGGATATACCAAGATCTTGGAATGTCTGTACAAATTGCGTCTGACGTATAGGGTCATGACCAAGGAAAACAGCGATATAGCTGTGTGCCTCGGAGAATTTCTATAAAATAGTTAATGTTAGAGTTAATATTTTGATTATCACAAACCGGTTGCGCTTATTTGTGCTCGAACCTAAAGGACATGGGTGTATCTAACCTTTCCTGATGTATCAGTGAAATTTGCTTGCTCAAATTTTAGTCCTGTCATTACAACACAAGGCCAGTCAGCCATTGCAGTCTTGCTGAACCAAGTTGCAGAAGTGGGCACTATTGAGATAGCCTCGACAACATTACCTATGAAATAGTCAATGATTAATTATATTAGCACACTGTATGTAGATATTAAAAAAAAAAAAAAAAAAAAAAAAAAAAAAAAAGAAAAAGAAAAGAGGCCATACCGTTCGAAAACTCTTCCCAGAGCTTGGCGTTCAACTGCCCAGCCAACCGTACATCATCTAACAAAATGACTTCAGTCTCAGTTTCTAATCGTCGTTTCGATGGAAGGATAGGTACATGCAAGAAGCACGACTGTATTGGCGCAAGTTGTGGACTGGCATTTGGTTGTCCGTTGAGATCTGGAATTGGGATACGCCAACCATCTGTATCCATGATATCAGGAAATGGTACTGCAATAGTTGCGTCTAAATTCGTGCCTTCGAACGCGGCTGGATCCAATTGAGGCGGTCCTCTGAAGAAGCGGTTTACGCGCTCAAGGATGGGTTTAGGTGCATGGAATCTCCTTTCATCAGTCAAAAGGTGAGCGATTCGCTTCCTGAAAGGAGTAGCCGAGGAGGATTCTGCAGTGCTAGATACAGATGATACAGCGTTAGGGTCCAGCCCATTGATTGAAGACTCTGCAGAGATGGTGGAAGCATTATCTAATGATGAATTGGCTTGCTGAAGCGACGGTGGTGGTGACGGTTGGATTTGTATTTGAAGTTGCGAATATGGAGGTGGATGATTTGGAGCTCCCAATAGATGCGATTGTTGCTGGGGTGCCAATATTGCACTACCTTGGAGATTACTATGTACATTTGTAGCGGTAGGAGATATTTGCGTAGGTATTTGAGGAAGCAGGACACTGCTAACGAAATCAGCTGACATGTTTTCGACATGAATTGGATCACCAAGTTTAAGTCCGTGATGCGCTCGCCACGCGTCTAAAACTCTTTGCCACAGCTCAAGCGCTCCTGATGTTCTATGAAGTGTGGATGGTTGAAGGTGAATAAACGCCTGAACTAGAGCCGTGCAAACTTGTTCTGTGCATGGTCTGATTGGTATGGTGGAGAGCTCCTGAATGAAACAAATTTAGGGTGATGCGTTGGCGTTCGATTAGTGATAAATTATCTATAATGATCAAGCTTTGCGCTGAGTCTGACAATTTAAATCGCTTGCAACCTACCAGGAGGAGTTCAGCACATTCAATCTGGTGTGCAATTGAAGGGAAAGAATAAAAATTAGGCATAGTTACACGGCAGTAGGACAGAAACGACGGAAACCCTCGGTTTATGCTTTATACCACATCTTTCCCATAGAAGCTACTTTTTTTATACTTTTCGTCGAGGGTTGTTCACCTACCAGGGTAGCCTTTCTAGATTTATGAATGTCCCACTGTTGCTTACAGAAATCCGTCTCGTTCTGAAATCGGTGGTCATGTTTCCACAAGCGATTGAAAATGATATTCCTGAATGCTAACACAGTGGTCTCAAATAATGAAAAATCTTGGGTTGTCTTTTGGCGAGCATGTCCACGTCTATGGCTCCCTGAAGAAGGTGTTCCGTTTTTAATTATAGAAGGATCAATCTATTTAACAGTTTGCCATTCAGACAAATAATCAGTCTCAGATTTACAAAAAGTTCCCTCCTGTGTTATATAGGGCTTGACTTTGGTCACCTTTTGAAGCTGTATCTGAAGAGGGGTTTGCCTGGGTTTTGAAAGATCACTGACAGATAAATAATCTGAATTTGCACGCTCCATAATGGCAATGGGCATAAAGGCCAAAACTGAGGTCAATGTCATTTTCGAATGAGGCCATGTAAGGCACTCAGCCACATTTGTCTGCGGACAGAGGCTGAGCACTTTGCCAGCATAATTTCCCTGCTTTTTACAACATTTGCATACCATTCGTTTATTTTACAGAAGCCAACAGATATTTGAATCTTGGTAATGCTGCTCCAATAAACTGGGTCCTGAGCCTCCGGTTCCTCCTTGCCAAGGACCACCTGAATAGAGCCTTCGGCCAAGGGTACTAACTCTCCGGCTTCTCAGAAACGTGTCAAGAGCACAATCTAAGAACTATTGAGTATGTCCTAAAAATCCACAGGTTGCCAAGATCTCATACAGGTTGATTCTTCAACAAACCAGAGAGATCCCTCCCCCCTCATGCGTCGTTTTCAAAGAAATCATCCCATTAGGGTTTTACAAATCCTATAAGCATGGCATTTCGCCTAGAGAAGAGCTATTGATCGGCACAGATTATGTGATCCTTTGTCCGAAAGGATGACAGTATCGGAAATTATGCCAGTCTCTGCAAGAATTGCGCAAGCCCAGATCCACTGAATAAATAATCGAAGGCATCAGGAGGAGTCGCCAAAGATAGCTGGTTTACACATATCAGTTGATGACCTCCTTCGATTGCTTGTTAACTTGGTTGAAAAGCAGTCAGTCTGATCACTTCTAAAAGGCATAAGCATATAGACGCTCTAAGGAAGGCGTAGCATGCGGGACTCGAGAAGATTCTTCCCATTTCTAGAGATGTTGTGTATATTTTATTAGAATATTCTTTCGTACTTTAAAGAAAAGTAATCCTCATTTATTACTATATACAGCATATTGTAATGGAACCAGGATATATTTCTTGACATTCCTATACGTTCCTAGATTCTTGAGCCGCAGTATGTTTCTGGTGTCATGTTGTCGTTGGAGCATATTAATAATAGCGATTTAGTGGAAGCACACATACAAAAACAGCAATTGATTAGTAATTATGATAATTTGTCATCTATGCCTCGCACCCCTTAATAAACAAATTTCTTTTAGTATATCATGCAGCATTTGTTGAACTTGTGTTCTTCCTCAAATTTATCACTCTCAAAAAAAAGTAATGACCTAGACAATTCACAGGAGGCGAATAGAGTTTATTTTATTTTGTTTTATTTTATCCATACATCCATCGATCCATCTATCAGTTTATCAAGAGTAATCCATCGACAACTGGGGATATTTCGTCCGGAGCAGTGAACAACTTATGATATCACTATTACCATCAACTACGGACTTGCATCAATAACGACATGAAATTAGATTACAAGTTATTATGAGCAAAGATGGAGAAAAAACAAAGGATGCATTTTATTACAGTCAGAAGAACTTATGAATGGATGCTGATGCACCGACATGTAGAACAAAAACACACTGGATCGCTAGTTTCTGTTAATCTGATCGTTTGCTGCGGACTACACAGAGATTTCGTATAGATTGAGCCTTATTCATCGCTATACCATCACACATGACAAATCTTTGTTTTCTTTCAGGATTTCAAAAAAAAAAAAAAAAAAAAAACAACTTAGCGGAACAGCAGGATACAACTCTTCATTACCATCGGATAGGACCATTACTTTGACATATTTTTTTTTCTCTTGTAAGTTCATTCCTTTAACTCGAGGCTTTTTCTTTTTCTTCCCCTTAGTCAAAATGGGTCGTCGTCCAGCTCGCTGTTACAGATACCAGAAGAACAAGGCTTATCCCAAGTCTCGCTTCTGCCGTGGTGTCCCTGGTTAGTAATTACGAAACTATTATCCTTACAGACGTGTTTAGTAATATCAGGGATTGTTCAGCATTCGGGAGACAGAAAACTTTTTTTATTTTATGTGTAATTATTATGTTCAGGATCATTAAGTATGCGCAACTTGAACAAGTTTACCCAATTTTAGTCCACTAGAGCATGGGATTGATCATGGACTTTTGGTTTGAGAAGCTTGAAAAAGGAAAAAACACTCAACAAAAGAAAAAAACAGAAAAGAACTTGGATAAATCGGCTACACCTTCTGTTCTCAGCGTAATCCTACTTAGACGAATATTATCTGACAGATTCATTCAACACTCTTTGCCTTTTCCCCCTATCTTTTCCCCCCTCTTCATTTTATTTTTTAGACCCAAAGATCCGTATCTATGATCTTGGTCGCAAGAAGGCTGGTGTTGACGAGTTCCCTCTCTGCGTCCATTTGTTGTGCGACGAAAAGCAGCAGATTTCGTCCGAGGCCCTCGAAGCCGGTCGTATTTGCGCCAACAAGTACATCACCAAGAACTCTGGAAAGGACTCTTTCCACATGCGTGTCCGTCTTCATCCCTTCCACGTCTTGCGTATCAACAAAATGTTGTCCTGTGCCGGTGCTGATCGTCTTCAGACCGGTATGCGTGGTGCTTATGGTAAGCCCATGGGCACTGCTGCTCGTGTTAACATTGGTCAAGTTATCTTCTCCATCCGTACCAAGGATACCAATAAGGCCGTCGTCATTGAATCTCTCCGCCGTGCCAAGTTCAAGTTTGCTGGTCGTCAGAAGATTGCTGTCTCCAAGAAGTGGGGCTTCACCAAGCTCTCTCGTGAGGACTACATCGCTAAGCGCTCTGCTGGCCTCCTCCAGCCCGATGGTTGCTACGTCAAGTACTTGAACGAGAAGGGACCCCTCAACACTTATTTTGAGAGAACTCTTCGCAGCCAGGCTTAAGCGAAATAGCTGGAAGTAGTTTTATTAAAACAATAGGAAATGAAAATAAACGAGAATACAAAAAAAAAAAAAAAAAAAGTTTATACACAATAAATTTTAATGTAATGTGGAGGATTGAAAGTTTTTTTTTTTATCTGCATAAAATGTCAAATGTCGTTCTTTTATCTTGTCAACTTTATCTATTTACAACGGACAAGGTCATACTTCAAACTAGGGGCTTCTTTTTTCCTACAAGTGGTTCAAGGGTGCTACAGTTCGTGGCTGTTTCCACAGTTTTAAACTCAAAAGTGCTGCAATGCCAGCCATGATACCTCCAATACGAAGCATAACGCCAATGGTCTCAGGATCGCCTGGCTGATCGGATCCTTCGCCTGTACCCGTGTTTGCGTCGCCTTCCTTCGGTTCAATCGCTGCAAACACTAAACTACTTAAAAAACTGACCAGAAACTGTGGTAAAACAATATAAACGTTATGAATACCCAACAGTGCGCCTGCAGATGATACTTCAGAAGGCGGCCCAGAGGCAGAGGCAGATCTTGACGCAGAATTAGAGCGGCTAGATGGAAGTGCAGGATGGTTTGCGTTATTATTACTATTGTCACTGTTATTATCAATAGAGCGCGTGTATCCATTTGACCCACGCCGCTCTTGAAGTCCCTCACGAGAGGAAGACGATCCTGTTGATGATTGAGATCGACTGCTCTGTTTCCGGACCAACGTTCTTCCTTCATCTTCCCTATGTTTCCTGACGTTTAAATGACCATCATGATCATCTCCAGCCACATCTGTGTCAGAATCTGTAGGATCGATAAGTGCCATGGCCACACCTTGGTCTGGTGGGACTGTCCAACCAGCAGGTGCTGCCACAATACTGGATAGTCCATCCACAATCGTGGGCGAGGACGTGCTGGAATGACGTCCACCTTGAAAGTTAGATTCAACCACTGTTATCACCTCATCCAGACTTTCTCTTCCTCCTCTCAAAGGTTGATATTGCCTTCCGCGGCTACTATCAACCATTTGGATTTCTTCACCTCCACTGTCATCGTCGTCATCGTTTTGCTTTTGAAAAAGAACCTCTGTTGACTCACGAGATTGTGACTGGTTCGATTCATGAACACGGTTTTGATGTTGTTCCTCTTGCATTTGTTGGGAAATGACTTCGCCCAAAATAGAGAATGGAGCCCACATCGTCACAGCCCATGAAATACCACAGCCAGCAAACAAAATGGTCGATCCTCTCAGGTCATGAATATACCACGTGCTTATTAACGAGAACGAGACTAGCACTAATGACAACGTGTACATTCTAGGCAGAGTGAGTCCCCGAATAGGAAGTTGTAGCCATTGGGGGAGCTTTATCCTATTCCACTTTGAAGTCCGTTTTGTGCTCAGATGTCCATTCTCTGATCTCGTGTTTGGAAACGGCCCATTGCTTAATTCAGAGCCAACTTGTTCTGCAGGTGCGACAAAAACTGGGAGCAAAATAGAAGCCGCCAGTGAAATGATGGAATAGATGAGCAAGCAATAGGATCCTGCTCTAATAGCTGCATCCTGAACGCCATTGACAACATCTTGATCCGCATTCGAAGGTGGATTGGGATCTATGGGCGCCCCATTCTCCATCATCTCGCGAGTATAAATCTCGGCAATATAGGTGGATGAATAAAAGAGAAATGGGAACCAACCCATCCACGCAAAGAACTGGACATTGCAAAGATGTTGGATCCTTGTAGGAAGATATCGAATGGCCTTGAATATTGTTTTAAATCCTAGTAAAAACTCTTCAAACGAAGAGTTTGAGGATCTGGGAATCATTTTTCATTTGCAAGATAAGAAAAAGGAAAAAAGAAAAAAGAAAAAAATATGTGTAGAGATTTTTAGTGAAATGTTTTGTAGACTTACACACTTAGTCCTGTTGTAAAAAAGAAAAAGTCGAGAAAACATCAACTCACTTGGATTCAGCTCGGACCATGACTCGTTCAGTCACAGTTACACATGTCAATCCAACAGCGAAGATCAAGAATAAGCAAGCAATAACACATAAGCCTTTGATTTGTGTATCTCCAAAGGCTGGAATTCTTTGAGGTAGATTGACATTGCCCATGAAATATCCTAAAATACCGCCAATACCCATAAGTCGACTCGCCCATGACGCCGCTGCCTCTTGCTGCGAAGCTGGTAAGCTGTCCACGATCAACGTCCTGCAGCTTGCTTGAACTAAAAGAGAGAAGAATGAAGTCCGTAAAATGTTTCATCAGTTTCTACTTGCAATAGCAGGAGGTTGAATATATCCTGTATCAACATTGAAGTTCCCTCATGAAACATGAAAAACATCACCTTACCACAATTGATCGCAAAGTCCAGAATGTAAATAGATCCTACTGCCATTAAGATAGTGGCATTCTCTAACTAAGACATGGGCATATAGAGAAAACCAAAGTTAGATTTGCATTGTAATAGAATAAACGAGATCTGAGAGGTGATAGTAAAAGATAAAAAGATGCAGATATACAGACATACGTTAGAATAATCTGAACCAAAGACTCCCCTAATGATCTCTCTGCACCATCCGAGACATAGAAAGGAGACAACAACCGCTATGACTCCGATGATGAGAAAAGGTCGTCGTCGCCCCAGCTTAGAAGTGCATCTATCTGAGAGCACACCAACTATGGGTTGCATAATAAGCCCTGAAAATCGTAGTGGATAGAGAAAATGATAAATCACATCCTGGTCAGAGTCGATGCGGAAGGTAGCCTCAGTGTTGCGCTAAGTCAATTTTTACTCGTTATATTTTATCGAAAGCCATGAAGCTCCTTATTTCTACCTGATAGAGGACCCGCTATCCATACAAGCGACATGAGCGACTTTGAAAGACCAAGTTGAAGAAGAAAAGGGGTTCCATAAGCCATTTCCACAGACCCTAAGTAATAAAAGCAAAAAAACCTCCGTTAGTAAATAGGGCATGAAAGTGCGCCGTTGCCAGATTTATTCTTCTGTGCTCTCACATTAATGATATCATTGTTTTCTCCATTATTGAGCTGGGAAGCATATATAGAGGTAAGAACCTACAAGTAAATTGGAGACTAAGAGAGCGCCGGGACAGAGGCAGATTCAGGTAAGCAAGCTGCAAAATGGAATCTGTAGATTTTCAGCAATCACAGAGCTTGCACTATTACGGAGCCAGAGTAGAGAACTGTTGCTCTTTATGTTTCTTACCCCATCAGGGCTGTGGACAGAAGAATCATACGGATTGACCTGGTAGGCCCCCAGATGCGCGCTCGGCCATGAAGGCCGGGTCTACGTCCATCCTGTCTCTCCTGTCTCTCCTGCCTCTCCTGTCTATCTCTGCTTTGCCGTGGCTCATCTATATCTGTCCTCCTATGTCCACTTCTGACGTTTTCGTTTAGTACCATGGGTCGAATTTTATTGCGAGTGCGTTGATGTAATGAGTCGAGTGATTTATTACAAGTGTCTGAATGTCAATGTGAATGAAAGATGGCCAAGGTGAAAGGTACTGATTAAGATAAAAAAAGAGAGAAAGTGAGAATAGATACAGAGAGAAGACGCACGAGGTCGTAGGTATTATAGAAAACTTTTAAAGCAAAAAGAAACCTCGATGAATGTGAAATGGAGCGGGACAGAAAACGCCCAGCTTACTCTGTGTAATGAATAAATGCATTGATGACAACATTGCCCTGTTTGTGTTGGATTGTCGGTTGTAATATTATTGGCTCTTCTTGTCTTAATGTACACTAATACTTTGTCAACTATATATTTTACCGAGATCTCTGTTCTCCTCCTCCTGCTGTGCCTTTGGTCTTGCCTGCACCCGCAAGCAACATTAACTCCTCTAGTCCTGTTGGTGTCCACACTCCGGTCTCCTCCGATTTCACAAACGCTACTTCGTCTGTCATGTGCACAAGGATGCCTCCGGCTGTGCCTGTCGAGTTGCCCCCTAACCGGTACAATGGCTTGCCTGACCGTTCATGCATCTGCTTCGTCATTACAAACAGCAACGAGTTCTGTGTTGCATAGTCTTGTACAAGATCTTTAAACGACATCGTGGTGACCAAATGCTTCTTCGTCTGTAACCGCCCAAGAGCTTCAGCTGATGCACTCGATCCACTGCTGCCCGCCTTGCCTTGTTGCTGTTTTTGTTGCGTTTGTGCTTGTGCCTGTGCTAGATCTGCTGGCGCCATGATCTGAAGCCCTGCCATGAACTGGTTGATCATGTCTAGCCCTTGACGGAATCCCAATGCAACACCCGTTTCTTGCACTAGTTCTGCAGGGAATAATGATTTCCACCATTGATACCATTGTGATACCTGTTCCAGATCCGTAGTTGAGGGATGAGTGAGCCACAAGTATAGCACCTGGTGCCATTTAGGGAAGAATTCATTCACTAGAAGCGAGCTAAATGTTGTACTAGGGAAATATGAGTGCCATGGAAGGATGGCCTGAAGGATTTCAATCTTCTGGTTTCGTGGATTAATTTCAAATAATGCCAACCCTTCCACTAGCTTGGGTAATACAGACTTCAACAGTAGTACTTCCATATCTGAATCTTCGAAAACACCTTTCCATGGCCCCAATATATGCAAGGCACTTGGGTCCAAGACATTCCAGGCTTTAAGTCCAGATGCAAGCTTCCGACGTACTGTGTCAAATAGCTCCTGATCCATGAGTGGTTGTCCAAGGACGGGTAGCCAGGGATGAATCCAAGTGTGAAGCATAAGCGAATCCCGTGGATTCCATATATCCACCTCCTTTTGAAGTTTAGGAAGGATAAGCTGAGTGATGATGTTGTCATAGATAAACTCTGGAAGGATCGGAGGTGCCCATGCTTCTAGCAGTTCAATTACCGGGTCACAATCCCGCGCGTTCCATTCATTATTGATAGCTGAACGAACTTTGGGAAGCCAATGTTGATTTAACAGGCTCTCGTAAGCCGTCATCTGCTCTGGTTGAACAGGTTTGCTCCCATAGAAGCTTTCTGTATTTCGATCATTATTGTAGACCACCTTGCTTTTCCGAAGTAGTTTATGCCACCGTCGAAACAACCCTGCACCTAAAGTAGGGTTTCCAAGTACATTCCAATCCTTCAGCAGCCTTTTGAAACTATCTTGAAGTGCAGCAAAGAATGCCTGATCTAGTTCGTACAACTGATATTCTTCAAAATAAAGTCCAGAGAACATATCGAAAGGCTCCTTGAAAGCATTAGCAATATAATCTTCTTTAATGTCGACTGCAACTCTCCCAGAAGTGTCACTTGTTGCCTCATGAATTTCATTCGCAATTTTAGAGCATTGATCCGTAATGGCTAGTACTCTGGTCAGGCGCTCGAGGTTGATCTCATCTTGTGAAATTAATTTCTGCATCCGCTCGCCCTCTGCCTCTAATACTTTTTGCCGTACATGATCAGCCTTCTGCGCTCTGGCTAGTTGTTCGAGATCTGTAGTTGAGATATCGGCCATCAGCTGCAGGTTGTGCCGGAGTTCAGGGAAACGTTCATGTTCAAATGGAGTTGTCGAGGTGATCAGACTTGCCGAGGAAAGTTCTCGTACCTAAAATAAATAAATAAAAAAAAGACATACAAGCAGATGGTGATGTCGGTAAAACGTTCATACAGGGTTATGACAAATATAGAAGTGTCCAATATATGTAAGCGTGAAATAGCCGTAATCAACTTACAGTCTTTCCTGTCATATCCAAAATTTTTTGAGGTTGCACTTGAGTCATGGGTAAATCACCAGACTCAATTTCACGCTGAATCTCCTCAGCTGTCTTGTATTCGACCTTGGCCTTACGTGGCCCGCGACTGCTCGATTTTTTCCACCCATCTGCTTTGATCTCCTGCTCCTTCTTGGCTCCAGCCTTTGACCTGAGCTTGGCTGGCTCTTCATCTTCATCTGAACTGACTTCAACGCCGCGCCTTTTTTCCTCGGCACGTGTTTGATCTGTCTTTTCCTTAAATCCCTTGAAACCTATACCCATCTTAACAGGCCGTAGCTTTGTTTGGATAGGTTCGACAATGCCTGTGCCTCCAACGCCTAAACCATAGCCTTTCTTCCATCCCATTTTCTCCAGCATCTTTAGACCAAACCCACTGCCTTTAGCCGAGAATGCGCCATAGTCCTGACTGACTTTGACGGGTGCAATCACCGGTGCTTCCAATTTTGGACTAGATGTTGCTGCAGGAGATCCTTGACGAGGCGATGGACTGCTAGAATTTGATCCATCCCCACCGAGGCCTGCTCTATTCTTGAAGAAGCTCATGCTGCTGTAGGTGTTATTTCTGCTCCGATGCTGGCTCCTTGAGCTATTCTCTGCGGCAATTAATGACTCTGACTTATTTGATAGCCCTAGACCTGCCTTGATGGATGCTGCTATAGTCTTGTTATTATCGATGGGTATACTGTTGCTGGATAGCGAAGGACTGCCCATTGCCTGTGTCTCTACGGTAACAGATCCAAGCCCAATACCGGGTTTGGGTCCCATCTGCGGCCGCTGTAATCTGTCCTCATAAGCGTCAACTTCTTCCTGATCCTCTGCCTTCTGGGCTTTGAATGCAGCTTCTCTAGCCTGTCTAGCTTCTGTTTCCTCTTCATTATTCTCATCCTCATTCTCATCCTCATTATCCAGATCCATTTCGCCCCCGCTCCCCTCGTCGTCTGAGCTATCGCGTTTTTCTATGCCACGATCACTGCTTCTTTCCATGTGTTCGTCAGAATCAGATGAGCCTCCATCTGATCTATCTGACATAGTCTTTGGTTGACCAATAGACGCAGAAGAGGCAGCAACAAACTCGAATCCTTCGCGCCTTCGTCCCCTTGAGCGACCCCCGTCCAATCGAGGCCTTCTGTTGTCTTCATCTGATTCTAAAAATGATCCATAAATAGCCTCATCCTTTGTTCGCTTGCGCCTAGACCTGTAATTCATATCTAGCAAAGTAAAAAATAAAGGGTAGTAGATGATACAGTGGATATTAGTACATTAATTCTAACTGTAATACACAGGATGAATGAAGGTACAAAGTATTGGCATCGATTCCCATGCTGTTTCTTGTTGTTTTTATCATTACCGTCAAACATGTCATTGTTGCCGTATAGATCAGTTCCTGTGTCATTACGTTCGTCTTCATCTGAGGACGAGTAAGTATCGTCGAGTGTATGCTTTCTTCTGCCCATGAGAGGTGATGTTGCTGCTGATAAAACAACTACTTTTTTTTTTTTTTTTCTTTTTTTTTGTTTTGATGGATGAGAATACACTAGAAAGAACTAGCGAATTGCTACTCTACGACTTGAATTTGTTATGTGAATGGCACAGTGCTTTAAGCGAGACAGAGAAAGTTAATCATTCAGCAAGTCACATTCCCGTCAATTGGCACGGGGACACAACTTCCACTCTCGTCATATCATATCGTCTTCAAGTCTCCTTTCCCTCTCCTCTTGTCTCTCCCTCTTTTTTTCTCTCATTCCTTAAACATTGTCATATTAAAACGCCTTTTTTTTGTAGTGTCATTCACATTACATTCAGAACAAAACAAACAATTATCATTATTCAGGATACTGCAAGCGACAATAGCAACCACAGCGACGGCAACAGCAACAACACATAAATTTGGACACAACGAGCCATGCTTAGGAATACAGGCTATCAAAAATCAAGCACAGGATCAGCTGTAGGTGGGACTCCAACCATGCGTCGCTCAACTGTATCTTCATCGTCCAACAACAACACTCTCACCAGCGCAGAAGGTCTCTCTGCTTCAGAGATTGCACGTAAACGACAGACTCGTAAAGACGATGCCATCCGTAAGAAATTAGATCAGGAATTGGGCAAGAAGAAAACTACTACGCGTTCTCATGGGTCTACTCGTCCAGTTCAGGGCACCGTCGGATCTCTTCGGTAATTGTCTTTTTTTTTTTTTTTTTTTTTTTTCTTTTCTATGCTGTCTTTTTCATCACTGGTAATGTAAAGATAAAAGTAAAAAAGGTGGTTGTGGTGAAACGGAAAACATTTGAGTTCGTTATCTGCAGCAACAATAGATATCATAATAATTGCTTTATACATAAAAAGGACAATATCCAGGCTACCTCTCGGAACAAAAAGGGGAGATCGGAAGACGGAGTCAAGGGGCTAACGCATAATATATATGCTTTTTTTTTAATGAACATTATGTCTTTGTTGATATTTATTTTGATTTGTGATGTAGTCCATCTCCCGCCTTGACCCTCCCAGATACAGCGATGGTCGTCGACGCTGCAAGGTAAGCAAAAATCTTTTTTTTTTTTTTTTTTTTTTTTGTAATACCCAAACAGATGGGCCACTTTGACAAGGTTCAGTCTGCTGATCTGTATCCACTTCGGCTCACTATCTTGATATAGAATCATGGCAGCCAAGAGGTAAATATATTGCGCAAATCATTTTATTTGCAACATAATTATGCTAAATGCTTGATACACTTGTCTAACATTTCATGAACATGTGCATTGGGTTCACAGGGCAGATGCTGTTCTTGTCATTGATGCACAAGAACAAACACTAGTTGGTAATTTTTTTTTTTTTTTTTTTTTTTTTTTTGGTATTGGTATTACAGTGTCTCGTTTCACAAACTGTAATGGATTGTCTGATATGAATATGGAACATACTCTCTTTTCCACATCAATCACAATTAGGAATTATGACGGATAAGGACCTCGCATTCCGAGTCGTGGCCGAGGGTTTGGACATCCACACTCCTATCTCACAAGTGATGACTAAAGTAAGGCTGATAATGCAATTTAAAACTAGTTTCTAAGAAAAGGCTCAATAAGTTAATGTTTTGGCTCTAAAAATACTTTGATTTTGCTGTGCTGACACATTCTGCGCCATTACTTTCAAACCCTTCTATAGAATCCCTTTTGCGTTACAACAGATACCAATGCTACAGAAGCCCTCAATAAGATGGTCAACGGAGGATTCCGCCATTTACCGTGCTTAAATTCAGATGGTAAAAAAAAAACAGATTATCCATTCTTCTGAAATGTCGTTTGATTTCTGTGACTAAAATCTCATTAATACTGATCTTGAAAAAATCTATCAATCTTAGGCGATGTCGTTGGACTGCTAGATATCACAAAATGCCTTTACGAAGCACTAGAGAAGTTGGAAAAGGCCCACAAATCGTCCAAGCAATTGGCTGATGCCCTTCAAGGCATGCAGTCCGAGTGGGCTCAACCTGCAAACCCTGAACTCCAAAACTACGTGGCAATCGTAAGTATCAATGTGCTTGCAGGAGCATAAATAAATATCTATGCGGTTTCAAAAGCATATAAAGCTAATATAAGGAACGACATTATCACTGTACGGTTTATGTTCGAACTATTGATATGCAGATGAGGGAAAAAATGTCTTCGCCCGATCTAAATACTATTCTGGACGAGCACCATGGCGTAGCTGAGATTCAAGCCAGAACATCCGTTCGTGAAGCGTCAAGGGTCATGAAACAATGGCACACAACAGCAAGTCTGATCATGGAGGATGGACGGATTACGGGAATCTTCACAACCAAGGTATGGGACGGCTATTAAAATCTGATAAACTCGACTCCAGTTCCTCGGATATTGATCCTATTATCGATCGCCAATGGTTAACCTTCTCGTTACTCCCGCATAGGATATTGTTGTAAGAGTGTTAGCAGCTGGGCTGGAACCAGACAGGACCTCAGTTATCCGAGTCATGACACCCCACCCAGACACGGTGCCGGCTAGCATGACAATCTTGGATGCACTGAAAAAGATGCATGACAATCGCTATCTTCATTTGCCTGCAGTGGATGATCATGGTCAAATGGCAGGCCTTGTAGATGTTTTGCAGCTTTCATTTGCAATGTTAAATCAAATGGGCTCTATTCAAGGTGACCAAATTGTCTCAACTGAGGGTCAAGGTCCTGTATGGAACAAATTCTGGGAGTCAACTTTCGCTAGGGAAGAGACAGGATCAGAAATCTCTGCGTCCGATGTCCGATCAGGATTTAATCCCCCGCCCTCTGATTTAAACTATGGCACTGGCAGTATCTTGGAATCGTCTGTGCGTCATGGTTCATCTCCTTTACCGCTTGGTGGAATAGAGGAACTTGGATCCGAATTTACATTCAAGTTCAAGGAGAGTAACGGTCAAGTTCATCGATTTGGATCGAGCACTCGATCGTTCTCAGAACTGCGCGATAAGATCATTGAGAAGATGGGTGGGCTTGAGCCTGGTCAAGAGGTAGTACTGAGCTATTGTGACGAGGAAAACGATCAAGTGTTGATTCTGCAGGATGCAGATATTACAGAAGCTGTGCAAATGGCGTATAGGAATCAATGGCCATTGATTAGACTCTCAGTGACCGTTTCATCTAAAACTCATCCACAAAACGCAGTAGCCAGTAGTAACGATACCACCACAACCAACACAGCCACCACAGCCGCCAGCAGTAGCAGCAACGATACCAAGAACAAAGGCAGTAGTTCTCAAGATGCAGGGGGTCCAATGGCAGGTCTAAACCCAATCGTGGTTTCTGGTGCAGTCGGCCTTGGTATCGGTCTTATCATTGCAGTTGCATTCGGGTTCATGCGAAAGTAGATACCGATTTAGGCTTACCACTTTTTTTCATCCTTGCTGTTACATTTTTTTTTTCCTCTATTTGTAATCCTTCCTTATCTTACTTTCTTTCATGGTTAATGGATAAACATGGTTTCAACATAACCAGTAACGACTTGACACGATTCTGACGAATAAAGTATACATATTTTCGTATACTGCGGTTCTTTGTTTTTTCTAGTTGTACAGTATCGTATACACCGTCTATTTTTGAATAATAAAAGGCAAATTGGAGTTTTACATGAAACAACTATCAAGATGCATTAATTCCTACATATTTTTGAAGGCGCTCCTAACGCCTATGAACTTGTTGGCTTGAACTTGTTGGGCCTCGTTTGTGTAGTTATATGGAACAGGCACACACGCGCAATGTCCTCGGATCCAACCATGTCACGATCACAATATATCTGACAGCTTCGACAATACTTGGACCTGTTGACATGACTTTCTAGGAATGCGTTGCAGTTGGGGCGGGACATTTAGCATTGGTGTAATACCCATGAACGCTAAGAACTTCCCATCCAAGGGACCTCGCCTGTTTGAGGAAAAAGTAAATAAATAAATATAAATAGAACAGAGAATAGAGTGACCAAAGTTTCTTTCTTTTTTTTTTTCCGATGCTTACTCTAGTTATGAATCGCTTTTCGAACTCGGAATGCTTCAAGGGTATCCAGTTTGTGTGTCGAAAGAACCAAGACCGATTGCGAAAACTGCAAGGTTGGAGGAATCCATATTCATCCCGTTGTTCCCTCCAACAAATTGAAGGATTGAATCAATCTCATAGTCGTATGCAGCTTTCTGAGCTTTTCTCGAGTCCCTAGTTTTTCGGAGATGCCACTTACTGAGATAAAAAGACTGGAGTCTTTTCCCCTCTCCTTCCCTGTACAGGTACTCTAAGTACGAATTGATCCCTGAAAGCGTCATGGGCGGCAGCACTGACTCGATCAGATCGATACCGAATTGGGCCTTTCTCTCTTCAAGCAAGTGATGGCACTTGATATAAGGCCCGTACAAGAACGATCGATGGATGGTGGTGAAGCGACGGACTTGGGGCTCCCCTGGGTTCAGAGCTGTTACAACCAGATAGGTAGACGTATGTAGACCCGTGTTTACTTTTTGGGAAGTCTGCAAACATTCCTGTTTGACTATTTTTCTCGAAAAAGTAATCAATCGGGTTTCTGTTTCCTGGCTGCTCAGTCTCGGAGAACTGTTTGAGTTACATCCAATTGAAACAAACAAATAAAAAAAAAAAAAAAAAAAAAAAAAAAAAAAAACGCTGTGATGCAAAAGGCGTTTCTACATGTACGTACAGAAAGCAAAGAGACGCTTCAGCTGTTTGTTCAATAGCCTAGTGCATGTTCGTGTACACCACACAACTGACAGTGATTGACGAGCAAAAAAGGAAAGAAATTCTTGCCCCATTCTATGAAACAATAAAAAAAAACGCGATACAAGATAGTATGTGCAAACAACAAAGAAGCACGTCAACTGTTTGATCAGTATCCTTCTCCTGTTTGCTCACATACAATTTTTTTTTTTTTTTTTTTTTTTTTTCACTCTTGGCGTGCTTGTGTATAAAACTAGGAATCCGGCGCCAGGAAAAAAAAAATACCTCGCATGATTGGTGTCAAATCTGAAAACAGCAATAATGCACATGTCATGCATGAAAGATAAGGCCTTTAGTACTATGGCTATTGTTATGTTCAACTCATGCGGCCTCTCCGGGATCAACTTGTGATCACAACTGCTACTTGGGCGCATGAACTCTATTGACAAATTGACGTGAATCTATCGATCATGTTCTGCTGCCAAGGACTTGAAAAGAAAAGAAATACAAACCCCTTCTTCCTTGCTCCAATAACCCCTCCCATCCTTTCGATACATTCTTTCGCTGTATATATCCATTACATCTGAACCAAAGTTTCGAGACAATGCCCATGGGTTGCTGGATTTCAAGCCATTTATAATGGCAAATTTACCCTTTTTACGGACGAGAGGATAGAATTTTTTATGCCTTGAGTGTTGAGGAACATGGCAATGTTTTAACCTGATTGAGATAAACATACTATGTAATACAAACTAAGGTTCAATAGGACAAAGAGAGGGACCTTTAATTTCAGGACAGACGACATCTTATACATATACTAATAAGATATCGTCTTCTAAGTCATCGTATAGACGTACGCTATGTTTGTGTCTTTATGGTGCAAAGAAACTGAAATTTGAAATTTCATACGCGTTCTTTTTTTTTTTTTTTTTTAGTGGCAGTGTTGATATATGATACAATTAATAGTTTTCTAAATTGTTCAAGAGCCCGTCTATGCATCCCAAAGAAGCAAAAAAAAAAAAAAAAAAAAAAAAAAAAAGGAAACACGAGCCGGTGGCGCAAAGGCCAAGATTCTAGTATTATACTTCTTTAGGCTAAATCACTTTGTTTATCCCTTGAGCCGTAAAACGGGAAATATTTGCCCATTTGGCTTTCAATCCATGGCAGATCAGACCCAGTTCTCTGTGCTTTCTACTGGGATAAATTATCCGTCTTTGCATGCCAAGGAATAAAGAAAGCAGTAAAAATCAATCGGCAAAAAAAATTAGCATTTGTCAAGCTAAATAATCACAATGCACTATGTCTACCATTCACTTGCCTCGACTTCTTTGCACATCTGGCAACCTTTACCGTGTATTCATTTCTTGTTGATAGTCATGGCTGGATTTAGCAAATGTAGATTAGAGAAGAGCTGTAAACAATACTCAAAATAAAAAATAAAAACTTGTTTGTTTCTCTGTTGAAAATCTGATGAGTGTGTGTTTTTTTTTAAAAAATGTGATCCTTTTGTTTCGAGTTGCATTGCCGAAATATAAAAAAGCGGCCCCATTTGAAAGTAAATTTGTGGCGAGCATGAAGTAGGGTGTTGATCTGATCAGATCGCTTTTTAGAGCGCGCTCGGCGCGTGTAACTGAATTTTTTTTTTTTTTTTTACTTTTCAGTTAAATGCAGTGAATGACATGTGCCTGAATTCCAGTTTGTGTCTGCTTCTTTGTCTCTATGTCTGTACGTAAAACTATGAAACATTTTGCCTATTAATCATTTGTATTGGAATTGTGTACAGTCTACTCAAAAACTGATACTATAGGGGTCTATTAGGAGGAGCTGCTCCTAATACCACCCCATTCAAGTACCCTGCCCCAGCTTCTCCTTTTGGTCTTCTCTTGTGTGGTTGGTGCTGCCACAGGAGCTGTCATCAGTCTAAGAAAAGAAAAAAAGAAAAAAAAAAAGACCAATGGCAGCTATTAGTATTTTTGATCAACAAATGGGCTTTTATACCAGAAGATTTTTCTTACTTTTCTAGCATCCGTGTAACATCGTCCGCCTTGACTTGAGCATAGTGGCGACTACGAATGGCTGGGTCCATGTATTCTTCAGTGTTCTCTAATAACAACAAGTTGATCAACTATTTTTTTTTTTTTTTTTTTTTTTTTTTATTGTTATTATTATTATAACTTAATAGAGGGGATTCCAAAGGTAATGCAAGCTTACTTTTTTTTTTTTTTTTTTTTTTTTTTAAAAAAAAAAAACAGTAGCACTATGTTAGTTTAATTGACAAAGGAATTTACCTGTCTTAGAGGTTGAAATGCTTGAGCAACGCTGGGATTATCCAAAGTCGCCACAAAGTCTTCAAGATATCGAATATCTTTGTCAAATATTGCGACAAAGTTTTGGTTGATATGCTTGACATTTGGATCCGTGAAAATGCGCTAATTTTTTTTTTTTTTTTTTTTTTTTTTTTTTTTGGCAACAAACAAAAAAACAGAGTAAATAAGCCAACAACCAGACAACACCGAACCCCAAACAAGAATTTTTAACGATTTTCCATCCCGTCCCTTGGGAAAAGAGAGAAGAATTATGTATGGGTATGGGACCTACATGCAATTGGGAGGCAAGATGTTCCAATGCATCGTAATAGACAAATGTCCTAATGGAGTCGGGCAAATTCTGTAGAGTTGCACTCATAACCACCGACAAGAATGAAACTAATTCTTGCAGATAAGTGCTGTGAAGATCTTCAATACTGGATGGGAGCCTAGTTCGAGAAAACGATGGGTGATATGATGGAATATTCAATAAGAAGGTTCATGAAAAGATGTTTATATATATAAAAGCGCGAGATATTTACCAGTCATATTCAGCAAGCTCAAGAATATCATCAATCTTGGAGTTGACAAGCTCGGAGATGCGTTTCTCAGCACTCCTCCTAGTTTCTCTGAACAAGCTTGTTGCTTGGAGCGATATCTTGGAGTTATCGGACGTTGATCTATATGAAAGATATAAAAGTACCAACATAATTAGTATACCATCGAAGTCAATGACATTGTGGGGAACTATCTCGAAAGCGTACCTCATTTCACTCAGTAACTGCTCAAAATCACCACATGCGCCCTGGAAATACTCCAAGTTAATAATAATCTGAGAAATCTGAGAAAGGTTGCGAGATTCGAGCTTCTTTAGCCATACAGAATGGACATGCTGGGTAAGTAGTGTATCTAAGCTCTAAAGCAAATAAACATCGGAGCGAAATAGGAAAAAAAAAAAAAAAAAAAAAATACAAAAGCGTTAAGAACAGAGCAATAGACATAATTCTTTGTAATAAACTTACGAATGTGGGAAGGTTCCTATAATATTTACATCTTTGACGAGGTCGTCCATCTCATTTTGTTCCTGATTAAACCCCTCCACAAAACGGTAGAACTGACTGACAAACTGTCGAATATCTTCGCAGCAATAAGGAACAACTTTAGAGAAGGGAACCCTTCTCGGGAATCTTTTTTTTAAGGAAAAAGAAGAAAAAAAAACACGGCCTTGCGTTAGTCATATAAGAAAAAAAAAAATTCTGCCATGCTATTTTTTTTTAACAGCATACCCTTGTCTTGATGATTTGCGGTCTTCCTTGAAGCGAAATGACATTTGCAGTAGATTGTACTCGTCCTGATTCTCGACAAGCATAGGAGTGTAGTCATCCTCATCCACAAGCTGGTAAGGGAAAGAAGTAAAGTAAATAAAGGAATGGTAGGTTAATAATGTACTGTTTTCAAACTATGAGGGAACGAAGCACATGAAGCAAGGGGTGGCTGGCTACCTTTTGGAAATTGGCACTGAACTTGGCCTCCAGTTGGTCGGTGTATGTATGGAATAATGTCAGAAGAAGGTCATTGAGCTTGGCTACGGGATAATTGTAGGACTAAATTAAGCAGCGTTAAGCAATAGACTGACAAGAAGAGTAATCTTGGAAATGATGCACCTTACAATAAAAGATCACTAGACCTTGCTTACCTCCATAGTCTGAATGTATAACATCAAAAGCAACTTGATATTCAAAAACATATCTGGATCCCGACAGTTGGCAAGTCCTTCTGATAATAATCGGAGCAAAAGACTTGTCACCATATCACACAATTCGTCTAGCTATAATTGATCATAATCAAACTTGGTTAATCCCAAAAAAAAAAAAAAAAAAAAAAAAAATCATACTAAGAGCTAATGGTCAATGATCCATTTTTTTTTTTTTTTTTTTTTTTTTTGGAGTACTTCTACTTACCTGGCTTTGTGTCCGAAAGTTCGTAGTTGAGTAGAGGATGATGTGTTCCACAATGAAGAAACCAACAATGTCCTGCAGTAATGACTCGAATTGGTCTGTGCTACGGTCTTTGACATTAAATGTAGTCATAGAGGATAGCGTTAACTTTGCTTGTGCACGTCGATCTTCTGCATAGCTCGCCCTCAGCTCCGAACGTTGACCGAGTTCGTCGTAAATATGGAGGCATTGGTACAATGACTTAAAATCAATATTGACCTGGTCTGCATCCAGAATATCGACTGTATGTTGAAAAAATAAAAAGAGGAAAGTTAACCTCCCATTTCCCGTGTTTCCATTTCGAGAAAGATCTCCATCGAAATTGCGGGTTTGGCCTCTGCTCCTCACCTTCATTCTCTTCATTGACAGCAACCTCTACGGCAGAATTGACGTTGTGAGATGTTTTTAACCTAAATCCTTTGCTGGATCTGTCGCGCCACCGCTGCTGTCTCGCCGCCATTCGATCCATAACTAGCTTTCCCATCGTCTTTTGATTCGTACGAATACTAAACATCATCATGAAAGAAGGAAAGAGTGAGAGAGAGATAAAGAGAAAAAAAGTGATCAGACAGTTAGGTCTAGGGATCTTAGCATAAAATGTCGGCTTGTTGTATAAGGTACTCTACCTGAATAACCATTCTTTCATCTCAGTGGTTACTGCATCCTTGATCGCGTGTTTTAAAATCGGGATGCAGTCCTCTATCTCAATAAGAATGAGGGTCTCAAAGAACACAATCAGTTTCTATATCCTGTCGTCGTCCTTATACTCATCATTTGAGACAAGACGACGAGGTTACTCACGCATATGTCTTGCAAACTCAAACTGGATAACGCTTCGAAGATGCACCACCTGAATCTCATCCACAATCTTTTTTTTTTTTTTATCCAGGGAAAAAAAAAAAGAAAAAAAAGAAAACGAGCTCTATTCCATTAGTACTTTGTGATATTTGTATACGCCAATCGAGGCTATTCAATTGTTAATAGGGCCATGAAAAGATGGGACGTAAAGTTGGAGCTTACCCTGAGTGCTGAGTAATATTTCCTGTTCTCGACTTGCACATTGACTCTGTTTGCGAGGTCTAAAAAGTGAACACAGGTTTTCAGGGTCTCTGTTGCTGTTGCAATGTTTTCCAAAATACGTTTCGACTCAATTAATTCGCGTTTCTGAATTGATAAAAAAAAAAAAGATCCATCCGCCTCGGTTAGAAAGTTGGTGTGTAAACGTGTGATAAAAGTATAGATGTCGTATGATTATGTCAAATGCGTCTTAACCTTTTCTGTCAATTCCAATCCAGCACGCTGAACATCGCTATTGAGGGTATGAATCTTATCCTTGAGATCGACGGTTCCTTGGCGCACTTTCAATAGGCGATCGACGGACTGGACAAACTCTTCATAATTGGAATTGCACATCTTTTCAATCTCCATCTCTTTGCGGCGAATGAAAGAGCTTAGTTGGTCCAAAAAGGGTTTCATTTTGTTGTTGCGATAGACTTCCTTCATGGTAGGCCCCAGATGCTCCAGGTTTTCCGCATCGTTGGTTGCATCTGAGACCAGCACAAGCTGTTGAATGTCAAACTCAGCCATAGTGATGCGGTTATATTGAAGTCTGAGCCGAGTGTTCTAGTTTAAATGATGTCGCTACTGCTGTAGATGCTCCTGAATGGTTTTTGCTAAGGGATACAATTGTCGATGGGAGCAAATGAAGCAGGTCTTTCCGTTTTTTGGATGGTCGGTCATGTTATTAAAATGTAACATGCAGATTTGCAGAAGTCTCTCTTCCCAGCATCGAACTACAGTCACAATGGCGCGTGAAATAGTTTAATATCTTGAGCAACTTTAATGTCAATGCTTCGCTTCATGAAATAGACGTAGGATTTGTCCATAACCTAGTGATAAGATGAACGCGCTTCAGTTTACATCCAATGCCTTCCGACTTGCGATCTCAAGGGAGAACTCCCGTGAGTCCTATCGTCACGTATCGAACAAGAATCTGATGATGAACAGGAAGATATATACTGTGAAGGTCGCTGATGAGTTCGTCAACAGAAGTGTTCAGGTCAGCTTCTTGCTAGCGCTCCTCTATTACATCTACAGCTGCAGGTTTTTGTTACCTCTGATGCCTTACTTGTTGGGACAGCTCTTATCATTAGGGGAGTCGAGGTCATTAGCCAAAGAAATCAAGGAGATCACAATCAATTGAGCCATGCCGAGCCATAAGGGCTGTTTCAATCATTTTACTAAATCGAATGCAATGTCTGCAAGATCTGTCCCTCGATATACTTTCTGAATCATTTGCAAAGCCGTTCAGACCTGCTTCAAGGGAGAGCTTTAATAGCCTCGAATATATTGATCTACCATTGTTAGTATGCTAATAGCAATTCCGAGACAACCCAAAATAAAATAAAATATAAAAAATAAGGAGGCAAAAAGAAAGCTAGAACACTTTTTGCCTCGCAAGTCTTTATCAGTATCGGCTGCATCTCTGCTCTCTCTTCTCTTCTTAATTCCCTGTTGCAGGAAAGACGAAAAAAGGAGTTGCATTGCATATATCGAGTAAAACTGAAGGCTACAGCAGCCAAGTTATCAACCATAGAACCAATAAAGTACGTTATACTACTCTACTGACTGTGAACTGATCAGTCTAAATCTGGTACAAAGCAAAGCCCCTTGGGTAAGGTGTTCGGTCCACAGAGATTTGCATGTTATTATTCCACCAAAATAACTGTCGAAAGGAGATGTGTTTAAGAAATGAGTCGCGCCAATAACACCAACCGCGAACACAATCTCACAAGAACTACTTATATGCTTTGTATACATTGTACATGTGTATATATTATAGATATTATAACCTAGCATGTAAAAAAAAAAAACCCCCAGGAAAAAAATGAGCAAAGATCAGGGTATAAGCACGCCATGAGAGCTCTACAAGTTCTAAAGTTCTAAAGTTCTATACAGGTAGGTGGAGCATTATCTTTTTTCCTAATCTTTCAAAATTCTGAAAAGGTGGACAAATCGCGCCAGATGCGCCCAAATTTTTTTTTCTTTATTTGGTGAGAAAAGATCATGCATGGGAACATGGAAAGAAAGGATGGTTAAAACGAGGTAGGTCCTTATTACATCCATGCACAAACGCGCATTTGAACAAAGAAGATTAGATTGGCTCTCTCGAGAAAATTTGGTTTTGATAACATGTCCACATGGACACACATGTACAGAACAAAGGAATGTTGCGTCAAGATACAGATAAGACAAAAGCATGTTATATAGATAACAACGTTGGGTAAGTGTAATGTTGGCAAGTTGAGTCCATAAAGTCAAATTTCCATGGTCCAAACTGCATTGGTTGCGGATGTTTAATGTGGCGCAAGATGCAAGGTGTATAGAGTTAAGGTTTAGAAAGACGGTTAGGTCTGCGGCTAAATTCGTGTCCAATTGCCAATTGGATCCGATTATTCGTGTTCCGACATTGAAGCCGGAAGCAATGATGTGATGACTCTCTGTCATCCTTGACTTTATTTTATTACCAAAAACATGGATACATGATCAGGATATGAATATATACAAATATATAATGTTAAATAGGCATGTTGATCTGTATTTAAACCCCATCTTGCTCCGTCTCCACTATTTCCCTTTCAGTCCCTGCTTCATCCTTTTCCTTCATCCTTTTCCCTTTCCCTTTCCCTTTCTTTTTTCCTTTTTCCTTTTTCCTTTTTCTCTTCATTCTTGCTTCCCTTATTTTGTCTATCTTTGTCTTTGTGCATTCATTCATCTTTTTCACAATCAACATTCTATTTCATTCTTACATTCTTTCCTTTGTTGCATCTCTAACTGTCAAACTCTGTAGACCTTTTGGGCTTATACCCCAGACAGGAGCAACAATAGCCTTTTATTCTCTCTTTCTCCATCCTACGACAAACAACCTTTCCTTTGATTTTTTTTTTTTTTTTTTTTTTTTGTATCAAACACAGTTGCCTTTACCTAAAGAGAAAAAAAAAAAAAAAAAAAAAAAAAAAGACCTTTTCAACATCATCACCGTCAAATTCTTGCAGTATACCTGCATCTGTTTCTAAACAAGAGTATTCAGAGACCATGGACGTTATTTCAACCACTAGTTCGGCCGCTCCTGCTCCTGCATCAACCGATCTAAAACATCAGCAACCACCTCAACACTCCTTCAATCTTAAACAAGAATACTATGACGAAAATCTCAAACAGGAATACTATGAAGACTCTCTACAACATTCACAACAACAACAACCACAGCCACAATATGATACCGATCAAGTCATTAAAAAAGTGCCAGCGTCAATCGAGGCAGAATCTATCTGTTCAGAACCAATCCCAGAAGCAGTACAGACAGAAGAACCAGGATCAACACCAGCAGGAACAACAGAGACGAATAAAAAAAAAGTCTCTTGGAAGACCAAGGCCTGGGATCTGTGGATGAAGAATTGGTTTCTTCTCGGACTAGTGGTTGTCATCATCCTTGCACGATACTTCCCAGGATGGGGTAGGACAGGTGGCCCCCTTCGTCCAGAGTACTCGGTCAAATACGGTATCACTGCATGTATCTTCTTACTCTCCGGTCTGTCACTCAAGACCAAAGATCTACTCACATCTGCTATGAATTACCGCGCCCATCTGTTAATCCAATTGACCTCCTTCATTGCCATTCCCTTGGTGGTCAAGGCCATCACTGCCTTGGTCGGCCTATCGAGCTTCAATGTTACTCTACTGGCCGGTATGGCCGTCACCTCCGCAACTCCCACCACAATCTCCTCAAATGTCGTCATGACCGCCAACGCCAATGGGAATGAGTCCTTGGCGTTGTTTAATGCAGCTCTAGGCAACTTGTTGGGCGTCTTTATTTCCCCGCTGATCGTCCTGGCACTCTTACATTCCACCGAACAAACACCCTCCGGAAGACATGGACTGGATTACGCGACTATCTTGAGAGACCTTGGAACCACCATCTTGGTGCCTATCCTTGTTGGCCAAGTCTATCTGTACTTCTTTCCTAAAACCATCGTTTGGGCCAAGAAGAAGGTTCATTTCCCCACGTTGAACAGTTCATGTCTATTGATCTTGGTCTGGACCGTCTTCTGTGATGCATTCTACAACAACACCTTTGCATCCGTTACTGCAGGTGAAATCATTGCCATTGGAGCTCTACAAGCATTCATTTTCTGGATCATGACATTCTTTTTAGGGTTCGTAGCCCGTGTACGACCTGCAAAGTTGCGGATTCTAAAAATTATGGATCTTAATCAACAGGCCAAGGATCAGCAAGAAGCTGAATTAGAAGAAGGTCAGGAACAGGATGACGAATGGGCGGAGAAGGATTATTCTCATATTACACAGGGACTTTCTTTGCCCCGAACCGCGGCTCAAAAGTTTGCAGAACCCATATCGAAAGAAGATACGATTGCAATCATGTTCTGTGGTGCCACCAAATCTGTGGCAATGGGCATCCCGATGATCAAGATCCTTTACTCTAGTAGTACAGGCTCTGCACTGGCAGGTCTTTTGGCCACACCCTTGCTTATCTACCATGTGGAACAATTGTTCAGTGGCGCCTTCATGGTCGATTGGTTGAAAAAATGGGTCGGTCGTGGTGAGGAAACATTAGAGTCATTCGAGAAGAAGCCAAAAACAAAGACAAAGAAAGATAATACGGTCTCCGGTATTGGAGCCTAACAGTCATAATAGAATGATTTGTAGGCCTCAGTGGTAGGAACGGAAGCAAGAACAAAAAAAAAAAAAGAAAAGAAAAGAAAAGAAAAGAAATAACCTCCTTATCATCAGTACTTAATAGACACTAATAGCTAATATCTCTGTAGACCATTCATTACATTATATTATATTATACTCATAACTGTTTATGAAGCAACTATGCAAAATGTATTTACAAGCCTCTCTTCGTTCCTCCAAAACATTCATAAATGCTATACAAGCTGATGTACATGTACATGAACGTAAATACATGCCTTTGCATTGCGTTGTTTCCTTTTATTTTCCCACGCTTGAAACGTTGGACGATGAACGAAATATCTTGTTTTACTTTGCTGCTTCTGCAAAATATTTCATTTCTTGTAACCTTGTAGTCGGCGATGATAAAACAAGTAATAAGATCAAGTATATTGATTACTATTTCAAGCATAGAAAGAGAAAGAGGAAGAGAAGAGAATGTATTATTACATTCAGATATAGATGTGTGGAAAATATAAATAAAAACAAAATAACAAGGAAAAATATACATAGGCTATCTAACAGTGTCTACAAGATTCAGCAAAGGGTCTACATGGAATCAACACTATTTCTTCCCCACCCATCATCATATGCTGTTAACGGCGGGGGGATCTTTCCATCAGCATTCTGGAGAGCTACAATGACTTGAGTCTTCAGTCCTAACCGATAAACATGCTCAATGTTCTGCCATACCCGTTTTTGTTGAATTGCCCTCTGCTTCCTCTTCTTCAACAAATGTCTCCGAGACCCAAATGGTGCACAAGCTAATGACTCTGACATCACGGGCCAATACTTGAAGATTTGGACCTTGATCACGTCCAAGACTAAACAGGAGACAAGCGAGATTCCAAAGACTGCTAATGCTTGGAGCACAGGGACTGCAGGCGTGAGCCATCCAAAGATCACCATCAACAGCGCTATGGCCTGAGTCCCAATGATCACTACCAAAAACACCATGGATGGCATGTTTTCCCAAAAATACCCTGGCAGCCGTGTAGAAAAGATCAAGAAGTGAGGTGCAGATGAGATATGGAGATACATGATCGAATCCAATCGACGATCCACTCCTTCACCATCTGCCTCTGGATGTGGGAAATAATTAAACGTGTTCCAGAAATAATAGAAATGACCAAACGACAGTGCTGTCAAAAGGAGACCCAAAAAACAGGACATGAAAATCAGTCGACCCACACGCCATTTATCAGGCTTAACCGATACCTGAGCATTATCAACAGCGATAACTAGAGTCGCAGCATCGTTGAGGATACAAATCAAAATCAAGAGATTTGCAGGCAAGGTCCAATCATATGCCAGGACAACCACAAAGAAGAAAATCAAAAAATGGACAGTCGAGGTGATTCTGTAGAGTGCATACGATTGTATGCGTTGGAAAATCGCCCTGGATGCCAAGATACCCTCGACAATGGTTGCCAGCCCTGGAGCCATCAAAACAATATCAGCTGCAGATCGGGCCGCATCTGTGCATCCTTGCACTGCAATACCAACATTAGCTCTCTTGAGCGCTGGTGCATCATTGACACCATCGCCTGTCATGCCAACTAGCAATCCTCGCTTCTGTAAGATTTCCACGATCCTGTATTTATGCTCTGGTATCACTTCCGCAAACCCGTCTGCCTTGTAAACCTGCTCTGATTGATCATGCTCTGTTGCGTCTGGATTGCTGATGTGGCTAGCGTCCAAAATGACCTGCCCGAGCCCTAGTCGTCGAGAGACTTCTTTGGCAATGATCTGTTGATCCCCAGTCACCATCTTGACAGCGATGCCCATCCTTTGACACCGTTCAATTGTCTCTGCAGAATCTGGTCGTGGTGGATCCAACAAGCTGATCAGGCCAACAAGTTGCCATTTATCCCGTGTCCCTGCCACTGTACGGGCTACACCCAGAGCACGAAGGCCTCTCTTTGCCATTGAAACATATGCCCTCACTGCAGCGTCATCGCCCCCAACCATCCTGATGATCACCTGGGGTGCACCTTTGGCCACCAAGAAAGTTGTGTCATTCGTAGTGTTCGTCACTGTTGCCTGTGTATATTTGACAACCGGGTTAAACGGCAAGAACTCATTGATATCAAAGCCTGGAACTTTGTTTGTTTGTGACACAGGACGGTTCCTGAGCAAGGACACCTGGTGTTCTGCTGCAGACCGAACTGCGAGTTCAATTGGATCTCTTGCTCCAAATTCTGAAGCCAAATATGAATAGAGCAGGAGATCCTCAGCAGAGTAGCCATCGCAAAGATAAGGCTCGTCAAACGTCAGCTCATTCATGGTCAAGGTCCCTGTTTTGTCTGAGCAAAGGATCGAGAGTGCTGACATCTCTTCAACAGCGGCTAATCTCTTGACGATGACCTTTTTTGATGCCAATCCTCGTGCGCCCACTGCCATGGTGACTGCACATACTGTAGGTAGCCCTACAGGGATGGCGGCAACTGCCAAGATCAAGACAGGGCCTAGGATTTTGAGAACCTGGCCGCGAACAGGGTCATTGCGGAATGTGATGAATTGAAAGATGATGATCAAGACAACAAGGATGAATGTAAACAAGATCAAAAAGTTGCCAATCCTGCCAATGACTTTTTGAAAATGGCTTTCGTCCTGTCAAATCGGAAATATATATACATATAAATGGGAATTGAGAAGAGTAAACGGTCAGTTTTGATTTTTCAAAATTGTATTATTCAAGTACTTTTTTTTTTTTTTTTTTTTTTTTTTAATTCTTTTTTCCTTTCTTTTACCTTAGTGTTGGCCGTCAAGTGTGCTGCGACTCCAATATATGTCTTACTTCCAGTCTTGGTGACAATAGCCATTTGTTGCCCTTGTTTGACAATTGTGGATGAATAGACCTCATCTCCTTTTTTCTTATGCGAGGGCAAAGCTTCTCCTGTCAGGGATGATTGATCAATCAAGAGGTCGCTTCCAGGCTCTACACCGGATGCACCGATGCCCAATAACCGTGCATCTGCTGGGACAATATCACCAAGACGAAGCACGATCACATCTCCTGGAACCAATACAGAGGCATCCAGTTCCTGTAAGCTTCCATCTCTCCAGCATCGAGTCTTCAAGGCCAATGTCTGTCTAAGAGCATCAACGGCGGATTCAGCGCGTGCTTCTTCCACATATCCAATAATTGCATTAGTAAACAATAGACCCAAAATAATAGCAAAGTTGAGCCAATCCTATAGGGATGATACAAAGAGAAGAAAGGATATATTAGAGGTTGTTGTACATGTGTTTGAAGTTTTTTTTTTTTTTTTGTCAAACAAACAAACAAGCAAACGAGCACTGCCTCGTCCCTTGTACACATTATTGTATGTCCAAAAAAAAAAAAAATCCAGCCTCAGTTTAGATAAGCCAAAAATGCTTCCAACCACTTGTCTGAAAAATATGTATACAAAAAAAGAGTACACGGCCCAATCTTTTCTTCGGATCACTTTTTTTTTTTTTTTTTTTTTTCAACTTACCTTGACGATCACAGAGATTATACATGCTAGTTCAATCAAGAAGGCAATAGGACCTGAAAAATAGCTCAAGAATTTTAGGATCTTGCTATCCTTGACTTCCACTAATTCATTGGGTCCAAAGGTTCGTAACCTTTGTGAGGCTTGTTCTGTCGTCAAGCCCTTCATTGGATCTGTCCTTAATAGATCTTCCAGCTCTATATCTCTTCCTTTCTCTTTCCCAATCTTGACATGCATATGCATATGCGTATCCACAGGACGAGAAAATGAATCTGATCGTGCTCGTGATGCTCCATCTTCTAAAGAATCATGATCACGTAGAGGAGCAGTAACTCCATCGGATTCATTTAGCTCCTTGTATCCGCGCATCATGCTCGATCCCCGATCTTTGTGAATATCCGTAGAATGATTCTGCTTTTACTAAAACAATATGATGGAAATGTAAAGGGCGTGAATGTTTGATTTGAATACAATACAATATATATTTGTATATATGAATATATGTGTATAGACTCTGCATTGTAAAGCACATTGGTGGATACCTCCTCCGTTGAATGTTTAGAATGAGCAAATGGATGAATCAAAGCATCAATGAGGAAGAAAAAAAAAAAAAAAAAAAAAAAAAAAAAAAAGAAAGAAAGAAATGAAGTTGAGCTTAAAAGAGAGACAAGGTAACGAGGCAGAGAATAAGAGTATGTGAAAGGGACAGAACGAAAAGGGAAAGAGAGAACGAGAGAATGGAGAAAAAGAGGAAAGGCGATTGTTCGGACCTCGTATGAAACTGTATAAACATCTGAACATTGCCACATGCCATTGGCCTATCTGCGTCCCTTAAACAACATGTTTAACATACAAATGAACTTTTTGCAAGTGGATGTATCAATGCTTCGACAAACATGTAACCTTTGATGACAACGTCACAGCTCTTGGACTTTGGAAAACGGGAAACATTTGTGTTTCTACGTAGCAACAGGCATAGCTTCAAAAAGTTCGTCCTCAAGGAACAAATCCTATATCCTTCATTGCTCAAAAGAGACGATCTGTCTTTTTCTGCGCCCCAAAAGTATGCCACAATCCTATTGGAGCGTTCAGAGGCAATGTTTGCCTCTTGGTTCGAGGATTAGCAGGCTTTCAGTCAAGTTTTATTGTTTTGAACAACACAGTGAATCCTGTCCCTTCTAAGTAATCGCCACTATTCAAGGGATTCTGCTAAATACGGTTAAATCAAGGGAGGTTTGGGAAACCAACAGGTATGGAGCAGTCGCCAAAAGGGAAGAGGGGCGCATTGTTCGGGCTTTCCTCTGCATACGCACTGCCACTGGGCACGTTCTTCCGCTTCTCCTCTTTGCCCATTGGCGACTGTTCGATGCTTGTTGGTTTTCCAAATCTGCTTTGATTTCACCATAGTTTAGCGGAATTGATTAGCATCCCCTGAATAGCTGCCATCCAAAGGGACTAACTTCGAATGGACAGGATTTACTGTGTTGTTCAAAACAATAAAACTTGACTGAAAGTCTGCTAATCCTCAAACTATGAGGCAAATAATGCCTCTGAACGCTTCAATAGGATTATGGCGAACTTTTGGGGTGCTTCCACAATCCAAGGACTGTGATGTAGCCATTAAATGTTACATGTTTGTCGAAGCATTGGCACATCCCTTGCAAAAGTTCAGATGTATGCTAGGAATATTGTTTAAGGGACGTAGAGTAGTCAATGACATGTGGTGGTGTTCAGGTGTTTATACAGTATCATATGGAGTCCGAACAGTCGCCATTGGTGTAACAGCCACTCTGTCACAACTTTATTTTATTTTTTATTTTATATTTTATTTTATATTTTATTTTATTTTATTTTTTATTTTATTTTATATTTTAATATTTTATTTAATATTTTATTTTAATATTTTATTTTTTATTCTGGAATCAATGTAATACATATTATGATTCTAATGCAAATACAACCAACATTAGGAAAAAAAAAAAAAAAAAAAAAAAAAAGAAACTTGTCTAGCACTCTAATTCTTATTAGCTTTCTCCTCCTCTGCTGCAACCTCCAGTCCAACACGGTGAACTGTCTTCAAGAACAAGCCCATGGCCTCAACAGGAACGGAAGGTAAAATTCCATGGCCAAGATTAGCAATGTATCGTCCTGTCGATCCAAATCCACGGACCATCCTCTCAACTGCTGCAACGATCGCCTCATCCCCTCCATACAACAGGTTAGGATCCATGTTGCCCTGTAATGTGACACGGCCCTTTGTGATCGCTTTAGCTGCCTTGGGATCGTGAGTCCAGTCCAAAGAGACGGCCTCGTATCCAATCTCGGATAATTGCTCAAGAGCGTACCATGATCCCTTCGCAAACACAGTCATGGGCACTGCCTCGGACCCCAATTCGGCCTTGACTCGCTTTGCGATCTGAGCCAGATAAGGGAGCGAGAACAATTCAAAGTCATGGGGACTAAGCTCTCCTCCCCAAGATTCAAACACTTGCAACATCTAAGTCATTTTGCATTAACAATGGCATTGAGTAAGTTAGGAATGCCAGTGGATAATACCCTTTTTTTTTTTTTTTTTGAAGTTGTTTGTATTATAATCAGAGTGTAAAAAGTTACAACCTCGTTTCTTCTTCTTCCATCCTTACCTGAGCACCAGCATGAACTTGTCCGACCAAGAAGTTGACGCACACGTCTGTAATGCGCTGCAAAAGATCGTGTGAAGTCTTGGGGTGCTTGAAGATCCATTCTTTGGCCTTTGAAAGAGTCTTGCTTCCGCCACCCTCAACCATATAAGCCTATTATTTTATCAGATAATACACAGAAACGTTAGCATTCATAAATTCATAAAATAAATAGATAAATAGATAAGTAGATAAATAGATAAGTAGATAAATAGTAGTAGTAATAATAATAATAATAATAATAATAATAAAAGCCAAAGCTTTACCATCAATGTCCATGGGGCACCCACAAAGCCAATCAAAGGAACACGCCCGTCCAGAGCATGTCGTGTCATTGTAATGGCATCAAACACATACTGAAGCTCTTTATGAACATCCACATTCTGATTCAACTTGCTGATATCTTCTGGAAGGACCAATGGTTCAGGGAAATGAGGTCCCTTCCCAGGAACCATCTCCACAGTCATTCCCAATGCCTGGGGCACCACCAAAATGTCTGAAAAGATGATCGAGGCGTCCAAAAGACCGTCGTAGCGATCAATGGGCTGCAATGTTACTTTGGTTGCCAACTCGGGTGTACGGCAGATCTTGAAGAAATCATGCTCGACGCGTTCAGCACGGAATTCTGGTTAAACAAATAAAAAAACAAACAATCAAGTAAATAAACAATCAAATCAAAGCACATTGATCTTGTGTTTTACCAATGTCAAGGCGTTAGGACAATTGGAACAAAAAAGAAAATCGGAATGAAGGGAATTAGATCGTCTTTTTTTTTTTTTTTTTTTTTTTTTTTTTCCTTCTTCTTCTTCTTCTTCTTCTTCTTTCTAGAATGAATAAACAGATTAGACAGAATGAATGAAGAAAAGGTTGGGATGGAGGAGGAAGAAAAAGACGATGGCATTGGCACGAAAGTATGTGTGAATGTAACACTGGAGGTGTTCATTTTTTTTTTTTTTTTTTTTTTTTTCTGTTACCAGGCAAATATCGGCCCGCCTGTCGCATAACCCAGACAGGAGCACGCTCGGTCTTCTCTCCACGTGCAGCCCTGAGGATCAAGTCGTTCTTGAGGGGAGGAAATGGTTTTGAAGCAGACATGTTGGTTTTTAAAGAAGGAGAAGAATGAAAGGGAAAAAAAAAAAAAAAAAGGGAGAAAGAAAGAGAAGATTTTGTCGATGATGCTCCGTTCAAAAGGACTCTTTTTTCTTCTTCTTCTTCAATTAATCAAAGTTACACGCACAAAAAAAAAAAAAAAAAAAAAAAAAAAAGCGGAGCAAGAAAAGTTGCGCTTCTCCGGTCTGCATCGCATTGAGTAAGGAAATGCATGCCACGTTCAAAGAAAAAGACCTGACACAGACACAGCAGTAATACAAAGTTGGATAACAAGAGATTGCAATATTGATAAATGCTCTCTTCTCCCTTCATGGATGCATCTGCGCATTTATCCTCTCTTTATCTCTTCCCTCTTCTTCCTCGGCTCACGGCATTCAGTGATGTATACTGAACTCAGCCCAATGAATCATCTCTGTCCGCAAAGTAAAGAGCAAAGTGCGTTATGAACTCTCTCTACTGCTTTTTTTTTTTTTTTTTTTTTTTTTTACTTGAATTAAAGCAAATTAAAATCATGGTAGAAAAGCAATCCTCCAATCTCATGTCTTCTTGGATCAGTCATTTTTTTTTTTTTTTTTTTTCTTTGTTATTGTATGCTTTACTTTTTCCTTGACCATGTCACCTTTGATCCATTTCTAATTTGGCTTTATTATTTTTATCTTCCTCACTCTTTACGTTGACCTTCTCCTGCTCTGTTCGTCACCATCACTGTTATCTTCTTCATCATCGTCACGATACCGAGCATTGACTCCACCCATCATTTCTTGTCCCTCCTCTTCCTCTTCGTCATCCTCATCCTCATCCAGATATCGATTCTGCCTTGATATGGGCTTCAACAACCTAGAACCAGCTGTCATATTCTCCATCTCCTCTTCATGATATTCATTCCCATCTTCATCTCCATCTCCATCTCCTCCATCTAATCCGTCCTCATAACCTTCCCCATGAAACTGGGCTTCCAGATCTTCCCATTCAAGTCCTGTCGCGCCTTCAAGATCATCATCCGACAACGCAATGGGCCCTCGACGTCCTATACCCAGTCCATTCCTATCACTGTTATCTCCGCCAAAAAGCTGTAGTTGGATATTGAGATTACGAGGAAGTAATGTTGATGCTCGTCGGAAACAAAAAACGAGTCCTAGTAATGAACAAATGGTCACTATTACTGACTAATACATATTTGTACAAATATATTATAGGTATTAAAAAAAAAAAAAAAAAAAAAAAAAAAAGTAAATCAAGATTAGCTTATAGACATCCTTCAAAGCGTTTATGTATATCCAAATTTGTACAGATAAACTTTACAAAGCCCATGCCCCAAGTCGGATCATCGTCGTGTAGCGCGTCTAAAACATTTATATGTTTATATAAAAAAAATATACATGTATAATTTAAATATCGAAAAAAGGAATCGATTAATTTTTACTTGACGAAAAACGAGTCACTTTTTTTTTTTTTGCGCCCCTAGCTTCTGTAGTTAAAAAAGAAAGTACTCCCGCAGCATTACTTGGCACGATGGCTGAATCTGAACGAGTGTACGACATATAAAATGTAGGGAAAAAAAAAATAGGAAGAGAAAAGGCGCAAGACTGTTGGTAATGAACGAATGAGACTCGAATGAGTTTAATAAAGTAATAAAAAAATAAAAAAAAATAAAAAAAAGTAGAAAAAGGCGATGTTAGGAAACAAAAAGTTTTGAAGGCGCAAAAAAAAAACGGTTGGCTCAAGTAGAAAAGTCGACTCTTCCATGACCCCTTAATGTTACATACAAGTACAGATGCAGATGCAGATGCAGATGCCTGATTAAAAGCAGCATATAAAAAAACATAAAAACCACCACCAAAAAAAAAAAAAAAAAAAAAAAAAACCATCTCTGCTTTATTTTGTAAGAGTCGATCTTCTAACTAGCTACTAAATGCTGGGGGGGGGGGGGGGGAAGGGAGGGGAAAGCCTTTTTTCTTTCCTTTACTACTTCATCATCTCATTGATCTCCTGGGGCTGGTGTCTCTGGCCAATAAAATGTCTACTATACACGTCCAATGCAGTGAAGGGAAAATAACGTAAAAAAAAAAAAAAGAAAGAAAGAAATGTAAAAAGAATAAAGGAAAAAGGAAATAAAGAGTTGATTCTTAATACCGTTTCTAGTCCGCGCAACACGACATCTTTAGGCCACTTTTTAATTCACATCTGCCATAGCGCCGGATTCTGTCATGGTAGGAGTGGCGCTCTCAATGCTCTTGTTGTTTTTGTGGTTTTGTTGTTGGACATCCCTAGCCGAGGTCGAACTCTGCACAACAACAGCTGTGGTGGGCAGACCCTCGATTCCAGCCATAATCCTTGCATGACTTTCCTCCCGAATCATGTCCTGATATCTGTGCTGCTTCGCAACATCATGCAGCTTGAATCCAAAGATACGAGGCACATAGCGGTCAGTGCTCTTAGGGGGGACTAACTGAGGGTAGACTTGGAAAAGCATATGGGGGAAGCTGCAGCCGAAATAGGCACCATCAATTGATGCATGACGAGTCGATTTAGGGTTGTAAATGTCCTCGCAACGGCAGCAGAACAACTTGACTGATTTTGTGTATGGGATATCGGAAAGAGCAACAGGCAAAAGTGGATGATTATGACAAAGAACTCGAGGACAGCGTCCAAAGTCACACTTTTTGAATTTTTCCAGCTGGTCAATGCCCCATTCAACAATAGGTGGAAGGAATGTGTACAAATGTGAAGAAAAAAAAAAAAAATTGTTGATAAATAATGTTAGCAAAAAGAGAATCATATGGATCATTCGTTGCAATATCAGTTTCATGCCTGGAATGCTTTTTAACTTGTTCTGTTTGGAGATAAATGCGCTTTACCATCTTTGTAAGTCCATGAGTGGTGATGATGAATCGAGCATGGATCAAGCCATACAAGTGACGAGCAGATTTCTCAACAATGTCCCGAATCTCTTCATTCAGGTTTTCGTCTGAATAGACACCGATAACCCGTTGGAATTGTCACAGACCAAATAAAATAGTGTGTAAAAATAAAATAAAATAATGTCAGTTGATTCGCTACTGTGATGGTGATGAATGGTAAAACCCAATAAACTAAACTGTATAAAAAAAAATAAATATATATAAAAAAAAAACCAGCAATGAAGCATACCAAGATTATCGGTGATCAAATCTAGTGCCTGAGAGTAATACTGGACCTCGGTGTTCAGTCCTGTCAAGTTGAAACGATCCAGAATATATTCCTCGTCAACCTCACAAAAGTATTCATTTCCCTTAGTCCCTAAGAACCAGTCAATCCAGTACTTTGTATAATCAGAGTCAGATCCGCTGGTGTAATCATCCACTAAAGAATACAAGAGGGAAGAATGAACATCATTAGAGACAAAAAAGCGCAGTCGGCATTACATGTATGCAGTAGGGAAAGGATGTATTCCAATAGATCACTCTTATTCCTCATTTTGGTAGCAGTGTCGTTTAAAGTAAACTTACTTTTCCTTGAGAGAGACTAAGAAGTTCAGGAAGATATCCAGTAAAATTGCAAGTTGAGAATCCCATATTAACAAATGTAGTAATCATAGTAACAAAAATGAAGACGGGAGGTATTGCTGATTAGAATACGATGGATAATAGAAAGAAGAGTAATAATAACAACAATGGCATCAGCTGAGTATCCCTCGATAAATTCCTCTCAAGAAAACTTGGAAATCATGAGCCTATTGAATTCGTCTCAAAATAAATTCCGAGCTATTCGCTATTGCTGATGACCTGTCTCAAGTCAGAAAACAGTTTCGGGCAACCAATGTCCCGGTGTAAAAATACTGCCTTCCTTTGAAAGATTGAATGTGGCTGTGTGAGACCGACTGATATGGACGGATGCTGAAGACGTTTAATGCTACATGTGCCTTCCCATGACCCGCAGATGTCTTTTTATTTTTTTTTTTATTTTTTTTTATTTTTTGCTGTTGTTGTTGAAGCTAATCCATGATGTTTCATAGGACAATGGATGTAACTTGCCAAATAAAATATAAAGTCAAACCATTACCGTGTGTTATGTGAGCAAGTGTACGTCAGTGCTTGAGGAGTCAAAAATTTTCCAAGGAGATGGTCCGTAAGAGAAACAAATCGAACAAAATAAAAGAAATAAAAAGAGAAGAGTAAAGGGAGAAGAGAGAGTGAGAAAGAAAGAGATGGTAATGAAAAGATTAATGAGGGATGAAGTTTCTTTCAGCCTGTTGTGCTTTTCTCCTTGGTCCTGCAGAAGAAAAAAAAAAAAAAAAAAAAAAAAAAAAGTATAAGCCACATAATAGTCATTGGATAATTATGCAATGTCATGAAGAAAATGCTGGATCTATCAGTCTAATAGACAGACTCCACATTCTTGTCCGTTACTCATGCATGGGGGTTTTTTTTTTTTTTATCAAAATAGGCTGTTCTTTTAAAAGAAAGTTTCCTCCATCTAACCTGCGCTATCTCTTTCTTCCTTTTCGTTTAAGAGTGGAGACTATAAGAAATTGATCAAACGCGTGATTAAAAAATTAGAGAGAGAGAGCCCGAGTTACATGACGGGCTCAGGTTGTCAGCAGTCAGCATCTAGGAAAAGTAGGATTCTAAAAAGCGATGCAAGGGAATTAAACTTATCCGAGTAAAGCACTGCTGAGCAGCAACTTGCATTTCTACATTAACCAAACATCACGTCAAATTGAATTGACAGATCTCACATCCGCATTAAAGATCAAAGAGCGTCTTTTTCAGGGAATGATTAATATCAACGACTGTGCGCTATACCAGAATATGGAGCCTTACCATTTCAAGCCTGCTCTTCAGAGTGCACAGACAAAGAAAAATATGTACACTTTCTTATTCAACAGCACTTTTATCTCTTTATGCACAAAAGGGGTTCGCTGTAGAAGAAATACTTTTTTTTTTTTTTTTTTTTTTTTTAATTAAGTAATAATGTACTAAATGCTAAATATTGCAGATTTAAAGATCTTTTTTTTTTTTTTTAAACCTTGATCTCGTTGTTATGGTGCATTGGAACCTCGCTCTTGTCATTGTTGGTATGGTGGGTGTCATCAACGACAACCATGGACTCGGTGGCGGCATATCTCTCAGGGTTATTCAATCTAGAATATCTGGCACCGTAGGCGGCATAGAAGATCAAACCAATGGCCAACCAGATAACAAGACGGATAATGGCCGAGACAGAGTCAACAGCGATGAGACCGACACAGCTGAGAGCACCCAGGACTGGGAGGACTGGACCCAATGGGACCTTGAAGCGGCGGTGACGGTTGGGTTCCTTCCATCTCAAGATCAAAACTGAGCAATGGACGAGGAAGAAGGCAAAGAGAGTTCCGACTGAGGTCAAATCAGCAAGCAAGTCGATAGGGAACATACCGCCAGCAGTAGCGCAGATAGTTCCAGCAATGGCAGTGGTGATGACAGGAGTCTTGTACTTTGGGTGAAGCTTCGAGGCAACCTGGGGGAAGAGGCCGTCTACAGCCATGGAGAAGAAGATACGGGGCTGTCCAATCAAGAGGACCATCATAACAGAAATCAAACCAGCCAAGATACCGACTTCACAGAAGATGGACAACCACTTTTGATTGGTGGCATTAGCAACGATCTGGAAGGGAGCATCACTCTTCTTGTTTTCGTTCACAATATCCTGATAGTTGACAACACCCAACATAACAACGCTGGTGGCGATGTAGAGCACGGTACATAAAATCAACGATAAACCAATACCGATGGGAAGATCACTATTTTTTTTTTGAAGTTTTTGATTTTTTGATTAGTTTATGCAGTAAGTCTCGATAATAACTTTGTTCACACGGATAAAAGAGTGAGCAGATCTGTGCGCGAAACTTACCGCTGAGGGTTACGAGCCTCCTGGGCAGCAGTGCTGATAGCGTCGAATCCAATGAATGCGAAGAATACAACTGTAGCACCTCTGAGGACACCAGAACCACCAAACTCTCCAAACCTTCCAGTGTTAGTTGGGATGAAAGGTTTGTAGTTGTCACCATTAACGAAACGGCAGGCACCAAAGATGAAGACCAAAATAACAACGAGCTTGACAATGACCAAAACATTGTTGACACGGGCGGATGACTTTACACCTCTGCAGAGCAAGAGGGTCAACAAGACAACAATAATAAATGAAGGGAGTGAGAACCAGTTGCCGGTGGTTGCGAACACGTCGTGCTTGTAAGAAAATGGCGCGTTCATCAATTCTTTCTTGGCATGCCACCCAAAAGCATCTTTGAAGAATGCATCAAGATAACCAGCAAATCCGACAGAGACAGTAGCAGCGCCGACCAAGTATTCAAGAATACTTTTAGAATAATGAAAAAATAAATGAATGCGTTATTATATTAGCATATGTTACCACAATACAAGAGGCTAAGGGATTGTCAACTTTTAACTTACAGATCCCAACCAATAATCCAAGCCATTAATTCTCCACAGGTTGCATAGGTATAAGTGTAAGCACTTCCGGCAATGGGCACAAGACAGGCCATTTCAGCATATGACAGAGCAGCAAGACCAGCGACGATAGCAGCGATGATGAATGAGATGCACACAGCAGGTCCAGCCTTCTCGTGAGCGACCACACCGGTGAGGACGAAGATACCAGTACCAATAATGGCACCGACACCCATTGCTGCCAAATCTTTGGCAGTCAAGACACGCTTCATAGTTGATTGCTCAGATTCTTGGTCAAGTGAGGCAAACGTACGTGTGTTGGTGAGGCGACGGAGTTGCCAAACGAAAACTGATTCGCCGTCTCTGCGCAAATGGCGGGTACCATCACCAAGATCACGGAAAGTGGTATTTGGGGGTAAGATATCGTGTCCAGTCATTGTTGGCAATGAGTGGATAAAGAAGGATTGAGGAAAGCGAGACTATATGTACAGGATGCTTCGGTGGAAATACGAGGAGGAAGAGGAGGTAGTATCTACAAGCGAAGAAGGAGGTGAAGGCGGGATCAGGAGGAGGTATAAAGAGGTGATCGCAAGGATTAAAAGAAGAGAAAAAAAAAAAAAAGAAAAAGAAAAAAAAAAGAAAAGGAAGATGAAGAGACCTTTATATGCTTTTTCATGCAAAAAAAAAAAAAAAAAAAAAAAAAAAAGGACAAATTATTACTTACTGATTGTCTGTGAGCATTGAAAGGATTGATGGGATTGATTGTATTGATTAATATGGACGCCTAACGGCAACTGAGGGTTTGATATAAGCAGGATATAACAAAGGCAAGTTCATTGTTAGTATGGAGGATGCAGGGAGAGTACAGGAATGAAAGATGAAAGGGGATTGGGAAAAAAAGAATGCTCAGGAGCGCCTTTGTGAACTTACCGAGATTGGAAAGATGTACAAATGAACCGGTTGAAGGTTCCTTCCCATCATTCTCTTTTTTCTTTGGTAACTTTCCGTGGGGTCTTGTTCATATTAGATTGTCTTGAGCAGTCTATCTTCTGTGTAATGTAGAGTGTAGTAATAATGCAACATTGTGTATATGACATCTATATAGTATAGATAATATAATACTTTGTAATGAATGTAATGTGTAATCATGTAACAAAGAGAAAACAAAAAGAGCAAAGGGAGAGAGAGAAGGCTTCTGTGCCACGCAGACATCACGACATCGCAGCGGCACAACGGCGAAAAAGTTTAGAGTCTTTTGGGCCACTTTTTTAGGTGCTAAAGAGAGTGTGATTTAAACAACTGTGATCTTTCAGGGATATTTACTACTGCCTATCTAATATTTAAACTTAGTGTGGATGAAGCATAAAAAAAAAACTAAAATAAAAATTAAATAAAAATTAAAAAATAAAAAATAAAAAAGCACGGCGATAGGTCGATCTGGGTGCAGCAGCGCGTGCCATTGTTTCGGAGGACAAGAGGTCGAAACGCAATAATTTGATAGGGCGATGCAGAGGCATTTCCTCATTCGCCATCATCAAGAAAGAAAAAACTCTATCCAAAAGAAACAATGCTGTAACCCACTTTTTTTTTCTTCTTCTTCTTCTTCTTCTTCTTCTTCTTTACTGCATACATATGAAGGCGTTATGCGTACACATATATACTTACATGGATATCTATGTATCTACATGTATACGTATAATATATATATAAAGATATACATGTTAGTCTTACTTTATGTGTTGTATACTACATTTTTATTCCTTGATAACAAGAGCAATAAGTAAATCACCTCCTTCGCGGTCTTTTTCTTTGTTCATTTGTTCCAAAAGTCTTTGCCACAGATGACAGCAATGTGTTCTGTGGTCTATACACAGAACACAGAGCTAAATGTGCAACACGGCCTCATGGTTACACCTCTTTGTTGAATATCAAGACCTGTGCCATCTGTTCTCTTTCAGAACGTACTGTGCAGTCCATGTCTATTGTTTTTTCTTTTTCTTTATATATACAACTTTGTTGCCTGTTGCCTTGAAAACAAAACAAAAAGAAAAAAAGCCCAATGACAAATTAGCCGTTTTGAATCCCAACGTTATCCGACTGTGAGTGTAAACAAAAAAAAAAAAAAAAAAAAAAGGTCGAAAATCCTTCCTTTCTTTTTGGCGGTTCCTCCAAATAGCAACAACCATATCTATGACAAGGTGAATAAAACTCTGTTGGCTTGCAAATAAACTTTAGTACATATAATATCATGAGTGTATAATTCCGAGTAATACAAAAAAAAAAAAAAAAAAGTGAGATGGGAGGGCGAAGGAGGCTATTGAGTTGGTTCCAGTGCTACATTTTGACATTGTCATCATCAGGCATTTTCGGGGGGAAGGAGTAAAAAAAGGACCAAAAAAAAGGGGAATAGCCTTGTCTTTGTCAGTCTAATGTGTATTAGCCTCAATATCCATTGCCCATGGAAAACTCTCAACTTTAGTCTCACTCACCGCCACTGTTTACTCTGAACACTAACGCTGTAAATGACACTCTGGTATTGTTTGCATTATGGAGTGATCTCGATGGCCTGGATAGGCCTTCGGGATACGTTCATGTCTTGAGACCATTGCGTTTCCCTCTCATGGCTGATCATTGTTTCTTTCAGGCCAATCATGCTCTGCTGAGCCTTGTCTCGTTTTTCGGTAAGTTTCATCTGATAGAGCACCGAGGACGATCAAACATGGGAAGAGAGCAGTGTTATTGAGAGTAGTTTAACTATATTTCTTTTCAACAATGATTGGTTCATTTTAACGTAAATCTGAAGTTCCATGCGTCTGGCCAGACAGCTCTTCTATCCCACATAAACACACTCAAACACCTGACAGTTGACAGGGAAGTGTTGCGCCTTTTCTTCTGATTAAGGTATATATATATTTATATATATAAGTGTATTATATATACATCTTACATGTATATTTACAATTCACATAGTGTAACAGTTCAAAGTTGCATTCGGATACATGCCGGTGCATTTCTTTGTCTTTATTATTTTGGCATCCACAGACTATCTAGAAAAAAACAAAAAAATTTTTTTTGACAGGTTTGAGCCAACATTCGTAGTCTACATGTGCACACATGCAAATTTATTCGCAACACACAAATATGCACAATGTATACACAAAAAAAAGACACGTCCATTCCTGTCCTGTCACTCCTTTTCCAGCCTCCAGCTTCCAAGGGGGGGGAATCTATCTTATCGATCCATAAAAACATAAATGTAACATGGACTATGCTGTCCATAACAAGTATGGAATGACAATAGAGATAAAATAGGCAAGGAACTAAAAACTAAGAGTACCCTCTCCCACGCTCGGATACTTCCCGGGAGGTTTTTTTTTTTACTCTACGTTTTATTAGTTTTTTTTTTTTTTTATATAAATATTCGTATATTTGTATATTTATACAAAGTGTGCCACAAAAAAAATAAATAAATAAAAAAAAGAAGTTTATTTACTGAACATTCGACAGTAAGAGTCGCCATTTTCAAAGTTATTTAGTCTATGAAGAGTAAATGTTTATATTCTATGGAAACCAGTTGTCCATTTTTCCAACCTGTTCAGAAAACGATAAACAAACAAACCAAACCAAACCAAAAAAAGGCGAAAACTCTTTCTCTCACGCACAAAGAAGCAGTGTAACAACAGATTATTATATTATTTTTCGGCGGAATATCCTACGGAGAGTTGGAAGGCATTTCTCATGAAATGACCTCATGAGCTAGCCGAGTATTACTTGGATCTTACTTTGTTTTCTCTTTTTTTTTTTTTTTTTTTTTTTCTTTTTCTTTTTGGAGAACAACAAATCTTTAACCGATCTTCTTCTTTAATATATGCTTTTATAAAAAGAAATAAGCATCCCTCCGAAGGCCCAGACCGTCTCTTCCCTTCCAAACACTCATATTCATCCACATTTGTATGCCCAGGACGCGTTGTATGAACATTTGCTTTCAACTTTCGAGCAGTCATATCATCCACATGTTCCATTGTTGGGAGTCCTATGCAAATTTAATATGAGCTCAGACGAGAAAGAAAAAAAAAAAAAAAAAAAAAAAAGATATGGCTTCAATGATTTCAACCTTTTTAAAAACGAGATTATGAACGCATTCATTTCATGTCATTTCATTTTCATTTTCATTTAATTCAATTTAATTTCATGAGAATTGTCGAGAAATGTTGGTTGTTGATTCAGGGATGCCAAACTATTTTCACGTGTCGTGCAAGCTTCGCCCAATCCTCCTCCACTTGACTCTCCGACTCGCGGTCGTTTATTTTTGTAGCATCAGCAACCTTGTCGGAGCCAAACTTTGTGATCAGGTGGAATAAGAATATTGACACGTGTTTCATAAGAACGAGAAGAAAGGTCAGATGACTTGCAGAAAATATAAAAAGCTGCCTTCTTTGGTTATTATTTTTGAAAAAAAAAAAAAAAAAAAAATCGATATTTCAACCGAGCTAACAATAGTCGAAATGTAGGCCTTGGGGGTTTTTTTTTACAAGCAAACATGGCAGAGGATCTTTTCCTTTTAAAAAACTTAAAGTGCATACAGCGAAAGTTAGTTTGGTCGATATGAGGACAAAAAAAACATCAATTGAATTCACTCATCATCGCATATGGGATCCACAGTCCTGCCCCTCAACTATTGGCGTTGGCACATATTGCCAATCTTGGGTGCTCCTGGAGAGATAGACTGTGCAAATGAAAGGCTGCTGATATGACGATTTTATACTTGGCATCCCTCTTTCGAAAGAGAACACGAGGCAGATATAAACGATGCTTTCCAGCTCCGATCATGTCAAAGTCGAGGTAGATCTGGCAACTGTTGCAGGAGCCCACAGAATGCACACTTATAAAAAAAAAAAAAAAAAAAAAGTCAGAGTCCAAAGGGACTTGGCTCTTTCTGGAGGGGAATGTGATAAAGAGACTGTGGAATGATGCAACAGGCAGTAAGAGAAAGCGGAGGATGAAGGATAGAGATGGTTGTGAGCATGCAAGGGATTTAACCATGATTGCATGTGCCCGTGGCTGTGCGTGTCTCTTAAAAAATAAAACCGCACGCTCGCAACATTAAGCTTCGCTCAATTACTCAATTCTGATAAGGCTGCTTACTTTGTATGGCATCGAATGCCATCTGCTCCTGGCCAAGAGCTACCACTACAAAGCTGAAGTAGGCTATCCGCAAAATGCCCACTTTATTTGATATTAAAGCTCTATACTCTACATACTCCTCAATTCAACTTTTTTCATTCTTTCATTTAAATTTGGAAACACGCCACATAGTTTCAAAACTGGCCGTTAAGGATCCTAGACTAGGCAACCAAAGACTGATCTCTGAGATATTTCATCCCTCATTCCAAAACTTTTTTTTTTTTTTTTTTTTTTTTAAAAAAAAAAAGTACTCCTGAATTATTGATCTGAAAACAGACGGAGGAATGGCAAAGATGCTTAGGGACGTTTATTGTCAAGATATTTGACTCTTCCAATCATCTTCAACATTAAGTACTTTTTTTATTTTTTAGTCACTTCATAATCATATTCGTCAAACTCAATCATCCTGTTTTGTCTCCGCTGGGCTTTTTTTTTTTCTCCACTGCATATCACAGATTACAACGTCCTTTTTTTATGCTCACTCACTTTACCATCAAGGCCGCATTTGGCCATATTTTCAATACCGTGGTCACGTGAATAGCTGCCGAAACTAATAGGGGGGGAGGCTTGCAAAGATGTTTTTAATATTAAGAATAGGTTGTATGAGCAAAGCCAGTGGGACACAAACGACTTGCAAGGGTTAGTTACCGGAATGGCAGCACTAAGAGTTTTTTTTTTTTTTTTTTTACTTCATATTGCCAAGTCATCTCTGCCATTTCCTTTTGCGGAATGGGGAAGATGGGAAGTTGCGTTTAAGGTTGCATGATTTTTTTTTTTTCCTGTGCTCATTTTATTTTTTATTTTTTGCACAGACTCGACCCAGAGACACAGACCGTTGAACAAACCGAATCACCAAAATCGAGGAATGCTGTGTGTGTATAAACGTGAGTAGTTGGGTAGCGTAAAAGTAAATATAGCCCATTTTATTTAGTCATTCTCTATCGGCAATTAGTTTGCTTGCAAGTTCGTCATGGATGTTGAATTATAAAGAAAAAGTCCTGTCGACCAAATCAATTCAATCATAGTCTTGGATTAAAAAGCATCGTTTCCTGATCCAGCAAAATGGACGATGTTCTCTCTCCTTCTCCCTTATACTCCCTTCTACTCCCTTTTCGTACTTGTCTCCATCTCTTGCATTACTTGTCATTTCACATTCCATCTTTTTTTTTTTTTTTTTTTTTTTTTCTTTTATGCATTCATCACAAAAGAATCGCGTGAACAAGACGAGCTAACAGTGTGAGCACAAAACCTTGGACAGAAAAAATGAGAGCATGTCTACAAATTTTAAAGCATAAAGCTATAACCACAATCTGCACAGACATAGACATAGCCCTTCTTCTATTCAAAGTTCTCTCTCTCTCTTTTTTTTTTTTTCTTTTTCCCTCTCACACCCCCCCTTTTTTTTTTTTTTTTTTTTTTTTTTTTTCTATCTATGACTCCCAAAGTAAAAAAGAAAAAGAAAAAGAAAAGAAAGAGCTCAACAACACAACGGTAAATTGCAATAGGGGGAAAAGAGAGTAAGGAAGGGAAAGAAAGGAAAGGAAGGGGAAGAAAGAGAAGGCATGTTTGAATATTTAGTAATGAATGCAGTGTTCCATGTGTCGTGTGGATGTTGATGTATATGTAGGTAAGCGAGTGGAGTGGAGTGGAGTGGAGTGGCTGGATAAAAAAAAAAAAAAAAATTGTCCTTTTTGTCACTCCAATGACATTAACTTTCAGCAGGCTTAATATTCTTTTTTTTTTTTTATCCCATCAATCGTCATATTTTTTGTTCTTTCTTTCTTTCTTTCTTTTTTCTTTTTTCTTTTTTCTTTCTCTTTCTTCTTTCCATCCTTTCATTACCATCCTTTCATTACCATCCCATTGCCTTTTCTCTGTTAAACATCCTTTCAAATAGATCTTACACACTTCCTCATTTTAATCGACAGTTATCAGCAGTCGTATGAATGATCTAATTACTACAACTTCCATTCTTTTCTGCAACACCAACACTAAACGCATCAGACCAAACATTTTCCGATATCTAGTATATGCCTATGCTGTGCCCAACGTCCTCACCATCGCTGCCAAAGGCTTCTACTGCTGATCTTTCCCACGATCATAACAGAGACCTAGACGTCCCCTCCTTCAACACAGAGTCGCCCTCCCTCAACTCTTTCGACAACAGCAGACCAACATCTCCCGCTCCCCCAAAAGACTCTCTAAGCCCTGGACTCCATCCTGCACTCAACTCCTCTCCCCGTGTGCTCTCCTCAAAAATTTCATTGGATGTCTCCACTCCTCAAGCAATCTCACACATACCACTACCTCCATCACTTCGGACGCCACCCGAGTCGCCAGTTAAAGATCAAAGACGTGACTCGTTCAGACGTCAGTCTTGCCCACCACCATCCAGACATGGTCTTGCCTTGACTCTCAATGGACTCTCCTCTCCACCTTCATCCCCTACTCAACCATCCCCTGGTGCCACCCTTCCCCCAAAACTCTATCAGTCTCTATTAGAGCATCCGCTCTTCCGAGATTGTACACCAGAGGGCATCCATCAACTCGCTTCTAGAATGCATATCCGACACTATTATCCTCAGGACCATATCATCAGGCGGTCTGAGCAATCAAGCGCCATGTTCTATGTCCTCCGAGGAACTGTCAAAGTCGCCTCCCACGATAATGAGGCAACGTATTATGAGATCAAAGAGAATAACTTTTTCGGGGATGTCGGTGTACTCTACAAAGTTCCTCGATCCATGGATGTCCTTGCAAAAAACCGCTGTACAATCGCTATCCTCTCAGGCGATGATCTAGTCAAGGTGATGGAACAATCACCAGAAATGGCCAGGGCTATTGGGTACCAGACCCAAGAGCGATATCAGATGTATCTCAAGCGACGACAATCTGTTTCAGTTCGAAGATCTCTAGATAACGGAACAAATAGGCCGGACTTTTGTCAAGACGATTCTAGATCAGATGGCTTTGCAAAGAGTGACGTTCATGGAGCTCTCCGCAAGGTGAGTTGTTCATTATTATATGTATAAAAAAAAAAAAATAAAAAAAAAAAAATGCTTCTTAAAAAAACCTTTTTATTATTATTATTATTATTATTATTATTATTATTATTATTATTATTATTATTTTCTCTTGACTAACGAGCATGAGATATTTGTAGGTCCCGCTTTTTCAAAGTTGTTCTCCAGAGATAATACATATGATTTCTCTCAAGGTCGAGCCAAGAACTTATAATTTGGGTGAGAGTATTATCCAACGTGGAGAAATTGGCCGAGAGATGTTTTTTATTATATCGGGTATGGTTGAGATTCTCTCTGATGATAACTTGCATGTTCTGGCTCGATTCCATGATGGACAATTCTTCGGAGAGATTGCAGTACTGCTGGATGTACCACGGATCGCTAACGTAAAAGCCGTTTCAGATGTCGAAGTCTTTGTCTTGACAAAAGACAATTTGGAGGCTGTTTTTGAGGCCGTACCAGGCGCAGCAGAGATAATCACAGCAGAAGGCAATCGCCAATACAAAAACTGGATCATCAGAAACAGTCGTCAACACCTATCCGATCAAGAAATGAATGGCGAGGAAGTTGAGGAGCAAGACTTCGATAACGAGTCACTCAACATACCACGAAGCTTGTCTGTGCCCACCATCGAGCAATCAGCCAGTTTAATGGAGGACGAAGCAACTAGTCCTTCAGTCCGAAGCTTTGATCAGGATAGTATGCACTCTATATCTCCTCGACCAATTCATCCCATCGAGGCTGGTCACCCATCAGGTAAGATATGCTATAAATGTTTTTTTTTTTTAAAAAAAAAAAAAAAAAAAAAAAAAAAGGCCGCATAAAGAACTATACCCTGCTTTCCAATCACGAAACAATACAATTAAGAAACTTGAATTTACTGAAAGATGCAATTCTTCATCACAGCCATTAGTGTTCTTCCCATGACTCCTACAGATGATTTCTCACTCGGACATCGTATTACAGCCTCTCCGCTTGTAGCGTCACCGGCAGAGCCAGCCATAGAAAATTTTGATGGGCCATCTGCCACAGAAGGAACGTCAACTATTTTGGAGGAGCCAGTGTTTGATCAAGACGTCAGCATAGCACCAACGACCGAGAATGTACTAGACTCTCCAACGATCCGTAATCCAACGATCCGAGGTTTAAAGGAAAGTAACCCTAAAAGAAGGCGTGCAAGTGTGGCTGTATGGACACAGCAGGACCTTCTCAAATTAGCAGAGGCTGCAGGAGCGAAATCACAAGTGGACACGAGCCATTCGCCTGCAACATCAAGTGCGATAGCAAGGTTGTCACGGGCTATGGCTGACACCACTGGTGGTCAGACTCCAACCAGTCCCCATAAGTTGTCACAGGAGAGTCGTGGATCCTCTGATGTCTCTGTACAAATGAAAATGGCTCCAAAGAAGCTTACTGGACCTGCTACGTTCCAGGATTTGGACGAATGCATTGTAGTCCAGATTCTAGACAACTTGGCCCTGGACCAACTTTTGAAAGCAAGGCGCGTATGCAGGGGTTGGAACAGCCTTATCCTGGAGAATAGCGGTATATTAAGAGATTTGGACTTGTCCAAGTACAAGAAATTCGTCACGGATTCTGTACTGGCCGATCTTTGCAATACAGTGCTGAAAAGCAATAGGACAAGGACCACACGGGTCTCTTTACGAGACTGCTTTTTAGTGTCAGACAAGGGGTTATCGATGCTTGCAGCTCATATTCCGGCAGTACAGGACCTTGATTTGCACAGTTGTTGGAATGTATCGGATGCTGGTTTTCGATCTCTAGGCGTGTATTGTCCACAGCTGCGATCGATCGATTTCTCCAACTGCAGGAAGCTGGGCGACGAAACTATTTATGGCCTATATCCAAAGGAAGCTATGACTGAAAGTAGTTCTCTTCAAAAACAACATGTTGTTGAGAATGTCTTGGGTTCTCAGGCAGAGGACCATCCCGTATTGAAGGACGCGGCGGCACTCCACTCTGCGACAGCGCCTGCAGATACATCCATGGATGAGGCTCAGGCGTTGTTGAAACGTCGTCCCTCTATTGAGATAGGATCTGATTTGGATGAGCAAACCGAGCAGCTTGATGCAACATCAAGCTCGCCTTCTCCAATGGATGTCGACCCTGCGACGATCCCTCAACAATCACAAAATGCGCCTCATGGCAAAACATTGGATGTTGGAGCACCGTCGTCAGGGCCAAAAGGATGCCCATATCTTGCACGTTTGAACTTGTCCTACTGTAAGAACCTGACGGACAAGAGCTTCATTCACTTGTCTCTGTATGGATCCAAACAGCTAGAGTATTTGAATCTCCAACGTTGTACCACCATTTCTTCAGAGGCATTTGTCTCTTTGGATCCCAGCAGAAAGAATATGGTATTCCAAAATCAGCTAAAGGACAGTAATGGGAGTGTACATGAAGGCTACAACCCTTTGGTGGATCCTTGTTTTCCAAATCTGCGCGAACTTCACCTTTCAGACTGCACTTTTTTGACTGATGAGGCGATTGTGGCACTAGCGCCAAACATGCCACATCTCCAAGTTGCCTCACTTTCATTTTGCTGTGCATTAACTGATGTAGCGGTTGAAGCCTTGAGCGAAAACTGTTTATTTTTGAAACGACTAGACTTATCATTCTGTGGGTCTGCAGTATCGGATGCAAGCTTGTATAAGCTTGCAAGATTCGATGCCTCGGAGCCTGGAAAGCATTCACTAGAGGAGCTTGAGATCCGAGGATGCGTTCGTGTGACAGAACGAGGGGTTCGAGAGGTGTTGAGCGGCTGTGTGAACTTGAAGAGGCTTAATGTCAGCAGTTGCAGTGGAATCGGAACGGGTGAATTACAGGAGCAAGGGAAACAGGGAGATGCAGCGCCCCCATCCAATCAAACTGAGACAGTAGAGCAGACAAATGGGTGGGTACCTCTTCAAGCAGGTCATAGCAGTGAACTGACGCGAAAGATGAATGCGCTGAAGAAGGGCAAGGAATGGGCATTGGCCCAACAACGCCCTGGGCTTGTTATTGTTGTCTAAAAGAAGATAAGGATCAAGCAATGTATTCTCTGCCTTTTCTTTTTCCTTTTCTTTCTTTTTTTTTCCCCTGTTTCATTATTTCATCATTCATTGGTCCATTTTTGTTTTATTTTCATCTTCTTCATGCTTGGTTACGCGAAGCTGATCTTGTATATAGTCCTCTTTTAGTTCACATTGATGCAATAAAAAAAAATTATTGATGTCGTTCAATCTATGAAGCATATACTATGGCGGACATCCAAACCTGAGAAGCCATCCGAAATCTGACAAGCCGAGCAGTATCGGAAGATCTACGGAAGAACCAGATATGTTTTAAGGGTAAATTTACTGATGCGGCCATCAGCTTGAGTTCCAATCGCCACATGCCATCATAGCTCACCCAAGGCTACTCTGTGCATAAAATGCTTGTGAGTCTAGCCAGCATTCAAGACTAGAGGACTCTTCACTGTTTTGTATCCTGTTTTGAACTTCTGCATCGAACATTTGTAGTGCATCCTTTTAGTCATTCTATTCACCCTGTTGCTAATCTGTAATGCTCACTCTCACCCCCGTTGGTCTTTTTTTAAAAAAGCGTCCTTGAATCCCCAGTAGTCTGGTTTGGAGGGATTTATTCTCAGTAGATTCGGAAGTCTGCCTATCCGAAGCAAACGGGGGGGTTTTTTTTTAAAAAAAAAAAAAAAAAAAAAAAAAAAAAAACAAGGTGGAGATTAATTGAGCCAAAAAAGGGTTTTTTTTATTACTTTCAAAGTTAGATGACTACACGAAGAGGCCTTAGATCAGCGCAGGTTGACATTTTTTTTTTTTTTTTTTTTTTTTTTTGTTTGTAAGGCCTGCTTGATCCTCTGCTACATTCAGTCCGTTGGATGGCTGCCATTTCCTTGGAAATAATCGCTATCTCTTTTTACTTCTTGCCCGATTCTTCGTTCTTGGCAGCGGTCGACATGGCGCGCTCCTTGAAGCCGGTGGTGGCAGTGGCAGATTTCGGATTTCGATCCGCGGCACTCTGGATTCTTGACGCGTCTTCCGATGTCATTGGGTTGTCACCACCTTTGTGTCCTCCTTGCTGGTGGGAACCGGTCGTATTGCGGTTGCTGGACATTTTTTTTTTTTTTTTTCTTAAGAATGTGTGAATATGTGTTATGTGTTTGGAAAAATATTTAGAAGAAATGAAGAGATGCTAGTTGAGGAGGAAAAAAAAAAAAAAAAAAAAACGAAATCAAAAGAGTATTTGTAGTCATCCAGGACACGATCTGCACGGACCACTTTTCATTTCCACACAAAAACGAAATCCACACACGTAACGTAATATAGCATATACCATATGCATTTTTTTCTTTCTTGCTTTCTTTCTTGCTTTCTTTCTTGCATTCTTTCTTGGCATGGCCCGTGCCGGGGCGTACATGCACATGAGTGGGCCTTATTCATCTTTTTTTTTTTTTTTTTTTTTTTTTTAGTGACATATTCTCGCGATGATGTTTGTTAAATATTCGTTTTCGAAATTCCCTTTTTCTTGATATCACAAGTTCATGCAGATGTTCCCACACGACGTTACTAGATGTTTTGCGGTGCCATCACGTCAGACTGATAGAATGCTTGGCAAAAAGTGTCTAGCACAATCGACGTGCGTTGCCGCTCTCTCCCCTCTTGAATCGATATTCTGGCGCTCTAGGCACTTGGAAATGTAGGAAAATCGCTCATGCCAGCAAACAATGTATTTCCCTATGACCGACACTTTGCGGCATAATGTAGCAATGATTTAACAAGGCTTTACTATCCTGTCCTGTTAGCCATCTACTGTGTGTCTATAATGCCTGATTTTTTTTTTTCTTTTTTTTTTTTTTTTTTTTTTTTCTTTCGCACAAAGAGCCTCGGAAAGAGATATGTGCATTCGATTGTCAAACCCACAACCTCTACCCCAAACAGAGCTAACTTTGCTCAACTGAGCTGTAATGACTTGCCTTGGTTTTTTATTTCCTCTACTTCTCTAAGGAAGTCAGACTGCCAAGTCAGTGGTCGATGATTGTAAACTCGACTGATTTTATCTTTTTTCTGCTCTTCGTGGCTGTTGCAAAAACTATCTCGATAGTCTAAATGTTCGTAGGTATCTGTCACGTGACAAAGCCCTTCTATCATGTGTCGTTCTTTGAAATTGAAACCCTCTTTTACTCAGCCGCCATCGACTTTGGGAATATCAACGGTCAATTGGACAACGAAATAGTGTCAGCATTAACAAGCCCAATAAACAACAACAACAACACATTAAACACAGCAATAACAATAAAAAAAAAAAAAAAAAAAAAAAGCTTGACAACATCTGAATTCTCATTTCCCAGGGGAGGTGATTAACCCAGTTTAAAAAATAGAAGCAAGCAAATGAAGCTATTCCCAATCTGGGCTGTATCGCTATCGTTGCTCGCCATAAGCCCAACCATATTAGCACGGAAGTTCCCAACAAGCGGACTATATAATGTTGATGCCAACGTTGGTTTAAAAGACGTTCAAGGTACAGTGGCTGCTTTTGGGGACTTTAACGGAGACAAATTGTAAGTGTGTTGGCTCACTCATAGGCACATTTCTGGCTTGAAAAAAAAAAAAAAAAAAAAAAAAAAAAAAGACATTTTGATTGGTGATATATAGACGGTGTTATTTTACTTACTATTCTTCTTGGCTACTATTCCTTCATTTATCGGTTTAGTACGGACATTATCACACTGAGCGACGATCAGACTTCTATTAGCATATATCTTTGGGATCATGGTAAGTCATTGAAAACATTGTCGAAAAAAAAGGAAAAAGAAAAAAACTGGAAGCAGGAATCCACTTCTATGATTAATATCATGATATAGTATTGTTGTCTTTTTGCGTATTGGATATTGTAAAATATCGCCCTAACTTTTTATTACCTTTCTATATCATTTTATTTTATTTTTTTTTATTGTTTTTTTTTCTGCTATGAATAGCCGCTTGGACATTTACTTTACTTCCCTCAGCAAATGTAACCATATCACAAACACCTCAGAGCTTCATCATTACCAACATTGTACCTGGAGATTTCAACCGTGATGGCAAACTGGATCTATTAGTTATGGGTCAACAAAATCCAGAGCCTGACGTGGATGGAGAATTAATGATGCGTATCTATCTCGGAAATATTGACGATGGATTTGGTAAGTGCGGGCTGTGAGAATAGGCTATAGACAATGAAACAAAGACCCTAGACGGAATAATAAGTGCTAACATTGGCTCCTTGGTTTTTTTTATTTACACTATGAACTTGCGGATTTTATTTTACTTATTTTTTTTATTTAAAAAAAAAAAAAAAAAAAAAAAAAAAAAAACTGAGCAGACCCAAACTTCATCATTATTCCTTCCGCAACAACTCAACAGCCCATGACATTCGACTTGAACGGGGATATGTTGACAGATCTCTTGGGATATGCTTTCGAGGGATACCAGGCAGGTGTAAGCACGTTGTCTGTCTGGAAGAATGTCTATACGCCAGAGATTCCAAACAAGATTTTTGAAATGTAGGCACATTGGTATTGTCAGCATTCCTCACGCATTTGATCCTGCGCTGAACCTTGGGAGGGAGAACTAATGCTTTTATATACATATATCGCAATAATGATATAGTATGCCTATGAACTTCACTGGCGAGTCAGGACCATTGTGTACGCTTTCTAAACCTCATTCAAGTGCATTTGTTGATCTCAACGGGGATTGCTTGGCAGGTAAACGGCGGATCATCCAGTTTAATTTTTTAAAGTTTATACAAGTTGATAATGACCAGCCGGTAAACAACTAGGTTAAACGACGAATTGGCTCTTATAAAAACGTATTTATCTGTAGATATTTTCCTGACTTGTTTTGATGGCCATCAACGTAGTTATGTCGTTTATGTCAACAATAAGGACCTAGGGTTCTCGTTTGCAGTCAGTGGATTGCTTCCAGAAGGCGCTGGGCAGGTCACTTTTGCTGACATTGATGGCGATGGTGCAGTAGATTTTGTAGTGCCTGCTTGCGACACGCATGGACAATGTTCGATCTATGTCTACTATAATCAACAAATGCCGTTATGCACATCAAAGGGCCAGAATGACTGTCGTCAGGTCTCCAATCTCTGTGTTGCAGATCCGAACTTCTCGTTCAGCGTCGATCCTGATCATAACACCAGTCCCGGGGTAAATATGCGAACTTCTTCTTACCAGTTTATAGATCCAGGCTAATGGAACAGAGGGCAAGAAGGATATAAAAAAAAAAATTTACTCCTTACTTGTTTGCGCTACGATCCTGTTAACGATATCTTTTTTTTTTTTTTTTTTTTTTTTTTTTTTATTGGTAGGCCTTGGTTCAATTCCCTCTGAATGGCGTATTACCAGATGGCCAGCAGCTTTTGCTTTCTGATCCTGATTTCAAGGGCAGGCTGCCGGTGGCAGTGCATGTTGGGGACTACAACTTGGACGGATATCCGGATTTGTTGGTGGTGAGTGGTACACCAGGAGATAACCGTCGACCATCCAGCGCAACACTGCTTCAATCGGTTTTGTGTTCTACAGGCGATGATGTCTGTTTGCCTTCAGCTGTGGCAGCAAAGAGACGAAGCTTTGTTAAGGTGACAGATGGTGCAGATGCATTGAACTTTGTCCAAGATGTACGAGCCGCTGCCTTTATGGATCTAGATGAGGATGTAAGTAATTATTATTACTTTTAAGGAGAAAAAAAAAAAAAAAAAAAAAAAAAAGTAATAGACTTATATTTCTTTTTACTAATATTGATATTTACTCTTGATAGGGCACCGTGGACATTATGCTACTCCGTAACTCACCACTACAACAAGGAGTTGCAGGGAGAGCTATTACGATGATCCATAACAATTATTTTAATGATGCATTTTTCTTAAAGACATTAGCTTCTAATGGTGTGTCACCTACATGGTCCGGGCCCAACGATAAGCGTCCGACCAAAGAAGGAGCAAAGCCCTTTGGGGTCAATTATCCAGGTGCAACATTCAAATTTACAGTACTGGATACATCTGGAATCAAGCGAGCGAATCAAGTTGCACAGTATCCATCATCAACTTATATGAATCTGGCACTTCCATTCTCGTTGTTTGGTTTGGGCAGGACCAACAATTATGTTGAAGAATTGTTTGTTGGCGTGACTAGAAATCAGGACGAGCATTTTACGACATATGCGGGAGTAATTCCAAATTCACAGTTGATCATCATTCCATATCAGGCAGAGGATGCGTCCCGTCCATCAACACCTTCATCTGGATATGGATTAGAAGGCGGCAACGGAATGGGCGAAAATGTTTCTATGCAGGCCGAGAACAAAGGCGGACCGAGTGAATGGACGTTAGAGCTCTATATCCGTCCAGGAGATTATGTTCCTTGGGTATTTGTTGTCCTTGTTACTGCAATTGCCATCCTTGCCGGAGTCGTTGTGGGCCTTAACTGGATGGAGAAGGTAGAGGAAAAAGAAGGAGAGATAAGGGAAAAAAAGAAAAATATAATTCGATGTAATATAAATGAAACTGACTTTAATCTTTCCGATCCTAACCTTTGAACAATTTTTTTTTTTTTTTTTTTTTTTCAGCGTGAGGATGAAAGGGAGCGAAAGAAGGCACTTCATATCATCAACTTTGATGCCTTGTAAATACAATCATTTTGCAGAGAGTCAGTATAGGAAAGAGGAAAGAAGGGAGAGAAGAATCAAACATAGTTAATCAAATAAAATAAGTATAACGTATAAAGCATTGCCATTCGTTCTCGGCGATACGATACTATTACCTTGTTTTCAAACTCGGTGTTCTTGACTTCATTGAAGGATTTAGGGATTAAAAGTGAAAGACGAGAGCTTAAAATGCAAATCGATAAAAGTCCTAGGTGCGGAGAATATACCGTTGGCCATAACGAACATTCATGTGTAAAAAGAAAAGGAAAAGGAAAAGGAAAAGGAAAAGGAAAAGGAAAGAAGAACGAAGGGTTTTTAATGAAGTGAGAACACGTGCTCGAGTTAGTTGTAATGTAGTTTCGCGTGGTCCATGTGGAGATAACCTTAAAGCCCATTTAGGAAGAATAAAAAAGCGCTATCGTTGCCTGCAATGCACTTGACCAGATAAAAAAAAAATAAAATAAAATAAAGTCGATAAAAAAAATTAAAGTCAGTCAGGAACAAATGTTCAGGAGTGTTGCTGGATAGGTGCAAGAGGTGCATTTTAAGGTGAAGGATAGTATGTTGTATAACCATATTACGGTCGAAGAAAAGAGTGAAGGGCGCAGTGCGGCGAGTGGTTGTGGGAAATGGAGTTTTTATCCACATTAACAAAAGCTGCTATCATTGGTCTTCCTTTTTTTTCTCTCTTCTTTCTCTCTTCTCTTCGCCCTGACCTGATGTCCGTCCTGCACTGAGAATATTCCTTTAGCTTCCTTTTCTTCTTCACATCTTGCATCTTTCTTTCCTCACCCTACTCGTTCCCCCCCCCCCCCCCTTTTTTTTTTTTTTTTTTTTTTTTGTGTCTTAGTCATTTCCTTTCTTTATTCTTGAAATATAATCTTGCAACACTTCATTCAGTCCTTGAAAAAAGTAAAAAAAAAAATAAAAAAAAATAAAAAAAAAAAAAGAAACAGGACAGAATGTCCACTCACCGTGTACAAGAAGGCGAGGATCAAGATGCTGTTGCACGTCCTTCTTCATTTCAAAAGAAATCGGACCGTAGCACACTCACCATGACTTGGCCCTTGCGTCCAAGTGTGGAGGAACATCGTACAAGTCATATTAACGGCCATAGTACATTTGGGTAGGATGTCACACTACTGCATCTTCCTTGCATATCTGGCTTTTTTTTTTTTTTTTTTTAAACAGTTTAGCTTTGTAAGACAGCTTTAACCAAGGATATTATTATTAATATTAATACTAATATTATTGTTATTATTATTATTATTATTATTATTACTATTATTACTATGGTGTTCATTACAGGGCTCATCAAACCATCGCATCACATACTATTGCAATTCCCTCACCCGTTCTTCAACGTAAAAAAGGCGTCCGCTTCTTCTTTGCACCGGACGACGACGAGCCAGGACAGGATAACTCGGACGGAAATTCGGACGATGATAATGACAATGACAATGACAATGACAATGAAAATGACAATGATGATAATGATAATCTAGATCTCGATGAAGGGCCTTATGATGATGGAGATATCAATAGAACCACCCCTGATGGAGTAGATGAACAAATCATACGCAATTCAGATACTATTCAGCTTGGCCTTCATGACCTTGACTTGAATGATTCTCCAGGTGGCGGAGAGGCTGATCCTATCGATCTGTACTACGACACCCGCGGCGAAAGTGACGAGGACGAAGGCGAGCCATCCTCTGATGGAGCTAGCAATAAGGATCAGGAACGGCTCGACCGCTTCATGCAACCGACCTCCAACTCAGATGAGGGCGTCCTCGAACTAAATCGAGAGCGAATAGATTGGCAGAGTATGCTTCAGTCCGTCCTTACTGGAGAAGTCTTTAGCATCGAAAATAGACGTCTTGAAGAACCCAACTTTGAAATCCAACCCGAAATGAAGCAGGAGATATGGCAGGGTATCCGTGCTACCATCCATTCACGACCCATCAGTGATGAAAAGCGCTTTATTGAGACAGCAAGGGGCCAGGTGGATAGTTTCCTTCAAGAAGTCATGGATTTCAAAGTCGACCCCAACAGCAAATTGTCGCCATTGGACCAAGTACTAGACGTCCTTCACAAAGTCGATATCGTCGAGAGTCTTTACCCAAAATTATCCGAAGTCGCGGTTGATAAACCACTTTATAGCTCTGCAAAGTTTCAACATCGTCTCAGTGCCCTTAATTCGTATGCGAGCATAATGAAAAAGATGAAAATCCAGTTACAGATCCTTAGGAACTGGACAGGGAGCGAGACCTTGGAGGTTTCACGATCCAAAAATGCTGGTCAGGATGAAGTTTCCTTTGTCGATAAATTGCTCAAGGAGAACGGACTAGAGAGGACTTTTGAGAAGAGTACCCTCAGCTCATTGCATAAGGCGATGAAGCAGATCAAGAAGACCATGATGGAGAACGCAGTTGCCTTTGCTAGCATGGGTCTCGTACCAGCTATGAGTGAGTTGCAGCAACTGGCTCGGTTCCCTACAAAGCTGATGCAAGAGTGTTTGCGATTGCGACTAGAGTATGCTGATCGTGTTACTGTCCCAACCTTGCTCAATGTGGATCAGATGCTTGAAGACTTCAAGACTTCCCTGTTCTTGGCATGCAGAATCAAATATGAATACGAGGAGCTAGAGAGCAGCGACCAAGATGGATGGTATTTGGAGCCTTGTACTGATTCAGAGTATGAAAAAATCCTAAAGTCCTCATTACAGTTTTATTTCAAGCTGTTGTCATGGAAGGTTGAGTATTGGGGTCAATCCAAAAAATACAGCGACTCGGTTCTGGACCTGGAATGGGACAGTCTCAGCGTACTTGGTCAAGCTATCGACGGCATAGGCCTGGACACGGCAGAACAACTTTGGTAAAACCTGATTTGCCTCCCTTCCGATACTGAGCTTTTGTTTTATTCTATACTTTTATTTAACCACTCTCATTCACGTAATATACTACTGTGCTATAGCTTCTTGACGAGCAAATCAACATCATTTCTCCACAAGCATCTGCAGGACCAGATGAAAGAGAACCCGGACCTACCTCAGACTGCAAGTGAGGTCACAAAATTTTACGGCAAGGTTCTAGAGAATGTCCGCTTTAGAGCCAACAGAATCCGCCGATCCGGAAGGTAACGATCAATGATCCCCGCCTGTCCCCTTGTTTCAAAGGAAATAATGAACATCTACAAGGCTATGCTCGTCTAACTTTTTTATTTATATTTTTTTATTTTATTTCTATTTCGACTGCTAAAGGCTGCTGACAGACACTTTCGAGAACGCTGCAGAATACCTGCTAGACAAAAAGAAGGCTGATAGCTTCGCATCATTGATGACCAAGCTCGCAGAGACAAATCACGTCTTGGTATATACCAACACCATAGAAAATATGGGTATATATATGGTTGTTGAACACAAAGTCGCCGAAAATGGGATTTATATCCCACATACACTCCGGTCCTGCTTTGAACAGCCAGGGACTGGATATATCCTTATATTAACGCCTCGTGAACGCTTTGTGTGGTCTGGCCCGATTCTACATTTGGATGGTTTACCTGGATTTGATCTGGACGTGAAACCTGGACGTGTTCGATTGATCTCTGAGCGGGGAAGTCTACTGGATACTTGCAAAAAACGGTTTGGGAAGATTGCAGAGCCTTATGGACTCGAAATTATTACCGAAAGTCGAGCCAATGTGGCTGCGCTCAACAAAGAGTTAAACAAGACCAAGAAGGCTTTTTACAAGTTAGCAGATTCAATCGTACAGTCTGTAACAGTGCTTCGCAAGGTGACGATGAAAGTAGCGAACTGTCAAGACCTTGTTCAGCCATTTTTCCGTTTCGCTTCAGACTATGGATTGACTTCCCTAAGTGCAATGGAGGGATTGCCACGTACTCAATTCAATTTGAAACTACTACGACTTTCTATTGACTGGGTCAGCTTTGTATGCGACGATTGTGATCAAACAGAACGACAAACTTTCCGGTGGGCAATGGCAGCCCTCAACTTCGCTATGAAGATGACAAAGGGAAACAATATTCTAGCACTTAGTGATTCCGAGTTTTCATGGCTGCGATCCAAAATTGCAGGATGTATGACTCTCTTGATTTCTCACTTTGATATTCATGGAGCTCGTTCGAGTGAAGCAACGCGCAATGATCGTGACGGGCGACAAAAGCAGCAAAAAACTAAGGATCAGGCACGATTGGTAGAAGAGATCAATGACATCCTCAAGTTGGCCACAGCCAATGAATCTGTTCTGTCAGAAGAGGCAATGCGCAATCATCGTTTGCAGGTAGAGCGACTAGCTAACCTCGAAAAGGGTCGGACAGAACGAGAACAGGAAATCAAAGTAATTGGTAAAGTTCTTGATGATCAAAAGCCTGAGGATCGTTCTCTTGTTGTCTTGGCAGCGCTGACGGATTCAGTGGCGATCCGCTGGCAGATGGCCAAATATATTGGTTCTGGCACGTTTGGCACTGTATACTTGGGCACAAACTCTGATACTGGAGAGCTGATAGCGGTCAAAGAGATCCGTTTCCAAAATCCATCCACGGCCCTAGTCAAGTCAATTTATGACGAAATGAGAGTGATGAAGATGTTACACCATCCTAACATTGTACGATATGACAACATCGAGGTTCATCGACACAAGGTTTTCATATTTATGGAATACTGTCAAGGAGGCAGCTTGGCAGACCTTCTAGAGCATGGCAGAATCGAAGACGAAAAAGTCATCAAGTTTTATACACTTCAGATGCTGAAAGGTCTCGCGTATCTTCACGAGAAGAATGTTGTCCATCGAGACGTTAAACCAGATAGTAAGTGATTTGAATGAATGGGGTCAATTTGGTTTTAATTCATTAACGGACATTGCCAACTCGAATTTAGGACCAATCATTAATACAAATTGATATGTTTTTTTTTTTTTTTTTTCTTGGATAGATATTCTTTTTGATCATCTGGACAATATTAAGTTTGTGGATTTCGGCGCAGCCAAGATTTTGGCCAAGAATCAAAGGACACGGACACAAGGTCGTTTAGCCACAGATAGTATAAACGTAGGCGTTGGAGCAAATTCTTTGAACGGAACACCTATGTATATGGCGCCCGAGGTGATCAAGAATGGGGAAAAGGGTCGCAAAGGAAGCATGGACATTTGGTCGATGGGCTGCTGTGTACTGGAAATGGCGACAGGTCGTCGCCCTTGGGCACATTTAGATAATGAATGGGCTGTCATGTACCATGTTGCAACTTCACATCCCCCTCTTCCAGATCCGTCCCAGATGAGTGCCAAAGGAATTGCCTTTTTGAAAAGATGTTTTACAAGGAGCAGCATGCTGCGACCATCCGCAATAGAACTTCTTCAAGATGAATGGCTCCGGGGCGTGGATCCGGATGAAAAACGAGATGAGGGTGAATACAGGGACATAGAGACGGAGATCAACGGCGACGGCGAAGCTTTACGAGGTTCTGCTAATGGAGAATTCGAACATGAGTTTGATAATTTTGACAATCAAATCACAATGTCGAACTTCCTTCAAATCTCTGGCGATGAAGAAGACGCTGTTGAAAACCAGGAAGATACCAATGATCAGACAAAGGATATACATCAGCACAAACCTTCCAGTACTGGTCAAACAAAATTAGAGTCCAGTCAAAAACACACAGTATCTGCAAACGGAAAGGCACTGGATGATTCCGAAAACGTCAAGAGTCCTGATAGCTGCGCCTCTGTCATGTCGGATACTTTCTCAGATGTTGGATCAGAAGTTGGGTTGATACTTAGTGCAGTAAGGGAACGAGAGGAGACATCGAGACAGGTTTCAAAGCAGTCATCTATACAGGCATCACCTATACCTTGCCACGCTGCTGATAGCGTAGATGAAGCCACTTTCTCCTCTCGAGCTTCTCTAATGTTAGGATCAGGAGTTGTCGATGCGTCAATAGACAAGTTGGTGAAAGCACATCGCGATGGTTCTTCGGATACAGCGCAGTCAGCGCCGGTTGCTAATGCTAGCAATGACGCTTCAGATAATATTGAACATAATGAGTTTGCTCGTGAGATGGGACTCGATATGTATGATACAGACGCTTTGCAGAGCAAACATGAACGTAATGGCCAACAATCGCCGGTCTTGTCAATTAGTTTGATGGAGAAGGAAGATCATGGCAGAGAACAATTGGCCACAGAAAGCGCAAATGCAGCGACAGCAGCTGTTTTGAAAGAAAATGCACTGGAAGAGCCATGTTGATAGCTTTCATTAAAGATCCCGTGCTGTGTGGCTTCTCGTGTTTCATATTAGAGCATTTACGCACCACTGTCTTTGCATTTGTTCAAATTCCTTTCCATCATTCACTTCTTTCCCAACATTCTTATTCTTTACATTTCTACATTATTACGCCATACTCCTTCTTTCTCAGTGAACACCAGCTGTGTTCGGTGTGGCACTCCTCCCCCTCCTTCCCACACATTGTTCAATTTGCTGCTTCCGCATTCTTATGGATCTAAACCATGACAGGTGTGCCTACAATTTTTTTCTTACCCGACACTTTTTCAGTCTCGACACGTCTGCAACAACAATAATATCTATCAATATTAATAATAACTAATAATAATTAATAATAACGATAATAATAAGAATAATAAGAACAATAAGAATAATAATAACAACAATAAAGAAAAAAGAGTATCATGTTTGATGTCATCATTGCCTCTAACGCTTCAATGACTCCCCTTCGCTTCTTATTTCATATTCTCTGTTCATACGATTGGACAGCGCAACCGAGCGGTACACCGAGACGCTCAACTCGGCCCTCACCTATTTCAGTTCCTTGGCCCAGTCTAATGCAGGTTGGAAACGTCTCTCCTCTGCCTCAGTTCGCCCATTGAGTATGTGCGACTCGAAACTTTTTTTCTTAAAAAAAAAAAAAAAAAAAAAAAAAGAAAAAAAGAGGATGCTTTGTAGAAGCAAGCAACTGAAGATTGATGCATCATTATCTGACTTTTCCCCCATATACTTTCTTCTCCTTTCTTTCTCTGATTCTTTGACTCTTGTATCATTGTCATCTTATTACGTGTTGTCCATATGTCCATTTGTAAATGGATATTTGCGATTTAATGACCCTGAAAAGGAAACAGTCATTTAGGATCCCCCACTAGTGGAAAGGGTGGCGGCCCCTTCTCGTCATCGTCAACGCCATCATCTCCTAATACTAATCGGAGTAGTCAGCACTACTATCACCATGATGATTCCATGTCTAATTTGCAAAATGGACCTCCAATGCCATCTTCGGCAGCCTCTGCTGCGATCGAGTCACTCTTACCCTCGATATCAGTGTCTAAGAAAAGTGTACCTGGTAAATCAGCCGAGATTGTCAGAGCTAGTATTACTTTGCCCGGTCTGAACGAACAGACGGATCTGGAAGACTGGAGAGCTGTGCTTGAATGTCCAGGAGCAAGGAAAATTTGTAAGGATCCATTTATGAATGACTATATTAATACATTTTAAAATCATGCATCGATGTGTTTGTTTTAGAAGTTCATTATGCCCTGAATCCAGACGTTTCTCACAGATGATCAATTATTCTGATCACATTAAAAAAATGATAACAACAATAATAAACAAATTAGGGGATCCAATGGTGGATAGCTCAACTGTACTAATGACCCTGGACGACTCAACTTGTATCACCAAAACAATCTTCAAAACCACATGGCCAGCAAGGTAGGCAGAGGGGATAAATTTCGCAACATCTTTGAAAAGCCTTCTTCCCAACATTAAAATAGTCAATAACTGACAAACGTTTTTGTCAATCTTTCTTGAGTGGATTCGACGATGTTCAAATGCTGTAAAGCAGAAAAAAAGAAAAAAAAAAAAAAAAAAAAAAAAAAAAAAAGGAAAATCTCATGCATTCGGTCTTTTTAATTTTTTTTTTTTACCGTTGCCCGATTTGATATGTATCTTTTGGGAAATGAAAAGGGAGGATCATGTTGTACCACCAAGCAAGATTCTTTGAGATAATTCTGTGGGGTTGGGCTCTTTTTTTTTTTTTTTTACAAATGAATTAACACAATGATTGAATCTCAGCCCTAGAGACGCCCTTCTAATCGAGACAACGCTTTTGGATCACAATGCAGTGCTACATATTGCTACATCAATCAAGCCATCCGAGGATGACCCTATCTTTATGCGACCCTCTCCTCCTCATGTCCGCGCATATCTTCCATTGGTTGTGTGGCATATTCAGCTTGTTCCTGCAGATATTGAAGATACGATCTCTTTTACCTCGTTCAATTCCTTGGCAGCAACTCATAGTAAACCTGTCATGCCGCGACATTCTATCCGTGTCAGTTTTTATTACCAAATCGACATGAGAGGTTGGGCCGTCAATTCATCAGTTTCTATGCAGTCCCACGTTCCGTCCTGCATTGCTAATGTATATAGGCTATTGAGACGACAAGGCGTTCCACCCCATGTCAGTCGACACAGTGCTAGGATACAGTTGGATCTAAACGAGTACGACCCCGCTACAGGAATCTATGAGCTCCGATATGATGTCATTCCGGCAGATTCAGACGACTTGTTGATAGACCGAAAGACAGTATCGAGCGCATTAAAGCAATTTCGATTAGGAGGCTCCTCATCATTGGAGGAAGGGCCAGAGTTGATCATTCAGGAGAATGCCAACGATAACAATAACGACGCTAGCATCAAAGAGGATCCGTCGACGACTATCCCTCCAGAGCATGTATTATCTGATGATGACGAATTAGATGAGATAGAAAATGAACTCTCAGACGATGCTACATCCTCACAACAAGTCGGATACGTGGATGTAGAACTAGATGGCGAGAAATGGGGTTTAGGAAGTGACATTGTGGTACATATCTTTATGAACGATATTGAAGATGAAGAATTTGTACGGGAACATGTGGAATGCCTCAAATATATGGGCCGAAATCGATATATTCTTCGAATGAAACATACAAATATTGAGTCCAATCAAGGCGCTACCAATGTCAAACTACGGATTGAACGTATTCCTCAACAACAGCAGAATGCTGGCGGTGCTGCTAATTTGATGACGCATCAGCAGCTCTTGTTTCAACGTCAGCAGCAGGAGCAGGAACGGTTATTGCAACTTCAGCAACAGCAGGAGCAGCAACAACCTGAACAGACGGGTTCAGACCATGCCCATGTATCCGACCCAAATGGACTCATTGTTTCTGTTAATGGTCATGAAAAAAATATTCGTCCATTCCGTAGGTCGTCTCTTCAGAATGGAAGCAAACGAGGCGGTATGTCGCTTCAGGAACAACTAGAGCTCAGTCAACAAATTGTGGAAGAAGTTAATGAAAATTCTGGTCATTGGCGTTCCGAATCCGATGGAGCAGAAGTGCACGAAAACAGCAGTAACAGCGGTGGTGGGAACAAGAGCACTACTTTCCCTCTATTGCTGATGTCTTCTTCAATGTCAGCAACAAAGCAGAGTTTATTTCGAAGTAATCGCAGTTTCTTGAGTAATGGTACCAGCACCATGACTTCTGGAAATACGAATCCTAGCAAGGTAAACAACAGCTATAGTTACTTTAGCTCATTGTTGAATGAGCCAACGACATCATGGAAACATGTCACGAAACAGCGTGGAGTCCAAGTGTCGAAGCTTGATGTTCAGGGCCATGCTCCAGGGATTGTTAAAGGGGAGGGCATCTTCGAAGATTTCTCGATCTGGGATATCAAAGCGGCCCTGGACTGTCCATCTGCACGCAAGATTTGTAAGTTTTTTTCTTTCTTTCTTTCTTTATTTTTTCTTCTTCTCCTTTAATGGCCATCCATTCCTCTTTCATGAGCCTGTTGTTTCTGCTAAATATGGGATCGAGCTATACTATGGCTTCGTAAAAAGTGATTGAAATTGTTAGTTGATAACCCCTGTTATTATTGCTGCAATTATCATTAGGGGACAAAATGTTTGATGAATCTCACATGCTTCAACATGTCACACCGAGCTCAACCCTTAATTATGTGAGGTTGAAAGGATTCTGGCCAACAAGGTAAAAGAGAGAAAAAAGAAAAAAAGCAAGCAATAAAAATTGTATGACCATCTTCACAACTATTAACACGTGCTATCGTCGCTACTATCGCTCTACATGAAAAATAGTCCCAAGGATATGGCGGTCCTGAACACAACTTTCATAACTAAGGAAGCGATTCATTTTTTTGCAACTTCTGTTGACGATACAAACCAATACCCCTCCATCCCACCTCCTGTATCTCCATTTGTTCGATCTGAGCTTGTAGTATCTGGCTGGTATTTGGAGAAAGTTAAGCCTCAGAGTACTCGAATTGTGTATATTGCCCAGGCAGCTCCTACGGGCTGGATGGTTCCTGGGACGACCCTTAGCGCAATGACAACAGAGATGCCTCTCTGTGTTGCAGAGATCATTAAGTACTTAAACACGTACGGCAGTCCTCCAACTTTGGTCAGTATTCGTAGAGGACGTGCACTGGGTATAGAGTACTCACATACTAAGACAACCTACCGCCTCGAGTATATCCCAGACAGCAACCCAATCTTTTCAGGGCAGAGGGGGGCCGCTCAACAGCAGCAACAAGCATCTTCTGTCAGAGAGAGCACTATTGATATCACTGCAGATGTTGGAACGCCTGACAATTCACAGACCCATTCTCCGAAGCTTGCTCCGGCAGACAAATTGCTCGCTGAAATCCGTTTGGATGCTCGGGTCTGGGCATTCAATGGGGATTGTGATGTTACGATTGACCCTCCGCCATTCAAAGTCACTTGTAGCTGCGTGCCTCATGATGGACCAGGACTTCGGTTAAGAGTGGAGCACTCAGGCGGGCGAGCAGTTCCTGAAGGGGGAAAAGTTCTGTTGATGGCACGGAAGCCCGCGAAGGCAGGGTGTGGTCTTGTAGTAAACGGTGTGCCTGTCAAGATGCCATCTCTCGAGCACCTTGAAGCATGGACAACAGCAATGCAATGCAAAGCAGCAACAGCAGCAACACCCTCTGAAAGAGAAAAGGATAGAGCGTTGACGATGTCTTTGATGGATGGCGCTCTGTCGGAAAAGGAGAAGCAGGATGATGATGAAGATGACGATAATGATGACAGGCCGGGAGCAGTTGGATCGAAGGTCAACAGTAGAGAAGCTTCCTCTGCATCGTCTCTTTCCCCAGGAAGTAAAGTAACCGGGAAGACTTCATTAGATCCCTTAAAGATAGCAAGCATGAAGTCCTCTAGCCATGGCGACGGCACTGGCTACAACAGCGACAGTGGTAATGAAAATGAGGCAACTAAACAGCGCGGACATAAATCATCCTTGAATCCCTTTCAGTATGCTCAGGGAGCTCTGGATTTGTTGATGAAGATCAAAGCTGATTCTGAGGACAAATGGTCGGTTGTGTCAGATACAAAGAGTGGTATGAAGGTCACAAAACGGTTCATGCCGGCCGAAATTTCTGATCAAGTTCCGCTAGTCCGTGGAGAGAAGGTCATTGAGGGGTTCTCATTGGAGGAAATCGCAACTGTCATCAGCACTCTTGGAACAAGGTCTAAACGTAAGTTTTTTTATTTTATTATATTATATTTTATTTAAAGCCAATCTTGCTCAAGAAATTGGCCAGGGCCATTTATTAATACCGCCTACATTTCTTTTTCTTTTTCTTTTTCTTTTTGCTATTCTTTTTACTCCTTCATCTCTCGGTATTGCAATTTATTGCTATCTGTAATCATAGTGGACGGCCTGTTCGATTCTGGGGAAATGCTAGAGTCATTCGGCTCAGGATGTGCGATCTTTCATCATGTACTCAAGAGCTATTTCCCATTACCACTCCCTGCTCGAGACCTTTACTTCGTCACAGCTACAGCTGCTGCAGAAGCTGGTGCACGCTGTCCACAAATTGTTATTGTCTCCACATCCATCCCACCTGAGGCTGCAGTAGCCACTCCACAACATTTATTCCCTTCACCATCAGCTCAAACAGAGCCCCTGATTGAAGCAGCATCTTCGCCACTGGCAACAGCATCGTCATCAAAGCTGAAAGCAACCCAGAGTCGCCCTCTTGCGCATTTACATCTTTCGGCCTGGATTCTGGAAGGCATTGATCCATATAGTTCCAGTCATCATCCGATTCCATCCACTCGTGTCACTTTTATGACAGCTTTAGATTTGGGCGGGTCGGTTCCACAAAGGATCAGCGGTTTGCTTCAAACTACTTTCCCCAAGATGATTACTCAAGTTGAAAGCTATCTACAGCAACAAGCAACACCACCTATTGTACGCATTCCAACACAGATGGTCATCCAAAATATTTCAGGTAAAGATAATCTTTGCGAGGAAAAACAAAAAAACAAAAAAAAAAAAAAAAGGATCACCTTGTCTTATCCATTGTAAATAATCCATACTTTTTATTCAATGTACATAGACACAGTATCAATTGACGAAGAGCGAGAGAATGGGGTGCCATGGATACTACCCAATGTATCACCTTGGACCCCACCTGCCAGCAAGATGCTCTTTTCAGAATTTAATCAGAAAGATTCATACTGTGAGATGTTGCTACTTTTTGATCAATTTCAGTTGCACCCTTCAAGACTTGCTCTTGCTGCTGAAAGGCGCCTCCGGGAAGCGAAGAAGAAACATCGGCAGCTGCGGCGTGGAAAGTCACGCGTCTCAAAAGAATACTCAAATTTGTCCTATCATGCAGATGGTGATTTTAGCGATCAGGAGTTACAAGAGGCTGAGGAGAATAAGGAGGAGGAGGAAGGGATCAAACTCGAGAACAAGGGAAAGAATAAGAATGAAATATCTAAAAACAACGATGACGGAAAGGATGAGTGGAATTCTTTAAAATCGAAGCAGCGAACTGTACTAGAGTTGGTCTTGGATTTAAAACAGTACCCCATGGGTTATAACATCATGACCAACATTAAGGTCGACCCCGAGTTCCTGCTCCAACAAAAGCAGCAACGTGACAAGAGATTTGCGCAAGGTAGCCATCAGCATCAGCCTTATCACCCACTCATGTTGACAAACGCAACGTCGAAAACCAAGCTGATAGGATCAACATCTTCAACAACATTGACAACCAACATGAGTGCTCATTACAGTGCTACAGGCACTAGTACGAGCAATAACAGTAGCAGTGGACTCAAATCTATTAGCGGATTAGACCATGCAGTAGCTGCTACCCCTAGTACAAGTAGTACTGCCACCACTGTATTTGATAACAGCAATGCTCGACACTCCTTAGATGGCCATGACTCAATGCGTGCTGCTACCTCTTCAGAGGCTGCCAGTAGTGGAACAGGCATTGCGGCAGTGTTAGGAAGCTCTGCTAATGTCCCTCGAGCACTTCCATCATCAATGTCACTGATTAGGATTTTGCCACCGCCTATTACTGTTAACGTTGTTGATATTCCACCAGCGCCTTCACATTCTTCTTCACTCTCAGGCACTTCAAAGCGAAGAAAACACTTGATTATTGTCACTGTTCCTGAAGCTGAGAGTAGTATGGTGCACGTCAATGCGCAACAAACCGTCTCTGTTATGGGCCCACAGGCAATCAAGGCAACTGGTAGCGGCGCCGCTGCCCCACGTATTGTCCCCGGTACCACCACCCCAAAACCAATAGTTACCACGAGCTTTGTAACAGGGACAAACTCCACAGATTTCTTACCTGAGGATCGCCACAACACTGAGCCAAAACAATCTCGACGCCAGCACCATATATCTCAGGACTCAGATACTGTGATGGATATACTTCCGCCGTCTCCTCTCTATCCTGGGAAGTTACCGCAAGGACGGGCGACAGTGATGCCTAGTACAACGGGCTTGGTTCCTAACAACTCGAGGCATCATCAACCATCCATCCCAACTACAACTGTCTTTACATCTGTCGCAGCATCAGCAGAAGTTGAGACACGTCTTTTCCAACTTGGCATTAAGATCGATCGTTTGGAGCACAAGGATCTGGACCATGAAACTTTAAAAAGGGCCGCCAAAAACGACGTAATGAATTCATCATCCTCCCCATCCAATGAAAAAGAATGGCTAGGAAAAGTCATGGTGGATGGACTGCCAGTTGAAGTGATTACGAGTTGGCCAAGGCATGAACTTGGATACCTGGATGGTATGATGGAAACGGAAGTGGAAGATGAAGAACAACAACATATTGAGGATCAAAGACATAGTAGTTCTTCATTGAGAGAGAAGGGTCCGGATAAGAAGAAAGTTTCTTCAGGTAGAAATGATGAGGGAAACTATCTTATCGAAGAAAACCCTGTTAAGGCTGAGATTGTGGCTGACGAAGATCGCCAAAGGCGCCGTAGCACCACTATTACACGTCGGAAAAGTCATAGGCACCAGCAGATTGTTAAGGTGTATGAGGGTCTGGATCAGGAAGGTCAGGAGGAGTCCAAGTCATCATCATCTCATAGCTCGCGTAGGACACTGGACCGAAACCTCTCTAGTAGCTTTAGAGCCAACCGCAACAACGACAGTGCTCAACCTACTAGCTCCATGTATGGCTTGTCTAATATCTTGATGAACGTTGGGCTATTCGGAGCTGGATCTCAGAAAAAGGGATCACGAGATTTGAAAGCCTCAGCCAGAGGCAGCTGCTATTCTGATATTGATTACAGAGACTTGAACCATGATAATAATGACAGAACGATACGTGCAGGCAAAAAGAGTATGAATAGAGGTAGCCTTGGGGCGACCTTAAGCAATAGCAATAGTAACAATCATCATGGCAGGAACAATAACAACAATGAAAAGCATGGTGGGGCTTACAAGTCTTCAGATCATCATGATTTAGACTTGGAAAGTTTGCATGGATCGATTGTTTTCAAGGATGATGATGTGTACACAGATTCGGATAGAAAGGATGACTATGGCCATGACTATGCTAGGCAAGAGGCTTCTGAACGAATAGCACGACGGCAAAACGGCTCGATAAGAAGAAGGAGAGAAAGTGAAGATAATTTCACTGTAGTCTCCAGCGACGAGGAAAGAACTTCTAAAGGATATTTTTCGAAAAATCAAGGCGATGAAGTTCGAAGGAGGAGACGTGGCAGTCGCAATGGTGATGAAGCACAGCAGCAGCAGCGTCATTATGAGGGCCCTGAATTCCCTTCCAGATCTCTTCAGAATAATCGTCATCGTCGTCGCAGTAGCCGCTCATCCAACATTATACATAGCCACAACCTTTATCGTTCTTCAATGAGTAATGGTGGCGGTAGAGGCCAGACTGTTGACCGTCGATATGGGTCTACGAATGGCGCGGATCATCCTCGTTTTAGAGGAAGTCAGTTGTATGCATACAGTTTTAGGAATCTGTTTTGGACTGCAGCGGTCTGTTTTATCATGGGGCTGTTATTGAGGATCTATGTAATAGGACCGTCGTATACCAAGACTGTAGTATCTTCAGCATTCGAAAGTGCAGGGTTCGATTTAGGTGGATCAGGGTCAGGCTCGGGTTCATCGAGGGGACCTACTACCTATTATTATTACCATACTATACCTAAGAAAACTGCGCCAACATCACAAGACCCACCTTCCTCATCTACTTCCTCATCCTCCACAACAGCAAGAGTTCAAACCAACCAAGAGATCCGAGAGTTGTTTACAGTCCGGAAAGTATTTGGATGGGACTTTGTGCTCTTGGCCTATCCATCGCATAAGGACCAGTCGTAAACCCGGAACAGAACAAAACAAAACAAGAGAAACGCAAAATAACTCTTGGCATTTCACCTTGTAATAAATATAATGCAATTTGTATCACTAGAAGAGGAAAAGAGAGCTTCTTTTTTTTATAACAAGGATTCACGAAGTTTGATAACGAGGACCACAGATTTTTTTTTTCTTTGATAATAAGGACCCACGAGGTTATGTAGGATTTATATAGATGTTAGCTCTATAAATGGGTTGCCCTATTACCGGGGTCGCAAATAAAGCGGTATCCAATAATCGGCTGAAGCCATTGTGGTACCACAAGGACAAAAGCCTTCTGTTGTGAGTCCGAGGCAGAAGCGCGCGCTACACAACATAACGGAGAGGCCCTCGACAGACGGCTACGTAGGATGGCACAAGAGGAATTGGATTCTGTTCCGACAGTGAACAATAAAGCACCTCAAGCCAACGTTAGTCCAGGACTAGCAGATCACACAGGAGTCGTGGTACCACAAGATGTCATGGAAAGCATTCTAAGGCAAAGAGAAAGGTTAGTAGGAAGGGAGAGAATCTCTTTATTCTCTGATGGATCGTTAGAGAATGCAGGAAAGGACTCAGCGCGGATGGCTTTTGGAGTTGTTGCGCAGGAGAACGTGGACGAATACACAGCAGTAATATCTGAAAAAGTTGATGACTATCCCTCATCCACCAAGGCAGAACTGGCAGGTCTATTCGCAGCAATACTTATTAGTCAAGGAATGTACCAATAACAGTCTATGTAGACAATATGGCAGTAGTTACGCAGTTCAAACCCCTGGTGAGTGGAAGAGAGGGATGCACGGAACGACAACGACTTCACTCAACTTATGCTATATGGTGGGCAGCAGTTTATAACGCATTCGTTCGACAGGGCCGAAAAGTCAACGTAGTCTGGATTAAGGGACATGTAGGCAACAAAGGCAATGAAAAGGCTGATCAGGTAGCCAAGGAGGGACACTTTAGTGAACTGTGGAAATTGAAGGAACAGGAATACAATGACTTCAGATGTCACGCTTTCTTCAATGGAGACGTAATAGAGGACGACCTTCGCCGACTCCTGAAACTACAATCTGCTGTCAGGACGAATGCGACCTGGAGTGTGCAGAACAGGACCAGCCGTTACATCGCAGATTGGAAAGAGATTGATTGGAAGGTGACTCTACACATTATCCACGACGGTAACACCCCAAGAGGGCTATTCACCAGTCCAACTGACTGCCAACGACGAGCTCACAGGGTCAAGAAGCTACATGGCATGCTCCCAACGCTTGCTTACATGAAGCAGTGGAGACCAGATATCTATGACACAGACATCTGCAGAGCGTGTGAATCAGAAAGAGAGGACACAGAGCACCTTCGGAAGTGCCCTATCACAGATGACAAGCAGTTGGAAGGGTGAACAAGAGCGATTGAGGATATCAATCGCGACGGACAAAGGGCTCTAGCGAAGGAGAGGAAACTTTGGGAAGACAAGTTGCGTCGGGCACTGGCATCAGGGCAGAAGCAGATTGGCAGGGTACCTACGTTCATGCCAGCAAGCGAAGAGGTGATATGGGCGTCATTGGAAGCCATGTACAGAGGAGCTGCTGCAATTCGACAGACGGCTGAATTGTGTTACGACGATGAAGGAGATGAAGATGGCGGCGGTGAGAGAGCCATCAGGACAGTCCAAGACCTTTGCCATGGGTTGGTGCCGAAAAACTTGGTCAAGAATTGGAAAGATACTTTCAAGACAACCGCATCTATTGCAAAATATGTGGTTTGCAGATTCATCAAAGCTATCGAGGAAATCGGAAGGACTGAGATCTGAAACAGACGCTGTAAAGTCACTGTCGACTGGGAAAGAACTAAAGGCATCACCTCTGCGAGCAAACGCGCCAGGGAGCGCACCTGTGTTGGACAGCACAGACGTAGCAGAAGTGGTTTCTTAGGACCTACCCTGAGACCACGACGAACAGCTGACGTGAAAGCGATCAGGACGGAAGCTGACCAAAGAGTAGCGAGGGAGCTATCGGCAACAATTAGAACTGATAGTAATGGAACGGCTGGGAGGGTGTCGCTTTTTGATGATTGAGGACTGCGGCTAGAAGATGACTTTCGCGCACAACAGGCTAAGTAGGGAGCAGGGCTCGTCACAGGTTCCGTAGGGATGAAGACTTACCACTCATGCTGACGTGGTTTGTGAATAGGATGTTGTACAGTGGCAGTTCAACGATGTGGTTAAGACCGATTATTAGAAAACGCTTTATTTGGGCCCCATTTATAGAGCTAGCGTCTAAATAAATCATACTTTTTTTTTTTTTTTTTTTTTTTTTTTTTGATAACAAGGGCCCACGAGGTCATGTAGGATTTATTTAAATGTTAGCTCTATAAATGGGTTGCCCCATTACTGGGGTCACAAATAAAGCGGTATCCAATAATCGACCGAAGCCGCATCGTCATACTGCCACAGTACTACATCCTGTTCATAAACCACGTCAGCATTGAGTAGACTTCCTTGGTCCCAGAGGACCTGTGGCACGGCTCTACTCCCTACTTGGCCTGTTGTGCGCGAAGGTCATCCTTTAGCCGCTGTCCTCAATCATCAAAAATTTACAGCTTTCCAGGCGCTCCATAATCGCCAATTCCACCTGCTGCCGGTAGCTTGCCGCCCTAAATAAATCATACATGACCTCGTGGGTCCTTGCTATTAAAAAAAAAAGACTTTATGACATCTCACCAGAACTGATCACGTGATCACTGAGCGCTTAAACGCGTGCGATACGTACTTAGAATGTATAGTACTAAAATGATTCTCTTATCGCTGATAGCGTGGTTGGTTTAGTGGTATAATTACCGCCTGCCACGCGGTAGACCCGGGTTCGATTCCCGGACCACGCATTTCTTTTATATATTGCATTTTTTCTCCAGAATCACAAGCCACGTTGTAAAACGTTTTCCTGGAAATTGATCTTTGGCACACAGCAATATCTTGGTTCTGAATTCTAATTTCTTATTGTGCTCATTTCGAAATACTTAGAACTAAAGAAACAGGTGTCTAGAAACGGAGGAACAAAGATTATGGATTTTTCATCCTCAACTAATCCATGGAATGCAGCACATTCAAAGGACAATCACTCTTGTCAGTCTCAGTCCGAGCCCTGTTATTGCCATGATAAAGAACGAGCGCAGGATGATGGCCTCAAGGCATTCTTGCCACCAGGGTTTGATTCACTTGAAGAATATTTAGCTAGCCTGCAGTCGTTTTTGGCCCGTTGTGAACCGATTACGAATCTTATGATTGTCGATTATTTCACAACCAACTCTTGGGAGACTCGGATGCCTCAAGAGTGGAGAGATGCCTTCGAATCAGATCAAGGAAGGCTTAGCTCATTGGATCTAATGGAGCTTGTCAGTCTTGGGAAACTGAGAGATTTTAAAGCAGCCCCTGCGTGTCCAAAGTCAACAAAGTCATCATCATCATCACCCTCACTAGTATTAACGTCTTTATCAAAAGCCACTACGGACTTGTGCTCTGGATCTTCAAAGAGGGTAGACCAAGAGCCACAGGATTGGCCAGAGTCACTAAAAGAGTTTGTCAGCATGGTTAAAAGGCTCTCAATCAATCGAACTCTTGACCCAGAGTGTGAGTTCAACGTTTTTTTTTTTTTTTTTTTTTTTTTTGTGAGGATATATCTAAAATTCGTAGCTTTAACTAATCAGTTCTGGTCATATTTTCTTGTCAAGCAAAGTCACAAAGTTCAAAAACACGCTTGATATTCACTTAATTCCAGGAATGTCACCAAAGAAGCTTCATGAGGTCGAGATTTTGAGTGGCTTGATAGCTTCATATGCAAAGGATCATGCAATCAGATCAGTTATTGATCTAGGTGCGGGACAGGGTTATCTGAGCAGGGTTTTAGCCTTCCAGCACCAGCTGTGTGTTCTAGGAGTAGACTCAAATACAATTCAGACATGTGGTGCTCAAACGACACAAAAGCGGACAGAGAAGCTTTTTGTCAACAAGTCAAAATTGAAAAAACTGGGCGGAAGTAACAGAAAGGGTAGAGAAAAGGTGCCATCTCTCTCTTCGAAACAAAGTCAAAGCAATCAAGTATCTATGCCATCCTTTACAACCGGAGCAATAACATCGACAACAACAGCTTTGACGGAGAGCTCATCACCACTTCTATCACCGGTGGTAGAAACATCAGGATTGGCAGTAATGGGTGTTACACCTATTGATACGATGACAACTAATTCAGGGCCAGTGTTTGATAAAGCAGCTACGCTTGCGGATGAAACACCCTTATTGATTCCGGCATCATCCTCTATGGCTTCATCTTCGACTGTATCAGATTCTGCATTACCAAAACCATGTAAAAAGCTTAAAACTGGAACGAGGTCTAGCAGCAGCCCTGCAAATCCTGCGACAGGAAGTAGTAATGGTTCATGTAAAAAGACTAACCGGTCCAGGAGATCAAGAGCAAAACGAGAGGAAACACAAAATATTCCTGGTTCAGACACCTCTACCGAGACTGCTGTATCAACTTCTGGATCAACAGACATTCCGAATATATCAATCTCCACGTGTGATGCCTCATTAAGCTCGCACACAACAAATCATATAGATAAAGAGCAGCTGAAGCAGGAAGAGGGAAGCAAAACTGCATTTGATTCTGCAAGTGATCCAAACCTTGCAGCCACACCAGGAAGTAACTTTCAACTGCAACATATCACACATCATATCACTGCAGCTACATTGCCTACATTACTGAAAGAGCATTTCCCAAAGAAACCAAAGTGTGTGGCAGCTCAAACATGTGAAAACAATGACACCCACCTACAATTAGGGCATCGCCAGGACTGTATACCCGATGATGAAGAAGAAGAAGAGGGTCGTTGGACGCTATGTGGGCTCCATGCGTGCGGCGATTTGACTAGCAATATGATTAAGCTTTATCTCGAAAGTTCTGCAACTTGCTTATTCAGTGTTGGATGTTGCTATCATTGGATCACAGAGCGATTTGACAAAGACGGGAATATCGCCATCTCTGACGGTATAAGGACCATCTTGTTTCTTGTTTGTTGCTTTGTAAGCGGCAAGACATTTATACAATATTGAGCATATTTACACACGTTTAATTGGTTGATTGATTTTTTTATTCTCTTTTATTTTTATTTTTTTCTAAACTAGGAACTCATGGTTTTCCGTTGAGCACAGCATTCAATCGACATTCGATTCATCTGGGTGAGCATGCCAAAATGATTGCTTGCCAGTCCCCAGAGCGATGGCTCAAGTATCAAAAAGAGACTGAGGATGCTATTCATGGTCATTATTTCCGTGCACTTCTTCACGTAGGTTTTTTTATGTGTTCACTGACTGTATTCAGTGTCAACCAAAAATTTCAGCATTACTAATTATGTCTTTGTTGTCTTTTTCAAAATAAGAAACTCATGGTAGAAAGAGGGCTGTATCCAGGACCTCCAGCTGTTGCGCCTGTATTAGGGAGAATGGGGAAACATCGATTGAAAGGGTTTCCTCATTACCTTTCCACTGCGATTAATCGTTTGCATTTACCGACTGATGTTATTAAACCTGAGGAGGCGCAGGCTGCATACGAAGAGTTTTTGGAACAAGATTTATACAGGATTGGGATTCTGTGGGCTCTCAGAACAATGCTAGGTCCCCTATTTGAAGGGATGATATTGCTTGATAGAGCAACATATTTGTATGAGAATATTGTTGAAAGAAATGACAAGAATGCTGTCAAGAAAGGATCCGTACAATTAATAGCAGGATTTGATGTTGTAGAGAGTCCACGGAATATGATATTGATTGCACTTAAAGACTAATGTTATTTTGCAGATTAAAATATTAATAATATTGATAACAATAGTAACAATAGTATTTGATAAATTGTAGAGGATAGTTGGGCATATTGATGTGCTTAAATGAAGCTATGTATACAAATGAGTAAGAGGAAAGGAGTGATTCTCTATATTTTACACGGAGCAACTCGAAGCTCCTGCATCCTTGGGTTCCATGAAATGTTGTAAAGAAAAAAACGTGCTAAGGATCATGACTGCAATCCCAAAGCCCACACACATCAGGTGCGGAAGCTTTTTAGTTGACCATAAAGGCCCTGATACAAGCTTCAAATAGCACATTGGTGGCAAGATAAATGCTAGAGCCGTGGCCGAGAACCCGCCAGTTACCTCGAGTACAAATCCGAGGTTACATGTCAGAAGTGCGATGAATAATGCTACTCCTACAAGCCCTGTTGTAATAATAAAATGACGCTTGATAGAGAAGGGTAACCCTGGGAAGTAGTAAGTCTCAATAACCTACGTATAAAAAAAAAATTAGTACATTTTAGTGCAATTAGGACATTTTAAATTCATGAGCCCAAATAATATTACGATTAATATGTTATAGAACCATACCTCGCGACAGACAAAAGCTTCGAGTGGAAGGGTTGTGAACATGTTCACACCAAAGCAGAAACGCGCGATGTTAATGATAAAGTTGTCCGATGCAAAATTGTTCAAGATGTTTCCTACATTATTGAGTTATTCAGCTTAATTAACTGTTAACGTAATCCAGTTTTTTTTTACACTACAAAAGCATTTAATCACTGACCTTGCGTCATATCGGAGAAACTGAGATATCCTGAAAGTGCCAAGATCAAACAGGCCAGAAGCGAGACCACCATACTCATATGTGTAACTAGCTTTACACGGTTTATCTATATTGAACAAGAGAACAAAAAGTCAACTTCAAATCTACTCTTGATTTAGTCATTCGAGGAAAATTTCCTACAAGTGTTAAATCTTACTGTCGGCTTTTGCAGAGAGGAGAAGATTAAGAATGAATTGTGATGGCATACGAACGCTATTCAGGGACCGGTGTTTTGAAAAAAAAAAAAAAAAAAAAAAAAAAAGATTAATGGTACGCACAATAATGATGGTTGAACAGAGCTATCTAATAACTCGATTGATAATTTGGTGAGCAGGGAATTCATACCAAAACTAATGACGCCAATGGACTGGAAAACTTTTGGTCTAGCAAACGACCAGACCGCATCTGGGTCACCTTTCATTTCTATAGGTGCCCTAGGCCCTTCAATCATGACTGCAATAATGATGATCACAAGCGCCAACATAGCAACGGCGCTCGTTTTGGCTAACTTGGAAATATCTCGATAGAGCGAGAGTGGGTATGAAATCATGACCGTGCAAAATGTAATGACAAATGAACGTCTGGCTATAAAACCCAGCAAAGGCCAATCCTCGATCCCAGGAATTAGTGCCTGGAGTACGTGTGGTAGGGTATCACCCACGATGACGGTGTAGGCACACATAGCTGTTTAGATTGAGGATAGGATGCCATGCAAGTTAGGCGCGAGGATAATAATAGGAATATAAATATATAGATTGGTCAGGAACAGTTTTGGAAAGCATGGTTCGAATTGCTTAAAAACTTTTGATGCAATAATAAGTTTTTGTGTTTATAACACACCTCCAAAGGCAAAAATAAATTGAAAGAGTGAAATGCTGATCAAGCCAGCCTTGCCAAAACAGAACATTAGAAGATCCTGGTACGTGCTTCTTCCAGAAAGCTTCGCACTATGAACTAACAGGCCAACGGTCCAATCTGCAAATAACAAAAAAAAATTAGTTCGAAGTAGAACAGGTCGTATAGCGTCACAACGTTATTTGTTGCTGGCAAGGCGAACCCATACCGACGATCCATGTTATAAGGCATAGTAAAAGGACTCCCATCCCAAGCCTACCAACCAGAAAAGAAAAATTTCAGTTGAGGATAGTCATTAACTAAAACTCCGATGTTGCTATGCTTTTTAGTTCGTTAATTGCAACTTTGGTCATCCTACCCAGCTTCTTGAAACGCAAAGGGAAGACCTAAGAACAAGAACAGATAGATAATAACCATTGTAAAATTGACTTAGTGAAATCTGTGAATGCTAAATCCTATATTTGATTGTGTACATCTCAAGTTCGCAGGATCGTTTACCAATGATGCCTAAAATGTTGGATTCGAAAGGAACAAAGAAAGGGTAAGTTATCAAATTATGAAAAGAACAATTCCTGGGGAAAAAAATAAACCTTAAAAAATGCATTATCCAACGCCCAAGCATTAATTTTTTTCTTACCTGCTCCGATAATGCTGTTGGCCATGTTTAAAAAACTGCTCAGGAGATTGCCTCCATGATCTGGAAGTTTAGCCTCTGGATCAATGTCATGTCCATGGTCTGGTCGATTTCCAATACCACTGCGGTTAGTTCTGTTTCCTGTCATCATTCCAATAGCTTCTTCTTCCTGATCAAAATCTAGATCTCCATCATCATCATCATCTGTTGTCTCGTGTGAGTGGCCAGAAACAAAAGAGTCGTTCGATATCCTTCCATACTCTCCATGCCGCTTTGGCTGTGTTGGCCTAGCTTTGGTTTTCGTCTTCAACTTGGCTTTGTACGAGACCAATGGTACTTTGGTGGAGGCGTCATGGTAATTTCGTGGTTCAAGTTCAAAGTTAAGGTCTACATCACTGTCATCATCATCATTTCCTCCTCCACTTCCGGTAACTCCTAAGGCATTTCGGTTTTGTTCCCTCTTTTTTTGATGAGACTGAAGATCTGTCGTCTCGTTGCTACTTCCGTCACTGCTCTGATTGATATTGTATTGATGACAACCGTTGACTGCTTCAGCGTTTGAGCTATCAGTTCCCGAGGATTGTGAAGAGGAAGCAAGGGGGTGTTGAGAACCATTAAAGTTACTCAAGCCGCTCCTGTCGTTGCTTTCCAAAGCTGGAGAATGAGAGGTAATTGTGGATTGTTCATCACGATTCATGTCTTGGATCGCTTTTATTATAACTATTACTGTTGTTTGTCTTTCTTTTTCTTTTCCCTCTCCTGTAAGTTGCAAGGCTTTATTAGGCGGTATAGAATAGTCTGGACTGGGTGCAGCAGGGCGTAGCTGCAAAAGGGAATGTGAATGGGCGAGAAAATGGATGAATAATATGATTGACGTGATAATCAAGAAGAAAGAAGAAGCAAGAAACAGGACGAAAGCCAAAAAAGAAAAAAGAAAGGCATCTCAACCCTTTGCTTAATTCCTGCTATTCGTTTTCCTTCCTTTCCAAACCTCTAAACAAACACAGGCACGAGCACACTTACACACACAAGGTTTGCAACGGGATCTTTAGCGCGCATCTATTAGTCTATCAGTTTATCACCCGTCATTCAAAGCATCTATAAACGAGCCTTACTCCACGGTCTATGACTTTGTCAGTCTGTTTATTTAAAAAAAAGAGGGTCATTCATAAATACCAGAGGATGCTGCCTGTCTCCTTAATCAGAGTTGGGTAGTGTGAGTGCGTTTCTGTGCAATTGCTATTATACAAAGTCCACTCTGTTGGCTGCATAGCCTCCTCTTTATGCTTTGCCTGATGAGGGCTGCGATGTCTCTGTGCTGTTATCTGTCTCAGCAGCTAGAGCAGCCAGAGCTGCAGGATCAGGACCACCCTAAGGATTATATCATATCGCAGTGCAGAAAATAGAATAAAATAAGAGTCGTTTCTTTTTCTTAAAAGCAAAATAGACGAGATCAAGAGCCTTCTTGTTTCTTACTTTGGTCATAATGTCCCACACAGAGATCTTCATTGATTTGAGCTTACTCTCAAGCTCCTTCTGTTTCTTCAAGTTCTGAGCTGCTTCCTCCTCAACAACCTTATGTGTACGCTTAAAGTGCTCCTGGAACTGTTGACGCTGCTGCTCAAACAATGGCACAGGCGGTTGTTCCTGTTGTTGGCTTCCCAAGCGGAAGATACCGAGCCCCTTTCCCTTCTTATTCTTTTGCTCTTCTTCCCACTGCAAGCGCATCTGTTCTTTCAATTCCTCTTCCCATTTAGCAAATTCTACAGGAATGTTTTTGCCACGGAACTTAGCCAACGGACCGCGAACGTCCTCAACCTCGGTCAACGCAATTGCTAATCAGATCAAAAGAGTATATATGTATATAATGGTTACTTCTGCATGTCTTCAACACTACTTTTTTTTTTCTCCTCTTTTTCAAGAATCTGATTGGGATGACGACGTACTCTCAAGGAATGGAATCATGGCAACCAACTCAGTATCATTTGGATCACCAGTCCATGGTTTCATGGCAATTGAGTTTTCTGGCTGAAGCGAATAAGCATCGGGATTTGAGTCCATAATAATGACTTTGGACAAATCACGGTTCAAATGGGATAGGTCCTTGACATATTTGCCATCAATATAGCGTGTACTCTCCCTGAACAGACGATAGACTGCATATTGGTAAGGATCCAGTTTATCCAAAATGCGAAGCGCGGTCTGAAGGGCAGCCAAAAAAAAGTTATAATCGTTAACATTCCTAAGACCGCTAACGAGTTTTCCAAATAAATATTGCACATTGATCTGCTAAAAATAAATAACGAACAAAACTTACATCAGCTGTCTGCGTAGTAAAGATAACAATTTCGTAATGCTGGAAAAGGTAGGCTAGGAAGTATTCTGCTCCTGGACGCTTAGCAACTCTCCAGCCATGATCCTTGTCCCAGGTCGAGTGAATCAATGTATTATCGAGATTAATCACGAGAGTATAACGCTGTTGGTAAGGCTCTGGTAAAGGATCGGGCAAGAGCTTATCCCAGATCGGATTGGCCATCTTTTCTGTAGCAGCCTTGTACCGCTCCTGTGCTCGACGAACATATCCAGCTAAGAACGACTCATCCGGATGTTTCTCTGCATCTTTGACCCCCTCCTCATCCGGATAGGGGCAACCTTAAAAATATATGAATGGATATATACATGTCATCAGTAATGAAGGAAGAAGAAAAAAAAAAAAAAGAGCTATTAAGAGCATACTGATCTGGAACAAAAGTGATCAATCAAATGATTTGATTAGGATTCTTCAAAATACGTTACCAACATTGTAAGCAAGTCCGACAGCCGAGATTCCTAAGAGTGCATAAAGTGCATAAACAGCAGGACTCGTCGGGGTCTTTTCAATCTTAGAAGGCTTGTTTTTGCCCTTGGGGACAGTAGGTTGCGTGGGACCATGTCCTGTCTTTTGGGCAAGAGCCTCGGCAGCAAGGTTCCTGACGGCATTGCTGGTGCTGCTATTAGAGGAGTTGTTGGTCCCAATAGTGTTTCCTACTTCGTTGACAGGTGTAGCATAAGTGCGTCGTGCGGCCCACACGGGTGAGAGGCGTGCGTTTGCTGTGGGTCGCAAAGACCTTGAAAGAGTATTACGTGCAATAGACGCCATGTTTCCCTTTCTTTCTCTTCTGTGTGAATAGAAATTGTGAGAAGAATGCGATGGAGAAAAAATGTCTTCTTTCGGCGGTTAGAAGGGTAAGTGTAATGAAGCTTCTAAAGGGGGCTTAGAGTGTGCTTGAAGCAGTCACCGTAAATACACAAATCACTTTTTTTTTTTTAGTCCAAGCTCCAGCGTCACAGAAATGTCCTTCTTTGTCAACAACTTTCCCCTTTCCGCTTCCTCATTTATATACCAATGGTCAAGCTAGCGAGGACCGTCACTTCCAAAGTGGGTGCTAAGACTGGCCCTAAGACTAGCTCGAAAGCTGCTGTCAAGGGCGGAACCAAAAGCTCCGCAGGAAAAAAAAATGGTTCGCCTCACTACCGCAAGGGCAAGAAAGCTGTTAAAGACGATGAAGAGGAAGAAGCTTCTGAAATCGAAGAGGTTGCTATGAGCGATTCAGATGTAGACATGGAAGATTCCTTGGTTCCTCGGAAGAAGCCAATGGCTAATCTGGATTTAGACGATTTGATGGGCGTAGATCTAGAAGAAGAGGAGGAATTTATCGCCAATGCCAATATGGTAAGAAGCAGTTTGTGTACTTATTATTGTCCAGGTTTTTAGCATCGTTGGATGACATGCAAATGAGATTCTTATTTATTTAATGCTTTTACGATTGCTTAATCTTGGTGACGGATTGATAGGCTGCCAACAAAAAACATAAAAAATCTGGAGGGTTTCAGTCAATGGGTACGATAGCCGGAGCAGCAAAAGCGAATGGATCTTGGGGAGGTTGTCTACTTGGCTATTGCTAACTATTATACTTTTCATGCATATTATAAAATCTCTTAGGTCTAAGTTTTCCTATTTATAAGGCCATCCTCCACAAGGGATTTAAAGTACCTACTCCAATTCAGCGTAAATGCATTCCTTTGATCATGGAGGGAGGCGATGTGGTTGGCATGGCTCGCACGGGATCAGGAAAGACTGCTGCATTTTTAATCCCAATGCTTGAGAAACTCAAATCGCATTCAGCTAAAGTTGGAGCTCGTGCTGTAATTATGTCACCCTCCCGAGAATTAGCAATGCAGACTCAAAAGGTTTGCAAGGAGCTTGGAAAGCACACTGATCTCAGAAGCTGTATTTTAGTCGGAGGAGACAGTTTGGAGGACCAATTCGCAATGTTGGCTGCTAATCCTGACATGTAAATTATGAGAAATATTCTATATGGATGCTATTGAGTAAGGGAGACACAATGGGAATAGATCTAAATTGACATATATTATTTATATCTTCTAGTCTCATTGCTACACCGGGTCGTCTTCTCCATTTAATTGTCGAGATGGATTTAGATCTGAAGAGTGTTCAGTATATAGTCTTTGATGAGGCTGATCGGTAAGATTCTGATCTAAGAGACTTGTAAGACAAATCATGGTGATGTCCATTTATATTATTTAACAAATGATTGCTGGTTCTGGCTTTTCCGCTCCCAATTAGCCTTTTCGAGATGGGGTTTGAAGTCCAGTTACACGAGATTTTGCACCGCTTGCAGCCCAATCGCCAAACACTTTTGTTTTCCGCGACATTACCCAAACTCCTGGTTGATTTTGCCAAGGCTGGTCTTCAGGAGCCTACGCTGGTCCGTCTCGATGTTGATACCAAGATCAGCAAGGATCTAGAAATGGCTTTCTTCAGCGTCAAACAGCAAGATAAAGAAGCGGCGCTACTGACGGTGCTTCGCAATATTATCAAATTACCATTGACTACTGGAGTTAAGTTTGAAAAAACTGAAGAAAACTCTAAGAAGCGCAAGGTTTCAAAAGATGAAGTGAGCGCAGCAACAGAGCACCAAACCATCGTCTTTGTGTCGACAAAGCACCATGTCGAATACATCTCCAATATCTTGAAGCAAGCAGGCTACCAAGTGTCGTTTATTTATGGATCTCTTGACCAGGCAGCCCGTAAAATTCAAATTGATCGCTTTAGAAAGGGATATACCAATCTATTGGTCGTGACTGATGTCGCTGCCCGCGGTATTGATATTCCCGTTCTCGAAAATGTCATCAACTATGACTTTGTGGACAATTCCAAGGTCTTTATTCATCGTGTGGGACGTACGGCCAGAGCTGGAAAAAAAGGTTGGGCATATTCACTTATCACGCCCGAAGAACTACCGTATCTTATCGATCTACAGTTGTTCTTGGCTCGCAAGATGATAGTAGGCTGTTCGAGCGAGCAAGGCCCAGATTATACCTCGGACATTGTCATTGGAGCACTTCCAAATAGCCTGCTTGAGATTGACAGTGAGTGGGTCAAGAACAATGTCCTCGATGATACCAACTTGCAGGCATTGAGGGGTGTCTCTGTAAATGGTTATAAATTATATTGCAAGTCGCGACCTGCGGCAGCAGTTGAGAGTTATAAGCGTGCCAAGGAGATTGTGGCAATGGATGAATATGCAGAGCTCAATCCATTGTTCGGTAAGCTAAAGCACATTTCTATATAATTAATAACTTATCTGAACTTGCAATTGTTGGTTACTAATCTTTTTTCCCCTTCTGATTTGTTATTTAACATGATTCGAAATAGCCGACTTAGTAGATGATGAGGAAAAGAAACGTGTCGACCTTATAGCTTCAATATCCAATTTCAGGCCTACTGAAACAATTTTCGAGGTTGGTCAGCGTGGTATCAAGGGAGCCACTCAAGCATCGACTGTGATGAAGACTCGTCGTGAGGTTGTTGATAAGGTCATCTCTATGGCTCGACAAAAAAAGGCTGGATTGACTGTGAATCTCTTCCCTAGTGAGGAAGGCGAGAAGGGTAACGGAGAGGCCAGGACCGCTCTTGGACCAGAGGCTACAGAGGCTGAATTAGAAGATGCCTTCAAGCGCACACTGGGATTATCTAAGAAGCGCACTATCAATGGCACTATCAAAGAAAAGCCCACGAGCTTTAAAGACGAGGCGTACTACATGTCTCACACACAACTGGATAATAACACTGAGCGTGGCTACTCTATGGTCAATACTAAAAACTCATTCCTAGAACAAGCTGCAAATGCCACTATGAATTTGAACGGAGATGATCGCGATACTATGAGCAGAACTAAGAACACGATAAAATGGGATGCTAGGAAGAAGAAGTTTGTCAAGGGACTTGGTATTGGGGCTGATAACAAGAAGCTTATCACCACAGAATCAGGCAACAAGATCTCTGCCTCATTCAAGTCAGGACGTTTCTCAGAATGGCAGCAAAAGACTAAGACCAGTCTGCCTCGCACGGGTGAGATGGAGTTGCCATCATCAAAGGCTGCATTGGCTGCGAAGAGATTCCGCCACACACGCCAAGATGAGGCCAAACCCTTAGATCCTTTGGCATACGATTATGAGCGTAAGCTCAAGAGAGCCAAGTTTGAGGAAAAAGAGGCTGGAGCTGGATCTTCCAAAAATGGTCGTGGTGGTAGTCGTGGCGGCCGTGGTGGATCTATGCCTCGTTCAGAATTAAAGAGTGCCACAACAATTGCTAAGGAAAGATTGGCTAAAGAGAAGCGAAGAGAGAAAACGGGACGCCACGCTGGCTCCAAGGTTATCCGAAATAGCCGCGGTGGCGGAGGCGGCTCTTCAAGAGGTGGTCGCGGCTCTTCGAGAGGAGGTGGTCGTGGTACTTCAAGAGGTGGTCGCGGTGGTCGCGGGGGAAGGCGTTAGCATAGGAACGCCAGTTTGTCCCTTGTTTTTACTTACATCCTCAATATATAATAATAATAATAAAAATCACGGATATCACCATTCAAAGTTTAAGAAAATATAGCAAAGCTCATTGTGTTCTTTATTGTTGGCCTAGCTGCTTTGGTAAAACGAGATATTTATGCTTTCTCCTCCTTGTCCTCCTTCTTCTCCTCCTTTTCCTCAGTAGTAGCTTCTTCCTTCTTTTCGTCAGTAGTGGCCTCCTCCTTCTTTTCAGTAGTGGCCTCCTCCTCAGCGGTAGAGCCCTTGGCCTTCAGCTCAGCATTGTTCTTCTGAGCCTTCTCGAACTCCTCCTTAAAAAGAGCAGCGTTCTCAGGATTGGCAAGACGAATAGCTAAGGTCTGGGGACCAGCGCAATCATCCGATGCGTCAGAAGTGACATTCCAAACCCAGGATCGATCAGATCCGACATTGGGAGTCAAAGTCATATCGGAGGTAACTTGATAATAGTAATAACAAATATGGAAAATATACATTGAGTGCTGCTATCCATTTTCTTAAATACATCAATTAAAATAAAATGATCATGAGAAGTCATACCATAGTGGTTGGCGCAGATCTTCAAAGTCTGATCACGACGCATCAAGAGACGGATCTTCTTGGTCTCCTTGTGTTGCAAGAAACGAACATCACCAGTACCGCGCTCCTTCCACTCATTAGACTCCTTGACGAATCGGAAGAGCTTGGCGCGCCTATTCGATAAACATAAATTTTATTTTTTTTCTTCAGAAAAAAAACCCCCTTTCCAGGTAGCAATCGCTGGGTTTGTAGTTTCGTTTCTCTGTTTTCCCGTTTGGAACAAACTTACATCTTGAAAAGGACATCCTCATCCTCTTCGTGAGTTTTAACCTGAACAGCTTCAAGCTTAACAACAGGCTCGAAATGAACTTCGGCCTCCTCCTCCTAAATGATGAAAAGGTTTTCATGAGTGTTTATAAGATAAAAGTAATAAAAAAGAAATTGTATTCCGAAAAGACCATGGCAGTATGACACTGCATATTGGGAAAGAAAAATATAAGAATAAAAAAAATAAAAAATCTCCGCGTCGCATAGTTGCAAAGGTCTACTCTTACAACGAGATGGAGACTCTTTTCATATCCATAATTGAAGAGCTCATGATGTCGCTGTATTTCTCGTTATTTTTGAGTTTGTCCTGTCCAACTGACACATTACTCAATCACTCGAAGTGCAACAGGTCAAAAAGTTTTTTTTTTTTTGCATCCATTTAATCCACCCCACGTGTCCTCCCCTGCCTGGCTGCTGCATGACCGTGCCCATGGTGGCGTAGCGAGTCGATTGCGTAATGTGCAAAGTTTAGGATTGATAACTCCAAACATAAACATTCGGCGCAAAAGCAGGCATTTCGGCAGAGTATATGCATCTGAAAGAAGAGCATAAAATGGTAGATTTATAATAAAAAAAAAAAAAACAAGAATGAGGAGAGAGAGAACAAATGAATTACCACAGTAACGTTCTCGTGATTGTCAGACATGCTAATATGAAAAGAAAAAGAAATGAATGGTCTAGATGAATGTGATTAAAGAAGAAAGAAAGGAAATATGCCTTTACTTTCTATTTCTTATTGTTTTTTTTTGTCTAAAAGAATAAAAAAGAAAAACGAATAAAGCGCAGAGTTTACTTAAATGCAGTGCGCGCGATCAAAAAAAATTGATGACGACATTCTGCAAGAGGTCAGCTGATCTATTGCTTTTGAACACCAATTTTTGTTGTGACCTCCTAGACTGATTTTGTCCTAGTTTGCGAACAATTTCCTCTGCTCCTATGCGGAAGTCGCATCAACCCCCTTAGATCTGAGACTAGAGGAAATAAATGTTTGCTTTTGAACTTACATATCACATGACAATAAATTATTTTTTGAGCATATTTCGTTAGGCTCGGTGCCATCCTGTCTGCAAAGCGGCAAGCCACCAATCACCGTTCCATAAATGGAAGGCGGGCTCTCTACTTTGCAGACAGGCTGGTCTCATACAGTGGAATCTCGATAATTGTACACTTTTGTACAAATTTCAAATTTGATATATTTCTAGGCCATTGGTTGGCTAAGAGCCTTACTCTTTTAAAAAAAAGTATTCAAAAAAACCCACACTCAACTGGAGTAGAGGAATCAGCAGAGGATTTTTAGAATAGTTTTTCATGAATTGTGGGCTTCTTAGCCAATCAATAACCGAGAAATATAGCAAATTCGAAAATTGTACAAAAGTGTACAATTATCGAGATTCCACTGTATCGAAATTTTTTGAGGGAGCGCTCAAAAAGGAAAGGTTATATTTTTAAAATAGTAAACTCAATTCAATCGAAGAACTTCAAGAACAAAGCTTCATGTTCAAGCGCGCGGATTGAATTGGTTTGCTATTCTAATTGAGAAAATATAACCTTTCCTTTTTGAGCGCTCCCTCAAAAAATTTCGATATGAGACCAGCCTGTCTGCAAAGTAGAGAGCCCGCCTTCCATTTATGGAACGGTGATTGGTGGCTTGCCGCTTTGCAGACAGGATGGCACCGAGCCTAGGGGGAGGGGGGAGTTTTGGCTTGATCAACCGTTAACCTTCACCCGTCTACAACACATAGCAAGCTGACACGAGGCATGACTCAGTAACGCAAGCCTTTCAATAGATATAAGGCTGTTGACCATCCTATCCCGTGGGACACTGAAGAGGAGTCCCAACAAAGTTCTCGCAGATACCGACCTCGACATGTCATTAAGTATCGTATTCGTAAAACCGAACATCTAGCTCCTGATGCCATGGAGCAGTACGCATAGAAGGGATACAAGGCTCCATCAGAGGAACTAGCGTTCCAACCTGGGAAGAAGGCGAAGAAGAAGAGGAGAGACAGAGGAACAAGGGCACAGACGAGATGGGTAGAGGAGATCTAACCCGTACAATGCGGCGGGAGCACCCTATTGTAGCCCTCAATGTTGAGACCGTCGCTGCGAACGTTAAGGAAGCCTTGGAAGATGTTAAGTTAGCATTTGAGGTGAAAAGATGCCCTGAGGAAGCTGCCCTTCTCGTTGCGAACGCCTAACGAACTTGCCAGAAAATCCTAGGTCGGTTTCTGGAGCAATTATTTTCTTATGCCATTGGTAATGATGGCAAAGAGAAAGAGATCCTCAACTTGTATTTGCAAGCGCATAACAATGAGCGAAATGGGCCAAGAAGGGGAGGAGATTAAATAGCTTTCACTCCAAGCAATATAAACAAGTATTAACATCCCTCCTATCTCCTTCATTGGTACCGGAGCCTAAGAGCCAACGAATGCCTTTGCTTTAATGCAAATGTACTGGAGCTGCTGAAGCAAGAAAGCGACATCTGAACCCATTTCCTGATAAACAATTTGCTGTTGACAAGGCTTTAATCACCTTCTGTTTCAAAACCAGTTCTTACGCACCGAGTCATTTGTCCATGTAATCAGTGCTTTTTCTTTCAACGAGGCGAAGCATCAAATTTTTTACCAAGGCAGCTCGTCTTTATTCAGTTTTTTTTTTGTTCGGATTGTGGTTTTGTCCAAGATAACAGCAAAGATCGACAGAAAAATACAAGTTCTCGATATTTGTTACACAGACCATATCAGTTTCCTCTTTGGCTCTTTGGATTGTGGTTAACCCAAGTTGACAGAGCTCAACTGACAACGACATATTAAAAACGATCGCATTGAGACGCGAAGGTGTCACTCGAAAAAATCATTCAGTACTGTCATCATAATAGTTTTCTCCCATTTCGTTGCTTTATCACCGTTAATATTTGTATGCACAACACACTTAGTTTCGGTCTTTTATTTCAACTGGCAATACACACGCCGACAAATTTGCCCTTTTTACGGTTGAAGATATACACTTACGATTAATGGGATAAGCCTGCAGATCAACAGCATTAACAACAGTAGCAGCAGTGGCAACATCCGCAATTTCACATTTTATTCCTCTAGGTTCAAAACTTTTACGGTAATAACAACAATGGTAACTGCGAGCAACAGCCAAATTTATCTCTTTTCTATCCACTTCACCCTGTGATATCACACGCAATAACATGACCGGAATAACGGATTCAGTGTGTTTTCTTTCTTTTATTGTACTTGAGTTCCTATCGAAAAACTCAAGTTTGAGATGTGATGTGTGTGTATGTTTTTTTTTTTTTTTTTTTTTTTTTTAAAGCGTCAAAATATGTCGATTGGGTGCCAAACAATGCTCCTCCAGTCCAGGAATATGTACCACAGTGATTCCATTTTCTATCATCTTTTCTACACCACAAGGATCTTTCACAAAAGAACGTGGTTCACGAACTCCGACATAGACTCGACGGATCCCTGCTTCAATTAATCGTTCGGAGCATGGCTTGTTGCCAGATAATCGTGCGCCGCACGGCTCCATTGTGGTATACATGATCCATTCTTTCTTGAGTTGAGGATGTGGATGACGTAACTTATATTGCTTGTCCATCTCTGGTGATAGTGATGGTAGTGGGGGCGATGATGACGACGCGAATTTGGATCCTGATGGTGGTATTGGTGATGACGCTGGTGATGCCCCTACTCCAACATCTGATTCCAATTCTCTCTCTTTCTCTTGTTCTGCAGCCTCCAAAGCCTCCAGTTTCAAAAGACAGCATTCCTCTGCATGCGTATTGCCTTCCAGCTCTCTTGAAAATCCTGTGGCCACAACGCGAAATCGGTCCTCCTGTGGGAAGTCCGAGTTGGGGTCAGGGTAGGTCTCTTGGACAAGCACAGCTCCTACACAAAATCCAGACTGGACAGGTATTGACATCTTGGCCTGCTCGATAGCCAGTTTCATAAAGTGAAAGTGCATAGTAGCATCTAGTGACCCAAATAAAAAAAAAATAAAAAAATAAAAAAAACCCCCCATTCAGCATTCATCCCATTTCCCATCGTCACGGAGAAAGAATGAAGGAATACAAACGTCAATATGAATGTTTTCAATGCGATTCTTTTTTTTTTTTTGTTTTTTTTTTTTGTTTTTTATCCCTGTCGTTATCGTTCGTATCATTGATCAATGACACTGTACCTTTATCGTCTTTTGAAAGGACTTGCATGTCTAGCGCTGTAGCCATAGTGTAAAGATTCGTATGTGGATAAATTAAGCAAGTAAGTAAGTGTGAGTGAGCAAGTATAAGAATAGACAAAGAGAAAGAATAAAAATAAAAATTCTGGTATTTATTTGGATGTCTGCAAAGTTTCAGATGGACAATGTGCGCTATTTTTCTCTATCATGCTGCTCCTACAGATCCAACGATCACATCCGCCTTTTGCAACGCCTCAATCATCTTCTTGCATTCCCTGCGTCGGTTCTGGGTAAATTCACTCTCCTTAAGCAGCTCGTCTAGGACCTCTGTCTTGTACAGCTCTTGCAATAACTCACGTTGCAGTTCATCTTTGGCTGTATTCACCAGGTTCAACATAATTGCCTTGGGCACTGTATCAACGATGGTGCGCTTTACAATGTTGAAGTAAGACGAAATAAGCAATTCTAAACAGATTGAGACAAACAAAATCAATATCGCCTCGGTCATTTCTCTATTCAGCAGTTCGCTTATCCTTTTCTAGCTGTCAAGTGATCATCACAAACAACATACTGATCACTTCGGTTTCAATTTGTTCTCGCTCTGACAAATTCCCTGATGCCTTGAGGATAGCTGGTGGCTATTACAAAATACAAATAGATAGGCCAGGACCAAGCAATGAGTTGAATATCAAACTTGCAAAAGTTATTAATAAAGTAAATAAAAAAGGACATGGGGACGTTCTTACTGGTTCCATAACACCAGCTCTCTTCTTTTTGCCAGAGAAAAAGCTGCCAAAGAATCCATTATTGCTGGGCTCGGGCTCGAGACTTGGAGGTAAACTCGATGCAGCAGAGTTGCGCCCTTTGGTATCTGCATTTGGAGGATTTCTGGGTGGATTTACTCTCTCGTTAATCACAGCCATCGCCTTGTGTCCATTTAAAAAGTCGGGGTGGCCAGTATTGATATAGCATCCCTCCATGCTAAAGTAACCCGGAAAACCAAAGATAGGATTAATTTAGAACATCTAGAAAGGCAGCGCGAATGATTTCATATTTTTTTTTCTTTTGTTTACTTGACAAGATCCGTGACAAGCTTGTTGGTTGGATTAAGTTGTCGGCGCAAGAAATTGATGACAACTTGATAGAAGCGATCTTTAAGTTCAGGAAACCGCCTGAAGAGCTGGAATGGGTAACCCAAAAACTTTTTGTTAGCACATGCAATACTAAAATGACATTTGGACTCTTTCAAAGGAAATTTAGAACAAACCTGTTTGGACAAAAGTTGTGTAAGAATGCGAACAAGTTCGTCAAAAACAATATTAACGCAACGCAAACTAGGATCTTCCAGGCGCTTGATCTGCTGTTTGATGATGACCTCGAAGGCTGTCGTGCCTACGAACAAAGCAGGCGAGGAGCCCTGGATTGAGGTTTACGATGCAAGAATTAGAGATAAGACTTTATAATGAACCGGTGGCTAGAGTATATTTATCGACTTACAGAAGAATTGTAGAGAATAGTGCGAATATCGACATCCTTGACTTGGTCAAAAGGGTCCAGTGATTTGACTCCATTGGCAAAAAGTTCGTGGAACACAAAGCTGATGCGAGCACCCCCGGATAACTCGACCGACGTAAGGTCGGTAGAATTTCCGTCTATGATTGTCCGGAACTCATTACAGAAATCTGTGATGATATTCAGAACAATACTGGCCTGCCCTGCAGTGCCCTCGCCCAACATATCCCCTAAGCTTGCGAGTTCTGCTTGATACTTGACCAGAGCGGCTTGAATCTTAGCCTTAATTTCTGGAAGCGTGTTGCGGATATGGTGCATCAAGATCTAATAACAAAACCAATCCACCGCCGTGTTAAGAGCTGGATGCTGAATCATTCAAAACAATGTCCTGATAGCTATCCATGCGATGCTGCTTTTTACCATATTCAGTTTTTTAGCCAAGTAAGGAGTGCCACAGTATTGAGCTTTACTCTTATATGCAGCATGTCCCTCAAAGAAGGCGCGCTCCGCTTCCAACGATCGAGTAATCGATTTTTTGGTGTCAATGTCGCGTTGTCCGCGGTTTACAACAGGGACATAGCCTACAAGTTAAGTATAGAAAAAAAAAAATTAATCTAAAAAGTTCACAGCGAACGCTGAAAAGAGTAGATGCTTGAAAACTTACCAAGTCGAAGAGGGATGACACGACCGGCTAAGATATCGACTACATCAGTACCAGCATCCCTATAGATACAAGCTATCGTTAACCACGTCCTATTTTCGGTACTATGGGCACTTCGGACAATATCTCTGCCCATTCACCCAACATAAACACTGCTAGTTAGAGCGTAACTTACATCAAGTCGATTTTGGTCAAGACTCCGATGGTCCTGGCTCCTTCAGGATCAACTTCTCTAGCCAACTTGAGACCATCCGAATTGGCAAGGTCCGTGTTGGCAGCCGTTACAGCCAAAATAATAGCATTTGGCTTTGTGATATATTTGACGATCATATCTCGAATCTGCTTTTCAATATCTTTGGGCTGATCGCCAACCGCAAGCTGTATAAAAATTAAATTTAGTGCCAATTCTCATATCAAAATGCAAGCGATGTTAATTTTATTAGTCATCTGCTTATGGTACCTTGGTCAATCCAGGCAAGTCAACGAGGGTGAGGGTCAAAACATTTGGTGAGTAAATACGGAGGTTGATAGGAAGTGGTGAAATACCTATATGTAAACCGACAAAAATGAAAAAGAAGTAGTCGATAAATCAATCGGCTCATCAAGTTTTTATATCAATAAGAATTGGTCAATAGTTGCTATACGTTACCAGCATTCTTTCCAGTCTTTGCCTCAGTATCGCGCACAATTTCGTCTCGAATTAGATTGAAGTCCGTGTACTTCACATTAGGCTGGTGCAGGAACTCGCCCCACTCCTCAGGCTCTTTCTTTTCGTCTTTTTCGCCTAAAAAAGAGATGATCAATGGTAAGATTGCTTTTTCCTCACCTGCAGCGCGTCACCTGCAATGATGATGTCCAGCAATGGTCTGCCTTTTCTTCGCACATGGCAAACACCCTCCTATCTAGTAATTACACAGTCCTTCTAGATAATTCCTTTGCATCACTAGATGGTCGAACTATACACGCCACACGCATTGGAAAAAATCTTCCAAGTGAACCCACAACAAAAAAAAAGAACGCAGCCAGGCACAAACGTATTCCCCATTCAGCTCTGAATTGTAAACTTGCCTTCGTCTTTACCATTTTCGGTCGTGGTTGTTGTGGGGAGAGGACGATTGATTAGTTGCAAGATCTAAATTTGAATGTTTTGAGGCAATGTCCACAAGTTAGCATGCATGCATTTTTTTTTTTCTTCTTCTTCTTATATTACTATTATGCAGGCAGGTGTGTGACAATTCAATGAGAGAGGGGCTTTTTCTTATCCTTGAGAGTTACAGCTTCACATACCAATGGTCGACGAGTAACAATCCCTGCACCACGAGGTAAAAAATCGCGTCCGACAATGTTTTCGAGGACAGAGCTTTTTCCTGAAGACTGTGATCCAACGACGACTATCTGGGGAAGGTCAACAGGGTTATGAACACCAACGGTAGAGAAGGCGTCCTGTAATTTATTTATTGTCTTGATAAGTGAGGCATCCATGACGACTAAAGCCCGAGTGCTGATTTTTAATTATTATTACTACTATTATTTTGATAGGTGATGTATGGAAGTGTATGAAGGTGAATATGTGGTCTGCCTGTTTGTGGGAGTAAAGGAATGAGAAAAAAAAAACCAGCAGTGGCAAGTGAATACCAAGACAACCAACTAAAAAGGCAAAAAAATCTGTGCAATTGTGCGGTGTCTATGCTCCGTCAAAAAAAGGGACCTGCAGCCATGTAAGGGCATATTGCAAGCCATCTGTGTCCAAACCATACGCTCCACCAGGGAACTCTGCATCATGTGACAGTTCAGAGTGTACAGCCTTGGTCTCGGACAATTTCCATTCTCCCATTCTTTTCATTCATAATTCATTAACCCACAATCCTACATTAGTCCTCCAGTTTTGCTTTATTCTACTCAAGCATAAAAAACACGCTTGAACTAAATCTCCCTCCATTGTTCTCCTCTTTTCTTTTTTTTATTGTCGAAGTCTTACTCTCAGCTGCGCCTCGCAATAGACTACAGGACTAGAGACTTCAGACTTGCGTGGGTAGGGCTCCGGCTCTTACCATTATCTCCATCATATTCCTTTTTCTCCATCGTAACTCCCTTATTTTCTTATCTACAGCCTCCTCTGCAAATGACCTTTATCTTAGACTCAGATCCAGATGATGTTGCAAGCACTTGCGAACCCAACACCAAGCACACTGTTGTAACAACAATAAAGATACCAGCCGCTGTAACGGCACAACCACATCGCTTGAACAAACGAAAATCCGAGTCTATTGCCGACACAGAGATCTCCACCACCATTGATACCAAAGCCCGTTCCATCCCTACTTTCTTAACCTCTGGCTCCTCTGCTACACTCATTACTGTACAAAGGATTGAGACAAATTACGACACAAAACATTCTGTAATGCCTTTCCCATTGAAGCAGCAATTAAGACGATCTCTCCAGAATAGTGATATTAGCTCTGAACAAGAGTTTGCTTACTTACCGCAACTTCAAGTTATGGAGAGCTATAGTAAGTGTTTTTCAGGAAACGCTACATGGAGAGTCTTGTGGTTTGTTGATTGTTGATCTGATGGTTATTTGTCGAAATAAAAAATGAATAGACAATGCAACATCATCACCAATGATCTGCAATACGATGTCTGATAAAGATCTCATGGAGGTAGCAGCAGGACTGGATCCAGCAATTGTGGAAGAAGACGCAGTCGCCCACCGGATTCGTGAATTGTTTTCTGCTGAAGAGTCGCAGAAGCGTTACATTCAGAGCCCAGACATGCATCATGAGAACAAATTAAAATTCTTGTCAGATCTGATGACAACAGAGACACAGGGTCAGAGATTAGGACCGAAGCAATGCCAAGCTCACGAACAGCGACTTGCGGTAGCTAGGGCAGAAAAAAAGGTGAATCGTCCTATTGTAACGAACCCGACATTAAGAAGTCAAGTACCGCAATGCCCTACGCTACCCAATGAAATTCTGATTCAAGTATTAGAACAACTCATCGATGACCAGCCATCGCTTTTGAGCGCAGCTTTTGTGAGTGTTGATTGGAACCTTTGTGCGACCAATCTGTTGTATCGCTACCCGAGCTTCGCCAGCACTCTTCACTGGGCTTTCTTTATTCAAACTCTTTGCAGGAATAAAGACGCAAAGCGACCCAGAACGACCCGCCGTCGACGCTCCATCATCCGGTCCTTTTCTGCAGGGGAGGAATTTAGTTCCCACCCGCCTTTACAGCTGATAGCGCTACAGGCTGAGGTCAATGGGGGACAGCCTCAACAGACACAGAGTCGCCTCAATTACAACCTAGGGGATTTCGTGCGTGGGATTGATCTATCCAGAAAAATCGTTCAAGTGGATCAAGTTCAATGCAGCTGCAACAAGCCTGAACAGCCTGGCTTCACTGCTTCCAGTAGTGGCAGTTGTAGCGATAGTAGTCTCGGTAGCAGTGAGAGTAGTAGTGGCGGTAGTAGCAATAGTAACATCAACGGAAATAGGAATAATAATATCAAGCGGTGCCCTGTGCATCCACAGCAGAAACAGAGTTTGGAAGGAAGAATAACAGGGGATCCCTTACAACCTACACATCCGATGGATATCAATACAAGTCGGGTGGATCAGGGGACAAGTCTGTTTGTGGGAGATGGCTTGTCAGAGGGATCTGCTCAGACATGCACGCGTGATCGCTGGCTGTCTAATCCAGAAAATGCTTATAGTGTAGCATTATCTAATAGGCAACGGCACTCATCTGATAGCCTTGGGTCGTCGAATGCTTCCTATCCTGCATTTATGCCTTTAAATCGCCACACAAACTTGGCTACGAGCCAACGATGGTCGATCCTTTGGTCAATGGAACATCAGTATCGGCAACTGATGGCTCAGAACCCATACACATCCTCCATTGGGTTTTCACCTCTCCTCACAGATATCTCAGCCAACAACTCTGTATCAAAAGGGGCACGTCGGCAGAACACGGTACAAATTCCTTTGATGACCCAACAAAACGAAGGAGGACAAGGAAATTCTACGATTAGTTCAGGATCCAAATCTGAAGGGAAGAGTGAATCTGTTGAAGTCCGTTATAAGAAACCTATCACTATTACCGCCTCATCGCTTATTCAAATGGCGAGGCATTGCCCCAACCTGGAATTTTTATGCCTGGGCTCAGCACTGATGCCAGACACGCTATATTTAGAAACTGGGGATTATCAGTCAACGCTTCAACCAGGTCCGCGCACTGGATTGACATATGTGAATGTGACCGCAATGGATGGCGCCAAGGCATTAGGCGAGTACTGCCCCAAACTTAGCAAGCTACTTCTGGCTGGCTGTGAATGGGTGACACTGGATGAGGTTCGATATTTTGCAATGTTCTGTCGACAGTTGCAGACGCTTGATCTCCGACATTGTGGCAAACTGGATGGACGTTTGGGCCAGTTGTTTGTGGTGGAGAATAACCATGAAGCGAATGCTGATAGCAATGGTAATATAGTACAACGTAAGGACAGCCCAGCCTTTTTTTTTTTTTTTTAAAAAAAAAAAAAAAAAGCTTACAAATACTTTGTGAAGTGGATTAATTTTTTTTACCATTACAATTGCAATGCCATTAGCTGAGTCAGGGTCGTTCAAGACAGCGCCTTCTGTAACGAGTAATACATTTTTAGGTGTACCATCAGTTTCATCCTCACCCTCTTCTGCTAATACACGACCTTCACTGCTGTCCTCCAGATCCATGCGATTGTCAGATGAAGCAATTGCACGAGTCTTGTCGTCACCCATTACTTTTCCGGATTTGGCGGCAGTAAAAGAATCGAATACTGTAACAGATTCTCCACCTGTTATGAACCTGCTGAGCATTAAGACGACCTCTGACAGTAACTCTTTTAGACGAGTTCAAGACGGGGCAATGTTTGATTTAGTCAATGCAGCGAGTCATGGACGGCTAGTGGTAGCTGCCCTAATGCCTCGTCCCCAGCCTGCAACACAACAGCCATTACAGGCTGATCCTACGCTAGAGGCGCAGGAACAACAAGAAGGAGATGAGGATCGCGAATTTGTTGCAGCAATAGAGGGAGAATCACAGACAGAAGCTACAGAGATATTCCCCTGGTAGATATGTTTTTTTTTTTTTTTTTTTTTTTTTTTTCATGATTTTTATTTTATTTTTTTTTTTATTTTTCGAGACAAAAAGGTGAGAGAGAGAAAGAGACAAGACCATTAACACGGGACGTACAGAATACAGCTTTTAATCTTAATCTTTTAGAAAGACATTTCTTGATTGCTGTTGTTGATTTGCTCATAGGCATGGTTCAAATAAGTAAAGATGTTGTTTCATTAGCAGCAGGCGTATATAATATATTGAAAAGAAGACTAAAAATGTAAAATTGTAGACTTGTTGCATTGAGCCCTCGACAAATTTCAAAATTTCAAGCATTTGTGGGGGGACTCGTGTGCATAAAAGAAAAAATAAGTCGTGTGAGGAGAATGAACAAATATGGAAATAGCGCCGCACTTTTCAGGTTGATTTTTTTTTTTCCGCCGCAACTGCAGCTCGACAAAGTAGCAGTTCGTCTCTCCAATTAAAGCAATTGCATCTCAAAATAATAAAAAAAACGCCTCCACTGAGACCAAAAGATTAGAGAGGATACAGGAGACGAAAATAAGGAAGAGAAATTAATCAATCTTGACCTGGGGTTATTAGATGATTGGTGAGAAGGTTTCAGGAACAGAGCCAGGCAAGACGATCGTGTGCAAGAAAAAATTAAAAAAAAGAAGAGCCTTCGTTTCTATTTTGTAAACCATGGTTTCTCTAGAAACATGAACAAATATAACAAATATCTCCAATACCCGCTCTGTTCGGTACGCACACAAACATTAGAACAGAGCCACAGGAAAAAAGAAGATGAGAATAAACAAACACTCATCCAATTAAATGGGAAGAATAGAATATATAGAATAGGCTTCGGAAGATACAACCCTATTACCTTGATACCGAGTAAAAACTGCATTCCATCGCATTTCTGAATAACTCAAACAGAACACTCTTGCCATTGCGGCACTCTCTTCTTCCTCTACTCTCTCTCTCTTCCTCCTTCCTTCTCTCTATCCCCTTCACCTCTACATCTTCCGTCATATCTTCCATTCCGCTCATTGACCTTTCTCATCCCACTCCTTTCTGTTACGACCCCTGTCATATCTCCAGTCTCAAGTCCACGCACGCACACGCGACAAAAAGAAAAGAAAAAAAAATCATCCTTTAACACACTCCTTCAGGACATTTCACCTCAACTCAGGCACGTTTCTGTTTCTTTGAGAAATAGATCGTATTCCTCTTTGCGTGAATCCAGGATCCAATACACACACTCTCCCTTTTCTTTTTCTCTTTCCTTTTGTGCCATTAACTAAGGTCGAGTATAATCGGCATCCATCGTCACCATTTGGTCCCTGGTCTCTTTCAAGGAATCTCAAATCCTCACATGAACACATAGCTCTCGCGCAACAGCCTTCAGCAGCCTCTTTGAGGGCCCTCACAAGCCTACTTAAGCACATTACTATCGAGTCGACTAATTGACCAGCCAGCCAACATTTCCTCTTTAGTCTCTCCCTCTCTCGTCATCCTTTTATCTTGTTTATACCAGTCTATTCGCATCAACCATCTTCACTCCATATTCGTCGGCTTTTTTTTATTTTTTTTATTTTTTCGACCTTTCTCATACTCTTTTCACTATCTCCCTCCATCCTCCCACACTCCATTTATCCACGAATGGCTACAGTATTACACAATCTCTGGGCAGGGATTCGATCTATGGGGTTCACATTCCTTTTAGGGTTCTTGCTCTGCATCTTCCAGTCATCTGAATCCATTCTAGTCAAATTGGCCGGCAACCGACCAGAACCGCATCCAAGCTCAGCTAAACTCCTCCTTTTGTCAGAGTTGCTCAAGCTCTTCAGTAAGATTTTTTTTATTTTGTAGAAGAAAGAAAGAGGGCAAGGAGGTGAATTGTTGTACAACCAATTACAATGGGCATGGATTTGATTCTAAACGCGATGTTATGCAAGACGCGATGCTTGTACTCCGAAAAAAAGTGCAGACGAGCAAACTCGTTGTTACACTTCTGCTCACTGAGGATTATTACAAGCCTTCTTTTTCCTTCTTCCTGTTATTCCCTATTAGTATGGGAATAGAAAGTGCGAAACAATAGGAAAGGGTGGTCTTGTGGTCTTTCCAAAATCCAATATGGTTTTGTCATCAGTGCTCATCCTTCGTTTTCAACGAAGCAAAACAAACCGGTTGACTGGCTTTTCTCGGCGTAAAAAAAAAAAAAAAAAAAAAAAAAAAGATGGCGTACAATAAACTGAATGCTAAAAGTCTGGATGGAGAGATATTTTTAGTCGTGAAGTGGTTTTTTTTTTAATTTGTTATTGACGGGGAAGATGCAAGTTATACTGACGACGTATTGTTCAAAAGGCATAGACACTGGCGTAATCAACACGATTCGCAGCGTTTGAATACCCTTTTTTTTTAGAAGCATGTGCCACACACCCTATTGTTTCCTTTTCCGTTTAAAAAAGCAAAATTATTAAACCAAAGTATCCAATGGAAGCTAATTCACATTTTGAATATTTTGAATCTTGACAACTTAGTCTCATATACACTTCTGTCGGTTGAAAGGAAACAACTTGTTGGATTCAACAGGCTGTTCAAGCGCATTAGATGCTCTCAACGGGCCTCTTCTTCATGCTGCAGGAACAGCCGTGCTTGCCAAGACAGTGTCATTCACGACCATCAGCCCGTTTCATTGCAAGATGAAGAGGAGCAAAGATTCTTGTCTAGCAGCAAGCTTCTCTTGACTAACTCTGACAATGACGAAGGTGAAGATGACGGCCACATGCCATCGTCTACATCATCTACATCCTGTAGTTTTCCTCCTATCCTTCTGTTTGCCGTCCCAGGCGCTATCTATTTCTTCAACAACAATCTCACATTCGTCCTCCTTTCACTCATGCCAGCGCCTACTTATGTGGTCTTGTCAAATCTCAAGATCCTTACCACAGGCCTCTTCTCATACTTGTTCCTCCATCGACTTTTGACTTCTGCACAGTGGATATCCCTTGGGATCCTCTTCCTATCCACTGCAGTTTCCCAGATTGATCTTGAAAAGGGTCTCAGTCTTTCTATTTCAATCCAGGCATTCTTGTTGATGATTTTATTCTGTTCACTCTCTGCCGCCGCATCTGTGTTTTCAGAGTATGTGATGAAGGAACGGTTTGCGAACGAGTCGATCCATCTACAGAATATGAAGCTTTACATGTTTGGCATCTTGTTCAATGGGATCACGTACATGCTCACACCAGCACCTGCGAATAGCCTTGGATCTGCTGCAGTAGAGTCATCTTCGTTCTTTTCAGACACAGCACCTATCCACTTCATGATCATTATGGCATATGCATCCCTGGGTCTTGTGACCTCTGCCATCATCAAGTTCTCGGGCTCAATCACTAAAGTTTATGCATCATCTATGTCCATGTTCTTTGCAGCCCTTGTCTCCTGGCTGCTGCTCAATGATCAGTTGACAGTTTTGTTCTTTGTCGGTTGTTTTGGATGCTGCTTTGCACTCCATCTGTACTACCGTGCTCCAGTACCATCTCAGGCTCCTGAATCTACAACATCCTTATTAACGGATGATCGCGATGACGGTGATGATGATGACAAAGAGGAGCCACGACGCGACTCAAGTTCATCGTATGCATCTTCTACAACCTTGGCTGCCTCTCCTGGCGTCGAACCGACGAAGCATAAAAATATCAATAGCCCCGATGCTATATTGACCTCCGTTACAGTCGTAGATCGCAACGAATATTTTTCGTTGGATACACTCGATGATGGAGGCAAAAGGCCGCAATGATCAGAGACAGTAGATAATAAACCATTGTAACATTCCTATTGATTAAAAAGATACCACATGAAATTTTTTTTATTTTTTGAGCAAGGGCTTTTCTAAACTTCAGCTTGCACGTTACCGTTACGCTTCCAACATTCTCGGAAAGCATTCATTGCATCCTTGCAGGCCCTCCAATCATGCTTTTCAGCATAACAAAGCTGTAAAGCCTCATTCTCAGTACTACAACCTGTTCGTTTGATTCGTTTTTCATACTCGTCTTCTTCTTCTCCTTCGTCTTTATCACCCTCCTTCTCCTTTTTGGCCCCTGATCGGTTAGCTCTGTCGTACTGAGTATGGGCTCGGGGTAAGGGTGCCCAATTCGGGTCTTGATGCTGCCACTGCTGTTCTTTAAAAGGTTGACTCTCAGTAGTAGACCGATCAGGCTCCGCGGATGCAGCCATCGTGAAATGACAAAATAAATGAAATAGAAGGAATGGTAGAATAATAACAATAAGCAGAAAAGGTTCCTGTCTTTCAAAAATATGAGCGAGGAAGAAAGAAAGGTCGTCTGCGAGAGAGAGAAAGAAGAGAGAATGGGAATAAGAAAAGAAAACAATCGTGGATCAAGAATTGAAAAGTTCAAATGCCATAGACACGACATTTCTGGATTTTTGGGACTGTTCACGCAAAGATATATAAAGCGTAATTTTTTTTTTTTTTTTTTTTTTTTTGAATGGGCGAAGCATACTTTCAATCTTCCTTCATGACATGGCATTATATATTCATTGATATATCTAGCTTAATACTGCTATCAATACAATAGCCAGGACTCCTGATACAATAAGGAGTAAATAGCATGATTTTTTACGTGCATTTTTCTGGTGGATTGCAGCTGTTGTCAATTCCTCAGAGGCTGATTGTGTACTCATACTGATTGAAGTGACGTTGTTTTCGATCGAGTCTACAAAGAAAAAGTAAACGGTATGGTTAGCCTGGCTCGATCCAATAATGCAGCCAAATGAAAGAGTAGGAAAGAGACAGAGGTTTCCATTACCGAGCATGCTGCCTTGTTCATTCACCATGGTACCAAGATCTCTAAAGATCTCGTTCAACTCAGTGATTCCTTGTTCAATCTCTCGGATCTCTTCTTCACGCTGAACAATCAAAGACTCATTGTATTCTAATTCATTATCAACGACCATGAGCTGCATCCGCCGTTGAGAGTCATTAATCAATGGCTGTTCACCAGTTTCACTTCGATCCTCATCCCTTACAAAAAAAAATATTAAAATAAAATTAATAATTAAAAGCTTTTTTTTAGCTTCTCGACAATATAAACAATTATGTAATGGGGAAGAGGTAAAAATACTTACTCATAATCATTACGAACATTGCTTTGTCGAGCACGATCCATAAATTCGCGCTGTTTTTCTGCTGACACACGCTGCACCTTCTGGAACTCAACAATCACCTTCTGAAAATCTTTGGACAATTTGTTGTGCTCCAGTTTTTTCTAATTGAGATATTGCATGTGACATCAACAGATTGAGTTAAGAATCGTGTTGGATCTTTTTTTTTTTTTAATCTGATCTTGCTCTGTGGATTGATTATTTTGGTTGCTTACTCCATGTGTGTTATCGAGTTTAGATAGATCTTTGATATCTTGGCTGGTATCCTTGACAAGCACTCGTGTCTGTTCAGTTACATCATGTCTATCATCCATAAGAAAAGAATAAAGTCGGTTAATATAGACTATTCATCCGGCACAATTTGCCACTCCTCCTAAGCTTGTTAAATAAATAAATAAATAAATTACAGCTTGTTGCGCACATCCTCCGTATCCTTATTTGTGCCAAGAAATCCTACAAGACGCTGTATTGTTGACACATTGGAAGAAATCCGAAAGACCTGCTGTGAAATTTGACTCACTCTTGCACTGAATGCTGCTGCTGATGTCTGTTGATTAGAAGCTGTATTGGTACAAACACAAAGATGTATTTTTTTTAAAAAAAAAAGAAAAAAAAAAAGTAATGTCAGTCAGAACATGACCTTTTTTTTTTTCTTACTTCCTAACAGTTGAACGAGGCGTTACCTTGACGGTTCCATCGATTGCTATTATTATTGCTGCTATTGTTATTCTCGCCATTGCCATTGTTCCCAAGCGGAGTAGGGCCAGTTGCTCCTGTGCGTCTGAAGCCACCACCTTCGCCTCTTTCCAAATCTGCAAAAGACATATTGACTAATGTTTGTCCTTTGTAGCTACTCTTGCTGCTGTGCTTGTTCAGAGGATGGATGAGGAAAAGACTGTTTAATTTATGCGAATGAATAAAGAGTTATAAGAGTCAAAAGCGTAGTGCACAATGAAGTGAATGTAATTGTAAAAAAGAAAAAAAATGTCTCAGGAGAACACACCACACACCATCCTGACGCCCCACGAGGCAACAAAACAGTCATCATGTACTTATTACATAACATGCATGATTTATATTTTTTTTTAATTAGACTCTCTTATTCATTTGGTCGACTGCTCATTCCCCTGTGAACTGAAGTTTCTGAAGTTCACTATCCTGACCCTCAGACTCAACTTCCAATGCCTCGTCACTCTCTGGTGAATACAACTTCCGAAGTGCAGGCAAATATTTAGGCAATCGCTCCATCTGGCCTAGTCGAACACTCATCAAATCAAAGCAAATACCAATACTAGTCGTTTTATCCTCACTGTCAAACTGTGGGATCTTTGGATAGCGTTGACTGAAGTGTGTTAACATTGTATACTTTGCATTCATACCTTCACCCACCATAATAGCCTCCCGAGCGGTCGAGTGCTTCTTTAAGATAGCCAAGTCTGCCATATCATCTTCAAACGTCGCCTCATGTAAAAGTACTGTTGCATCCTGACCAGCCTCCACAAGATTCTCACAGGGCCGGGTGTCTCCAGAATACACAACTTTCCAGCCATCTTTGTGGGACATACTGATACCATAGGCCCATGGACAATGGATCACATCAACTGTGGATATTTCACTGAATCCACTCGACTCAAGTAACCCATTGATGGAGTGTTGCATTGACGCGCGACGCTCGTCAAATTCATCCCTCCAATAAACAATATCCTCACATTCGATGAACTCTACATTCTTGTAACCGAAATCCTGAGTATCTGAGAGTTCTTGCAAGAATGTATTGAACTTTGCAGGCGCAATTAAATACATTGGCTTTGAATTGGCGTCACGAAGCTATCGAATTCGGAGTATCGATGTAAATAAAAAAAATAAAAAAATAAGTAAAATGAGATAAAACAAATACAAATTCGTAAAACATCTTGATTACGGGTCAACATATCACATAGTAGACTGATTACTTGATTCCATTTGTCAATAATAGTGACAACACCTAGGTGGTGATCTGCATGCAGATGGGAAACAAAAATGCCCTTGAGATTTTTGATTTGATTATCTACGGAGTAGGCTTGGTCGGCAGATCGTTTGTATCCGTTAAAGTGACGGAACATCTGGCCATAGGTACCTTCGCCTCCATCCAACAAGAAAGTGCCATTTTCCTGCATGTCCAATAGTGTCGCAGATACTAAATCAAGTTAAGAAATATGTATACATTTATATATTAATATAAGAAAAACATCAACATCCTTGCTTCAAAGACCTCATTCCCATGTATCCAGTCGCCAGTAGAAAGTGGCGGTATTACCATTTCTATACTTGGCCGGATGAGATGAACCTGTCCCAAGCGAGGTCAAGACAACATCACTCCCAGGAATCACTTCCGGGTTCGCCTCAATATCTCTAGCGATTTCCTCGTTTGCCTTTTCTGCCAGGCCGTAGTATTCTTTGAGATAAGGCTTGGCTCCATCACGTCCAACATCGTGGTCCTTGAAGGGATCCAAAAGTGGGACCACTTCAGAGCGGTCCCATCCAGCTGATGGCTCCAATTTATATGAGAGCATACTCTCCGCTGCTTGTACTTTGATCGGCGAGCCCTCGAATTCAACAGCCAAGTCATGCTCAGGCGTGTTATTATGATAAGGGATTGGGAAAATAGTTGGATCCAACTTTGAAAGTCTGTGACAGCTGATAGATTGACTTCTCCAGATCAACTTTTGGGGACAATAATCCTGGTTAGCAATAATATGTTGGGTTTCCGGTCCGAAACTATGCATCCATGCCTTGTAGTCAGAATGACTCAGAACGGAATGACCGCCAAGATGAACAATGCATTCAGCCCTCAACTTCTCGGTTCCAGCCTCAACCTCGGATCCTAAATGCTGAAAGCGATTGAATTCCTTGGAACTCACCAGCGACGGAATGTACTCAACAGTTGGGCACTCGATGATCATAACGACTCTCCCTGGGCGGGCGCCGTTGAGGACTTGGTGAGGATAAACTGTCTCTCCTGACTTTGATAGTACCGAGTTTCCTTTTACAAGCATACTAAAAGCCTTTCCTTCTTTTACGCCCAGATCAAGTGCTGCCTGTTTGTTGAACTTGCCGACATAATCCGGTGACTGGAAAATATAGCTGATGGCCACAGCATTTGGGCTTGTTCTTGGCGGTACCAAAAACCTCCCAGGGTGACTGGGCTTAGGGCCACAGCTGCTGCTACTATTTTTGTTATTCTTGCTTGTCCCGGCATTAGCGGCAGAACGGGTTGCTTCAATAATGTCTACATCTGTCAGTGCAGTGGCTTTCGATGAAGCACTAGATCGGTCGCGATCAAGCTTTGGCTTTTTAGACCTTTGAGGATTGACCTCACTTTCTTTGCTTAAGGTAAACATACTGTCCAGGATCTTTTGTCGGGTTTGCTGCGCCTCATCAACATTTATTGGTGTTGCTAATGACAGGTCGCTTGATGACTGAAGTTCAATGGATCCCCTCTTTGCTCCTGCAGTTGGCGTTACCAGTGTTTCTTTTTCTCTAAAACTGGACTGGGGCTGAGCTGTACTGGATGGTACGGGCCAGTCAAAAGGTGGAGCGCGCTTGAAATTACTAGGGAAAACCTGAACAGCGGTGACGCGCAGGTTTTCATCCATATACGTATTCATCTCCTTGTTGAATTCGATTGAATCAACTGCCATGATGTTCCTGTAGACAAAAGGACGGGTGGAGATCATGGCATGCGTTAAGTTTTCAGCCCCCAGCAGTTTCATCCGCGAAACCCCCAAATCCGCAAGAGTCAGGAGCATTCCTAATACCGAATGCAGTACCCATAAAAAAATAAATAAAATGAAAAGGATGTTGATATTTCTTAATTCTATAAAACGATCAATCCCACTATTCTTATTGATATGGCCATTATCAAGATGCTTACGTACCTGGTGTTCCCCCAAGGCAATCCCAATGGGTACGGGTAAAGAATATGGTCTTGATTTTAGAGAAACGAAATCTGGATTCTAAACACAAGCGCTGAGTACCTTCACCGCAATTGATTAGATAACGTTGTGTATCAAAATGAAGAATGACCGATGGTAGGCAGTCCGGTGTGCCAGTACTAAGGATCTGGAGATGGGCTTTCATGCTGGATTGACTTGAGGAAGAGAAAAGTTGAGTGTTTGAGACGGAGAAAAGAAGTGCATAAATAGGGTGTGGGCGTGTATGGCTGACGTGAGTTGCAGTCAGACCAGGATAGGATCTGATCCGGAAGGAATGAGTAAATGGTCTTAATGACCCACGAGCAGCCTGAAAGGAATGAATGGTGAATGAAAGAAAAGAAAAAGGTGAGAAAGTGAAAAAGGAAAAAGAGTGTGGTCTGCTACAGTAGACTTTGACCTCTTCAACACTTTTTTTTATTATTATTATTATTATTATTATTGTGATCTGCGACTGCGACAAGTGGGCTGAATGTCCAGGCGCTCAGCCTCAAACCCAGTTTTCCACCATTCTTCCTTCTGTCCCATCTCGTTATCCTTCTCTTCTCAACTACTTCTTTTATTACGAGGTCATCATGGCGACCCGCTCAAGGACATTGCTCTTTCTACAGTTCCGTAACTCGTATTCGGGTGCTCATACTGCCGCTTTGCGCCAACAATATAACCAACAACAGCAACTCCAGCAGCAGTCCGCCTTACTTGCCACAACTGGAGACGACAATGAACGGGTCGGGCTTATGGACAGTGCTGAAACAACCATCGAAATGATGATGCTACCCCCTAAATGGTACTTATACATTTCAATTCTATCTGCTCCTTTGCTGGAAAGGGAATGTCGCCTTACACGATGACAATCAGAATTTTTTTTTTTTTAAAAAAAAAAAAAAAAAAAAAAAAAAACTTATACATCAATCTACTTCCTCTTCCAACATAGGACAGATATTGTCGATGAAGTGGATGAGGAATTGGATAAAATTAAAGCCAACAGTAAGGATCTTGAAGCTTGAAGTCATGGACGATTTCTGGAACAGGAGAGAACTAATGCCACTGCTACAGTATTGGAACTGATTATTTTTATCCATCTTCTATTGCCAAAAAAAAAAAAAAAAAAAAAATGGTAGTCCAAAGACTAGATACTATGCATAAGAAGCACCTGCTACCAGGATTCGATGATCGAATCCAAGAAGAACGAGATATTGAACGACTCACAGATGAAATCACACAGGTAATAAAAAAGAGAGGCATGTTACAATACTTTAACTCCAACGCTACAAAACATAGAATCAAATTGAATGTATCCTAAACTCTCGATATCTTTGCTATGTTTTTTTTTTCTAATAGCAATTCCACACCTGTCAACACAAGATAAAACAGATTAACTCTGAAAGCAGGAACTCTTACTCAAATCAGGAGCAGATCATGTCCAGGAATGTGCAGATGAGTTTAGCGCAGAAGGTCCAAGATATCTCATCCAGCTTTCGACAGAAACAAAACACCTATATGCAACGTAAGTCAATTACGCTCTTAGAAACTTAAGAGGAAAAAGCCCCTACGCGACATTAACCTCCTACCTCCTTTCTTTCCTAAACCACTATCTCATTTAATCAGGCATGCGTGGAGTGGAGCTTAGAAATAAGGATATCTTTTCCGGAGTTCAACCGATCAATCCTTCAATAGCAGACGGTCCAGAGGAAAGTGTAAGTCTAGCGGCGACATTCATAGATTGGTGGCTATAGAACATAAGACAAATGACATTTGTGATAGCATCTAATTTTTTTTTTTTTATTTTTTTATCGATATTAGGGCTTTACAAACTCGCAACTCGCGTTTGTAGAGCAGTCAAATGCAGCCATTACGCAACGCGAACAAGAAATCAACCATATTTCACGGTCAATATTCCAATTGGTAGATATCTTTAAGGACTTACAGACCATGGTAATAGATCAGGGTACATTGTTAGATCGAATCGATTTCAACGTAGAACAAGCAGCAGTCCATCTTCAGGATGCGGTCTATGAACTCGATGAAGGCGAAAAGTATCAAAAAAAGGCTAGAAATAGAAAGATCATTCTATTACTCATGCTTATAATTGCTGGTCTTTTTATTATCCTCATCTTCAAACCACGGCGTCGCGATACTCCTCCACATGTTGACGAGCCTATTCCTCCCCCTTCTGATCCTGTCCCTGCTCCAGTAGATCCGTTTTCAAGGTAGCACAATGTTTTTTCCTATCTAACTTAGACAATACCCTTGGGTCACTGGCTTGAATATAAAATAAAATAAAAAATAAAATAAATAAAAAAAGAAAAAAAGAAAAGGCAAAGGTGAGGCTCTCTCATTTTGAAAATACATCGCGTCCTTTAGTGACATGGACAATATACGATGTTAGCATCCCGGACTTGGAAAATTAAGGTAGAAAAAAAACTTTATGAATAAACAAATAATCTATGAGTATGGTCTATTTTCTATGTGGGTTCTATAAGACATTTCTTTTTCGTGCTCCAGTGCTTGGATCCTATCCAACAGAGCTTTGTTCTCAGCTCGCATAGCTTCTAGTGACATCTCCAGTCTCTTTACTTTGTCACTCTCGCTCTTCAACCTCTGCTCTAGTTCAGATTTACTAACTTTGGTGGAAGACAGAGATTTTGAAGAATGATGGCTCCTGTTTGTTGTGCTGATGGTACTGCTAGACTTAAAGCCTCGATGTATGCTGTTTTTATTCATAAAATCGCCATTGTTGTCGCCAGTTGTAAAATCACTTGTATGGTTTGAGATATCTTTTTCAAAACATCGACATCGAGACTGACAATCCTCACAGATTTTCCGGGTTGTATATTCCGCACAGGCATTCGCGGTGTTGGTTGCTTCTAAGGCTACCGGGCCCATTAATTCAGAAGAGGCACTCAGCTCAAGTCCTTGCAACTTTTCGAGCGTCTCATTACTCATTCTTAAACCTACTTCCTCAGAAGTGCTGCCTTCTCGACCATAACTGCAGATAATATTAATATCTCTACCCTTTCCTGCTCCTGCTTCCCGTTGACTTTCATTTGACGCCATGGACGTAACCCCTGAAGGGAAAAGTGGGGACTCTTTTGACTTTCTGATTAAATCAAACTCCAAGATTTCGCGAGCAGTTGGACGCATACGGGGATCCTCTGCCATGAGCCAGAGCACAAATGCTGCCTCTTTCGGCCAGCGGCTGACAAAATCCGGTGGGAGCTCGCCATTTCGAAGGTTCCGCAAAACCGTGTGTCGCTCCATGAGCGTTGAGAATGGGTGATAGAGTTCAAAAAAGATAATGCCGAGCGAGTAAATATCAGCCTTCTGGTCATATCCAAAGTTTGGCCTTGCCAGTTGCTCAGGAGACGCGTACTTCATGTGTAAGAAAAAAAAAAAAAAAATTAAGGCCTACTCCAACATTTGATGTCTGGCTAATAAAGACGTCTTCGGTTAGTAACTTACGGTAACGGTCCCAACAGCCGTCGTCCTTGTACGCGAGGACCGTGAGCCTGTGGTCACTATATTGTCCGTAAAAAAACACTGTGTCAACATGGAATTTTTTTTTTTTTTTTTACGCTACCAAAATCTAAGATTATGCCGATACCTGATGAACTATGTCGTCGTAGGAGCGGTGCTGCTCCACGCCTGCTTGGACTAGAAGCTGAGGTAGAAGATGCGGCAGCAATTTTTCCCTCGTGCGAGATATCTCCTTCCGATGCAACGCCGCCATCCATATCTGTCACAAGCCCAAAATCGCCAATCTTTGGAACCATGGACTCAATGTTCAGAAATAGCTCATGTTGAATATCCTCCTTCGTTAACGACGCTTGCCCCTTATCCTTTGACATCAAAGTAGAATTGGGCTCCGGATCATCGATACTGATATTCATCGAACCTGGATGTGTTGGAAGCACAGTGGATGAACTAGGACCCTGATCAGACCAGCCCTGACGAGTCGGCTGTGCGCGATGATGCTCAAACCCAGGAGGCATGCCCAAAAAAATATTCCCAGGCTTTAAATCTCGATGGATCATATCCTGGTCGTGTATGTAGGCAACTCCTTCTACGATAGCGTGAAAAATATGCTGATTTACAGCGGGATCAACGAGGTCCATGCGACAGTTCTGCTCTTTTGGGGATCCGGGAGCGCTGTGTGTTATTTGCTCTGAGAGACGGCTTGTTTTGTTGATCCTCCCCCCTAACTCAGGTGACAAGTCCTTTCTGAGTATCGCTGAAGGACGCTCATTCCTATAGATGAGGTAGTCCTGCAATGTGGTTTGGCACAGCTGCATTTGGATAAACAACGTTAAATCCCGCATGACAAGTTGCCCGGCATTGTTGTGAAGCTGTCTTAGACCGCATTCAGGTTTATCGAACCCACACAGCTGCTCCCGCCCTCCATCAATAATTCCTCCCTTGTTGGGCCTGTTCAAGTCAGGGAACGAATATGGTCGCAACTCATTGCAATTTTCTAGCGCTTTAAGCCCTTGGTCTTTGGGATAGAGGTGGTTGTAACGAGACCCCAGTCCAGAGTATGATGAAGGCGAGGGCCTCTGGATCTCCTCAATCGAAGAGGAAAGTGCAGAGTACGAGCTTGGTTGATGCCTTTTTGATTTCAGAGAACTCTCAGAATCATCCAGATCTTGAGAGCGATCTGCGGTTGCGCTTGGAATGCTGCGGGCCGTATAAGTAGAAAGGGTAGGATTGGCTCGCTCTTTATGTTGATTGTTAAAGAAACCATCAAATACCGAACCGGGATCGCTACGGTCAGCATTGCTGCTACCTGAACCACTTGCATCTTGCGATGCTACAAATCGAACTTCTTCCTCGTCTTGCGTGTCGTTAGCTTCTTCCTCGCCAAAAACAATCCTCATAGATAAGTCTTCTGGGTCTGTCGAGCGCCGCCCTTTATAAGAGCTATGATAATCAGCGCTGGCCCTCCTGCGACGCCCACGTGTGATTGGGTTCCCACGTACGCTTATTGTATTGGTATACTCGTCTTCCTCATATTCATCATCGTAGTCGTCATCTAACTCTCCATTGGTATCTACCTGATTGCTATAACCTCTGTCACTATTGTGTGCCCCACGTCGTGAGACAGGGTAATCAGCGTGCTCGAGCCACGATGAATAATAGCGAATAACATTTTTGTGGTCTAAGCGTGCCAAAAATTTGATTTCGCGGAAAATCTTTTCGTACTTCATCTTGGCTCCGCCACGAAGACGGACTTTTTTGATGGCATACTCAATTCCATCGAGCTTGTTCCTCGCTTTGAATACGCTCGCAAACCCCCCTTTACCAAGTTTGCATAATTCTACAAAGTCATGCTTGTAGCGTGTAGGATCATTATCAAACATATCGCCGAAAGACAAGGTCCGCATCATTAAAGAAGATCCAAATGCAGAATCAGTAGTAGAGGGCGTATGCAAGAATCCTGAGGAAACGATATCCTTGGACGAAAAAGGATCGGGCGGGCCGTGCAATCTTACTGTAGAGCCCAATGATACCTTTCCAGTCACTGTGGGTGTTGATGGTGGAGCCATAATCCTACGACTTTCTAAAACCGTTTGCTCATGTTTGATGGATGTCAATGCTGAGAGGACTAAGGAACGGAAAGCGCGCTGATAGGACGACCGTACAGCACTCATTTCTTCCAGATACTCTTCATCGATGATACCCATGTTACTGAGAGTCTTGCAAATAACTAGTACGTCGCCAATGATGGTCGAAGGCAAATGTTAATGAATTTTACATAAATGACATGCGAAATGAGCTAAATCCAAATGCTCAAGTCTTTACCATAGAAAAGCTTTCGGTTTCTCTCTGGACTTTGATCATATAAGAGGCAAAAATTATCTAACAGCGATACCAGTAACAATTTTCCCTGCCGTCTCTTGTTCTCCAGCATACGTTCTTGATCCCGCCTTTTATTCTTAGGGATAACTTGGTAAGTATGGTTTTCAAGGCCGATTTGGTCGGATTCTATAAATCATAAAAAAGGGACATTGCGTCAGGTACGGCAAAAAAAAAAAAAAAAAAAAAAAAGAAATATGAGGCATATAATGATGGCCTTACCGTCAAATTCATTGACTCCAGCAAGCATTTGGAATCTTTCTGCTGCCTCTGAGTAACCCTCTATTCCAGAAGAATTACCGATACTCTCGTCATCTTCGAAACCCATAGGTGCAAGGAAGTAACTTCCGAGGACATTTTTACTTTTGAGACATCCATAATCATCTCTACCTCCATCTTCATTATCATAATTGCCACTGCACCTATTGCTGTAATCTTCTTCTTCTGTCCTATTCTCTGCCTCCGACTCTTCTTCATCATATTGGCTATTGAAATTAGAGTGACCTGACTGGATGTACATTCTCCTACGATCACGACCATTCGAATTGACCTGGTCTTCATCCGATGATCCAGAATGATACCAGGCTTTGTTCCGGTTACAGCTCTTTGTAGGATGTCTGTTATCGACAGCTTCAAAGCTGTGCCACACGTCCGATTTGAAGTGAATGTGGTCAACATCATCACTGGTAACATTGGTCAATACATTGTCAACAATAATAGAAGTCCTTTCATTCACAACGGGCAAGGCTGGATAATGGGACATTACAAAGTCTCGAGTCTTCTCCATATCCCTGTCAGAATTAGAGTGCAAAGCCGTGACAGTTGTATCGCGCATTGGCCTTTCTTCTTTAGTATCAGTCAGCAATGCTGATATCGTACTCTCATAATCCTGCTCAGAATCCGAGTGGGCGGTCATGACCGTTGTACTGCGTATCATACGACTTCTTCTGTTGGCAGATGGGAACGTTCTAGGGGAGGTAGCCTCGTACTCTGGCTCAGAGTCAGAGTGTAGAGTCATGACGGTGGTGTTTCGCACCAGCCGTCTACTTCTTGTATCAGAAGTGCATGGTAAAGGACCAAGAGGCCTTTGGCTGGAAGCTTCCCTCAGTCGCGTTCTATTTATTCCGAGAGAGGCGCTTCCAGGATAAGATTGAAGTCTGGATGAAGATGTTGAACTAGAATTGCTTTGAGACCATAAATCAATAGTCCTCATAGGGGGGCTGCTTTTGAAGGGCGCGTCCGTAGTCTTGTCAGTCATGCAGGGTGGTTTTAGTATGGTCTTTCTAGGAGCGATAATTTCGGAGGAGTTGGAAAGAAAGCTTTAATGCTACGGGGTAGTGGAAAATACAAGTGAAAGAGAAAAAGGGTTTAGAAAGATGAAAATTGAGAAAGTGTAGGATAGGAAGAACATATCAGTAACTACACGGAAACGACGCGAATTGTCTAATGAAATGACTACGCAGATTCATAGACGTCGTTTTCATAATACATGATGCACGCGCATCCCTCGTCACAATGATTAACACTGTTGTTTTACTGTGTCACCCACTACATGACACATCATCGCTTTTTTCTGTGACGGAAGTAACATGCTTGATGAGTTAAGAATGTTGAGTATGATATTAATATCTACATCATCACATCGACGAACTGAGCAAACTGAAGAGTACACGCATAGGTGCGTAGAGTATGTAGTTTGTGGATCTTGATGGTGGAGGGATCGATCGAGAAGCGGGGATAAAGAAAAAAATGGAATTTTGTAGAAGGATTTTGCTTTGCCGTGTGCCCTTTTTTTCTTTACCTTTAAACTCCTAGTAACAATGGTCTTCAACGGTACGAAGACGAAGAGATAATAACCGGTTACAACGGTTCAATTGACCAACTGTGGTCGACAATAATCATTATCCAGAAAGAATGACCCTAGCTTAATGATAACAATTTTCAATAAGAAAATAATTACAACAACACCAACAAAAAAAAAAAAAAAAAAAAAAAAAAAAAAAACTGTAAGAAGAGTGGACTAAAGTGTCATGGAGAAAAACGTGGTAGGTGACTAATGAAGACTTGGAAAAGATGAATGAGCAAGAATGCAATTAGACCAGATCAGATGCAATTGAGAAAAGACTCGTGAAGGTTAGGCGTTTGAATTGGGAAATAACAAATTTCTTTAAGCCCATAAAATCGTATCAACGCCCAATAAGAACGTATTCAATGCATGAGATAGCATATCTCTTTCCAACAAAGCTATCACACTGAGGAAATGCAATTGATGTCCCATCACCGAAGTGGATTACTTTACAACACAAGTTTTTGAAAGAACGTAAAAACCGTCAGTGGCACAGTAAACTCCTTTTGATGCTTTTGGGACTGAGTGAGCAATTAACGTGAATCGTCCGCCTGGATCTGGCAAGGCAAAGCACTCTTTTTATTTGGTAGAAAGGATCCTTGGGACAAAAGCCAATAAGGATTGTGAGTAGCTGTGAATAGCAACGAAAGCGAAGAAGTTTAGACGATTCACAACATTTAAAATAAACTGTAACCCTTAAGAATAATAGAAAGCAAGGAAGACGATCACCAAGGATAAGGGCGTTACTGAGTTTATGAGAAAATGCTATACAAGGAACCGCGATTGAGCATTTTTCGATAACAAGGACCCTCAGAGTTACAGGATTTATTATCTACACTTTACGAACAAAATGCCCTAAAGACTATAGACGACAAACAGTTACTGCTGTGCGAATCGTTATAAATAGGTTGGCCCATTTAAGGTCGCAAATAACGCGGTATCTAATGACCATAGCCACATCGTTGTACTGCCACAATACAACATCCTGTTCATAAATCATATCAGCATTGAGTGGCCCCTTGATCCGCTGAGACTTGTGCCACGGCTCTACTCCCTACTTGGTCTGTTGTGCGCAAAGGTCATCCTTTAGCTGTAGTCCTTAATCATGTCGAGTCCTTTGATTTTTTTTTTTTTTTTTTTTTTTTTGGTAAAAAGGACCCAGGGTCATGGGATTTATTTCTCACACTCTATGAACAAAATGCTCCAGAAACTATAGTCAATAAACAGTTATCACTGCACAACCGGCGAGAGCTGCTGCATCCATGATTTCATAAACCCTGACCGCCGTGGTTGGTACTTAAAGTCCACCTTTCCGACGTGGCCTGTTGCGCAACGCGACAAATTATGCACTATCCGTAGCCATCAGAAACTTCATTCCACCCAGCCACTCCATCACGTCCAGTTTAGTTTTCCCAAGGTAGCTGTCCCGGACTCGGTTATCCGCGATCTTGTAGATTTCTTTTACATTCAGCTTCTGTCTTTGTCTGAGGGAAGGGACAAGGAAATCATTGCTACTACGTCTGTGCTCCCCAACACAGTTGCCTCCTCTAGCGCGTTTGCTCGTAGCAGTGATTCCACGAGTCTTTTCCCATTCAACGGTGACTTTACACCGTTTGTTCCAGATTTCTGTACGACCGAATTCTTCTATGGCCTTGACGAAGCGCCCATGAACGTTTGACAAAAAGTTTTTTTTTTTCACGCACTTACACAAAAAAGATAGGGATCGTCAGGATGATCACGTGCGGCTCTCGCTCTTGTTTTATACCCTGTTGAGGCCTTCTAGGCTCCGGTTTAATGGAGGATTGGCGCAATTGGCAGCGCGTCCGTCTCCAAAGCGGAAGGTCGGGAGTTCAAGTCTCTCATTCTCCAATTTCCTTTTATAAAATGAAGGATTAATCTATTTGGCAGCCCATACCAAATATAGTAATTTTTGCCTCTATTTGGCAGCCTACTTCTGGGGGCTGCCACTTAACTTCGCACTCTTGGGTGGCAGCTGGGCTGCCAAATACATTACTTTTTTTTTTTTTTTTTTTTGATAAACAGGGTCATAACATCAGTGGTAAAACAAGCAGCGTTCTGTGGATACATTGCCTTGCACAGCTAATGCCGCCGGAGGTACTAAGGGCAGCGGCGATGACATCTTCACAAAACAGCCTTCAATGTACACGGTTAGGGAATGGTTTATTGAAGACGTCTAGGTAGTAGGTGAGACGCGTTTGCTCCGAGCGAAAACCTCTCATAGGCATTGATCTCCAAATGGCACCTCCAAAACTGTATGAGCGACCTACTTGAAAAAAAAAAAAAAATAAATAAATAAATAAATAAATAGTTAGAGGCCAAATAGCCCTGGGTAGGCTGCCAAGTAAATAATGAATGTTATTTGGCAACTGGGCTGCCAAAGAGAGTCTTGAAAGTTGATTATATTTGGCAATGGGCTGCCAAATAATATTTAGCAACTAGGCTGCCAAATAGATTAATCCTAAAATGAAATGAAAACAACTTTTGATGGAGTTATTTGCACGACTCCATACACACCTTATTTACATCGCAAATGATTTTTTATTGGGATGAAGTTATTTGTACGGCCCCCGTGCAAATATCTTTTTCCTTTTTATTGCACGGGAGTGTTTTATATGGAAATGTCGGTACCCTTAGTGCTATAGGTAAGGTCACTCATTCCAAACCCAATTGGGCTTGCTTTGTCTGGAACTACTAGCAGGCGCCGAAGAGTAACTTATTCAAGTGGGCTTTACGCTTTCTGGCGAATGCTAATAGTTGTAGTTATGTGATGAGTGCAACAAAGCATAGTATGTGACCAATCTAGACAACCTTCACTGAGGATAATCCTATGTTGATGGGAAGCACAGGAGCTCCTGTTGAACTTGTTAACATTCAACAAAAAAGGCTCACTGCTGTAGACCAATGTATCTTTTTGGTCATAACATCCAGCTATAATCCTATAATCCAGTCACAGTAACGGCTAGAGATGCATCAATGTATTTATGTGATCCTAATGTTTCCTGCCTATTGATGTTTTTATTGAGAGGAAGCTCACCAATTAAAGGCGGATTTTTTCTTGAAGGCTGAAATAATAACTCCTCGTGCGAATAAAAAAAATATATTAATGTGTATGGAGCTGTACAAATGTCTTTTTCCTTCTTTATTTAGTCCCAGAGTCGCATGAAGAATAACAGCATCTACTCTGGGTTACGTATGACCTTGATAAGATAAATATTCTGGTAGTATTTGATGCTTGTGTCGTGGAAGGCTTCCTGGTAGTGGTATTAAAGACTGAATTACATACCTGATAAATTCCCCCTATTTTGTCGGATATGTGGGAAGTTCTCTGAGACGGAACAACATCTGCTCTTCAGTTGTCCCAAGAAGCTGGAAGTGTGGCAGGGCGTTATGAAGAAATTTTTCGGAGAAAACGACTGGTCAGCCTTCCTACTGGAGTCGCTATTCTATGTCAACCCGATGAGGATCAATCCACCAACAATGTGCCTGCCTTCTTGTTCTTTAGTACCATCCTGGCAACAATCCGAAAATATCGCCATATCTGTGTCCTTCAAGGAGAAGACTTTGATGTGCCACGTGTCTTAGCCGGTATCGTATTTCCCTGAGGCAGGTATGCGAAGTAAGAGGTGTTAAAAACTATAGGGAAATATTACTTTTGTACACAAATATTTGTTTTTCATTTTGCATACCAACTAACAATGCCCTGCTTGTGATAGTTCAGACTTCGAGCTACCGAATACTATGATGTTAAGCAATAACGTTTAATAGCGAAGCGACGATAATAAAATACCTGTGGTTTACTATAGTACTATTCAATTTGATAGGAGTTATATTCCTTCACTTATTATGGGCTTCAGATGGGAAGTTGATGATCTGCAATGAAAATATATGGCTCAGCACAATATCTTCTACAAAAGCTGACACTTAGATCATAAAATTGGACCGCTACTGTCGATATCCAATATCAAAACCAAAAATGCCATATGGTTTTAACGCTTCTTACTTTGCATACCTGGCTCAAGGAGAAAGCTCGTTCTACAATACATGTATTGGAGCATCTATGGAGCAAGAGCTTTTATATAGGCGGATCGAGGCTGATAGAAAGCAATGGTTTGATTTGTCCGTTTTGAACTTCCATAACTGAGTAAATGACTAGGTATATGTATACTTTCCTTACCAATATTACAATAACAGTGATAGACCATATCCTCCCTAGCATTTCTTCCACCAAGATCAAAAGGCATCATGCAACCACCGTCCATTGCGACGAGGCAAGTCCTCGTTGAGATATTAAGGTAAAAGTAAAAAATTAAAACATTCACTTAATTCTGTATCCCATTCGTTCAGTAGATATTGTTTTATTATCAATCCGCTCCAGCTAATATTACAATGTTGTGGTCGATATCAAATATTAATAGTTAAATATTTGTCATGATTTGGCTAATATTTTAAAGTTTCTTTAATATCATGGGTCAAATCGGATCTTTTGTGCGAAATACGTGTATGGCATAACTTCGTCCGTATAAAGGGCAAAAATTTCCATTATAAATAAATGAGTTCAAGATCCTGTATTGCCTTAAAACTTTTTTTCGGCGTGTGTATTGCCGGTCAAAATAAATAACCGAAAACTAACTAAACTAACTGCTATGGAGCCAATCTGACTTCTTTATTTCTCCAAATAAAAATAACTCTTGAAGACTTACACATGATCCTAGCGTCTGCTTGGTGGCTCCCATGGCATCATTTGATGGTGTTGAGGGCTTGATTTTTATCCGGTATGCTACATGAACTTACAATGTTTAAATTCATCAACCTATGATATAGAGTGGAAGCATTATCTTACTCCTTCCTCGCTCGCTCGCTCCTCCCCAAGTTCCATTATTGTTATCACTACCACTTGTTCCTGTATCTTCCCATCAACCTTCTTTTCCTGAACAATTCATCTTCTATCTATTCACTTTGAACTTTTAGCCCAGTCATTAAGCAATAAAACAAACAAACAAAAAAGCTCTCTTGTTTATACTTTTGCTGCTCTTCCCTTCTTTCGTTTCTTTTCATCGCCACTGTATTTCGCTTCCTTCTTTCCCTTTCACTCGGATATTGACCATGGGGCTGAAGTCCTTCTTCAAACTGGTCGCGAGTCGCGGGGTTTTGCCCTCGGAAACTGATGTGGGCGCTTTCTTGGCGGCAAACTCTGGTCATTTTGCTCATGTAGATCTCCTCGGTATGTTCTATTACGACATCCACGTAGAGTTGTCCATGCAAAGGTGAAAAATAAATCAATCATTAAAGTAGGCAGGTCCCTGGTTCTCGAGATGGAGAGTCTTTTCAAAACGAACAACCTGACCATACACATTGATGGAAATTCTTGTACTAAGAAAGAAAAAGCAGGAACGGAACGTCAAGCCAGAAGACAAAGAAATATGAAACCTTGAACAATATGGACACCTACAGGAAAAATCCACGGAACAGTGTTTGGACTCATCCTCAAGTCATGAGACGCATCTAGAAAGGCCTTCGAGAGGCCTACACCTTGAGCGACCAGGGCAAGGACCAGCTGGCAACAGGCCTTCGCTTTGTCTTCAATGTCTGTCTGGGCGCATATGAAGCGGACCCATGCATAGGACGCCATAATGAGAAGAATGATGGAGTTGTGATATCCAAAACTCTTTTTTTTTTGCGTACGAACGAGTCTGCATCCTAGTGTGCCTCCTTCCACACCATCAGCGGAAGCTTGGAGTTTGTGATGCGGATGACATTATCCAAGCATTAAATCTGCCAACGCACAAACATCTACTTCTATTATTATTCATAAGGCCAGAACATTGCGTGGCGGTCATAGCGGGCTTAATAAAGGGTTCCCGCCTGGCAACAATAATAAAAGTCAACTTTGATCCCTTGATTTTAAGTTTGAAAAACATCTCAATATGGATAGGTTCTAATCATGCTTTCGTCCCTCACAGCTCGCGTTAAAGTCGTCCAAAGAATCCGGAGAAGAGTACTCCGTTGCCGCCGACGTAGAGCGGCAAGCACGTGTGTTTGGTATCAAGGGTCTACAACGGCTTCGATGTTCAATATGCCGCTGCTCCTTCGCACATTGAGTTGGGCCATACGGCATATAACAGGCAAAAAAGAAAGTGTGCATTGAAGGATATGCAAGACTCAGTGGCAGATCTGAGGAATGTAATCCATACAATGACAGTGAGCGGTGTTCAAGTGCCTGAACAAACTAGCTGATATCAGCTGACCTTTGAGTAGTGCCAATGACGTTTCTCTTTATTGATCTGATCAAGCGAGCATATTTGCTTCAAAGTAGATCATCCCGCGTTATTTAAGTAGCACTGTAGAGTCGTTTACCACAGCTTCTCTATTGAAAAAATGGAGTCCTATCATACCTATGATTCTATTGTCCTATCATTCTGCATTTCCTTAAACTGGTTTCGAGACCATTCTATCCATGATGAGGCCACGATAGAGCTACCTCTGGGGTTTCAAATATTCTTTGCACCGGGAGGCCCTACTCGGTTGCCTACAGGCTGTATAATGCAACAGCAAGGAGACCTCGGAACGCCGGCACCGAGCAGACTTTCTTTCGAAAATCACAGCATCACCGGTACCGCTGTTCAGAGATCTAGCATCTGTACAGCCGCAGACTCAAGCAGCTGTTTCTATCAAAGTAAACCCGAATCTGAGGCCATAGGACTCATACCATCTGTTCTAGAACTTACGCTAAGATTATCCACCATCAACAATTGGCTTGACCAGAGCTTGAGGGATCGGCTTAACAACTTCAAAGCTTTACATTTTGTGGAGGTTCATGATGGCAAGAAGGAAATCCAGGCCAGTATCACAATCAGCAGTGAATACGCATTGAAGCGTGGCATCTCCAGTGCGTTGAAGAGGATAAAGAAGCGAATCACACTTAATACTTGAACATATTAGATAAGAGATTAATAGCTTTTCAACTGTCCATTTACAGTACTATTAGATGCGGAGAACCTCCTCTCACCACGGTCTCGCACTTTCGAGATAACGTTGACATCAGAACCTCAAAGACTTTTGGTATCACCAAACACTCTTGATTTGGATAGAGCCAAACCAGGAAAGCAGCCTTTTGGCCGCGCATTGCTAATCAAGTTTCTCCGAAATGTTAACATGTCTGCGGATATGTGTTATACATCTGTTTCCAAGATTGACGAAACAGCTTCTACTTCTTCGTCGAGAGGAAATCATTCGCCTATCCAGTCTGCGTTACGCTATACTAGCTCTACTTCACATGTCTCTGCGCATCAATCAATAATGAAGCACTGGCCGGAATTCTATAAACTCATACTAAGAACTCCTTCCTTCCAAGCCTATCCAATCGTACATAAACTTGCTGGAATTGATTTGGATGCAATGCAACTTGTGGTCAATTTTGTGTACCAAAGACACATAGAGGGACCTGGATTTACAGGAATTGTGGATTGGCGTCGAGTGTTTCAACTTGCTTATCGCTTTAAAATAGATCAGCTTGTTGGGATTGCATCCACAAAGATATGTGAAGAGGTACAAGCGCAGCATATAGTGCCAATGCTATTCACATGGGTATATCAATACCCGGAACTGGAAGGCAGGCTTCTGACCCATGTTATGAAGCAGTGGGAGCGCATCTTCAAACCAAGTCTTGATGCAATTTTACGACCATATAGGGCGCATCCAGAGTACTACAGGATCTTAAAGAGACTTGTAATATTAGAGAACACAAGATAATATTATTATATAAAACAAGTAACGCCACCAACATTTAGATGCTGTTTACAACAAACGTGTACTGCACTTAGGGCATTTGAAGTCTCTTACAACTAAACTTGTTGACAAACAGAGACCATCAAAACATATGGATGAATTCGATTCACTTACTGAGGTGCGGGAATCATTACAGCTGCCATTGTATAATATTGATGGACAACCTGCATAATGGGTCTCATTAATCGAATATACTGACTAAATTCATTCTTGGGGGTTGTCATGTATAGGCTGTATTCTTGGTCATGCCCAGGGCTGAAGCTGTAGTAAACAGAATCAAAAGAAAAGGCAAAAGAGGTAAGTCTTTCCCTTCATTTCTCTATCTCTCCTCCTCTTTCTTCCTCATGGAGGCACATTTCAGTTTCTTGGATTTCCTTTTATTGTGGGGCTGACCTGAATGGATGATTCTCGTTTAATGCTAGGCAGTTTGTTAACCGGAGGAGATCACTTCAAGTTCGATGGATTCCAGCAACTTACAGATGTCAATGAGCCTTGGGAAGCAACTGAAATCCGCCATGCACTGTTCAATAAGGAATGGAGTCTGATCTCTTCACGCATTGAGGTATGACTGGCAAGACGTTCATGTAATATTATCCAGTGTTTTTTTTTTTTTTTTTTTTAGCAGGGATTCTGATTTCTCATAAAATATTACGATGTGCTAGAATGTCATGCTGAGCATGAATACCATGGTGCTGTCCGCCATCTATGACTTTGTTGAGAAGGCTTACACTCAGAAAATGACAAGGTATTAGCGACTTATAGATTGATAGTATTGCAACAACTCTGCAATTCGAAAATAAACACATGCATTGTTAACATGACTCTGTACTTTGCTGTTTCTAGAACTGTCATGCCAATCCAGGAACTTCCGACAGGACTAATATTTGCAGGAATCAATATTCCGGACCACGACTTGTTATTTCAACAGCTTGCACAGATATTAGCCGCACCAACCTCTCCAATGATTGACACAGAATTGTCCTTGGATATACCAATGGAGACAACTCAGAAAAACGTTAACAACAAAGTCGTTATCCTACAATCTAAAGACTGCATAAATCTGAAAGCAGCATTGAAGTCAATGATTCAACAGTTTTTAGGATTAAACATGGATGGAGCCATCAACTCACTTGAGGTAGGAAAATAGAATAAATACAAAGGCTGTAATAGAACCAACTCGATATTTACTGATTTCGACTTCTCAATTCTACTTTTAAAATGGCTATATTTAATGGACATGTTGTCACAGAGTGGGTTAAAACTACAAAATCACGATATGTTTGTTTTGGAGCAATGGTACCGGTCTCTTTGTACCCCCCAAGAGGAGAAAGTTGCAAATCAGCAGAGGCAGCCGACTCTTGTGGTCATTATTCAAGACTTTGAGAGCTTTGATCAAGATACGCTACAGGATCTGGTTACAATATGTAGCAATTATCAGGATCGAATCCCGTTTGTCTTTTTAATGGGGTTAGCTACTTCGATAGATGCATTACATCAAGGTCTCCCGAAATCTGTCCTGAGCTTAATGCAGACAAGAAAGTTTCAGATGCAGCAGTCATCAGAGTGTCTTACAGCCATCATCGAAGATCTCTTCATGCATGGAAATGTGAGTGTTATGATCGGACCTTTGCCAATGAAACAGCTTATTGACCAATTCATGCATTACAATTTCTCAGTGAGCGGATTCGTTGCCAATTTAAAGGTGAGAGAGAAACACAAAAGCTGAAACTCGTTGTTTTAAAGGACAGTATTTGTTCAACAGATCAATAAAAGTAATTGACGCTCATCATATCTCTTCGGGTATAGTACATTGTCATGCATCATTTCTATGCCAATCCATTAAGTATACTTTGCGATCGTGCGCTTTCGTCTCAGAGTAGGGCACTGGAACTGCTGGAAGTAGGGCATTATGACCATATTCGGATGCTTCCTTCGTTTCAACGGTACATATGGCTCTCGTTATGGATGGCTATGTTATTCTTGCCACTCAGAGATGCCTCAGTATTCATTTCATTACTGATATCCTGTTGTGATATATTGATAGCTATGTCGAATCAAAAGTAGAAGTGGATCCTCAAGAGGGAGAAATGCTATTGCTAGATAATGAGTTTTTGAAGCTTCAGATCCCTGATATGGTTAGAGATCTCCAGGAGTATCATAGGAACTTTGCGTTAGTATTTGAATTCCTATGGTTTCTTCAGGCACGATTCACGATTGCTATTCTCAAAAAATCGAAGCGTGCGCTCTATTTCATGGCGCTTGAGGGCACTCTGACAGACTCTACTAGTATTTCTTTCCTTCTGAACCTTGTTAGGTACATTTATGGACTCAAGTGAACTCAGTGCTGTTTTGAAAGCACCGAGTTTCGAGCTTGAAAGTTAATGTTCAATTTTTTTTTTTTTTTTTTTTTTTTTGAGAAAACTAATAGGAAAATGAACTCCAATGAGATGATGATTTTTATCGAGGATTGTTTACAGTTCTTTAAAAAGTCGTCTCGCTGTCGCCCCAAGGCATCGGTAGAGGAGGGAAATATCATGGATAAGGAATTATTGATTCTTCAGAACATAAGGGATCGTATGGTGGAGCTTCTGGGTGATATCAGCGATGATTCTGTGACCAGTAGCAGCGACGTCGAGGATGGTGACCAAGAGATGAAGGAGGGGGACGATACCGAACAAAATGAGGAAGCAACCCAAATGAAAGATTCAGATCGATGGGCGTTAGCTAACGGAGGGACCAGTAAAAGGGTACTCAATAGACAAGAAACCGCAGGCGCACCAATATTTATCAAGAAACGAAAATTGGTCAGCGTAAAGGCAAACGTAGCAGAAGGCCGACAGACGCGAATCGCCAAAAAGACAAGAGAAACAGTTAGAATCCCTAAAGGTGCCTTAGGCACGTACACAGTGCTTGTCACTGAAGTCGTTGATCTATTTGAAAGGCTTTTCAAGTAAGGGTGATAGGAGGAAGTAGTATTATGGAGTCATTAGACGGCTGTAATGAGACACTAATTGTTCCAATCTGTTGCTACACTCAAGAACATATTTAAGCCATCATAGCATCATGCCTCTTCATGAAGTTTTTTATTATTCGCAAATCAAGATCCAGCAAAAGGCATGTCTTATCCAACATTCCTTATTACTAAATCATTCAAGAGTCGAAATACTTACCAATATTGCCTCTGATTTCTGTAGGCATTTTTGCCACAACCACGAGTTTCGATCCAGACAGCGCTTGGGCAACCCGAGTTGTACCTTAACTGCAAGTGCTGCCAAGTACCTTCGAACACTGCTGCATTCATTTCACCGGCAGAAATGGTTTTATCTACACAGCATGACACTTGCATCCTTTACAAGTTGTATGTCGAGTGTGGGCGTATGATCAACATGTATGATTGGTTTACGGCCTTTGGCATGATTCTTGAACGGGGTACTCAATCTGACAACCAACAGGATAGGTCAATGAGTAATGGGGATGAAAGTAATACATTGGCTCATAAACGATCCAAGAAGCGAGGGAAGGTGTCTATGGCTGCCAAGAGCAAATCTTTAAAGGAGCAAAACCTGGACCAGAAGGAGGTTCAAGCACGGTTTATTAGTGGGGTGGCCGAACTGCAGTTTATGGGTTTTATCAAGCCAACGAATCGCAAGACAGATCACGTTCAAAGGTTGACTTGGGGTAATATTTAGTCTATCAAAATCTAATCCTGTGAATTATGTTATAGAGGGCTCCGCAAAAAAAAAAAAAAAAAAAAAACCAAATCAAATATGCTGTTCTTAATATTTATTTTAACTTCTTGTCGACATTAATGTTGTGAATGAGCTAAAGCGAATCTGCATGTGAAAATATTTTATGAAAATTACAATTCAGACCCGAGGAGTCTTTAGTCCTGTCTTTACATAGCAAGTGTGCCGTGAGTACGGCGCATGCCAGGGAGTCTGTCCTGCTCTTTTAATCTCACATCGTTCAGATCGAAAGCAGTGCTGGCCCAAGGTGCGTTGACGTTCATGGCAGCCATAGCATTAGGATCCTCCCTAAGTGGCTGACCAACCTTGAGCTCCATGTGCTTAACAGGATCCAAGACACAGAGACCGTTCTGGTCAAAGATTACACGTGATGTACGGTTATAGTGTCCACGGTTCCTCTTGCGCTCATTCATGGCCTTGGTCTTCTCATCTGGACTGACTTTGTTGGAGACGAAGGACGTAGCGGAGTCAATTAAAGCACTAAATGTGTTTTTGCCAGTTCTGATACGAGTGTCACGGATGGTGGTCGCCAGAGCCTTATCACCAGATGATAAAGTCTCTTTGATTTGCGTCTCGAGAGCATGGGCAATAGCGTTCTTGACAACGGTTTTGATAAAGGGTTGAGCTAGTGCATACATGAATGAATGCTCCGATCTGCGCATCTTGATCGACAGTGCATGAATTTTGACTTTGACGTCTTCAATCGTGAAAAGTGAAGGGGTCTCTTGATCCTCTGGCGTTTTATGGCCCATGATCTTGATGTCCAAGCCTTTTTTGTTGATCAAGACATCAGCGATACCTCGGTCTTGGAAGCGGAATCCCTCCTTGGTTTTGACATAGTAATCAACATCACGGATATTGGCCTCAAGACCCTGGATCGTCACGCTAAAGTCATGCTTATTAGTGTCAAGCGAGCGATTAGCGTTGCCACGTGGAACCATACGGATTGTATTATTCATGTTCATCTCAAACAGACGAGGAAGCAAATCGGTACTCGTCAAGATCATATTGTCGAATACAAGATCCACCTTCAAATCTGAGTATTCAATACGAGGGACAGGGATGAACTGGAAGGACTCCATCATGGAAGGTAGGAGAACATAGCGGAAGTCATCAAACAAGTGAGGCTTGAATGCTAATTTTCCGTTTCTAAGAGATAAAAAATTAAAAATAAAAAAATCAGATGTTACCACTCTATACCATTTTAGGAGCCAACCATAGCCCAAAACGCGTGCTATAAGCACGATAAAAAGCCTTACTTATCATAAAAGAGATCATGAGCGAATTTTTGGAAGTTGGCAGAGACCTCTTGGGAGCGAGGATCCGTATTAAGCTTCTCAATAAAAATCTGTCCTTCCCGCATGATAACATCTGTGTCAGACTTGTACTTGACGTTTAAGAGTTGTCGGCCTTCATCGATCAAAATAGACCCATCATTATTGATCGTCTGAGAGGTTACATAGTTCGGCTCACGGAGTGCTCTGGTCAGGAAATTTGAGACATTGTTGACATATTGGTTCAGTTCTGGATCTACTAGTGTCTTATTCCACATGTTCTGGATGTGGGCAATAATCGGATCCAAAGCATAACCTTGTGCCCAACGTTGGAGTATTACTTTAAACTCAACAATAGCTGCCTCAACATTAGGATCTAGATTGTTGGATACGAGGTGTTAGAGGATCAACAGCGTCCAAGTGATTTAAGGGTAAAAAAATCTTTGAGCAACAAAAAATTCAACTAGGGCAACCATAAACTTACCGTGAACGACCTTGTTGGCTTCAGTGCTGATGTTTCCAGTAGGCTGCTTGGCACGATGGCGCCAAATGCCGACCAAATTCATGATAGAGTCAATTGCAGTTTGGTACTGAGGCTCAGATTGAATCTGACTGATGACTAGTTTTAGTCGTTCGATCAAAGCAGATCGTTGCTCTGGAGGCAGCTTGGTGTTGGCATAGTTAATGGCGTCCTGCTGGGTTTGAGAAGCCCGGGTTTGAGCTTGGGCCTTGAAATCCTGGGCCTGTCTAGCCAATTGCTGTTTCATGTCTTGGGTTTGCTGCCTAGCTGAATCCATTGTGGCATTGGAATGGTCCATGAATTCTTGGCGTGTATCTTGAGCGACGGCTGTAGGATCCTGTTTTGCACCAAGGGCCACGCTCTGGATCTTATCCGTGACACGGTTAATGTTATCTTGAAGCCGAGAACCGCCCGATGCACTTGTGGAGGTCGCGCTCTGTGTAAGGTCGTTGGTTTTGTTGGAGACCCTCTCGCCTACCCCTTGAGCTGTAGAAGCAACCTTATCGGCACCTTCATTAAAAACCTCCCTGAGTAACTGGAACAGCTCGTTCAAAATGGATCTAAATTCAGCGTTTGTAGTTAGAAGTTTGGCAACAGCAACCAAATTATCCAAGGTCTCTTGGCCTTCTTGTTTAGCCTTCTTTTGGGAAACACCAACGTCGAGAGAAGGGGCCTGAACATTTTGGGAAGCCGAAGTTGAAGCCTGGGTACAATGGTAGATAAAGTTCTGGAAAAGCTCTTGCTCGTTCTTCTCATAAATGATGCCACGAGTGGTGCGCATGAGCTCCTGGAAGTCCTTGTAGAGTGCACGGCCATCTGCTGAGAGCATATGGGCGCGAGCCTCAAGTGAAGGCGAGTTCTGAGCCATAGCCAAGAAATGATCGAGCTGCTCGTTAGTAGGGAGACGGCCCTTTACGAGTGCTTGGAGGCATTCAAAGAATTTTGTCTTTTGGTTGCGATCGACTTCCTTAATATGTTGAGGGATTTTGGCACCGCTATCCGCGATAGGGACATTGCGGTATGAGGATTGTCCTTCAGCGGGTCTGTTGTTGGACATGGCTGATTAAATTAGGTGGTTAGGGATAGACTATAAGTTTATAAACGATAATTATAGCAATAGTGGCAGTATAAGGAATAATCCAAAGAAAGAGGAAATAACGCAAGTAGAGCAAGTGGTAAGAAATAAATATGATAAATAACGTAAAGATGAGATAAGAGAAACTGTGTAGAGTGAGTGGAGGGACAATCGAATAGTAGAAGCGTTAGCTACTTGATCAGGAAAGAAGACAAGTACAGTTGCGTGTGTATTGGTTACCTTTAAATAGGTGGATAAGAGATAAAAAAGATTATTTGATTCTAGAGAGAAAGAAAAAGAAGCATAAGACAATGAAATTCGCATCAGTCTTTTATATCTAATCGCAAAAGAGTGAAAACATTGACATCACTATGGATCGTTTGTGCAGAATGCAAGATGAATATGGTGAAGGTTAAAGATAACGACGAGAGGAGGATGAGGATGAACGAGAGCCAGGATGAATATGTAATAAAGGCCAGACTAATTAGCTAGTTAGCCATACACAGATCACGTAATGATGTGTGTTGCATCCAGACGTTGTCATAGAATGGATAAAGATGTAGCATTTCAAATAAACTAGGACATATAAACTAAGCAGAGTCCAACGATTGGTCTATACACAGTAAGTAGTATTGTCGCAATGTCACGACCAAAAGGTTAAATAGCAAACAATAGGAAAAAAACAAGGTCTAGAAGATCTAGCGGCGACAAAAAAAAAAAAAATCCCCGGAGAAAATCTCGTTGGGCGGGTTTTTGAGTATAGCCCGTTTCATTTGGTCGCGATACCTTATATTTTTTGAATACTTTCGAGTGTATTGGCAGCCAATTAGCTCGCTTGTTACGAGTATTGTTGCAAGTCCGTCACGTAGTGAGATGCCACCAGAACAATTCAATCATCGTTTTTAGATTAAAAATATAAGGTATCGTGACCAAATAAAATTGGCGATATCATAGATGCCAAATGGCGCCCGTTCGCAAAATAACACAAAGTGATGACGCTACACCGTTTGTCATCGTTAAAATAAAGTAAAAATTTATAGTATCTTATCATCATTATTTGCACACACGAAAACACGGTCTATTTGACTTATTCGTTTGATTCATTGGTCCATACATCGATCCACCAAAAAGCAATTTTACTGATGAAGGATGGGGGACACAGCAGATGTAGTGACAAAAGGGTTGAAGATATTTGGCAAACGAAGAAAGAATTAAGGAAAGCATTGACTATGTTTAAATGCATGCCTTTTTGTCTTTCAAGAGTGAACCCATCAAGTTCTAGAAAATATTTGGTTGTTTCTTGTTTTGCTTATACCAGAGGGTGAAATCAAATATCATGTCGATGTCATTATTTAGTGGCTATGGCGTATTTGTTTCGCATTCCTCTTGCTACTAATTATTCTGTGACAACAAACTTTCGACTAAAATTAAAGCATACAAAACACAGACCCTGCATTTTAAAGACCATTTGCTTGACACATGATAAATTTGGATACAAAGTGGTCCATGCGGTTATTGAGAGGTTGCACCAACTATTTCATGAGATGATGGCAGCATCACAAAGAGCCAGAAACAAGCTTTTTTTTTTTTTTTTTTTTTTTTTTTTTTTTTTTTCAGTGACATTTATTTTCTATATTTGTGAATTTGTGCTGTAAAAGTGAGAGATCCAGCGGGGGAGCGCTAAGGAAATCAAACAATTTAAAAGTGAATAGGTTTGGCATAGGCTGCCATGGCTGCTTCCTTGAAAGCCTCAGATAAAGTGGGGTGAGCGTGACAGGTGCGGGCTACATCTTCAGAGGAGGCACCATACTCCATGGCCAAGACGCCCTCAGCAATCATCTCTCCAGCATTGGGGCCCATGATGTGAATGCCGAGGATGCGATCCGTCTCCTTGTCAGAGATCATCTTGACCATACCTTCGGCATCGGCGTTGGTACGAGCACGGGAATTGGCAGCAAAGGGGAAGGTTCCAACGTTGTAGGCGACGCCATCCTTCTTGAGCTGATCCTCAGTCTTGCCACACCAAGCAACCTCGGGATGAGTGTAGATGACTGATGGAATAACATCGTAATTGACATGACCATGGCCTCCATTAATGTACTCGACAGCGGCGATACCTTCTTCCTCAGCCTTGTGGGCTAACATGGCTCCATAGGTGACATCTCCAATGCAGCGAATGTTGGGGACAGATGTGCGGAATTCCGAATCGATGGGGACGCGTCCGCGTTCATCAACTTGAATGCCAACGTTCTCGAGGCCAAGGCCCTCAGTATAAGGCTTACGACCAATTGAGACCAAGACGACATCGGCCTCCAACTAATTTAACATAAACAACAGAATATTAGATGTTGAGCAATGTTTCAACAATACACACATGCAGTAGTGTAGACACTTCCCGTATTCGACTTACAGTCTCAGGATTCCCTCCCTTGGCAGGCTCAACCTTGACGCCGACGCGGCCGTCGCTAAGCTTCTCGGTGCCAAGAACCTTGGTGCTCATCTTGAACTTGAATCCTTGTTTGCTGAGAGTGCGGTGGAAGGCTTTACTATTTATACCCAAAGACATATAACCATCATAACTGGATGTTATTAACCAAGTCCACCTCCTTCTACCATAACACATATAAGGCCACAAGGCATTAAGTAATATCAAGAATAACAACTTGTATATATAAAGGGCAAGGATAAAACGTACGCCATATCGCTATCCATGCCAGCACCGATAGCATCAAGATACTCGACAACGGTAACCTCAGCGCCAAGACGCTGCCAAACAGATCCCAACTCGAGGCCAATGACACCAGCACCAATGACGACCATTTTCTTGGGCACTTCCTGAAGATCCAAGGCGCCAGTCGATGTTACAATTTGCTTCTCATCAACTTCAATTCCGGGGAAAGGCGAAGGGACTGATCCGGTAGCAATCAAGATGTTCTTGGCCTTCAAAGTGGAAACATTGCCATCAAGACCAGTGACTTCAACCTCATTAGCACTCAAGAACTTTCCAGTTCCTTTGTGATAAGCGACCTTGTTCTTCTTGAATAAACCCTCAATACCCTTTGTCAGACCGGTGACAGCAGTAGTCTTGGCCTTCAACATGACAGGAAGGTTCAAGGAGACGCTGCCAACTGTTAAAATTTCAATATAAAGGTTAGTATTGAATAAACACGCCAGAATGAGGCATAACTTTTGAGGTTACTAGATGCTTGCATTGATGATATAAAAAGTGCTATCCCCAGGGGCCGTGCTAAACTGGTTCATTGTAACTGTTGCAGGAACGAGCACTAAATAAAGAAATAAGTATAAGAAAAGACGAGGGAAGAGCAACATACCATCAATACCGCGAGACTTGAGATCATGTTGGGTCTGATGGTAGATATGAGAGTTATTCAACATGGCCTTGGAGGGGATGCACCCAACGTTTAAGCAGGTGCCTCCGAGTGCGCCACGCTTCTCTACACATGCTGTCTATTGAATGTTTTTTTAAAAAAAAATCGATTAGTCTCTCTTCAGTGCATTGTTTTAGTGACGTTCATGCTGTCATTTATAATAATAGAAAGCAGTATTCCGCTTATTTTAGCTATGTATACCTTGAGGCCAAGCTGGGCTGCTTTGATCGCAGCAACGTAACCACCGGGGCCACCTCCTATGACAACTAAGTCCAATTCCTCTGAAGAGATGTGAGGATCGTATTTTGAATTAAAAGACAAAAAAAAAAGAGTTAGTGCCTCATGCTCTCAGAATATTCTCACGGGTGACTACAATCATTTTCTCCCCAACGAATCAGAAAGTCCGTTGTCATGCCATTCTGGAATGTTGATCGTCTATTGCCTAATGTACCGATTTTTTTTTTTTTTTTTTTTTTTTTCCTTACCAGAAGAAGTGGAATAGAGGCGGGGCATTGAAGTGAATGCAGGGGCACGAAGTTTTGGTGCATGGCGAGCAGCAATCTATGCAGTAGTAATATCATAAGAATGACGGAAATGGAGTCAGATCAGATCTTCGCGCAGTAATAATTGCCAATTGCTCATTTAATTAAATGTCAAAGCTGTTGTTGTTGGGTGTACCTGCGCAAGAGGAGTCTTGGATGAGACCAGGCGAAGCATGATGATTATGTTGTGTGGTGTGAAGGGTGGAAAACAGGTGAGTAAAGGAAAAATAAATAAAAAAAGACTTACTTGCCATAAATGTGCTGCTGGCTTAGCAGGACTGAAGACAAATTGTTTGAGAGAAACACCATTAACAATCCCCCGCTTGCTTCCGCTTCTATTCCTCTGCACCCTTGTATTTTTGCAAAGCTGATGCCCGTTACCGGAATATTAAAAAAAAAAAAAAAAAAAAAAAAAACTTTTGTGCGTTTGCTTGTTGCTCCACATTTACAACAACTATGCGTCTTTGACTCTTAATCAAAAGTATCGGGCCGTTTTTATTAATGTGCTTGCCGGTATGGCCCGGTTCATCTAGTCGCGACCTCACAATTACAGACATCTTGAACAATGAACATGTTGCCCGTGTTTGCAGGCTTTCTCTCCCTTCGTTCTACCTTCTAGGAACGCACAGGGCATACACCTTGGTCGTTATGGTTCATTTCCCAGACCACACCTTTTATTTTAAAACTACTCCATATCCTGGATCCCGATATGGGAACTAAGAAAAGATCCTAATCTTTGTCCTCCTATTGTCAAAGTGGATAAACACAAAGGCCACGAGTGACAGAAATCCTTGCATGCGACATCATGGGCGATGCAAAATCAAATATATTTAGAGCATTCTGTCCCTCTTTCCGCTATTTTATGCGAGGACAAGGTTGAGCCAAAGACTTTGGGCAAAAAAAAAAAATATTGGCGATGCAAATTCATCATGTTCAGAAAAAAAGTTGGCATGGCTTGAACATCCATTCATCTATCGCTTTTCAATCTCCCTAATCTCTGTCCTTCTCCCCTATACATACTCCACACCACGTTTCTATTGTGGTTATCAGCCCCACCGCGTGTGAATACACCAGTTAGTCCTAATATTCTCCGCGTGTTATCCTCGTTGAAAGTCTACCTGTCTATTACCTATCTATCTCATTCATATCACTAGTACAAGTTTTCATATTTACTGAACAGGCACTTCATCCAACATCCATCGTTATAATTAATTCCACTCTACCGAAACATCGCCCCAGTCAGCAACGACCTCCTCTTTACTGTCCGCATTTCTTTCTTCAGGCATGTCTTCAACACTTCCGCAACACCCGACAGTCCCAAAGGGCACAGATATACCCGAACCAGTGGGAAAAATGGCCTATGCCAGTGACGACAGTCAACTGTTTATCCAGGGTGGCTCTTATGGTTCTGAAAACAAAATATCCAGCGCCTTTAGTCTTAATCTCACTTCCGACTGGTCAGTCGAGGATCCTGCTTGGAGTAGGCTTGAATTAATTGAAAACTTCTACGGCCAGTCAGGAGTAATGAATCTGGGACGCTTCATAGCCTTTGAAACCGGAAATAACCAAATTAATGTGTCTATCTATTCCAAACACTGGGAACGACTAAATCTCTCTCCATCTTTCAACACACCCGACCCAGTGATTGTATCTCGTCAAGATGGGATGGTGTACTTTTTGGGCAAAAAGGGAGAGGCTCTCTTCATGGACACGAAAAATTGGACCTTTTCGAATTTTAAATCTCCTACATTTGATACATTTGAGCCTACAGGGCAAAGTGCTTCATGGTCAGCCTATAAAGAGAGCATTTTGATCCCCATCTTCAACGACACAGATGTTGACGTGCATATGTATAATACAAGCTCTCACATATCGCGACCACTAAACACAGCTAAAAACCTCAAGATTACGCCTCGGACAGGCTATTGTTTTGTTCCATGTAAGGAGTTTGATATCGGCTTGAAGTTATGATGAATAGATTTGCAGGCATAATAAGCGAACCGTATTGCTTTTCATAACCCTTGGGATGTACTATAGGTAATGATGGGAAGCAATACTACCTCTTTGGAGGCAGAAACGACACTGCAGTATTCGACGACTTGTACTTACTGGATTTGGAGGAAAATACATGGACGCAGCTCGATAACTCTCGCTCTAGTAGATCTATGATGGCATGCGCTGTCAGAGAAAAGACTTTGGTAGTTTGGGGAGGCAAGTCAACTTGATTGCAAACTACTTGGTGCACCATCGTATAAACTAGGGAAGAATCAAGTTTCTGATAACTTTGAATCAACAATCCCTTTTTTTTCTGCGATTAATAGGTTTTTTAGACACGGATAGCACAGCTGTGTCGGATAATAAGCCATTGGTATTCAACGGTATTGAATGGGTCACTAAGTACACTGTAACAGGATCTTCAGGAATACCCACCAGGCCCTTTCCGTCCCCCGTAATCCCGTCAACACCCTCCAGCTCCAATGGCATAAATGTAGGCATCATTGTTGGTGGCGTCATAGGAGGGGTCGCATTGATAGCACTTGTTGCAGGGCTATTGTTCTATTTAAGAAGGCAGAGGCATCGTTCTGCAGGGGGTAGCAAAACAACCGTCAAGAAATCAACGCTGAATGACGAGAGTGGTCTCCGAACCTTAGAATTAGGTGGCTACACGACCATCCCATCGCCCTTCATCTCGGATGAGACATATAACCCACAACAGATGACGCCCTACGCTGCACCGCATGTATCTGGACCGTTGCCGATGATAGAGCATGTTGCAGCATCGCGAGCGCAGCAACAGCAAATATCACCAGTTCTCTCTCGACCCATCGACACTCTATACCAACGGGATCAGTCGCAGATGTCACAAACCTCCGGAATATCGTATGCTTCCATTATTCAGTCGCCATTCGAGGTAGAGCCTCCGGTAGGCCCCCAGCACCCGCTGCTCCAGCAGTCCAGGCATCTTCCGTCGCATCAAAATTCGCCCACTGGATATCCTTTACAACCAATTTCACAGCTACCAGCATCATCAAATTCATATGCAGGCCCCCTTGGCTACGGTGGGCAAGATGGCAACTATGATGAACGGGTGGCAATAATGCCCAGGTCCATGGAGCCTGCTACCGTGGATCTGATCCCTATCAGTGCCAGTGAAGCGGGTGATGATGAAGGTAGCCAGGCGTCACGATCAAATTCAATAGTGTCCAGTCGATTACCTGAATCCGCAGTGCAATCTGCACCTACACGTATAAAAAGCCATAAAGTTAATAATGTTGAGGCAGCAGGCAATAGAGGTGACGATAACTGGCCAAATAATAATTTAAGTGGACCTGAGGATAGTCGACGCGACTCAAGCGAGTCACTTACGTATCTTGATATTGAATAAATATTACATACGCCTCTCTTTATTTTTGATAACCAGAGCCCTAAAGGTCATGGGAATTTTTTGCTACACTCTACACTATAGATAATAAACAGCTATTAGAAGTAGACTCTATAAATGGGTTGCCCTATTACTAAGGGCGCCCAGCCGTTCCATTACTGTCAGTTCTAATTGTCGCCGATAGCTCCCTCGCTACTCTTTGGTCAGCTTCCGCCCTGATCGCTTTCACGTCAGCTGTTCGTCGTTATCTCAGGGTAGGTCCTAAGAAATCACCTCTGCTACATCTGTGCTACCCAACACAGGTACGTCCCCTGGCGCGTTTGCTCACAGAGGTGATGCCTTTAGTTCTTTCCCAGTCGACAGTGACTTTACAGCGTCTGTTCCAGATCTCAGTCCTTTGCACCTCCAGAGTTCCCCAAGGGTTTGCTTTTTTTTTTTTTTTTTTTTTTTTTTTTTCGTGTTAACAAGAACCCACGGAAGCGAGGAATTTATTTCATAATCTCGCTCTAAATCAATTATATCGCCCTCAAATCCACTGGCATGTGGATCCAAATCTTGCGGGGTTGGTCTGAAACTTCTACTTGGATTCCGTCAAACTTTGTGATCATCGCTGTCTTAGTCGAGTCGGTGGATGGGGAGATGTACCGCTGGTTCGGCCGGGGGGTGGAATATATACCTAAGACGTGTGGCCAGCCAGGCGACTTAGGGTAGTGTACCCACGATCTTAGCCTTAACGGAAAACACTAGGCTGCCTCGAATTTTTTTTTTTTTGATAACAAGGACCCTCAGGGTCATGGGATTTATTTTCTACACTCTATGAACAAAATGCTCCAGAAACTATAGTCAATAAACAGCTATTACTGCACAAACGACAAGAGCCGCTGTATCCATGATTTCATAAACCCTGACCGCCGTGGTTGGTACTCAAAGTCCACCTTTCCGACGTGGCCTGTTGCGCAACGCGACAAATTATCCGCTATCCATAGTCATCAAAAACTTCATTCCACCTAGCCGCTCCATCACGTCCAGTTTGGTTTTCCCAAGGTAACTGTCCCGGACTCGGTCATCCGCGATCTTGTAGATCTCTTTTACATTCAGCTTCTGTCTTTGTCTGAGGGAAGGGACAAGGAAATCATTGCTACTACGTCTGTGCTCCCCAACACAGTTGCGTCCTCTAGCGCGTTTGCTCGTAGCAGTGATTCCACGAGCCTTTTCCCATTCAACGGTGACTTTACACCGTTTGTTCCAGATTTCTGTATGACCGAATTCCTCTATGGCCTTGACGAAGCGCCCTGCCATATATGTAGCTATCCTTGTTGTTGTCTTGAAGCCAACTTTCCAACTCTGAGCAATGGACTTGGGCGTAAGTCCATGGTAAATGTCCTGCACAGACCAATCTGGTGTGTGCTCTCTCTCTTCCTCATCATCGCCGTTCCTATCACCATGGCGTCGTACTTCTCGCACACCATCGATATGCATCTCCAGAGTTTTCCAAATGTAGTCCTCCTCTGCCGCAGTAAAAGTTGGCTCTTTTGTCCTTGGTGGGTCTACACCTCTCTCTCTGGCCCTTTGTGCTTGCTCCTGCACTGCTTTCAACTCTTTCCTCCATGTCCTCTCCCCTATCACATTCACATTTTGGATTATCTCCTTCCACTTCTCGGCCTGAGTCTCCATCGTCCTTGGACATCTCCAGATGTGCGATGTGTCTTCATCCTCTGTCCCACACACTCTGCAGTTGCCATCTTCATAAAGGTCCGGCCTCCAGTGTCTCATATATGACTGTGTAGGCAACATTCCATGGAGTTTCTTGATTCTGTGCGCTCGCTTTTGGCAGTCCGCTGGGCTGGTGAAGAGTCCTTTCGGTAGGTTGCTATCATGAACAATGTTCATAGTAGCTCGCCAATCAATTTTTGTCCAATCCTTAACATGCTCCTGCGTCCTGTTCTGGGCGATCCAAGTGTGATGTGTACGAGTTGTTGACTGTAACTTAAGGATCTGCCTTAAGTCATCTTCCGCTGGTACACCGTTGAACTTTGCATGGCAGTACATGTCATTATGCTCCGTTATGTTGATATCCCATAGCTCGCCATAATGTCCATGTTTGCTGCTTCGTCCGCTTCTTCGTTCCCTCTATTGCCGGCATGTCCTTTGACCCACTCGACCGTGACTTCCGATCCTTGTTGAATAAATGCGTTGTGTATAGCTGCCCACCATACTGCATACGGTGATCTAATACGTTGTCGCAACGTGCTATCCACTCTGCCTCGGACCAATGCTCGGAATTGAGTCACAACTGCGCTGTTATCAAGTCGGATTGTCATAGGTCTGTTTCGTGGGCTGATAAGTATTCCTGCCAACAAACCAGCTAGCTCTGCCTTTGTCGAGGATGCGTTGCCTGCTACTCTACCAGATAGCGCAGTGTAAAACTCACCCTCTTGTGTCTGGACTACCACACCAAATGCCAACTTACTCTTTCAGTGCCAATATCTTTGAGAGATCCATCCGTATAAATGACATTACCCGGCTGGGTATTGTACCGTTCCCTTTGGCGTTGGATTTTCTCCTCGGTATTGGCACTAATGATAACTCCATTTGTGTCCCTGGCTAGGCCTCTGTTGACTTCAGGGATCACTTTTAGGCACGGTGTCTCGTTGGAATCCAGGTCGACTTTTGCTCTCCTTAGCAGAGCTTGCTCGCTCAGACCCTCATATCTCCTTGTGTTCTGGGTCCGGCGTCTCCTCGCTTCTTCGCGGGCTCGCATGCGTTCACTATGCCTTCGCTCTCGGTCCTGGTGGCGTTCTGCTCTTCTGACTATGGCATCTAACTTTGCTCTTTGTCGCCTAAGATTATGTTCTCTGGTTGCTCTGCGCGCCTCTTTCATAACAGCTCCTCGTCTCTTTTTCCGCTCCTTCTGTTGATCTAGAATCCACTTAATTCCAATTGGTGGCTCAACAGCTTGATTAGCCGGTGATACTGTCAAAGTTCTGTTCGCTGCCTCATCTTTTATGAATTGGTTGAGTGCACGAATCGCTTCTCGATCTTCGTCTTCTGTATCCCCGTCTACCGAGCTGACATAACTACTGTCGCTGTTGCTGTCATCATCACTGACGTCTAAGAGTGCCAGTTTCCTCCTGTTCCATTCTCTTGCATGCCTACCCACATAATCGTTGTCGAAGCAAAAGTTTTGAAGTTGGTTGAACCAGAATGGCGAAACTTTAGGCCCTCCGTAACGGGTCCTGAATGCGTGCCATGAGATCATGTCCTCCTTATCATCCGTAAGTATTTGATCCACAAAGTATACCATACGCTTGGTGAGCGCCTTCCATACGTGTGGTAATTCTCCGTTTAGCCATTTCCATGTCGAGAGAGCGTTGTGTGGGAGACCAAATTCGGCTGCGATCGATAGGTCGAAAGTAATGTTACGATTCTTCATTTCTTCACAAACATTCGATATAAAGTTGTGGCGATACTTTTTGACACGATGTGGCTCCAAAGTTGGCGAGACTTCCATCTTATTCCTGTGCTGCAGCATCAGTACTCGTGTCCGACATATCCGTCCCATTACATTGCTGTCATTAAGTCGAAGCGCCAGGGTAGATATTTGTTCTTCCGCTTGAGCGTTCGCCAAGTCTTTGATGGCATACAATCTATTGTGGTTCATAGTGCTGTTTGGCGTAGTTGATGGCATACGTGCTTTCCGCTTACACAGTGACATATACTTACCAGTCATCTTCTGTAGGAACGTTGGTGGCAACATTTGGGCCGAAATCCTATACAGCACCTTTGGGATGAGCACATTATTGACAATATACGTTGTCTGCCGATCTGTCAGGGCTTTGGACCGGAGAATGTTACAGGTCGTTTCTATTTCCTGCTCCACTATTTGCTGTGTTGCTGTTGGATTTCCTGTTGCTGTGACCCAAACACCAAGAATCCGTACCGATTCATTCTTTTCCACTGGTCGGATCTCTTCTGTAGGTGTCCCAAATTTCAGCGTGCTCCTCCTATCCTGCTTGCTGTTGATACAGATGACCTGCGTTTCCTTGGCGTTCACTTCCACCCCGTTAAGAATGAAGAATGTCGTTGCAATGTCAAGTATCTCCTGCATATGTGCTTTGGAGTCCGATATCCATGTAGTATCATCCACGAAAGCAAGGCCAGTAACTGATGGTGTCCCTCTTGGTCCCTCTAGACTATATCCAGTGCTACTGTCTATAATTTCACACAGGAGTGCATCATATGCTACTCTCCATAAAAGCGGACATTCCACTCCACCTTGATCCAAACCGCACTCTGGATGATACTCGTCAGTTGGTCCGTATTCAGTAATCACCCTGTTCACTTTGGAAATGGCGATGTTTTCACATAGGCGTATGAACTGTTCAGGGACCTGGAGCCGTCTTAGTCCGCGAGAAAGCATCCCATCGGGGGCGCAGTTGACAGAGTCGAAACACCGTTTCATGTCTTGGAGCACAATCCACTGTTCTTTCTTGAACTCTCTTGCGTCTTCCATTGCCGCTTGCAGGATATGGATTGGATCCTTAGTGGTAGTACCTTTAAGAACAGAGAAGTTTGGTCCTCGTAGAATATCGTGCCTGGCCATGATCGCGCTTAACCTATTTGTTATTACTGCAAACATTATTTTCCGTGCGTGCTCCAACAAAGCTATCGGCCTTACCTCTGCCATGTTTCCTGACCATTCTGGAGCTTTTGGTATGCAATAGAGGAGCCCCGTCTTCCAATCCTTGGGGACGTCTTCTTGCACGATAGTGGCACTTATGATTTGGAAGAGGATAAAGAGCCCCTGCGGTCCTTGGTGTTGGATCATTTCGTTCGTAATGCCTGACACACCAGCTGCCTTGTTTTTGGGTGCATCCAGGACCACAGCTGAAAACTCATTTCTGCTTGAGTCACAACTATCTATGAACAAAGGGCTTGCCCATCCTGACCCGAGCGGAGCAGTTGAGTATATTCAGAATGTCACGTGAAGCCGCTTGAACTATCATAATTATATACCGGGACACTCAGCAGGTTATGAAACCATACGGGGTTGTAGCTCAGTGGTAGAGCGCTCGCTTTGCATGCGAGAGGCCCGGAGTTCAATCCTCCGCTGCTCCATCGAACATTTTTTCCTCCTTGTAGGAAGGTGGATAAATCTATTTAGCAGCCCATATCAAATATAGTAATTTTTGCCATTATTTGGCAGCCTATTTTTTGGGCAGCCAAATAATGTTTTGCAAAACTAATTTGAAAGGATGAAGTTATTTGTACGGCCCCCGTGCAAATAAATTTTTGCTTATAAAAAAAATTATTTGCACTGCCCCGTACACACTCTATTTACACTGCTCCCCCCGTACAAATAAAAAAAAGTTATTTGCACGGGGGGTCTTTTTTTTATTTGCACGGGGTCTCTTTTTCATCTACAAGCAGCAACGTGTATCCTACAGACTACATGATTCTGGCTTTATATAAATAAGTGGAGGTGAGTTTAGAGTAGAGAGGGGTCTGGAATTATTACTGGTGGAAGTTGCAGCGCCGTGGGAGCTGCCAAACAGCTCATTTGTGACATACAAAAATACTACCATTAGACCCATATAGCGTATACGATGATTTAAATTACCACTCACGTGGGGCAGACAAGAACCCTCTCTTTGTCCTCCTTCTTAGTTGGTGCAATGTTTTAACCTAATTGATATAACTTATTATGTAATATGGAGCTAAAGTTCAATAAATTTACCCTTTTATTAATGAGGCAATGTGGATAATCACTGAAGTTTTTGGGCAGTACAGGCTGAGGGAAAACGGCAAGAAATAAGATTGAAGACAGTGCTTCTCTTCATTACCATTTCAAGTGATTGTACAATATGAAGCTGGTCCTTTAGACGCAGTGAGCATCTACATGTGCTGCTGAGTATGCAATACTGCGTGCTAAAGACGAACCAAGGTAAGTTGGCTATGATAATAAACTTGGAATGTAATGAGACAAAACTAAGGATTGTTGCGATTAGCAGTCATTTATATGGGTTTTTACTATAGCTAAGGTTTTTACCCTTTTTATTTAACGAAGATCCCTGGATCATAATAAAGACATCTTTTTTTCGTTCTCGCTAATTATTATGACCCTGGCATATTTCAATAACAGAAAAGAATATTTATGTCTCTTTTCTATCACTATTAGTCACGGTTATGCTATTAAAGTATTTTAGCCACTAAGATATAGAGATATAGGTGATTGTGCACGTTCGGCTTTGAGTGCGAACTGTCACCAACTATCAAAAGACAAGTAATATCGGGTAAGAAGATAGATATTCCACAAAATAAGCTGAGGTCTACCCATTGCATTTTGATGAATTTGATAAACAGAAAGGGAAAAGAAAGAGAGTAGGTAGTAACACGGCACGCTATACATCGTAGAAATGAGTATGATTGTATGATTGTTTGTATATCTACCGAAACAAACTACACGTTAGAGGTTCCTAATAACTGAACTCATCGTTGTGTGCTTAATAGTGTACGGAAATACCTAAGATATATGCACGCGTTAAATGAAAGAAAGCATCAGGGAACCATCCACAATCTATAACAATGCAACCAACAAAAGTGCAAAGTAAAGCTGCATAGTATATTTCAATTATAGATAGATCATTTGTAATTCTGTATTTAGTCCCAGAGTCGCATAAAGAATGCCAACATCTACTCTGAGCTACATACGACCTTGATTAGATAAATATTCTGGTCAGTATTTGATGCTTAGGCAGCGGCTCTAGATCTAAGCCTGTGTCGTGGAAGGCTTCCTGGTTATGGTGTTTAGGGCTGAAATAAAGACCCCGTACAAATAAAAAAAAAGACCCCCGTGCAAATAATTTTTTTTTATTTGCACGGGGGGAGCGGTGTAAATAAGGTGTGTACGGGGCAGTGCAAATAGATTTTTTAAATATTTGTACGGCCCCCATGCAAATAAGAGGTGTACGGGCCCGTGCAAATAAGAGGTGTACGGGCCCGTGCAAATATCTTTTTTCAATTTGGAAAAGATTGATTGCCTTGTTGCACTCACCATGTAATTACAAATATTAGTGTTTGTCAGAAAGAGTAAAACCCATATGAATAAGTTGCGCTTCGGATAGAGCGACGACAATTGGACTTGAAATGAGTGACTTTGCTTACAGTACCAAGGTATCAACATAAAGAAACACCCCGTTATATATATATATATATTTTTTTTTATTTCCATGGGAGGAACAGTGTAAATAAGGTGTGTACGGGGCCGTGCAAATAACTACATCCAAATATATTGTAAAAATATGGTCGCCGTCGCTGCAAAGGAAAAATGGGTCCAAATGAGAACCACCCATTGCCATTTTTATTGTGTTTACTGTCTTCATCCTGATTCGCTGCTGGCATTATACATGTCTTCTCTCAATGGCGCGGTTTTATTGATCTTTCATAATAATCAACATGCATTGCAGCGACGACAAAAAAAGGGCGGCTCAGTCTAATCGCATTACCAATAGTGAATATTAATAACTAATGCTTCCTTCTTGCATTCTTGAGGAGGAAGAGCTGTCATATATTTCGTCTAAATGGACATTATCAACAACACACGCAGTATACAAAGCAGTTTTCATACAGCGATACAAGATCCTGTTCTGATATCCTATTGCTAATTTATCCTGCGGATCATGTCTATTCATAAAATTGCTTTCTTATAGCTGGGGCATAAAGAGATCAAAAAACTCGCTGCATGATTATTTAACCAAGGCGTAATATTTTAATGCAATGCTTATACGATTCTACGCCCGACTCTTCGGTAGGACCGATCATGGTATAACAATGGCTCTTGCTGATCTGGGATCTCGCCATGCAATACCTTTTCTACGTGTCCGATCCACATCTCATGGTCTCCCACTGCCATCACCTGATGAGTACTACACCGGATCGCCCCTAATGTGTTCAGCAGCACCGGTAAATTCGATTCTGGGTCAATCTTATAACCCAATACCTCGAAAGGATCAGGGTCTGGCGGTGTACTTGGTGATGTTACAAGTGGTGGCGCTGGAATGCCGTGAAGTGTGCCATTCTTTTTAGCGTTTTGAGAACCAGTAAAGGCATCAGCCAGAGAAGAATTGCCAATCTCATTGTCGGCTAATATTTGTATGGTTGCCTCCGCAGTCAATTCCTCAATATCCTTGTCATGCGGCACCCTTGCTTGAGTTGATCTTGTGAAGGCCTGCGCCCGAGATTCTGATTGTTTGGGAACAATTGATGACGCTGCATCAGTAAGGTTTGACGTAGGAAGGTTTGTAATGACCTCAGATGGAGGTGGAACTGAGGATGAAAATGCCACTGAGTGAGTTATTTGATCTGAGGCCAGGAATTGAACTATAAATTGGTTTGATTCGTGCAACATTGTCGAGGCCCTTGAAGGAAGCTTCACACAAAATGCGATCAGGGGAATTGGCTGCAGTGAAATGGACGAAAAAGATGACACGGTAATCCCACGGCGAACTGATGGGTCGTTTGGCGCAGCAGTACTTACAACAGCAACTATAAGGTCCATTGAAAAAGATGGTAAGAGAGTATGAGTCAGTTGTTGCAGGGTTGTCCAGGCTGGCCTGTTCCATTCAACAGTCAATGATATAGCTCTTCACACTTACCTGGAAATGGGACTTTTCTTAGTACTCTGCGAAGCTTTTCTGATGTGCTCGTCTTATCGTTGGATGTACCTAAACGGAATATAGCTACATACTATTAGCACGACGTCATGCTCCTTTAGTGTAAAAACACTCAGTCGCAACATGACGAGTACCTTTTTTGGCAATATTCGACGATAATGCATCTGATGAAGTTCCTTCCCTATCCTTGGTATATGATCGATATGATCCACGCAGCATGTGGAGTTTCCCTTGGATCGTATAATTGAGATCGATAAAGGATCGTCTTTTATGACTGACCAACTCTGCAGCTGATGCATTCCATGGAGGCATATACTGTAATCTGCTGGTAATGAGGCGACTATAGATTGCATCCATCTGCATCCTTATGCATGAGAAGTACATGTCGGTATGTTACTATCTCTTTCCTGCTGGCGAATAAGGAAGAGAATGCGCACTGTCAATGTCATAAAGGTCTTCAATGTGGCTTATAAAATGATTTATTTAAATTTAATAATATATATTTATATACAAATGGTACACAACAACAGAGTTTATGCTTGATCCTTGCTGCTTCGACTGGATCTCCTACTGCGGTGCAGGCTCAGGTGACAAATGGAAAGAATGTTCTCTATCGAACCCCTTTGGACGACTACTACCCGTACTCACGTCTCTGGCGTGTTGCATGCGGTGAGAAGCATGGAAGATAGACGAGGCGGCACGCGATAGAACGGGATGGCTCGGTCGTTTGCCTGATTGGACTACTAACAGACAGCATGAAACCTCTGACGACAGGAACTGTTGTGCTGTAATACCTAAGATGTTGGACACTGCCATTGTCGAGTGATGGATATCTCGGGATGAAGGCTGGGTCCGAAGAGGATGTCGATGTCGAAGGTTACTATTGTCGCCAGGTAGGTTGTCAATAGGATGCGTTGAAGCGGCTTGTGAAGAAGTCTGTTGGAACCCATTGTATGCTTCTGGTGAGTATATGGAAGCAGTAGTACTGCGGTGTCCGGCATTGTGAATTGATCCTCGACCCAAGACTAGCAGATCCCTTGGTCCAAGAGTAGCCTTTGAAAGGCTAATGGCATCCTGGATCGTGGATACCTGGTGGACAAAGACGTTCTCACGAACCTCGATTTCGGCACCAGGGCTGTCAGAACTAAATCTCTTACTCAATCGCTTTTCAATATGGATATAAGAGCGATGTCCGAAGTATTCTTGGGCTAGAACATTATTGTCGTCAGGTAGCTCTGCTCGTTGGTCCTCACCCTGGTCAGAATGGATTGACTGGCCATCGATATCTATTTGAATATCTCCTGTAGCTTCCTTTTGCTTTTGTACCGCCTCGATGCGCACAATGACGACTTTACATGACTTATTATGACTCAAAACTGATGCAAGTTTCAGAGCTTCTTCATCGTCCTGGGATCCGTAAAGCGGCACCATGATTGTCAAAAAGCTTCCAGATCCTCCAAACTCCCTTTCGACAAAAATAGCTATGGCTATTCCAGTGTTTGATGTTGTATTCATGAGCCGAGTGACTACTCGTGTGTTAGAAGGAATGAGGGGCTTGGGCAGTATTGTGTTCTGGCTGTCATCCACTGTGCTAGCAGGCGGATCAGGGAGTGAAGTCGAGTTCCAGGGGAAGATAATAATTCCAGCATCGCTCTCAAGGGCTTCATCATATATACTTTGAGCAAAATCCTCAGGATCAGTAGATAAAGTCATTCGTGGCTTGACCAAAATACCATTAAGCTTCGCAAATGCTTGGAATACAACCATGAGCGTGTCGCGGCGCAGCACTTCAGCACGCTCGGTAGCGGCCATCAGAACCGACGAGCTACGCTCAGTAAGATGCAGAAGGCGAAGAGCGAGAAGAGTCGGACCTACACTTGATGCGTTTGACGCTACAGGATGGCCAGGAAATCCATTGGTGCCTGAAATAGGCAGATTTGAGTGATGAGTGGTATGTGAAGGCTTTGGTGAAGCATGATGCAACATGTCGAGAAATGTCATCATGGCTGGAAGGTTCTGAATCTTATCGAGACACAACATAATACCAGTCTTCGCAGTCTCGGATTTATCTAAAGACTCTGTGCGCTCAGCATCCTTGCTGGCTTTTTCTTTGGCCAATGTGCGCTGGGCTACTGCGCGCTGATAGTGGACTGGATAAACCCACGAGACACCAGGAGTAGTCATGCAGGTGGTGATCAAACACATCATGACCATGATGACGAAGACTTTGGCGTTGATGACTCCAGCATCGTAACCAATGTTGAGAACAATTAGTTCGATAAGACCTTTGCAATTCATAAGGACTCCAATAGCGAGGGACTCCCGGAACTCCATGCCTTGGAGTTTGGCTGCACCTGTGCATCCAACAATCTTTCCAAAGCAGGCAACAAAGGTTGTCAATATTACCAGTCCCCAAATTCGAGCATTGTCCAATAGTCCAATCTGTGTCTTGAGTCCTGAGAGAGCAAAATAAATGGGCAGAAAGATAACAGAGACAAGATCCTCGATTCTCTTGGTAACTCCATCTGCAAAACCTGTGTCATTGGGAATGACCAATCCAACTACAAACGAGCCAAAGATAGCGTGCACACCAATGATATCAGTCATGAAAGCGCTGATCAATACCACGACAAGAATGAACGCCATCATGGTCTGACTTGGTTCATCTTGTGACTTTGTAACTCTGATCATGAAGATGATAACAGGGCGAATCAAAAAGACCAAAATAAGGATCCATGCAATCGATAGAAGGACAACGTAAAGAGGTGTAATTTGACTGGCACTGTTGATGATTGAGACTACGAGGGCCAACAAAATCCATGCAACAATATCCCCGACAGCACCGGCGCAAATAGTTAAGAATCCAACCTTAGTTGTCAGCAGCTTCTGCTCAGCGAGGATACGGGCCAGGACTGGGAACGCAGTGATGGACATTGCCACACCACAGAAAAGGAGAAACTGACCAAAGCCCACCGTAGTATCAGGCCCAAGCTCTTCATAAAGCACGTAACTGACAGCTGCGCCTACACCAAACGGTAAAGCCATACCAGCAAACGATATTCCAAGAGCAAATTTAGCGCGCTTCACGACTTGTGCTGGATCGAGCTCGAGGCCAACAAGGAATAGGAATAGCACTAAGCCGATATTGGAGACGAGATTCAGGTAGGACAAACTTGCTGGGTTGAAAATAGTCTCCGTAAAGCCGGGAATACGGTCCATGACGGAGGGTCCAAGGATGATACCAGCGATGACTTCAGAAATAACACGAGGTTGCTTGAGCCTTCTCAATACAAAATGCAAAAGATAGCATAGCCCGATAATGATGACCGCCTAGTGAGATTCATAAAAGCTTTGTTATTACCATTAAGGGAAACTACGTCTTCGGCCTATGAAATCAGAAATTCAGACTATTGGTATCGAGCATTACCTGGATCACAAAGAGAACCAATGGATTTGACGGGTTGACTTCCGTAGGATTGAGGCCAGTGACAATACTCCCTATTGGATGAAATAGCGACAGTCAAATTGAACATCGTGAGAGCAATAGTAAATTGTTAGCGAATGGGTACATAATATGAAATACTCTTTTAATACACACTAGGAGGGATACTTGCCAGATGATGACCCCATGATGGCGATGAACTTAATTGACTCCTTGCAGATGGGACAGATGGTTTTGATGTATTGCCAAGGAAACCAAAAGGAATGAAGAGTGATTAAAAAGAGAGGCGGCTATCAAGTCATTATAAGGAAGGGTGATGAGTTTTAACAGAGCAAATCGAGAGTAAGCATTTGACTGCTATTCTTCTAAGAGTGCTGGCGTTGAGTACATTCAAAAGAAGATAGCAGATGGAAACATGGGTTAAAAATGCTAATGGTCTTTACTTTTGCTCCACCTAATATGGGTGGGTGGCGTGTTACTGTCTCTGTTCGTTAGGTAGTAACAACTAGGTTTATCTATTCGAATCCAAAGGTTAATAGAACGAAGTTACACTTTTTTTTTTGTGGATGAGGTAAATGAGGGGTTGAGTGAAAACAAGAATGATTAGTGAAAAAGAGCAAAAGGAGAATAGTTAATGAAAAAGAGCAAAAAGGAATTTTTTTTTTCTCCTTTCTTTAACTGTGCGGTGATGACTTGACAATTGACAATGCAGGAAAGTTAACCAAGGTGGCCCAGTGACAACACAGAATATCCACGTGTATTCCAGTAAAAGCTGCACGATGATGCATACTTTGTCAAGGCCCCCTCTCCCTAATCTCGCCTTTCCACATTTGTTATTGACCAGTTCCAATTGGCTCACGAAGAAGATGCATGTTCTATGGTACAAACTGCAGACATTTACACAAATAATGTTGATAGAAAGTAAATCCCTGCTTTTAGACCATATTCGAAAGGTCTTCCCCCCTTTTTCTTGACCTTCTAAACAACGAGGGTAGACACTATCAAAAAAGTACATGTACATGTACATTGAACTAATGAAGCCATATTTTCTCTAAAACATCAAGGATACATATGATATGGTCTCGGTGAATGGCGCGCGTTCAAGGGGCTTCACAACTTTGTGAGCATATTTTGAGTCGTACAAAAAAACATTTCCATCTTTTCTTTTCACATACCCCTGCATTGATAAATGCCAATGTGATTGAAGCTTCTGCAGAAGAAGTGGCTGTACCAAACAGACCATGATTAAAATATTAGAACCAACATATTCATGTATAGTTTTCTATACATACACAATTTGTTTGTGGGTGGAAGTTTGCTTGTATTCAAGTCTCGTGAGCTTGCTATAGCTCATAAAAAAATAAGCTATTTCTTCTTTGTGACCAAGGGCTTCCTCAAAAGAATAAATGTTCATGAAAAAAAATACAAAAGTTGCATGAGGCGATCTGTTGGCTCGTTACCCAGCATCATCAGCCCTCAGAGTCTCGCTAATGAAGTTGAGCACTGGGGTTTTTGCAGCTCCTAAACTTCCTAGAGATCATTTCTCTACAAGGACTCGTATAAAAATACATTATCATTATCACCATCAGGAGAAGTATAACCGCCATCATAATATGAAGCGACAGATATTATGGTTCAAATTAAAATTTCAATTCAGCCCATTTACGTAGCTATTGGGGTTCAGTTTCATCAGTCCATTTGGCTCATGTCTAGTCCATCAAGAATTCAGTTATGGAAGCATTCTCTTAATCCGCTATTGGCTATTGAGCTAAACTACAATCAAGATAAAACGAACGTAAACAGTAAGCATCAGTAGTAATCATTGTATGACACTCGTTCGACGCCAAAGTATTGGCACTCTCTTCGTATAATACCACCAACTGCTTGAGCTCCAAAAGACCTGAAGATAGTGGCTCGTTAAGAAAACATTCTTGGCCATTTCATTTGCAGAAGATAGTGAATGTATTAGTTGATTTGTTTAAGTTGCCATCAAATTAGTTCAATCTTGCAATGGACTTTATATGAACATCAAGCAAAACGTTCAAATCTATGAAACTTAACATTTGATTCAAAGGCACATCAGAAGTGACAACTTCAAGGTCAGAATCGGAAAGATGGTGCTCATGAAATGATACTGGTATGAAAGGCAGGAGTGCTGTTAAGTCGCTTACTGAAGCGGAGAATACCCTCCAAATAATGCGGCTGTTAAAAGCAATATTTGTCATAACCACAAGAAAAAAGTCGGATGTAGACATAACTAGTTCGATGGAATGAATGGTTCACGGATTAAGTGCTCCTAAGAGTTCAGATCGCTTTTTATGTGGTATGAATATTATTAGTGAGATTACCGAGCAGTTACATTACTAGGATCACATGAAACGAGAGGGTCCTCTTACTGTGTTCATTGTTAGTTGCGCTTTTCAAGCTACTTGTAAAAAGTTTTTCACGAACAAGTTTTCATATTACCGATCAATAACGCGATAGGCCCCTTTACATGTATAATGACTCTTATGAATTAAAGTGGAATGAGGTATTTTAGTATTAATCTCGTACGCTCGAGTTCATGTTTATTAATTGTATAGTTGTATCAATTTACAGAGGGACCATAGCCAATCCCAAAGAGAGAAGTGCAAGAGTGCCTGTTGAAAGGGACATTTGGATAGCAGAAGCTCCACTTTTAACATCGTTGGTTGACGCTGGTGGAGATCCCGAGGTAGTGCTGGTATCTTTTGGTCGCTTTCCATCAGGCTTGTAATCACCCGAAACGATCCCAGGTCCAGTAGAGTTGGTTAGGGGGATGAGATTTCCACACATATTGTAGCTTGAGCCTGTAACAGCCATATACACAGATTTATGAAGGGTTTGTAAAAACTTACAGTTAGCAAAACGCCAAACATTTATTCTTAGTCATAAAATATGAATAGTCATTTACCCTCAAAAGTCCTGTTGAATGCGTCCATGCTGACATCTTTTTGCTCACCGCCCTCCTTCGGTGTGCAGAGGCAAGAAACCTGGAACGAAGTACAGACAAAGTCGTTCGAAAATGTAGACTTGCAAGAGCTTGAGTAGGTGCTATTAGCACCACATGCAGCCGGCACGGCACCACCAAGGCAGGCATCTTCTTTGTAAATGTTGCACCATGCAATGGGTAGTTTAGCGGGGTCCACAGGACCAACAGCAGACACTCCTACGGTAGCGATAGCCAAGGATACAATTGTGATGAAAAGCTTCATAGTGGTCGTGGAGTATTGGATTTGGTAAAGGAGGAAGGAGAATAAGAAATAGAAAGCATTAAGATAAATTGAACTTGTGAATAGGTTTTTATATCCGCTTAGTTGGCGCAATTGATCGGATGTTTTCGTTATCAGATTCTTGAGAAATGATAAACAATTAAAATTATCAGATCTTGAAAACCAATGGTTTTTGGTTCTGGAATTTCTTTTCAAAGAGCACAGTTGGGCGTATAGTAGTTGACCCAGATGAAGAAAATACTATAGCTGGCAATACCCCACTTTTAAGTTTAGTGCCGCAAATACACACGGTTTCTCTTCATGATGAGCCTTTCCAATATCTACTTGGACGTCAAACAAACTCAGAGGTGTGCAATGTTCTATACTAAACTGAAGCTTTTTTTTTTTTTTTTTTTTTTTTTTCCTTGTGTCAAACATTGTTTATTTGGAAGACCGCTTTTGCATGTCACCTTTTTGCCGTGACCCATGAAAAACGACATTTTTGTATACAAATTATACATTATCACCTGGGAAAAACCGTTATCAAATGGTCTGCGGACACAATATGGTAGCCTCACCATCACTTGGCTATCTGCACCTTGAATGGCGACAGGATTGCGAAACAAAAGTCAACACATAGAGATGAGTTGCTATTTTTTAACGGCCCAGAAACATTTATGCAATAAGCATTGTCATGGCTAGACTACATCGGCTCTTCGTATAATGATATCGCCTCAGGAGCAACCCGGAAAAACGTATTTGGCACTCCATGAAACCAACTTTCTAAAAAGAGTGCTTGGAGGCAGAGCGGTTGGTTATTGCCGCGCTGTCAACAAGCTCCCGTTACCTCCTGCTTTCGTGTCCGATACCTCTACTCTTCTACAAAGACATACCCGTCCTTGCTGAAGGCTTGGAGGTAGAATGATCAACGGATGTTCGTGTACAAAATTACAAACGCTGTGACCCGCCATCACACTGCGATAACAGAATGCTTGGCACAGAGTGCATATAACCCTTTTGGTTTAGCTATAATAGATAATTGAGGGAATGAGCAGGTAGGAGAGGGAGAGTGTCAACCAGCATTCATTAGTTATCGACAGCTTATTTATAATCCCCTAGTTCGTATCACTTCTAGGGCGGGGATATTATTAGTGCAGTTGCTTTTTGAGGTGGTATAGGCACTATGGGCTACAGCCCTTGTAGATCCAAAAGCTCTAGGTAAGCTGTTGAGGCCGTACTTCAAAACCTCACTTCCTAAGGTAGGCCATCAAGGGCCTTCAACGGTTTGGCAGATAAGTGCATCACAGTTCTGGGCGGGAATAACGTTCGGGTCTTAACAGTTTTTTGTAATTAGCACGCCTGCTTCAAATCCATATTCTCTGCCCGTTCAGCTGTACCAGAGGAGGCATGTCGCAAGCGTATACTGCGGACCCAGCGGCCAGTAGCCAGGTTCGATAAGGTTTTTCATTTTGCTCATGTAGAGATATTCCTTGACCCTTGCATTTTCTCTTATGTTTCTAGTTCCTTAAGGCACTTTCCGGTACGCCTAAGCGCCTGAACCCTCTTTGATGCGCTTACGGTGAATTGCCTTTTCACTAGCTTCGGTACCGCTCAGAAACAGAGCAGTATTTCAGATGCTAAAGTCCGCCTTGACTCGCCTTTGTTGGCATGGGTAATATATATCTTACCGCAAAGTGGCGTATACTTTCCGGATACTCATGAAAAAGCACGTCTGAATGTTTACACAAACACGATATCATCAAAATTTGACCGAATCCATATCTAGGACCAGAGTTAAATTTTTGTTTAGAAATGGCTACGAACAAGGGGTGGTCCTATACATATATATTGCAAAAGGCCCCTTCAACGAAGCTTCATAGCGACGTCCTAGGCTCTTTGGTTTCATCTCCTTAGGTAGCTATATTTGGTTTATATAGCACAGGCAGGGATCGGTGATGGAGACCATAACCTTTCCTTTGAAAAAAGTGTCCAAAGGCTATGGATACCTATCTTCTACTCGTGAATGTGCAGAGTGAATAATAAGGATACTTTCCAACTTTCTATATGCTTTGATTAAGAAGGTTAACTCAGCCCTACTGTAATTATTTAATCCTACTATAGGCGTCAAGAAAGCTAAGACTCAAAACAGTCAATAGTGCACTCTACTGAGTCTCATTGCAATTGTCAAAAGAAAAGGAAAGATAAGCGTCGATGGTGATATCATCTATTCAATACTGAACAGTGGTATATGTGCGTGATAATCTTTTACAGTGAAATGGTGTGAGGTGCTTGGATGCCAAAGAGAGCCGCAAACCCACAATCCAACAGTCAGACGCTTTCAACGATAAATATTACAAAAACCATATTGCGCTCTGTGAACAGCCGTGATTGATCAAGGAAGAAAGTCGATTTTTTGACCAACACATGCGAAATTATCTATTATAGCTAAACCAAAAGGCATATACAATTGAAGCAAGCATTCAGCCGTTATCGCCAAATAGCATAACTGCTGCGCCAAAGTGAAGATGAGAGACGGCACGAAGACGTGAGGCAACAAGGAGAACCATATAGAGGTTAGTCCAATCGAAACGAGCACTGCGGCAGGGAAGTTGGCCCTCTCCATTGGCTACGGTCCTAATTCAAACAGCATCAATATAACAGGACCCTCTAGAGCTGATGAAGCTGTACAGATGGAAGAAATATCAAGAGCAACTCAAGAGGTCCAAAGATGAGATGCGTCCAAAAATGCGATCCCAAAAAGGACAAAGAGGTGAAATAGGGAAGAATAAACTAGAGGATGTAGGTAGGAAAGGGCTGTCGTCAACCGATCGACGCATCTGATCACAACACTCGATAGCGGGACATTGAAGGCAATCGCTGATAAAGCCTCGAATGATCGCGTAGAGGTTGTTCGTTTTGGCTTTTGAGAGGTCATTGTTGGTGTAAGTGAGCTCCATGTTTCCAAGGAGTGCCTAGAGTAGCAGAATTATGGTTATATGCACTCTGTGCCAAGCATTCTGTTATCGCAGTGTGATGGCGGGTCACAGCGTTTGTAATTTTGTACACGAACATCCGTTGATCATTCTACCTCCAAGCCTTCAGCAAGGACGGGTATGTCTTTGTAGAAGAGTAGAGGTATCGGACACGAAAGCAGGAGGTAACGGGAGCTTGTTGACAGCGTGGCAATAACCAACTTGTAGTTCCAGCCATATGTTTCACAAATGCAGCAGTAGTCTTTTTTTTGGGGGATCAATTATATTATTGATACCATTTTGAGAAAGAAAGAAGTTCCCACGGCGTGCTTTGGTATAATTGGTCGGCTGAGGATGAAAGTAGCCCATGTTTTGAGAGCCATAAATATATTCATTGAGAGCACATCTGTGATGAAAGAAAACCAGTGGCTTTGAATGACACGATGATGAGGGGAACACGCGCGGCAAGTGAGCCTAGGCTGAAAGCGAAGGTCGTGTTCATTTCCTTTTCGGTGCAACTTTCTGTTCTTTCTTCACTTGTCTTTATCCATATTCTTTGGCCCTTAAAGTATATATAAATAGTCATGGGTCCACCTCCTGTCGCTTTTTTTTTCTTTTTGTTTCTTATTTTTATTTTCTCACCCTTTTGTTTTAACGTTACCTCTTCATCACCCACTCATTCCTCCTCTTTCTCACAGTTCTCTGGCGATCAAGAAGACGCGAGCGTTATTGTTGAGAACTTTACGTACTCACCATACAGCCAGAATCGCAAGACTCATCAACATCAGCAAGCCTTCGCTGCCCCAATCTCTTTACCCCAATTTACATTTAATTCAACAGATCCCACAGATCCATCAACTCATTCTACCATGTGCAATAAAGCTGGCTCGAATCCCAACAGAGTGGTCCTTCCCACTAATGTCACCCCTTCGCATTATACTCTCACTATCACGCCCGACCTCAACGAATTCACATTCACCGGATATGTCGAGATTGAGTAAGTTGGTTCCAGCCTGGTCTTTTGTTTTGAATTAGGCCTGATAGAATTCCTAGCATCGTCCCACGATAATATGTTTCCATGTTCCGAAAAAGACAAGTGTTTAAACAACGGAATTTGAGTCGTGGGTCTGGAAGGACGGGCAATAGATTGAAGAAATCAACATTGATATTGATGGTGATTGCTTCACATTTTTCGAATTGGTTATTGGGAACATTTTGCTTGATGGAAAGAACACGCAAGAGAAGATATTTGTGAGCATTGGGTGATGAAGGCAACGGTGCTTCCTCAATCTTGACAACAATATTTAAAGCTTGAGTCTCTTGGTCACGTTGGTGTTTCTCCTGAGGCGCTACATCGGCTCCTTGATATAACGATCAGCAAATATAACGCGAATATCTTTTCATTTGCGAGAATTGTTTCCTCAAATGATGACGATTAGTTAACATTGAGTTTCTTCCTCGCATTCATCGTATTGTATAACTTTAGTTTAACTATTCATGAGGCTACTAAGACCGTAAAGCTCAATACCAAGGACCTGACCATCAAAACTACTAGCATCGAGGTCGACGGAAAATCGTAAGTATCATACACATCTGATACAATGGCAATTGAGATCAATTGGTCATAGAAAATAGATGACAGACTAAATTCCCTTACTAAAATCCAAGTATTTGTGCTTACATATTGACAGCTACGAGCCTGTCTCTACCGATCATGACGAACACCATGACACCACTACTTTCACCTTTGATACAGACCTTTCCAAGGGCGCTGCTATCCTCCGCATCCGCTATGATGGCATTTTGAGCGATAAGATGGCTGGATTTTATCGCTCTTCCTATAAGGATGCTGAGGGTAATACGAAATACATGGGTGTTACTCAGTTTGAAGCCACTGACGCCCGTCGCGCCTTCCCTTGTTGGGACGAACCCGCTGCCAAAGCCACATACACGATCTCATTGGTTGTTCCTACTGAGTTGGTGGCACTCTCCAACATGCCTGTCTCTTCAGTTACCCAAGTTGAGCCTGAGCAGAAGACTGTTAACTTTGAAAAGACGCCCATTATGTCGACCTACGTATGATTCTTATTCAGAACTTTTGTGAGTTTATATTTACAAGGCTGTTCCTAAACTAACCTCCTAAAATGACATCTTTCAATTTTATATCTGTAGCTTGTCGCTTGGGCTGTGGGAGAATTCGAGTATATTGAGACAACTACTACCAAGCTTGAAAAGCCTGTTACATGCCGTGTTTATACTCTTCCCGGCCTGAAGGAGCAAGGCCGTTTTGCTCTCGAAATCACGCCCAAGGTTCTGGAGTATTTCTCTGAGATTTTTGGAACCGCTTATCCGTTGCCTAAGCTTGATCATCTCGCCGTTCCGGATTTTGATGCCGGTGCAATGGAGAACTGGGGTCTTGTTACTTATCGTACTGTCGCTCTCCTCTTTGATGAAAAGACTTCAGACTTGCGTTTCAAGGAGCAAGTAGCTGTTACTGTCGCTCACGAAATCGCTCATCAGTGGTTTGGAAACTTGGTTACCATGGAATGGTGGGATCATCTATGGCTCAACGAGGGATTTGCTACCTGGGTCGGGACATTGGCCGTTGACCACCTTTTCCCTGAGTGGGACACCTGGTCAACATTCGTTGTTGATGATATGCAGCGGGGTATCGGTTTGGATTCGCTTCGCAGCTCTCATCCTATTGAGGTCCCAGTTAACGATCCTCATGAAATTCATCAGATCTTTGATGCCATTTCTTATTCTAAGGGAGCATCTGTGATTCGTATGTTGAGTAACTGGTTGACTGTCGATGTCTTCTTAGCTGGAATTCGTCGCTATTTGAAGAAACATGAGTATGAGAATGCAACAACCGATGATCTTTGGAATGCTCTTTCCGAGGAATCAAAGATCGATGTTCGTGAATTTATGAACACTTGGACGCGTGTGATTGGTATTCCAATCTTGAATGTCACAGAAACCGATGGCCTTGTTACGGTTGAGCAACACCGTTTCTTATCCACTAATGACGTCAAAGCTGAGGAAGATGAGACCATCTGGTGGGTTCCTCTTGGTGTTCATCCTAAGCCAGCTTCTATTGTTGACCCTAACCAGACTCTCAAGAGCCGTTCCCTTTCTTTTGAGATCCCTGAAGGCGCCTACCTATTCAACAAGCACTACAGTGGTGTTTTCCGCACCAATTACCCCCCCAGTACCATTAAGCGCATCGGCAAAGCCATCTTGGAGGGATCGGATTTAGTCGGATTGAGTGATCGTGCGGGCCTTGTTGCTGATATCGCCTCCTTGTCCAAGTCTGGTCACACTGCTACAAGCAACTTCCTAGACCTTGTACAGTACTACAAGAATGAGGAAGCTTACGTCGTATGGGAGCTCCTTGCCAATCGTGTTGGCGAGATTGCTTCAATTTTTGCTGATGATGAGCGTATCAACCAGGGTATTAAGCACTTCCAGCGTAATTTGGTTGATCGAATGGTCAGCAAGCTTGGATGGGAATTCCCCGAGGGCGAGGATTATCTGACCAGCCGTCTTCGAAACGTTATCTTACGTTCTGCAGGTCGCGCTGGTCACGAGGCTACTGTTGCTGAGGCAAAGCGTCGCTTTGCGTTGTTTGTTTCGGACCCGGCTCATGATTCGATCCTGCATCCCTCGATCCGCCAGACTGCTTTTGAAATTGTCCTTTCTCAAGGTGGGGAAGAGGAGTTCCGTCATGTTCTCAAGTATTTCCACGCAGCACCCAAACAAGATCAGCAAGTCATTGCTCTCTTAGCTCTAGGATTTGTACAGCAACCTGAGTTGATTGCTGAGGTCCAAGCCTTGGCAATTTCGGAGTCCGTCCGTCCTCAAGATATTTTCTATGTCCTTGCTGGTCTCTCCGCCAATCCTGCCTCGCGACGCCCTACTTGGGAGTGGGTCAAGGCTAACTGGACCACCCTTGCTAATCGTTACAAGTCATCAATGTCCATGCTAGGTGCTTGTGTTAAGTATCCTTTATCTCAATCCTCAGATGCGTCGCTCATCAAAGAGGTCAAAGAGTTTTTTGCTGATAAAGATACCAAGGACTTCCAGCGTGCTCTCGATCAAGCGTTGGAAGGCTTGGACATCAATTCTGCCTGGGTTGCTCGTGAGCAGCAAGGTCTTTCTGAATGGCTATCTGCTAACAACTACTGAAAAAATTCTCTAGATTTCATTATGCTGTTTGACCCCTCCACAAAACACACTGACTAACATGTAAATAAAAAATTTGATTCAAAGATGCAGCTTCATTGTTATTAATAGTGTGACAAAAAAAGTTTTCTATGATTGAAAGTTATCCTTGCGTTTGGAATACTTCAGTGACATTTTCGATGAGTCGGCAATTGTAGCATAAACAGGCTTCATCAATGGTCGCCTTATGATAATTTCTGTCCTGTCCTCCTGCAGCATGTGGATTGCAGCTTCTATGCGGGGCATTTTAAGTGCGCAAGCGGTGGGTTATATATCAAGATGGTAATGGCTTTCTTTACTTCTTTTTCACTTATTGTTCCTCGTCATCCATGGCGTACAATGCTGTGTACATCTTGACCAAAGAGTTGTATCCAGCCATATCTCCACAACGCAATAGATTTGCTATGGATGAAAATATGGCAAAAAAAAAAAAAAATTTAGAGGAAAGTATCAAATCGCCACTATTTATAAGGAACAAATGTATTCAGTTACAAACCTGCATCACAATTCAGTGGACTGCTCGGTTCGGGATTCGTAAGGAGTGAGCTGATGGCGACGCAAACCGACTCTAAAGTCCAGGATGGAGTCCATTCTGATTTCAAGATATCCAAGCAGATCTCTCCAGTCTAGAAAATTCCAAACGGGATCAGAGCGTTTAATACGAAATAAAAGACGGAGCTTATTTGCTTGATTGCTGGCCTCTCTCAAGGCGGGGACCAAATTTAGGATCAGGACACACAACCTCGCGGAAGAGTGTTTATGAAGCATGCCAAGACCAAAGTTTCAAATATCACTAAAAAAGCTGCCACTTCTTGCAAACATCGTTTGTATGTTGATTGGGTATTGCATTTCCATGGATCGGAGGGAGGTGGTTTAATATGCAAATTGTCCATTGCTCCATATGCACGCATAGATAAATAAGAAAGAGTCGCCCCAACAAAAATAGGGATGGTTACCATTACTTCTACAATACTTTGTTCAGTTGTCAGTTTTACCTTAAAGTGTACATTTGGATGACAAATCTTAGTTGTAAATCTTATTGCGGGTGGATGAATTGGGTAGTTGTTGGGGATAACAATGTCGAGTCTGAAACGACCGCCTTCGTACGCAGAATCAGCTGTACCTAGGAGAATTGCCTGCCAATGCAACAGATCGTCTTCTTGAATAGGTTCTAATAATTCGAGATGAGGCCGCGTAGCTGAGTTTTTTTGGATGGCGAGGTACTCTTTGAGCATCCGGCGATGAACTGCTGACGACATATTGTAATGTTGCTGTTACTATTCTTAATTGTTATAACCGCAATGGCGTATGTAACGGGTATTAGGAAGGAAGGGAAGATTAGAAGGGTGTTATTTGGAGGAGAATGTGCAGAGCAGGAAAGAAGATAAAGAGCACAATGTCAACTTTTAAGGGCTTTGCAGCTTTTAATAGTGTATATTTTTATTACAATTGGTATCTAGTGATGCTCGGGTTGATGCTCGTCATCTGTATTAGTCGAATCGGAAAAAATTGGACGTTCCAGGCCAAAGAAAGAACCTATGCGTCCACCCCACTTTGTTCTCATCATTTTTGTCTTCCAATCCACTCCTCGCAAGACAGGAGACGCAGGAGCAGAAAGCCGAACACCGCTTCTATGGTTCTGTCTATCGATATTGTTATTTTGCTCTTGCTCCAGCCCGGAAGGGCGATGATGGCGCCGATTCCTGAGCAATGGTTCGTCTTCATGACGATAATCCATGAACCAGGAATACGCCGTTGATAACAAGACAGCCCCGATTCCAATACCAATTCCTAGCTCAACGCTGATTATAAGTACTGCCACAAAAGTGACGCTCCAAATAAAAGAGGCCTTTTGCTGGCCTAATCTCCAAAGTTTGAATGGCTCGTTAATTTGCATGATCAGAGACTGTAGCGCTACTAAGACAATCGCCGCCAATACAGCATTAGGGACACGCTCAAAGCACCAAGTCAGGCACACAAGGGTCAGAGTGACTGTCATGACACCAACCATGCTTGCCAATGGAGTCTTGCCACCAGACTGGGCCAAAATTGCGGTCCTGGTTAGGCTGCCTGTGCATGCATATCCGCTGAAGATGGAGCCACCCATCGACGCGAGTCCTAACGCAAGCATTTCCTGATTTGGATCAACTTTGTATCCGTATCGCTTTCCAAATTGCTTGGCAATAGAGAAAGACATAACGTAGATAATGACAGCGATCAGTAGCCCGGGTTGCACCATTGGTAGCAAAACTGTTTTGACAAACTCAAGTGTCATCCATTCCTCCGATCCAGATGTGATCAGACTTGCAGGGAAAATAATCTTTGGTAAGCCTTTCGGGATCGGTCCAATCACATCAATGCCCCAGCCGCCTTCTGACCGTGGGGTATCAAGAGAGAAGGCAACATTTACGATCGTCAGGATGATTACAGCTAACAGGATGTCAGGGATAGGAATATAGATCTGGTGATCCTCTGCAGTTGTTGAGTTCAAGCCTTCATCCACCAGAGCCTGCTCGACGTCACCATGCTCTCTAGTATTATTGGAGAATGATCCAGTTTCTAGATTTCCATGAGCCGTTCGAAGCGAAGTGCTGGATGCTACCGTGCTTGAGGAAGGAGAATCGGAATATAGTGCCAGAAGTGTATTATTAGAAACATGGGAATCAGTTCCTGGTGGCTGTTGCCCTCGTCGCTGTTCGCGATCCCTAGCGATTGCTGCAGATATTGCCTGTCTCTGTTGGACAAGCATCATTTCCTTCTTTCGCTGTTGAATCTCGTAAGCGGCTTTTCTTTTTCGCTCTAATTTTCGCATGATAAGCATGAATATGATAGCGATGGACCCCAGCAAGACTGTGTACCAGTTGGTTTCCTCAAGAAAATGAGTCGCGATCCAAATCCAAGACTTTAAAAGTGCAAAAGCGCCTTGAGAAGACGGCATAGACTTGATTCCCAAAAAATGTTTCAGTTGAGATGTTCCAATGTGAAAAACAGCGGCTGTGTTGAAACCACCGACAAGAGCATCCGGTAGTAGATGTTTAGATGCCCATCCTCCAACCCGAAGGAACGACATAATGACTTGAACTAGACCGACCACGAACGAGAGCATGAGAAGCATACCAATGAATCGTCTCTCATACTCAGGGTCTTCAGATGTTGCCATAGTGAGGGCCTGAGCGTCGTTAAACAATGCGCTGAAGAGATTGAATTGGTCAGATGGGCCTGACAGGGTATTCTGCGCCATTAGGCCACGCACCGCCTGACCTAGAAGCAGCGTTGTAATTGCAAATGTACCCGTATGCATGTGTCGACTTGTACCAAAGATGCAATAAATCAAAATGGGAACAACGGATGTATAAAGACCATACACGGGAGGCAGAGGTGCGAGCATAGCATACGCCATACTCTGAGGGATAACAACAGTAGATATGGCTGATCAACAATAAAAAGAGTGACCAGAATTGCCATGTTAGACTACAATCCTCTCATGGAGGGGAGTTCGAGCATAAAGGAGCATCAAATTGTCAACTTACTGATGCCCGCAATGAGGTCATCTGGCAGATTTATGAGGCTGTATCCTGGGTTGTAGAGCCATCCATACATAGGAACCTTTTTCCGTAGCCATGTCTTCCAACATGACTCTTTCTCAGCTACGAGTATGGTGTCGTCCACTTGGATTGAACCCGAGGACAATGCTCTGGCACGCGCAGATGTGTTGACCCTTTGGTTGTCTTCCATTGAGCCTAGTTGCTGGTTCAGAAGCTCGTTGTTGGGGTCGTATGCTCTTGACATTCTCCGTTGAACTGTCGAACCACTGACACCATCATTGACATGGTTCAGTCCTCCTAAACTGCTGACACTCTGGCCACCCTCAGTGAGCGCGCTATTAATACTGCCATCAAGGATACTGCTGGCAGGGCTGCCAGCAACGTTCTTTCCGTTGGAGTTGAATGATTGACTATTGGCATTATCCAGTACGTCTTGAGACTCCAACATGGAGCGAGCGTTCCGGTCGGCTCGAACAGGCGAGCCAGGAATGGATGACATTAATTTAGAAAAGTGGAGCAATGTGCGTTGGTTTAATTAAGGAAAAGGAGGAAGGATTGAAGTGTTGACTGGTATTGATTCTGGTGTGGAGATACTATTTAAGCACATGACACCACAAAAAGGAGGGAAAAAAAAAACTTTTTACATTGTACATTCATTCAACATAAATTTGATCAACATGTCCGTTCTTCCTCGCCTTACCTTATTTACAAAGGCCAACTGTGGCCTATGCACAACTGCTAAGGAAGCCCTAACTCGTGTACAAGCTAAGGTAATACAGTTTCATGGATTATACTTTTTGCTCTCTTGGTAGATCTATATCATGACGGTACTCAATCATATTATTGATGCACGCATGCTATAGGTCCCTTTCGAATTAGATGAGATTGACATCTATGCAACACCAGAGAACGTTAATTATCAAAAATACATGTTCGATGTGCCTGTGGTCGAGATGAACGGGCGTGTGGCAATGATGCACCGCGTCGATCAATCTAAGCTGATTGAGATTCTACAGAGCGAGCAGTTTAAAGACATCCCTCTAGGCCAACATAATCATGAAGCATCAAAATAAAGTATACTATGGCGTATATAGATTTTCATGTCAATATCGGTGGCAACATCCATCTATTCCCATTTACTCAAAGTGGTGGGACCACCGGATGGTGTCATTTCTCCATTTTGATAAGGTTTTCTAGATTCAATCATATTTGCATCATCCTCGAGCCTTTATTTGGCACCAGTTTCAGACATGTCGTATCTGCCAGTGTTTTTGTGACCCCAGCAGACTGAGCTCAAATCAACGTGATTTTACATCGGCTTCTGGAGGTGCAATTGTCTTTGAATGTCGCGCAGGATCCAACTTGTCTTCCATAGCATCACTGACGTAGAGTCCTGCCAATGCAAACGCCATTCCCCCTTTGGAATGTAAATAAAAGAGAAGGTCTCACGCAAAATAAGCTTTTTGATTACAATATTTCTGATTAACGTCCCATGAGGCTCTGTCAATTACCGAAACCAATATACATGCGTGTACGAGGTGGCAATGCCTATAAATTACAAGTGAGGTTACAATCTATAACTAAGCTTCTCCGTTTCACCAATAACTTGCTGAATGTCGCATTCCCGTATGAGAATGCATACCTTATATTGCACCCAGAGCGATTTCTTCATCGTACTTTTCCTCGAGGACATGGCGTGATGTATCCAATGCATGTGGCTTCCTCAATCTGTATTTTATATTAAAGGGCACGTGATATATATTTTTATTATGTTTCTTAAGCCTCTGCCTGATAGAACCTTTCGATATCCTCAACATCTTCCTTGCTTCCCAAGAAAATAGGCGAGCGCGAATGAATACTCTCAGGTTGAACATCAAGCATTCTCTTGCGACCAGTTGATGCGCGGCCACCAGCCTGTTCAACTAAGAAAGCCATAGGAAAGCATTCATATAAGATGCGGAGTTTTCCATTCTTGGACTTGCTGTCGGCAGGATAACAGAAGATTCCTCCATAAAGCATAGTACGGTGAACATCAGCCACCATAGATCCCACATAGCGAGCGGAATAAGGTGCTTTTTTTGGATCCTCAGGAAATTTGAGAGAATGAAAGTATTTGGTACAGGCGTTGTCCCAGTACTTGGAATTACCCTCGTTGACGGCATAGATCTTTCCACGAGAAGGGATTTGAATCTGTAGTAAGAAACGTAAAATAGTTAGATCCTGCAGGATTAAAGAGCTTTAGAAATAGGTTTACAAATTTCAATATTATTTACATTCGGGTGTGTGAGAATAAATTCACCGATTTCAGTATCTAGGGTATATCCATTGACACCCTTGCCAGTTGTTAACACCAATGTCGCACATGAACCGTAGGTACAGTATCCAGCAGCGACCATCTCGGAACCCGGACGGAGAACGTCTGAGATCTGGCCAAGTGAGTCTTCCTTCTATTGTTTGACATGAATGATCATTCGATCAGCGTATGCTCTGTTAACATGTGATACCGAAAAAAAATGCGGGGAAATCCATTCCTTAAAAATATTCAGGTCTGTTTATTACTTACGACTTTATAGATTCCAAAAATGGTTCCAATCGAGACACCACAATCGATGTTGGAGCTTCCATCCAGAGGATCAAAAACCACACAGTACTTGCCGCGGTATTGATCTTCAACGATAATGGCTTCTTCATCCTCTTCAGAAACCATAATCGCGACCTTGTTGGATGATCGAAGCGCATTGACAAAAATTTCGTTGGCGATAACATCAAGCTTCTTTTGCTCCTCGCCCTGAATGTTGGAGGTATTCGCAAGGCCGGTCCTGACAGGTGAATTAAATGAAACAATAATAGGTAAGATACTACAGTTTAGTTCAGTAACACAAACGTGAAAGGGTAAGTACTTCATACATGCTGATTAAACTAGCCTTGCGGACATTCGAGGCAACAAATTTGCAGCCAAGCTGAATGGCAGTGAGGAGTAAGGTGAGGTCGCCAGAAGCTTCCTTATAGTTTTCGACTTGGTCTTGAAAGACATGACGAGTGAGAGTGATGAGGTTTGTCTTGGAAGGGTCAGACATGGTGACGTTTATTCTTATTTCTGATGGGGTCGGAAGCAGATGAGAAAGGAATGGGAATTGTATAGGACAAAATGATTCTGTTGGCACATTTTATAGTAAAATAAACTTTTTGTTACACGGATACATCCCAAAAAAGAATATGTCATTGTTCCTGCCCCTCATTCTTCCGAGTCACCCCGTTGTATTTTTAGAAAGGTGATGTTTCCCACGATCACGCGCTTTATTATATGTTCAAAAGAATCCTAAGGCGTATCTTTGCGACTGAGTATCAATGCCAACTTGCGGTACCACAGAGGATGTGTCTGTTCTGGCAAGTTATCGAAAGACGATATTCCCCTTGGTTTGTTGAGGGCCGTTGTCATATCCGCTGTTTGGCTAAGGTAGAGCAGCGAGTTAGTTTATTCTCGTGCTAACATTTGGTTTCTGAGATCATTCGAGTTTAGCGCAAAACGTACCCGTACCCTCCACAGGTTGAGCAAAAGCAAAATAAATTACATATTCTAACAAGCTCTTGCTCTTCCCAGTCTGTCAAAACTCCAAACTCTGCTCGTGTGAGTAAAATTTGAAGTGCTGGCCTAAGATGCTTAAGTTTGGGCTGATGGAGACTCAATTGGTTGTTTGTAGCGGTCGCTCGAGAGGGCTTATCTTCGGTTTGTTTGCTTTTGATCCGGATAAACATCTTTTCAAGGTTCCGTTCACATCCTCGAGGCTTTCGGCCCCTTTCAATATCTGCAATGATCTTTTGTTGGTCAGCTGGGATCTGTTGAATCAGAATTCTCAATAATGGCCGGACATACAGATCGGAGTCAGCTGCAGGGTCATGATTTAAAATAAGCTCAAGAGTCTGAAGCTTTTCTCGACCTTCAAGAGCCGCAAGTAATCTAATCGGTCCAACATTCAGATGATGTAATATTTGTACAAGTAAGCAATTAAATTTAAGCTTCGAGAATATAATAGAACGGCATAAACTTACTGCAGGCAGATGAGGCTGCTGTTATTGTTGCTGTAAAAACGCCTTAGAAACCCCTTCATATCATGGATAGCTATTCTACGTCTTCTCGGGACTTTTTTCGCGTCAAATTCAGCCTTATCAACATTGCCACATCGTAATCGCACTAGATATACAAGGAAAATGTCGTTTTCAGCATCCATTCGAAGGGTCTGCTCTAATAAGTTTGCTGCCAAGTGTTCATGTTTATATATGCTTGATCTCCATTGGTCAGTGCCATCATTTTCGTGTTCCTCCTGCTCAAGCCAATCATCAATTCCTTGAACTAAATCGCTTATGTCCGTGGTCTCCATAGCACCTGAAAGTCCGCTAGATCTCTCACTGTTATGCTGTTGAATGGCTTTAGCCCACAGGGCAAACTCAGTTACTCCCGCGTATCCTACGAGCAGAGGATTTTCGTTGTAAGGGTACATGCTAACTGCTCTGCAACCACGGGATGTTAACTATCACGGTAATGTGTGCTAGGTAATCAGTGTTTCGCTTTTGTATTGTAGTGCATTAACAATTTTTACTTACGGTTCCAAAGTCTTGCGTGCCTCCTCGATCATCCCAAACCGCAATTGATATAGGGCAGTCTCTAAAACGATTGATTCTCGCTAACAAAATTGAACGACAGATTAGCATACAACACAAGTAAGTCCAGGTTAATAAATCATTGTCTATGAACTTACACAATCGGTGGACATGGTAAATATTTTTTGAAGGAAACGCAAACAACGTGGTTCGTACTGTTGCTCCTTCCTCAGTACTTCGCATCCGATCTATTAAATGATCATTTGGATCTTGATAAGTTTTTACAAACGGGTCCTTTAGAGCGGAGCAAACTGCCAAAGGCTAGAGGATATCTACCTTCCACACCAGCTCTTCAGATAGAACGCGACGAGTGGTTATTAGTATACTATAGAGTTTGAATGCTCTACTATAGTCACGGCGAACCAACATCTTCCGCAGAGCATGACCAGTGAGTTCTAAATGCACTTTTCGATTAGATGTAGAATGGAATGTCTTGGTATAAGGAAAGAGTGAGTGGAGCTCCGGCTCAATTCGAGGCTGATTTGCTTTCGGCATGATTTGTTGTTGTCAAAGTTATGCTGATGCTCTATAATTAAATATCAAAAAGGAATAAGTAAGTGCTTGACATCCGCAAAAAAAAAAAAGCTGCCTTGAAAAGTCACAAAAATAATAATAATAATAATAATAAAAATAGCAATCGTCAACCTCTGTCTTTTTAACTTGCATGCAAAATAATTAGAAAATGACATCGCGTATTGTCGTGTTGATCTCTGGAACAGGATCCAATCTCCAAGCGTTGATCGATGCCACTAAGACAGGCCAACTCAATGCAGAGATTCCTTTGGTTGTCTCTAATCGATCCAGAGTATTTGGCCTTGAGAGGGCCGAAAAAGCTGGGATTCCCACAAAGGTCTTGGCTTTGAAACCTTATACCACTGCAGGCAAGACTCGAGCAGAGTATGATACTGACCTTGCCCAGTTGATTATTGCTGCCAAACCGGATCTCATCATTCTTGCCGGGTTCATGCATATCTTATCACCTGTATTTTTGGATCAGTTCCCATCAACCCCCATTATCAACTTACATCCTGCACTCCCGGGGCAGTTTGACGGCGCTAAGGCGATCGAGCGAGCGTTTGAGGCTTTCCAAAAAGGCGAAATTAATCACACGGGAGTGATGGTTCACCGGGTTATTCAAGAGGTAGATGGTGGTGAACCTTTATTAGTCAAAGAGGTTGAAATCAAACCTGAGGACGATCTAGCGGCACTACAAGAAAGGATACATTCAGTGGAACATGTCCTCTTGGTGCAGGCTGCAGCCCTCGTTCTTGATCAAGTGGCTCTAAATCACAACATTTCAGCAGAGGGTAAATAAACTCCATAAAGACAGTCACCACCCCTGGCGCATCTCGCGTCAAATATGATTTGATTTGTTTAATTCAGGGCATTGCCATTCAAAGGATAATTAAACCCATACATGACCGATCAAGAAGAGCAAGTGATTACAACAGAGGCTGGAGAGCCTGTAATCGAAATTATTGAGGAGCCTCAGCCTGATGGAACCATTTTGCGCAGGAAAAAAATCACTCGCAAGATCACCAAACGTACCATCACGTCGAGCTCATCAAACTCAATCACTTCCTCCTTTAATGAAAGTGAAACAGCCTCCGCCACGGACTCTGATTATACACGCTCAGTAATGACTATCGATAGTAATGTAGAAGTGCAACTGCCGCCTAGGAACCAAAAGGAAACGCATGCCACAGAAGAGACAGCAGCGTCTCAGGAGTCGAGTAGCCGGGAGATATCGGATATGGAGGGCGTTGCTGTTGAGGAGACTACAGGAGCCAAGCGAACTTTTATGTCTCAAATTTTCGGACAGGACGGACCAAAGGACCATCCGTTCTACAAATTTCTGGCGATGTTCCCTTTGAAACAATTGCCTGCTCCTCATACGCGACCTCGACCTGTGAAAGCCATCCTGTATGCCTATGCTTCTGGCTGGAAAGTTAAGGAGGGGATATCGGACGATTTGTCGCAGTCCACTATCGGAAGCTTTGATGTAGATTCTCTCAAGTGGATGGTAAGTTGAACCTCATCTTCCGGAACTGAGCAGCTACTTTAAAGAAATTTGCACAGATAAGAGTTCCAGCAAGGTTAATTTATCAGCACAATCATATAGACCTATCTCAAGTTTAACAAAATTGATTTTGAAATCAAGCCAGCATTTGAGCCGTCAATGTCGCCTACAGGGAAGCTGCCCTTTTTAGCCCTACCAAATGGGCTGTATGTGACATCTGAGGGGTTTGAGAAGTGGATTCAAGAGAACAAGAATCAAGAAAATTCAAACAAGCTTAGTCATCATGAAGCTGCTGAAGCTGTTGCTTTCATTAGCCTGGCCGAATCCAAGATACATCCAGCTCTTGTAAGTCGAATTATTGATATTTATGTTCTACAGCATAACAAGATGTAATATTCAATCGCTTGTATTATTATTTTATCTTTCTTTAGCTCTATACTTTGTGGTTTGAGTCTTCTCATTTCTGCACTACGACGCGCCAGCATTACTTTGGACATTACAGCTGGATTCTAGCCACACTGCTTGCATACCTTGGAAAGTCAGGCGTTGCCCACTCAATGCTTCTTACACGCGCACAAATTGACAGGGAGCTTATTTTTGACGAAGCTGCCGCAGCGATTGAAGCACTATCTGTTCAGCTGGGTAGTGATAGCGAGTACTTTTTTGGAAAGAGTGAACCTTCAAGTCTTGACGCTATCATCTTTGCCTACCTTCACGTCATCCTCACGTTGCCTCGGATTAGGAATGCAAAAGATGGAGGCCAATCCGATGAGCTTTCAAGAATTGTCAGAAAACACGAAAATCTGTTCAAATATTCACAAAATATCTGGAAGAAATGGTTTGTCGCATAGATGATTAATAAAGCAGGCATCCTGCAACATGCACGTGATCTAATAGGTGCTATTCACAAAGTTCATTCGCATCAATTCATTGACAATCAAGTTTAAGACCTGAAAGAACTGCAGCTGCTCGAGACGTAGAAATCCTAGAAACACCATCCTCAACAACCGTTATTCCGTTGTATCACAGCATTTTTGAATACTATTGTACCTACTAAAGTCTCGCCTCACACCTTTGTTTCTGGAAGCGCATTTGGTCATTGTGGCCTCTTAGTGCCTCTAACACCTTGGCTATTATAAAGTCCGTTCATCCTAAGATGAGCGACCGTAGGACATCGTTTATGTTGGACTCCTCTACGGAGCTGGCGTCAGAAACCTCGCCATCCATACTTCCAACGGCGGAAGGGCCTGCATCTTGGACGACATCGCAGGGTGATGACATAGAGGGCGGACTAGAAGGCATGGAAGATGAAGGTGACATGCAGGATTCTGATGACCTAGACACGACTGATAACTTTGACCAAGAATTGGACGAGAGCCGTGATCATGACCAAGTACTAAACAAAAAATGCTATAAAGAGGCAAGTGCTAACTTATGTTCGAGGAGCCATACAAATAGACTCACAATTACCTTTCATTTTTCCCTGTATTATTCTTCGAGTAGGAAGAAGAAGATGACTTAGAAACGAAGGTATGCAACCATTTTGGTAAGGGTAGTGTGCAATAGCAATTGGCTTTGGCTGATTACACTTCTCACAATATCTACATCTCGGGAACTTTGAATTCATTTTAGATGGATGAATTATACCATCAGCTACAAGTGGAGACAAAGGCTAAGGTATATTATTGTATATTGTTGTACTGTGATTTTGTCTTCGGCATCACTATAGATGGTTAACTGACTGTCATGTCTTGATTAAAATGACTACAGGAATCGGCTGAAAGTTTGTTAGAGGTAGCTCGACAATATTTAAAGGACAATCCAGTATAAAAGACTTGCATTAAAATATAATTAGAGGGAGCACTAATCTAGCGGCACTAATCCATCACAATCTGAAAAACCTTTCAGGTGTATCGTAGCAACGGTGTAGGCAGCCAAGGGAATAACAAATTAAGGAATCAGGTCGAGCAAGAGTTGCAGGCAACGATGGCGAGGATAGCAGAAATCAACTTACAATTGGACTACTATAAACAGAGAGCATTTGACCCCCCGTCATTTGGTAATCGCGTGCGGCTTTGATGAATAAGCATTGAAGATCTGATTTTTATAAAGAGCCCTCATCTCATAAAACTGATTTTCTCTGTTCTTTCCTAGGTTATCTTCCAGATCAAGACTTGAAGGACTCGCAAACTACTATTCCTGTAGTAACGGGGAGAAGCCATTCAAACTCTTTTTCGACCAGTGACTATGCTGATAATGAAGATGGTACTGTCGACATTATTATCGATGTCATTAACATACTTGTAACTTTGCAGCAATAGTCATTCTGACTTGATTTCTTTTCTCCTGTATAGATCGACAAAGCATACACTCCGCTGTATCAGACATTGTGGGCTCGCTTCGAAGTCTTCTGGATTCACCATCCATTCGGCTTGAGCAGCTCTCAAATTTAGCCAACATATTGAAGCAGAACCAACAGGTTCATCCAGGATACCCAATACAGGAACTAGTATCGTGGTAAGTGCCATAATTTAGGACTGATCGATGCTTTGATGGTGTTAGGTTTTCGCAATCGCTCCTTACTTTGTCTTAGTCTTCGATTTTGTTTAGCGAGCACTGTCAGAGAAATACGTATGAATGCATACAGATGCCTTCGACTTCTTTCAGGATCAGAGCCACTCGGGCAGGTTTTAACGACTCAAAAATTGGATATTTTCATCATCAGGTATTGAGATGCATTATATGATTCTCCGTCATATCGAATTAGGCCTCAATAAATGCACATATTACTGAACATTTGCCCTACTATGTTTTGCACCGCACCTTGATACACTTAAGGTCACTCATGGCAGACCATCGTGTCGAGTCGGAGAGAATAGAGGCACTCAAGCTCGTAAGGTGCTTTGTGACGACCAAGGAAGGCATGCAGCACCTATCGGATGGTATTGTGAGGGCAGTCATTGCTATAGCGGAGCAGAGTGATGAGAAGCTAAGGAACGCTTGTCTGGAAACCCTTGGTGAAATGGGTATGATTGTTTTATGTGATATAAACTATCTCCTTTATTATCTATTTGATTTGCAGAGAATGAGACAGTATACTGTTACTGATGGCTGTTCTTTCTGGATAATAGTTATGTCTGATCCAAAACCTGTCGCGCGCTGTGGAGGCTTCAGGCCTATCCTGGTCGCGTTATCAGAAAATCTCCAGGATTTGTCCGATGGTTTGCTCAAAGTATTTTTGTATATGTTGGAGAGTCCTGACACTCGAATTTATCTGCGACAGGGTCTTGATTCAGAAGTAGGTTTACGATGAGATTCTGGCTCTAGTTCCTGCTAATTTTATTGGGTACGACAGCGTGTTTTTACAGCTCGGGATTTTCTTTACCACATTAGATGGTGATGTCGGTTTTCACTGACATATATTCTCAAGGACCGTCTTATATGGAGCGTGTGAAAGCCTCGGGGCGTATTGTCACGTCGATGATTAGGTCTTGGGCTGGGTTATTTGATCTTTGTGCAAACGATAAGCGTGCGATCCGATCATTGGTTCAGTCTATTAAGCTTCCAATACAGGAAAACAGAGTAGGAGGAGTTGCAACAGCTACTTTATTGAAACCAAGCTGTCTTCCTCAACGCTGATCTCTATATGCTATTTTGATTCCTTACAGAAAGTGCTATTGAATATGTTTTACGAGATATTCCGCATACGAATTCCAATTTGGCTCAAGGAGTTTTTAGATGGGAAGCATGGTAAGCATTATTGGTTTGACATAGCGAGTTGAAGATTTAATATTGACACGGTTTTCTTTACAGTTAAACCTACACAAGATGATCTTGATAGCTACTGGGAGTCGAACCTGCAGCCTCTTGGGCTCGTAGATCATCATCAAAGTATTGTGCTTACAGTCTTCATTGACGCAGGATTGATTGAGGTTTGTCTTGGCAGAATTTCGCAGTAAAAAACAAATCGATAAATATAGGGCAATACTCAAAATAGCTTTTTAACTTGCGCCCCTCTGTAGATGTTGACCGCTCTCATTGTAGAGAATAGTGGGAATATCAAGTGTGAAGATTTGGAGGCTAAAAAAATATTAAGGAAAGCTGCTCTGCTGATACCTGAGCTTATGCAGCTCGCATACAAGATCCTGCCACCTGATAAGAGTATCCACATCCAGACGTTGCCTTCGTTATTTCAAGTCGCGACAAACTTTGATGACCCTGTTCTTCGCCATATCGCAGCCAGTGCTTTCCGGTTCATTGATGCTCTCAGCCGGACGTCGAGAGGTATCGCTGCGGAGAAGTATGTATATTTGAGTAAGAAGCGCTATTGAGTCATTTAGGCGCTTGATCGCATTCGAGATTTCCAACTAATACTCTTTTGATAATTACAATCCTAGAATGGATGATGGCCGCGGGCGAAAGAATATAGACAGAATCAAGCTAAGAATAGGATATCAATTAGATGACGCTAATTTCCGATCGATGCTGAATGAGACGCAGGTATTATGGTGCACGAAATATAATATCTTTTATTTTTTTTATTTTCTAGAGGCTGTATCTAAGCTTTTTTTTTTTTTTTTTTTTTTTTTTTTTTTCTTCCTTGCTATAGGTGTTGGCCACGAAGGATGCTTCTAAATGGCAGTTGGATTTGATATTGGAGGTTATTCAGGGTCCCATGCTTAATCCTCGACGATTAGATGAGGCGACGCGTAACACAAAGTTCATAAAGCGTTTGCTTGCTTTCTATAGACCCCTAGACCATACCAACCAGAGTCAGCCTGATTTTGAGGTATTTTCTGTCTATACTTTGCTCTTATCAGCTTTTCTGAACTTAGCTACCCCTTTACTAATAATTATGGGATGATATCTGTGGCAGGATCTTCAAAAATACACCAAAATAGGATGCGCGCTTTTCGAGACACTTGCAAACAGTACCGAGGGAGCAAAATACCTTGCTCAAAACAAAATATTGAGACTGATCGCGGATGGACTTGCTCAACTGGATCCGGTATATAGGATTTGCTCTATCATGTTTTGAAATAATTGCGGTATATCAGCCATCAACTTGGACAAACTAACCGTCTTTGAAATTTCCTTGCTGCAGATGCAAGGCCATCCAGGATCAGAGGACATATTTTCAAGAGAAAAAATGGAAACAACAATATCGTCAGGGTACTTTGAAATGCTAGGCACTCTCTGTAAATCCCGTAGTGGATCATGGTAACACAGTAGCTCTTCTCTTTGTTTGTAAGCTGTTAAAAAAAAAAAAAAAAAAAAAATTACTGACACCTTCGTTTCAATATCAAGGCTACTGGAAAAATTTAAAATATTCAATCTTTACTATCGATTGAGCGAACTAAGGAGCCGCGATGATATAGTTAAGCGAATTATCACATCAATGGATTATAGCATGTAATATTGCCAAAATGTATCGGCGTCGTGAATGCTTATGTAATTGTAATTTTGGTAACCATTAATGCGCCGTTCTGTACGCTATTAGGGATGGGCATCCGCGCGTGATTTTATCGAAAATTATGACCTCAGGGTACAAGCATATCCGGTTATATGCAACCCAGCATCTTGGGACGGTGATTAAAAATGACAAGAATGAGTTCACTGACTGGGGAATCCGGCTATTGTGTACACAGGTAACAAACAGCATTGCAACTGTAATTGTATAAAACTGTTGTGCGTCCGTGGACTACTGGTTTTTACATTTTTTCACTCTTTAATTCAATCCGATGGCACAGCTCTGCGACCCTTCTTTAGAAGTATGTTATATGGCAGTAAAAGTGTTGGACGAAGCCTGTGCTCAACGGAAAAACCTGGATCTTCTCATTCGACTTCGACCAAACCTTGACCATCTGGGTGAGGCCGGTAACCCTTTATTGCTAAGGTTCCTATCCACATCCAAAGGATTTCGTTACTTGAATGATATGTCATATATCGAGGGACAAATGGACGACTGGTTTATGGTAAGCTAGCTAGTTCTAAAGCTCATGTCATTTTTATTTTTTATTTTTATATACTTTAACTTCATGGCTTTTTTTTTTTTTTTATTTTTATTTTTATTTTTTTTTATTTTTATTTTTATTTTTTATTTTTTATTTTTTTCATTTTATTTTATTTTTATTTTTCATTTTATTATTTCTGTACAAAAGTTTGCAAACAGGCAGTATATGATCCAAACTGAGGTCAAACTTGCTAGAGCGATGGAGATTCAGCGGTTTAATCCCTTTTCTGAAGATGGTCGATTTGAAAATGAAGCCGAACTTCAAATTACGTATGTGTGAGCTGTATTTTATTTGGTGGATAGTTTCCTTCTAACTGAGCAATGTCAATTCTAAAGATTCTTCGTATTGTGTATTAGTCACGCTAAACAGGTTATTACGCCGCATTTCTATGGCGAGTTGACAAGAACTGACGAAGGATGCGAGCTATTGAGGAAGCGAGGTCACTTTGCTGTCTACGCTCGCTTTATCCGAGAGCACTGTGCTGAGTTTAAAGACTCAACCATCATCAGCGAACTCAAGTCGATTCTTTGGGCTGTGGTACATATTGAACTGAAAGTTGATTGGTTTTGGTGATGGATTTACGATGTGTGCTTCAATAGCTAGTCTGAGCGAGTTGTGATGACCCATAATAATTTTGTTGGTTTTAGGGTAACATTGGATCAACAACCAGGGGCCTGCCTTTTTTAGAAGAAGAAGATCTAATCAAGTACATTGTTGGAATGGCAGAGCGTTCCAAAGTATTATCTTTGAAGGGGTATGGGGCCTGCAAATACATCAATTGGATATCATGCGTACTATATTTGCGGAAGACCTGACAGCATATATTTGGTTCTTCACAGGACATGTTTCTATGTATTAGGTCTGATGTGCAAAACAACACAGGGTATTGAAATCCTTGAAGATTACGGCTGGCAAGGCATTATGCATCGTGATCGAATGCCACGAGGTTTGTGCTTGCCCAAGGATTTGGATCGATTTCTGGAGGTTAGTCATTTCCTGCATTTGGATAAAGAGCCGTTTGTTTGATGGATTTGTAGATCTTGATGCTTCAACTGTCGTCTTATTCTGGTGCTTTAGGTTCCTCGCTGGGATCATTACCGGGAAGTTGTTCCCAAAGTTTTGATACCTCTGGCCATTGAAGGGGATGTTGTGGAGAAGGAAATTTTGCGATGTACTGGTGAACTTGGGAACGATATTCTTACAGGTGGTGCCTCTAAGAAACTGGCCAAAATTAAGACTGAGCACCCAACGTATTTCGGGAGCCTTCCTTTGTACATGGCAGTAATTGAATTACTTGGCCATTATCATTTCAGGCTTCCTGTCCGTCGATTTATTCTTGGTCTGTTTGATATGAAGTTCGAAGGCTCCATGTGGGAACGACTGGATAGTCTAGGGTCAGCGCCAACTACAGGAAAAGTAATAATGCCGAAAATGGCCTCGTCGTGGACAGAGACGATGGCGATACCCAGAGATTCCCTGGATGTTGTTGGGCGCTCAAGCTTTGATGGCGCTACGGGAACAACTGGAGCTAATGGCACCATTCCACGACCCCGAATTGCCTCTGATGCTCTGCAAGAACCACACCGCCCTTCGTCGGCGTACCCATTGGCAGCTACAGAAGAAGCGACAATGGATATTCGCCCGAATGATGAACTTCCGGCAGTAGATACACAAATAGCTTCGACTCGCCACCTCAATAGAAATGGCAACGATCTTGGAGTTATGGATGCAATCTCACTTTCACAGCCTCCAATTCCCCCTCCTCGGCCACCGCCTAATGCATACGAGATTCTTTATACCAACAAGCCGTACCATAGAAGCTTTGCGAGGGAAGCGGGCTTGGCTCCACTTCCGCCACGCGTGAAAATCCAATTAGATGAACCAGTGATGGATGAAGATTTGATGCCGATGGAAGCCTGGCCATAGAGCGTTCTACATAATGAACTCCCAAAAAAAATAGATAACTTTTTTTTTACCCAAGTCATGAGATAAAAAAAGTGAAATAGCGACAAGGTTAATGCTGCTTTATGTCATAATTGGCTACAATCAGCATTCTATAACAGAGCTTTGGTCACCGATAAATGGACCAAGCAAAGAAGATGCATTATTTTATTACTCATTAGCGTAATTCCTCTCAAAGTGTGATAGGGGGGGTCAAAGCCTTTTTTTTGTCTTAATCCTCTAAACCTTTGATATAATCTAAAGTTCTTGTCTAACATAGTCATCTTGGACTTTGCCCTCAATTTCGCTCATTTGCTCACTTGTTGCTCCACACAATCCCCAGTGCAGAAGGTCCTTGCTCTTTTATTTCTTTTCTATCATCTTGTCTAGGTTGTTACTCATCCCTCTTCATTTCTCTTTTTTCATCTCCTTCTTGCCTCTCTCCTTCGTCTCAGCCTACTTCACTATTTTTTTTTTTTTTTTTTCTCTTTCTCTTTCTCATTCTCATTCTCATTCTCTCTTCCCCTCTCTCTATTCCTATCCAAGTCATTCAGTTCATTACTCTACTCTACCTTAAGGCCATCTCATTTTTATCAACGAGAATAATAATAATAGGAACAATAAGACCAATAAAAGGTCAAAAGTAGGCGCCAAATAAAGGTTGTGCCGGCCCAACCCAAGCAACAGCGTCCATTCTTTGACGCGTCGTTAAATCTCTATATTTGCTACGCAGTCCTTGACTCTCACACTGATGGATAACAAGCAGTCGGGAATGGTGACTCCACCTATTGTCTCACCCCGCCCTATCCAAAACCAAAAGCCTCTGACTGCAGATGAGAGTTGGAAAATCGTCGGTAGTCCACCCAGACGACCATTACTGTCTCCTCCAGAGGAAAGGGAGCGCAACCGGGGTCTGCAAGATAGCGACCTTACGACGGTTGAAGGAAACAGCACGAGAACAATAGCTACTGTAACTTCTACAGTCAATAATGACATTACTGAATTTGCAGACTCGACTGCTTCATCAGTTTCTACAGGTATTGGCAACGAGTCGTCCCCAGTCTCGTCTGCTCTATCAAGCTTCTCTCCAGGCGGCTCAACACGGCATAGTCTAACATCTCGTCACAATTTGGCTGACCAGAACCAAAATACAGGACCGTTGTCGTCATTAATGGCGCCAAGCACCAGTCATATCGATAGGTTTATTGCAGGAAATGGACTATCGCCTTTTGATGAAGACTCACCTGCCAAAGAATCCGAACAGCAGCCTCTGCACTTCAAAAGCTTTAGCACCGGAACGCCTTCTAATGTACATCTCGATGCAGCAACTTCTCTTTTGGACAATGATGACGTCGGATTAAGTCAATCGCTCACTGGACTTGGACGTGAAGCTACAGTGACTAGTACTGGCCTAAAACAGGGCAGTATCGGGTTAGAATCATCTTTGAGTCGGAGGCCATATTTCTGGAATCCAATAAAAAACGTAAACAGCCAGACATCTACTAAGGCCAGCAGCAGTGGTCGTCTCGACGCTATAGGGCCCAATAGTGGTAGGACGGCTCGGAGCTTGTCTTTTTCTGATACTAGCTTTTCGACTACATTTGGACTTTCTTCAAATAACCTTACACTGGATCAGGAAGATGAGGATGTATTGAGATACAGACCACCCTTGCCCACCATGGAAGAGGAGACAGAGGAGCCTCTTGAACCACGCATCAGCCGAACTAGGAGTTTTTCCACATCTGCGACTCTAGGTTCGAATGCTTTCCCTACACTTTCAAATCCAATGTTTTCTGGTCGAAGCACACAAAATGCATTTGATCTGAGTGATGGATCATTTGCAACGGCAGGATTGACGAGAGATGATGATAAACCGCCCTTGCATCGTAAGCTCTCTGGAGGATTGTCTGCTTGGCCTAACTCCACAGTTTCGGGTTCTCCCCCGACGAGCCATCGACGTGCCATGACCTCAGCCTCAAGTTACAACACACAAATCTGGGAATCTTCTTGTCCTTTTCAACCATTAACTTCGCCAGTCAGGAGAGAGCATCACATGGAGCGGCAACCCATACCCCGACGCTTTTCACTTGCACCCTCTTCTGATTTTCAAACGTATGATAGCTTTTTGGATGGCATGAATGCTGGGAACTCTTCAAACATAGGAAGCTACAATCGGTATGCGAATAAGTGCGATAAGAGAAGTTGTGTTGTCTGAAGATTTCTCCACCATTACTTGAAATCCATCATTTCCGGGGATATATCGTTAGAATGTGCCCTCTATTTAGATTTTGAACTCTGACGACTTTTAGGCTTTTATTCCCTAATTCTCTTTACCCTCTGTATCAGTCATCCTCTAGGAAATGGCTTTGCACAGCAGGCCCAGCGACGACACTCTGTTGCAGGTTTTGGTGGTATCTATGTCCGACCGACTCCTACTACGTTTGATTTGACGTCGGCTATGGAAGCATTCCATTTAGGTGATGTTGTTGACCCAAATAATAGTTGGAGTCTGAATGAAGATCCTCATGAAGAGGACGAGAGCCAAGCGCAAGGCCTTAGCACAAAGGAACTTGGCAAGGGGCTTACACTCAGTCAGCTATCGCATTGCGGTTCACTTTATCTAGTAGAGTTTAAAGCTGGTAGGAGCGACCTATTCTACATTCCTGAGAACAGTGGGGTATCTCTAAAGAAGGGCGATTTAGTGATCGTAGAAGCAGACCGTGGCAAGGACCTTGGGAAGATCACAAATGATATGATTACGCCTCAACAGATTCAAGCGATGCAGACACAGCAGGCGGAAATGGCTGCTATACAAGCTCAGCAGGATGGCGTCGGCTCCGGCCTTGGAGGGAATGGAGGCAGTAGCAATAGCACTGCGCAACGTACTCTGAAGGAAATCCATCCAAAGCGCATATTCAGACTTGCTCAGCCATCCGAAATATCCCAACTGACGAACAAGAACCATGACGAGATTAAAGCCATGATGGTGTGTCAGAGTAAAGTTCGACAAAAAAGACTTCCAATGGAGGTAGTTGATGCGGAATATCAATGGTATGTTACCTTTAGTTCTTTTTTTTTTTTATTTTTATTTTTTTTTTTAAAAAAAAAAAGAAAAAAAAAAAGATAGTATTTAGTTGTACTCATCAAAACCATGGAATAATCTTGATAGGGATCGTCGCAAACTTACCTTCTATTTTATCGCAGAAAGAAGGATTGACTTTCGTGAGCTTGTTCGTGATCTCTTCAAGATCTATAAGACTAGGATTTGGATGTATGCTGTGAGTCCAAGCATGTCCCAAGCGAATGCTGGTACTCTTCATAATAGCCCGCCTCCTTCTTCCTTTGCTCACCTTCCTGCTCATCAAGGCCATCAGCAGCAAATGCTGCAACACTCACAAGGGCCTTCCACAGCCGTTGTATCATCAGCATTGCCAATGGGTATCCAAAGTGGGTTTCAAATGATGCAGGTACCGCACCCCCACCAATACCCGCCGTTGCATGCTACTCAGCAATATGCGCAATATCCTTCGTATGCACAAATCCCGTCACAACTACAAGAACATTACCAGACGCTATTGACACCCCATCGGCCCCCGCAGCCATCCTATCCCTCACAGGCGCAAACGCAGGCTTCTACACATCTAATACAACAGCAGCAACAGCATTATCAGCAGAGCCCGTATTCGTATTCGTCCGTCAACACATAATTTGTTGATGAATTTCATAGATATTCATATCATAGATTATTTTATTTTATTTTTTTGAATGACTTTGTCCACTACTAAAATATAATTGGGTTATTATTATTATTATTATTATTATTATTATTATTATTATTATTATATATTACTATATATTATTATTATTATTATTATTATTATTATTATTATTATTATTATATATTATTATATATTATTTTTATTATTTTCTCAATGTCCTTAACAAACACAAAAATGTTTGATAATATCCTGCCACTTGCCAACAGCTCGACCGCCCGCTACAATCCGCCTTGCACAAGGGCGCCATTCAGCTGCGTAGGCGCTCATCTGTTGGATCCTTATACTATCTCCTTTCTCCATCACGACCTCATCTTCCCGCATGGTGATCGAGTACTTTCGGTTGGGACGGTGTCGATCTCGCACCATAAAATAAAATACACGTGAATTGCTCTGTGGTTGTTGCTGCTGTTGTCGAGAAACTCGATTTGTTATTGCAGAAGCATAGGCCGATTCCATCACTAAATCCTGTGTCCCAATATCATCAAACGTAGAACTTACTGAAGGGACAACCAAGAGGGGTTGCAAGACCAAACTGGTTGTCTGGCACACATCATCCACGCGATGGATTTGGATCAGCTCATTCATTCGCTTCGCCAGTAAGAGCAAACTCCCACGCAAGAATGTTGCATCCATCTCCTTACGAGGGTCAAGCTCCAAAAAAGGTTGAAAGGCACAGAAATCATTGGGTATACCCGCAGAACTGCAAGTTCGATCTTCTTCAATAGGAAGGAGGAGGGATCGACCATATTCTTGTGCATACGACGTCTGATTTGGGGCTCCGGGGTGGAACTGCTGACGGAAGGTGCCATCGGCGATGAGCTTTGTCATGTATGATGTATAGCCTCCATCAGAAGCAGAAATAGGCATGTCTCCATAAGCCAAATGAAGGAAGGTCTGATGGAGGTCCAAGTGAGATAATATGCGGTTTTGATTCTGCTCCAAGGCCTGAACAAAGTCTGGTCGACTAGAGAGTAGTTGGCGAGGTAGTGCTATATACAATGGTGGGATCTTGTGATGAATAAATCCCGGAAATGTATAAGTCTCGCGACCATAATGTAATCCGTGGTCTGCCATGATGACGAGTGCGCTAAATGCAGAATAAAATAAAGAGTTTAAAGAGAAAATGTTAAAGACTTTGTTGAATCGTTAATAGAGATTACAAAATTAGTTAGTCCTTACCTCTTAGGAGTCAACAGTGGTGGTTGTCCATCATGACCAACAAGTAAGCTTTTAATAAAAAGAGCCAGTCGTTTATCAAACGATATGTGATGATGATCCTATCAAGTACGAGTTGATTCAAAAAAAAAAAAAAAAACGGTGCGTTAGTATCAGTCATTTCTCGAGATTTACTTTATACCGTGTCGAAAATATCATTCAGCATGAATACTCACAGGAGAATGAGTATCCATGAAGGAGTAGGTTGCGAATCGTCGCTGTCCCTTTGTACTCGTCAGCCAGCCTTCCAGATTTTCCATAATATGCTCGTGAATGGCCTTTTCGCCTGCACAATAAGGGGTATTCCACCTCATCCCGCCCATCAAAGCTGTGTCATAATTGACGGTTTCAGGTAATTTGCAGCTTTGTCCCCAGATTTGAGATACAACATGCATATCATGGTTTTCACACCACACAGGCTGGGGCATTTGGTATTGGGCAGGAATGCGCCGATTGAGATGTGAATATTCGAATGAGATTGCGCCGCTTGTGTAATCATGAATCCCTTGCTCACCTCCACATTCTCCATCTGTGTGTGCTGTTCGGAATCCTTGTTCCTCAAAGACATCCCATAGCCAATGTTTGGGTCCATGTCTCATATTTTCGATGGACTGTCCAGAGTAAATAAAAGCTTTGTTAGGAGGTGAGTTCTGTCCAAGGACATTGTAATGTTCAAAGTCAAAGATCCGGTGCCCTTCATCTTCTGAGGTTGCTGTAGAATTAATCTGTGTCAAAGTCTCCATCACGGCCTTCATTTCAATCGTGAACTTTGCTCTCGAGATCGCATCCACCAAAATCATCACGACATCATCCAATAGAGGCTGCGGGGTCTCCATGGTTCCTGCAATAGGGGGTGGGGCGTCTGGATTATTGTTTGTGTCCGTAGCATCAAACTCACGAAAGACTACGTTGGCGTTATTGACTCCGGGCGGACACAGGACAAATACATAGGGTTCATCCCCGATAGGCAATAGATCATCAATCCCCTGGCTCATCGTTGGGTGGTTCCGAAACTCGTCCTTCATAAAGGATGGAAAACGGTAGCGATAGTCACCCTGACCGGGACAGTCCACAGCCAGATATTGTTTTCCATCCTTCCACCGAATCTGAGTGAACTTTAAGCCATTTGTAATGTTGATTGGTAAAAAGGTGTTGATGTCCCAGTCCCAAGGCGGTAAATGGAATTGAGATAGACTAAAGTCATCGATGCTGATGCCGGGAGGAGGCTTTAGGATCCTATTATCGGGTACTGTGGTATTATTATTATTATCAGTACTGTCCTTTTGGTCCAGGGTGGTGTCATCAAGATGAAGGAGTGACAGAAGTGCAAATGCAAGTGAGACGACCATGGCTGTTCCGAAAACCGTTGCGAGGATCTTGCAGGGGTGTGAGGCACGTGAAGGACGTTGCAACCTTGATTTTTCAAAGTCAAAGTGTTTTGAATTGGCTAGTGGTGCAACATCGTTCATGTGTTCTTCATCCACGTCTTCATCATCATCATCGTCATCGTCATCGTTATCGTTATCATTAACATTATCGCGATGATGTTGTCTTGAAATGGTCACTTGGAACCCTTTGTATTCATCGTCATCGTGACTATAAAGCTCAGAGGAATCGATTTCCAGAGTTGTGGAGAGGTGAGGACGGTCGTGAAGGGGGAATGATTGGCTGGTGTGTGCCTGTGATTGCTCTTGAGTCAAGGACTTGTATGCGCCCCTTGTGGAACTCATTGTTATTTTTTTTTTTTTTTTTTTTTTTAAAAAAAAAAGAAGTTCCAGCCAAAGAGAGTTGAATTTGGATGTTTTGAAAGGGCGGGGAGTATTTAGAAGTAATATGTATCTGGCAGAGTGATCGAGACAGTAAGTGAGGTGGGGTATATTGACTGTTATTGAGACAAGTGTCCGCTGGAGTAACAAGTTGATGCCAGTAGAGAAGGAATGATGAGAGTGAGAGAGGATGATGAGGAAGATGAAAGTCGCTCGATAGGAACGAGTTATCACGCGAGCAATGAGAGGCTGTTAAGATGACAATTGTATTGTATTAAAAATTATACTGTGGGTGGGTTGAACCAAAAGCAAATGTTTGTGGGACCACATCGATTCGGCTATGCTACAAAGCACTTTTGCATTAGTATTTAAGAAAAGTGGTTTGGGTGGATCTGCACTTTTCATTTTCTATTCCACAAAGGTGGAGATCAAGGACGATTACAGTTGTGTGCATATTAGGGCTTGTTGTACATTGCCTCCGATCTGTAGAAGGAAGGTTGGTTGCCAGCATCCGAGTCAATTAAAGTCTGATGGTCTGATGTCAGTGAACTCACGTTCAATCTATTGGAGTGTGTATTATATAATTGGTATACATGTACATTTATAAATTCTTTTTTTTTTTTTTTTTTTTTTTAATGTAGTAATTGGACCAAAGTCTAGTCTAGTAAGTTTATGAAATTTAATTTTGGTTTGAGTCGACCTAACGAGTTCCTTTCCTTAGTATATGTTTATTTGCTGTTGCTGCTGTTGCTGCTGTTGCAGTAATGTTGTTTCTTTGTTCCTATCCTAATGAGAGTGTTGTCATGACAATGATGAAATCAGGGCCAATGTTTTTTTTTATATGTTTATAAACATTAAAAGTATAGGATATATATGTATATATATATTTGTATACAGAAGTGATAATTAAAATTAAGAAGGGATGATGCTGAGCTCAACCGAAGAAAAGGGGTTCTTTCTCCTTTTTTATTTTTTAAATTTCCTAAAACCCATTGACCCAAAAGGAGTGCCAACCTGGTATAAGAGAGAAAGGAGGGATGGGGATGAGCAAAAAAGTGAGCGGGAGAGCAAGAACGAGAGCGAGAGCGAGACAGTAAGACCGGAAAAAAATAAAGTAAAAAAATAAAAAAAAATAAAGAGGATGGATGATATGACAGGCATAAAAGAAAGAAAATGTTTTGCATGGAAGAACAAGCGAAGGAAAAAAAAAAATAATAACCCTTTTTTTGGTGTTGACATGCCAAAGTATCGGGCCGAACATGGATGGATGAAAAAGAAAAAGGTTTAATGCTTTCAAAAGGCACAGATTGATGATCAAAGCTCGGATGAGACAGAAACCCTGAAAATGGAGAAGCCGACGGTGGCAAGATGAAAAAGGGTTAAATGTAGAGGAATTATAAAAGTGTATTCGGACCTTGTAAATCCATTGTGGATCATGAAGCAATCAAGCAAGTAAAGCAAAGCAAGTAAAGCAAAGCAAGGCAAAGCAAAGCAAGGCAAAGCAAAGCAAGGCAAAGCAAAGCAAAGCAAGTCTTTTTCTTTTTTCTTATTTCATCTTTGGACAACATGAGATCATCAAGGGCAGAGAGAGAGAGAGAGCAAGGCACGAGAGAGAGCAAAAAGAGCATTGAATGAATGTATTCTATGCTGTGCCCAACAAATAAGTATATAACGTATATAACTTTTATTTTTATTTTTATTTTTATTTTTATTTTTATTTTTTATTTTTCTTTCTCTTTTCTTCTTTTTCCTTTGGACTTTTACTTTTTCTTTCTTTCTCTCTTTTCTCTTCCTTTTAATTTCTGTATACATCCTGAATATTCTCATTCTCTTCATCCTGTGCATCTCCATTCGAAAACCTTTGCAAAGTAAAAACCTATACGATATTCCAATTCCTTCAACCAATCAAATAAACATTTTGATACAAACACAGAAAACCATTTTTTTTTTTTTTTTTTTTTTTTTTTTTCCTTTTCTTTTATTTCTTTTCCTTTTTCCCTCTTTCCCTTTCCCTTTCCCTCTTTCCCTTTCCCTTTCCCTTTCCTTTTTTTATAATCTCTTGCAAAACTGCCTTTTCTCATTCCCTTTGCACTCTCATTGTCCCACAGCATGAGCATTTCTCCTACCAATAGTACCCATGCACACCAGGCCATCGCTTCGACTTCCGCCTCTGCCACCGGAACTGCTGTCTCCACAACAACCACAGCAACAACTGTTCCCCACATCCGAATTGTCCCCCACTTGGACGCTCCACGGTCACTCCACTTTGATGTTGTAGACAAGGATGTGCCCGAAGGCTTTGTCCTCAAAATCGGCCGCTTCACCGACAAACAATCTTTGCCCAACAGAGTCACCTTCAAGTCCAAAGTCGTTTCGCGTGGCCATGCAGAAATCTTTACAGAGAATGGAAAGGTAATTGGAACAACAAGTTTAATTAACAAGATATTAATGCATAAAAAGGCCTGGTTTGCCTCTCTGACCAAGTGCAGTATAGGCTTATCCAGTATGGGGATGATCATACCTAATCTTACTTGTAAAAATAATGAGCCTGCTTATTACTTTTTTTTTTTTTTTTTTTTTTTTTATTTTCTTATTTTCTTTTTCCAATGTGGACCAAAGGAGGCGGGGTTTTCTTTCCTTTTGTCATTGTTGGGCAGTCTTTGGTTTTGGTTGGTGCCTTTTTTTTTATTTTTTTTTTTATGCTTTTTATGCTTTGATTGAATTTGGGTGCACCATGGGTCCGGGCTCGATTTGATTGCAATCATTATGCACATGACCGCATTTATCAGACAGTCATGGATAAGAAACAATAACAGGGAACTCTTTCATATACCAACAAAGATGGTAAGAATGGGTAAACCGACAGCCAGTAAAGCAAATAGGAAATAACAACCCTGTTCAGCATCTTTCTCCAATTTTATTTTATTTTATTTTATTTTATTTTTTATTTTTTATTTTTTTTATCACTGGACGGGAGAAGTGACTGAGTGAAGAGTTTTTACTTTTTATTTTTTTTATTTTTTTTTCCAAGTGTTTATACATTGTGGGGAAGAAATAGGGCTTTCCTCTTTTTGTTCATGCGATGGCAGAGTACACAGAAAAAGCTTAATTTGGCTTTTCCTCGTTCAGAAAGGGTCATGAGAGCATTAAAAAATTCTGGGCGTCTGGCATTGTAAAGCTGTGTATTTCTTCCCTCTCTCCTTGTCTTGTCCTCGGTTCGTCTTGGTCATAGCTCACCGAATTCACAGGGGGCCAAAACACAAGGCCTACAGGGTATTGCCAATCAGGGGAACCTGATTGTGTTCGTCCTCCTTGGTTTGACTTGGTCTGGTTTGGTTTGGTTTGATTTGATTTGTATTCTTGTGTTTGTGAACCCAAGGAAGTATCTGGGAACTGAGTGAACAGAGCGTCTTTTTTTTTTTTTCTTTTTTTTGTTAAAATGTACGGAATGGCAATTTGGAAAAAAATAGTGCATTTTTTTTTTCCCTCCCTTGCATGACATCCTCAACTATTGGTAAAACTCAAGCATAAACACGATGGCTAATAATGAATACAAACATTTATTCAAATTATTAGTTTTTCATCAGAGATACCAAATCATCCTCTGGTACTTTCCTCAATCATGCTCGATTATCGCCTCCAGGAGTCGAATCAAAGCCTACACTGCTCAAGGATGGTGATGTTATCCAGCTTGGAGTGGATTATCAGGGAGGCACACAAGGTATGGTCACACAAACCCGCCTTTTTTAATTTTTTTTTTTTTTTTTTTTTTTTTTTAAAAAAAAGCTATAATCAAGCATTCAAAAAAGAATGCTTCAACGAGTGTCTCCTCAGCAAGGATATGGAAATTCCTCGACAATGTGGACTTTTTTATTATTATTATTATTATTTTTTTTTTTATTTTTTACTTTCCAATACGGAATATTATACCGAGCGTGGAAGGCCATTCAGAGTTGCATAGTTGCATGGTTGAGGAGAAAAATTCAACGGGAGTACAAATAATAACTTTAAGGGTCACAAGACAAAGCATATTTATTACCACGCACTGTGCAGCATCGATGAGCACATTGAATACGAAATATTTGAGTGCAGGAGTCAACACGAGGCCATTGCACGAGGGCTAGTTGCGCGTGTTTACAGGATAGTGTTGGTGGCTAGACTGGATAATTGCTTTTTTTTTTTTTTTTTTTTTTTTTTGCGTCTGCCTTTACATCCATGAGCGAAATTCAAGTTGCTTTGCAGTCATCGTCGCTCTATTTTATTTATTTTTTTATTGCTCATTTATGAGTTGACGTTCTTTATTATGGATTTTTTTTATTATTTTTTTTTATTAGAAATCTATCGATGCGTCAAGATGAGGCTCGAACTGAATCGGTCATGGCAGCAGCAAGCCAATCCTTTCAGGTAAATACCAAGAGCAAAAGAAAAGGGGCGATCAAAACGAAAATGACTTCATCTTGCATATGAACTGGCAGACTCATTTTCTAAGTTTGCTTGGGTCATGGGTTGGGTGGTGCAATCGTATCTCCTTTTTTATTTTTGAGTGCACATGGCCTTTTCCTAAACACATCATGAGTCAGCCATCTAACATGCTCTGCCTCCAAACTCTGAACTCGATAGAGAGAATACCCTAAAGGCTATTAGAACCTTAACAACAGCTAAAGCCGAGAGTTCAACAGATTGCTGCATTTGCCTCTTCCGTATCGCATCTTTCCAAGCACTCTTTGTTGCCCCTTGCTCCCATGTCTACCATTATAAATGCATTCGACCTATGCTTATCTCCAACCATCCAGGATTTCTTTGTCCACTCTGTCGAACTTTTGCTGACCTGGATGATGCGGTCGAAATTGATGATCCGATTGAAGAAGAAGCCTCGGCACTAGGTAAGTCTCTAGCAGCAAGAGATGTAGGACTTGTTATCATAAGGCAATGGTTGTTTCTGAATCTGGCTGCCTGCCTGTAAAAAAAAAAAAAATAAAAAAAAAAAAAAAAATAAAACTGACTAGACTTATTCTTATAATATTAGTGGCCACGGATACTCCTGACATTGAGAATGGAGTGCAAGCGCACGATTCTATAGAACGTATTAATGAGGCGGAATCTGTGACGGCAGCACAGCAGGCTAATGAATCACAGCCAACACCAACAGAAGAGGCATCCGTATCTACACCGCCTTCTGTCCAAGCACATACATTCCAGCCTCCTCAGGACATCAATACCATGCAGGTAGATACACCAGGAATAGCGGAAGACGTTGGTGTCGTACAGCCCTCTACTACTCCTCCATCACCTCAACAACAACAACAACAACAGCAGCAGCAGCAGCAGCAAGACTCGGCTTCTGCCTCTGCAACAGTAGCGCCTATGGACATTGCAGTTTCAGGATCATTATCATCCTCAGCTCAGGCAGCATCGATGGACTCTATCACCCAACAATCACCATCAGCTGCTTTTCTGTTGGCCCCATCACCACCCATGTTCGTTTCGAACTTTGGTGTGACCCCGATTCCTTTTGCAGCAACTTCATCATCATCCACACCAGCGTCTAGTAGTCCTAGACAGCCGTCGCCTTCAACTCAACATCATATCCACCATGTGCCATCAAGTCCTACGAGTACGAGTATGAGCCACATGTTCCAAAACCTTGTCCGTAACATCACAATTCCACACCGCAACCGCAGCAGGACCAACTCTAATTCAGCATTATCGCCTCTCCCCCCTACACATTCTGCAGGTGGCCTCCGTAGTACAGGTAGCCCCGTAGCAGCATCTCCAAGTAGGGTGCAGGGTACTGGTACGGAAGTGTTTGGTAAAACCCTTGTAATGACACCGCCACAGATCCCGCCAATGCAATTAGGTGCCAGAAATGCAACAAGTCATTCTGGAGTATCTGAGCTGGGTGTTGTCTCGGAAATGGATGACGAGCCCCGTTCTAGCAACATCGCGAGCGGTAGCGGAAGCAACAGTAGTCGGAGCAGCATCCAGAGTCATGAAAGTGAAGGGGCATTACGTCGCGGCGAATCTGATAATCTAGCATTACAGCATTCACAGACCATCACTGCTGATGCGTCAGTGTAAACAAAAAAAAAAAAAAAAAAAAAAAAAAAAGGCCATATAACAAAACAACACTTGTAATAGTAAGCGTACAATAAGACAAAATAAAAAAGCGAATATTTGTTCATTCTTGTGTTGTTCTTTATTGTGAAATAGGATGTAGTGCATATTATGATGACGATCTCGTGGTGCCATGTCTTCTTTTTGCTGAGGACAGATGGGGTAGTGAAGTATTATTCTGATCGGTTGATTTTGGGGCGAGGCTTTTTTCGTCCATGGTATCGACGGAAGCAGATGGATTCGAAGACGGGCTATTGATGCTAAATAAAGTAACGCATCCAATGACGACAATTGCAGAGATGAACTTCCACTCGTTAAAGCACTGGGTATCTGAGACTCCACAAAATAAATAGTGGCTCATCACAAAGACCAAGACAGCTCTGAGACTCTGCATGATTCCAACAGCAATGTTGTTGATTCTGGCGATGAGCACGTAGTAATTGAGTGAGTGGACCATGGAGGAGAGAGCGACGATTGGATAGACTATAATGATCCCGATCCAAGATCCATGACGGGTTTCGACAATGTCGACAACTTCTGTTTGCCAGTTAGGGATCGTGTAGACGCACAGATAAATAAATGTCAGGAACGAGGCATAACTACCGACCAAGGTGCAGACTTTCTCTGGAATTGGTTTGGGCTTGAAAGTTGAGAGAATTTTATCCGAGAGCACATAGACACATGCAGACAAGAAGGTTGCACCAAGTGTGATCAATGCACCAAATGATTTTTCGAACCCTGTTGTTGGATGGAAAAAAAAAAAAAAAATGGAAAGAGTTGGAATGGTTTTAGTTAAACGTGAATAGGATGTGAAGGCAAGCAAGCATGTACAGATAAAACCAAAAAAAAAAAAAAAAAAAAAAAAAAAAAAAAAGAAAGAGAGGTAGGTGACTTACAACTCTGAACAGGACCATCAGGTGATACATCTTGAACAGTACCCACAGCACTGATGGCCAGTCCAAAAGTAACGCCCACAATTGCCAACCATTGGATGTTGTTAAGTTTTCTACTTAAAAAGATTCGCGTCAAGATCGCACACCAAATCACAATGGAACTATAAATGATTTGGTACATCTTGATGACAGACACAAAAACAAAAGATAATAATAATAATAATAAAAAATACACAGGTTATGATTACATATTCATTCGTTTGTAAGGAAAAAAAAAAAAAAAAAAAAAAAAAAGGGCAAAGAAAATAAACTTACCCCGCTTCCAACGTAGAAAAAGCCAACTGTCACCAGACCATGGGCGATCACATCCATTACCGCGACTTGGATCACGGACCAATGTAGTCGAGTCCAAGATTTGTTCTGGATTTTCGATTCAGTAGCAGCAGCAGCAGCACCGGAGGAAGTAAATTCCGAAAGGGAAGATTGATTTTTCTTTTTCTTTTGTTTCTTTTGTTTCTTTTGTGAACCTGTTGCATGAAGTCGTTGCTTCTCTTCGTCCGTACTATCAAGCTTTTCATCATCTTCATCTTCATCCTCACCCTCATCTTCTTCATCGCTATAGTCATTCAGCGATTCGATTTGAAGTGTTGCTGATTCATTAGATATCTCAAAACCATCAGTCTTATTCATCTTCTGGTCATGGTCAGTGATATAATGGTTAGCTTTTTTGTTGATGGGTTCAATGTGCTCCTTCAGTCCAGAGTGATCGGCAAACTTTGATGCAAAAAAAAAAAAAGCGTTGGACGACCAATAGAAAGTTGACAAAATGTAACAAACAACAAATAGAGTTAGCAAAAAAAATAAAAATAAAAAAAAATAAAAAAAAGGGCGATCCCAAATATCCAGGGACATAAAACATAAAACAGGAATCAAAAGAAGCATTCGGTCCAAAAAAAAAAAAAAAAAAAAAAAAAAAAAAGAAAAAGAAAAAGAAAACAACATACAGCTTGTGATTCTGTCATCTCGTGTAGATCGGCGGTCAAAACATCATACTCAACATTTGTGTTGCCACCAGCGAGTTTACGCTGCTTCCTATCTGCATACCAAGCTTGAAGATAATAGACCAATCCAACACTCATCATACCAAAATAGTTGAAGAAGACATTCAACATGGACGAACCAGCTATTCAAAAAAAAAAAAAAAAAAAAAAATTATCAGAAAAACCTTTTTTTTTGGAATTCAATTATCCAAAACAGCACTGAAAGCGACTTTTTTAAATTAATAATAATAAATTAATTAATAGACAAATAAATAAAGGAAACATACAGGCTGCTCCCTGATAGTTTAACCATTGAACAGCAATCGTTGAAACGATGCCCGTGATAACAAAGGAGATCTGGTGAAGAATGGTGCTCCATTTTGAATAAGGAGCTTTTTCATGGTGTTGGTGTTGATGTTGATATTGGTGCAATTCTCGACCATCTTCAGTCAAAACAGCAGGATTAACAGAAATACCGTGCGGTTCAATCGAAGCCCTTGTTAACGCTGTGATAGCAAGTTGGTCCACTAAATCAGATGCTGTAGACTCTGTGGACAATGATCTTGTGTTGCTTAGAGCGGTGGTTTTGGTTGCAGACATTGCCGTTGTTGTTGTTGTTGTTGTTACTGCTATCGTTGCTGTTGTTGCTGTTGTCGTGGTTATGGTTGTGATGGATGGAAAATGATTTTGCTCTATTGTTATTTCACTAATAGGATGCTGATGGCTGTGTATTCTATTATTATTACTACTATGTAACTCTAAACTAGTGTTTCTACTTCTATGTTCTATAGAGAATTGGCTGTCTGAGTGATTGTAATGATGTTTTCGCTTTGCCATTGGGGTAGAATAGGGCTCAAGTTCTGTTTCATTATCAGAGTTCTCGCGACTTCCTTGGCGTGAAGTCGAGTTGGAACCACCTCGAATCGCACGTCTGGACATGATAGGGTACTAAGGAAGTGAAGGACGTTTACAAATTGATAGTGAAGGTAATAAAGAGGGAGAAAGCGGAGGGAGAGGAGAAGAAGAGAAGGAAGGAGAAAGTTGAAGGAAAAAGAAAAAGAGAGAAAGAGCAGTTGGTCAAGGTAGGAAAGGAACGAAGAGATGATGCAATGGATGGATGGAATGAATGCAATTCAATGCAAAACAATGAAGAGAGGAGGGCAAGCTAGACCCTTAACCAAGGAGTCAAGATGTTGCTTTGCCTGACAAAAATACAGACATGTACAATTTTTGTCATCTGTTGAGCCTTTGAACCAGCAGCAAAAGAATGTATTTTAACGCACGTGGCAAAGCCAGAATAGATACTGCACTACACAGCATTTTTAGCATGATATTACACATCTCTTTATACTTTCACCCGCTAGTAAGCGACCGATCAATTAGTGTTTGCAATGTGCTGTATTATATTCAATGTTCATGTTCATAATCGCAAGGTGATATATATAAAAAAAGTTCTAATCTAAAGCACCCAAACTTAATGTTCAAGCCTTCTCCTTCTCATTCCTCACTTCATTCGTGCTCGCAACATTATTGGAGTGTCCTGTTCCAGACAGCGGCAGAGATGTTGTTGTGGACTCGTCCATATCTATTACCGTGGACTTGAACAGCACTTCATCATCGTCATCATCATCCGCGCCTGTAGGTAAGGGTCCCGCGGATAGAGAAAGTAATGATATCGGTGCCGTAGATGAAGCGCTTCCAGACCTTGCTGATCCAGAGAAAGGCGGACTGTTCGCTGCAGCTGCCGCCGCATGTAGCCTCATATCCAGCGCCTTCAATGCCAATGCTCTATAAAAAAAAATTTTTTTTTATACAAATAGCAGTTGATCGCGTTAGAGAAAGAAGTTATTGTAAATCCACCTTTTTTTTTCTTTTTTTTTTTTTTTTTTTAAATATACCTTCGACGCTCAGCTTCTGCGCGAAGACTTCCTGGTTGTGTGAATGTATGTCCCATCCCTGACATTTGAGGATTCTCCAAGTCATAATGGAAACTTCCTCCGTAACCATTTGATGAACAAATATGAAGCTTGGCTAGAATTCCAAAGCACGCGTCTGAGAGCACCTTAACAGGAGGTCTGTAGATTAACACGTAAAAAAAAAAAAAAAAAAAAAAAAAAACAAACAAACAAACAAACAAAAAAAAAAAAAAAAAAAAAAAAAAAGCATTAGGATATTATGGTTGAACGATTTGAAGAGCAGGTTGATAGGATCCACTCATAGAATGAAACGAGACATACTGCATTATTTCGGGGAAAAATGATGCAAAAGAAAATGATTCGCTTCTGTCACCACGAATGCCATCTTGTATTCTGAAGAAACGGCAATATATCCATGCAATAAACAAGCCAAAGGTGGCCATCAATAGCTGCAGATGACTACGTGAGATAAACCCTTCCATGACCATAAAGAGTATGAGCAGAATTGGTAGTGTCTAATTCCAATCAATACAAGAGCATATCAATTGATAAATTCATTATATATCACGATAATGTTAATATCATACCAAAATTGGTTAATGAAAATGAAAATAATAATAATAATAATAATAATAAAATACCTTCACACGAATAGAAAGTATACCCCAAAGAGTGACAGCATGTTCTGGAACAAGTTGCTTGAATGCAGTTAAGAATCCCGCCAAAACACCTGTTAATCCATATGCCTGAGTGTCGTACCTATTTGGAGACAGTATTCCAGCCATTACCCCGTCATGTGGATGTCAGAGGCTTTCTTTTTCTTTTTCTTTTTCTTTTTCTTTTTGTCTTGGATGCTTTAGAAATATTGTTCAAATAGTCCAGAAAAGAGGTTCCCTACAGTATTTCATCGCTGCCCTGGATAACAAATTCAAATAGACATGTGAAGTATACTCCAAGCATAGTGCCAATGCTTGTAATGCTCAAAAACTTTAGCAGTTCGCGTGAACCCCATGCTCGTTCCAAGTATTTGCCACTTCCAAGTACAATTGCGACGCTTATTGCATACTAGAATATTGTAAAAAAAAAAAAAAAAAAAAAGGTACATTAGAATTAATGCGAGTATTAAATAGTATTGGAAACATGCCTCGCATTATAGAGCAAATATCCTCCACTTGCCTGAATAATGCTTCTTTCAAAAAATGATGCTGTCGCGAAGGTCCAAAACCGATATGGAGCTCTGATGGCATTTTTTTTTTTTTTTTTTTTTTTTTTTTTTTTCAGGTCAAAATGCTTGTCAACAATCAAAACTTTCATGTAAAGAATGCATGCATAACTGATTGCGTAACTGATTTCACTCACGATATTGGCACTAGCGCTACAAGAGGTATAAAAGTCGCTTCCGAGTCAACATAGGTAGATGCTTCTGTCCCCTCTGTAATATGTCCTGAGATTGCGAGGTCACGAAATCGAAGGGCGAAGTCGAGAGCAGCCATAACTGTCATAGCAGTTGCTAATGTTTTTGTTAATGGAGGCACATTAGAAAATGTGCCACGCCAGTTGGTTGGGATGGCCGAGGACATTGCTATATAAGCACGATAGACCTAAATACTGCTAATGGTCCTTGTAAAATTAAATGTGGATAAAAAGGATAATAGGATGAATGTAAATGTGTGTGCAAAAATGAGAGCACATTAAGCGGCAGAAGAAGAGTTCAAGGCAAAGTCACATGATATGGAATAAAGATATAAGGTTTATGTCGTACAAAGAGAAATGGAACGTAGTCTGGTTTACTTGGTCACGCCACTAAAAATAGTCGTAACAACGTTGTGATTGAGATCAAGGTTGTTGGGATATCCACCAATTAATATTTTAAAACGTAATTTTATACTTTGAATCGGACAAAAAATGATACTCACCTCAGAACCACATAGCACTTCTTGCTTTTCGTACGCTCTCGATCCAGCGCGGTCAGGCCATTGAAATTCTTTACCCATTGAAATTCTTTACCCACTGAAGGGTTGCGTTGACCATGTTCTGGCCAGCACATTACCTAATTATTCAGGCTCGAGGTAAACTTTGTGGCCTTGTCGCCCATACCTTTTCTCCCCTTGAAGTCACCATCGCCGATGACAACCACCATCTTTCCCCCTATCCACCTTGATTTCCCTTGCACGGGCTTCAACATCCCACTTATTGCTCGTCCAATTTCTGCCTCCTCTCCTTGCTTCTTCCTGTACCTTTCGATTTTAGACTCTGACGGCCTATAGAATGATCTTAGGTGTTCATCAACGGAGACAACCAAGATTGAATGATCGTAATAGAAATGTTTGAGCCCCTTGAGTTGGCGACTGTTCGGACTCCATATGATACTGTATAAACACCTGAACACTACCACATGTCATTGACTACTCTACGTCCCTTAAACAATATTCCTAGCATACATCTGAACTTTTGCAAGGGATGTGCCAATGTTTTGACAAACATGTAACTTTTAATGGCTACATCGCAGCCCTTGGATTGTGGAAGCGCTGAAAGTATGCGGAAAACGGGAACCATTTGTGTTTTTACTAGCAACAAGCGTGGTTTCAAAAAAGTTTGCCTCCAAGGAACAAATCCTATATCCCTCATTGCTCAAAAGAGACAATCTTGTCTTTTCTGCACCCCAAAAGCTCGCCATAATCCTATTGAAGCGTTCAGAGGCATTATTTGCCTCATAGTTTGAGGATTAGCAGACTTTCAGTCAAGTTTTATTGTTTTGAACAACACAGTAAATCCTGTCCATTGGAAGTTAGTCCCTTTGGACGGCAGCTATTCAGGGGATGCTAATCAATTCCGCTAAATTATGGTGAAATCAAAGCAGATTTGGAAAACCAACAAGCATCGAACAGTCGCCATTGTTGACTCAATTCTTCTTCCTTTGGGTTGCCAAAGTCTATTGGGAGGATCCTTGCTTGTATATCATTTATGCTCACCCCACCCTCAGCCGTCTCAAATTGCTCGAGCTTCTTTTGACGTCTTAATATCGTGGCCAGTCGTTGACTGTTTCAATTGTGACAACCCTTGAGTAAGGACAGATTCTGTGACGAGGTTTGTAGCAGAAGCGGGGCGAGCAACGAATGCTCAATCTAAGCTAACTTCGAGGAATCTATTAGCAGGTGCGTACCAAGTCTTCCAATGAGCAAATAAAAGGAAATATAGTTATGCAGTGTTAACAAACCCGTGGACGCCAGTCTGTTATTCTGTTTTTGGAAAGAGAAATGTAAGCCCGACCAGAGGTCCAGACAGAGGCATTCCTTGTTTAACAAGGCGCAGCCTCTCAGGTCTAGCCTCAGAATCTGGCGAGCATAAAACCTGTCCAACACACATCTGGAAACAGAAACAAATAGCCCAGCTAGTTTTGCGACGCACGACTCATTTTCTTTCTTGCTCTCAAGAAGCTTCTTGCCAGAATCTGCTGGATCGTATTGCAGAACAACTAGTGTCTACCTAGATACCGCATTTTGAAAATAATAAGGGGATTTCACATGCAAGTGAGAGACAGAGAGAGAGAGAGAGAGGAAGAGATATGCAATGACTGAGAATACTTAATGGTTAATGGTGATGAGTTGTGGCTGATTATGGAATTATTAGACAAGCAAGTGCAACGTCTTTATACAATTCAATAATAACCACAAACTAATTGATTACCTTGGTCTGAAAAGTTGGATGAAGCAAAGTTGTAGGTGGCACAGGAGAAAAAAAGGAAGTGTTTTTTTTAAACAAAGAATGAAAGGAGTGATGATTGCAGTGATAAAAAATGTAAGGAGTGGCTAATGAAATATGCCAGGATCGTTATAAGTAACGAAGACGGAAGAAAGATGTCTTCATAAATAAATAAATATAAAGGGGTAGAAATCTTTGCATTGTACAGTACGCAGATTTTTAATTTTTGCCACGATTTTAACTTGGAGAAAGAATGCTGCTCGCTTTTTTGCCAGTGAAACACCTGCTGCCATTTCCTCAAACAAATATGTCGGAGGCACAAAGAGGCTTCTGGTTATTGTACCGGTTTTCGGAATCAGCATTCGTACTTCTTTGCATTACATTGACTTAAATGTCTATATATTTTTTATCAACTAATGCTTCGTTCTTGATGTATTCATACAGGGATGTGGCAAGCCGTGTTCAGCCTTACAGATGCTTTGTTTACAATGGTAATTCCATTTCAACGCATCGGGCAAGGACCTTGGCAGCGATGGTCTCTCCTCATTTGCCGGGTTCATCGATAAGAATATATCAGAAAAACAGGATCGCAAAGGTGATATTGTTTATGCTAAGGACATGACTCTCTTATCTTTCTATTGCGGGCCCTTATCCTCAACTGCTGTCTGCCGGACCCAGATTGCCAAAAGACATTTTCTAGTGCAAGTCGGACCAACTCCAGGCCTGTCCAACAATGCTCGAAGACTTGTTTTCAAAGAAATATTTTCCAAGCTTCACGCGCATACAACCTTCGAGCTACAACTGTGAGCTGTTATCCGAAGTGAGTTTAAGGTATTCCTCAACTATCCTAATTTCCCAAGTTGTGGCCTGGTGTGGATGAATCCCAGACCCTAGATGATCGCAGCAACCATCTGTTTGAATCATCATCAGAGTCCTAACTTCAACTAGTGTTGTCTCCATTTCTACAGGGATTTCGAACTCCTGGTGATCGAAGTGAACTTATGGTCATTTACTGTAGCACGGGGCAAAGCATTCCAGCCCTTCATTGGGCACAAAGCTCAGGAGACGGTGTGAAAGAAGAGAGTTCAATGACTTTTCCGTACGCCTTTTTATTTAAGAAACTGCTCAAAAATAGTATTGCTGTTTTCTAATATGATACTTATAAACATTATTTCGTTGCTTAGCTATCTCGAATCCCCAGCTGGACCGCTCGAACATCAGTTTAGGCATTCATTGATCCTGTGAAAGACCAGTTGGTAAATGAAGAATCGAAAAGTGCTGTGGATGTATTACTTCTAGAAGAAGCAGTCAGCATGTTACATCAAAGGCCTGGAGGCAGATTTAGATCAATCTGTACCACGATGAGCAAGAAAAATAGTTTATGCAGCACTGCAACTCGGGAGTCATGGTCTTATCAAAAGCATAAATTAGTTCTGACCTTCACTTTGTGTGTATTTGCATGTATAGGTCGAGAGGGTTGTCAGGGTAGGAGACCCAGAAGGCTAGGAAAGCGCAATTGGAGATACCGAGATCATGTTGATACAAAATCTCGTGGCTGTGGTGGTGTACGCCCATTTTGTAATTAAAGACTTGATGTCTATCGAGCCAATCAGTATGCCTGTGCTCAACTCCAAAACAGCAGCCTCTGTTCCTGTAATTTGTCAAACCTTCTAATTGGACAAAAAAAAAAAATTGGAAGCCAGTGGGCCAAATGCTCCATGTTTATATACAATGTTGCATGACGTTTTTAGATTGTAGTAGAATCATTCCTCCGAAACTAATGAAATTAAAGTTTGCTTTTTTTATTTGATTCCATGGAACCATTATGGCCATTATTTCATCTTTTCATTCTTTCATTCCAACGTCTGCATTAGCTTCATTAGTTTTTTTTTTTTTTTTTTTTTTTTTTTCATTGCATTCCTCATTACTTTGTCATAGCTCCATGATGCCTCATTTTTAATTATTCATAAACTTCATGTATCGCTCACGACATACCAACAAAGAGAATGACCGTTCGGCACTCATTTCGTCGCTCCCTTCACAACAGTACCGACAAAATACTTCTACAACGTCTACAGTTGTACACCCACTTCAATCCCTTCATCCACGACAGCAACAACGGCCATTGAACATGCCAAACCAACCGCAAATACCACCACCTGTACGAAAAGGGGCCGAGCAACCTCTTTTCTCCTCGTCACACCCAACAGCAGCCCCTGTATTTGAGATACCCACATATTCCACTTTCATCAGAGACCCTTCCAATCTCGCCAGGCATCAATCCATTTATTCAATTACTTCTCGAAGATCTCGTGCGTCCATTATCACAGAGCCTGATCTCGATACTGAGAACGAATATTCATATTATCCATACTCGAAACCCCGACCTGAACCTGAACCTGAACCTGAACTTAAGTCTGAGCCGATACCCTCACCAGAAGAGCCCAACTATTCAGTACAGTTGCAGGATTTTAATCCACCACCACCAGATTCCCCTGTGATGCCTCCTGTATCTGCTCCAATAGGCCAAATCCCTGAGCGACAAGAGAGAAGATATAAGACTAAGAAGGTCGTCAAACTGACCAATGACAATCTCGTCCTCGAGTGTCCTGTGCCTCAACATTATCTCGAAAAGCAGGCGCTGCAAAAAGGTCATGAATGGGAGTTTATGCGGTACACCGCCGTGACTTGCGATCCAGACTTGTTTGTAGCTGAGAACTATACACTCAGACCATCCATGTGGAGTAGGGAGACCGAGATATTCATCTGTGTTACTATGTATAATGTATGATCACTCTTATACCTTTTTTTTTTTTTTTTTTTTTTTTTTCCATCACACTATTGAAACCATTTGTTTGTCAAAAGGCAGGATACAGTACTGATATATCCCACTCTTTTCCTGTTGTTGTTATTGCTACTGCTGCAGGAAAGCGTCGGGCTATTTGCTGAGACCATGAATGGGATCATGAAGAATGTTCGTCATCTCTGTTCCAGAAACAATTCGAGGACATGGGGTGATGGATCGTGGCAGAAAGTTGTTGTGTGTATCGTCGCGGATGGGCGCAAGAAATGTGATGCTCAGGTTTATAACTACCTTGCAGCCATGGGTGTCTACCAGGAAGGTGTGGCTAAGCGAGAGGTCAATGGTAAAGGGGTTCAGGCACATATTTACGAGGTGAGTTGGGAGGGGACTCTTCTTCTTATTGGCTTGAATGTCGAATGTAAAACCCATAAGACTTAACGGAAATGACCTTTCACCTTCCAGTACACGACACAAGTAACGATTGACCCACACATGAAAACTGTCGAGTCCAAGCAGAGTGATTATGTTCCTGTGCAGATGATGTTTTGTCTCAAAGAGAAAAACGCAAAAAAGCTCAATTCGCATCGCTGGTTCTTCAACGCATTCGGTCCAGTAATCGATCCTCGCGTGTGTGTCTTACTGGATGTGGGTACCCGACCAGGACCAACCTCTATTTATCAACTTTGGAAAGCCTTTGATCTTAACTCCAATGTCGCGGGCGCATGCGGGGAGATCAAGCCTGTCAAGGGTGCTAGAGCAAAGAACTTGCTCAATCCTTTAGTCGCCACTCAGAATTTTGAATACAAAATGGTAAACGTAAACATCCTTGGAGCACAATACGCTTTAAAAAAAAAAGGAGGAACCTAACAACTTGTGATGTTTTTTCCAACCGACGTTGTTGTTTTTAAATCCTACATTAGAACAATATCTTGGACAAGCCTCTAGAATCTGTGATTGGATATATCTCCGTTCTTCCGGGAGCATTCTCAGCGTATCGATACAAAGCACTATTGGCCTCACCGGAGACTCCCAACGAGGGACCGTTGATCAGCTACTTCAAAGGAGAGAAGCCATCTCCTGACTCTGGTATCTTTGATGCCAACATGTATCTGGCTGAAGACCGCATTTTGTGTTTTGAATTAGTCGCAAAACGAAACGACGCATGGACCCTGCGCTACGTCAAGGCCGCATGGGCAGAAACAGATGTACCGGATTCAGTCCCTGAGCTCATCAGCCAACGTCGTCGATGGTTGAACGGTACCTTCTTCGTAGCACTCTTTTCTGTATTCCATTTCGGAAAAATCTATAAGAGCAATCATGCATACTGGAGGTAATCAGGGTAGCAATGTCAAAAATGTTTAATTATGTTAATAGTCTTTTTTACGTGAAGTAGGCATTAATCATTATTATTATTATTTCTTTGGTAAATAGAAAACTGCTTTTCCATCTTCAATTCCTTTACAACATTGTCAATATTATTTTTAGTTGGTTTGCAATTGTAAGCAATAATGGGTATATGAGCAATGAGGCCTTTTTTTTTTTTTTTTTCTTTTCTTAAAAAAAAAAAAAAAAAAAAAAAAAAAAATTAACAAGAAACTTGACACTTCGGATGATTGTCTATGTCAACATTTTTCTAGGCCAATACCTATCTCACATTCTACATCCTCGCAAATTCACTCATGTTTTCAGAGAACAGCCCCGGCGGCCGCTCCGATATCTTCAGAATCGTTTTTATCATCCTCAAGTATTTTTATGAATTCCTCGTAATTATCGTCTTTGTACTTAGTATGGGAAACCGGCCCACCGGGTAAGAAACAAAGCCCCTATCACTTTTGCGGCAACTTCTGAAAAACCTTATACTTTCGTTCTTATTATTCTTGGCATGTACTCATCATGCTTTTTTTTTTTTTTTTTTTTTTTTTTTTTCTTGTGCCTCTGTTCAATTAGGTCAAAATTCTTGTATACCGCAGCTATAGTTTTCTTTGCCTTTTTAATGGTTTACATGACATTCTGTGCCGCCTGGCTGACCTATCTTGGGATATCACGAGCCTTGGTATCTGGCCAAACCACGCTTGCCGCTGTGATTGGTGATTCAACCTTCCGAAACGTGATATTATCACTGGCTTCAACTTATGGCCTTTACTTGATCAGCAGTGTTTTATACATGGAGCCATGGCACATGGTGACTAGCTCTATCCAGTATCTTTGTATGGTGCCAAGGTAAGCGTGTTTTTAACAGAATGGATGTATTTTTTGAGACGCAAGGACATGGTGCCCTTCTTTTGACTCTTTTGACTTCTTATATATATATTGCTTTTTTTTTTTTTTTTTTTTTTTTTTTTTCTGGCTTTGGTTTTAAGCTACGTGAACGTCTTGAATGTGTACGCATTCTGCAATACACATGATGTGAGTTGGGGCACAAAAGGTGACAATATCGACAATATGGACCTTGGCGCTGCCAAGTCAACCTCGAAAGAAGGTGCAGACAAAGAAGAGGTCACTGTTAATGTTCCTGTAGAAGACCGAGATTTAAACCAGTCTTATCAAATTGCTCTGGACTCACTCAAGAAAAAGACAGAGGAGAGGGTTCAAAAGCGCGATCCCAAAGCAAAACAAGAGGATTACTACAAAGCATTCAGGACAAGGCTGGTGCTTCTGTGGTGTACCTCAAATGGGTTACTGGTCAGCATCATCACTTATTCGGGAAGCTATGGCGGGATTGGATCATACGATGCACGATCCAAGGCGTACCTTGCCTTTGTATTATGGTCAGTCGCGTTCCTGGCTGCTTTCCGGTTCGTGGGCAGTGTTGTCTACCTCTTCTTGCGTCTCGTTAGTGGTGAACTTCGGTGGTAAAACAAATCCAACCGATTGTCATGATTGTAATCGTAATTATTTAACTATTATTATTATTTAACTATTATTGTTATTATTTAACTATTATTATTATAATTATTAAAATTATATTGTGAACAACTATCCATGAGAAAACAAGCACAGTTTCATCTGGCTCATTGACATCATTACCACGCCAAGATCGTCTCATGTCGCTTTATTCACCTAGTCTCAAGAAAACCCAACGCTCACGCTCACCCAGAAGAAAGAGTACACCATCGCGGCTGTACTTGCGCCAAGCTTTCCCAACGTTGGGTTCTGCAGCTGCTTCTGATCTAGAATCATCAACTGTCTCCCAAATTAGCCCTGATGTGTTGTTCAGGCGTCGACAGCAATTACTTCACGATGCGCAAAATGAAGTGCAAGAGACTGATGGAATCGATAGGCAAAAAGGATATGCTTTGGGTAAACAACAGCAACAACAGAAAGTAACCAACAGCATACATGTACGCACACCTTTGTCTTCCATACCCTCTAACACCGATACGCATGATGCGAAGGATGCGAAGGATGCGAAGGATGTACAGGAAACGCTCGCGAGATTCCTCAACCAAAAGTCTTTATCTTCGTCTTTAACCTCGAGTGCGTCAGGCCTTCGGCCAATACCCTCAGATAATGTATCTCAATCATACACACCATCTGTACCGCGTCTACGAACAACAGAGACAGAGTATGATCAGTCGCCTACTCGATTTACGCGTCTTAGCACACCCCCAAGGGGTGTGCCAAGTACTTCACCAGCTAAATCTTTGCAGGAACAAGGCATATTCACGAGACAAGGATTTGCATCAGCGTTAGCGGAACAATGGCAACAGCGAAGGCATGAAGATATAGAACAATTGGGAAATTTAAATCGTCCATTATCGCCATTCATATCATCATCGCCATTGAATCAACATCTACGAAGCCGGCAGAAGTATCTTGAACAGGATCAAAGATTCTCCATGAACAAGTATGACGATGACACGATGCTGAGGGCACAGAAACGATATGAATCGGAGCTGAGATCTACACATGATAATGGCAAAGTTTGTCTGGAAGGCAAGAGGCCCTCAAACGCCGGTGCTGAATACATTGATACACAGGCTGAGGAATCTGCACAGGAAGATCAAGAATATGCCTATGGCGATGAAGAGGTATCATTCAGACGGCCAAAATTAATATCAACATCCTCAGATCAAAGCACGCTTGTAGATCGGCTTCATAGCTCTGAAGATAAGCCCGTATCTTTGTCTTCTGTGCAAACGCCCCCAGCTGCATCAAAATTTGTAGCGCGGTCAGGATCTTGGGCAAAATTGGAAGCCGAGAGTTCATTGTTGGAGGTAGCCGAGCGTACTGCAGCGATTACTGAGGAACTGCGTGGGGTGTATAATAATCTACAGGAGCTTTTTTCGCCTGAAACAGAGGCCAAATTGAATAGAGGAAAGTCAGTTTTGAGCGCACAAAAGGACATCGGTTATGACCATATCAATAACGATTTCCAGTCCTCAGTACCAAAGCCGCCAGTAAGCCCGAATATCCTTAGAAAGTATTTCACTTGATAATGAGGCTCGTCTTAATTTTTTTTTTTTTTATTTTTTTTATTTTTTAAAAAGGTGTTCAAAAAGTCCCCAGCCAGTGTGAAGGTGGCATCACCTATCAAAAAATCGAAACCAGCCCCATTGAGACCAGCTCTCAAGCCGAAACAACATCAACCTTCCCCATCAGAATCCCCAAACCAGCAGAAATGGAGACAAGGTCAACATCAGCAGAATTCTCAGGAGTCATCATCATCAAAGCCAAACAAGGCTGATGATGCATATCGGCATAATATTATTTTAAGATGGTTAATATCTGACGCAGAATCTGCACGTCGGATACGCCAAATGAATGGTAGCATCGATCTTAATTCAATTACACCAGACGTTGCCGAGGTAATCAGAAACCGCATAGAAGTGTCAAAGAGAAAATGATAGAAGATGAAATTGTAATCCAATATGATGTTTTGTCCTAACACCATCACTCAAATAATCTTCATTAACAATACCCTTCTTTATTAGATTTCCACACCATCCTCTAATGATATTAAGGAGACGGATACTGATACTAATGACAAACATCAGGAGCAGTTCCATCGAAAACTAAATCGTTGGAAACGCGTGGAGAAGCAAAGTCAAGATTTGGCTTCCTCACTGCCTGATTTATACTCAGACCTACATATTCCTACAGTGTCCTCTAGACAGGAAACACCTTTTAACAATGACTTATCATGGGTAAATGATTATAACCAGGAAAGTGATGTTGGCCATTATGATGACCAAGGCTACTCAGAAGTACTCACGGAGGTTGAAGTACAAAAGAGACAACACCATGATAAAGATCGATACCCGAATTCAAATCCGACAGAGCTCCAGGATAAACTTTCGCAGGAAATACTGGCTGAAATGGCTCGCGAAGAGGAGTTACGTGCAATGAGGGGTAAACGACCTCAGCATGAGATGACTCAACTAAATGGACATGTAGATCCTGAGGACCTTGCTGTGGATGGCCAGAGACTTTCCAAAAAGCGAAAAGAAGCAGTATTTTGGATGTCGTGAGCTGTGCAGTTCTAACACTGCCTGATATTAGATATACAGAAAATAGATGTTATTTATAAATACAAAGCGACATATTTATTGTTCACTGTAGAATGTATGAAGTCCTCTCTCATTGTGAAAACCAGCTACTCTTCGTCGCTTCCAAGAGCTACCCTTCTCTTCTTGAGGCGTCTATGAATGGCTTGCTCCTCCTCATCCTCCTGAGCATCTTCTTCTGAAGCTTCTCTATGCTCCATAAGCTTGTCCTCGTCTTCTGCATCCAAATCAGTATCACGGTCACGGTTACGACCGCGTCTATGACGTTCATCACTATGATGACGCTTATGCTGGGGGCTACGACTGCGGCTCCGACTCCGACTTGGGCTGCGACTAGGGCTACGGCTGTAGCTTCGATTACGTTCGCGGCTACGATCCCGGCCACGATCCCGCTCGCGGTCACGGCTACGGTCGCGATGGCGACGGACGGGACTGCGACTGCGACTGCGACTGCGACTGCGACTTAGACTTCTGCTTCTGCTTCTACTTCTACTAGGACTACGGCGACGGTGGCGATCTCTACTACGGTCACGACTGCGGTCTCGGCTCCTGTCTCGTTTACTACGTCTACGTGAGTCATAATCATCTTCCTCATCCATAGAATCATCATCACCGCTCGAATAACGACTCCTTGACTTGTAATTATCGGAGCCTGCCTTTTTGATTGACTATTGTAGTGAAACAAAGAAATCAAAAGGATTTTTACTCTTTAGAAAAGAAAAAATACTCATAGGCCAGGTGCATCTGTACCAACTTGCTGCTTACCATGATCTTCTCACGTCGTGCTTCTTCTTCAGCTTCAAAATCATCGTCATCCGCATCGTCATGTTCACCGTCGCTTTCCTCAAGCCCACCTACAGGAATTCCGATTGTCTTTACATACCTACTTCTCTCTGCAGCAACCCTACGACGACTGCGAACTTGCTCCAACTCGCGCTGCTCAATCGCTTCCTTTGCGGCTTTGGGATCGCTCAATGTTGCTACCATAACTGTCTTAACGTTCTTGACATGTTTGCCTGCAATTGCAGCAGTTAGCTTGCGGTGAGTCAAGGATTGTGTGGACTGTGGCTGGAAAGTCAAGGTATCTGTGAAGACTTGTTGGGTCTGTAGCATGAGTTCTGAAGGATGATGTACAACCAAAAATTGATGCTGATTATGAAGGGATTGTGCCGTGACTTGAAACATCTCATCGCCAAGAACCAGGGACATCGATCCATCGGACCAACGAACAAAACGTGCATTAGATTCCTTCTCACGCTCTTTGGCTGGAATACTGGGGTCATCCTGCCCGTCCTTAAAGCGCCAGCGAATTGTGTTTTCTACTTTGAGTTTGATTCGCTGTGTGTTCTCTAATTCATCAGCATTTTTTTCCTGTTCGTCGTCATAAGTGTCTGGGTCGAAAGGCTTAGTATCTACGTTTAGAAAATTTGGCAACCGTGACAAAAATATCTACAATATATATTTGTTTAATAAAATATCCAATATCTCAACCCATAGGCTTATAATAACATAAATATACAAGGTTAGATTATAGAAAATCCACGAAAGGGACTTCAATTACCTTATTATCAGAGCTATAAGGGTATCCAATATCTGGTAGCTGCACTGAAACTCTATTCTCAATCCTGTCCTTGGAATGAGAGCTCCCATATTCATTGTCATATCCATGCTCTTCATCTAATCTGTCATCACGATGTTCGTATTTTCTCTGTTTGCCTTCTTTTCTTTTTTTCGCCCTCGAGTCTGCATCATCGTCAGAGATAAAACTTTCGACAGACTCGGACCTATTTTCATTAGGTTTACAATACAAAATGATACTGTGAGTTGTTACTGTCGTTTTAGAACGTAGCATTTAGAACTGATGTGGGAGACACTGTCGTTGAGTCTTCCATTACCTCCTGCTTGCACCCTTCATCTCTTGCACATCGTCTTCACTCCCACTCTCTTCGCGTCTTACGCGGCTGTCAGATCGATGGCCTTCCCGGTCTTCGACATCTTCATCTTCATCGTCATCTTCAATCCTCCCCGTAGAGCGTCTGGATTTACCGCCTTCATTGTATTGCTGACTTTTGGCTGTATCCTGGCTGGCATCATCTATATCGTCGTCTTCATCATCGCTAAAGCGATTGTTGCGTCTATGGCGACGTCTACTGTTCGATCCACGGCCCTCGCTTGCTTCCGAATCTGATCCATGTTCTCTGGCATTATGCTGAGCCTGACGCTCTTGGCTATAGCTTTGGCTTTGGCTGTTTTGCGGGTGATCATTACTATTGTCATCATCATCGTCATCGGAGCCAAAAAGATCTTGCATAGTGTCTTCCTCGGGCATTGGGGTGTGTTCTGAATCCGACATCGTGTATAGTGTCAATAGGGTTTATTATTGATAACCTGTACGCTATGTAATTCTTATTTATGGTGTTGGGATCACTCCTGAGCTCTCGAGGTGTGGTGAACAATTACAAGTGAATGGATGATGGACAACTGGATCGCGCTTCAACCCTGTTTGGGGCTTGGGAGAAGGAGAGAACAGTACAATTTTAGCCCAATTACGTCACCCGCCCAAAAGGGAGCACAATCTTGGCCTAAAAACAAAAGGTCAACTCTTTCTGTCTTTTCGCACAATTTACTCACTCTTGAACACCTCTCGCTATTATTGTATCGATTACATTACTCAGATCTGCTACTGGGTCTTGCATATACTCCAATGTGCACTTTCTTTTTTGCTTATTATATGCTATACGTCCCAGCTTCTTCCATAGGCCCATAAATTCTTCTTCACACTCTTCAAACGCCTGGGCGGTGGCCTCTTCCCTCTCCTTAGCTCCCATCACATCCAGCTGGCAAGGTAAATCTAGCAAGGTAAAGCTCTCGAGAAGGGGCCTAAAGTCGGACTCTAAGTGCTTGTTCTAGTGTTCAGTGCGCGAAGCCGTCGTAGACCCTTGACACCAAATACATGTACTTGCAAAGGATCTCCTGGCGGACATAGTCGAGGCATGAGCATGCCCTTCTCTACGTTTACAGCAACGGAGTACCCTATCCAAATCCTTCGAAAGGCTCTACCGCGAACGGAAGGATGATTAGAACCTATCCATATACAATCAAACTTTCGACGTTCTCGATTTTCAACACATGCCTCTCTCTCGACCAACCTCTCGCATACTATGGCCCTTGCGCCCGCGAAACTCACTGCCATTGCTCTCGCCAGCCTTTCTCAGTCGTACTGTGAAAGCGTTGCAGGCTGTATTCCATTCTTGAGCTTGAAATACTGAGCCCTGAAGTCCTGATTGATGAGTCCCTGCGATTTGTATATGATGAAATCAATTCGTAAACCGCGCTTCCCTTCCAGGACTTATGTCTTCAAAGCTTTGAGCCAAGACTCCAGAAGGTTGTTTGCGCCTATGTGCTGGTAGCCTATTAAGTTTATTAGGATGTCGGGAATTCTTCGAAGGAGCAACTTAATACCGCCGTTTACTGGTGCTTTATCTTACCTCTCTCACGAAATACAGCTCTTTTCCATGTAGTTGAAGGAGGGTTTTATGCTATCATTGCTAGAATCATAAAATTGGTCCTCGATACCTCTCCAAGTATCATTAACTTTTTCGTCAGAGCCTACAACGCGTAATTCTTTTATCAAGTCCTTCATATGCAACCAGTATCGCTTCTAAAGAGTATGAAGTCACATTAAAGTGCTATCGCCAAGGTATCTTGATGGAGCATCAACATGGTATATATATCTTGCCTTGAACCCACCCCTCATGCAATCTTCTCATAACTTTTGCACATGGAAGTGGCAGAAGTAAATTGATGCGGAGGAGAATAGCTCCTGAATGACTTCACTCTATATCACAGAATAGCCCACCATGAATTTTGAAATCCTGAAGCCGCACTCGGTTTTGAGCCATGATAACCATCTCTTTATGGGGAACCTGCCGTTGAAAATAATACAATGGTCTCAGTTTGGTAAACACCATTTTCACATCGTTGTTAGACTATGCCCAAACTTACAATGACTCTGAACTGCAGAGAATATGAGCAGCTCAGTCCTTGACAAGGATCACAAACAGGTAGGCTGAAGAACCGCTATCCCCTTTGCCCTTACCTTCCCTCAGAGGCATAGCAACTCTATGTGTGGAGTCCATGCAGGCTATCAAGTTGTTATCTTCTATGCCTTGTTGAAGACAGAAAGGAGGACAGTAAGTAAAGTTAACGCCAGATGGTTCATATCGTGGATCAGAGCGGTCCATACCTCCAACAGGAACTTTGTACACCAGGCATTTAGATATCTTTACAGGTCGTTGACACCAATTTTATTAGCAAACCATTCTTTACCCCTGTTTGCTTGATTTTCCTTCATCTGTCCCTCAACACTGGCGACAATGCTATTGCCTCTCGTGAATGCCTTTATCTGTTACAACAGACCAGTGTAATAAGTAAAAATTTATTGAAAAAAACTTCAAGGTCATTTGTTCAGTACATCAGTACGATACACTGCAATAGACCCCTGCACGTGCATCGTCGTAAGTAATAAGGAAGCTTAGAGGAGCATTTTTCGTCTCTGCCTCAGCCTGTGAACCATGGGATGTTAGTCATGGTCTAAGTAAAGGCAAAAACATTTAATATATGCTGGGACGATCATTACCGCCTGAAGAGTCCCTTTCATTTGGCCTTAAATCATTCTTGATATGTTTCCAGTCATGGCCGCTGGAGACCATTGGCTTCATCCAGTTGCGCTCATTAGAGCCCAGAGGAAGAAAGATGCTATTGGACGCTGTGCTCTAACCAAGGAGATTATTCCTTCGCATCCATCAACTGAGAATAATGCGATGGTTCATGTCTCTTCGATTGGCTACGAATAATATTACATACATTATGCATCGCCATTACATTGCAATAAAAATACATTTGGCACAATACCAACAACTTGTCCAACAAAGCCCTCACAGAATGGACGAATATTTCTTGGGCGTATAAACTCATTGACAGCTATCTAAATAGCCAAGTGGGCGCTCAAAAGAAAGATCGATTGAGTCAGAGAAAGTAATCCTATATGTTAAAAAGCGAATGGGTTTGCAGAGAACTGTGGCTGCAAAAAAAGAAAAAATAGAAAGAAAGGCTTTCACATAACCCCAGCATCCGTTGAGAGTATTCCAGTGTGTTGCTAGTTTAATATATAGTCGCCATCGTAGTATAGTATCAATGCATATGATTTTGCTATCCTTGGCTTGTTAGATCTGTTGTTTCTTTACCTTGTTGCCCTCTTTTAATGAATCTATCTGGATTGGCAATCATTGTTAAGAACCATGGGACTAAGTTTCGCTTTGCTGGACCTGTTGAAAATACTGGAGTGAGTGGTGGAAAACCCCATGTGTGATTTGAGTGTTGTGGATGTGGATGGCGAAGGAATACGTTGAGAGGATGTGAGTGGTGTGAGAAGAAACCAAGGTAAGGAAGATGGATTTATATATCTTTTCAAATCCTTGGCGAAGCAGTATATATTCTTATCAATATGCTTATAAAGTCCCAGCCACATCTAACAACAGCCACTGTGTTAAGGTTAAGGCAAGGTTACTGGTTTTAAAAAAGAGAAACCTCTCCTGATCATCCTTCTTTCACAGGTTGTAAATGAAACAAAACGGTCTTTGTATTTTCTCAAGATACCAACCCATGAATTTTTGGCAAGCCCATCGTTGTTAGTTGACAGCTCTTTTTAACAGCATGTAACAACTGTTACTCTTCATTAATATAAAACCCGCGAGCAATCATCCAAAGCGAGGCTGCTTATCATTCACGTCCAATAGGGGTTCTTTTTTTTTTTTTAGACTTCAGTAAACTAGTGGCGTTGTGGTGTATCGCTGGCGATTATACATACAGCAAACAGGAAGAGGCTCTGCAGAGCTCTTCATGCGGAAATCTTATTAGAGTTGGTTGGTTTTTTCTTATCCGTATGTATACAACATAACACAATTGTTTTCGACTGCTGCTGTGAGCGCGCTTTCTTTCCCTAAACGAGCTCAGCCTTGTGTTGTATTGACACAAAAGGATACAGCTGTAACTGGCTACAAAGAAGTAATACCAGACTTAGAGCCATGAGGGCTCTAATATTCGCATTTTTGGGCAAGAGTCGATGAATGTGAAGTGTTGAAGAAAAATAAATCGTTTGTCCTAAACGCATTAGGCTCGAATCCAGTCAGAGAGGGAAGTTTGCATCTAAACGCGTGTGAGCCTAGGAGAGAGAGAAAAATTAAATCTCGTGGCCGATCCACAACTGACTGGTTTGGTGATGATAGCATATAATATTGTCTCGTCCGCCTACCTTGAGCTATGTAACATTACCTTGCGAAGTCTTTTCAGTCATGCATCATTTGGAAGTTGGATTGACGAAACTTGTGGAAATGAAAGTAAACTACTCAAGTTCGTCTAAACAGATGAGACCAGTTGCCACTCTACCTTCTTGAAGTTTGCTGTCTAAAAGACCTGGCTACTTTTTTTTTTTTTTTTTTTTTTTTTTGGAACTTACTCTCTATTTACCATCTCCCCACCTCTCTATGCTTCTATCCAACTAGCAAATTTTACGCCATGGCGATTGTAGGACCGTGACCACTTCTATAAGGAGAATGGATACGAGCCAACTTCATTGGTCGCTCGAGTATTGGTTTTTGTTTGCTCCAAATAAGCAAAGAGTTAAGGCCCAGACTGTTTTCTTCACTACCATTCGCTTTACCTGCGCCTTCCGCCCACTCTACGCAGCCCGCACGATCCTAGGGCAGAAAATTCCAGGGGTCTCTTCTAAAGCAACCTCCGTCCTTTATCTCGATGGAGAACCCTGCACAGAGAAAGAGGTAATGAATGCCAAAAGATAGGCGCTGCACTTGAAGGCTTTGACTCAAGCATCTAGGTTCATTGGGCAGTTCGAAATGAGAGTCAAAGAGAAGCAAGCAGTTCGAAAGACTCTCTTCAAGAGCACCAGTAAGAAGCTTTTGATGGCATTCCATTGGAGGAGAGCTAACAAGGATACCTTTGACACTTTCATCTGCTTGAAAGGTTGGACCGTCGTCAAGTCCTCAACGGAGGCGGATTTGCAGATCACAAAAGGCTGCCAAGAAGACTACGTCGTTGCCACAACAGACAGTGATCTGCTTGCATATAGCAGAGTTAAGACCATTTGGAGAACAATTTCGAGCTCTAACATCCTTGGGTACGACTTGGATAGTATCATTAAGCATCTCGAAGGCCCAACCAAAGGCAGGTAATCAAAAGCAGGCAACGGAAAGGCAGTCAGCCAAGGCTACTGCGGCCAATCACCCAAGGCACCAGCAAAGGAAATGTCAAAAAGCATAACCAAAGAAATCCAAGCCAACTTAGAAATAGCCAATCATTTTAAATTTTTTTTTATTTATTTTTGGCTACGAGTCTGGCTGTTCTTGAACAAGGCCATGGTTTGGAAACGGTAGTATAGTAAACGATTAGTAATAAAAAGTAAGAGAAAAGCTCAAATACAATATATATACCCTTGTTCTTTGCCTGAAGTTCTAGTGGATGGATATCCGTGACCATTGTGAGCGCAAATGCCACTCGGATGGAAATAGCAAATTAGTAGCAATAATCAAAAATGATCCCAATAGGCAATGCTGTGTCGGCTATTGATAGCAAGCTGCTCGGTAAACATAACTGGCTATATAGTTATATTCACTCATTCATAGCCTTGAAGAGCAATTCAGTCAATTACATGAGCATCTCAGTGGCGTTGAACTATCAGTCGGTAGGCTTTGGTCATAGCTGATTTAGGCAAAAGGAGAATAAACTAACCGCCATTTCAACGCGTCTCCTTTATTGACAATAACCAGACGTGCCATAGTCAATACAACCCATACTCTAATGACCTTTATCTGCTTTGTTACCCCCTTGGGAGCTGAAGGCCCTTTTCGGTGGAGGGTTAGTAGCAATAGCTATAGAGGACAGAATGGCAACACTTGATGACTGGCATTGGATGCATGTGCGTGTGTGCGGGCGTGTATGAGGTCATGGGGACCTGACCTAATGGAGTACGATATGCCATACCACCCCCACACAGTGGGCTCTGGACAACATTTTGGGAGTATTTTCGATGAAGTAGAAAAAACACCTTCCAAGGGACCAAGAGACTGGCCCTTGCAGCCTAGGATGTAGCCAGATAAGCTATATAGTCACATAGCAAACAATTACTCAGTAAATAAAAACGAAATGAATAAGAAAATAAAACTACACTTTGATTCAAACTGCAACGGTGCATTCCAAAGTGCATCTTCCGACAGGTGGAGCTCTGATAGGTGGGCATCCGTTGCACTATGCAAGCCTTATTGGAAAATAGAGAGTGAAGCGAGTTTATTAAGGGGTGCTTGCCTCTCTGATTCAAGGGTATTTGAGCATGGGACGCGAACTTTATTTGCTTTGCTTTGCCCAAAAAAGCAACTTCAGCAGCAATGACAATAACAGCTGCGTGACTCCAGGGTTGGAAGAGGTGTTCCTGGACAGCAAATTTTACTTTTCATTCATTGCGTTCCTCAACACAACATACATTCACCTTTTCACCTGTCATGTTTCGTGGTGCATCCTTTCTTCTGCTTCTTAATTGGGTCTGCATTGTCTCATGGCTCATCTCTTCCTTCGATTCCACCACTGCCACTATTGTCGTTCTGGTAAAAAGAAGCTTTTTTTTTTTTTTTTTTTTAAATTGTATAAGTATCTCGCCACCGTCCTAACTTATTGTATTAATCTTGAGTTAGGCAACCAACGATACTTTTGTGGATAGGACAGCTGCATTTGGTCCTAGGATCCCTGATGAGGGTATAGTTCTTAACCTTATCGCCATTGAAACCCTTGACCCATCGCAGGGAACAACAGCTTGTCATCCTCTTCCTATTGCACCATCAACTAACGGCTCCTGGGCAGCACTAGTAGAGCGAGGAGGTGACTGTAGTTTTGTCGACAAGGTACGCAACATGCAAGCCAGTGGAGCCAAGGCAGTGGTCGTTGGTGACAATCAGCGTAGTGGACTCATCACCATGTATGCCCGTGGTAAGTGAACGGAGACGGATACCTCCTTTCTCAGTTGGTTTACAGATTAAAGTCAGCCACCCCGTGTGCTTCGTATTAGGAAAACCAAAATATCGCATACTTCTTTATACTACCAACTTTTTTCCTTTTGTGTGCGTACTCGGGCACTATACCATTGACATATGCTAATACTCCTTGCATGAGGTTGGATGCAGCATGGGGAGATATCTTTTTTTTTTTTGTTCCAAATGAAGGATAGCGGAACATTGAGAGGGAGAGACAAAGACCAGTCTTAGTGTTACAAAATGGGCTTTTCTAGTCCATCCTTATCCTTAAAAGCTTCTTTCACCACCAACACTTCCTTTTCTTCACACTTTTACCCCATCGTCCAAGCATAATGCTCTGAAAAATAAAATGTTGGTTCTCATTTTCGCTTATCACTCTTACTCACGCGATCATCCTAGCCTTAACAGCTTAATCAAACTACTGTGTTTTCTGACTATTTCTTTTTTTATTATTGATTGGTTGTGAATAGAAGACGCGTCTGATATTCTTACTCCGTCTGTGTTTATTGCTCAACACCACTACCGGGAACTACGATATTTTGGGAATCAATTTGGGAAGGAGTTCCTGATTAAATTAACTCCCGATGACTTAAACTGGTATTGTATCCCTAAACCCCTGAAATATTACTTTCTTGTAGACCATTCATTACATTAATCCGGCAGTTCTCTTGCTTTCATTCTTGGGAGAAGGGAGCCACTCTAACCTTTCCCCTACTATCATAATAAGGCCATTACTAGATGTGGTCATCTTTATTATTCTCTCTCCTGCATTCGTTGTGCTTTTTCTCTATTTCCTCTGGAGGGTCCGTATTCGACAACAACACATTGCGGACTTGGCCTCATCTGAGGCCGTTACCAACTTGCCAATCAAGGTTTTTTATACAAGCAAGCTTAAAGAAAACGAGCCTGTGGAATGCGTCATCTGTCTTGAGGAGTTTGAGGATGAGACCGAGCTGCGCGTCTTGCCTTGTAAGCATGAGTACCATGTCGTATGTATCGACAGCTGGCTTACAACCCGCAAAAGATTTGTAAGAGACTCATCGACTTGAATGCTGCGTTGCACTTCATTGAATTTATCCGTAGAAGCGCCTGGGAGAGCTTATATCGAACATTTCTTATCTCTCTATCTAGTGTCCAATATGCAAACGCGATATCTGTACAGCAACAGAATCGACACCTCTATTGAGATCAATCCACAGCAGATCTTCCAGCAACCGCCACAGTGATTATGAAGTCCCAGAAGGTCCGTACAGAGCTGCCTTCTCCGCGAATATTCCTTCCCAACCCTCCTCCTCAGATCCAACCGCATCATCCTCAACGTCCTCCTCATCTGTTTCTGGTGCTCGTATCGCATCGTCTTGGCCCTTAAGAACCGCAGGTATCGGAAGATCTGGACCAGGAATAGCTGCAGTTGCTTCTGCGGGCTCACGGGCCAGGCCATCGAATGCCTCCAATTCTGGCGCACCTTCGTCGCATCTAAGAGATCCTTCTAGTGATGATCAAGTCTTCTCTGGGATCTAACGCCCATCTTACGAAAACAATGTAACCGTTGCTGGCCGTAGATTTTATCATCAATCCGCCTCAATAGCCTGTGTATTATGCGTTAAATAAATAAATAAACCAAAGTAAAAAGACATGCCGTATTTATTTATTTGATTTTTTTTTTTTTTTTTTTTTAAAAGTACAAGACAGGCGCCAGAAGAAGAACCGGTGCTCTATTTACATTAATCATCAACCTTGCTATCAGATTGCTCCACATCCGCGGCCAAATCATTCGTAACAGGAGCAGCAAGTTCTGGTATCGAGCGTAGATTGGCAATATTAGTAGTCGGTGGGGCTTGTCCGTTTGTCTGAACCTTTGTCTGAATTGAATTAAAATTGATAGTAGACTGTTTCACCATTTGACGATGGATTCCAGCATAGTATATTCGCATATATAATCGCTGAATGATATCCTTAGTCAACGTTCGTTCCATAAATGCTGCTCGAACATCCACAATCCGCCCATGCATGCGACGTAGCTTCTTGAGCAGTGGCTCTAAAGCACTACGGCCATACCCTGCAATCATTTGTTCATCGTCCAAGCAATAACCAAGCACCTTAATCCTTCGGCCGAGATCCTTGTAGTTTGTCTCAGGACCAACCAGGAAGCCCTTATCTATAAACAATGCACGATGCAGTTCATCTAGATTAGGCGCCGTCCCACCAGGGGGAATAGGAGGTTGCTGTAAATATGCTAAGGCTATACTCCGACGAAGTAATGTGATCCGAAGGGAAAGAGAAGGGAGTTGGTTCAAGACGAGCAATATGAACGGTAACGATGTTCCCAAAGTAAAAATGATACTCTCACAGAGTTGCTGACGCTATTTTTTTATTTTTATTTTTTTAAAAAAAAATTAATAAATCAATAAAATAAATAAAAAAAATTCGTAATTAATTGCATCGAGCAAACAATTTGTTAAAGGGTCGATCAGTGTCAAGGAGCAAACAATTATTTACCTTGCTGTCCCAATCACTCTCCGGGATAATGTCAAGAAGAGCAACCATAGTTGATCCCAGAAGAGACTTGATATCACCAATGATAGGATCTGTAGTCATCCTGAGAAGCAGGTTCATAATCTTCTGAATTTCCACAAAGTCATAGAACTGAGGGCTATCAAGTAGTGAAAATATACGATATCAATTTAATATCGAGAGATGAGGGCTGAATGGTCTCGAAGCTTCAAATAAAGCAGATATACACAACACTTACTTCAATGTTGCTGTTATGTTCACCAGTTTGATAATAGATTTAAGGTTCTGCCTAGGAAAAGACTTCGTCTCCGGAACTACATGACAAAGACATTTTTAATAAACGAAAGTTTACTCTCATGCTCCCAGAAAAAGGAAGAAAGAAAGGAAAAAAAACATGAACAGTGGGTTCTTTTCTTTTATAACAGTTCATCGTCTTCGCCTTACGTATCAAGCGCTGATTTCGAGTTTCCTTAGTGACTGGTGTTGCTCTCCAATCTTGTGTAAGGCATTTGTCATTTGCACCATACATCCCGAACACTCGTATCAAATCCTGATGATCTATTCCGTGGACCGAAGTCCTCTGAAAAAAAAATATAATAAAAAAAGTGGGGAAGGGTCAATTTTGAGTGATCACTCTAAATGCAGAGCAGCAAATCAGCACAACGAACCTGCGTCAAAATTCGCTGCAACAATGCAAAGACTGAGAGTGTAACAGGTTGGTGCTGTTCAGTTGCAGTAACAAGTAGCAGCCACTTGAAGAGCGATCGAGGCATGGTCCATGGCGTGGCACTGATAATCATGAGATATGGAGACATTAAAAAATGTCTCCTTTCTGTCTCGGTCTTCGTGCATTCTAAGACTTTTTGGACGACATGATCCGAAGCATCCGCGCCCTCTAACTCAAGTTCCAAGGATGGAATAACGAATTCCTGTTTAAACACAAAATAAGGTTCATTTAGTCCCGCATAATCCATTGGTACTCTTAAGCGAATCAATAAAGCTCACTCCTTTTCTCTATCAAACATAAAAGTACTAATACCTGCGGCCAATGCACAAAAAACTCAATAAAGTCTTCAACAATCTCTGATGAGTTTTCTTCTATAATTTCTGTCAATGCACCTTCTTGTTCCTCGGACAAGACTCCTTTAGGGATCATAGTAGGTCCGGAAATGACCTCTTCATCTTCAGCTTCATCGAATTCTTCAATTAACTAGCATGCAATGTAAAAGGCATTAGAGGATTGATCATACAAGTCTTTGATACTAGAATCGTTCATATTTTGTGTTTCTTACATTGTCATCCAATGTCGTATTGGCGCTTGCAGTTTTGATGTCATATCCAATCTCATCCCTGCGTTTCTTTTCTTTGAGCAATACATCCAATGAAAAGAAATGTTTCTTAGCTTGGGTCGATTTTGGTGTTTTGGATGTTAGTTTTGGTGATATAGCAGGAATGAGCGCTGGCTTTGCAACAGAACTTCTCAAGGTGCGACCTGATTTTGCCGAGGTTTGCGCATGTACCACTCTACCCGTTGCACGTTGGAGCGGTATATCCTCAAGCTCAGCATCGATATCGGATAGCTTCATATCTAACTTTGACTCCGTCTCGTCCTCTATAGGAGTGGCATCAGTTGTAGCTGGAGTTCCTGTGGATGGCGTTGGGGTGGCTGGACTTAAATTCCCTGAAAAGAGGTCGTCATCAAGCTCAGAGTCTGACTCTTCCAACACCTAATAAGGAGAAATAATTTTGATGGGACAAAACTAGATCTGATTAATGTATTTAACTTAATCATTAGAGAGCAGTGGTTTCCATGTACACCCTCCATACCATTGGACCGATCTTGTTGGAGAATTGCTTAAGGGTCGGGATGTCATCGTCAGAGCCCAGCGGTCCCAAATTCGGATTACTGTCGTTGGTTTCCATTTCTTGTCCTGAAGATGTGAGTTGAGGGGCTATAGCTACAAATGATGGCGTCAAAGTATAAGATAAAAATGAAAAGAAGCACTTATTTTTTCCACTTCGCTTTATGATGTTTCACAAATTTCCACACGAACCATCAATCTCGGCAGCCACCAAAATGTTGGTGTCATTCCAATCTGCTTCTGATCCAGAGTCTGACCCCTCTACAATATCTTTTGTAAATGGACTATTCTTTATGTTTTCAAGTTCCAGAGGCTTCAGTTTACTGTTACTGTCCATTAATTCCAAACTTGTACCCATCTCTTCAGCCAGTTTCTCTGAAAAGGTCAAAGAGGGCTTAGAAGGCATTGATCCTGGTGTCATTCCCTTCCATTTTGCCTTCCTTGGAGACAGAGCCAACCTTCTAAGCGACTCTCCCGATACTTGAGAATTAAAGGTCATAAGACCCAGGCTGTCGACAGAGTCTAGATCAGTGGAAATAGGCTCATTATGCTTTGATGCCTCTCCTGCCTCTGATTTGATGCTGCTTTTCCCAGGGCTGGATGGATTTAAGCTATCTGAAGCGTCATAATAGGTATCATTGAGGTCTTCATTGTCTCCTGGGCTAAATGGATTATGTGGTGGACTCATTTCAAAAGACATAGAAGGATCGAGGTCATCTTCAAGTGAGGTGTCGGCAGCCACTTCCGATTGTTCAACGTCTTTGTCTTCAGGAGTGTGCCTCTCTGCCCTATCTGGTATCGAAGACTCGAGTTCGGCAGATGGTCTAAGCGATGAGACGATATGAGCGATTATATGTAAATTAACAGCCAGTCTGAGATCTCTATCCCAATCTGCATCCTGTCAATGATATCATTACCCTGGATGTCGCTGGAAATATGAGCTGATCAGCCGCGTACTATTGCATTGTAATAATGGAAAAATACCATCAACTACTGGACTGCCTCAATATGCACCATTGCACATTCTCAATTGCATTCATTCCGGCATATATCTTTTTTTTTGTACTTTGAATTTGATATGACAAATGAACTTTTTACATCAACAAGAAATAAACCCATGATTAGCAGTTGAGCCACACACAATGACAATCCACGACGTCCGCCATATAAGTATAATACCATCCATGTACCTTGAACTCGAACCCGAAGTCGACTGAAAGTATGACCCTATGGACCGCATGCTGTTGGAGATTGAATGAGTTGATTTAGTTATAAAAGAATTGAGCATTTTCCTTTTCTCTCTTTTTCCTTTTTTATTTTTTTGGAACATTCGTACTTGAGGTGAGCTGTCCTCTGGTTCTTGGACGTTCGCCCCATGTGTCACCGATGCCTTAGGATGTCAAGTAACAAATGACAGGACAAACGACAACGGGATAAAGTTTCGCCAGTCCTGATCAGTCAAAACAAGCCACATTATACCTTCGGGACACAAAAGAACACATCATTCTTCCACTTCACTCCATACTATCAACCATGCTTCGTTCATTTATATCTGTCACCCCTTTGGTCTCCTATAGGACAACCGCTGTTGCCGCTGTGAGACCTACGGATACACTACAGCTACGACTCAGCCCACTCTCCACAATCATCCGACGTGCAAGCAGCACTACTCGCGGAAACACAACTACACCACTCTCCGCAGCTCTGAAGAAACCAACCACACAGCAGCGTGGCGCAAAGCTCCGTGGTGATAGTAAATTCCTACTAGCTGGAGGCCCTTTTTCTATCTGCCGTGCCCTGGCTACTGTCACTAATGTCCCTCATACCCATTCCTCGTCGTCTCCTGGAGTATCTACTGGAATTTCCAAAAATAGCCCGGAGTTTACTATCAATCCGATCTTGAACTGGCTAGAATTTCCAAACTTTGCAGCCATAAAGCCTGAGCATGTTGTACCTGCCATGGAGGCACTGGTCCAATACACTGAAAAGGCATTTGAAGAACGATCCCGCCACTTTACTCCCACTTGGGAAGGAACCATGGGGAAAAGTATGTAATTTAAGCAACCGACAAACACAGCTGGGTATTTTATTCATGTCCGCAAACAATTTCAGCTATATAAAAGGGGGAGAAGGAAAAGAAGGAAGGAGACATAGTATTCTTACATGATATTGTGTTTAATAGCTCAGGATCTAGAAGATGACTTGGAGCGTGCATCAAGCGTCATTACTCATCTATCCATGGTTAAGGATTCACCCGAGCTCCGCAAGGCTGTCGAAGCTATTCAACCCATGATCATTAAGATTTCCCTCCAAATGGGTCAATCTTTAGAGATGTACGATGCATTGGTGAAAATGCGTGAGAATCAACGGATTTGGAGTGCATTGGATAAGGAGCAACAACGGATTGTGGATAAGACTATTCAAGGAATGAAATTATCTGGTGTGGCCTTTGGACTGGAGGGCGAGGGTAATGCTGAAAAAAAGAAGCGCTTTAATGAGATTCAAAAGCGCAAGGCGCAGTTAAGTCTCAAATTTAGTAATAATGTTCAAGATGCGACCAAGGCTTATGCCAAGATCATCTCTAACAAATTTGAACTGGAAGGTTGCCCTGAGAGTTTGATCAAAGCAATGGCAAAGAATGCGCAATCTAGAGGATATGGTGACGGAAATCCAGGTAAGTAGTTTGACTATGTGAACGACAACACTATCCCCCTTTGGATGTGAAAAAAGCGCTAACTAGCTTTTGTTTCGCCATTTTGAATGTTAGAGACCGGCCCATGGGCAGCTACATTGGATGCACCTACATATGTTCCTTTTATGATGAACTGCAAGAATCGTGATCTCCGTGAAGCGGTACGATTTTTATTTCAGATTATTAAGACTTTGTTTTAGTGTTACAAAATGAATATTCAAAACAGGAAGCCTTAGACTAGGGATATTTAACACAGATTTTTTTTTTTTAATTTTTTTTTTTATTATTATTACCTATTCATCCCCTTCTATTGGAAGATCTATCGCGCAAACATCAAGAGAGCATCCGAAGGTGAACAGGATAACGAGCCTATAATCAATGAGATTTTGAGCCTACGTAAAGAGGAAGCTACCATGCTAGGCTTTCCCTCCTTTGGTGCTCTTTCTCTCTCTAAGAAGATGGCCTCTAATGTTGAGACTGCTACAGAAGTCCTGGATCGACTTTACAACGCCACATTGCCCGCTGCTAGAAAAGAGATCAATGAACTTACTAGTTTTGCCAGAGATCGCTTGCAACAACCTATACCTTTACAGCCATGGGACACGGCGTTTATTGGGGAAGAATATCGCAAGGAAAAATTTAAGTATTCTGCGGATCAAATCTCAGAATACTTGGTTTTCCCTCATGTTATGGGTACGCTCTTTGAGGTTGTCAAGGATAATTTTGGTATTCACGTATCAGAGATCGACCCCAACGAGCAAAAACGTGCAGGCTTGACTACATGGAATAAGGATGTCAAAATTTACAAGGTACAGGATGATGGGCCTAGCAAAAATGTACTGGCATATTTTTACGGTGACTTTTATAGCCGTAGTGAGGAAAAGAAATCGGGGGCGTGGATGGACGTCTGCGTTACTCGAATGAAGGACTCGAAAACAGGCAATGTTCGCGTGCCCATCGCCTACATGATCTGCAACCAACCTCCACCTTCATCTGATTCAGAGCCTTCCAGGATGAAGTTCCAGGATGTGACTACGCTCTTCCATGAGTTTGGACATTGTCTTCAACATATGCTTACTACCGTTGATTACCCTCAAGCATCCGGCATCAAGGGTATCGAATGGGATTTCGTTGAAGTTGCTTCCCAATTTATGGAGAATTTTGCTTATGAACCTCAATGGTTGGACCGTATGGCACGCCATTACAAGACAGGAAAGACTATGCCACACGACATGAAACAAACAGTAATGAAAAGCCGCGAGTGCTTGGCGGGCCTTGCTATGATGCGCCAGCTTCATTTTGCAATGTTGGATATGGAGCTTCATACCAATTATAAGCCTCGAGGGGAGGGATCCAAAACCGAAGAATCAGTTTTTGATGTAGACCGCCGTATGGCAAAGAAAACATGCTTGATCGCTCCTGTGCCCGAGGACCGCTTCCTGTGTGCATTTAGTCATATTTTCGGAGGTGGATATGCAGCAGGGTACTACTCGTACAAGTATAGCGAGCTCTACTCTGCAGATGCATATGCTGCATTGGAGGAGCAAACTGAATCAATTGAGTCAAGGAAACGCATTGGACGTAAGTACAGGGACACTGTACTAGCTTATGGTGGTGCGACAGATCCGAAGGATGTATGGAGGGAATTTAGAGGACGTGACAGTGTAGAAGTTGATGCTCTTCTCCGTCATTCAGGCCTTACGTCCGTACATGCTTAAGAAACCTTCTATTCCTCAGTTTTTTTTTGTATTGCTTAAATGATTCGAATAATATTCATACTTTTGAGTGACCATTGCCAGTGAATTCGTATTGCCTCTTCTTTTTTTTTATTTATTTATTCTTCAGAAAGTCTTGGTTAAGCGTGTGTCGCTATTAATATGTACTTTGATGGTGTGCTTGATGCTAAACTTGGCGCAATTGAAGGCGAGTTACCAATGTGATGATTTTTAGTCGTTTTCGTCTTCGTTTTCCTGCTCAGCGTCCGGATTGCTGCTGCTTCCAACTCTTGTAGCCGTAACGCCCTGCCTATGCCTCCGTGCGAATTGGCGAATAATTTGCATTAAAAGCTCACGCGGCGCCATATCGTCATCATCATCATCCATTTCGCTATAATCATCGTCTTCATCATTGATAATGACCAGGCGTCGCAACAAATTATCTTGTCCAAAGCTGCGTCTTTCTTGCACGTAGGCCAGTTGAGGATCCAAATAGTCTTCTTTACGCCTTCCTTCCGATGAATCTGATTCTGGTGCTTTTTCCACGGGCGCTGCAGGCCTAATCTCGTGTGAATATGCGGTTGGGCGTTTGATGCCACGGACCAGAGATAGGTCTACAGGTTCTGAGGCCGTTGGCATAAAGATCTTTATTGTGTCATCAATTCCGGATGCTGCAAGTACGAAATTTGAGTATGGATGAGGCTGAAGGCAATTGACAACAGTCTATCGAGGTTCGTTCAATAATTATGGTAGAAAAGGTTATAGCATTTAGTTTACACTGTTGTTTCGACCTATATCTAACAATTAATACACGCAACCGACGTGTGTTTTTTTTTTTTTAAAAAAAAAAAAAAAAAAAAAAAAAAAAACGTACATCATCGCCTTTGAGCACATTGACAATTTTACCCGTCTGCTTGTCCCAGAATAAGATACGACCATCGTCGGATCCGGAAATGATAAATTCACTATTCGGACCAATAAAGTTGGCTTCCTTTATCTTTAGGTTCAGAAAGAAAGGAAAATCCTGGTTAGAAAGATATGAAATAAATAACAATAATAATCCTTATTTTCTATTCTAGTACATCGTATACCATTGTATCAGCATTTCGGTGGCCAGAATACACTTGAACAATATCTGACTTGCCCGCATGGAAGCTACGCCTAATCCAGTACTCTTTTTCGTCTTGCTCAACAGGAGTTAGCTCGTCTTCATCGTCGCTATCGTCAGATTCCAAACCAAAGGAATCAGTGTGGGAGTGCCCGTCAGAGTCTTGATCCATGTAGTGATAGTCATCTTCGTCATCATCATCAGCTGAATTGCCTTGTAGAATAAGGTCAACATCAATATCAACCCCATCTTCAGAAACACTCTCATTATTATTAGATTGAGTAATGTGATCCGTGTCCTCGTGCAGCTGCTCTTCTTGTTGGCTACGTTCTCCATCAATGCTCTCATCTTCATCAAGCTCGGTAACTGGATCCTGAAATTGAAAGCGCACCTGCCCAGCGCTTTTCCCATGCGTAGGATCAGCCGCTTTGTTAATATCGTGGATATCTTTGGTAATATGCATCGGCTCATCTAACTCTGAGCTAGTTCCAATGGCTGCTTCAGATGACGCTGATGAAACTGATGATTTTCGGGGCAACATTGGCGACCAGCTGCCTAGAGTCCTTCTTCCTTCCCCGGCTGATTCAAGACCCAATTGGTCAGCTGGCTCGACCCCGGCGCTTGGACTCCGTCGTCTCTTTCCTTTGACATCTGTTGTTGGTGATTTTTTACCAACGGAATCCGGTATGGCATGGTGAGATGATTTTTTTGTAGGGTTCCATTGCATATTTAACTCTGTTGTCATGCCTGATGGGTCAATCAAAAAACAGTTTCCTCTACTATAGCTCGCCAATAATTGACCAGTCCTACATGGATCGTATTTGAGGCTGGTAATTTTGGTTCCAATTAAGTTCCGCTGACGATTCTTACCCTTCACAAGCTCTCCATCTTCCCCTATTTTCCATCCTGGGGGAACATACGGTGAAAAACTATAGACCTGTGCCTCTCTATGACTGTCTCTAGATCTGATCATTCGACTATCGTAAATCCGTACTGTGTCATCGCCACAGGCTGCCGCGATATAATTGGGATTTTCTGGTCGCTGTGTAATCGCAGAGACGACCATTTCGGTTGAATCCAGACGAAACCGGGCGAAGCTAAAGCTAGTACGACCTGACAAACGCGAAGTTGAATCCCCACGCGAGTGGTGTTTGATATCAATAAATGTGTGTCGTTCACAGCCTTCATCTTCATTGCAGTCGCAGCTAGTTCTAATTCTGGTGTCATAACGATTTATTCTTCCGTCTTCAGAACTAGGTATATTTAAAGAAGAAAATAATAAAAAAAGTCAAGACAAGAAAAGAATTATTAGTTCAAGAGCCATCATAGCAAGATGATCATCACACACAGATCTCATATAAAGCACAAATCAATATATTAAAAAATATAATGCACATGCCCGTAGAGCAACGTACCAATCGTAAAAGATATGTCCATCAACCATATCGGGCATAACCTCATAAGTCATGGCCCTCGATTCATGACAATTGAAACCAGGTGAAGGGACCCAGGCATCTCTACGTGACTTTTCCACGAACCGATGCACATTTGTCAACCGTGTGGTTCCATTTGAGCAACAAGAGACAATCAGGGATGAAGAGCTATGGGCCATGAATTTTGCCGAGAACACATTTCCTGTATGCCCACTTGGGATACTCTGTACCAATGGGATGGGGTCGAGTGGCCTGTAGATATTAAGGTAATGGTCATCTATGGCGTATGGCAAATAGTGTACGTAATAAGTGGTAAGGAAAGTACTAGAAAAATGTCCATGACGAAACTCTGGCTCAATATTCCTGCTACTATTCTCAATGGTAATTTTTTTTACCAGATCCAGTGAGGAGAAATTCTCCAGTTTCGTCCCACGCAAGAGTATTCACACAGCCACTATGGCCTTTCAGTGGAGGCTGTTGTTCTAAACGTTTCACAAAGCTCTCAGAGCTCAAATGATTGAACTTAACAGGGCCATGACGTGATCCTGGTGTGAACTGAAGTTCAGTTAGACCACGCAGCAGACTAGAACCATGGTAACTGCGCGAGTATACTGTGGAGGATGTGCGAGACCGTTGTCGGCGCTCAGAAGGCTCGCTATTGTTGACCGTAGATGTATCCTCGAATTTGGGTGCATTATCTTCTTTCATGGCTGGAGCTTTTCGCTTAGTGGACATTATGTGAGTGTGGGAAGTTGCGGGTTCTGACAGAAATAATGCGGTAGAATATTAAAATAAGCCTGTTATCGTGAGATAGAGTACACGAGTGGGAAAATCAAAATCCTTTTTTGATAGAGTGGGAAAGTGGATGTCTTTACTCTACGCTTGGATAAGTCGTGGTCGTTGCAAGCATACGAAAGCATGAACAAAGAGTGAACGTACAAAGAAAGCAGTGAAACGGAAAAGGGAAAAAAAGACAGTTTGTTATCACGTGGAATTAAAAATTCATATTGCAATGGAATGCTTAGAAAAAAGTGAGGGTGAAACTGTAGTAGCGTGCATTTACGGAATCCCTCTCTAAGTGCATGTTCCCATATACGCATATCCGGGCCATAGAAAACTAGATTTCAACTCTAAACGTGCTGAAACTTCTAGAGTCGATACGAGCAACTGAAAGTATATCTTTCAAAACAGGAATTTGTATTTTCGAAAGATTTTATATAAATTTTTCCAGCTTTAGACTCAACTCCAGTATCAGCACTGTATGTCATACTAGTCCTGAAATACTAAAATCTGTACACTCATTGATTATATATAATGCCAATCTCGTCATCGTCTTCTGCTCTGCCTTCTATGCCATCATCTGCAAGACTCTCGGATGCTTCTTCATATTCAACTTCAACTTCTGATACATCCTCTGCTCTTGAAGCATCTTCAATAGCGAGCTCGTCAAGCGCCATATCAACATTATCTGCTGATGCAAGCTGTCCTTCAGATGGGCCAACTTCCACATCATAGTTTTGCTCCTGCTTCAATGGCCGCTTCTCATCATCATTCACTAATGCTGTTGCCATCGACCCTATCGCTCCCCCTGCCCTGACAAACGCTTCTTCGTTTTCCTTGTTCACTGTGCTTAGAGCGGATCTCTCTAAAAGATGTCTTGGCGGTGTAAAGATTGGGAAAGGATGTGCCTCTGTATTGAATACATATTTGTCCAACGGAAATACGTCATTAGGTCCAAAGAGCAAATAAAGATATTTGAGTGTTTCGGCTAGAAAGAATGTCTCCATTTTATCCGAGAAGTGTATACTATTTTTGCGGCGAATATCGTGAATCGAGCTGTAGCCCCCGGATTCAACCTTACTATACTTTTCAATAGCTTCGAATATCTTCCAGCCCCACTTCCTATACACAATTGTGCATTCAGGACATAAAAGGGGAATTAGAGTCAGCACAGAGCTCTCAATGATGACTGGAATACATACGGAATTCCAGTTCTTACCTATACTTTTCATCTCCTGTGAAGCGCCACATATAAAAAAGACTTTCAACAGTCTCGGGTCGCAGCCAGTTGTGGCCATCGGCGTTGTTGATGATGAAGTCAGATCCAGGTGTGTGCTCGACATCGCTCCTACCTACAAGTTGATCCTCGCTCTTTACCCAGTAAACAATCTCCGGCGCCAACCCCGTTTCGGTCTGGTTGTACATTTCATAGCAAGCCTCTGTCAGCTCTTCGCCTATTCTGAAATCTTCTTCCCCCGTTTGAGAAAGTGTAGAACGCGGGAAAGTTTTGTTATCGAAAGATCTGCCTTCTGTTGAGGCTAAGGCCATTGTGCCGCCCAGGAAGCAGACCAGATGATCCATCTTAGGACTAAGATTAGAGGGCGAATACTTGAAAATCTCCCCAATAAAGAGCAGATGGTTAGGTATTGTCCTTCCGATGAGATGCTTCTTGACACCGGCGATCGCGTGATCGTACATTTCCTTGAAAACATGTTGTGTCTTTGATGTTTGTAGATATTGTTTGATCAGGTACTCTAAACAAATAGTGTTTGAGCAACAAAAGGTTAAAGGATTCGAGTAAGTTTGCGTCTTCACCCAATAGTCCTTCTTCGATATACAAAGCTAAGTTGTGCATCCTCATTCTACCATAATAACTGTCACCACGCGATCCAAGGCGGATCTCCTCTCCATGGAATTGTCCGTTGTAAGGGTTGATGAAAATGGGAACAAGCCCATCCAAGCTATCCAACTCCTTCATTTTGAATATCACATTCTCGGCGACACGCCAATACTTGTCATCGCCTGTAAGATACGATAGATACTTGAACTCCAATTGCAATGTCGACACCTCTGAGGTTGTACTGATGCCACCTTCGTGCCCTGGAACGCCCCGTCCGCTCGATAAATGGACACTCGCATACGGAATTCCGCTTGTTGTATTGAATGCACCCATCAAGCGATCCGCGAGATCCACAGCCTTTTTCAAAAAGATTTCGTCATGGTCTGATTGATCATATGCTGCCAACAGTCCACCAAGCACGCGAATTGTGGTTTCAAATAAGTTGATCTCTCCATCCTGATTAAAATCAAGAGAATCCCGAACCCATGCTTTAGCCTCTTGAAATTCTTCTTTTAGACCCATCAATAATATTGTATCTAGAGAATCAACGATTGTAAAACCTTGTCCTTTACTTATCATGTTTGTGCCTCGTTTAGAAATGGGATGATACTCGTCTTGACCCCACGCATCCCGACGATAAGCATCCCATGCATGTTTGAATGCCGCTCTGACTTTTTCCTTGCGTTCTTCCCACGTTGTTGAATGTGCCCTTGTTGATATGGGTTGCTGTTTGGGGACATTAAATCGGTCTTTCAACGACAACGATCAAAAAGAAAATGGATAGCAAAACAGAAAAAAGGGAGGTTAGTTCCTCTACATGTGCCCCATTGATAACTTCCTCTTATAGCTCTGTTGACATGCTATATTTTTGTAGATACCTCTCAATGATGTAGATGACTTTAGGGTCAAGTATGTTAGAGCGAAGACACCAATAATAACGACTAAATGTTTGAGCCGAAAACGAAATCTCAACTGGAATAGGAAAGCACTATTGTCAGTATATGATAAACATTTATCAAGACCAAAGATCAAGAAAAGATTGCTGAATCACTTGAATTACTGTACCCGAGAATGTACTTCGGTTAACGGTTTCCTGTATTTGTCGTCAGGATCATTGTGAAAAGGGATTCCACTATTCCCCTGCCTCTGAAACATTATTGAGTTTGTGCTTTTGCTCGACGAAAGGTTTGAAATCGGTGGTTTGTTCTCGTCCTTCTGTGAACAGGGCGTCTCCTGAAAAGTACTCTCAAGGGAGGCTTCACTATCGTGGGCGCTCACAGGGATACTTGTAAGACGGCGCTGTCGCAGGTTCGATGAGCTCGTTAGCTCGGCTTCAGCTGCTGGTAGCCTAGCCAGTGGCAAGTTAGCGGTGTACTGTTGATCAGTATGGTGTTCAGGCGTCGCTGTTGATATGGATTTGGAGAGGCTGACGTGGGATTCTGAAAGATGCTCAAGATGAGATGATTGTGCGTGAGAAGCCAGCTTTGCTAATTTGACTCTTCTAGAAGACTTTGACAAATCGAGTTTTCGAATGCTATGAAGCAAAAGGAATGACCGTTTAGAAGGTGCAAATTGAAAAACAGACAAAATGAAAAAGTTTCGATGGAGGGATGGCACCCCTTGAAGATTTGTGGCCAACACGCGAGAACAAATGAAACATTTTAATGTTTTTTGTATCATTATGTGAAATCTTTATTTTTGTATGGAATATGAGTGTGTAAAAATAAAAATAAAAAAGGACAAGGTCAAGAGTCCAGATGCTTCAAATGTTGGAAAACAAAGGAAAATGAGAGTGGGGAGAATGCAGAAGAAAAATGCTTAAACAGCATGGTTGAAAAGATAACTGACAGACTCGCCGTTGTGTGTACGGCGGATAGCCTCAGCAAGTGTGCCAGAGATATCAATTGTATCGAGCTTGGGACAAACTTTCTTTTTATCCTCATGAGGAACAGTGTTGGTTACAACAACCTTTGTCAACACACTATCGTTGATGACTTGGATGGCTTTACCACATAAAATACCATGTGTTACAATGGCATATACCTTAACGGCCCCGTTTTCTGCAAGGGTTTTGGCGGCCAATCCAAGGGTACCGCAGGTATCAGCCATGTCGTCGACTAAAATGGCAATCTTTCCCTTGACGTCTCCTACCAAGACCATCCTTGAAACTTCATTAGCCTTTTTGCGCTCCTTGTGAATCAAAGCAAAATCCAAGTCCAGACGATCGGCAATTGAGGTGGCTCTACAAATTAAGTAAGAAAAAGAAGTAAGCAAAAAGTAAAATAAAAATGCGAATCAACAGGCATAACACTCATAAGGGACTATAGATAATGGATAAAAGGAAGTTTATGACAAGAGGTTATAGTTTCCATACCTTTTGGCTCCACCAGCATCAGGCGAGACAATGACACCATTCTTGTAGTCAGGAATGTTCTCGGCAATGTATCTCAACGTGTTGGGTTCAGCATAGAGGTTGTCGACAGGAACATTGAAGAAACCTTGGATCTGGGAAGCATGAAGATCCATAGTGATGACATGGTTGGCACCAGCAACAGTCAGCATGTTAGCAATCAACTTGGCAGTGATGGGGGCACGAGACTTGTCTTTCTTGTCTTGACGGGCATAAGGGAAACAAGGAATAATAGCAGTGATGCGGCGTGCAGATGCTGTCTTGCAGGCATTGATCATAATAAGCAGTTCCATAAGATTGTCGTTAATCTCTCCACATCCTGACTGGATAATATACACATCTTCGTCACGCACAGACTCCCCAATAGTGACCGAAGTTTCCTGGTTGGAGTACTTGAGTACAACAGCCTTAGACAGTTCGGTTCCGAGACGACTACATACACATTTTCATAAAAACACCATTCTATTAGTTATGCATTCGAACTAAAATATTAAATTAAGTTATCCATGCGGCACCTGTCGGAAAAGTAGTGTTTACAGTCACTGAGACAACCATTGCTCCGGAGAAATTGCCTTTATTTTATTTTTTTTCTTTTTTTTTGTAGAGTAAAGTGTGGATAAGATTCGATAGCCTCATGAGATGCCTTTTAGTTGATGTTCATTCTTCTCAACCCCAGAGAATGCAATTGCTGGGTTTATCTATAATTCGATTTCACATCCATGTATATTCTTTGAATGGATGAATGTATTTCCTGAGTATGAGTTTTCACAGGCATACAGTGCCTACGAAGGGAGGACAAAGAATCCGTCTTACCGAGCAACCAACTTCGCCAATTCAATATGTGAATTGCCGGCAAAGATCTTAATGCTGTTTGTGGCCATAGCGAGAAATTATTTTGTATAAAGTGGGGCAGCTGGCTGTTGAGTCGGGTGGTGGTTTGTGGCGAATCGAACGAACAAACGAACAAACAAAAAAAAAAGTGATCCGGAAAGGTGGGAATCCTAACGAGGATACCAGAGTGGCTTTGCCATCACATGACATAAACGCATCTAACATCAGTTTTGGGAGAATTTGCAGTCTTTCCTCAAAGCGGCCAATTTTGCTGTTAATAACCAACTTTGCTCCGGACGACAAATCACGCCTTTACTCGAATAAATTGATGCCTATCAACAGCCAGCCAGTGTATAAAAGGCGATATGGTTGTCATTGCAGAGGCATGAAATATGAAAGCAAGTTTAATCGTCATGAAAGTCCATAAAATAAGGATACAACCTGCATCAATGGACGCCAATGTTTATCATTTTCTTCCCTTTGTTGTACCCATACGAAATAAGCGAAAGCAGGCCAAAGGCGCTTGCCGTGGCGTACGATTTCAAGCACAATCATAAGCTGAGTACTAAAGAGCATTAGTATGCCACATAGCCCCAAAGTTATTATTGAGAGAGCCAAGACCATGGCCATCCAAGAAATATGATCCAAGTGGAAGCAATAGAGAGGTTGTCGAATCAACTCCCCTTGTTTTTTATTATCTTGAATGATGTGTCATTCGCGAATATAGTGACAATACATAACTCTAAGACTGCTGATAATATAGACATAAAGTCGTAAAGAATGGATCCCTTTCATCCTTCTACAAAATGTCTTTGATGTCCCCCTCGAAGTAGTCTGGATCATCCTCCATATCATAATCCGCTTCAGAGTCATCATCGTCAATCATTTCGCGACAATCCTTGCAGGTAGCCTTCTCCTGACGTTTCCTTTGGGTCTTTTAACAAATAAATAAATAAAATAAAAAATCATAAGGTTCTTTTTTTTTTTTTTTTTTTTTTTTTTTTGGTGCAGAAAAATTGTAACGGTTCATCACTTCCAAAATAGTAAGACGTAGTGCAAACCTTTGAGAACTTTTCCAGCGACAGTGATTTGGAGCATACATTGCACTTCAATTTGCTTGGCTGCTCAGGTGTGCCTGAATGATGATAGAATTTGAGACAAGAGTGTCCACGTTAACAATATGTAGCTTTCAAATTCTTCTAACGGGATGTCAAAACTCGAAGATAACAAAAAAGAAAACTTACAGGTCTTGCACATGATATGGTGCTTTTTGGCAGGGTTAAGGTTTCCAGCCTTTTTGAGTTGAGTCTCTGTAAAGGCAAGACGGGGCTTCTCTTGCTCGCAACCATAGCAATAAACACGATCACTGCCTTTGAGCGAAGGAGATTGCCGGTTGTGGGCAGGGTTAGGCGCTCTTCCTGCGGTCGATTTGCCTCTATAGCCACCGTAATATGCTGACATGATGAAAGGGAAAAATCCAATCTGCGATGAGGATAAAATGGGAGAGAAGAGATGAAATCAGATCGCGTCAAATCATGTCTCAAAGCCAAAAGTTCTTGAAACTTGGCCCAGGGGTTCTATAATGATAAATCACATGCTTTCAACCTTTGTAAGTGAAGTGAGAGTAAAAAAATAGATAGTTAACCTGCCTGGGATGTAATGAACGACAACAATTCAATCAACTCTAGATATATATATTCCCAACTCCCCAATTTAACTCGTTTCTCCATTCTTTCACAATGGCATCGCTCGTTAACGTCTTTGCCTGGGAATCCTTTCGGAAATTGCTCCTTGTCGGCTATGAGAATCTAGCTCTGCCCATGTCTGACAATGCTTCCATCTTCTTGGACCTAGTCGTCTTTCATGCTGCATCAGACCCTCTCATCTTTGCCATTCGAACTTCATTGGTCTTTTCTTTCTTTTGTTGGTTCATGTCCATGGCCACGGGGACACACTCTTGGGTAATCTAATCTTTTTGAGATTTATCCACACCTCTCTCGCTCTTCTTGTCTCTAAAAAAAGCTTTTTTGCAAATAGGTGGACAGGCTTTGGTCGATCACGCCCGTTCTTTACGCGATCCATTTCTCAGTCCGTGACATGCTTTATTGGCCCAAAGATGACGCTTTTCACTACTTGCCTCGTGTTTACATCGCCACAGCTCTCATATTCCTATGGGGTGCACGACTGACCTACAACTTTTACAGGAAAGGCGGATACACATTCGACAGTGAAGACTATCGTTGGCCATACCTTGGTTCAAAGATTCCCACTGTTCTATGGTTCTTCTTTAATATCTTTTTTATTTGTCTCTTTCAGAATTTGTTGCTTGTCGCCATCACAGTCCCGGTCTATACTGCATGGAGAGCATCGCTTGTGGAGACAACTCCCTTGAATTGGATCGATGCAGTCGCTACACTTTTATTCATCAGCGGGTTCACCCTTGAGACTATTGCAGATAGGCAGCAATGGACATTTCAGGAAAAGAAGCGTAAAGCGATTATCAATAAGGAGGCATTGATAGGCGATTACAAGCGTGGCTTCTTGACCCAGGGTCTCTTCAGATACTCACGCCATCCCAACTTTTTCGGTGAAATGACCATTTGGTGGTACGTTGAATTACAATACTTTTGCATTGTTCCTTTTTTTTTTTTTATTTTTTTGTCTAACAGTTGCTATTCGCACAACTTTGGGATTCGTCTTTGACTAAAAAAAAAAAAAAAAAAAAAAAAAAAAAGGTCAATATACTTATTCTCGGTCGCCGCTGGATATCCAACTTATGTTTCATGGGTCAATCCTTCTATTGTTGGCGCTTTCACCCTTACTTGCCTCTTCCAAGGCTCAACGTTGTTAACGGAATTCTTGACCGCAAAGAAATATCCTAGCTACAAGTTGTATAAAAAGACAACCTCACGCTTCATTCCTCTTCCCGCAGGAACCAATCTGGATGAACTCGAGAAGAAAGCAAAATAGAAATAGCATATTTCGTATTTTTTTTAATGATGCATGGAAATAAATATTATATATAATATTGATATTAGCTGGTAAACATTATTATTATTATTATTATTTTTTTTTTTGTACGTTAATCAGAGATAGGTCTATTCCCTAAATTTGATGAACGGCTTGATGAGAGGTTTTTTGGAGTCCTTGATAGCCTTGGCAGGCGAGGTATTGCGCACACTTTCGATTGAGATATTGGACTCAAATGATGCTGATGACTGGAAGTTTTGACTTTGGCTTGGATAACTTCCTTGGTTCAGATATTTAAGAAAGCTTTGCAAGAATTTATCCCAACCAAGAACGTTTTCATGCCAATGAAAATGGTTGGTTGATGGAACGTTCATGATACCATGCCTCCACAAGATAAATCTTGGAGTGTATCGACAGGTCGATGAATCCGGTGACACGATAGAGAGCCTAGATGGAGTAGTCTCACCGCTGTCGAGGGCTAAAGTATCTGTATTGCTCAGTCCTGGGGAGCTGGATGCGTGATGTTGAACTGGCTTCAATATGCTAGAACCAGTTGAACATCATGTTGGAAAGTATTTTTTTTTCTGTTGCTGTTGAACTTTAGATTGCTTGGAATAGAGAATTGAAAAGTGGAGGGAAAAAAAAAAAAACTTTGCTAATGTAACAAATGAATCACGGACCTTACAGGACCTTGATTGCAATAGAATGAAACAGAATATCTGGAAACGAGGTGGCAGTTATTGTAGTGGTTGAAGTTGCATGATCTAGTCTGGCGAAACTGGAGAGTCGTTAAGATCGGTATGGTCTCAATGTTACTATTTTAATTTTCCTCACACCCATACCTTTTTTTATACTGTATCCGTGAACAATAGCAAAAATAATAAGAATAGCAGTAGTAGTTATAGTAACAGTAGACTTATGCAATTGAGGGAAGCAAATCGATCCACGGTAAATAGATTTTTTCTCACACAAGGTTTATTCTACGCATCTATCTGTATTCAAGAGGTATCTCTGGACTTTTGTTTTTCAGGTTATAGTCAGTACAAGTTGCCCAAACAAATAGAGAGCCGATGCCGACTGTACTGATGAAATCAACGCCTACTATCCCAAATAAAGGCCATCGCTTTAGTTCATCTCTAGCTACTAACGCAAGTAAGTCTACTTGAAGGGATCTTGGCGTAAGCACTGCTTGCCAAGAAAAATCCTTCTTGTTCTAGTGTAAATGGATCTGTACATGATTGGCTGCGTCAGTTTTTGAACGCGTTTAATGTACGCCACGAATTAGAGCGGCTGTACCCAAGCCATACTTTTTTACAAATATTTTTTTTTCCGTACATTGATCAAGCCCGATAATTGCCAATCTATTTCTGTCTTTTTAGGGGTACTTTCCATTTGTCATTGCTGTCATTGCCTTACGGAATATACGGCAATTATGGCATTATATCTCTAGGCCCTCATTGTTTTCTTTATTCTCCTCTTCGCCATGCACACTGCTGTCTCCTGTGAAGAATGTTTGTGGTTCAAGGGATATGTTGCTCAAATGATGAATTCATTAGTTGTTTCACAGTGCTCTTATTTTTCGCCTACATGATTCCCAGGTACAAAGACGACCGTGAGGTAATAACAAAAAAGACGTCTAGTTTGCTTTGTTACTTTGCTGTCAATTTGGGGAGGATCTTTTATATTTTCATGTGCGGATATTGTCAATTTTATTGCAGACATGTGCAAGTAAGAGACGCAGAATATATATAATATAATATCTGTATATCAGGAGATGGCTTAAAGGTTACTTTATTGAGTGAAAAGAATATCCTACATGTTTATATATTAATGTACTTCAAGGACGCAAATAAGCGGAGCTGAATTGAGCTGGGCCTGGTCTGTAATTGATTATCTTTCATGTCTGTGCCTTTCTAGGCTTTCTTTCTTCCGGTCCAAATGTATTCTTTGTTCTGTCTCTGTCGGATATATATATACTTCCTGTCCCTTATCTTCATCCTTTACTTTTGCTTTTCTTACTATTCTTTTGTTGTTACTCATTCCTGCCCCATTTCAGAATCTGGTGCATTTCTCTTTCATTCCTTTTTACGGCCAGATTCCGACCGTTTGAAGCTGTGAGAGCCCATCATTTTTATCTTCTCACTCATTTATGCCTCACATTTCTTTGTCCCCCTCCCAGACCTGATTCTGTTGCTGGAAGAAGAAGTAAAAGGTAAAGGGCTCGTCATTCCCTCCTGAGGACTACCTACTGTCTGCATCCTTGTGCACGAACCTTACAATACCCAAGAGCTTACTGCTGCAATAGTATTAGCCTTGACTTTTTTTTTTTTTTTTTTTTTACAACCTTCAATCCTATTCAGGGGTCAAAACGACAGGAAAGACAGCAAAGGTCATTCCCTCGCCTGTTCTTTTGCCACCTCAAGGATGACCACCCTAATCACACCCAACAACTCCATAAACCTCCATCCACCACACGATTATCATGATAACCATTATAGGAAAACCGATGTCACCCAGAGTGACAGCAGCAAAGACTCTGCGTTTGGGTCAGAGGAGACTGTATCAGGGCCTGTCCAGATTGCTGTATTGACACCAGACGAGCAGAACTCCAACCGTTGCTCCGAAAAGGGGTCGTTACCTGACGGGGAAGCCCAGGACCATAGCAAAGAGCTTGGAAGGATCTGCACATGGGCTGATCTTCCTCAATGGATGCGGGACAATCCAGCCATTCTGACAGGATACCGAAGAGCTACATATAGCTATCAAAAGTGTGTTCGTTCACTTTGGTATCTACACAACGAAACTGGTGAGTTGATCATCCCTTATCACAGACTTTATCTGTAGAGAAAGGGTAAACATTTAATTATTCTCTACTCAATTCAAAAAACCACTGTGCTGTATCTTCTTCACTTCCCTTTCGAACCTCTTTAATTGGATTGACATTGCACTCGTCAAAACGGACGGCTCTCGAATATCGATCCTCTTAAATGCATATTCTAGCTTCTAGTTCAGCAACTGCAAATGAATATCCTATGTTGGCTCTACATGACACGCAACCCACATGGATCAGCAAGCTTAAAGTTGCTAATTGTGAATCCTACCTTGCCTTGGTACGTTTTAGTCAACATCTGGTCGCATCTACTCGGAGCTGTGGCGTTTGTTATTATTGCGCCCCTCGCTTACTTCAAGGTGCTTGAGATAGTGGATACAGTCCGATGGACAGATATCGTGGTCCAATATGCATTCCTAGCTGGAGCCATCGTCTGCCTCTCGCTGTCAGCCAGCTTTCATACATTCTGCTGCCATTCGGAAAAAGTATGTACATTTTTGTAAATGCTCGCGGTGTTCCTAGATATCTCTGCTCATCAATCTATATAAGCACAACTGTGTACTTTTAGGTCTTCTCGCAATGGGTTCGCTGTGATTACTTGGGGATTATCTTCCTGATTGTCGGATCGTACTACCCAGCTCTATACTACGGCTTCTATTGCCAAAGCACACTGCAGATTCTTTACATTTCAATAATTTCGATCTTAGGAGGAGCTACTATCATCGTGGTTATGCAACCGCGGTTCCAAACACCTCAATATCGATGGGTGCGTTCAGCTCTATTCTTGGCAGTCGGACTTTCTGGCTTATGCCCCATCATCCATGGCATTATTCTCTATGGGGTAAATGCTTCAACCTTCATATATTCTCTATATTCATTTGTAATACGCCATTTTATTTAACACAAAGTATACCTCTATCTTTTTGTTGTGGTTAACTTTTAGTTTGTGCTCGCTCAAAAGGCTGTCGCGCTCAACTACATCTTCTGTATGGGCGCAGCATATGTGGTCGGAGCACTCATCTATGGTAGCCGTACTCCAGAGCGTTTCTTTCCTGGAAAGTTTGATAATTTCGTAAGTGCGTTGTATCAATAATACAAAGCCTTGATATTCAACATTGACAGCAGATGATTAACACTTGAATGTTTTGATAATTTTAGATGGCCTCGCACCAAATCTTTCATGTATGTGTATTGATTGGTTGCACCATCCACTTTCTAGGTATGATCAAAGCGATGAATTTTTGGCACACGATAGATCATAGCTGCGCCATTCCCCTGGATCAAATGCGCACCATGTTCACCCAATAGCACGGATCTTTCCCATGGCTGCACATGTTACCTCTGCCCACATTATTATTGACTTTTTTTCTTTGCCCTCAGCTGAGCTCTCATGTTCCGGGTTTTGCCTGCATGGCCCAATCCTCCCATGCCTGTACATCTATTCATTATAGAAAAAAAGAATATTTTTATACCCTTTTAAAATGAGATAAAATCAAACTTTATGAATCTGAAACATTCGGTTTGTTTATGTAATTTTTTTAGGTGTAGCAATTTAGTAGTCTGACTTATACCCCATGTGTACTTCATGGAAGCTGCATAGCTGCTTATACAATATTTCCATGCCCTTGACCACCCGTACCCACTTTAGCACCTGCGTGCGGATTTGCTTTTCACTCTCATCGAATACCTCAGCAAAAGTAGGTAGAGAAGTCTCTACGTTGCTTGGCCATTCAAAACGAAAGTATTCCAGATGGACGCGTCCGCAGAGACAATTCAAATCTTCCTGCTGCTCTAAAAAGATTTCATGTATAATCTTTTCCAAAAGACAGACAAGCCCCATCGAACGAAAGCCGTCTGGCGAAATAGAAGATGTGTCAAAAAAGGACTTGACAAGACTATCAGCACATCCGTAAAACCCAGGGATCCTCTTCCTAAGGTTCGAGCTGTACCCAATCTTGATGTAAATACAACCTTTGCTGTAGGAGGGTCTTTGTTTCTTATTCAGATACTCTAATTGTTGTTGCTGCTGTCGATTACATGGAGCCATAAGATAGAGACAGCCGTGTGCAAGATGGTCACGGTATTTGTATCTGATTCCAGCTTTTTCTCTCTCATTCAGTTCTCGCCCTATATATGCTTGAGTTTTAAGGAGATCGTGTTCTTCTGGGTGTTGTAGGACTTCAAAATAGTCCTGGATCACTCTTCGAATGCTATCTTTAGTCGCTGGAGTGTATTCTTCTGTAAGCTCTATATGCTCCATTACAAAGTATGGAAAAAGAAAGGGAGAACGGTCAGCTACTTCTTTATATTATAGTTTTTTTCCCTCCTCTCCCTTCCCAAGGACAATTAAAACAGTAGCACTGCGCATATGGACGGACCATCAAACTGCTGGCCAGTAAACACAAGGCATTGTTGTATGGTCTGTTTAGAACGTGTGCCAAATGGGATGTTCACATAAAGATCTTGCGATGGAGCTCTCTCTTTAAGAACACTGATATCATTAAGACTCGCTTTATGGGCTGAGACCAAAAGCGCCTTCTTATGTCTACGAAAGGTCCGGCCTCGAAGATAATTTTTATGGTCCTCACAGCGAAAAGTATCTTCGGTATGGGTTGGGTGGAGGATCCTGTAATCTTGCTTCATACATTGTCGACCCAGTCTTGTAAGTGCAATACATCGCCACCTATTGGGATCCTCGCCAGGACGGCCACTGGCGCCGCCACTGCCACCCTTCGGGTGGTAATGCCGCTGACAGTAATAAGTCAGATTTTTTGGCACTATCAATTGTGGTGGGCTCATGTTGGTACAACATGCACGTCCACACCTCCACCGGCAAGAGTTGGGAGTTCGATTGCAGTCAATTCGAAAGGCTTGTTCACTAGTTTTGGCTGTACCATCATACTCTGTCTGCGTCCGAGCCTGAACATTATTAATACTAGAGTCATCTTCATATGTCGACTTTGGAGTGATGTTAAAGTATGGCTGGGTTTGTATTGAAATTGGCGCCATTGTACTTGAAGCATTGCTACAATCCATGTTCAAGACATTCCGATGGATTTGAGGGACAATGCTGGTGATGGCAGGAATATTTCCTTTAAAATTGTTGACGAACATCCCTCTGTTATGTTGTTGAAATAGAAATGATATGCCGTTGAGGAGGCTGAAAGAGCAGATAATGATTACTTGGATATAAACAAGTCCTAATTTATATACATTTTACAATCTTTGCACCAAGTTCCAAAAAAAAAAAAAAAAAAAAAAAAAAAAAAAGAAGAAAGATGGCGAAGCAATAACTGCTGTGCTGCTATGTCGCCCTTCCGCCTTTGTGTAACAAGGAAAGTCGACACTAATAGAGACATTGCACGCACGAATTTCATCCTGTGGAATGTGAATGTTCTTTATGTTCTTTTTGTTGGTATGTATACATGGCAATGGCTGTGGTCTCTTGCTGAAGCTTAATAACGTGTAAAAATTTAAAAATAAAACAATAAATGACTTTGCTGCATCCTCACGAGAAAAGAAGTCAAGTGGCAAAGGGAAAAAAAGTGGGTTGCAAAAGGGTTGGTACTCCGATTCTTTTTTACATCTATGTCAAAGTATATATATTATATAATATATATATATATATATACATAAATATTGCGAGAGGAAAGGGAAGGCTGAACTTATTATTCCTTTACTGCATCCTTGCTTTTTTTGCTTGTTTGCTTGTTTGCTTGTTTCCTATTATTTGTTTATTTGTTTATTAATGAAATTTCTTTTGACTAGAGAAAAGACCTGGATGCTTACATAATGGTCCACAGATCTCAATGGTATACACCTTTCATTTAAGCAGCATTCATATAGCCGACGCTTATGGTTACAAAAGTACGATGCAATACATGCGCACCATGTGTTGTCTATTACCACTAATAACAGTAGGTTATTGTGTGTAAAATATTTGTCATGTCCCATTCTCATAATTGATAATGAACACTAATAAACGAGAGATGAACACGCCTGTTGTTATTATTGTTGATGGAACAAATATATACGCTTCATATCGTTTTATCATCTCGTTTTATAATATCATTTCTATGCCACTGTAGCACTGGACAAGCAGAAGTGAGCGCAATCAATTTATCTGTATAAAAAATATCCACGTCTCTCAACAAGGATTTAAAATTTCATACTGCATGCGCGTCTTAGTTTCAACTTCCAATCCTCACGCGACTCTCAAAAATATTTACGATTGGCTAAGTCCAATTTGTTAGTAAAGCTTCTGCTTAAGCAATTAACTACATTATTTATTGTGAGAACGGGAAAGGCCTATTGGCTCAAGTCGAGTACTAGAGCACCATGCTTGCCTTCCATCAAAATGACCAATACATTATCAGAAATGAGCTGACATCCAATAATATCAACTTGCTGTCCCTTGGAGACATCGACAACAATCTGCTTTTCTTGCTTAAGCTTGGAATCTACAGTGTGCGAGTATATATAGACATTGCGACTTGATTCAACAATGACAGCGAATTTACCGTGGGGGTCATGCATCACAAATCGCTTCTCCCGCTTTGAAGCCTGAACAAACGCCAAAGCGTCAAAAGTGCTAACATGCAGAAATCTCATGATACTCTCCAATTGCAGAATTGTAGACTGAGTGGATGCAGAGCCTGGGACATGCTGGATAGAGTAGACTAAACCGTCGACATCATGTTTCAGGCAAACAGTAGGCATGCGGAAGGGGATTTCCTGCGAGCCCGCCAGTCCTTGATGATTTTCAAAGCTAGAAAAGGCTTGTCCAATCCAGTCGTGTCCTGTCCCAATGGTTGTTGCACGAATAATGTCAGCCCCATCCTCACTTTGAACCCAAGAAAATTTGATCTCTTCGCCCTCTTCATCGATATCTTCCTGCGGGTCCTGGGTGAGGGATGGCAACACAGTCAATTCCCGTCCTGGCTCAGCACCATAGTTTTCGGTCGTGTATTTCTCTAAAGCGCTCTTGTACTCCGCAAACATAGAAGGGTCCAGACTCTCTTCCACAGGATCCGTGTCGACATCTTCTGAAAATACTTGTGTCCATCGAGTTTTGGTATGTTTCTTCTCGAGGGTCAACGTTAATACTCCTGACGCCGATTCTAATGTCCAGAAACATTCATTCGGCAGCACCTCATCGAACAATGGTATATTCTCCAAGTTGGGCAATTTGATGGCTGGGTTTGAAGGTTGTGAGAGATTAACTTGAAGATGAAGATCTTGGCGAGCAAACTTGCAATTAACTGCATGTTTGGTAGTACCTCTAGGAAGCTTAAAGCAAAGAGTGAGCTCTGTATCTGTTTGTGTCCAGATGTAAGAGGGCTCCGGCCGAGTTACGACACCGATATCAGTATTGTCTAACTCCATTGCCTCCGAGCCTGGTTCCAAAGAGCGATTCGTTTGACCGACAGGAGGTTCTTTTGTTGACTTGTAATTTGTGTTGCTGCCGATAACATATCCTTCATTGGATGGATCCAGTGCGCAATAAAAAGGGACTTCAGTTCCCCTAATCGAATGAATGCGTTGGAAAGGAAGGATGATAGGTGCCTCTGCATTCCCCCCGTCAGTGCCTAAATCCATAGCTGTATCTCTTGATGAAGTGATAGAACGATCCACGACGATACTGCACAAACTGACAATAAACACCGTCTTCTTGTCTGCTTTATAATGCGGCGAAGGCCCTGAAGAGTAAAATATGTCTTTCGCAGCATAGTATACAATAAATTTAATCTCTATTCCCATGTTTGCTCCGTTACTATCGTTGATGGGGAACGCTTTTGCCTCTAATAACTGACAAGGCATCAACTCATCTGCATTTTCTTCTGACTGGAACTTAGTCGAGGCTACTAGTGTCGCTTCATATTCCATGCCAGTGAAGGCAAGCTGGACCAAGTAAAAAGTCGCTGCTCCATCCGAGACAAAGATGTAATCAGGTGACACAGGCTTTACAGAAGGGAATTCCAGGATAAAGTTGAGTGGCACTACGGGACGTGGGAGTTGAAGAAGTCGTTTACTTCGAAGTCGACGCGATGTCTAAAACACCCAAGTTTCTTTCCCATTAGAATATTGATGGCTTTGGCTCATGATCAATAGGGAAGCAGGGAGCATCAACAGTAGAAGTATAGAAACATGGGCGCAATGGGTATAATACTCTAAAGTTTGCTTTACCTGGTCAAATTGTAGAGCGATCAATGTGAAACTGTCATCAATGATAAAAAGGACACCATTACGAATATTACTGCTATCTCCATTGACGGTCTTGAATGAATTCCACCCTGGATAGAGATGGTTGTGACGAATTCTAGCCTGGATCTGTCTGTAAGATAGTTTGGCAGAGTGAGGAACCTTTGGGACGACAACACCAGGACCAGATGCATCAACCTGTACAAACTGCTGGTGCGACTCGTCCAAGAACGAAAGCTTGTAACCTTCAAATTTGGGGTTCAACAGAGCTCTGTCATGTCGAATGGGAACGCGAGAAGCCATGAGGAAAGAATTCAATTGCAAATTACGTGGGAAGAATATTTTTAAATTTCAACTTTACACTACTTTTTCTTTTTTTTCTTTTTACACACAGTCACACAACACAAAATTTATTACTTCATTCATGCCAGTGCTTCGTTGGATGCTGGCATTAAGCTTCGCATAGCAAGCGAGTAGACCAAGAATGTAGCTGCATTGCAAGGAAAGGCTCGGATGACCGTAGCGTTGACACCTCTAAAAAAGACTCGGAACCCTTCTTCCTTGTATAGTTGCTTAGTACAATCCCATACTCCTCTAAACTGTTTTGATTTAGATATTGAATCGTGCTGTGATTGGATCCTAGTCTTGATCACATCTATTCATAGAAGGACCCTCAGTAATTGTCAAAATCCAGTTTAAATTAAGCAAGTGAATACACGATAATTCTTTAATGGAGTTGGGATTTTTACCTGTGGGGTAAGTGCTCATCCAACCCGCGATTCCTGCAAACCCTCCTGCGACAACAAGCCTTGCGCTTGATAAATCTTGCGTGCGCTGGCCTTCTGGTGTCAACGCTCTACAGAAGATTTCGTAGCTCAGAAAGTAAGGGCCATATGATGTTTCGCGTAGGATTGTGGACCATAGCCCACGATAGCATGCTCGAAGGCCACCCTGACGGTATGTTTGCTTAAAGCAATCCATTGGCCCTTTATAGAAAGTGCCTCCTGAAGAACCACGAGATCCAGCCACTTGGTCTTGGTTTTGCAGGCGAATTTTTGATAGTTCCATCGGACAGCTGATAAAGCTGTTAAGGTGGCGTTTGAGTAGACATCAGTGCGTCAGTTATACATCCATCATAAACGTCTTAACTATGGACCACCATAAAGTAGAACAAATACCTATTGACGACACCAGATCCTGTGCCAGCCAGGAAAATCTGTGTCAGCGTGGGATCGTCATTTGGATTGGCCATCTGGATGTCCATGAAGAAGCCGTACACGCCAAATAGCAGTGCATTTACCAATGCAACTCCGACCTATCAAAAACACCAATGAAGCGTATTTTAGACACATTTCTCGACATGTAAAAATTGAATTGGAATCTTGTCACGTTGTTGGTCTGTACAATAAGAGACAATTGACCAATCTTACCATTGGAGAAGCCTAGACTCCCATATTTTTTAATATCAGTCGGAGTCAAGAAGTATAATATATGTACGCGTCGTACGCGAGGTGAATAAAACATAGAAGAAAGAGATCAATGCCTGGATCATACTCCTAATTAAAAGCTGCATTTACACGAAGTAACTGTCTTACCATGCCTTTATAGAGACCCTTCACCTAAGCGGTGAATAAAGACAGTAAATCATTCCAACTGTGTCAGCAGATCAGTTACAATAGTCTGACAGCAAAGGTTGGAAACGTTGTTAGCGTTATCCTATACTCACCTTCTCTTGTCTCAATATTGTAGTGAAGCAGTTCCATGTCCCTGAATATCTACTAGCTAGTTCTTTGGATTGTAGCCTAACTTTTACGGTGTCTATTAATTATTAACCGAAGTAATGATCAGAAATGGAGCTTCCGATGAGACTCAATCAAAATTGATTATGAAATGGAATCTTACCCCATGGATGGCCAACACACAATCCTGCTATACCTAAAGTTTAGATTTTTTTTTTTTTTTTTTTTTAAGACACATGTTGTAGTGGATGAGTATGTCGTAATTAATTGTTCTCCTTCGCTTAGTTTCAAAAGGCATGGTACAAGTTTTTTGCTTCTTTTCTTTCTCCACAGTTATACACCGCCATTAAGTTCGTTGTCTTTGCTTGTTTGCTCTGTTGCTGTGCTCATTTACCTCCTATTGTCCCTGCAATAAAATTGGATGTCCAGTCACCTCCACTAGCTGCAAGAACATGTTAAAAACAAAAGAAAAAAAAAGGCGTTAACATTATGCACATATTAATCAGTTCCTGTCCGCTTTATTTGTAACTAGAAGACAGTTGGCGTCTAGAAGCGGTGTACGCTCGTTCAATTTTATAAATATTATGAATGGTACTCTTAGCTATTTTATCGTGATAGTAGCTCTTCTGTTAAACACTTGGGTCTTTTAGTCAATTTTTCAATAGTGATAGAAATGACAGGTCGTATAGTTCCATTTCTCCATGGTTTCTTACGTTCTTCCTGTGCATGTACCAAGGTGATGTTTTCGTCACAGTCAAGCATAAGCAAGGTAGGTTATACGAACAAGCGATGTTGGTTTTGATAAGATCGATAAGCAGTGGTAAGTTAATTAGTAGGAACAGTGTAGGTAAATGTGGCAACTAATAGGGCTAAAAGATTATGGAGTGAGGAGTGAGCAAAAAAAGGAAAAAAAAGAAATAAAGTGTATTTGAATGCCTTTTTGAATGAGCAAAGTGAACAAGAGATGAAATTCGAGAAAACAGATCACAAAGAAGGGAAAAGGAGAAGCAGAAAGAATGAGGAGGAAAGAAAAAAAAAAAAAGAAAAGAATGTGGAGAGACAGTCAGACAGACAGAGACAGATACGAAAGAAAAGAAAAAGCAATCAGGGGAAGGTTGCAGTACCGTAATAGCAACTTTATCGCCCAAAATGGAAGGAGACACATTTTGTTCCCACATCCCAGGTGTATCTGGCACGAGGTATCACTTGCTCACAGACGATTACACCATTGTCATCTCTCCCTCTCACTTTTCATGGCCGCGATCCTTCTACTTCTTACAAGTATGTTTGCTCAAATATAAACTTTTAAACAAACAGGACCGCATGATCTCTTGATCACTACGGTACCTAAAGAAAACACTACCGTCAATCATATACCAACTGCATCATTCTTTTTTTTTTTTTTTTTTACTCCAGTTAGTTCAGACAAGTATCATATATACTTCGGTAGAATCATATAGACACATAAACTGACCGTTATTCGGTGAAGATTTATTCATTTATATCACTTATTTACTCTTTTCTTCCTTGACTGAAAAGAAGTGGCGTTCTTTATCTCTTCTTTTCAGTTTCTAATGCGCCTCTTTGGTTTGGATCTGGCCTCTATTGATTAGAATTTCTCTATCTTTGGCCCGCCAGATAAATATGTTGTCCCTATCAGGCCTGTCTGTACATGTACAGTATGAGTATGTTACACAATTCACAGAAAGCACCTCGTCACAATCTTAAGATGCATCAGTTTCCCGCGAGCATGCTTAGTAACATGAGTGTCCGCAAAAATCATAGATGGAGCCTGGTTCGAACCCATTGTTTTCAAGGCGACAGTGTCTCGCTCGTCGTCTTACCAAAAGCGTAGGGGAATAAACATCAGTGATTTCTATACCGTATAGACTACACCGTGCATTCTATAACTTCTGGAGGTAGTGCGGCCACTCTTAGAGGCGCACTGAGCACGCTGCAGGTCATAGGAGTTATAAAGGTATCTGGAGAAGGATATGAATCTAGCTGTTGTCTTGTTATAATCAGACTATGGTTCTGATTTATAAGATGTAGAAGATCGTGTCATTGAATTCCATTCTCAATCAAGGCCCAGGATTCGAATTATGATGGCATGCGGCTGGTTAAGATTAGGACGGGACTAATGATGTCAACAGCGGGTAGCGGTATTCAGTGGCCCTACGCGTCAGAGTGAGTGTGTGACCGGTTCTAGCGACAAGTGCCCCTGCCCCACATTGCCATTAGTCTCTTCTCAAGCTACTCAAAGACCCCTTCCTTTGTGAAAGCGAGAGTGGTTGCCCCTTGCCACTAATTCGCTGCTAAAAATACCAAAAATATTTTTATTACTGGCAGCAACAACCGTTGCCGCTGCATTGTGGATTAACATGGAATATATATATAGTGATCAGCTCAAAGAAGGTATCCATAACGTTCTCTAAGCACCTCCTGAAAAATATTCATTTCGCTGCTCACGGCAAGATCTAACTTACTCTGAGGGTGGAGCTAATGGCGATGTGGAAGGGGAAAGAGAGACTCGGAATACGACGCTCAACTTTCCACTCTCTTCCAAATGGGCGCAGGATACAGTCAGGGTCCAGACGATGCACGGCCAACTGATCCGGCCTCTTCTCTAGTTGGTCTTCTAAAGAGTTTGGTTAGCCTTCCCACAATGATAGTCCTTTCTTCAGAGATCGACCTCCTCCAACTTCTGAGTCACTTGTATCTGAAGCGATGTTCATTTTGAGTATTCGCTACATTCTCTAATTCTAGCTGAATTGGCTACCAGATATGTTTTTCGCCATCACGTTGCAGCATCAATATTAGCAACTAATATGAATGCTTGCCTCAACTCCAATCCGCGCAGCAGCCTCTGCCATGAAGCATATTCGAACCATTATCATTCAGGCATGGTAAACTGATAGAAAGAGGCGATCGTTTGGATACGCACTGTACAATTCATTAGCAAGACAGAGTAAAACAGCTCTTCAGCATTCAGAAGTGTAAAGTCAACTCCTGGGGATGCTTCAGCTGGGATTAGCCATCAAAATGGCAGAAGAGACCATATGAAATCAGAATAACACCTGAATTTTACCAGTTTGGCTGGTAAAAGTGATTTTTTTTTTTTTTTTTTTTTTTTTGGATTATCCAAGTGAATCGTGCATGGCTACTCTAATATCATGTAATGCAGCACCGCCCACCATGGCCCAATAGATTGAAACGCAGGACAAGGGACGGAACTTTTCAGAACAACGCTCATTGCTGTATCAAAGATACCCAAGCAAATATGTTGCCTTCGAACAGAGACCCTATTCGAGGAGGTTTTTTGTCAATAATCAATTATTGGCTCTTCCTCTCCTATAAATCCTCCATACCAAGATTTATGATTCAATTGAAATGAGATCTATCATTGTACTTGCATATATAATTATATCAAATGGATAAAAGTCAGTGGTTGGTCATCCCACCTTTTTTCTTGACATTGCTATTTTCGATATCACATTCATCATCACAGTGTTGATGCTAGTTTTCTGAACACGATTAAGGCGTTTCATTAGGAGGATGGAGGGGGAATCGGAAAGGAACCAACTCTGAATACAAATATTTTCATATCAAACATCTGGAGCCGCTGATAACAAATTGGCAATGTCTGTCTGTGCCTGCTTTTTTATATCTTCTTTGTTGCATTTCCATGTGCGTGTGGAACCTTGTGTACTTCGTGCATGGGTCTTTGTCTGTCATACATACAATCCACATGAATCTTTGAAGCCTTTCAAAATGTATAAATGTGTATACACCCCATCGCTTTTTCTTGAATATAATTTACAAAAGGGCACTGGAGCTTGAGTCTGAGCCTGGATTTGATTTTCACTTCGTCCTCAAATCAAATGATAGGGCAAGATCACCGCACGAACCTTTTTTTAGTGTTTTTGCATGGTCTAAGGAAGCATGCGCCTGCCCCGTTGACCAATGTTTCTGCCAGCCACAGTTTTTTTTTATTATCCTTGACTTTGGACAAGGAATGATCTTTTTCACTTTCGCTCTCAATCCATCACTCTTTATACCAAATTCTCATTGTTTCATTTTGTTTATTTTCCAACGCCATCATTTTGTTCCTTTGCACGTTTCCACCTAAGAACCTTTTCGCTATAAAGTCACTACTACAATCATACACCAACACAAGCTATGCTTCAAGCAAAAACAACTGTAATCCCAACAGAGACATCAGATGTCAAGGTACCCTCATCTAGTTCATACTCGTTCCTCATCTTCTCTTCCTCTGTGTCTGGTATTTATTCAGCAGTTTACAGTATCTCGTGCCTAATTACCAAAAAAAAAAAAAAAAAAAAAAAACCACTATTTACACGATAAAAAAAATAGGATGTTGAATCCGCAACAAGCATCTTAGCTAGAATATGGCCTGAATATGACCCCCATGGATATGGTATCATGGCTGAGATGATGGAAACAGTCCTGAGGCGGGTTGAGAAGGAGCAGGGTGCATCGCTGCTAAGTCAGTCCAGCTGGGAGGAGTTAGGAGACTATATCGTGCGTGTTGAAGGCACCATCGTCAGCCAAAGGGATTTGAGTGAACTCCTCAGTCTTCTTCAGGGTGCACCACCTCCAACCACAGTGCCATCCGTAGAAATCCCTATCGTTGGTGAGGAATTTCACCAACTCACTTCTGTGTCTGGATTGGATATACCTCAGAATTATACCAACATTGGCCAAAGCGTCGAAATTCGGGATGGCGCCCACCAAAGATACGGAATGATGTCTCCTTTCTCGGAATCTGTATCGGCACAATCGACACAGCAATCTCTACACCCACGTCATCATCCTTCAGTCCATATTCGGCCCAGAGGCAATAGGCCGCCTATCCGGAAGATTTCACTAGGCGAATCAACACAGTCTCGTCCACGGTTTTCAAGGTCATCTCGTGGCTCTTCCTCAGGTGACGAGGATTCGGATAGAAGTGAGCATCGTATGTCGCCTTCCAGTGTAAGTCCTCTCAGTCACAGCGCAGTTTTTTTTTACGATTAGGCTATGTGTATCAGCTGGGAATTGGGATGTGTAGTTGTAAAGTGTGTTGTATCGTTAATATTCAAGCAAGGCAGGATAAATTTACAAACTAAGAGATCAGAGCATGGACTTCCCTATTTGTTAATATGCTCAATCAGTATTTCCGATTGACAGAGCGAGCAACTAATTTATTTGCAAATAATGTAGTCTGACCTCGCTCTTTATTACTTTTTTATCATTAGCCTGGCTCACGAGGATCGCGCTCTGATGCCTCGACTTCGTCTTCCAGTCCTACGATTGGCGATTCGAAGGAATGGCGAGCTAACTATAACAATATGAGTATCCGAGAGCAGAGTAGGACAGAGTATGAGGGCTATGGCCTCGATGCAGAATACGATTCGGTAAGCATGTCAGCCCAGCACATGAAAAAAGTTCGTTAGCGATTTTTTTTCTTTTAAAAAAACTCCTTGATGACAATAACTCAATGCATAGCGATTAACAAATATATACATTCTTTTCTGTCCGTCTCCTTTATGCTAAAATTAATATTGCTAGCCTGCCAACATAGAATCAGACCAACAGAAATTTTTGGCCCTTCAAAGAAAGCTCAAAGAGACTGAGCGTGAGCTTGAGTACCAGTCACGGGCCAACGAGCAGGCAATGGCTGCTAGTATGAACCAGCAAGAGATAGAAGAGCTTCGACGTGATGTAATCGCAAAGCGGCGTGAGATTGAGGAGTTTAAGAAGAATGATCAATATAAATCAGCTCAAATTGCAGAGGTATGAAGGAAGTAATATGGAAGTGCATGTTGTTTGATGACTTGTTCATCTTAATGAAAGCGCGTAAATTTGCTATCTTTTTTTACTGATGAAGTATCATGTATTTCTTTTACTGTTTATGTGTATCTAGCTGACGCAACAGATTGAAAAGAGCGAGCTATCAAGCTCGACACAAAAAAGTAATGCTGTAGCCTGGAAGAAGCGTCAGGATGAGCTTATGGAGGATAATGCCCGCATCCGAGAGTCATTGAAGCAAACAGAGGATGCCTTAAAACCACTAATCACCCGTCTTGCTACTGCAGAAGCACTTGAGCGCCGGGTAGGTCCATATCTAATAGTTTACATGGCGGTATTTAAGTTGGCTACTGCAAAACTGATATCATGGAAGATTGAACAACAATAACTCACAACAAAATCACATATGTTATTGACTGTTGAACACCAAAATTAGTACAATGCCGAACAAAGAACAAATGAGGAGTTAAGAGAGAGACTAGCGCAAGAAATTGCTATGAATGAAGAAATTAGGCAAAAATTAGAACTGGCAACCAGAGAAACACTTCGGCTCACGGAGCTTAATGGTGACTTGAAGAATGAGGTCGAAACGTTGGCAGGAGGAGCCAACACTTCCAGTTTGTCTTTTAGTCAGATTCCTGAGGCTTCTACTAAGGTAAGCAGAGAACAAACTATCTGCTGATTTTTGTTCAAGTTATTTTACTTGGTCAATTGTTTAATGATAAAACAACAACTAAATAAAATAATGGTAATCGCTTTGAACAGAACTTGATGTCTGAATTAGCCACTGCGGACCCCAAGTTCGCTCCAGGGATTGAGAATTCTGATGATGAAATAGATGTTGGTAGCAAGCATCATTTCAACTCTGTCTGTAAGTCAGCGATCATAACCCACTAATTGGCAGTTTACCTTGCTTTTTTAAATGAGTATTTACTGTGAAGCTTTGGGATTTAGCTAACTATTCCATGTCGATTATGCTCTTTATCCACTACAAATCATATAGCATCAGAAAAAGCGCTTCGATTACTGCAGGAGAGCTCATCGCTCAATAGAAAGTTGAAACGAACATCTTTACGTGATATTGACCAGCGATTCAAAGAGAGTGGACTCCAATCAGCTTTGAAGTATGAGGTCACGGATCAGCATGATACCCAGAATTTGACTGATATAACAGCAGCTTCACGAGGACAGACTGAGCCAAAAGAACAAGGGACAGAGCAAGAACTCAGTAGTGTTGCTACGAATTCAGTTGTGGGGAAGCATAGGGTAGATGATGTTGATTGTGTCTTGCCCCCAGAAGTACAAATTTTAGAGGCTAAAGAGGCCATGTTAAATCAAGGTCTGGAATCTCAACAAGAGTTAATTGAGACTCTATTCAAAATCCAAGAGGCTACACGACCCTTGGACACCACAAGCTTTGGAGCAGACGGGGTTATTCGGCAGAATGAGCCATTAGCCAAGTTACAGAAGAGTGAGCGAGCCCGTAGGCGCAGGCTCCATCGTACGTATTCTTTATTTATTTATTAATTATATGTTATTTTTAAAGGCACTGGAGGGAATTGTTTATCACCGGACACTGGGCTGACTTAAAAAGTTTTTGACAATATTTTGTCAATAGAATCACGCCTGGTTTCGTCTGCACCTGGTACATTGCCTGGATCAGTACTAACAGGCGCATCAACATCGACAGCTGTCAGCAAGAAGGAATCCAACAGAGTGATTACCAATGTTACTCTCGTATCTTTGTACACCATTGTCGGTTACATCCTTGGACTGATTACTTCCGTATTTTTGGTCGACAATGGTGGATACCATCCAGCACTCAACTATGGCCGACTGTTGTCGTATGAAGCTATGCAAAATGAGGCAGCAAATGTTATGGAGGGTGGGCCTGGCCGATTTAAAGTTATCGAGATTCTGGCTTATTGGATCCAGAACCTGGTCTGGCAGGCGGATGCAGGCTATGTCCCAACCTGAAGGAAAAAAAAAAAAAAAAAAAAAAAAAAAAGATGCATCTCTCCAAAATTTATTTTTTATGGGGTTATTTTTGGCTTTTTATTCAAAATCACATTGTTATGTCACTCCATTGTACATTTTTTCTTCGCTCCATGAGGCATTCATCTTAGTTATCTAAATTATTAGCAACTATTGAGAGAATAGGGCACGAAAACGGACATGCTTTTGCTTTTTGCAGAAAATATATACCATTCGCATGTTTATTCTACACACTCACTTGTAACATTAGCATGGCCTCACGTTTAGATGTGTTGTTTTTTAAAGCGTAAAATCAAAATCCTTGAACGATTGTTTAAATGCTACACTGTCTTTCCGCTCCTCATCTGCAGACTTGACACAACTCTTCCAGCTAGCGCGCTCAGGGGTATTCAGGACTTTGGCCATTACTTTACGACCAAACTGTTGGTCGACCCGCTGCTTTTCGGGAATAGGACAGACCAACATCTTGCCATTAGGAAGCTCAACCTTAAAGAAACTTTGGTCAGCAGATAAAGGCACATGATCTTGCCATTTAGCCACATGTTCTGGCTGCTGCTGCTGCTGTTGTTGTTCATGTTGACTATGGTTCTGCTTAGTATCCTTTGTGAAGAATTCATGCACATCCTCACGGAATTGACGTTCGATATTGTCATCCTTGCCTTGTGGTACTGGCAAGATTTGGATATGAGCATGTTGCATTCGACCACCTAGGCTCAGCTCCCATGTAACCATCGTTGCACCTTTAGACTCGTAAAGTTGTTGAAGTCCGTCCTTATATTTTTTCAGCTCTGATTCTAGATCAGCGCGTGCACTGGGATCGACATTTCGGAAGGAAGAATAGTGATTGATAGTAATTAATAGTACATGCCCACCACCGGGGACAAGAGTTGCTGATGATGTCAAAGTATCGGGAAGTTGACCCTTCGCCATAGTCATGTACATCTCTGTGCCTATCGAGACGATCAAATTCTTATCAACATCCGGATTGGATAGACAGAACCAACATGGCTGTGATGGTTCTTTTGCACCTCGTTTATTATTTTTTTCCGATCCCGATGCGCTGCCTGTTTCTCTTGTCCCTGCTCTTGCTCCACTCCCAGTTCCTAGATTGTTTGATTGACGGGATGCTGCCTCCGGGCAATCACGAATGAAATGACCTGGCTTTTGACAGATCTTACAAACGTACCCGTCGGGGACTGAGCGTACTCCTGAGGAGGTCTCCTCTTTGATCCTTGGGCAGTCTTTAAGATAGTGACCTGGCTCGTTGCATTTCTTACAGACATAGCCTTCAGGCATACGGGTGCTGTCGCGGCTTTGGTCATTCGTAGGTTGCCGCTCCACAGTGCAATCTTTGATAAAGTGACCGGGAATGTTGCAACGCCTACAGACATATCCTGCTGGAGGCTCATTCCTGACCCGCTTATTATCCCAAAAGAAGCTAGCTGTTTCATTCTGTGTGAAATAAAAAATATAAAATAAAATAAAATATGTCAGCAATGCGATATATTAAAAGGAATAAAGCACGAACAATGGTTTTTTTAGACTGCCTTACTTGGTCGAGTGGACGTTTTAGCTCTGCAGTGGTCGCTAATGGCGATCCTGTAGTCAAGTTATTAATCGAGTTTTTCAGCACCTCTTCGCTCGCATTTGCTAGAGGTACTAAATTGAATGCATAGAACCACCTTTGCTTATTCTTGTTGCCTACATCGCCTAACGCAATAAATCGAGTCGCATGATCTGCTCCATTAGTGTTCCTGTAAGGAGACCGTTCCCAAAACTGTCCTGAGCTACTTGCAAAATGGTACCGGGGCTGCAACGCGGCAGCCGCACGTGCAACAGGATGAGAAAATGTACTCGCACTTAGTCCTGTAGGGGCTATAGATGTTCCTGAGACACTGGATTTTTCAGCAGCGTTAACTAAAGGTACGTTAGGTTTATCGATCCCTGCTGGCCATTCATAAGACAAAAAGATGTCGACACCTCGTTTTGATGTGTCCATAATCGAACTGGGTTTTGAAAATTGAATGAGTTGATCAAAATTAGCCTTGGTGTAGTGCCCACGAAGCAATGACTTGTCGAACTCTTCATCTTCTGTGTCGGCTTCAAATACTGCAGTATCATAAGTCCCACTCAACGAAGCGATCTTAACAGATTGTGCTGTTGTCATGAGGCCGTGCGTCCCTGGTTTAATTGCGTTGGAATATTAAAAGACCCCATGTATGATTAGTTGATGATTCACAGCTGTTGTTGCAAATATCTTTAGAGTAACAGAAAGTGTAAGAGCAATGACTTGTATAGATGCTCTTACCAAGGTAAAAAACGTTGTTACACACTTCGCCCTGATTTCTGCCTGCCCTACGCTCAATAATCCCGGGCACGCCATTATCTCCATGAATAAAATAGGTGGTGATTGGGACTGCCAAGGATATCAAGATCATGGACAACAAAAAAAAAAAAAAAAAAAAAAAAGATAAGTTAAATAAGACAGTTTTGTACTTTTTTTTTGAGAGATGTCTTTATCTGTAAAAGCACTTACAGTCGAGCTTATTCTCTAGCAGTTCATCGATAGTTTCCATAGGCGTCTCTTTTGCAAAAAAATTTCCTGTGCAAAACAAGATATCAAAGGGCCCGTGCTTTAAGTTGATTGTCCCAACCTTTGAACAAAGGTTGCGTAGATCTCCGTTTGCTGATCCAACCACAAGACTATTTAGGGCCGCACAAGGATAAATAAGTTAGCGAATAAATAGAATGTAGATGTGTTATGATTAGCAATGCTTATAATTCGATTTAAGAGATGCTTTACACTTTCACTGAGTTCATGGTGGGCGTGAATCTAAAATGTGGGATGAGAAATGGAGACTTCATAACATGGGTTTTCTTTTTTTAAAGTAGGTCACGTTTTTTTTTTTTTTTTTTTTTTTTTTTTTCACATACATTTATACATTGAAAGCACTATCTGAATTCTGAGGGTCCTTGTTATCAAAAAAAAAAAAAAAAAAAAAAAAAAAAAAAAAAAATGAAAGCACTATCTGAGTTGGTTATGAAAATAATCGTCTGTTGACGACTTGAGTAATCAAGGTTGTATAGCATTATTACTAATTTTTGAAATCTTCAAATACATGCTTCTTTATTATTGGAGAAGACTTGGAATTGTTGGCATTCTCCCAACAGCATGAAGTGTCAACGCAATAACACCATGATTTGCAATAGCCTGAACAGGTATCACGGTAATAGCAATGTTTCCGTTTGTTTGTGTCATGACCAGCGGGAAATACTGTGACAGTAGCTCACATACAATCTCTTCAAATTGACAGGCCTTATGTATCAGTATGTCAAGGTAATATACTGTAATTCCTACTACATCCCCCCATCCATCTGCAATACCAGGTCCGTCAACTGCTGAGGTCGGATGATCTCTCAAGACCTTGTCCATTGCCTTAATAGCCGTACCCACCATAGTTTTCATCATTTCCACAATAATCAGAGAGTCACGTTCAGTTAGCTCGCTTGTGACATTCAGCGACAGTTTAGATGTTAACAAAGATGTGTCAGAGAATTGGATAGTAGAAAGTGCCATCAATATTGGAGACAGAAACCATGATTGTACACTTGTCCGCCATCGAGAATGCGTATCATTTGTAATATTAAATGAAAATGCTCTTGGTTGCAAAGCTCTCTTCTCAAGTTGATGCATATCGTCGTCATCTGTTTCATATCCATCTTGACCTTCTTCTGTTGGCCCTGTAGCAGCTTTTGTGATCTTTTCAGCGTAGACTTTTCCATGATGTAGGACGACTTGCCATTCAACCTGGGCATCCTTGGGAAGCGTTGGTACGCATACTACGAGCAGAGGAGCTGGATTTATCTGCTAAAGATCAGTCAATGATTGTACAAGTGAATGGTTATAAATAACTGTTCATAAGCACTATATTTAGGGATATTGGGTCGCATTGACATACTTTGTTTGCAATATACTCCCAAGCTGCTGTTACTGCTACAAAATTGTCAGCATGCCTAACATATGCTATACACAGCGCTGTCCGATTAGCAAGGTCCAATTGACGTAGGGCTGCTATTTGTGAAAGGTTTCGCAAAGACCAAGCTACTTCTTTAACTAGAGATGATGGCGCAGGAAGATCCAAAGTATTGGGAATCATCCCAATTTGTCCAGCGATGAATGCATGGTATGCTTGCTAACATTAACAAAAATCAATACTCTTGATTAGGGCACTAAATAGAGTCTCAGAATATAGGATAAACCAAACCGAGTGCAGTAAAATACCTCTGTTACTTGAGAATACGGGCCGATGTTCGCGGGTGCCCAGTAAGAAATCCCTTGTACATGCAGTGTCTGTCTCGGTTTTGGACTTGTGGCGTTCTTATGGATTGCTGTACAACTGACCTGAATGCGAACAGGGCTGGGAAGGTTTGCTCCTACACAGGCACGTGGAGGGGGATTGATATCGAAAAAGACCTTGTATACGCTATTTACAATACCAAAATCACCCATGTTTGAAACAAACACCTGCATAAAGACCACTTCTTCCCATGACAATCCTATCCGCTCTAGCTTAGCTATCATTTCACAAGTTCTTTCTAATCAGTTCAGAGTCTAAAAAGGATAATAGCTGTTCTGAAAACCATACACTTCTTTTACTCTTGATACCTTGTACATTCTGAAGACAGACAGCTGTCTCTTCCGCAATGTTTAAATACACTTTATCATTCGATAAAGGACTATCATACGCGGTTGTACCGCCGATTGCATATACAATTTTGTTTTGATGAACCGTAGAATCGGGTCGGCAATTGATGCCTATGGAATGAGGCACATCGCTTTTTTTAGGGCACTGGCTTGCTCGCTTCGATTCAGTAAATGTATCCTTGAGCGGCAACTTCGAAGACACAATATCTTCGATAGGCCTCATAATAGAATCAGCACTCCACAAAGGCCTCAAATTCATATCTGCTATCCAACTAGAATTCATGTCATCTTCGTATTTGGCCTCCACATGTAACTTTTTGAATCTCAAATAAGCGACTTGAGCAAAGTGGTCGTCCGAATGAATGGCGACCTCAGACTCATCCCTAAATAACGTAAAACATACGTATATATATGTTAATTTACTACAGCGTTCATGTAACTGAAGATGTGAACATCACTGTCACCGTTTTTGTACGTACACAATGATTCGGCGCTTGAATAGTGGGCAATCTAAGGTAACAGTTTCGTATTCTCCACCTTCACCGCAAATATGCAAATCGTATTCCTGGTTCATTCTGCAGAGGTAAGGAAGCATATCTTTAATCGATTGACCAAGATGTTGCCTTTTGAGCCCAATAGCTGCAATTTTGATCAAAATAGCATTGACTCCAGCCTCAACCATCTCATGCAGAAGTTCTTCTTGGTCCCTTTGCCATAGATAGGCTAGCGTCACAAGGCCTAGACGTGCACATCTTTTTTGCGAAATGAATTCAAACAAAATCATTAAAAAAAACAAGGCTCGGCATTAAAGTCATTGATCTGCGTAAAAAGGTGTAGCACCTATACGTACGTACACATTTTCAACGCGTATCCGCTGATAATTGGACAAGATGGCTCCGACACTTACAGCCTCGAGTCCAGGATGCGCGGTTTTGACTCTACTTAGCAATTCAAACAGATCCTCTGTTTCGTCTTCAGCTGTAACAATGTAGTCAGATCTTTGTTCGATTGGCGTGCCTTTGATTTCTTGGCGATAAAGAGGTAAGTCAAGACAGTCTTTATACAAATGGATTACATCGTGGCCCACAGTCTGATACATGTACGAATCAAGCTCATCTATTTCATTAAGAAAGAAAAAAAGTGTCATTAACATCGAATTAAAAAATTGATCATAAAGCAGAAACTATTGTCTCTATTCCAACCTCTTTTGTCTTGAGGCGTAGGGTAAAGGTTCCCAAGAGCAATAATTTGATGACCATTGGCAGCGCATTGCATAAGATTGTAGAAGCTATCCTTGCCGCCACTAAAATACCATCAATTTTATCAGATAGAGAGCAGAGTCTTGAGCACGGAAACAGAAAATGTACGTCTATATCATGTTATCTTGCTTACTCAAGTGTACCATTAGTCAATGAGTTTACCTGATCAATCCTAAAACTTTCATTGCTGATGAACGTATGATTCACTCATACAACGCCCGAAGAAAGTGTTAGTTACAATCTTATGTGGCTTACAATTATTTGCCACCAATCTTCCACATTCGTCAAAATAACACCTACAAATCCTGAAGACTCATTCACAGGAAGTGTCTGAATCCTTTTAAATGTGATAGACTATTTGTACCTGACGGCTGTCTACACTTTGTGCTTCATATGAAATAGAGTATTGTGACGAACTGAATACAGCTTTATTAAAAGTAGCATATGGACAATGTTTATAACATTTGCATAGTCCACATTCCCTTCAGCGGTGATGAAATGCTATAGCATCCTTCATACTATTCACTACTCACAGTAGTCGTTTTTTAACGTAGGCTACATGTTTGTACTTTAATTACTATCCATTTTACAATTCCAAAACTTGGATTTGGCTATCAAATATCTTGTCTAGAACGAGAAGGGAGTCCCGGTTCTAGGCTTGAATATCAAGGGAGCAGGCGATATCACGCGTATGCAAGCAATAATCAGTACCGAAAGACAGGTGCAAGAGCAGTTCAATACCATCACATTATCACTCTCACGTTTCCACTTTGAAAGCGTAATTGATTCGCGTTGCTATGTATTTATATATGAGTTCAGCATACGCATGGTCACATCTCTTACAATCCAAGTATTAGGGAGGACCTTGCATTTCTCGAGCATTGGAGAGTTGATATTATTATTTAAGGAGGTAGACTAGTTCTAAACGTTCCTTCAATGATGTGAAAGCTATGACATCCTTGCTTAAACAGGGAGCACCACCTCGTTGCTATATTCGCGGTTTCAATGCAGAGTGTGAACCAAATATTAAACAATAGCATAAATATTCATGAATTCCGAGCAAAAGAAACCAACGCCCAGAACGATGACACTAAAGTGTTGATAATTGATTCCACTGTTCATTATACTTCATCTACTATTGGTGATGTTGTTGCAGCTTCTTTGCGAGAGATACAAGCGATGAAAAGTTCGGTCCATTAGGGTTGCTAATAACGTTGAAAAAGCATGGACAATCCCCAAAGCTTGTTAAATTATATGCTGACAAAGTAGAAAAGAAAAAAAAAAGTTCGTAGAAACGTAGTTGCATCTTACCAGATGGCTCTAAATGCACCGTTGGGCTTGTTAAGCAATACTAAAGGAGAATCTATTTTGAAAAATTGCGCAATATAACGCGGGTATAAATTAATTCTTTTCTTGACAATACAGCCGCCTTCATTGGCACAAGTAGATAAATCCTGCGGCTTTCGCTTACCAAACTCTGCAACTCTGCCATGTTCCAACATTAGAATCCTGTTGTGCCGAGCCACAATCTGGTCCAACCGGTGTCCAATTGAAAGGATTGTTGCATGTTTGAGTTCCTGAAAGATGATCTGATCCAACCTCTGTGCCGTCAAGTCCGTAACTTTAGACGCTGCATTGTCTAGAATCACCACATTGGGTCGTCGGACCAGGATACGTGCAAGGCTGAGTAGCTGCCGTTCATTAGTGTCTAGCTCTACTCTGGAATCATCCTCCTCATCCTCTGAGTCATTTCCATAGACTTGGGATGTTCCTTCAGGCCCCTCGTCTAGGAGGCGTTGATTTACCTCAGAGATATCACCTCCTGTCATAGCAGCCTGTATGGTGGAACCTGATGTCATTCCAACAGTGGCTGGTGCGGAAGCTATATCTCTAACGTTCTGTTTCTTTCCCTTGCCTTTGTTTTTGCCTCTATCGTATCCAGGTTTAATCTGATTCTTTTTGAAAAGCTGTCTTTTGTATTTTGCAATCCTAGACGAGGATTTCGAGGTGTTCACTGTAGTCAACTCAGTAGATCCAAAAACAACGGAGGATATATTTGCTGATGCTGGCGTGACGAGTTCTGTGTCCAATTTGAGTCGATCGCTTAGGAAGCATGTCTTGAGAATATCGTTCAATTCTGCATCCTCATGCTCACCATATGGATCCAGATTAAAACGTACGGTGCCAGCAAATACAGTTCCGCGTTGAGACAAATATGCAATACGGGATCTCAAGTCGGCGAGACCCATTTGTGTAATGTCCAAGCCATCTACCTTGATCATACCCAAATCCGGGTACGGCTCTTGAAATGCCTTGGCCTTGCTCCGAGTGAAAATTTTCAAGGGCGACCTTTTTGCAGCTGACGAAGTTGACAGATTAACTACATTTGTTGTATTTGCTGAACTTGCGGCAGTAATTTTGGTAGTAATAGCGGGAAGATTTGCCATCTTAACAGCATGCGCAGCGCGAACGCGATCCTCTTCAGCTGTGTCCCAGATGCGGAACAGACTCTGAACAAAAGTGCTCTTGCCGCTCTTTGACAGACCGCAAACCGCAATCTTCTCGCCTGGTTGAATTATGCAAGTGACTGGTCCGAATCCGTTTCGAGTTCTTGCAACAGCTTGAAGGGAAGATCCCACATTGTCAACATCCTTCAGCGCCGCTCCTATTGCTGCCTCTGACGACGGTCCGACTGTTGTTAGCGCAGATGGTGGAAGCGGCGGTAATGGCGCATCGTATCTATCGGCCATATCGTCGTGCGATTCTATTGGATTTAGCGCCTCAAGTTGGTCTAATGGAGCCCCTGTATCGGGTACAGCTGAAGATTTACTACGTATAATTGGAGCCGTAATGGATCCTGTATTGGGATCCGTAGACAAAAATGTCGCAGATGGTGTAAATGGAATTAAGGTAGTGATTGAATTCTCAGAGACTAGGGGGTATGTGTGTTGATTTTCTACAACCGTGTTGTTGGTAGCTACACTAGTCATACTGGCGGCACTAATGTGACTAGTATTAGAGGCGACAGTATTAACATCAGAGACGCCGGTGTTGGTGCGAACATTGCCTCTATCTCTTTGTGTAGATAATGGGAGGTCATTTGGTGTAGAGGTAGATATCTGGGGTTGGTTAATATGTTGGTGTTGGTGTGGATGTTGTGGCTGGTTGCTAGGGTACTGGATCTGATCCAGGTGCTGATTTGGATACTGGCTCTGGCTCGAATAAGGAGATGGACTTTGATATGGCCTTTGGCTCGCATTATGTGTTTGGCCCGGGTATTGATTTATATATTGATTTGCATGCGATGACTGACTTTGGGCTGAGTGAGGCTCACCATTGAAGGCTCGCGATCGAACCTCAACAGCTTCACTTTGATTTACCGATGCTGATGTTGATGTTTCTGCAATTACTGCTGCTGCTGGGATGGAAGAAGGCACTACGGACATCTTGCCGATGGCTTCGACGGTTGAAGCAAGCTTTGCAGCCTTGGAACGATTACAAGAGTAATTGATATATTCGATTGCTCCGCTATGTGGCCAATTGGCTGGAGGCCTTTTGCCAACTATTACACTAGGCGGCTCTTTGTTATCCTTGTTCTCCAGCTCATAGATGTAGCGCCTGGTTCTCTCAAGTGCCCACTGAAGCCGATTCCTGATTCTTCCATAACCAAGTAATGAATCCAGTACTTTATCATTAAAATGCAACGACAGATACAATGAGAATCCAACTAGCACAGGACTCAAGTCTTCGATCCTCTGCAAGACCATAATGGCGCATGAGAATGGGATGAATGCGCTCAACAAATCAATCTTCCAATGCAACCAGCGATCTGCGCAAGCTCCAAAGTACGATGTTTTCAAATAAACCTCAGATTGAGCAATCCCAGCCTTGATTGCACGCCGTTCAAGCCCATAGCCACGGATAGTGGCCAATCCTCTGAAGGTATGCTTGAATTGATCTTTATTCATGCGGTCTGCTCGAATTGACATCCTGTGCATTTCCTTCGACAGACCAAGACCTAAGAGTGCAACTGAGCCCAGCATAAACAAGATAATGGTAGCAGGGACAATGATGAATGGTTGGATCCAGATAAGAACCGTAAGGATTAAAATAACCGCCAAAGAATCAGCTGAAAATTGCCAAAATTCTTTGGCCAATTTTACATCTAATCCGCTTAGATCTCGTTGAAAGCATTCTCTGAGGCCGTTAATAGTCCCTTTTGAGAACAGACCACCTGCATCTCCGGGCGAAGACAAGGCTGCTTTCTCCATATTGGCCTCGAAAACGATTAGACGTGCAGCGGCAATACTCTGCAAAAGTCGAGAATAAATTCTATCCAGACCAGTGTTGGCTCCTGATCGTAACAAAAACGCGTTTGCAATAACAAATAGTGCGCGAACGATCGCCATAACCGCAAAGATCACAATGTAGTCGCAATGTGAGATATTCACCTTGGAAGGCGAATTTCCGCCTTCTGGAGACGCAATGGAGTATTGACTGTGATCAATTGTGGTTTTTAACAGTACTCCACCATCCCATGCTTCGTTTTCAGCCCACACTCCTAGCCATCCGATCCTGACAACAAAGAGCGCTTGGCTCAGAAATAAAGCCATAAAAGCACTCAACAAGAAAATAATCGAACCCAGCGAAAAGATATATGTGGTAAAAGTAGCCCAGCCGACTTTAAATCCGGCAGCAGTCTCTCGACTCAGTGTAGAATCGAGATCGTCAACATCACTCAAACTACTCATTTTGTTAAGTGGTAAATTCGTGTTTTTTGAAGACCGCAGATCTTGTGTTAGCGTGCTGAAGGGTCCCGCGTCCGACAATGGTCGCTGCGTTGAAGGAAGTTGCCCCATATTGGCAGGGACGCTAGCCCCTGGAACAATCGTTGTAGGGATCGATGATGAACCTGGTGCCTGCCTAATCCACCCTTGATTAAGAACTTCTTTGACGGTTCCATGGCCCAAGACTATGCCCTGGTCTAGCCCAACGACGTAATCGACGTCATTCAAGTATGTTTTGATGTGGAACTGGTTTGTGACCATTATACGAGTTTTGTTTTCCATGAGAGGCCCCAATCTAAGCCATAAGGTCAAAGTCACATTAGGATGACAACTTCTTTTTTGTGTGATTATAAAAATAAAGAAACAGTAATTCAGGATACTTACAAGCAGTTTTTCCAAATAAAATGGCGACTCTTGACATCCACAAAACTCAAACAATCATCCATGAGAACATGAGATACATCTGAATAAACCGCACGCGCCAAGGAGATACGTTGCTTTAACGACATAGACCAGATCACGTTCTAAGAGAAGGAGAATAAAATCGAGAGAGCAGCCATGTTCAGTTGCCAAACTATGAAAATGGAATCGCAGCACATTATAGCCAGGGATATTTTTTTTACCTTATCGCCGATGATGGTCATGTCCCCATTAGGAAGACCCCTCAGCTCATCTTCAAGCACGCAAGCATTGAGAACCCGCGTATAATGCTCCTCATCCATCGGCTTCCCGAAGAGGATAGTGTCCCTAATAGTACTACGACCAGTACAGCTTCCAGTGATGCTTCCACCCCCACCAATCTCGAGCCAAGGATCCTGCGCGACATATGCAACATCGCTACCGTACCCCTGCTTTCCATGATAGTAATCTTTCCGTGGCAAGTAAATCTTGCCGGAAACGCGTGTCATTTCTCCAATCAAAGCCAGCAAAAGCGCTGACTTGCCGGACTTCCTCGTCCCAGTGACCATTGATACCTGTCCAGGTGGAAATGAGATTGTAAGATCTTTGAGCACAAAATCACGTGCAGAAGCATCCGCAGTGCTCAAAATATTGGCATACTTTTGATAAAGGTTCGATTGATGGTATGGTGCTGGCGGTTGAGGAAGGGTGTATCCGAATAGGGATAGAGTGCGAATGATCCAATTAGTGTTTGCACGGTTAGTCTTCCTCTGAGAATCTCCACGGGCCTGTCTATTGCTTTCGTCATTTCCTTCATCTTCAGGTTCCTCGACAAAGAGAGGCTCATTATTGTGTCTAGCTGATTTAGCTACAGGCCAGACAAACGATGCATTCACAAATCCAATGATGGGAATATTAGCCCTTCGGGCCATCTCCCTGTCTCTGATAATGGCGGTGTCGCGATCATTCTCTTCGTCACTCAAAAAGTCATTCACTCGGACCACTGAGTCCAGCATCTCCTTAATAATGATAATTGCAGAGGGCAATGACTATTTCATGAGAGCAAATATGACAAATCTTTAAATTTATGTCTGGAGTATCGAGCTTCAAATGCCATGTCCAAATACTTACATTGATTGCCTGTGTTTGAATATCAACCAAAATTAGAATTGAAAACAAGATGGCTGGCGTCAGGAGTTGTTTAAACCAAAGTGAAAATACGGTCAAAATAACAGTTATGACGAATGCGTGGACAAGATCTCCGCCCAGAGGTACAGAGATCAGAGCCAGAACTGGTTGAGCTGTCTTCGACTTTAGCTTTCGCTCCTCTTCGCGGGCTTTTTGGATTTTGGAAAGTAAGATCTTCTCCCATGACAAAAACTTGATTGCTCTCAAATTTGCCAGAAACTAGATGAAAAACGATATCGCACATCAGTAAACAAGCTGCAAAATCCCTCAGTTCTGCAAAAAAGAAAAAAAAGAAAAAAAAAAAAAAAAAAAAAAAAAAAAGCCGCTGCCTTCGGATCCAAGCATTACTTACATCAGACACAAGGGCATTGCTTCGTTCCATTTTCGGAGGTACCGCGTCGAATCGTCCGGAGAAGAGGAAGCTTGCAATGGCCGAAATGGGGTACCACGCGACAACAGCCATCCCTCCAGCCCAGGCAGAGTGACCAATATAACCATATAGCTGTATAGTTGCCAAAACAAACATCGTTGGATAAATCATCACATAGAAGACTTGTTTCCAGCCATTTCCGATGTGTTTGACATCTACAGCAAGAAGATCTAACATAGAAAATTCGCTATTAGCTCCCTGATACTGGAATCGCCATTAACTGAGCTGGTTTGTCTACTTCATAATCGTACCTGTAATGTCATAGTCGGCTGGATCCATATCTTTACGCAAGGACACCTTTTCATAGATCAGTCCACTGGCCATTCCCATCGCCTTCGTTGCGACTCGCTGCCCCATATGAAGACCCCGGTGTAAAACTAGTTTTTATTGTTAAGAAATATTGTTCGAGGTCAGAGGACTGTTATAACTCGTGTCGCTTAATTTTCAAAGTATGGTAGCTGAGTTAAAAAAGACTTGCCTGCTGAGCGCGCAATAATGGAGGTCAAGAGAGCTGCGACATAGAACATGGCTTCGTTACGGTTGTACGATGATACATCTTCTGAAAACCCAAGAATCTTGAAGACTACAAAGGGTGGCACCATACCCAATCCCGCCCATGCGAGTGCCCAAAGGTACTGCTGAATCAGCTCAAGGCGAAATATATGGAGCATTGTATAGAACACCGTTGGTTTCCTTTATATTGTATATTAAAAAGAGCGATATAGAGGACATGAGCGATCTTCAGACCTTCTAAAATTATAGCGCTACTACTTGTGACTGCTTAATCTTGTATTTACCTGCATTCGAGATACTCCTGAAAATTAGTCTTGATTCTCAAGTCCCTATCAATGGCCCAGACGTCGGATTCCTGCAGCTTCCCCATGACAGACTTGATTACCATCGGGTGCAACCAGGTGAATGCGATCCTTGCATAGAGCGATGAGCGAGTCTCTGGGTTGATTACCTACAATGAATTAAAGATTCCTGTGTGTGTGAGTAACGAGCTTCAGTTCGTCCTCATGTCCTTGCACAGCCGTACAGCTCTCGCTCAAAAACATATGCAAATCTTACTCCTCGTGATCGTTTCTCTGGTCCTTTCTTTGGTTGAGGCGGAACTAAAGGCTTTGTAGCCAAAGTGACGATGAGTAAAAGTCCAGAAATCACGGAAGAAAGACCAGATATCTGATCATCTAATGTCCAGAGGCCGATAGGTCGTCCAAAATTGTAAATCATGAAATGTGCTAGCCCTCCTCCTGCTGTTGTAAGATAGATGAGGTCCATATGTGTAGGCAATCTGTAAGGGTTGGATAGACGAGGGTGAAGAAGCGATACAATCGAAAGAATTAAGGTGTATACCTAGAAAACACCTCAGCGTATAGTCAGAAACTTGCATTGACAAGAATATTTCCTATTTGCCAGCACGATTTATTCAGTTTCTTACCCAGAGAATCCCATGCATGACTGGAAGCCACAATGGCCACTCTTCGTTGATCTGTGTCCCCAGTATGGCAAGCCGCGGAGTGTCCATATGTGGTATTCCTGATCCTGGTCCATTTCTTTTCATATCATTCAACTTCTCAGTTGCAAGATATACAAAAAGAACAATCTGGACGAGCGCTCCCAGGCATCGTAGGAGAGATAAGAAAAAAGTGCGCTTCGGCTTGATGAGCCTGTTTTCGTTAGCAGCTTCCATCTCTAAATCGGCCTGACTCTCGCCTTGGACAACAACCTCGCTCGAGAAACGGTTAAAATGTCGTCTGCGATCCTGACGACCACACTCTGCTGATATGAAGGCCAGAGACGAGAAGATGATAATACACGTCGGAACCAATTGCAAAAGACTAGTTGTTTGAATATAATAGAAACATTTAGAAAGCTCAAATATATGTATGTTCAAAATCGACAAGAATCCACGACCAGAACCAGAAACATGGGCACAACCCGATTTATTTAGATTCAGAGTATGTATAAGGGATAAAAATCTCACATTATCTGAACTACTCACCTGTCTGAGAGACACATCTTCACATCGGGGGTACATCTCCATGACCCCATTGATGACTTGATGGTTTAATGAACTAAAAAAAATATTGCTGCTGTTGTTTTTGAGGAATGCTCAGCCCATCAAAAGAAAAGGGTCGTAGAGCACTGTTAGAATGCTTCTGTCTTTGTCTCTCCGCTTGTTTCAGTGTTTCGCTAATTGATTGGATTCTGAAGATGCTGTCAGATGTTCCGTCGTCCAGAAGAGCGAGGGAAGAGAAGAGGCTGAAGTGCGGTGGTAAGTAACTTTTTATTTTTGTTTGTTTTGAGAGCCAATGTTTGTTGCGTCGTATGCCGCTGACCACGAAATGGCCAAAAGGGGTGCAGCTCGGCCCATTCATCGGTCCCGCTGCACTGGGCTTCGTACTACTTCTAATGAAAAAAAGTACTGTGCCTGTAACGAAATAAGCTTTTTTCTAAAAATTAATTGTTCCAAGGTCAACCCCACTACTTTTCCTAAAAAAAAGACGAAACGATCACTTTGAAGCATGTCTCCACAAGAAAAGGTCGTCTGTAATATACTATTGCCCTTTTATTAAAATGTTATAATAAGTAACACATGAGAGAGTAGCCATGTCGTTGGTGTCTAGCCTTGTAATAGCTTGCAATATCCTTTCCAGTCGTTTATTAATCGCGTCTTATTGGGTTCATCGTAATAAATGCGAGTCATCGGATGTTTCACTAAAGACGGCGTGCCTGGAGACACTTTCCTTGGAACCGGCTCTGTGACTAGTCCCGTCAAAACTACGTCAATACTCTCCAAGAATACCCTTAAATCTTTCTTGTAGACCTTCCCCAGGCCGAATGTTTCGACACGACTCCAGGTCTTGATGAAAGACTGTAGATTATTCAGATGCTCGCGTGCTTTTTCTGCTTTGCTTGGAGCTCCATAGAGAGCTGAGAAAACGCTGTTCCAATACCGTTGAAGAAGTGTGATCGGTTGCTCCAAACGCCTACAATCGTACACAACATCTTCCTGTTTGACGAGGCTCTTATTAAAATCGGTCACATCCTTCCATGTCTCTCCATAGTATGCTTCCAGATGATTAGGCACTGTGACCTCAAGGTATCGCCGCAAGTTTTTAACGATATGGCTAGTAAGTTCGAATAATTTGGGATCCATACCATCAGGGATAGCTGTATTTCTGAAATTATTAGCCTTGATCCTCCGCAACTCACGGTCATTGGACTCCAGTCGATACCCTTTGCGCGGGCGGGAGGACGGGCTGGAGGACAGCTTTAAGTTGGCTCTGACTCCATCGAGTACTTTAGTCTCTCCCACAGGGTCATGATCAACCATCATCTGATCATCTTCTTCCATGGCAATAGCCTTGATTTGCAGAATGGCAGTGATTACAGTCTCGGGTTCAAAAGGGACTTTTTCATAGGAAACGGTTATGATTTCATGGATCATTGCCTTTACACATAGATTCCTATCGTTCGATATTAGCGCAATCTTAGTGCTTTTCTGATTTGGATACAAATTCCTGAAGTAGCAGCAGCAATCCAGGATTTTATCATCGTTTTTCTATATCATTGCAATATGTTGTAACATCAATAAGTAAATACAATAAAGATAATCTGTTGCCCATTATCCTTTCCTTAGAGAATTATAATCGAGTGCATACCGCTTGTTTATCGAGTTCTTCATGATGCTCGCTGATTTTTTGACCACGCAGTATTCTCAAGTCTTCCGGTTTTTCAAATTCCTCTTCTAGAAATTTGGTGGCTCTAAGGGCTTTACTCGCCAGATTAACCTCTCCAGATTTACGAAAACCGTCTTTTTTCAATCCATCCAGCTCCTGTACTACGATCCACGGTATTACGAAAACGATATATGGCTCCTTCTTTCCGCCGTATATATCAATTATCGATTTGAGAAAGTTGAGGTGGGATATTAAAATATTGGTATCAAGCACCACAACTGCGTCAGGATCATTGTCATCCTTAAAAGGCGAGTACGCAGGTCCTGAGGCCCATGCACTGACCGAAGCACTTTCGACTGTTGCGGGCTGTTGACGAAGATTTATGATAGCCGATGCGATGGAGAGAAGCTGCTGTTCATCATCAACATCCATAGCCTCAGCTGTATCATCATGATGCAGATTATTTTGTCGGTGGTGCAAACCGTTTTGTTGATGATGCAGCTCCTGAAGTACCTGAGGTGAGCTTTGTTCAGATAGTGAGGGCTGTTGAATGAAGTTTGAATGCTGCTGAGTATAAATTTCTTGTCCCGCTTGCGGCGTTCCTGAAGAGGAAGATGCTGGCGAGAGTTGCTGGCGTTGATTGATCCGCTGTTGATGAAGGTGATAATGCTGTTGTTGCTGTTGGATTTGGTGCAGCAAGAGCTGTTCTTGGTGCCATTGCCGTTCCTGGAGTCGAAGCCGGTCCTGCTCATGACGCTCGAGGAGATGCTGCTGTTGTTGTACAAATATCTCCTGCACGTACTGACTCACCTGTTGAAGCATTAGAAGTTCGTGCTCCCGTGTAGGCGTTGGCTCTTGTTGATACTCGTTCTGCAACTGAGCAAAGGCTGCCTGACGCTCCAGGAACTGAGTATGCTGCTGCTGCAATAGCCTTTCCCGTTCCTGGCATTGCTCTATCGTCATACTCTGTCTCTGGAGCTCATGCTCACGTTGCAATGACTGATGCTCCATGGACATGGACGAAGGGTGTCTCTTTGTCTGCGCCAAATGAAGACTGATCCAAGTCTTTTTCATCTCCAGTTGCACTCCAGCCACATTTTTCTATTTCGTCGTTCATTGTCTCATCAACGCACTGTGCCGAAGCAACTTATTTCTCATTAACTGCATCATTTACTCATTGTATCTATCCAACCAATCCTTTGGTCTAGAAAATCATTTTGTCCTCCTCAAATTCGCCCAATTCTTTCTGCAAAATTCTATTTCTGCAAAAATTATCCTTGATAGTCTTTCCTGTGATAATATATCTGGCAAATAAAGACACATACATTTGATAGCCATGGAAGAGGAAGAAGGTATCTACAATCTTTCTGGGTATCATCATTATCCATATCCTTTTCATATTTGGAAATAGGCGCTTATTTTAACCAGAGCTTACAACCTGAATCATGCCTATGTAGAAATTTGTAGAGTTTGTCGGTCCGAAGGCACACCTGAGCAACCGTTATTTCATCCCTGTAAATGCTCTGGAAGCATTCGCCATGTGCATGAAGACTGGTAACCATCAATATTCTGGCATGCTAGTTATGCTCTATATACTGTCGAAAGCCCAACTGTGCTCACGCTCAATGACACGCTTTTATTAATTTATTTATTTAATCATTACAAACAACAAGTCTATTAGAGTGGCTAGAGCATAGCAACAAGAGGTTTGTCCATTCGCTGCCTTTGGTATAATTGCATTAGCCGTGTCGGAAACCCACATTGCTGATATTGCTCATTTATCTACTAAATATGCTTCGATAGACACTGCGAACTTTGTAAACACAACTTTGCATTTACGCCAAGTATGTGGCAAACATTCATCCTTGTGGAAATAACTATGGCTTTAAATTTTTACCACCCATTAACTTTCGACTCCAAAATATGACTGTACCACATAGTATATTCTCCTGAAATGCCTGTGGCGATACCGAAGCGCGTATTGATTGGCAGGGCAATCGAAAGGCTGATAAAAATGATATGTATAATCTTACGAGGCATCCTTGCAGCTGTGATCTGGCTTGTCATATTACCATACTTTACGATATGGATATGGCGCCTTTATTTCTGGATTGGAGAAACCTTTGCATTCAGAGCCAACGGACTGGAGCCTCCGATATGGAATTCGACTTCATTCTTTGCCGCACAACACAATATAAGTTCTGCAGCTCCAACCCCAGCAACTCCACTTAAAGGCATATCTTTATTCTTCTCCCAGTCCTTTACATCAGAGCACCAATGGATCATGTAAGGAGGCTATTTTCTCTGATAATTTATGCGTTCCTTTTCTTTCTACTGCTGCTAAATTTAATCGCAATACCTTGATACATAATTTAGCAAGTTTATCCTAGATTGCTTTGAGGGTCAGGTTATCAGTTCAGTTGTTGTTGTAGTCTTCGTTGCTCTATTCCTGCTCCATGAATGGGTCGTCCAGAATCAAGGCAACGAAGGGGTACGAATAGCTCTAGATGACCTCGCAGCCCCAGTTGTAGAAGTAGAGCCTGAGGCGCATGGATTCAACGTGGAGCATGCAGTAGAACGCTTCATTGCAGCTCAGCACCATATAGAAGCTGTGGTTGAAGGAGAAACTGACCATAGTGATGATGACGAAGATAATGACCAAGGAAATCAGTCAAATTCATCCCAGTCACCTTCAACAGAGCAAAGAAACCTAGCAGAATCTCGATATTTGCAAAATACTAGATGGGACGGAGGCAACTCAACTTTTCTGGAACAACAACCGCGTTTCATTTGGGAGCCAGAAAACACAAATGGAAGCTCTTCATCAGATTCGCTAACAGCACCAAGTCTTGTCCCTACGTCCATAAGACCGCCACCTGATGAGCTAGTTTCGACCTTGGGATCATCCTCAGTAAGACGAGAGGTACGGCCGAGCAATGAAAGGACCTTCTCATCAGACCCAACAACAGGTATTTACGCATCTACACCTACTGTTGATCGGGGAGGACGTAGACCGGGAATGTTGGAAGATCGTGTGAATCAAGGGATAACATTTCGAGCGCCAGAAGATATGCGAATCCCAGAAGGGGTACTCAGTGCTGCGCCCCGTGTCGGATATGTCTACGATCCCTCTAATCAAACATTTTATCCGTAAGTTGGTTACATTTTATCTTGAGATTGCTAGATTAGAATAGGATACAGAAAGTTACTACAGAGCGCTCATTATTAGCCTATTTTCCTGGCTTTCGAATTGCATATCATTTACTTCAGTGACACACGTTGGGTGTCCTCTCCCTTAGGATCGGCGTCACCAGCATTAAATGACATTGCTGAAAGAACTGGTACATCAAATTGGATGTCACCATCGCAAAATTCTTTATCAGAAATCAATGCCGAAAGCTCATCAAGCGCATCACTTCATGTGCGGAACAGAGATAGCGAGCTTATTTGCTCTAGAGATGGAGCCCCTCTTTACTGGAAGCCTGAGATCCCATTGACATATGCAAATATTTATTTGAACGAAGACGGAAGCCAAATGAGCTTTTCAGAAAAAGAAGCTCGCTTTAACGACCTTTCCAAAATTGCAGACTTGAAACCTATTGACGGTTCCCAACCTTGGCTAATAAGACAATCGACACAAGGTGCCATTTTCAATCAACCACAGCAATCGAACTTAAATCAACAACAAGTTTTGGATGCTGGACAAGGGCTTGTTCAGCGGATCAACGAGCGTGGCATACGAGTACGGAATCGCCATGGCAATCCAGCACCGCGAGAACCGAACGTAGCACAAGCAGTGGATGCACCACGAGTCCCTCGTTTATTCCATCCAGCACCAAATGCTCCTGTAGTCCCAGCTCCAGCTCCAGCTCCAGCTCCAGCCTTAGCTCCAGTGCCAGTCCCAGTTGCACGGGATGACGAGCCAGATGATATCAATATGGAGGACCTTGATGGTATTCTAGAGATCATTGGGATGCATGGCTCACTTTGGACACTTATTCAGAACTCATTATTGATGTCAGCCTTGATTTGCGCCAGCATTGGACTCGGTGTCTGGGTTCCTTTTATGATTGGCAAGACTATCTTGCTCATGAACCTTTTTAATTTTCTTCGAATGCCCCATGTGCTACTCAGTCGGCTTACCGACCCGATTCTTGACTATATTTTTGATCGATTCTTGCCACATGCAAATTTAACTTTTTCAACGGTGATTGAGACACTCAACACAAAAATCCTACCTCGGACGATTTCACGGACTGGATCATATTTTGGCAGTAGAGCATTGGAACCATTGACGTTGGTATATGAAAATTATTTATTACCGATGTGGGATGCTATCATTAAGCTCAGTACATCTGGTACGCTACATAGCACTTACATCAAAGGTGCAGCCACAGAAAATGTCGAAGAATTTACCCTTGACGGAACGGCTAAGCATAGCATCAATGGTGATATTACTACCAACGCTACTGTGGTACACCATATTGTTCGCAAGTGGAACGAGCTGGCATATGGAAATACTTCAAGTGACAAACTTGCTGCGATTGTTATTGGCTATGTGGCTCTGTTTACTCTTGCATCATGGTACTTCGCGCACACACGAGATGCTGATGGACATGGTATTTCAAGAGCCATAAGGAACGTTCTTCGCCAACAAGGCTTGATTCTTAAGGTACAATTTCAATCAAATGAAGGTTAAAATAAGATATACATATGGCCACGAGCATCATAACTGATCTAACTGAAGGTTTGGGATCCTTGCATGAGCAGATAGCCTTTTTCATTGCAATGGAGATGATAGTTTTTCCGCTCTTCTGTGGAATTGCAATCGGTCTGTCGACCTTCCCTTTATTCAATGGGGCATCCATTGCCACACGGATAGCATTCTACAACATGTCGCCGAACTGGTCGCTTATCATGCACTGGCTTGTGGGAACTGCATTCATGTTCAATTTTTCATTTTTTGTTGGGCTCTGCCGTCGTATGGTGCGGCCAGGTGTCATGTGGTTCATTCGCGACCCGAACGATGAAGGCTTTCATCCAATCCGCGAAATCCTAGAACGACCTGTTTTACTCCAGCTACGTAAAATAGGCTCAGGGGCGGTCATGTATTTCCTATTGATTCTTCTTAGCGTGGCATTCACAATTCACTCAGTGAATTTGTTGATGAAAGGGGTTTTACCATTACGCTGGCCGGTTGAGTAAGTCAATCCGTTAATGCTTTTGAACAACTGACTCGATGTATCACCTATGCTTCAAAAGTGGGCTAACTGACATGAACAGTCTACTTTCATCAAGTGAACCTATCTCGGATCTTCCAATAGACATGTTACTTCTCCATCTAGTATTTCCTCTGACCGCCCGTTGGTTGAACCCAACAGACCGTCTAAAAATCCTTTTCGCAGCTTGGTGGCGCAAACTGTCGCACTGGCTGAGGTTGAGCTCATTCATGTATGCAGCTGATGGCCAACGCTTCTATGACGAAGAGGGACACATTGTTTACCGTAGCTGGAAGGCATGGCTGTTGTGCTGGCGTCCGCCTATTCCTGACGTGGATAGTGCAGACAATGAGATAGTTGCCAGCGGCGAAGAGTTAGGTCTTGAATCTCCTGTAATCTTTGTACGGGATGGCGGTTTCCTCCGTGTACCAAATACAGACCGCATTTTCTATCTGAAAAACCGCCGCGTATTAGTTCCTGTTGATGAGAACGGAAATGCATTGGACCCTAATGAAGACCTTCCAGGAGAGATTGATCCGCTGATGGAACTGCAGGTGCGCCGTCGAGAAGGACTTATTAATCCTAAAGAGAATACAATTATTGTTTATGCCCCGCCCCATTTCAAACAGAGGTTGATCGCGTTTATCGTCTTCCTCTGGATGTCTGTGGCCGCCTTTTCGGCTCTCTCCATTGTCATTCCGAGTATGTTATTCATGATCTCAATTGAACGCTCACTTCATATTATTTATTATATCTTTATTCTAACGGTACCTACTCTTCATATTTCTTGCTATGTCTTTATTATGACACCACTTGCTGCCCATCAATTTGGTGCCCTAATATGTAGTGGTCCTTGGCAGGGCCATTTTTGCGTTGAAGACTAAGCGACACGTCCATGATATCTACTCGATTCTTGTGGGAGTTTACTTTTTGCGTGGCCTCTGGTGTTTGCTGGAATGGACAGTGAATAAGGTGCAGACGATCAGCTCCCAGGGACTACAGCCAATCGACCCCAAAGCTCAGCTTAGAGTCGTATGGGATTTGAGCAAGGCAGCAGCCAAAGTACTCTATTTTGGAATCGTATTTGGGGCTATAATGCCGTTTATTTTAGGTTTTTTAATGGAGTTGTTTGTTGTACTACCATTGCGCCATGCAGTCGAGGATGAGACAAACATGATCTTTGTTGTCAATTGGGCAGTTGGATTGCTTTACATGAAGATTATACATCGGGTCTTAAGTGTAATACCCAATAACCAGTTTGCAGCTGACATCAATCGCGTCTTTGTGGGAACTAATATCCGCAATTGGGATGCGGCACTTGCGACCCGTCGATTGATTTTCCCTGTCTTAGCCGTATCAGCTCTCGCCGTTGGCGGGCCTCTGTTTTTGGCATGGATTTCCGCTGAGAGCCTTGGTAAGCGACTGTTTGCTAACAATCATGTTGTTTTATCGATGTTAGTATCAGGTATAGATATTAATAGTCAGCAATTGGATTTAATGCATTTATGTTTTATAGGGTTGACAGGTGCTGCCCGATTGAGGATGTTCAGGCAATCATATCCGGTCTCTATGGCTATTGCATTAATAGCCTTTGGAGTCAAAGAAAGCCTGGTCATCCTGCGAGGCTGGAGTCAATATGTTCGTGATCAGGAGTATCTCGTGGGACGACAGCTTCATAACCACCAGGATGAGGATGAGGAACAACCACAACCGTTGCAACCTCAGCAGGAGCTAACAGAAACACTACAAGATATTACCCAGTTACATGATGAAACTGGTTTGCCAGACTCATCAAGACTATCATCACTAGAATCACAAGGTCAGAATGGCTCTAACCTGAATGAAGATCCGTTAACATTGGCTGATCATGATGGAGCCTCAGTAGCAAAAGAACCTCAGTATCCACCACTACTACGTTCTCATTCAGGACTAGTAAGGGATCCATTGATCGCATCCGAGTTAATAGATGAGGAAGAAGGAGGGTCAATCGCTCAGCGAACACGACTCCGGAGAAGTCGGCGCCTTCAGGCGCAGGAGGAGACAATAAACGATAGTTAGAATAGCTTTAACCTTAGACGCTAAATAATCACTCGTCGATGATTCTCCTGCTACCCGTTTTTTAACTTTATGAGTAAAGGAAAGAGGCAAGTCAGTTTTCATTATTGAACGGGGTCCACTAACAAGCAACACACGTTAGAGTGACCTCGCCCTTTGGTGAGGCATTACCTTGCTATTTTACAAACAGTACATGTAGATTCACATTCTATTATAAAGCATAAATAAAAAAAAATAAAAAAAAAAAGGAGATGGGCAAATGGATAATGGGAGAAGGAGAGACATCTGTGTACTACATCCTCGCCTACAACACGAGTTCACAGCTAATTTGGGCTCTGAGAATAAAGAAACTGATCTCATTGGTCACAACAGCCACAGCGTTAACGTGTTTTCTCTCATGCTGGGAAAAACAACTTTACGACTATTCGCAGTGTTTATTTATTAATTTATCTGGTGAGACCTGGAGGAAGTCTGACTATCGAAACCGTGAGAAATCCGCTGGTTTGCTTTTGACATCCTTTTCCATGGCTAGGGCAATTACAGGTTCACGTACTTTGAAAAGGATGAAAACTATAATGTTTGGACTGAGTACTGAGCAGGTAATTGAGGCAACTGCTCTTCTAGTGTTGGTCTCATTCAAATTATTATGACAAGCTAAAAAATAAAAAAAGCTAGGAAGCGCGCGTCAGGCTTGGTGTCTCCAATTTATTACAGCTTTTTTTTTTTTTTTTTTTTTTTTCCCTATCCCAAAGCCTCATACACTCTGTTGACCTGCGTGTACAACAAATACAATTTGTTTTTTCTCTTCTTTTTTTGATGAAACTTTGATAAAACCAAGAAAGGCTGTTGTGGTGATCACTCTTTTGCATAAAAAAGAAAATGAAAAGTAAATGGAAAAGACTTGAACGACAACATTGCGCGATAAATAACGCTTTAGAAACGAAAAATGTAACAAGCAGAGCAATCAGCCCTCATAAAGTCCAAGAGACACATAGACTTTTCGGTGAACCGAGTACAAACGGAGGGATAGACGGTCCAATGGGCACAAACGCGCTATGTGCGTGCCCTTACTCGCACTTCCAGGTTGAGAAATATGTAGAGGAAAGCGAGATGCTTGCGGAATAATGGAGATTGATTTCCCCAAGGATATCTCGTAGGAAACAGTCATTGTTCCCTTTTTTCTCTACTTTCATAGAGCCTACATTGATCAATGAAAGAAGAATTAAAGGATAAGAGCTGCACGCAAAGAAAGATAGAGATAATAGAGGCTACGAAAAAAAAAAAAAAAAAAAAAAGACGTATAAATAATGGACAAAACCCAAAGATCGAATACGAAAGCTCACTCAAGCAACCACTCCTCATACAAAGCAATCCTATAAAAACCCATCCCCCAATTTCCCTCTGTAAGTAATTTTCCAACTGCAGCAATGTCAACCAAGAAACGGGTGCTCATTGTGACTTAGGCGCTGACCGATACATTTTTTTTCTAAAAAGTCACTCGAGCGGTCCATTACCATTATGGTTAAACTCTTGCTCCTTGTTTTGGCGCTCGTTCAAGCCTGCATTCTCGGTGCACAGGCGACCCACGTTATTGCATTTGGGTTCAGTGACAAATACAGCCTTTATCGCTACGCCGGCATTTGCATTCGTACTAGAAATGGACTCGTAATGCAGGACTATGACACCTTTGCTCACACGGTCAACAACTTTGGTTACCACAAAGATGGCGTCTCTGCTACTGTCACATTCGACACTAGATCAGTTAATATGCACAATCCAAACTGGGGCCGCTTTCAATTCCCGCACTATGATAGAAATGGAAAGTACGAGCGCTGGGCTGGCTGCTTTGAGAGTCCCGGAGATAGCTGCGATTACTATCACCAAGCTGTTAATGAATGTGATGAGTTCTTCAGGATCGGTGTTTGGAAGTAAAGAAAACAAAAGACCCTATCTTTTTTTTTTTTTTTTTTTTTTTTTTTAAAAAAAAAAAAATAATAATACTGAAGCCGATTACAGCAATTCAGCGAAGTTACAGCTTCTATCGATTTATAGTTTCATGAATAAAAATATTCATTCTTTTATTGTAATAAAGCACGGTTTTATACTCCAATAAACATATATATATATATATATATATATATATATGTGTTAGAAAGAAGAAAAGAAAGATCTCGATGCTGTTTAGATTTCATTCTTTTGCAGCAAGTGTAAACCAAATTACACTTAAACACCTGTATATTCTGGTGGGTGGTGAATAGTCCATGCTGTACTTATCCTCTTTTATTCAGTTCCTACCAAGCATTCTGTCTAAAAAGTCGCACTCGTGCTCTACATTCTCTTCGAAACTCGAGCACCATTTTGAAGTGGAGTCCCTAATATTCAAACCAATACTCAATGGTAGCCACCACTGGACTGTGTAAACTAATATTCACCCCCCTCACCTGGAGCATTGGCCGACTTTCGGCCACAATTGACATTGGCATATGAGCAGCAAAAAAAAACAAATTAATAGTGGAAAGTAGTAGACTTGGAACACAATTGAAGACAAAGAGGTCTCATTTCTAGGATAGGGGAGAGAATATCTATACAGATTAAGAAGTTCCATGTTATTAGGGAGCCTCGAGTTACTTTTGTCCCAAAGAGTACATTCAAGAGCATAGTCATACCAAACATAAATATTTATCCTTTAGAAGCTGAAGCAAAAAAAAAAGTCTTCATTGCATTGTGTCAGCTTTTTTTTTTTTTTTTTTTTTTTTTTTTCGCACGTAATATTCCTCAACGCAACAGTACAGGGACAGTTTTTCATGCACTTCAAGTAACCCACGCTGCAGTGTTCAGGGCCTTACTGACCCTTAAGATATTTTGCCTGCTCTGCAATGGTCATTTTAGACAGAATAAAATGAAATAGAGTGGAAAGTAAGAAGAATATCAAATCTCGAATTACCCGAAAACTGGGCAGGCTTAACAAAGACATATTATACAAGAGTATCAATAATTTAAAACCTTTTATAGGCTCGATATCTATGTAAACAATGCTTCCAGATTAGCACTACGATGATTTTTCTTCCGTCGCAGTGAGGATGACGATTTAAAAAAGTCATCATCGCTATCATCAGTACCATCCGTATTATCGCTATCACCAGTATCATCCATATCATCACTGCTCTCTTCAGCCCTGCTCTTTCCCTTGCCGACTCCTTTGTTCTGCTTCTGTTTCCTGTCCTTATTTTTAACCAATAATTCTTCAGACTCACTATCAAATACGACTTGTTTTGCGAGTTTACCCCTTTTCACGCCCTTAAGCCTGCTAGTGCTACCACCATTACTGCTAATACCCTCTCCAGCTCCACTCTTGTTATCGTTTCCTTTGGCGTCCTTCAGTTCGTCGTCATCGTCCGAGATACATATGGCACGCCTCTTTCGCTGGAGCAAGCCTTTAGACCGATTAGCTGACATTGCGGCAACTACAGTACTCTCATCTTCTTTTACTTCTTCAGTACCCTTGCTCCTTTCAGAATCTTTTCCCCTCTCCTCTTTATCAGTACCACCTTTATCCCTCTGTTCTGATTCGCTATCATCCGAAATCTGAACGATTGTTGGAGACACCTTGCTTAGTCTTCTGTTGTGTGACCCTCTTGTTCTGATCCGTGTGGAGGGCCGCTTGGATCGTGATACTCCGCGTTTGATACGGCGACTCCTCGCTCTGCTATATTCGTCATCAAAATCGCTATGGTTGTCAACTGTCTGATAGACTGAGATCATCAACATCCAGATTGGGCTCACTTATATTGTTTTCACCTTCACTGTAATCGTTGATAAAAGAGTCATGCGAGTCGTACGAGTCGGGTTCGGATTCTTGATCTGTATTTTCTTGACTTACATCAGAATCCTCGTCGCCACTAAATAATGTACTACAGTTGACACATACTCCCCTTCTAACTTCCCATCCACATACTGCACAACGTCTACAAAAACATAAAACAAATTTTTGTTGTAACGGTCGTTACGAAGGGATCTGTCGAATTTCTTATCACCTTTTTTTTTTTTTTTTTTTTTTTTTTTTTTTTTTTTTCCTTTGAAGCTTACCTCACACCATCCTCTTTATCAATAACAGTACCGCTACCAAGTCCATCAAGACTGAGGGGCCTGAACAGCCCTGCCCAGATATCGCCCTGTTTTTGAATACGTTTGAAACTATTTTCATCTGCCTCTATCCTCGCCATGGTAGCTTTACGTTCAGGCTCCAGGAGCCCGGCAATTGAGTTCTGGACTTGCTCACGAATGTTGAGCGAAAAAGTTGGTCTCCGTAATAATTTAGTCCGACATGTTGGACATGACTTGTGGATTTCGATCCATGAGTGCAAGCAGGCATAGCAGAAAGTATGGCCGCATTCGATCGTAAAAGGTGATGAAAAGTAATCGACACAGATGCTGCACTGCAGTGCCATATCGCGCTTTTGTTGCTGCTGTAGCCTTATTGAGGTTATTTGAGCATTTGAGTCACCGCTAGTGGTATGATCGACTACATCTACTGCGGCTGGTCTAGTAGTTGACTCTCCTCCAGCTTCTACCTCTGTAGACCGTAGTTTTGCGATAATAGCATCTTTATACTCAATCTCCTTTTGCAACCTCACTACTAATTTCTGCAGTCGCTCTACCTCTGATTCAGCCTCCTTTGCTACAAACAACTCGAGCGCTTTGTCATCCAGAGTTGATGTGTAACTGCAAGACGCTTTAGAATCATTGGTAGGATTCGTTATTGATGGCTTTTGTTGCGATAATGACGATGGATCAGAAGTGAGTTTTCTACATGTTTCCGAAGATGAGGGCGTCTCTTTAGCGCTTGTTGAGGAAGCTATAGTAGGAGGCGTGTTTTGCTTCTTCTTGCCCTTCTTATCCTCGTGAAGATCCAGATGCACAGTTGTTGGTGGAGGGGTTGAGACGAATGAGGGGTTCTGTGACGAGACTAAAAGTGGAGATTGTGATGAAGCTGAAGGTGCCACAGTTTGAGATGATGTTTCAGACTGTTGACTATTGCCACTAGCAACAGCGCAAAGCTCGTTCTGTGCGCGCTGCTTGGCCCGTTTAGCTCTCTATCATATTACGATTCATCGATAGTGCCACTTATGAGAAGGACTATTGTTTGGTGCGACATGGTCAAAGAAAAGGGAAAGCAATGTATACCTTTTTAGCATTCTTTACTTTCGACATTTTGTAAGAATGACAAGATGGATGTATAAATATACAATTATAAAATGTGCTGTCAAATGAACGTTGAAAGAGAAGCGTCTATTTTTTTTTTTTTGCATTTAGTGGCAAAATTTAAAGTTGATCTCGTGACCAAAATAAACTGCTACTGCTTTTTTTTTTTACCTTGACCAACAGACATGAATCCTGACCTTTTGCATTGTCTTAGAAAGTGGTTGCAGTTTTTTTGTCAAAAACAGTATCGCTTCTCAACGAATGTCATGGCTCGTCATAATAGGTCAAGCCTCAACAAAGTCCATTTCATTCTCAGTTGAGGCATGTAAATAGACAGCACTGTTGGATGAAAGTATATCCATTGGATCAAGTTACAACAAATTCTTAAGTCAAACGACTTATAAATTTCAAGCTAAAAGTGTCTGTAGAAGGGTCAAAATAATAAAACCACCTGGAGAGAGATTTATTTCTTATGCAACTGCATCTGCTGGTTTATTCGTTAATGTTATAAATATCGCCTCTATCACCGTCAAAACTGCTATCCAGGTCCGAGAGATCTTCACAGATGATGCTTGATTCGATGGAAATATCAGCGTGCCTTTTTCTCCTAGAAGAAAAGAGTGTCTCGTTTCCATGATGCTCAGATTCAGCCTCAGAGTTCGATGTGCCCTCAGACATGCTATGGTCATCCGCCTCCCATTCCTTATCCTTGTTATCGTCACTGTTGTAGATAACTCGCTGCACACCTTTACCGGAAATGATCGATTCCGGTACTGATGCACTTACTTCTGTTTTTATATTAATTTCTTCCATTTTCACAATACTACCAATATTTTCAATGTCTTCCGCGTGGCCGTTAATATTATTGCCGCTGGATGGCGCCGAAAGATGTAATTCAATAGAAATAGGGTATTCGCGCTTAAAGTTTTCGTCAAAAAAAAAAAAAAAAAAAAAAAAGGATTAAGATCGACTAAAACAATAGGCCCTCAGGTAAATGATTAGAGAACAAAAGCAATACCTCAAGTAAAGTGAGAGTACCGTTTTTGCAGATAGGGATAGGAGTATCCTTCGGAAGTACTTCCCCATCCAACATAGAGCGGTTAGTCCCTAGTCGTGTGATGGTCACATCGCTTCCAGAAGATACGATTTGGACTATTGGCGTATAAAACAAAATAACGATAATAAAAAGTCTTCAGATTCAGCAGCCGTTGTAAATGCGCATTGAGTATGATTGAATTTTTTTTTTTTTTTTTTTTTTTTTTCCTTTCAGTAACCTTGCTTGCGACTAATATGATTTGAAGGAAGGTTGAATGTTCCACGGCCGATGATGAGTGTCGCATCTTTCTTTAGCTCCAAAGTCTGGTCAGTGCTCTTAAGACAAAACGAAGCAATTACTTCGTGCATCGTCATGTCGTCCTTTCCACTCTTCTGTCATAAGCAATCAATACAGAAAGAAATCAAGTATATAGTTGAATGTCTGATTCCGAATGAAATTTTGATTCGACAATTAAGGACAGGTGATTCTCACCGCTTAGTTCGTTTTATCTTTCTAAAACGAACCCGATAGTCTGGATGCAGGATTCATGTTTACATTTTTTTACATGGTCAGTGCTACAAATGGTTACCAGTCTATTTTTGTTGTCTCAATCTTTCTCCGCCGGCAGAATGCAATTCCCGAATTCGGTGAAGCCTTGGATCCAACTGGAAAAAAAGAGTAAAAAAAAAATAATTTATTCACATCTCAATGGTCTGGACTACGCTCCACGAAACTGTAACGTAAATGGGCAATATATAAATTGCCAATTGATTGTGGCAAAGACATCATAGACAATCATCGATCGCTCTCTGTTGATTTTGATCTACATTTGTAGTCCAGAGCGCAGTCTTTTTTATTAGCAACTCTTTCTCTTTCTCTCTCTCTTTTTTTCTTCACTTTCCCCTCTCTCTACTCTTTCTATTGATTGATTCTCACACTCACAAATATGGCTGTTCCTGATACATCTTCGGCTTCTTCAAAATATTATCCAAGATTCACACTCTCTGCAGAATGTCGGCGTCCAGCTCCTGATGCACCTCTGACAGACCAACAAATCTCAGCTCTTAATACTCTCCGCACTCAAATTCATACTGCGGTCGCAAAAACAGAGGCTCAACGTCGATGGGCCGATGACCGTTGTCTTTTACGGTATCTCAAAGCCAGGCGTTGGAATATTAATGATACTAAACAAGCTATTCAGGATTCGATCCAATGGCGTGAGGATTTCAAACCTGATATACCTGATAAAGAAAGTCTTTGGGTTGAGGTAAAGATTAAAAAATAAAAATCACTTAATGTCCATGTCAACATGTCAACGTGCAATTGCATTTGGAATCAGACGAATGAAACAAAGGAACAAAGGAACAAAGGAATCTACGCAATTATTTCTCACGGAACCAATGTTTTGGGTTGTAAAAACGTGGAAAGAAAAGATGAGCACAGACAGAAACGGTAAACAACTGAACACAGGTTTTTTTGTACATAATCAACAATTCAACTGGGCAACAATTCAACTGGGCAACAAGACAACATCGGATCTTATGGAGGAAAGAAGACTAGAAGTAGTGAAATCCTTCCACTCGAATCTCGAATCGTGCAAAATCTTTTTTCTTTCTGCTTGCATATCATGCTATGCGCATAATGCTGACTGATCCTCCCCGAATCTTTTTTTTTTTTTTTTTTTTTTTTTTTGTTATTGTTGCTGTAACAATCCTAGACTGAACCTGGCAAGTTATATGTTTCTGGATTTGACATGGAATCACGTCCTTTACTCTACATGAAGCCACGGTTAGAAAATACGACGGCCTCGATTCGACAGATCCGTCATGTGGTTTTTCATCTCGAGACAGCGATTGCTTTGATGCCGGAGGGTGTTCAGAACCTCTGTATCATCATTGACTTTGCAGGATCATCCATGACCAAGAATCCCGGCGTCGGGATTGCGCGTGAGATTATTCATGTCCTCGGAAGCCATTACCCAGAGCGTCTAGGCAAGGCCTATATTATCAATGGTAAGATATGTGAATAGAAAAAAAAAAAAAGAAAAAAAAAAAAAAAAAAAATAAGAGAACGAACAGCTAATCAATCAATCGTTTGCTTCTTATAGCCCCATGGTTCTTCTTCCCATTCTACAAGTTGATCTCACCCTTCATTGACCCTGTCACTAAAGCCAAGATTAATTTTGTGGATATGAAAAAGCAAAAGCCTAAATCGACTGTGATCTCGACTCCATCCTCTGCCACTGCATCTGAAACAGATCTATCTTCAACTACAACATCCACTAAAACATCCCCGTTCAAGAAAATCTCATCAGTGTCTCATCCCACTTCATCATCGTCCTCGTCTTCGTCGGTCTCTGATAATGTCAATCTGCTGGATGTAATCCCTGAAGATATGCTTGAGCAAGCTTTCGGGGGTTCATCAAGCTATGAATACAATCAGGAGATCTATTGGAATGAAGCCTCCAGGGTCTTGGCTGAGGCTAGAAGCAATCTTGAGCAAGGAGCCCCTGTCGCTGCAATTGCCCCTGATACTAAGCCTAATACAGATTCATAAGACCTTCATAAATGATAGAAGGCTAGAGGGCTAGAGGGCTAGAGGGCTAGAGGGCTCCCAAATCCAAATACTTTTATTCAATTCATATTCATAGATTCAACAAAAACATAAAGAAATACGATATACATGATATTATTTTATTGAAGATTAGTTACTACAGATTGAATAAAGATGATTATAAAACAGATTAATAGCCCCATAAGGAAAAGAAAAAAAAAAGAGGTATTTTTCTTAGACATCCCTACGCTTGCTGTTATCCTCAGCCAATTCTTCTTCATCTTCACTACGATCGTCTACCACGCCACCTTTGGTGGCAAACATCTTGTAGACAATCCTGAAGATGGACCAAAGCCAAAAGAACATGAGTGATTGTAGTGTAAACAACAGGACAATGACAACGCGATGCGTCAATTGAGAGTAGTACTCGCTACCATAAACAATCCACGCGTAGATAATGTGTCCATACAAGAAATGGCGGGTGTAAATCCAAATGATCATGAAACACGCAAAGATGGGGTCACAGATACTGTCAGGCATTTCAATGTACTTGAAACATTTTCCAAACGATAGCACAATATCTGCCAGATCCATCGATACGAACACTGCAGTACCAAACGTTGTCACATTCAATGCCAATGAGAAAGTAATCAAGCTCACTGTGACAATATGGTGGCTAAGACATGAGAGAAGAGGAATCATAACAGGAACAATAGGTTAGGAAAGTTACACTTGTAGCCAAGAACAAAGAATAGACAATTCAACAATGACATCATTGCTTATCACACTAACCAGACAGTTGCCAAAAAGTCTTTACGAGGTGCTTCAATAAAGAGGACAAACATTTGTTGGAGCCAGAACGCAAATTGGAGGTAATAATAGTACTTTGTGATGACAGGCAAGGCTGTGAGTGGATAGTCGTGAAAGAATTGGTCTGAATGAAACCAAACAAACCAGTTGTTCCATGTCGGAGTCAATTGGATACAGTACTAACACAAGTTCAACAAGTGGGGACGTTAATTCCTGATAAGCATTCATTTCATAAGGACTGATTGATTAACCCAAAATTTGAAATTTAAAGAGGTTCAAAGGAACAAAGAAGCTCTTTCAAGTGAAAAGATCCTTTCTTTCTTTCTTTTTTTTCTTCCTTCCTGTCCTCCCATTAATCTATCTATTCAAAGCTTGTCATCTTTTCTCCTTCTGATGAAAAATGATTTGATATTGATCGAACGCTCAAGGTATGTTGGATGTTTGTGTATGGTATGAGAAATGCGTGTCTCTTTTTGTGTCACGAACTGCGCTGTCTTGTATTTTGCTCTCACAAAGAGGTACATATTGCGTTGTTTTAGCTGTCTCCCTTTGAAATTGGATTTTTTTTTTTTTGAAGCTTCAACTAGGCTTAATAAATAACCTTCTTTTTTTTTTTTTTTTTTTTTTTTCTGTTTTACGGCTGTTGTTTCTTACCATGCCAAGGACCCAACTGCAAGAGTAATAGATACAGATCCATCCTTGCTCTGCAAATCGAACCACAGATCGCTCACTGTTAGCGCCGAGATTTCGAGCCATGGGCGTCAAGATATAAGTCATGACCGAGGCCCTTAAAAATGTGAATGCTGCCACCCAGAAGATTACAAAATATGTATCGTTCCACGATTTTTCGTAAGTGGCTGTTATGGCATCATATTCCTGGAAGAACAAAAACTTCTTTGCAAAAGAGGTCGGAAACAAGACATAGATACTCATGATGGTGAGGATGAAGAACAGAGGGCCATCTAGTAGATTGTTTTATGTCCAAAGGACAAAAAAGTAATAGGGTTAATAAAAATAAATAAAGGAGTGTCAAAATGGCGGCAAAAAAAACCCCAGGGGTTGCGGATAAATGAATAAAACCTGCTCTTCCTGAAAAGGGTTTCATTTGTTTACAACTGTCAATGCTATTTCAAGCAAAAGCAAATACGTTACCAATCTGGTGTCTGTCTAATGTTCCCAAGAACCCCTTTCTGCGTTGTTGCTGGCCATATTGCTGTTGTTGGGTGAACAGTCCTGCTGAGTTACTAGAAGCTTGCTTCTCAGTCGATGCGAGTACATGAGCACTGCCATGAGGCTGTCTCAATGAGGAGGCCGCCATGAGTAAAAAAAAAAAAAAAAAAAAAGAGTCTAACAAGGGACACAGAGACGAGAACGAGAGAGAGATAGGAGCAATTGAAGCGGTAGTGAACGAGAATAAGAAAAAAGGAAGAGAAAGAAAGAAAGAGAGAGAGAGAAAGATAAAAGGTGAATGTCCATTTTTCAAATACTCCAGAAAAGACGCTTTTATACTAGACTTGATCCTCTTTCTTACCTGTCTTATGGTAAATGATGCAGAGAGATGAAAAGCACAACTAGTATAAATACCATTCCATGCAACCATGCAATCTGGTTCTATTTGTATTCCTTGAAATCATGCCATGTAAAAAAAAAAAAAAAAAAAAAAAAAAATCATGCCATGTGTTTTGCTCTCTTCAATGATCAAATATTATTTTGTTTTCAGGCAGATCTATTTTGCGAAAGATTGATGCGCAACATGCAGTCGTTATGCACATGTTTATATTTTTTGAACCCTGAAAGCAAAGACAAATAAAAGAAATGACAGAACTTGGATGACTAAAGACCATTGTAGGTCAATCAACATTTACTTCCTAAAAGCGAACGCCTGAATACTCACTTTCATAGGCGATCAACGGCTTTCAATTCGCTTTTTACTTTTTCTTTGTTCATCCCAAAATGTGACAAGAAGTTATCGACATTGATCACAAGATACAGATTATAATTATGCTACAGAAACAAGATATATTAATGCTATTTTGCCTTATTACATCCTTCGGAGGGCTATACTATGATGATACTAACGAGCTAACGAGCAGCAAAATTATGAAAATGATGTATAAAAAGTGAAGTTTGGGGAATATTGTGCGCTAGAGAGGAACTAAACGCACATCTCAGTGTATTTTTTTGTATGCAAGCATTGGCTTTTTTAAAGCTCAGACTTTTGGGGCTTCTCCTCGATAGCACCAGGAACAGAGGACTCGGTCTCATTCTCCATGTTGTTGTTGCCAAACTGGTCCTGATGAAGATCGACATGCTTCATGAAGATCGTAGAGAAACAGGCAAATACTGCCAAGCTCATAGAGATGATCGACATTAACATCTGGGAGTCACCCCAAGCCCGGATAACCTGTCCCTTGGTGGTAGGATCCAAAGTAGGGATGTAGAGAATGGGGGAGTCCATAGCCAACCTCTCATCATAAGGGCCAGTTACATACTGGCGCAACTTGCCGGGCAAATACTGGGTCCAGACACCTCCAGCTAAGGCACCTCCGAAAGCGCTTCCGAAAGATCCCAAAATTTGAGTCACACCAATGAGGATAGCAATGTCTTTCCTATCAACCGCACCTGTGACAGCGACAGAACTGGCAATATTGGCCATACCACCAGCAGCACCGACAAGAGTCTGAGAGATGACGACAAAGGCATCCGAAGAAGTAGGCAGGCGAGCGGGGATCATGAGGCCGATACCGATCGTGTGTACAACAATGCCAACCCAGACAAAAGGACGGATGGTGTTGAAGCGTCTCATGGCAAGGGAGGTCAACAGCTGGAAGACCAGATAGGCTACTTGATAACCACGTTCGAGCAACAGGGCTTGACCATAGGTACGATCACGTGAAATCATTAGGTAATAGGTATAGTATTGCCAGTTCATCGCGGCCATGACAGTCATAAAGAAGTTGACGACAAGACCTCCAAAGCAAGTAGGGTTAGCCCAGATACGCATGGGCATAATGGGCCTGTTTGTATACTTGATCTCCCAGAAAGCCAAAAGCGCCAAACAAATAACACCACTTATGAACATGCCCAGAATCTTGCCGTTTTTCCAGTTACCCTCAAAGGATTGGGCCAAAATCATGGGCAAAAGAGTCAGAGACATTCCAGCAGTGATCAAGATAGCTCCAATTACATCGTACTCGTGCAACAACCAAAGAATCGAGCGGCGCTTAACGCTTTGGCCTTTGCGCTCAACTTTCTTTTGCAAATACCAAAGAGGAGTCAAGATGGCAATAGCTCCAATGGCAGAAAGAACACCAATGATGACATAAACCATACGCCAGTTCTTATCAGGAGCGGTCAAAGGGTCAGTCAATGGTTGAGTTGTGAAGATGTTTATGGCAGAGGGCAAGTCCCAAAGAGCAAAGACAATACCACGATTCATAAGAAGAGTGGTATCGGCAATCAAAACCTGTGTCAAAGTCAGCATACCGGTCGAACCAATTCCGTACGCGATCTGACCTAGAGCGTACTGCAGGAATGCTACAGAAGTGCCCTGAATTGTGTATCCGATCAAATAAAAGATCATGGCAACAGTCAAGGCCTGAGCACGACCTACAACATCCGAAACCTTGGTATAGAAGGGAACCAGAGCAGCAGACAAAATTTGAAGGATCGTGGGGAGGATACTGATACGCGACGACTCCTCAAAACGGGCAACAATAGCTCCCTGGCAGTTGTACATTAAGTTGACCTCAAAGGAGTAAATGAAGGCCTGAATCAACACTCTGCAGGCAAAATAAATAAATAAATAAATAATAATAATAATAATAATAATAATAAATAAAAAAAACAAAAATAAAAAAGTTCGGATACAGAGCTTTCTGTTAGAAATCAAGGCTCCGAGTATGATAGCAGGCAAATAGAAGTTCTGTATAAAAAGGTCACTGAAATAGCTCAGGAGACAGGCATGAAAAATATGAATGGAGTGGCTTACCCAGAAACAAGAAATAAGTATTCTTTGCGGCTGAAGAGGGAGCGATCCAGAATCTTTGAAATAGTGGCATCGCGTCCGTCTGGTTGCTGGTCCACGTTGTTTTGGAAATGAGGTTCCTCTCCCTTTAACTCTGAGTTAGTAGAGTTCATGATGGAGAGATGAATAGTATGAACGTAAAAGCGTAAGGTTGTGCGTGAGTGCTCTTGCGAAGACTAAAGAAAGATAGCTCGATCACGAACAAGAGCGTTTCGGTGAAAGAGAGGATGATGTGGAGAGTAGAAAGGTGGAACCAAGGGACTCTTTGAAGTGGAGTGAAGAGGCAAAGGAGAAAAAAAAAAGAAAAAGAAAAAGAAAAAAAAGAAGGAGAAAGAAAGAGGAAAATCACATATGAGAGAGGTACTTTTATAGATGCTAATGCTTAATGTGGGAGTTTAATGGCGGCTCTTGAGTTAGAGGAGAGTAATAGGAAAATAAAGCCCGATTCTATTCCGCATCTGGCTTTAGTATACCCTTCAAGAGTGGCTTAAAGTTGACTTGTTATCTGATAGAAAGAAAAAAAAAAAAAAAAAAAAAAAAGTCCAGACCATTGGCGGTTTTTTTATCAGATGCAACCTATACAATTATTAGAAAAGTATATATATATCATAAATCCATGTTGACAAAACGTAAGTGACACCGAATGCTGAAACTGATCTTAAAAAAAAAAAAAAAACTGAGCTACAACAGAAGGAACATTATTGATTCTTTCCATGGTATCCTCGCTAAAGAATTTGATGTACGCTTCAGAAGTAAGTGTTATAATGTATATGTATATATTAGAAAATGAATAAACCCTGCGACGGGACTTTGAGCGAGAGTGAAAACGGATGATGGAAGGATGAGAAGGTTTCCATTAACTGAAAATAAAAATAAAAATAAAAAAAAAAAAGCTTTTCAACTCTCAAAAGACTTAGCCCGAATGCGGCAAGAACCTGCATGGCTTGCTTCGGGTAGAGCAGGGAGTATAACGCACTGCAGTTCACTTGTGTATGTCATAGACACATCTCCACCCTTTGGATGGATGTTTTGTTTCTCAGTCTGAGTTATCAGATGCAATGAACTTTAAAAAATTTTCGCGCCCACGCCGTTTTCAGTGAACCTTATCTGATAAACAATTTATTAATTTTGTATCCGCTCACTCACTAACCCAAACTAATAAAAAGGGCAGTGTATAAAATAACAAATCATGACTTATCTGATCCTTTCTCTTGCCGATGTTAGCTCTGGACTACGAGCGCTGATAAATGAACTGAATGAGAGGACACTAGTACAAAAAAAAAGAGGGAAGAGGAAGAAGAAAAGAACATCGTTGTTTAATTTTTTAATCTTTATTCATGTTGATGCTTTCGCAATTATGATCTATCTTTCTATGAACACACGAACCAAAAAAAAAAAAAAAAGGTTCGATCTGTCGCTTTTCGATCGGGCACTTGCTCGTGAGGGTACAGCGATCGACTAGAAACAAAAAAGAAGAATCTTGGTTGATTTAGCGGCTCAGCTGAACTGTTCCTTTTAAACAAAACGCATTCATGATTACCATTAATTTTAAAAATGGCAAGCCAATGCTTTACAAAAAGATTGGGCTAGAACGAGATCAGGCCTAGCTTCCGACTCATTTGATCGACCTCACTCATGGATCCGTAACAATAAATCCTCTCCTACTATCCACTAGCCGAGTGTAGAGCCCAGGTGAAAGAAAGGCTTTCAGGCGCCTCTGCATGCTGGGCCATCTCTTTTTTGTTAGACTATCTCTCATCCCTTGCTTGCATGTTTGTTATTTTGTTTCTTTGTTTTGCTTGCATTATATATATATATATATTTATACATGTATATGTTTGTGTGGATTTTTTATTACGTTACAAATGTAACAGAATCATGTTAGTCAATGCTATTTGTTCCATGCCACTGTTTCAGTGACGAAAGCTATCCATCTAACAGTTGATGCCAGCCTACCCTAAATCGAGTTGAGTTCGCTGCTCAAGCAATTGGCAAGGGTAAGCTGGTCCTGTAAAAACAACCTGAACATCTAATGGTTACATTTCATCTTGGTCACACACAGATAAACATCCACGCGGGGGATGTATTTGCCTTCCGTCATTCTGTCATGTGTACATGGCATGTATATATATATATATATACTTTTGTTGACACTCTGTTCGACTATGAAAATAAACAAACCTAAAAAGTTAAATGCCTTCCAGTCTCAACCTGTCATTGGGCCACTGTAAACAAATGTCCGTAGAAGAGTCACTGAACAACTAACAAACAATGTCCTGGGCCCCTCAGTAGGTGTTACATGGTTAAAGTTTTGCTTGAGCCAAAACACCATAACAACATCTCTTTTTTTTGTGTTCAAAAATATTTGGTCTTTCAAATGAACTCGGAAAAAAAAGAGAAGGAAAGGAGGCTCCACACAGCCGTAGTTCTATTAGTGGAGGTTTCTTAATAGTCGCGAGTTTGGCAGTTTACAAATTCTCCATTGTTTTTGGTAATCGGCTGTTGCGATGAAGCTAACATGAACAAGATGAGAGATTCTTTAGTAAAACCATTATAGGATTATATAACACTAGCTAACTCAACTTCACTCGATTTACAGAGTGACAGAAAAAATACAATTGGGTATCACGTCTTCAAGAGGCTCCAACAATAACAAAACGCCCAATCAGACCAAAATCTCATTCCGAGTATGGGACAGCCCGCCTGTATAATTCAAAAAATGGGTACAGCGATCATTTGAGACGCTTCATGCGTAGCCTCAACTTTAATGATGACCCTGTAACCACCTTGATTCTCCTTTCAAGGAGTGCGATTAACAGCACACTTTATAACGTTGCTTCCCTCCTGTTCTTGGTATAAACTATACAAATTCCGTCTGACCAGAATGGAAAGGAAGCAGCTTTTTAATCGACCGCCTCCTTTTTTTTTTTGCACGGAGTGCATTCTTCTTCCAGACCGAACTCCTGTTGATTCCTTTTCCTGCGGGTGTGTGTAGAGTATATGATGAAATGGATGGGGTCATCCTGTACCGACGCTTTTTTTTTTTTACATTTTTACAGCTATATTGAAGCTTTAATTGACAGACGCTTATTTATTTTCTCATTTTCTTTTCCTCGAGAACGATTCACTAATTTTACAATTTCATTAACAGAGATTTTGAAGATGTCACTTATCGCGTTCCGACGACGATTCTTAGTCCTTTTAGTGCCGCTTATCAATTTTATCTTTCTTGCACTTTTTATCTTCTCACCATCTTCACTCCCGACGCTGTCCAAAGATCTCGCTTTCCGAGCATATCATAAATTATCATCCCCAATCTCATTGACAGATGATGGCCCCGAGTTTGAACATATCCGCTCTAACTCAGCAAGTCTTCAAAGTAGCGACGATATACTCACTAGATCAAGCGACCCTTCTGTAAATGCTGGCCATGTTGATACTGAAATAAATGCAGCTGGATTGATGTCAGGTAGCAATAGCGCTGGATCAGGATACAGATACCTCCTAGAGCAACGCAAGCTTGTTGAAGGAATTGAGTTGAAACCTTTACCAGATCATCTTATCACATCCTATCGACCTGGGTACTTAGACCTAGCCCTATCATCCCTTGGCAAGCAAGAGCAGGGACAGCCGAAAGAAAAGCTTCAGGCGCCAAAGGACAATGATATAGACATGGACCCAAACACAAAGTATCTTACCTTCTTGCCGCATTCAGGGTTTCATAACCAAAGGACAGAACTCGAAAATGCATTATTATTGGCAAGGCTTTTGAACAGGACACTGATCTTACCCAAAGTTTACCTAGGCCCTCCAATGCCATGGTTGACATTCCGACAATTGCATGCACGGTTGCTTTATCAGACCAAGATTGGGCTAGAGCATTGTCGTGCGATCATTGAGGGTCAAAAAGAAAAAGAACATGATGAGGCCGTTTTAAATGAGCAGAAACAACCTCAACAGCCACAGTACGCTTTAGAACAGGAGGAGTACCACCCAGGTACGAAGCCATTGTTTGATCAGTATCATCATCACGCACAGCAATTGGGGTACAATGAGGTTTCCGCTCGGATAGAACAGGTAGCGGCCATCGATCCTTCCCTTTCACCAGTTACAAGCACTAAAGACGGTAGTCTGTCCAGCTCTGGAAGCGAAGGCCCCGTAGCATTGAATGATCCGGACAATAGTAGCGAGGACACACCGAATATGAAGGGGGTTGTCTTGGTAAACGAAGTCAAAGACAATGTAATGCAGGATACAGCTTCTCAATTCGATACAACAGTAATGGTTGATAGTGAAGGAGCGAATGATAGAGATGAGAACGACAAGAGGCCATCTTTCTTGGATGAAGGCCAATTTGACCAGGAAAACGCAAGACTGATAACCGAAAATGAAGAAAAGGATGGTGAAAGAAAGCATGCTATCAATGGGCTACAACATGGCCAAGCGCCAGGGAACAAGCAAAAAATGAGTGAAAGCGAGAATGCTGAAGAGGACAGCATGGAACAGCTAAAAGCCTCAATTGATTATACTTTTGGTCAAAGTATCTCAAGTCACAAGGAGGATAGTACGTCAGAAGAGAAAGAACCTAATTTAGGCTGGACGACAACCGGGAAGGAGGCATATCGAGCCGATAAAATGGATAATGACCTTGATGATTACGATGATTACGACAGCTTCGTTGGCATTCCGGTAGATACTAGTGATGGCCTGGAAGACGATGAAGACCCGGCTGATAAGGTCGAGGATGAGCTTGATTGGAGGTCCAAATATTTTCCCTCACGCCAACAACAACCTCATCTACAGAGGCGCGGCAGGGGTTGGGATCGAATGTTGGCTCGAAGAACAATGGGTGGCCCCAATGCGGCTTCATTATCCCTTTACGCGCCAGCGATAAAACGGAGCTATCCAAACCAGATGAAGGACGAGCGATCATTATCATACGCTGATCAAGGGATACCACAAGCCCAGGTTCGAGACCCTTTTCAGGATAATACATCAAAGCTTGATAAGCGGCAAAGGCAACTTCTTGGTCAAGAAGAACAGCAACAACAGCTTAAAAGCGCATCGAGGCCTCAAATGCAACAGAAATCGGTAATCATCGACCCCATACCGATACAACAGCTGCCAATCGAAACAGCACCACGATCCGAACTACAGCGGCACAGCGTAAAGTGGGAGCCACTACCTGCGGCATGCTTGCAATACGAGTCATGGACCATGACAGATTGGGATTTATTCTTTGATCTAAATCCGCTTCGCCGTTATGTCCGTATTTTGACTCGTGACTCTATGGCAATGACCTACCTCGCAGCTCGATTCAATCTCACAATACCCACGGAGGAAGTAACGAACATGCCCAAGTGTGATGGAGCCAGCTCTACTGAACGTAATGCATGCCCAGGATCTATTAAAGTGGAGACTCCAGGACCTTTGGATAACGGGCAAGAGAAAGAAAGCGATAGCAGCACTGGAGGCAATGTTAGTAATAAAGACTCGGATTCTGAAGGAGATTCAGATAGCGACGAAGCTACGGGGGATACCGATGGGGATGCAGGAGAGGAAGAGGAAGAAGAAGAGGACGAAAAGAGAAAAGTTCCATTACTCCGCTCCATAGGAGATATTTTAATATTTGATGATACAAGTCTCTATGACTATCGGTTTACAGAAAATCCAATGGCAAATGAATCCATTAGAACGAGACCCAAGTTCAGACAGGAGTTCACGATCGAGTGGCTGAAGGGTCGACCGGAACGGTTGATTCACCTGGGCTCAATCTTCGGTACAGGGCGTATTAGTATCGATTCTTTGGAGAGCAAAGCCTGGTTGTTGATGATTCGGGATCATTTGATTCTCCAAACAGATATTTTACAAACCACCAGTCAAAAAATTGTCAACAGAATAACCGGAAGGCTGGAGCAAAACCTAAAGAAGCAGCAACAGCAACAGCGACCAATTTCTTCATCATCTCACTCAGCATCTTTTTTGGATTCTATGGAAGTTGGCTTTGTAGGGGTTCATGTCCGAATGTCTGATGGTCATTTTTCATTGGCAGCGCGCGACACGATTGAAAATATCCGCCAAGAGCTTATGTGGCAGATGGGAATCGAGGACAACGATGATCTTGATAATCAAGACTATGGTAACACGTTTTTGACCGAGGATACAAAGGTGCAAGACAGATTAACGATTGAACAATGTCGAGCTTTGGCCCTCAACCACCACCGGAAATTACAAAATCAGCTCAGGCAACAGCAGCAGTGGCAGCAACAGCAACCTGCTCAACCCCCTCCATATCCGATCCATTACCACGAACAACAACAGGACCAACGTGCTTTTACTCCATCGGAAGCAACCCCCTCTGACAAAAACTTGCTCTCTAACTCCCCTTCGGTCAGGAAACTACGTCGTTCCAATGGTCGGTTCACGCCCATCTACCTGGCGACGGATGCTCACCAGCCACGAGCAAACCCAATTTTCAACAGGCTATTCAGGACATTCGATTGTGTCTTTTCACTAGATGACTTCTCAGAGGATCTGGAGGTCTTGCACCAGTTCCGGAATCCTGAAGATGGGACATTGATGGCCAATTTTTTGATTCCGATGGTAGATGCAATGGTGGTGGCGAAATCCGCTGCATTCTTTGGGACTCCCGCAAGCACGTTCTCCAATTATATCCAGAGACAGCTTCGACCAGCGTACACAGGTTTATATGATTGAAAAAGGGCAAACGACACGAAAGAAGAAGATTGCATGTCTCGCTCAATTGTTGACGTCTCTCCTCTGTGTGTCATCAATGGTACTTGAGGTTCCGAAAATACATTAATAAAATAAATATATAGTGTACGATGCACATACTAGCCTTTACATTTGTTCTTTGGTGCGGTAGAAGTAAGTGAAGGCAGATGTGATGGGGCAGGAGGAGGTTGCTCGGTAACTCGGTCAATGAACGCAAGGACGTCTACTGTCGCTTTAGTGTTTCATCGTAGCATTAAATGCAAGCAAGTTTATTCAGACATTACATTTAGTCCAGAAACCGTCTCATGCTACCCAATGCTAGTAACAAAGAAGCCCATCGTGCGAGCATGGGCCGACCAAAGGCCGTACCTTTCATCACCAATGGGTGCTTGGGGCGCTTGGAAGTGACGCTTGAGACTGGGGTCATGATCATTGAATGGGAACAAAAGCTGAGGACTCAGAGTCCGCTTATGTGCTTGCCATCAAATGTTCATCCCAACACTGCAAACATGCACGAACATGTTGAATTCCTTGACGCATCCTAGTTTGTATTCCTACAGTTACCTCTCGTTTATTGAGCATGCACATACAGATCCGCTATGGAGGTGATCCTATCATGGGAATCGAAAGTGCAAGGTATTATCCGCCCATTATCAATGAATATGAAGCGACTTCGTCTTGTTGCTTATATATGCATATGAGTGATATGTCTCACCACTCAGCTAGTACTCTCAGCTACCCGATCACCGAGGTCACCCTCGTGAATGCCAGAGGTGAGTTCATCACATACTCGAAGGATCTGATCCCGCAGTTGAGCACCATCTACACTGTGACACTCCGAGTTGAGCTTATGAATACTCGTCTACAGATGAATGCTCGTCTACAGATGCAAAACTCGAGCCCCACAGCGGTTTCCTTCGTGGGGGAGTCTGATACTGGATGGTCCTTCGAGCTGATTTGAGTTTTATTTTTATTGATCATTCAAGCATTTTATGCGACTTGGATCAAAGAATGGGAACGCACAGACCAGCCCGCAGAAAAAGCAAATTTAAATCGTACTCCCCTAATTGATAACCCTGTCTTCTCGACCTCTTTTGTGGAAATGCCAGATGCTTTGTATTTCGAGTTTGAAGATGGAAAGACCACTAAATTGAGCGTCAATTGTGCATTCAAATCCGATAAGAGTTTCAATAATACAATCAAGCTTTCCTTGATTGAGAGAGTAAATGCAATGTAGATGTTTATAAAGACAAATGGCGTTATATGTATATGGAGAGGTCTTCACAGCAAGTACACTGGAACGTATGGAGATGTTTTTTTATCAAGCCATTTGGCAAAATCGTGTCGCCTACATTGAGGAGGATCCTGAGGTCACCTAGTGCATTGCATACTCAATGTCATGGGGTCATCAATCACTCCTGGTTTTGAACACTGTTCCATGAAGCACTAGGTTGATAAATTTAACACAAAGTATGCCGGAATTTTTTTTTTGTCATAATTAGGCCACACTTGCCAAAGCTTTAGGAGAAGGTCTTGGGAGTATGGAAAACGTCTCGGACAGTTCAATCATGTCCGCCAGACGCAAGCTCCTATGACATGCTCCTTTATACCTTGCAAATATGATTATGTGGTCCCTTCAAGTATTTTCGTGAATAGGGCTTCTTCCTCTTCAACAAAAAAATATTCATGCAAAAATTTGTATTCTCGGTTTTATTCGGTGTTCTTCTTCTTTCCTGACATAAAATTCTACTTTTCATCGACCCAATTCTAAGTATCCAGAAAAAAATGAAAATAAAAAGGCATCACATGCACTTGTTAGTAAGAAAAAAAAAGAAAAAAGAAAAATCTTGAGGTTTATCTTGTAAAGGTATCCTAAGGTACAAAAAACTCACTAAGAATTAGGTAGACATAATCTAGTTAGTTAAATTTGAACTTGAAAGATGAAAGTGAAAGGGAGGATTGAAGATTCGCGTTGCTTACCATTTTCACGGCGCACTTGGTCCTCTTCTTCTGGCGTAAAGTCGTTCGTGATATTGAAGGTCTTTCGAATTTCTTCTGGCGTTTTTGCTAATTTATTTTTAGTCGGGAGATGAGTTAGCATAACATATCCATACAATATGAAGACTAATTGAAACAATGGGTACCTTTGATCATGTTAGCGACAGTTTTGCAAGTCAAGTCCAAGAGTGGTTTAATATCAAGGTAGTTGGCAGCCTACAAAATATGAAAAGACGAGCCCATTTAAGAAAAATAGCTCTTCATGCTCCTCATCATTTTCATCAGTTTGCAAATAATAATAATAATAATAAAGTTGTTGTTACCAAAATCAGTTCATAAAGTGTCCCTTGGTCAACTTTACAATATTCAAGATCCCATTCCCCAATATCTGCTGCAGCATCATCATTAGCGCTTTGAAAGTTGGGGTTATTGCGATGATGTGTGCAATACTCGATTACTTTTGTAAGAATCGGTCCTGAGACATTGGGCAAGGGTATAGCTAATATGAACAGATATAATCAAGAAAGAGAAAAGTTGAAGACGCCATTCCTCTTTTAATAACATATCGGTCAATCCAGTATTTACTAGTCCTTAACGATCAAAAGTCAGCATGTTACAGCGTTTGTTTTTGTCTTCTCTTTGTTTGTTACCTTGCCCAATTTCACCAATGTCCTCGAGCATGCATTTCAAAAGCATGCTCTTATCTGCAATGTCGCGGTCGATTAAAAACTCTGTGCCTTCAGAGGATGTGAGCAAGATCTGTGAATGTGATGATGATGACATTATTATTGCTACTTTTCGGTGAGTAGAGGGATAGAGGAATGTATGGTAAGGACATGTTGGCTTCTCTGGCTTTCTTTATGATCACAGTCACATGAAAAAAAGGGTTTGTTCCTGTCCACCACTTTCTCAGGGCGAAGTCTCAAAACTTTCATGCTGTGGAACTGTCATCTTGATATCAACTGATGCATTGAGGTAAAAGAAGGGAGAGAGAGGAATAACGCGTTGAATTTATTCATTCGTAAAGCTCCATTTTCATTTCAAGCATTCTGTTAAACATTTTAATCCAAAGAATGAAACCCTTTTTTTAGTCAGTTCAACACGCGAAGATCTGCGTCTGTGTTCACTCGATCCGCTGTCACATGGTCGGCTATTTTCACATCCGCTGGACCGATCACTTTTTTTTATCTTTTTTACGGTTCGGTCAATTGAAAGTTCTTTACACACTTTCCTTTGCAACATTGTTCATTTCTTTGTTTCTAACTCTTCTCATTCCATTATGCCAGAGTACTCGTTCGAGACTATTAAAGTCACATTCCCATCTCCTTTTGTCGCTCATGTTGAGCTCAACCGTCCAAAGAAGTTAAATGCTATCAATGGAGCCATGTGGGCGGATATTCGCTCTGTCTTTGATACTCTCCGTGACGACCCCGATGTCCGTGCCATTGTCCTTTCTGGGTCTGGTCGAGGCTTCACCAGTGGACTCGACTGTATGACACCTGTTGTTTGTGCTTCTGTGTCTAATAATTTGGAGTTGGTGTTCTCATATGCTAATATTTCTTTCTAATTTTGATAAAATTAAACCAGTATTCTCTCTTGAGCTCCCCACTGTCGAAGGCGATCCCTCACGTACTGCGTTCAAAATTCGTCCATATGTCAAGGTATAGCCAAGCACTAGGCCGATATAGCCTGCTCTCCCAGAGTAGTAGAATGTGGAGACTTTCTGGATCCGAAATTAATCATTATACTTTCTTTTTTTTTTTTTTTTTTTTTTTTTTTCTCGTAATGCTGGAATATTCAGTCACTTCAAGATAGTTTGAGTGCAATTGAGCGTTGCGATAAGGCTGTAGTTGCTGCTATTCATGGCCCTTGCATTGGTGGTGGTATTGATATCACCACGGCCTGCGATATCCGCTATGCTTCTAAGGATGCATTTTTCTCAGTGAAGGTAAGTTCCGTGAATTTGAAATGCACATATTATACTTATTACTAAGTTTTCTTGGGCTCCGATATGTAACCTGTTGTTCCAATTGCTAATTGATACTATAGGAAGTTGATATCGGCCTGGCAGCCGATGTTGGAACTCTCCAGCGTCTGCCCAAGGTAGTCGGCAATAACAGCTGGGTCCGTGAGCTCTGCTTGACTGGACGCAAGTAAGTTATTTGTTGAATTGGTCGGAGCATCTCTATTGATCGATCATAATTGGCTCCATAATAGACAAGTCTTTAATTGATCGAACGTCATCTGGTATACATTCATTAGCTTTGATGCAAAGGAAGCTCTTGAATATGGTTTCATCTCTAAGCTGTTCCCAGAACCCGCCAATGTTTTGGAAGAAGCTTTAGCTACTGCCAAGTTCATTGCCGAAAAATCGCCTGTTGCTGCGATAGGTACAAAGTAAGTCGAAATAAAACAAAACAAAACAAAAAGTCCTGGTTCTGGATAACCTGCATAGTATCATTCACAGCACTTGGAATATAAATATTAACGCTATTTCATTTGTAGGCATCTATTGAACTATTCACGCGACCATACTGTTCAAGAGGGACTGGATTACACCGCGGCATGGAACATGGTTATGTTGACTACACCTGTACGTGTTCTTTTCAAAGTATAACGTGTCAATTGTTGACAAAATAGGCATTTGGACTAACTTTATGTTTCTATTTCAATACTCTATCTCTTTCTCCACATTTTCAGGATCTCCCTGAAGCAGCTGCAGCAAACATGCAGAAGAAGAAGGCAACCTTTGCAAAATTGTAAACAGGCACTGGAGGAAAAAAGAAAGCACTGTTGCATTGCATATAAAATGAAATAAAGTAAAATACTGTTTCGGTCCAACAGCCAGTTAGGACGAGTATGAACGGGCCATGCCTTGAAACGCGTGTGCCAATTTTTTGTTATTGTCTAATTATTTTTCTGGATGTGCACAAGATTGATCGAGCATCTTGAACAAGTTGAAGGATGTCAAATGATGATGCTTGATGAATAAAAATAAGGAGTTTTTCCTGTGCCTTTTGAGCATCCGTTCTTTTTTTTTTTTTTTTTTTTTTTTCTCTGTGACGTGGCATAGAATTGGAACGTACAAAAAAAGTTCATGTCCATCTCTATTTTCATTCCACTCAGTACTCATCCATTCTTTACTCTCTTTTTGTCCTCCTTCAAGTTCTCTTTTTTATATTACCTTTATTCCTCATCTTATTCCCTGACTCCTCTTCCTCTTGCGCAAGAGGTTGCTCTTTGTCGCGTTCAAGTCATTTACTCTCCATCGCTTCTAGTATCTTGTCTAGTGTAAGGTGATCCTCGTCTTCATGCATGCAATTTTATTATTTTATTTTTTTTCCCTAACTGATTCTCTCTTAAAAGAAAGAAAAAAGATTGTGTGGTTTTGCATCATCATTCCTTCCTTCCATGCGGATGCGATTTGCTCATCTTTCAGACTGCATAGTAGACATTTTTCTTCTTTTTAAAAAATTTACATCGACATACTGAAAAAACGCGTTCATGCTCGTTGACACACGCGTCTATGATTCGTTCTCTCATCTCCCCTGACTCAGCTCTTAAATTCTCATCGCTATCATCCCTTCCTGTCATTTTATTAGACATTCCATCAGCGCTTTTGACGAGACACGGCGGACCGAGATATTATTCTTTCATCCAACACCATCATCCTCTACCATCACCCTTGTTTTCTCATTCAATAGAATCTAACCATGAGGCAAAAAATTGTTTCAAGGACTTCAACCTTTGCTTGGAGTCCAGGTCAACACGCGCCTCTTCTCGCTACAGGAACAGTCGCTGGTGCCTTTGATGCCAACTTCTCGAACGCATCTCAGCTTGAAATTTTTGATCTGAACCTAACAGACAAGTCGCCCGAGTCGATTGAGATTAATCAACCTGCTGGCGTTGTCTCAAGCAATGCCAGGTAAAATACCGAGAGATTTTCTTCGCTACTTCATATTAAAAACGTCATGCAATCAGGAAAGAAAGAGGAACTACTTGGAAATCAGGATATAGGACAGCGGAACTGATGAAATTTTTATGATTGTTCATTTCAATGCTAGATTTAATCGGTTAGCATGGGCAAATCCAACAGTCGATCGACCTTATGGTATTATTGCTGGAGGAATGGAAAATGGAGAGCTGAACTTGTGGGATGCTAATGCTATTCTCAACGGAAGGTATTGTACCATTACTTTTTGTCTTAATCAAACCTGGTTAAAAATTGATATCCCAAAGACTAAATAGCTTGGCTTGCTGCTGACATCTTTACCCTGCCTTGTATGTCCATCATGCAGTGATGATGTTCTCTTCTCAAAACAAACCAACCATTCAGGCCCTGTTCGTGGTCTTCATTTTAATCCTTTCCAACAGAACCTTCTCTCGTCTGCCTCTAGCAATGGCGAGGTAAGATGCGCTTTTCATTTTCTTGTGATCCCTTGACCTCTGATCTCTCATCTGTGTGTGACAATTTTTTTGTATCCTGCCTAATGTCAATCTCTACCATTGCTACTCAATTTCTTCTACTAGATTTTCATCTGGGATCTCGGCAATCTAACAAAGCCATACACCCCTGGCACAAGATCCTCCAAACTCGAGGATATCACCTGCGTTTCCTGGAACAACCATGTCCAACATATCTTGGCCACCAGTTCAACTACTGGATATACAGTCGTCTGGGATCTCAAGTCCAAGCGTGAGGTGTTGACTCTTTCTTACCCTGGTGCCACAGTTGCAGGCATAGGAAGCATGAGCAACCTTGGACAGATGGGCGCCAGCCGCCGCGGTATCACAGCAATTGCATGGAATCCGGACGTTGTATGTATTGCAATCAAAGCCTATCACTCTTTCAAGCATATGCTGGCATTTATTAAGACATCCACCATCTGACTCATTGGGCGTTCTCACATTGCATATCGTTCAATAGGCTACTCAAATCATCACAGCGACGGAGGACGATAACAACCCTGTCATTTTAGTTTGGGATCTCCGATATGCACATGCTCCTGAGAAGGTATGTTGATATATTAGTTAAGGGTAACTTGAAGCACTCTCAGGGGTTTATTTTTACTAATCAATCTATATACATAGACTCTTACTGGACACACTAAAGGGATTTTGTCATTATCCTGGTGCCAGCAGGACTCAGATCTCCTGTTATCTGCAGGCAAAGACTGTCGATCGCTTTGTTGGAATCCTAAGTCTGGAGAGGTCATTGGCGAACTCCCACCAAGCTCTAGCTGGACATTCGATATTGCTTGGTGCCCACGCAATCCTGATCTGTTAGCATCCGCATCGTTTGATGGCAAGGTAAAAAAAAAAAAAAAAAAAAAAAAAAAACGCGATTCACCATGCGATTGTGTTATTTAATGCTCTTTTGTCCCATATTAAAATAATGACCCATCTATTTGCAGATCAATGTCGATTCTATCCAATCTACACATGATAATGATTTGACGTCAGCAGGCCATGCTGCTCAGGAAGCACACGATCCTTTCGCTCCTCAGCAGTACCAATCTCAGACCAATGTCGCCACTATCTCATTAAAACAGCCCCCTAAATGGCTCCGTCGCCCTGTTGGTGCCTCGTTTGGATTTGGAGGGAAGCTTGCCATCTTTAGGAATAAACCTGTACCTCCCATGAACCTTCCTCCTGGTGCTGTTGTTCCAGTGGGCGTGCCAACAACTATTTCATCTGTTACTCTGGCTAATGTAGTGACAGAACCTGAGCTTGTCCAGCGCGCTGCAGATCTTGAATACGCTTTGGAAACAAAGACTCTAGATAAGTTTTGTGAAAATCGCAGTCAAGTTAATGGATCTACAGCAGAGTATTGGACTATTTTACGCGCATTATTTGAGCCTAATCCTCGTGAGCAGCTAGTCCATCACCTTGGTTTTGATAAGCAGGAAATGGTGGATCAAGTCGCAGCACTCACCCGCCAGATGAGCATCAACGGTAACCCCTCGGTTACATCGCCTCGTCCTGATGGTGCTCTCGATCAAGGCGGTCTTCAAAATCATCGTGGCTCTAACTCTGAAATGAGTGCATTGTTTTCAGGGGCAAATGCAGACCAACAACAGCTTGGTGAAGATGCTTTTGTTAACTATCCTAGTGTGCCTGCTAGCAATGAGTTTAAGATCAAACCAGCAAATCCCTTCCATATCTATCCTGCCACTGACACAGATATCGATAAAAAGATCACTCGTTGTATCATTGCTGGAGACTTTGACTCTGCTGTCAATGTCTGTCTTCATGATGGTCGTCTCTCAGATGCCCTTGTCTTGGCCATTTGCGGTGGCCCCGAACTGTTAGAACGTACTCAGAAAGCCTATTTTGAGCGCCGTGCTGCCTCGACCCCATATATCCGTCTTTTGCAAAGCGTTGTCACAGGTGACTTGGAGGATGTAGTGCGCAATGCTGATCTGGTGGACTGGCAGGAAATTGTTGTCATTCTCTGCACATTTGCCCGCCCAGATGAGTTTGGAAAACTGTGCGAATCACTCGGAAACAGACTAGAGGAACAATGGATTAGCAAAGTTCAAGCTGGAGAACAGGCGGACCAACTCCGTTGCAACACTGTTCTTTGTTACTTGGCGGCCGGAAATCTGGAGCGTGTTGTTGCCATCTGGATTAGAGAACAAGAGGAGGAAATCGCACTCAACGCCTACGACCCATCGACATCGGAGTATGAACGGAATGCTCGCTCACTGCAAGCATTCATTGAAAAGGTCACTGTCTTCCGCAAGGCTATTGGCTATGTGGATGTTGCTATTGCTGGAAATCCTAACGAAGATCAACCTGAGGAGCAGGATAGCCGCCACAAGCTCGCTGCTCTTTATGACAAATATACTGAATATGCTGAAGTCATGGCTGCACAAGGTCGCTTGGCGACTGCCCTCGAGTACTTGACTCTGACACCTGTGGATTACCAGAACAAGGATACGCTGGCCGTGATGCGCGACCGTCTGTATCATTCTGGAGTAGATGTTAGCAAAGTCCCTGCTCCTGAGTTCCCTTTCGAGCCTGTATATGTGATGGCTGAAGGCGAATATCAGCAGCAGCAACAATACAACCAGGAGCAGCAATATGGTCAACGATACAGCCAGCAGCCACAGCACCAGCCACAGCATCAGCACCAGGCATACCAGAACCCATACCAACCGCAGCATCAACAAAACACATACCAACCTAGCCAATATCAACCTCACCAACATCAACAAGCCAACAATTATGGTGGTATCCAGAACCAGAACACTTATGGTGCGCCCAATGCCTCGCCTTTTGATGGTGCTGGCTATAATACACAAGGTTATCAACAGCAGCAGTCCGCTCTCCCCCCGCCACCAACCCAGTTCACCGTTCCACCACCTCCACAGCAGAACGAACAACGCCCTTCTCAGCCCGCTGCCGTGAACAACCCCTACGCTCCTCCAGCTCCTACTTATGGTGGATACACACAGCCTGCACCGCCACCAACATTCAATCAACCTGGCTTTCCTGGACAAAATGATGCAGGGCTTCAGCCCCCATATGGCGGAGCTTACAACCAGCAGGCTGCACCAGTGGAGAGAGCTCGCTCAGCTGAACTCCCACCATCACAGCGTAAGGATACAGGTAACTGGAATGATCCTCCAGCGTTGCCTTTGGCCAACGCTGCTAAGCGTCAAAATGCAGCTGCGGGCTTGAACAAGGCTCAGTTCAATTCGCCTTTCCCTGGTAGTCCTGTGGCTGGTAGTGCTCTTGTAGGAGGCACTCCTCCTCCGCAAAATGCGTATAGCCAACCTCCTCAAGCATCAACTATCCCTCCTCCACCAATGGCCGGTACTCGTCCTCCTCCAGCAGCATCCTCGCCCTATTCGCCTATCCCAGCAGCTTCACATTTGCCGCCTCCACCCACGAATGCTGCAGGCGCAATGTCCCCACGCAATGCAAACCAACGGGCACAACCTTCGCCATACCAAAATTTCGGCGGTGGCCAGAGCAATTTGATGGGCGGAGTCAGCGTTCCGCCTCCTAGTAATGCCTACGGTCAACCTCCGCAACAGCAACAGCAACAGCAACAGCCTTATCAGCAGACCTATCAGCCACAGCAATACCAGGGATATGGCCAATCCTTGCCTAACCCCAATCCATATGCTGCACAACAAGGACCTATGGGAGGGATGACCAGTGGCATGCCCCAGGTCCTTCAGCAGCGACCCGTAACACCTGCTGCGCCTCCAACGCCACCAAAGCCTGTCAAGTCAAGACATCGTAGGTTTTGAGGAACAACGTGAAATAGACAGAAGACAGTGATGAAAATGATAAGCAAGAATGATGGTGACTAACTTTTTTGGCAATTTTTGAACAAATTGGTATGGATAATTAGCCGCAGGAGATAGAACACATATTCCTACAGGACAAAAACCCATCTACACTGTTTTGTCCAACGAGCTTGCCCTTGCACGTCAGTACGCACCGGTATGTTAAATGTGTCTTTATCGTGTTCATATTTTTTTTTTCTGTCTATAAAAAACTATATTGACGGTTTCTCTTTTGTTTTGCGAGATTCAGCCTAGTGCAAAGCGACCTTTGGATGACGCGGAGAAGAAGCTGAACGTGTTGTTTGACATGCTGAACAATGAAGAGGTATCTGGACCGGTAGTGGAACAGATGCTATTGCTGGCACAGGCTCTACAGAGCAAGAACTACAATTCTGCGTATCAGATCCACTTGGAGCTTCACTCGACACGCACCGACGAAGTGTCAAGTTGGATGACAGGAGTCAAGCGTTTGATTGTAGACAATGCAAAGATCCAACAATAAGAGATTAAAAGGGTAGCAGCTAGCAGTTAGCGGATGGTTATTGTCAAGCGAATATCTTTATCACCTCTCACAGTTTAATGCAGCAAAACAAAAAATAAATAAATGACCAAAGAAAATAGTAATAAAAAATAAATGGAATAGACATTCTACAATGCATTCGGAAAATCGCTCTTTTTTTTTTTTTTTTTTTTTTTTTTTTTTTTTTTCAATTGCCATGTTAATCCTCATATCCTCATTTCTGTCTATACCAGCCTCTCTTTTGATCAATTTCACCTTGAAAGACAGCCTGAAAAGGGGCAAAGATGTAAATGATGAGGCTTGGGGCATGGATTATAAAATGAGAACAGTGCTCTTCTCTTGCCGAAACAATTGCCTTTGCAGCTGTCAATGAAGGAGAACTTTTGAAGGAGCCGAGAAACAGCCAAATGGCCCCAGTTGTTTATGCACAACCTCACAGCTAACGAAAAGTAGTTCAAACAAAAGATGTAAAAAAAAAAAAAAAAAAAAAAAAAAAAGATATAAAACGCGCTGAGTGTCGAAGCTCTGGAAACATATACACTCATTCCTGTAATAGTCTCTGAATCCCCTCTACCCTCTTTAACCTCCTCGTTCAGCACGTTTAGTAGGCCCTTTCTATCATTTTCGACATTCGAAAATAAGAAAAACGAAATGATCAAGCTACTGACCTTGGTACTTGTCGCCGCTCAGACATTTACCATTGTGGGCATTGCTAATGCCACTCACTACATTGCGTTTGCAAGGGGATGGAGCAATGGGTTCACTCAAAAAGTCGGGGTTTGCATCCGAGGCAGAGAAGGACTCATTATGCAAGACTATGACACTTTCTGGGTGGGCGTCAAAAACTATGGGTTCCACAAAGACGGATATTCGGCCCTTGTGGGTGCCAAAGACAGACAAGTGAGGATTCCAGGCTGGGGTGTTTACCAGCTTCAGTCTGCCAGTTCCACACATGATTATTGGCTTGGTTGCTGGAATACCAGTCCAAACAAATGTTCAGAGTTCTATTCGAGTGCCAAGGAAGAATGCGAAAACTTTTTCAAAAAAAAAATCGATCAAAGCATTGGGAATAACTGATTGCATCACCATCCAACCCATCCTCTTCCCCTCGATCTTTATTATAATTATAATAATTATAATTATTACTATTATTACGACTATTATTACGACTATTATTACGACTATTATTATTATATCATTTTACTGTTATTATTTTCGATACACATTATGATTCCTTCCCTTGAATGGCTGGTACAGGAAGTCTCCAGCTTAATATATTTTGAGACACCACAATAAACCGCAAAGCTTGACTTACTATTAGACGCTCTCAAACACTGTCCTGTCTACACTGTTTACTCTTCAAGAAATAGAAATAGAGAAAAAGAGGGTAAGAGGCTGTGCTTCGGGGTCTGTGCCCATGCCTCCTTTTTTTTATTCGCCCTCGAAACACTCGGCCATTGTTTCGGATACATGGCCAGAAAAGGATTGGATGTTGTACGCTATCAATGACTACTATTTTTTTTTTTTTTGTTATCGTTTGCTTATTTGCTATATACATTTTTCATTCGCGCTCTGCTACCCAGAGTCCGACAAGTGACCAACCAAGGATGCAAGGAATGCCGAAAATGCAGTAGCTCCAGAAGAGGACTGAAGCCATCTCCATCTCAAAAAAGCCCTTGATCTGACACATTTGAATGGTATTGATCGCTGTTGGTGCTGCCACCAACAAGACCAAGGCCAAGGAGAACGTTGGGTCCATTGTTAATATAGGAGACAGATGGTCAGGATGAAAGATTACGGCCGGTAAGCATAGTACTGGGACCACTATCATCCTTGCAAACAGGACAAACGGGATGGGCTTGATCCATGGAATGCGGTAGTTAGAGGCGCCGGATGCCTTGATGGCAACGGTATCTTGAAAACGAGGTGAGGGAGAAGACTGGGTTGGAGAGGACTTGAGAAGAGGCAATGCTTCATCTGCATCTTCATTATCCGAGTCATCTGAAATAGCTGTAGAGCGGAAGCTCGGACGACCTTGGTCAGAGGGCTGATGAAAATGAAGGAGGGTGGCTGAAGAAGAGGCGTTGGACTGTGCAGTGGCAATACCATTGCCATAAGGGGCTTGCTTGGAAGTAGGAGTGGTGTTGTAGGTTTTATGAACAGAGAGCAATGCAGGATTGCGCTCTTCGTCGCTGGACGAGTCGTCCTGGCTGGTCGAGGCGTAAATACCTAAACCAGTCTGTGGGGGTGGGGAAGATCCTTGAGGTGCTTTACCTCGAGACTTTGACTGTTTGGGAGCAACAGCTTCAGAAGAAGAGAGGATGTTGGTGGTGATATTGTCGTTGGATGAGGATGAGGAAGAGGATGGGGAGGGGGAAGGGGAGGAAGAAGAGGATGCAAAGTGAACGACCTGTGCGCCGAGACATAACAGGATCATTGGGATAGCCGCGTCACCACAGCTTTCAATTGGACGAATCAGAAATCTGTAGACAACCGACTGTGGACTCATGAACAGGTGATGAAGTGCCGGAACGAGGCCAATGAAAAGAGCTATCAGAGCAGTCGTCAATGGTGGTGTAAGGACCTGGCGAAGCCTTTCATTTACTGTTGAGGTTGCACGCATGAGAACAGATTTAGTAGCGCTTTTGACCGAGAGAGCAGGCGAAGGCGCAGACGAGTTCGCGTACGTGGGATGCAGATAAGATGTATTGATGGGAGCAGGTTTAAAAGTTTGGAGTGTAGGTGTGGCTGCAGGATCGTCTGGCCCAGCACCATTATAGGATGGATGTAATGTTGAGGCTGTGGCATCAGTGCGTCTAGATGTCGACGGATCGACATTGATTACAACAGATGGCGGTAACTGCTCATTATAGTCTGTTTCTTCTTCCTTTGTCTTGTCCCTGGGCACTAACAAGGAGAAACCATAGGACCATCGCACTAAATTTCCAAAGATGGCATAGAAAAGAATGTATGAAATTCCCCTGGAGTTGCAGGCATGGATCGGTTAAATTAGTAAAATCACTTTCTTTAAGCGAGTCGTACACAACAAAATAATTGAGCGCAAGAGCTCGAATACGCCCTATTTAAAAGAAATATGATATACATACCTTGCAGCGACATCTGCTTTGGTATCGTTCTCATCTCTGAGCAGGTGCTCTCCTGCAGCACTAAAAGCCAAGGACTGCATCAAGGCCATGGGTAGTGAATTTGTATTAGAGAATAGCACGGAGGCAATTACAAATTTCTCCTCATCTTTTGAGAAACCCAGAAGGCGCGATCCAATTTTAGCGACGAGCCATGAGATAGAAGAGAAGAGGCAATAGAAAACAGGAATGGGCCAATATGCTTTAAATTGCGTCCAACTGATAGTAGACGCTATTTTTGTGAACATTAGACAAGGAGTCATGAAATACAAGTTCACTTTTGATATTGCCTGGTAAATGTACAGCATTCATGAATAAAAATTGCAAATATATATATAAAAAAAATAAAAAAAATAAAAAAATTTTAGTTCCATCTGATAAGATCAAAGCAGGGGTACGCCATAGAACACAGCGAGCGGGATCACAAAGTATCGGAGAGCGAACAATGTTGAATGCAATGTTGCATACCTTTTGAGCTGGCTGTGAAAGATAACCATTCCGCGAAAGGATCACACCACACGCCACTACGATGAGGACTTGACTGACAGCCTTTAACAATAATAATAATAATAATAATAATAATAATAATAATGATGGTAATAATGGTAATAATGATAAATGGCATTGTTAATATTTTTCCGCAATGAGAGTTGAGAGTAAAGATCACTTTTATCATTAATATTACGTGTTTGTCATTAAATGAACAAAGCACAGACAATTTTTTTCTTGCAGAGAAATGATGTATTGACATCATTTGCTTGCAGCCAGTCCATGCACAAGTACAATACATAGCTCATAAGTCAAAACAAAACTTACCTCACCCGCAGCTGTGGTGAGTACAATCCAATCCATGTTATTTTAATATATTTATAAGCAGGTAATGTGAAGTGAACTGAAAAAGGAGGGGGAGAGAAAAAGAGGAGATAATAACCAACCCAGCACAAGAGTAAGAGAGAGAGAGAGAGAGAGAGAGAGAAATGGAACTGAAGGGGAGGAAAAGGAATTTAAGTTTTTTCTTATTTCAACTGGTTACTGTCGAATAAAAAAAGTAAAGACAAAAAATCAGATTCAATTCAGTCCAGTCCAGTATGGATGATGAATACGATAGAGGCGATAGTATTCTTGCTTATGTAGAAAAAAGAAAAAAAAGAAAGAAACAATTACAGAGAAGAAAAAGAAAAGAGAATGGAGAATGAAGAAATGAATGAAGAAATGAATATTTCGAAGCAATAAAATTTTTTTAACTAGTGTTCAGATCCAACTCATTTTTATACTTTATTTTCTTCTAAATTCTAATTACAGAAACTGCGTGCATGAACAAAGTTGCCTTTCCTCTGCCCCTGCTCTGGTCTGGTTCACTGCTTAAGTAGAGACATCCATCCCATCGTTTGACACGGTATGCAAGCCTATCTTGCCAACCCCTATCCCTTTTGGACAAGGCATCCCTTTCCCCACATCCTCCATGACTATTTTGGAAAAAAAAATGTCACCAACCTTGGTCTACTCATCCCCAGGCCTCTATCGAAATTATGCAGGGTTAAAAGTGTGGTTTTTTTTTTTTTTTTTTTTTTTTTTTTTTTAATGAGGACAAAAGTGTTCCGAAGGAGGGGTGGGAGTGAAAGGGTATTTGTATTGAATGTCCTCCAGGAGAGAAACACAGGTATGGTTGATGCATATGGAGTAAATAGATGGAGGAAGAAGGGAGGTACGGGAGGAAGGGTCTACTTTTCAACATCGACATGAACATGAAAGTAAGATATGGTCAAAGAAGCATTTCAAAGAGCAAAGACGATCCTAATAGCCATTATGAATATCCTACGGACAAATGCATTTTCTGTGGATCTTCGCTTTGAGTGGTATCCAATAGATGTCCAGGCCAATGAATGACATGTTCCACTTGAGAGACAGACACCAAGGACCAAGCCAAACAAATATGCACTATGATTTGTTAATATAGAGTATGAAATGTCAAACGTGTTGATCGATGTGGGAGAACGTGTGCGTGCAGACATAATGATTGGCTGGTGTTTTTTCTTTTGCTTGTGGGATGATAACATTGTTTTTCTCATTGACAGTCGACACTTTTAACTCTTACATGTCAAAAAATATGTCACTCTTTTTTTTTTTTTTTTTTTTTTTATTCACCTGCTCTCTTATTGCCTCTGTCTCTGTCTCTGCCCAGATAAGGCTTATCTTTTTTTTTTTTTTTTTTTTTTTTTTTTTTCATTGCTTCTAGCGGCTCCAGTCTCGCTATTCTCTTTTACGGCTTTTTTCTTTTTTTTCTTTTTTCCCTAATTCCGGAAGTCTGTAAGAAGTTATGGAATAGAACGATAAGAACATGACCAAGGAAGAAAAACTTAAGAAAAGGCTACTAGGAAGGCTAGGAATCTTCTGCGCTGACCAAAATTAAAGATCAAAGGCAGTAATCGAAGTAATTTTCTAGACACTTTCTTGAAACTCTAACCGCCGTTACAACTGAAAAACGTTGCCACTTTTCTTAAACATCTAGTCTATTTTTTCCTCCCTTTGCTTCAAGTTTACACTGTGGAATGGGATTAAAGAAAATTGTATTGCAGGTTATTCAAGATTTTCAGATACACCCGAAATACAGAACACGGCATGATAAACAACGCGACTTGTGTAGCCCTACATAAGCATAGCATTGCAATATTTACTATGATTTAAAAAAAATAAAATAAAATAAAATAAAATAAAATATACAATTTATATTACATGTATCGCCTATTTCGCTGTATTGCAAGAGTCCATGGACAAAGTGGACAGTGTCCATATGCTTTTCAAGTCATGCTGTAATAGGTGCTGTATACAAAAAATCTTTGTTTTGATTCATTTTCGTATGCATGGATATTTACAAGGCTGCTTTGTTTTTGTTTTTTGTCGTGTGGACAAAAAAATACTTTTTCAGACCATTGACCATTGAGAAAACATTTTTCTATCTTTTGTCCGTGGACACCTTCTTTTTAGAGAAGGATTGGATTTAATATGCAAGACATTAGTAGTCACGTAAACGTTATTTCCATGCGGAATCGTAAACAAAAACCTACCTGTCCTTCCACCAACCTTCACATTCACATTCGCACAAGCCTGAAAGAACAAGTTAGGGACTAAAAAAAAAAACCAACACATCAGCATCGTCTTTGAACAAATACCGTCAACTTTACTCAAAACAGGCAGTTCATTACAGCCATGCTTAGGACGTTCACTAGTCGCGTGTCCGGCTTTGCCTCACATACTAATCTAGGTAAAACAAAATAAGACGAAAGCAAAAAAAAAAAAAATAGATGTTCATATACTGATATCCTTACCTTTTCTTCTTCTTCTTTCGATCTTAGCCATTACTGCCTCAACCTCTCGTTTCTTTTCGGTTCTTACTCCTACTCCACAAGGTACTTCAAAAAAAAAAAAAAAAAAAAAAATACACAAACGAGGCAAGGCATACTGTGCACATAAGAGTTTAAAAAATAATTAATTGCTTCTTTTATACTTTATATTTATTTTTCCTGAATAGCCGCGTCCACCACAGTAGCATCACCTTCATCATCAACAACACCAGTAACAGGAGTAGCATCATCGGGACCAGGAGCAGGGGCAGGACCAGGACCAGAACCTTCTATCAACTTGCTCCGCAACCAACTCCGTTACTACGCTGTGGCAGAAATTAAGAACCGTCCTTACTTGATCACCAAGAACGATATCATTGTTCTGGACCGTCTCAAGGACGTTTCTTTAGGCGATGTCATTGAATTGAACCAGATCAAGGAGCTTGGCTCTAAGGACTATGCTATCAAGGGTCAACCTTATGTCTCTCCTGAATACTACTCCATCAAGGCCACTGTCATTGAGCAGCCCAAGGGCAAAATGGTTGAAACTTTCAAGAAAAAGAGGAGAAAGCACTTCCAGAGACGTTATCATATTAAACCATTACACACTCTCTTGCGTGTTAGTGAGCTGGAGGTCAAGGCTCAGTAAAAAAAGAAAAAAAAAATTGCAAAAAATAAAATAAAAGCATGGCGGTATTACAAAAGCAGCTTCTTTTTTGCTCGTTCAGAGATCAGACAAAGAACGATGGGAGAGATGTAATAAAACATTTATGTAACATTCCTATCAAAAATACAGCTATGTTACTCGGTTCTGTAACATCTTCTGATACTTTTTTTTTTTTTTTTTTTTTTTTTTTTTTAAAAATCAGCCGATTTAATCTTTAATAATAATTCTTCTATGGATTAAGAACGTCCACATATTTAGCACGTGCTCCTCTCCGTACAGTTCCGGCTCCAGGTCTGGCTTGTGGAGGTCCAGGCACGGGCGGACCGCCTCCAGATGTGGGGGGTCCGGCAGGAGGTCCACCGGCCCCTGCAACGCCAGGCGACGTAGGTGCAGCAACTGGTCCTGGACGAGCCTTGGGAGGAGGAGCCAATGACTGTGCGCTATTCTGGCTCTCAGGCCCTGCTTTCTTGTTGACCCATTTTTTCAATTCCTTGTCGAAATAGAATGAAGACTCCTCACCCAGGTTAGCTTGCACTGGCTTTGGGGTCGATTCGCGCCTCTCGCCGCTAAAAAGACTGATTTTTGGCCACCATCCAGCACCGCTCGCTATATCACCAGAAAAAAACATATAGATATACATTTACTTTTGGTGTTGACAATAAATAAACTACAGAGATGTGACAAAAATCAAGAGTTACCTTCTTCCGAAGCTTGCATATTCTGGTTGTTGGAGCTATCGGCTTGTTGCCCACCAGCAGAGTCACTAGTGTCCTCGGTAGCTGAGGTGCCAGCTGCAGTGGCCGTTTTCTCCTTTTTGAGTGAAGAGTTGCCCATGCCAAGATCCTCCATATCATCATCACCTTGTTGACCATGATCTTGTTGAGTTGAAGCCACAGTTGGGTCGCTAGGCTGTTGAGTGCCTGAAGTTGGGAATGTTGGTACAGCACCAAATGAAATGAACTGTCCTTCTTCGTAATCTTCTTCTTGGAGCTCTTGCACACCTTCCGCAACCGCAGGTGCTGCAGGCTCAACAGTCCCTTGATCTTCCTCGCTTGATACAGGCAAGACTCCGGGCTCTGTCGATGGTTGAGCATGCTGTTGCTGGTGATAGTCGCCTGATTGGTATCTATCATGTTGATGATCTTGCTGGTATTCACCTTGGTGGTAGTTCTCTTGCTGATATTCGCTCTGCTGATTACCTTCCTGTTGATATTCTCCCTGCTGGTAATCACCTTGTTGGTAGTCACCTTGTTGGTAGTCACTTTGTTGGAAATCGCCTTGTTGATAGTCACCTTGCTGGTAATCACCTTGCTGGTAGTCACCTTGCTGGTAGTCACCTTGTTGGTAATCACCCTGCTGGTATTCAGCATGTTGGTAATCACCTTGTTGGTACCCTTGCTGGTAATCGCTTTGTTGGTAACCATCTTGTTGTTGTTCTCCTTGTTGATAATCGCCCTGCTGGTAATCGCCCTGCTGATAATCGCCCTGCTGGTAATCGCCTTGTTGGTAATCGCCTTGTTGGTAATCGCCTTGTTGGTAATCAGCCTGCTGGTAATCATCTTGTTGATAATCGGTCTGCTGATAATCAGCCTGCTGGTGATCCTCCGGTTGGTAATCTCCTTGCTGGTAGTCCCCTTGCTGGTATCCATCTTGACCATAACCTTGATGCTCATAGCCATCCTGTTGTTGATGCTGATCATAAGATACATCAGCATTGGTTGATTCCCCTTTATGCTGGTTTGCATGACTGTCATGTTCGGGTTTGGCTTCACTGATATTTGCATCATTATGTTGGTATGACTCAGTTTGTTGCTCTAATGTCGGTATGTCCGCGAGCTTTTCTGGAAGAGTCTCGTACTGTTGTTGCTTCTGGTATAACGCTTCATTGTTTCCATAACTATCGGTTTGCTGGGGACCAGATTCGTTGTATTGGGCTCCTAAACTACCCTCTGCAGCCACATCCCCAGCTTCATCTATCTGCTGATACCCTTGGGCCTGGTCATAATATTGGCCAGATGTTTCATATTCGATAGCGGCTTCAGAATACTGCTGTTGATCTTGATATCCATTATTGCCTTCATCAAAAACCAAAGGTTCCTGTTGACCATACTCATAGCCTGCGGTATCGGGATACTGGGTTTGGTCATTATTATAGCCAGAGTCCTGATGCTCATGACCAGCTGCGGCTCCGTTATTATAATCAATAGGTGAGCGCTTTTCAGACCCTGCAACAGCTCGCGTCGAAAGAACTGATTCAGCAACAGCAGATGCACTATCATCAAGGCGTTCAGAAGCAGTGGTCGAAGTGTCGTATTGAGGGTAGCTTTGGTTGCCATCTGCGCCATAGTAATTCTGGTTCTGTATCTGCTCATCTCCAACGTTGACAGCACCTTGACCTTGCTGTTCCTGCCCATGCTTTTCCGTTACGGAAGTATCATATGCTTGAGTATTATAAACTTGACCTTGTGCATCATATCCATATCCGGCCTGAGTATCTGTGAAAGAATCATTGCCATAGTAATCTGGATGGCCTTGAGCGTCTTCAATCTGTACAGCGTCAGTTTGCTGTGTCGGTATCTGCTCGGTAGGGTCAGTTGTGACATGTTCATCACTGGAAGCGGCATGCACTGCAGTCTCTCCAACTGTCGAATCAAAAATACTAGCTGTAGAAGGCTTAGGAACCTTCTTGGCTATCCAAGATCTACGTGAAGTAACATGGTGTTAAAGAGCAAACTCATTGATTGTAGTGGATTGAATGGCCATGGTTCATTCATTGGAGGCTTACCCAGCATGAGGAATGTGCACGCTTCCTGCGACACGCTCTGTAAGATCTTTCAGCTGAGCCAAAAATGTTGAGTTGTAGTAAGGAGAACCCTTAGTTTGTGACTTTACAATCGTCTCAATGGACTCAAGATATCTAGATTCCAAATCCAAATATATACAGGTCAGAGATCAGGAATCGACCCAAAGACGCAATTTTTATGAATAAAATACTAACCTTGCAGCTTCAAGTACCATTCCTCGGTCCAAAAGATGGGATATGTAGAGCAGCTTATACGGCTGCAAGAACGGTAATCCCCCAGTCGCACCTGCACTCTTCAAAGCACAGCCAAACTCATAAATTTCCGTCTTCTGGAATGACTCGAAATTTTTGTAGTAGGGGTACGCAGCATGGGGACTATGATCCGATCCAAGAAGGACCATGCTAATGTTAGCAGCATCTGGACCTGAATGAGTGGAAACCTGGGGTGAAAGCAAGTAACAGATGTGGGCCGCCTCTATCCATCCTTCCTTCCGGAGCAGATTGCCCAAGGCATTGATGGTAGCTTGGTCGCCTTCGATACGATTTGACAATATCAAAATCAAAGTGTCACGCCACTGAGCCAGACTTTCATTAGGCACATTAATGGGCGTAGACGGCCCATGAATCTCTGTCAAATACTGTGATCGAAGATTTTCAGGAATCAACTCGGTGATGGCACGGTCTGACTGGTGCGAGAACAGGCTGTAGAGAACACGCAAAGATTCTCGTCCATTGGCATGTAGTCCTGTGCTAGTAGAAAGCTCGTATTTCAAAAACCCATTCACGGCCTCTTTCCACAAGTCTCGATCACCATGGCTGCTGATGACCAGCGCGTGCCCCCACAGTTTAGTGCTGATGGCATGGCGAACAGCTCCTACAAGGTCCCCTTCACGAAGAATTTCCTGAAGGGTATCGACCGCGGCTGAGATATCATCTGCGTCATTCTTTTGCAATGTTGGAGCTACAATTTTAGCCAAAGGAATCGAACGCAAGACGCTCTTAACAGCTTGATCGACCTTGGCACTACATTACAATAAATCGCAAATGTCATTGTCACTTAGTTAGTATGTAGACTTTCTCTTTTTTTTTTTTTTTTTTTTTTTTTTTTTTTTTAAAAAAAAAAAAAAAAAAAGAAGTAAAGGATTTAAAGGTTACAAGATGTAGTCATGTAAACAAGCAAAAGAGACATACTTTCCAACAAGAGTACCATCTTGCTCAAACATAACTTTGAAAAGTTTCCAAATCAAAGCGCGGTGAGCATCAAAAGTATTTTCTTGGAGCTGGTTAAGCTCATTGATCTTGTCCTCAATCAACTTCAGAGCCTCTTTCCGCTTGTTCTTCAGCTGAACTGAGCTGTCATTCAATAGTGGTCCAGGGAAGTTGGCGATGGTAGGGTCGACTGGTACGATTTCGCCGAGCTGCTGAAGCTTGACCTCACGCTGAATCTGGGTTCCTTCATTAGCATGGCGTGGGTACCAAGTCATCACCTTGCCGCCGAACCCAAAAGCGATGATTGGACAACCCGCACTCCTATTTAACGGATCATCGATACGTACTGGTTCAGGTTCCTGTGCTTGTGGCTCCTGTTCAGGCACAACTTGATGATACTGGCTGTAATCCTGACCAGGATAATACCCTGTAGAAGGATCATATTGCTGCTGCTGGTAGGCTTGGTAATCACCCTCGCTATACTGTTGGCCAGTCCATGGTTGGTCCTCTTGAACATACTCATGCTGGATATGCGCTTGCTCCTGTTGCACAGGCTGGTAGGGATCACCTTGGTTCTGTTCCAAAGGGTAAGAATTCATGCGATCCAAACCAGGCATGGGTGAGCTTTGACCAGAAATGAACGCGGAACGGTGAGCCAGTAATGGGGTAGCTGCTCGACTTGCTGCCGCAATGGGCCGTCCGCATTCAGAGCAGAATTTGGCCTGGGGCTTATTCTCGCCAGAGCACTCTGAGAATGGGCACGGCTGGAGAGCAAGTTGCGTTGAACTGAACTGTGGCTGCTGATATGCACTGAGCTGAGGCGTTTGCTGCTGCCCCTGATGATTGTTTCCAGGGATCATAGCTGCCGCTTGAGTTGCAGAAAGCAATGGTGTTTTAGGGGGAATATGAGCTGTATGAGGAGACGCAGGAGGTGGCCCTGTGAATGGTCCATGACGTGGGGTTGCAGGTGATGTCTTTCCAAATGGCGTATGCTGAAATTCTACTTGTCCTGGAGCAATTTGACCGGGTTGCTGGGTACTGTGAGGGCCAGGAGGGGCGTTTGGACTATACCGCTGAGTAGGATGACCCAGGACTGAAATTGGTACTTGCCTCAAAGGGCTTTGCTGCTGTTGCTGTTGGGAATGTTGATGGTGCTGAAGAACACTCTGCTGCCGTTGATTAAGGAATGGTGGCGCTGAAGGGGTCTGCTGAGGCAGGGTTGCAGGTGTCAGCGACGGTCTCTTTTGCGGCATGGCTGGTGGAAGCGGTGGACGCCCCTTGGACTGTGAACCACCAGAAATAGGAGCATTCTGTTGATCCTGCTGGAATGGAATGGAGCCTGTTGTATTAGCTACAGGCGTAGGAGTGGCCCTATTCACGTTTGGTGAAGTAATTGGTGCCGAGGATTGTTGGCTCGCGTTCGCAAACAAATCCGACACGTTGCCAGAAGGGTCAGCCTGGTGTTCCATTTGAGGGAATGATGTGCTGGCATAACCCTGAGAGAACACGTCGGCCACAACAGGGTGATGTGGGTGTCGTTGGAATAGCTGCTGTTGCTGCTGTTGTTGTGGCTGCTGATACTGTTGCTGTTGTGATGGATAGCCCTGCTGCAATGACTGTTGAGACGGCACTCTATGTTGCTGTTGTTGTTGATGTTGTTGGTGCTGCTGTTGGTGCTGTTGTTGGTGCTGGTTGTTGAAAAAGGTTTGAGCAGCATATCCTTGAGGCTTAGGTGGACCTTGTGTCAGTTGGCGATTGGATGTTGGCGGGCTTGCAAACAAGTCAGCAGCTGGAGTCAGTTCAGAGGCGGTTGGTTGCTGCTGAGCGGGCGCGAATGGTTGCTGTTGTTGTTGGCTTTTCTGAAATGGCATTTGCTGCTGGTGCTGCTGGTGCTGGTGCTGGTGTGGGTGTGGGTGTGGGTGTTGTGGCTGTGGCTGTGGCTGTGGCTGTTGTTGCTGTTGCTGTTGCTGATATGGCTGTTGATATTGTTGAGGATGCCTATGAAACTGAGGTGGTCTCGGATGCTGCTGCTGCATTGGTTGCGGCGGGGGTACGCCTGGCCTACGAGCAGGAGGTGCACCCCCTCCAGCTCCGCTACCACTACCGAAGAATGGGATTGGACCATCCTCGACAGGTGGGGCTTGTTGGGAGCCCTGGTACTGTGGGCGTGTATGCTGCTGTGGACGATACGGCAGCGACATCCTGTCTCACTGTTAAAGATGAGCCCTGAAGCTTAAAGTAAAAAAGACAGATGGGCAGAGGAGAAGGGAAGAAGGAGATGAGAAGGAAGAGGGAAAGGAGATGAAGGTGAGATTAGTGAAGGAAGAAAAGAAGATGTGACAAAAAGGATGAGGAACGGTTTCTTATTCTGATAACACTCAACAGAGAGTGGGGAAACGCGACAATATTCTTGTGTGTAACACAAAAACGGATCATATACAGCTCAAATTACGTTAACATGCCTAACGAAGGCTTAAATCCATGCAGTATTTCTGCAAGGGAAGCTCCCTACACTTAGAAAGATGAGTATCACCCAGATCGCTATTTGATAATGAAGAGGCGGCTGTAGAGTATATAAATCAGACAGTGGCTCTAGCTTCAGTAGAGATCAATGTTGTTGTAATTAGCGGCCATTTATATGGGTTTTTACTATAGTTAAGCTTTTCCTCTTTTTATTTAATGAAGTTCCCAGGATCAGAATAAACACACCTTTATTTTTTATGATCCTGAGAAATTTCAGGTCGCGCTTTTATTCCCTCCTTCCGACCTAAGGAGAAACGGTGGTATCCAAGTATAATGCAGCGGCTTGAATGCTGTATATGTACCACCCTAGGGCCTGTTAACGATATATGAACAACTTATCGTCCCATAAAATTGGATCTTGCGTTTTTTCGCATGCCAGTTTGAAACATTTGTTCGTTGTTGATATTCAAGAGCTCCATACCGCGTTCGGCATTTCAAATACGCGGTAGCTGTCATTGGATCTTTTAGAATAGCTTCATTACTCCTTCACGATTTTTCTGCACTATGTTATTGCAAAATAAGAGTTCATCATGTCCGGTCTACTGTGATCATTTTGTGGATGCGACGCTGTCCTCATTCCTCTATTATGGATAGGGAAGTGGTCCCTGCTGTTGACTGGGTTAGACTGGGAGGCAAAATATTTAATATCTTTATAGTTCTTGCTAGCTGCTGCATGTCAATTGTCTGTAGCCACGTTGATCCCAACGACTTTATTGATCAGTCACCATACTATCCGCTAGCTGATGAGTCATAAGTAAGTAATTGAATGTCTTGAATCAGCTACGAACAAACTCTTATCATCCTATGCTCTCGAGCAACGTAGGAGTGGGGCCGGGATAAATAAAGCGGCTTCTGAACAGACAAAGAAAGTAAAGTTTACTGATCACTTGCTGATTAAACATGTTATGTCATGCCTTTACTCCTGGCTCTCGTATGACCACAACCATAAATACCTATAGTTTTAGGGGCCTCATTTTCTATCATTTGGTTGTTTATTTCTAGTCTACTCTTAATTTATTCCTTCTCAGTTTATATTCTCCTTCATGAATAATAATAATAAAAAAAAAAAAAAGCAAGCTTGCTGTCAAGATGTGTAAATGTAGATGATATCTATATTTCGGTGATATATTGGCTACCTATGCCAGATAGCTCCTCATGAACCCTCTTGTTCTAGCCACCTTTATTGTACTTGCTCCTACTTGAACCCCCTCTATTGTAAGAAGATGCAAATGTCTCCAGCCAAAGCAAAGCAAAAAAAGATTGTAAGGAAAAGATCCAGTCTGGTAAAAGACTTTGCTTGGAGGATTGATATCGTTCATTAAACAGGGAATAGAAAGAATCAGCTTGAGTACTGTTTCGCATCTTTGCTGGAAGTTATACTGCATTATTGAGAGGTAGGAGTATCATCGAACTCGCTGTGAGCCTCTTGAAGGTGCGATGGCATTCATTAGCAAAATGGAGGCATTTTTTCAATAGTGTAGTATGTAAACCACTTAATAGAAATCCATGTACTTTATTACACACCTCCCTGCTTTCGACTACCTATAACGGTATTGCAGCCATTTACTCCAATGTGATAAATAAACTGGACTAGAAAATAACATCCTCGTCCCCGTCTCCCAGTAAATCGCCTGAGTCTGCAAATGATGGATCTGCAACTGTACTGCTTCCAACTTTGGTAGCCTGCATGCCTATCGTAGCCATTGTCAACAAGATATATTCATGTTAAAACCTCGCGTAAATAATAAAATATATATATAAAGAATCAGCGCCTTGCCTTCTTCAGCTTGTCTAGCTTCTCTTTCCAGGGTATCACGGGCTGCAGCCTCTTTCTTCTTGCCTTGGACTTTCTTCAGTCTGAACAATTATAGGGGGAAGAAGAAAAAAAAAACAGGTTAATTGAAGTTTAAATATGTTTTCAACTTGACTCCTGAGAAATGTTGCGTTTCACATATTACCTGAAGAATTCCTCACGGTCCTGCTCGTCCAGTTCCGAGATAATAAACTTGATCGTATTCTCATAGCGGGGAATAATGATGTGTTCAATTGCATTAACGCGACGGTTGGTCAACTTGATCACTTCATCCAAAATAACAAATGCAGTCTTATTATAGTCAATCAGAAGTGCCAATAAATTAAAAAAAAAAAAAAAAAAAAAAAAGTCAGGTTGTTTCTTTTTTTTTTAGGGAGATGAAGCTCCATGGATCGGGAAAAAAAAAGAAAAAAAAAGAAAAAAAAAAATACCTGCAGCGATGCCAATTCGACTAATGTTTCGACAGCCTTGATATATGTATCTTTGCATTTCTGAACCTGCTGTCCACCACGACCAAGACCCGTAAGTTCATTGGCTGGAGGAAAAAAAAAAATCTCTTTATCATTAGTATGCTTTCCTTTTTTTTCAGACATTGGTGGTCCATATGTAATCTGTCCCCATTACCATTTGTTCCCTCCTGATAACTTTCAAAGGCAGGAAGCATGACACCGGAGACATTCTCCTGCTTTGCACGGACACGAAACTGAGCATTCTTCACACTCTCCTGAACTTGATAACCGATATCTCCAGTGATGTACGTGACCTCCGCCAAGGAGAACGAGGCAACCTGCATGACCCTGCCCATTAAACGTTTGGCCTGAAAAAACAAATAAATAAAAATTATCATTCCAAAAACATAGAATGTCAGTTTAAGGACAGAATCTCGAAAACGCTTGGATCATACATCGAGCCTACAATGGTTAATAAGGATATGGATGGGATAGTCATAATAACATCAACAGCAACAACAAAAGGCGTGCTTTATTGAGATAGAGCATACGTCGTCGATTTTCTTGACAATTTCTCGGAATCGTTTTGTTAGAGCTTCACTCTTGCGCTTTAGTAAACTGTGCCCTGTCTGAGCGCCTTTAAGCTTCTGCTTCATAACACTCAGTGTCCTGTATCGTATATTATTTGATTTTTTTTTTTAAAAAAAAAAAAAAAAAAAAAAAAAGGTAGAAGAATTAATTTATATTTCTAATGGATGCAGTAGTCGTGTCATTTTTCGTTTTACTATTTTAGAATGAATATGCGAATGAAAGTTTTCTTTCTTTTTTTTTACATTCGTGTTGGGAAGACAGCCAATCGGTTGTTTGTACCAGACATGGTGTAATATGTGAAGGATGGTGCGAAGAAAAAAAAAAAGCGAGTAATTAAAAAAAAAAAAAAAAAAAAAAAAAAAAAAAAGAGGACCTGACCAACGACCTTGTGATGCATCCTATTTTTTTTTTATTTTCGAGTGACGTCTGCCGCCCGCGATCTAGGGAAGTCGTGTTTATCTAGACGACGCGTAGCATATTGTATCTTTCTCTTACTGTTTGAAAATGTGTAAACGCGCAACTATGATACATAGCACTAAGCAACAAGAAACAACAAATACGCTGTTCCTAGTTGATTCTCTCTTTATTTAGAAAATCACAGTGAATTGATAGGATGAGGCACTCTGGGTTCTTCACCTTCTTCATCATAGTCAACATCTGGATCTACTCCATCCTCTTCTTCCTCTTCTCCTTTTGACCCACTATCACTGGAGTCCTCTTCGTCTTCGTCACCTTCACTCCTATCCAACCCTTCGTCCTCGTCCTCATCCTCTTCATTTTCTTCAACATCATCTTCACTAATAGCCGAACTGGATGATTGGGATTCATCTCGTACTGGAGCCCGCCGAGAGGATGATCCTCTAAAATCTGTTACTCTAGTTGGTGGGGGGACCGAGAGTGGAGCCCGAGATGCTGGGACACTCAGATGTTTAAACTTCCTTGGTTTGCGTCCAAATATAAAGTGAGGCGATCCCGCACCAGTAACACTACTGCCTTCGTCCAATGTTTGATAAATCAAGTCTGAGGTGTCTGTTTCAGTAGAGACTTGCTTATCAAATTTGCGTACAAATATCCTTGGGTGTACAAACTTGGCATTGTATTCTCTTTGGACCTCTCCAAAAAGGATTTGTTTGTCCTAGAAAAGCATTTGTCACTAAAAGTTAACAAAAAAAATTTTTTTTTATAAAAAGGAAAACCATACTTGACCTCACCTTAACATATGATTGATACACAGACACAAGAAAATGCACTTGTAACGCGACTATGATCGAAAGTGGAAAGAACATATGGAAGTTTTCACCATCCATGAATATCAGAATAAGTACTTGTGCAGGCGAATACCAACTAGTAAAAAAAAGCATTTAAAAGATTAATTTAACTCTGCGGATCAAATTGTACAGTGTCTTATCAATGTGATCATTCTTACCAGAAAAGGTTGCGACTTAAAATGGAGGGATTCCAAACAGACATTTCCCAAACTTGGCGCTTGTTATCCTGAGGTTTGGATCCTTTCATAAATGGTGAAATGAAAGGATAACTAGAAATCAAGGGAAGAGCAAACATGTATTTGAATCCCCTTGTCAGTCTTTATTGGTGGTTTGGATGTCTCAATAAAAAAAACCGCTAGGGCTGCTTACATATATTTTCCAGGAAATTTGAATGACCAATGTGCCTCATCCTGCTGAACCTCTACCATCTTGACATTTGAAGCCGATGGCCGTTCGTCCACATCCCTTTCCAACATCTTGTAATTTTTTTTGCTTTGGAACAGCCAAATTGTATTGATGAAGCTGATAGCCACTAAAATGTACTGTAACCATGCCAACTTTATGGATTTGATGATCATAACAAATATTAGAAAACGATAACCTAGATTATCCATGTCCACCCAAGTGTCATGTCAAGATGACCCATAATGTGTTTTCTTACAATATTTGCGAATGTTGGTCGCAATGACTTTGGATAGTATGTGCGATCGTCCCTCAACACTGTAGGCGTGTTAGCTAGAGGATCATCCAACCAGTACCCCATCCTAACCGAGATTAGCAACATGTTCAGCGATATTGCTAAAGGCCAGCTTTTGATGCAATCAATACGATACCAACGTCAGTATGAGTGAGAGGACTCACGCAAATACATTCATATAAAATCAAAGAAAAAAAAAAAAAAAAAAAAAAAAAGTTGCCTCCAAGGCTATTTCGCACCTGAATCCTTCTTGAAGCATGTCCCAGTCCAAGGCTCGAATGTCGTTTCCGACTTTCATCATCCAGTCATCGGGTCCATTAATTATTCTTTTATAAAGTGGTGCTCGCCTTACAATGCGAGGTCTCCTGTTTTGCTCCATGTTTGTTCTATTTGGTTGTTCTTGCTGATGAGATTCTCCTTGCCAAAAAGTCGTAAACTAATTTATTTTTCAAGATTTTAAATTGAATAAAATACTCCCATTTTTAAACACCGAAAAAGTACGTACAAAACTCAAAATTTTAATTTTTTCGAAAGCGTTTTCTATTATCAATGAGACGCTCCTCCTCAGACTCACTATCCTCCACTAAATTTAATACGGTTCCAACATCTTGGACAAGATCCTCTATCTCAGACTCTAGGGTAACGGCATCGGCTTCATCTTGGTTCACTACTCTATCAAGTTCCATGTCCCACTCGTAGCTGTCCACTCTAATCGTGTCTTCCAAGTCCTCAACAGTCTCCTGTTCATCAGTGGCCTCTTGATAAACTTCTTGATCAAAGGTTTCTGCTTGTACACGACCTCTCTCATTGTAGTACCTCATACCAATTTTCACAGATTTTTTCCATACAGAGTAGAAGACTCTACAAGGAATCTGGGCAAACAAGCTGAGTAGCCTTTTCTTAAGTAACAAGGCTGTCATTGTCGTCCTTGCTTCTGAAGCGATTATATTTTTCACGACAGCCCAGATCTTTTCAATAGGCTGTAGCTCGCAATGGTACGGTGGGATCTTGAGTATTTCATGACCGCCGTTCTCCTGGGCAATCCTGCTGACAGAAAAATACGACTCGTCAGGAATTGCGCTAATCAATCCCATAAGCTCGTCTTTATTTAATGCTTTTCCATCTTCCCTCGTTGGAATAGCAATATTTTTATCCGCAAGCCATGCTTTGATAGTCGCCACAGTGTCTCTCTTAGTCGGCTTTTTATTTTCCTTGTGGAAATGATATGAAGCGCCATCATGATGGATTTGGCAAGGTCCAAGTCCCATCTGGTTGAGATTCTCACAAAGTCGTTTAAATATACTATCAAATATATTGGCATTGAAATTCCCATGATAGTCGTGATCCGTGGCTACAACTCCTGCGTCCCTGATCTCTACTGGCACATCGGCCCACAGCTCAGCCTCCTGTTCTTGGCCTTTCTTCGATTGAGGCTTTGGCCCTTTAGCTGGCCAGACATACACGCTGTCCCTGACAAATTTGCCCTCGACTTTTTTCATGGCTTCATCATAGTACACAACGAATGCCGCGAATATAACCACCATTGGTTTCCTTCCCGCGTCGTTAACAACGCCACCACGCCTTTGGACCCAACGTCTTGCTGCAGCATGGTCAATGTGGCAATAGGATTCATCAAGGAAGACCTCTGGCATTTTAGGCACCCAATTTCTGTCAATAAATCTTAAATTCTTGAGGCACCGCTCAAGGTAAGTTGCCCGGAATGCGACATTCTTCTTGGAGTCATGCAGGAAGTTCTGTCTAACCCCTTTACCCCAATACAAGCCCATTTTATGAAGATCGCGAGTGATTGACCTCGCTGATCTGCCGATTCCATAGTCTTCTTTAAGTTGGTTAGCGACTATTGCCGCCGAATTAGGGGTCCCAGCCTTGTTTGATTCTACTATGATAGACATCACCTTTGAGCTTACATTCTGATCCATTTCTTTCTTTGGGCGTCCAGTTCTTCCACGCTCAGTTCTCTTACATCCCGTTCTTCCACGATCTTTGATATCGAGGATGCCTGTGGTAGCAAGTTTAATTGCTGTCAAACAAGCGTTCCTCCCTACACTCGTCAGAGCCGATAAATTGTCCGCTCTATCGGGAGTTTTCATAAACCACTCTCGAACCGCTTGTGGTGTCTCCTCCGCGGTTATAGCTTTAAAGATATGCGCTATCATAACGTATTCATTACGTGTTATGGTCGCTTTACTGCGAGTAATTTCATCAGTGTCCTTCTGCTCGTTCGACAAGAATGGGTTTGAATCGGCGGAAATGGAAGACTGCCTGGCTTCTTTCTTTGAAGAAACACCCTTGGTCCTACGTCTAGGAGGAGTGATCCACCGATATTGTGTGGGATCTTTGAGGTGATCTTCGGGGTGGAGTTGCTGATGTTCCTGAAAACCTTAGATCGATAGGGCCTAGCTCGTTATACAGATCACCTGTCATCATATGCGGGCAAGTTATGGGTTTCAGGAGGGAAAGACATTTTACTCCTTGATAGATGAGAATATGAATGAGGATGAGGATGAGGATGAGGATGAGGATGAGGATGAGGATGAAGAATGAGTGATAGTATTGATCAATAGTAATCCATATATTTTTTTAAATAAGCTCTATTGATTTAAAATATTTGTACGTAAATTTCTTATTTCTCAGAGCTCAATTCAAATTGAGTATTTTAAAAATATATTAGTTTACGACTTTTTGGCGAGGATGGTTGGTAAATTTTATTCCTGATCGCGTCACTGTAGAGCTTAAGTCCTTCAATATAATTGAAATTCTACATTCGCATTCCCTTCTCCCTCTTGATCTTGCATGTTGACAATGTAACTGCCGTAACGGATTCGGCCGTCAACAATGTCTCTTCTACTGCAATGTCAATAAAGGATATATGCTGAACAAATAGCTGTAGCGTCTCTTTGCTTTCTGTACATCTCTCTATGCCGGTACATTTTGCATCGCGGCGTTTTAAGGCAATTTGTATCGAAGACACAGGCATTTTCCAAAGGAGCCTCCAGAAGAAATAAACAGACAATCCTCGCCTTCGCTACGACCAACAAATCCCTAGTAGTTTTCCTCTCTTTTCATGAAATATAAGAAAAGTTCATTTTTGTTTATTCGATTAAATTAAATGAGAATCCATTGACAAGCGGGGCGGACTGTACTTCATTCATGCCTCCACTATACCCTTCCTGCGCTTAACTTCCCCCCCCTCCACGGATTCCCGGCCCCTGCGTCTGACCACCCCCTCCCCGGACCGAATTCTCATCACCATATTCCGATAAGGCGTATCCAACGTCGGAAATGCACTACTGTCTCCAATGTGCTCCTGTCGCTTTTGCTTTAAGCGCTTGCTGGTAAGTCGAACCAATGATTGAATCTGGAATAGCCGGAAGAAAAACAGCTGATCAACCGACTTAAGCTCAGATAAACAGATCGGCATTTTGAGGTCTGAGATCCTCGCATGGATGACAGTATTGCCAATCCTTGCGCCAAGGAAAAATACTATGTCGTTGCCGATAGACTGAAAGCTTATAAGTGGCAGTTCCTCTTCTAGTTCTGGAAGTAGGTTGTCGAGGCTGTCTTTTGTGAAGACTGCAATTCTGAGGGTATCGGCATTCTTCAGCTGCGTCGAAGGGTGCATGCCCTTGAGTTCTCCATAGTATGCTTCATGTCCCTCCTCCGTACGGCCCACAATGTCGGGGTGCCTAGCTTGTCCACCCTGACCCAAGACAGTTTTCCTGCTCTTGCCCGCAGTCGACATAGCGTTAAGGCTGTTGAAAAGAAATAGCGACAATTAAACTAAGGAAGATCAACTCATATATCATATGATATATCGACAATCAGCCAGGGACATTACCATTTGAATTGGACATGGCCTGTAACGTTCATAAACTCACGTAAAATTGGCGAGATGACTGACAACATGGCATCACTTTCACTTTCAATCTTACTCCATGTGTTATAGTTTCGAAACACATATAGGGCCACAAACAAGATAGGCAATATATCTTTTTCTTGGCATGCATGGTATGATTCCATTATCAAGTCAACGACTGGCCCGACATCCACCTCGACCTCCTTGGCGTCTCCAAGTTCCTTAGAGAGGCAGCTCAAGAGATGCATCGATCCCCATTTCTACGTAGTCGGTTAGTATTCTCTTTCAGCTCGAAACAAAGCAAATAAGCAAACAAGAAGTCCTCAGCTATAACTACAAACCTGGACCCACGTGCCCCATAGTGCAGCTGCCTCGATTGAGCGCTCTACATCCTTCTCTTTTTGCTGGTTGCTATAGAACCGATGGAGGACATCATTTGTAATAACGGTAATCTCATTAGCTTGGAACCCAACATGCGCTTTGTTAAGATGCAAGACACCAGAGAGTAGCCTAGATTGATAAATTATATACTGATTAGTTTGTATGATTCCGCTCAAACGTGAATTTTATTTGCTTGGATCAAGCTCCTTACGCAATCTCGTCTACTTGTTCGTAGCCCAAAGATGTTTTCTCCTTGATTTTGTTGTAGGACTCAGTTATCTGAGGTCCCCAGTCTTTCGACAGTGGGAGACTGAACGTGAATTCCGGCCGCTCCTTGATCCATGACATATCTCCACAAGGTCGTCCAAATACTTCATCCTTATCTCCGTTATCTCTATCAAAAACCTCTTCACCATCAGCCTCATTCTCTTCATATTCATCGTCGCTGCTATTAAAGACTGGACGGGGCGGAGGCGACAGTGTTGGTGATGAAGAGCCCGACCCTAATGGCGGCGTGTGAACAGCTGAAAATGACGGGCGAGGGCCTGGAGACACAACGACGCGGCGTTGATTGTCCCTATTGGCAGATCCTGATGTATGTAATAAGGTTGCCTGGGCTACTGATTTAGAAATATCAACCGTTAGAGCTTAGATTTTCCGTAGTAATCTAGCATTCACTGTATTTATACGCACCTTTCTGTCCTCCTAGTTCGACTTCCGTCTGATTGGCATGTGAGGTCAAATTGCGGCTTGGAGGCAGGGCCTCAACACCCTGTAAGGACATCTTTAATGCCAGTGCTCCTGTCTTGATGTCGGTCAACACTTGAAGGTTTGCAAGGTTGTCTTTGGCCGCCAATGTCTTGGCAATCTTCTTTTGCTCAATATCTTGCCAAAATACCTTGATTTGGCCACTCGTTTCGTTGTCCTTCGTCTGCTTCCGAAGGCGAGTGCCGAGATTTCGGAGCACCATGTCCCGATGGCGGATGAGCCAACTCAACATGTCGGTCCACCACTCTTCCATGCCCTGTTGATGTTCAGGTTGAGGTTGCGCTTCTCGGAAAAGATCCATCTGCTGAAAGTGGGAAGGATCCTCTAGGTTTATAATGTATAATGAGACGAGGGATGCATTGACGGGACACTTCTTAGCCCAAGTGATTAGTGCGCTGTTCCAATTGGCCATTTCCGTTATGAATAGAGTAGCTGCAAGAGTTAGATGGCTCTAATGGCTATGACCACAAATTTGGCCCTTTAGTCTCGTCACCAGCTTGAGAGGAAGCGCCTATGTACAGTACAGTACGCTACGTGTACGTGGTGCGAGGCAAATTGCCATTGAAACAGTAGCAAGGGAGCGGAAGTAAGTGAGAATAAGATGTGGGTACACATCACATCCATAGGATATTTATTCAGATCCATATCAAAGTATAACTACAAGTTTGTCTACGGGCGCATGTTTTCTGATACACAACCGTTAGTATATATATATATATCTTGTGTATATATTAAGTTTGAAATATGCAACATTCAGCATCCCAAGGTCCCCATAATCCAAATTCTTTGATCCTATCTGTGTCTGGGACTCCTCGTTCATCCATTGAAAGTACTCATTGTACGTTCCCTTCCAAACACAGGGATAGCGCTCTCAACCTCAATCATTCCTTTTTCACGCTTCCTTTTGTTCAACAGGTGATTGAAGCGGAGGACGGGGAGGTACAACCTGCTTCTCACCTTTACCGTTTGCCGCAAGTTAGGGTTGTGAGGATCCAGGGAGGAAAACGTAAGGGCGTTAACAATACCAGGATCGCATCCGACGATAGTTGTGGTGTTTGCGGATGGGCACCGCCCTGGTTTGTTGAATGTGAGCTCAACGTTTTCAAGCAGTTTGGAGCTCCTCTTCCAGTTTATGTTTGCATAGTCTTCATCTGTCAGGTCTTCACCAGCTGCCTTTGAACACGTCGTGTTGAGAAATCCCTGAGAAAGCCCCAGTTCTTGGCTGGGGTCTTCTTCATCTACGTCAGACTGCTGCTGTCTCTTCGTCTGGGTTGTGTCATAGGCAAGTAGATTCAGAACTAGACCATTGGTAGAAATCGTTCCTTTGAGTTTGAACCGAGTTAGATCTTTGCCCTGTGACTGCAAGGATACTTTGTCTCGATATCCAAGAACCATGCGATCGCCTCCAATGTCACAAAAGAGAGCCTGAATCAAAACCCCTTTTGTTCCCTGTACACACTCAAACATTGCAGTCTTGGAAGGATTGTCGAGAGGCAGAATACGCTCTAGTAGCTGCTTGGTATCTTCGTTCGCCCAGAGGATGTCAACTAGGACGTGTTCAGACAGATACACATACCCGGGTGGCCAGGGGGACGTAGGAAAGTCTGAGTATTTTTTCACTTTTTTGTTCTCCCGCAAAAAAAACTCAATGTCGCTCATATCTTCGTTTGTTTTCTCGACATCAAACTAGAAAAAAAAAAAAAAAAAAAAAAAAGTCTGAATAAAGAGCATTTGATTGCAGAATATGCATGAAAATACCCTACACAAGCTATACCATTGCGTTCCTGTAGTGCTGCCTTAATGATGTCTGTACTTGACCCATTAGTAGCTCTGACGCTCTGGAAATGAGATCTTTTTGGGATCAAAGCCTTGCACGTCCCCCAATGTGATGTCTATTTCCTTTATTGGGGAAAGTTCAGTGGTGGCCTTGAAATATTCATAAGCGAGGAGGTAATGGGGCGTTTCTACCGCCTTTCCTTGTTTTTTTGCCCTCGCGTAAGCTGAATTGGGGCCACCTTGACCACTTAAAAGAAGGATGGCGAGACGGAAGGAATAATCATTGCTATCCAAGACCTCGTCCAGTGCCTTTTTCCTCGACTTTACTGCCCCTGGTAACCGCATGATCCTCTCAATGTCCAAGGCAATCGCCCAGTATGCATATCGGCGTAGTCGGTTGAGGACAACAACTGTCCCTCGGATCTGGCTTGCAATACTATCCCTTTCATCTGCGTCCAGTCCGCCTTTCCTTGCCATGGAGGCCTTAAGAGACCCAATTGTTAAGGCCTTGATAGGGTGCTTACTGCTGTAGCTGTGATCAACCCTCGTAGCATCCTTCAAGTTCCTAATTGGTGCACCTTCTTTTTTAGCCCTGTGGGGCTTCTTGCCTTTGTGCTTCCGCTTTTGTTTTTTCTGTTGCTTCTTTTTTGCCTTTCTCCGACGTGGTGGATGCTTAAGACCCGGCCTATCGTGCTGACGGCAGTTACTGATATCAACTGTGCGCCCATTCAATATGCTCGCCTTGTCAGAAAAGATGGGCCGGAACTGGTTCCTATGTGACCCTTCCGCTATATAGAATGATGGTGCGCCTCTACATTATCCAAGAAAGGGACTAACGATTAGTATTGGGATGTATGGTTTCAAGGCCAAAACTATAGCTTGAGCTTTCTTACGTTCTGCGGCGCTGCGCTCGCCTTTGCTGAGCCATTCTATGGCGAAGATCCTTTCCATTGAGTAGACGCTGCTTGAAGTTATCGAACTCACTGTTCAATGGTAATGCTTGGGCCGACGTTTGATGGCCGGAAGTAAAAACGCGGAGAGCTACTCTGAAACGGCCTTCTTCAGAGGCTGCGTTCCTTCCCAACACCTTACTAGCTTCCCTTAGGTAGTCCCGAAGCATTTTATTGTAGTTCTCGTTCCACGCAACCTTTCGAATTAATCGAAGATTATTAACCGGGCCTAACGTCTCGAGGTTCCTTGAGTAGTCATTGCCTGCGATGGCACAGAATAACACCAGATGCGCGTGTGATGGCAGTCTTAGTGCTTGGATAACGTTGCCTACATCGTAAACCCCAAACTTCCGTCTACGGCGCGGAAGGGGTCGCACTAGGAAGCAGACCGTTCGTACGCAAAAAAATCAGAGTCTTGGGATATCACGATTCTATCATTCTCCTCATTATGGCACCCTATACATGGGTCCGCTTCATATGCACACAGACAGACATCGAAGACAGAGCTAAGGCCTGTTGTCAGCTGATCCTTGTCCTGGGCGCTCAGGGTGTGGACTTCTCGAAGACCCTTCTGGATGCGCCTCATGACTTGAGGGCGAGTCCATACCCCACTCCGAGAATTTCTCTCGAAGGTGCTCATAGCGTTCTCCAAAGCATCCATATTTTTTTCTGTTATGACTTGCCATTCTGTCCTTGCTTTTTCTTTCTAAGGTTCCCCATCAATATGTATAGTCAGATTGTCCGTTATGAAAAGATCCTTTATCACGAGAGCCAGGGACCTTCCTACATCAATGATGGATTCGTTTTTCATCTTTGCATGGACGACTCTGCGGAGGATGTCGTAATAGAACGTACCGAGGAGATCTACATGAACAGAATGGTCAGGGTTTGCCGCCAAGAAAGTGCCCACGTCAGTTTCCGAAGGTAAAACCCCGCGATCCGCAACCAGTTTGAAGAAGGACTTCAGCCCCATGGCCAATATCTAAGCGAAAGAGAAAGAAAAAAGGAAAAATGGTGGCGATGAAAAGAAATGAAAAAAAAAAAAAAAAAAAAAAAAAAAAAAAGAGCGACAAAGGTATAAAAGGATGAGCTTTTTTATATTGAGGAAAAGATACAGGAACAAGTGGCAGTGGTAAAAGGGATGGGACTTTGAAGGAGGAAGACAATGATCCCTTTTTATATCCTGGATTGATTGAGTTTTATCATTGTCTCATATAGTTTTGATATCGATCCTTTGCTTCACAGGCCACATCAATCTTTATTCAGTTCCTTTGTTTGGATTGGGGTTTTGTTCAAGTCAATAGCAGAGATTGACAAATAAATACAAGCTCTCGTATGAACGGCAGATTGGAAACAATAGCATTGAGATACCAAAGTGAGCATTCGAAAAAATCATCTCCAGATACAGCATACAGTGTCGATGTCGATCCTTTGTTACATAATTTTTTTTTTTTTTCAGTTTCTTTTGTTTGCACTGGCCCTTGCTTTGTGCTTTGTGAGGAATTTAATGAATAAAAGAAGATTTATAATTTTGAACAGGGGTAATAAATGCCTCGGTGATTATATCCTTGTCAAAGGTAACAACTAAAGAAAAAAAAGTCTTTTTTATCAGAGAATGGCTTCATATGATGCTCTTTGCTCCAACAGCCCCAGTACTATTGCGTTAAAGCAGAGATATTCGTTGACTCTCAGATTCCGGCATCAATGGCGGAGATAGGAGTGATGTAGTTGCATGCGCTTATTGCTTGGAGTAAAAGCTATCTAAGCACCCTTTCTTACTGGACGATGCCTTGTTAATGGTGATATTGCGCAGCGCCTTGTGGATGGAGGGAGAGCAGAAGCGAGAGTGGTGGTTTTTGGCGGTCGTTTGGTGTGTGTATGTGTGAATTTGATAGTTGATATCAATCGCCAAAACATATGCATCTAGAAATACAGAAGCGAGATTGATACCGACGCGTTTGATCCTTTCCTAGGGATTGTTATAACCATGGGATGATTGTGGAGTGGCCGCCAAAATAAAGTTTGTTTGGAGGCACCAATGGAAAACGCTTGTGTTTTGAACAAAAAAAGACGTCGCGATGTAAAATGTGTTTATACATGTACAGAAACTTAAGAGATGCTTCAGCTGCTTATTCGTGCACACAGTGATTGACGAACAAAAAAGGAAAAAAAAAGCCCGCGATGAAAGAAGGCATGTGCAGACAACAAATAAACACAGCTCACATACATTTTTTTCACCGTTGTGTCTGTATCTCTTCTAAGCTTTCTGTCTAGCCGTTTAACACAAGGAACCCTCAGAAAAAGAAATACCTCGCATGATTGGTGCCAGGTCTGAAAACAACAACAATGCATTGCTGTACGTGGAAGATAGGGTCTATAAACTATACCATTGATCACAACCGCTACCCATGCTCTCTTGCCAAGGACTTTAACAGGCATAGCAGCCCCTTCTTCCTTGCTCTCATAACCGCTCACATCCTTTCGATGCATTCTTTCGCCATTTATGTCCACTACATCTGAACCACACACAATTCACCACTCACTCCAACAGAGATATTTGTATCACCTTGGGTATGATATGTTGCTGTGGTTCCCTCCGGTTTCAACAGGCCCAACAAACTCTATAAGCTGTTTACCAAGCCAGATATATCAAAGGAATGCAAGAAGACGAGGAAGCGAACGATGTGACAAATCAAGTCTTGCCGAGCTGTACAAGAAAAGATCAAGTTAGTCAAGCTCCATGGTGCGGAAGAATGGTTCCACTCAGATTGCCCTCCTTTCAAGTCGATACTACGGCAGCGAATATTATCGCTGTTATATTACATCAGTCAATAAATAAACGATACAATGGACTCCCAAGGGGATGCTAGGGTCATGCGAAAGTCTTTCTTTCGATGTCGAAATAAATGACCGAAAACTAAATTGTCATGGAGCTATCCTGGCTTCTTTATTTGTGCAAATAAAAAACTCATGAAATTTCAAGACAATGCCCATGGATTGCTGGCAAATTTGTGAGTCCCCTTAGATACTCAAGTTAGCCAAATATGCGACAGCGACACCCTTAAACAAAAAATAAAAGTTATTTCATGTGGGTCATGTGAGCCAAAATATATATGGAAGTTCACTCTAACCTGTCTCTAAGTCCATAATCATATGGGAAAACCATATATAAAAGTCAATTAAATGAACCTCAATCCAAACCGAACTTTGGATAATGCCAAAAGACACTAATATAAAGCGATATAGAGTAATTGAAGTTTCTGAAGAAATTGAGTATCCGTAGTGACATAAAAACCCAAGTGTAGCTTGGTAGACACTTGTTTAAAAAAATGTTTCGTTGAAATTAGTAAAAAAAGCAGAGCTCTATGATAAAGCCTTCAAACTTCACCATATTTTCAGATTAAAAGGACATGTCAATGCTGAATCCAACTGTGGTATTTTTACAGCGACTTAGTTTACAAAAATAACCATCCTTACTGTTTAAAGATGGAGGAGAGACTATAAATTCCAGAAATTACTCTATTTAGAGAATTCAATGGGCATATTCTTGACAACCGCATTGCTAGTTCCTTGAAGTGCATATACATGGCTTATAGATATAGCTTTTGGGTACCAGAATCTATATTTTGCAATGTGTATCGCCATTACTGACAGAGTGATATTACTTTTGAACGAAATAAGATGTACGTAATCTTGAATATTTTCAATGTACAAGTTCTTTGAATGGAGGTATCTTACTGAAGACTTAACCGAATCTTCTCAAGTTTTTTTTTAAATCGTACCAATGGATCTTACCTACAAAATATATGGTTTTCAGTCTTGTAGATACTCTATCTCAACAGAGAATGGATTTCTTTTTTTCATTGTTCTGTATAAAAAAAAAAAAAGAAATCCTGATTTCTGATTGGCTATTTCAATTGTGCTCTCTTTGATTGAATTGGGTTGAATAGTTTTTTGATCAAATATATACATGTAAATATTTTTTTTTTTGGCGCTGCCGTTTTTGGTTCCCAGATGTATTTATCGTTCTTTGTAAAGAACAAAACCGTTCAACTATATCACTTAATTCCCTTGCTGCGTCGGAACTTCTCACAATGCTATCTGAATCATGGAGACTCTTTTTGAGTATCTCCAAAGATTCAGTAACCACATCAGCAATCCTCTCCGCCTCAGCAACCTCCTCTGCTTCAGCATCCTCTACCTCCAACAGAGCATCACTCATGCTGGGGTTAACATTCCCTTCCAGGCCATCTTGAAAACTCTGGATCATAGCATGTCTATCAGGGACCCTCTCAAGGACATCATGTATGATGTGGAGTGGTGGGTCTGGGTTATCCTTATGAACTTGATGCAAAAGATACATATGTCTGCAGGGGCGCTGAAAATACATAAAGTACTGACAGTTACATCTTGAGATAGTTTCATTCGTGGCAACCACGAAATAATATCCGCCAGATACGGAGAACGAGCGCACACAGTAAACGGTTCGGTCTCCCACTTGCTGCTCGTGAACAATGCGCTGTGGAAGGTCTTCTAGACCATCTAGAAATTTTCTTTGGTGAAAGTCATCTCTCTCGCCTTTTAAATGTTGCCCATAGCGTCGCACAGTCTGCATTGCCATCATTTGGTAAAACTCATCTACATCATGAGTTAAGATATAAACCAATCTATCTCCCCTGCAGTTTGTATAACCTCGTAAGAAGTGCGACTTAAGGTGGTTGTGCCAGGACTCGACGTAATTGTTAGTATCCATCCCGGCATAAAACTTTCCCATACGATAACATTTCATCCACCTTCTCCTTCGGTCTTCACTGAGGTACCGTTATCTAAAATAATTCCAGACTTTGCCCTGATTATGATCCTGCCATTTCAACTCGAATTCTGAAATAAGAGTCTCAGCTCGCGTACGGTTTGGATCAAACAAAATTCTACGGAGCTCCCCCATCGCTTCCTCCCTCAACTCCTTAGCTGCCTTGTCTTGCGTTGCACAGATAACATTTCGAAGCTTGGTGCTCCAAGCTTTCATAACATGCCATAGACATAAATGAACTGTGACTGAGTCTCCAAACGCCAATCGGATTGCTTTGTATTCTGCTCGAGCATCATCAGTGGTGATGTATTCAGGAGAGCCAATGGTTTCTCTGATATGTTTCAACCATTTTGCCAACGGTAC